GCGCATATAGAGCAGATGGGCAGGTTAAGAAGGCAGTAGCGCTACTAGAGTATGTTGTGGATATTAAAGCGCGGACCCTTCGAGCCGATCATCCTTCGCGGCTGATATCGATCGAGGTGCTCGAAGAAATGTGTGCGGAGCTGAAAGTCGACTCAGCCTCGGTATAAGTATTAAGTCTTCAACAAACCCTTCGGTAGCAAGTTATCCATGTTCTATTCAGAAGTCGAGACGGTAAAAGTTTAGATACTACTACACCGTTACCTGTCGTTTGAAAAGTCTTTGAAAACAATGCGTGGGAAGGCTAGATTTGATGGTAGTGTGGCAAAGTGAATCGAACTAGAAGAGCTGTCGTTGGGATTTGTGGAGCTCTTTTAGTTGACTTTGAGCAGGGAAATAGAAACTGCAATAAGGATCGCCGATACCTCAAGGACTGGGTAGTTGATATTGAGGTGCTAAGGGTAGGATGTAAGAAATGTAAGACTATGCGGGAAACCTTCTTAAGAGAGACAAAAGCTAGTACGGTGTGGGGTAAAATTCGCGCATGTGTAGAAAATAGAAGCTATGTGTGAGAGAGTGCAGATGGCTTCCTATGGCTTATAGGCGTTTGGTGCCTAGTTGTCACAGGCTGAGAGCATGATAGTGCAGTATGTGCTTGCCAGTGACTACCTGATTTGGATTAGTTGGATTCTGGGTTGTAAATCTAACGGCGGCTCTGTGTGAAGTGGACAAATTGTGAGGATGCACACTAGTATATTGTTGCGTCAGAAACTGTTAACATTGAGTGTAAACAGTGCGGTAGAGATATGTAGTAATTCCCTTAGTGACCTTCTCTATCCCCTCTATTTCGTTAGTTCAACTTGACATATCATTATCAAGGAGTCTTGTTAGAAAAATCAATTAGCGTTACGCATTATGATCTTCCGCAGCATCGACTGGCAGTTCGTTATACCGCCTTGCTAAATCAGTTCTCTACAAGTGTTCTGGTTATAGCGAGACGGTCCCTCCTACGGTGAAGCGAAACCAATAGATGTTGACTAAGAAGTGTACTCACGATCAAGTCACTCGGTCTTGGCGCGAGACTCTAATAAGACATGCACTGCCTGCTGCCAACCACATGCCGATGTAGCTTTACGCGCCGCAGAACTCGTGCGAGTACCTGCTGGTACCGCCACTGTGTGTTTCAAAGCAACTCTCAGACAAAGCCCTGCTTGCAAATGCTGAGATAACGTCATAAGTCGTCCCCCAGGCTTCAACGGCGGAACAGGGATGGCCCGAACTGGATACCATTCCCCTTTGGGCTATAGTACAAGCCACTGCGGATAGCTGGTCTGGTGTATCCAGGATGATCCGGCAGAGGTTATGATCACCGAGATTGTCATGTTGGGTGAGGGGTCGAAAGCATTCGTCGTATCAAAGAACGCAACAAGCACGGCGCTGGGAGCGGACAGACTCCCCGACGATAACAGCCTGAGGGCGATTGGCAGACGCGCACCAGGCGCTTCGCTGGATCCAGCAACCCGCGCGAGGCAGGCTGGCGTGTTGCGCATATGCACCTGTACGGCATCTGCTACGCTGGTCCTATAGTCGCGTAGACGTGGGCCTAGACGACGATGGAGATGTATGCTATGCTATGGTGCAAGAGTACCTGGCAAAGGGCGAATGGCGTGCGAGGGCGTCATCCAGTCCGGGCACATGACGAGCTTGCACTTGTCTACAACATACTCGTGAGGGGCGCCACGGGACGAGGCCGGCAAGTAGCGCGAGGACTATGCAAAGGCAGAAACACGTTGAAAGCGTGCAACTGTTCATCATCCATCCAACATTCACTGCCACCCCCCAAGCCCAAGCTTCTTTCATCGGCGCAGACTGCATGGTGACTGAATGGTGCGAGGTACTTGACTTGACTTGGGAGCCTGCACGCGTCGCCTTATCAGTCTATCAGCTGTGAGCCCGGGCCACGCTAACCCTCTCCCTCCATGACTGACTGGTCCATCGACCTCTCTCAAGCCTGACAACTGCGCTCGCGCTCGCAGCTCGTCTCTCCTCTTCTCCTCTTGCTTCCCTTCCCTCTCTGCCTATTCTGCGTAATCCTTCTTCTTTCACCCTTGCGCCGTTAATCCTCTCCGTTGCTTCTCCGGGCCGCCTCGTCCCCCATCCATAGCCGTCACCTTGCATCCAGTCACTATCGATACCTACCTACCGCAGCCACGCCTCGAAGGCGCCAGCTCCAGCCTGCATTATACCATTACACCCACACCCACGCCCACCTGTCCGCTTTCCTCGACTTGTACTCTACGACGTAACATTACAGTAGCTCGTTAGCCTGTACCGCATCCTTGTCCGCCTCCTCGTCGCCTAGCACCCTCCCAGCATCCCAGCGTACACACCCTCGACCTACCCTGCTCTCTGCCCACGACATCCCATGGGCAACGCTCTTACCGCCACACTCTACCCGCACCTTCGCTCGTAGCTGAATACTGGGCACCCATAACTAGAGGGGGACCACTAAGCCAGGCCGGCCAGCCAGCGCCGTCAACATGGCAACACCTTCGAACCCGTACGCCGCGCGCCGGGCGGGTGCGTCGCCGTCTTCGTCTACTGCTCCAGAACAGATCATCGGCAAGTTCAAGCGTATGGATCATATTGGAAAGGGGAGCTTTGCGGAGGTCTACCGGGGGATCCACATTGTAGGTGCCTTCCATCTGCTCTCAGACGAGTCGCTTTCCCCACAGCCTCAACAAGTTTCAGTGAAATGGCTGCTAACGTTATTGTCCCCCTAGGAAAAACGCCAATCTGTCGCCATCAAGTCTGTCAACATGAACAAGCTGAACAAGAAGCTCAAAGACAACCTCGTCTCCGAGATCTCCATCCTCAAAAGCCTGCATCATCCACACATAGTCTCGCTCATCGACTGCCAGGAAACACCATCGCGCATGCACATCATCATGGAGTTCTGTGAGCTAGGAGACTTGTCGGCCTTTATAAAGAAACGTGGAGACCTCGTCAATCACCCGCAGACCCAGCGTATGATCGAGAAATATCCGAACCCCGCCGTCGGCGGCCTGAATGAAGTAATCGTGAGGCACTTTGCCAAACAAATGGCCAGCGCTCTGGAATTTCTGAGGTCCAAGAACTACATCCATCGTGACTTGAAGCCCCAAAACCTCCTGCTGAATCCGTCATCTCTGTACTACTCGCAAAGTGGGACGCTGGAACGTATGCCCTTGGCTGCCGATGCGAACTCGCTGATTCCCTCTACTGGCATCGAATCGCTGCCAATGCTCAAGGTCGCTGATTTCGGCTTCGCTAGGGTCCTGCCGTCGACTTCCCTAGCTGAAACTCTCTGCGGCTCCCCGCTCTACATGGCACCGGAAATCCTGCGATACGAAAAGTATGATGCAAAGGCCGATCTGTGGTCCGTCGGGACTGTGCTGTTCGAGATGATGTGCGCTCGCCCGCCATTTAGAGCGAACAATCATGTCGAGTTGCTCCGGAAGATCGAAGAGCGCAAAGATCATATTCGTTTTCCAGAAGGTATCATCTGCAGTAGGGCCATGAAGAACCTCATCCGTGCATTGTTGAAGCGGAAACCCACCGAGCGCATGTCCTACGATGGCTTCTTTTCAGACCCAGTGATTCGCGAAGATATCCCAGACCTTGTTGCTGAAGATTTACCACAAGCGATGCAGGCCTCTGAACTGGAGCCGCCCGTCGAGGAGCCCCCAAAGCGAATTCAGAAGATGCCCGTCGAGATGAGTCGGCGCGCTTCGGAAAGCCCTTATTCGCGATCACCCAGAGACAGGACAGGTCTTGGGACAACTCCCCCATCACGACCGACCTCTCGGCCTGTATCTGGGCATTTTTCAAGCACTCCACCACGACCTGGTTATCCACAACGAGCAAGCAACACGCCAATCGAGCCGATCGAGGAGCATGTTCCTCAGCGCGAGCAGCGGCGTCCGACCCTTACGAATGCTCTGACTGCGCCTGGCCGTACAACGACGTTGCAGGATCAACCTGCAGCCCCCACTGCCATTGGCCATAGACGCAGATTCTCTCGAGATGATCAAGCCCTAGCACCTTCAGGACTCAAAGAACACCTTGGCCGCGAGCGAACACCGCAAAGGGCAGAAGCGAATGCGATGAAAGATGCAGCAGAACGGGCTGCACAAGATAACGCTTTGGACGAAGGTTTTGTGTTCGTCGAGAAACGTCGTGTGGAGATTGACGCCTTGGCAGACGAGATTGCTGCCAGTCCACAAACGCAGCGGGATCGGATGATCAATCGAGAAAGCGCAATGAAGCGGCGATCAACAACTCAAGGATCCCCAACTTCCACAACGGGCGCGACAGTGCCCTCGAAAGCCATCCAAATACAGCAAAAGCCAGCTCTCACGCATCACCGGACTGGTTCCTACGAGCGTCGACGACAGTACCGTCCTAGCTTTGAAAGCGCCACGTCCGCCCTGTCGAAAGCCATGAATATGGTCAACATTCGAGGTCTTGGGCTCTCGCCGCCCGTGATAAAAGGCCTGTCGCCACCTCAAGGGTATGCTGCGTTTCCTACATATCCTACCGCGCAAAGCAGTCTGCTACTTGTGGGTGATGGTGGAAAGACGACCAGTAAAGACGAGGATTCAACCGTGGTGAAGAAGATCGAAGAGCTGGCACAACTGAGTCATGTTATCTACGGCTTCGCAGAGGTCAAGTACAGGCAGCTGGTCCCCCTCGCGCCGAGTGACCAAGGCTTAGGCATTGGGCCTACCGGGGTCGCAAGGAAACAGAGCAGCGATGTCATCGAAGATGACGAGGATGATGACGATCTGACGCCGGAGACGATCTTGATTATCTCTGAGGAAGCACTTGTCCTGTACGTCAAGTCCCTGGCTATGCTGAACAAGGCCATGGATGCTGCCGGAAGCTACTGGAACCGAAACCGACGAGGGAGTGCATCCCCTGACGCGGTATCTCGCGCAACTACCAACGCCAATCGACTGAGTCAAGTCGTAACATGGATTCGAGACCGGTTTAACGAATGCTGCGTCAAGTCAGAGATTGTGGCTCGCAAGCTCAAGCTAGCTCGACAACAACTTCCCTCTGATCATCCAAGCCACCCTCAGAACTTGTCAGCTGCATCGGGCTCTGCGACAACGGTTGGATCCGCTGAAAACATTCTTCTCACCACCGGCGTTACGGCGGAGAAACTCATGTACGATCGAGCACTTGAGATGAGTAGACAGGCCGCTGTGGACGAGCTCACCGGCCTCAATTTGCCAAACTGCGACATCAATTACTGGACTGCCATTGTCATGCTCGAAGCAATTCTTGAGGACGAGGATGAGTCGAGCAGTTGCAACAAGCTTGACGGTGAAGAGATCAATGGACTAGATGGCGAGGATCGGCAGTCCATTCAGAAGCGTAAGTCGCCTCATCTTAAACATGTATGACAGAGTGGAGGCTAATATGTGACAGTTCTCGAGCAAATGCGAAGTCGACATCGGATGCTTAAGAAGAAGCTCGAGCACCAGAAGACGCAGAAGCGCGGTTCAATCACCAGCGCGCCTGCGCCGCATCCCGCAAGTCGCGGTTCACCATCGTCTCAAGGGACTGCGAGGTGATCAGTCCGTCAAGATATATTTACCAACATTCAGCATTGCATTTTTTCGGCGTTTTGTTCCGGGTGAGGAGGCGTCTAGGATCCCACGCCTCTCTTCTCATTGTTGCGTTTGAGTTTTTTTTTATTGACTAGTCTCAGCTCAGCCTGATATATAGGCGCCAATACTCGGGGACTTTGGCGCACGCATCACCTGCATATGATACCACGGCGCGCCATGGGCTTCAGGCATTTCATTTCATGGTGTTTCCCTTTGGGCTCGGGATGATTTATCGGGGCTGGCGTTGTTCGAGGAATTTGGGCTTCGGTTGTTTTTGTCATAGTTCCATGAGCAGCTTAGACTCGCACCCGACGCAGAAGATGGATTTGGATGATCGAGAGCAGCTAGGGGGAAGTATACCTCGTGGATCGGCGTACTTAAGATTGAATAACATCGTATTATTACCATAGCAAATACAGGCGTTCTTCGATTGCGGTTCGCTTATCATTTGGTAATCTACAAGGGCTCTTCTCACATCGATGACCACCGCAATTTCCACCTTTCCAGATACGTTGTTGTTATCGATAAATACAATTAAACTTTGGAGAGTTTGAACGGGCCTTTTCGCGTAAACATTAGTCTAGTAGGAGCGCTAGGCTGTATCTCAGCGATCCTCGCGTCCTAGGGCTGAAGACGGACTCCGCCTCCACAACCTACAACACGCAAATGCATTCTTGTCTACGACAGGCTGTTTGGGACAGTTGATGTACCTGAACGATGTATATGCATGTTCTGAGCAATAGACTATACCACGCCCTTAGTAAGAAAGCATGTATCTAACCCCCTTAGACTACTCAACTAATCGTACGAAACCACGGCTCACAAAAGCTCCGCTTGCGCAGGTCCACCCAGCCAGCCTCCACGCTCTACACAATACTACTCTCCACCTAGCTGAACCGCGTTAACGCCGCACGGCACATCCAGTACGCAGATTTCTCAATCTACGCGGACAAGTGCGCGGAGTTGTCAATGCGCCACATCAGGGCCAGACTTCCCACGCTCACGCCTATATTATAGCGCGTGCGTGCATCCCGTCACATCTCGTGGACCCTCGGTACGCCTCCATGGTACGGTGTAGCGACGGCGTGAATCGCGTATGCAGGAACCGCCGATCTACACTCAGACCACTACAGGGCTAGGTAGGTGGAGGGCATAGCTCGCGATAGCTTCCCGGGCGATGGATGGTGTAGATTGGCGATTCCACCCCCCTTGGGAAAGGAAAAGGTGCGATATTCCATCTCTTGAAAAAGGAAAGGAAAGGAAAGGTAGGGAGTATTTTCAGCCTCATAATACGAATTGGGAGCTTCCGTTGACTACTTTATCGTCTGAGTGGTGGGCTGAATTTCAGTGGAACTGGGCTGAATTGGGGCTGAGCTGAGTTTGAGCAAAGCATACGGAAAGCCAGGCAGTCCCTTGTATGTTCCGACGAGACTCGCTTGTAGAGCCCCCGTTTTTTGTTTCTTCGATACTCAGTGTCGTTGCTAGATGTGGGTTCTGTGGCTTTTTCGACGTTGTTCGCCGCATGGCAGTGCGCGCGCGCCCATAGCAATCTCCCCATACTCTAGCTGCTGCTCAGTGACTGAGTCCCGAACCGGGGATACCGAAGGGGGGAGAAGAGATAGGGTCTGAGTTGTATGCTTGGCATGTGTGTTGATTCAGTAGGTATGTGGGTGGGTATATCTTCCTTCTTGTCCCTTCGCTCGAGAGAGAGAAGTCACTCGCTCTCCTTTTACGGACGTCCACTCGTTTCTGCGTCAGTCAGTCATTCAGTCGTTACTTGCGTGTCCTACCTTCCAGGACCATCACACTCGTTCTTACTCATTCATTTAATCACATCCCATAATAACACTATACTACACCTCTACGCTAGTACTACAGTCCCCCCCTCTTCACTCAACATGCGTTCCCTCATCCTCCTCTCCCTCACAAGCCTCACTGCCCTCCTCGCAAACGCCCAATCCATCAGTACCTCCGGCCACTGCGGCGCTTCCTTTGGCGGCCTCACTTGCGCCGGCTCTTCCTTCGGCTCGTGCTGTAGTCAGCACAATTGGTGTGGCTCCACGGCTGCACACTGCACAGAGGGATGCCAGTCTGGCTTTGGCACGTGTAATTCTGCACCGCCGGCCAAGGGCGACGAGTCGCCTGATGGGTCGTGTGGTGGAGACAAGGGGTATACCTGTTCGAACTCTGCTTTCGGTACGTCAGATCTGATCCCGAATCCCCATTCATACGATGAGATGGAGGTTCCTTTTGTGCTTGTAGTGTTGCTGAAACTAACTTTTTTGATAGGAAACTGCTGCAGTCAGTTTGGTTGGTGTGGATCTAGCTCCAAGTACTGCGGTACGGGGTGCAATTCGGCCTTTGGCACTTGCTCTGGAACTACATCTTCGTCCTCGTCGGCGGCAGTGAGGTCTTCCAGCTCGTCTGTTGCATCGACCCTTTCAACTGCCACACGTTCATCTTCGATTACGGCTTCGTCTTCCTCTGCTGGGATTTCTTCGTCTTCAAGTGGGGTTTCTTCCACGCCGTCTAGCTCACCTGTGAGGAGCCCATCGCCAAATCCTGTTAGCAGCGTTTCTCAAACTTCGTCTGCATCGTCGTCTTCAGTGTTTGTGTCATCTAGCAGTGCCTCTCGGTCATCTCCTGCATCTTCCAGCAGCATTGGGCAGTCGTCCTCGTCTGTATCTTCGACACCATCCAGCTCGCCAGTAAGGAGCCCATCTCCGACTCCTTCCAGCAGCGTTCCCGGTACCTCGTCTGCGTCTTTGTCTTCGACTGTTTCTTCAAGCAGCGCCTCTCGATCATCCTCTGCGTCGTCAACGCGCGTGAGAAGTTCGTCTTCGAGACGTTCCACATCTAGGGCCTCTCGTACTGCCTCCGCATCCCGAGCGTCGTCTGTGTCGACTAGGACTACATCTCGCTCATCTTCGCCCACTAGGAGCGCTTCACGCTCATCGACCCGTTCTTCTAGCAGTGTCTCCCGATCATCGAGTTTGTCATTGACAGCATCTCGCACACCAGTGGGAAGCCCATCGCCCACTCCTTCGAGCAGTGTCTCCCAACCCTCGACAGTCTCCTCCTCAGGCGCTTCTGGCTCATCGTCGGTATCTCAATCGTCGTCTGTGCTATTTAGCAGTGTCTCTCGTTCGTCGACAGTCTCATCTTCCCAATCATCGTCGGCTACCAGCAGCGCTTCCTCGTCATCGACAGTTCTCTCCAGCTCTGTATCTCGATCATCAACACTGTCTTCTAGCAGCGCTTCTCAATCCTCTACAGCATCTCAATCCTCTACAGCATCTCAATCTTCAGCTGTTTCTTCTAGCAGTGTTTCTCGTACCTCGTCGGCCTCCGGATCTTCATCTGCCTCTAGCAGTGCGTCGCGATCAACGACGATGTCCTCTTCTAGTGCATCTCGATCGTCCACTGTCGCTTCCTCCAGCGCATCTCGATCAACTTCAGCCTCGTCTTCCAGTGTCTCTCGATCTTCAACTGTCTCCTCCTCGAGTGCATCGCGAGTCAGGACACCTGCCCGCTCACCGACGGTCTCTTCTAGCAGTGTTTCCCGCACTTCAACCGCGTCCCGATCATCGACACCGTCTTCCAATGCTTCTCCAAGCTCCACAGTGTCTCGATCAGCGACTTCGTCTTCCTCAAGTGCGTCCCGCACGCCATCGCCTTCCCCGTCGTCGTCGGCCACCCCCAGCTCTTCCCGAACGCCTTCGCCTTCTCGATCGCCACGTGTAACGCCCTCATCGTCGTCACCAGCCAGGGCCGCATCGCCGACACCCTCTACTACCCCTAGCTCGCGGGCTGGAACACCTTCCTCATCTAGCTCTGTCGCGCCACCTAGGATTACTATCGTTGTCTGATAGACTGAGTTGGTTAGGATTGTAATGTCGAAGTAGATTTCAAAACGTTAGCAATGGCGTACTCTATCACTCTATGTATTTAATATACCGTAATGATAATACTCTTCTAGATTGACGCCATATAAGGCTTCCTATGCTGATTATGTTCCCTGACGGAGTCGCTCAGCCGTGAACTGGCAATGCCTTCAGGGGATCAATGTGCAACTAATCATAAGAAAGCGTAGATATCCTCTATCCCCTCTTGATCACTACTCTTCCGATGATCCACCATTCTATAAAGCACATTGGTACCCGGACGCCGGTGCATATATTCCATCTTGATTCGGTAAAGTACCATCTCCACAAACCTCCACGAACTCCATCCAGATCGACAAATCCAGCCCCGTTCGACTGGGTCCAGAAGACTCCATAGCGCCCGCAGTCCTCCCCCGTGCGCATCCATCCCCCGACAAATAGCTGAGGTTCCTCTATGCTAAACAGCTTTCCCCTCGTCACTGTTGGGAGACACAGTATATGATACGACCATCTTATCCCGTAACACTCTTACATTTATTTTAACGAATGCACTCGAATTCAGGATACATGGAGCCGAGCGCCTTCATCGGCGTTTTCCTCGGTTCGGGTTTCTTCTTTGGGCTCGTAGCCAAGGGTATGGTGGGTGATGCTGTGTGGAGCGCGTTGTATCGTAAGTTTCATCCCCAACAGTCTACTTTTATGAGGCACTGTGGTAGAGTGGGTGCTGGTTGGCTAATGCAAGCAAACGATATGTCTATCGAAGGCTCTACTTGTCTTCTTGTCTTCAAGAATCTAATCTCGTTTGGTTTGACGTCCAACAGCTTCGACAGACTCGTCAAGGTAGGAAGCGTCAAAGATTTCTTCATTGCTGTTGGGAGTGTCCAGGTCGCGATTTGTGCGCGAACACTTCGAATGTGTAAATTTCAAGTCAGATATCTTTGGAAAGAAGAATAGAAATTTCTTCAACCGCCACAACATCTTGTTCAAAGCCACCGAGCGGTCGCAGAGAACTTGACGTTTTGGCGAGTTCGGGACTGTTGTAACTTGTAATAACATTTGAAGGCTTGGCTGGAATCCGATACCACTACTTGAGCGCATCTCACGAACTCACACCCTCCGATCGATTCGATCTACGATATGGAGATGCTAATGATCTTAATGTCTTCTTCCGGTTTCTCCTTGTACACCTTGGTGTTCTCAATCTTATGCACCACGTCCATGCCTGCTATTGCTCGTCCGAAGATAGTGTGCTTATTGTCAAGCCAAGGCTGCCGCTCAGTTAGTAAATCACCCTCAATCACATTTCACCATCAAGAAATCATGACGTACCGTCTTCTCTGTCGTGATAAAGAATTGACTTCCATTCGAGTTTGGACCTGCGTTAGCCATGCTGACCGTATACGCCTTGTCATGCTTCAGATTCGAAAATTCATCCTCGAACTCTCTGCCCCAAATACTCTCGCCGCCCGTGCCATCGCCTAGAGGATCACCCGTCTGAATCATGAACTTGCGGATCACGCGGTGGAAGATGATGTTGTTGTAGTATGCATTGCGTGCATGTGTGACGAAATTCTCGACGGCTTTGGGTGCGGCATCAGGGAACAGGCGGACAGTGATGTCGCCGTAGGTGGTGTGGAGGATGGCCGTGGTGCCCGTTGCTGCGAGGGCTTTTTCGTCTTTCTTTTGGTTTGCGTTGGTGTTGCGCGGTTTTTCGTTTTGCACGTCGCGGTCGGACTTGGAGGCAGTCGAGTCGTTGGTATACATGTAGAAGCGGACTTTCCCTGAGCCAGTAGATACCAGCATAGCGTCTCGTGCTTCGGCTTCCTGCAGCAGAGGGTTCTCGCTGGCCGCCATTTCGACGGTTACCACGCCTTTCTTTTCGGGTTGGCCTTGATAGAGGCATAGCCAGAGAGGCCGGAAAGACTCTTCTTGGCCGTAGAGTTTGACGAGTTTGTTGGTGAGTGTATTGATTACCTTGATGCCGTACATGCTGCCGTAGAGAATGAAGTTGCTGGTCTCGTCAAAGATGACATTCATACGGGCATGTATCGAGGGTTGATCAAGCTCCCTTTCGATACCTATTTTTCGCCCGAACTCCATGTCTTCTAGATGCTGCACTGCGGTGCCGGCTTGCTGCATCGAGTTTATGGTCTCGATTGATTCATCATACGTGCGATAGAGCTTTCCTGTCGCAAAGTCGAAGATTCGGATCTTTCTGTCCGGGAAAGACAATGTCGCGAATTGCTTCCCCGTGGGCGATATTGTAATAGACGCTGGCACGCATTTTGACTTTTTGAACTCGAAAAGATTTGTCGAACTCTTCAGAGACCATACGTTGTCTGGCTTGTCGTAGTTTCCGCTCGGTCGCCAGTACTCGACCATGCCGCCTTGATCCACGCTAACAACACAGTCAAACTCGCTGTTGTACGCCATCAAGCTCACTGGTGCCCTGTGCACGCTCTTCAATGTCTGAAGCGGCTCCAAATTCTCTCCTCTACCATCGTATATCCGTATCCAGCCGTTCTCTTCTGAACTGATAGCCAATTGTGGGAAACTTGCGCCCCGTCCATGCAACCAGCAAACTGCCTTGGGACTGTACTCGAGGCTCAGCATAGCCAGCAGATCAAATGTGACAACATCGAATATTTTGACTGTGTTATCCGATCCCGCGGTTGCGAAACTGCGTCCATCGGCGCTCACGCTCACTGATCGTATCTCGCCATTGTGCGCCCGGAATTCTTTGACAAACTCTATGCCACCAAAGTCTTTCTTCCAGAACTTGACCACGCCATCAATCGAGCTGGTTATTAGAAAGTCGGTGTGCGGTGTGAGGGTGGTGAAGCACAATTGCTCTCGGTGCATGAGCGATTTGACGTATCGTGTAGCGCTTGGTAGTGCCGCAACGTAGAGCTTCTCGTATGGGAGTCTGCGCTTCTTCTTTTTGGGCGCAGACGAGGGGAGCGCAGGGCCGAAGTCATCGTCATCGGAAGATGTGTCGTCTATGGTACACAGTGTTAGAGAGTTTGCGCGAGGGAGCTTGTACGGAGCATTACCATGATGAGCTTGTGCTGAAGAGTCTTTCGCTGCTACGCGGTCGTCTGCTTCCATTTCTGCGCGAGAACGTTTTGCCTTCGTAGGCGATTCTGATCCATTAGAAGCCATAGCCGAAATAGAGACGTAGTGTTGTGTTAGTGTGTCGTTACTTCGATACGGCAAAGAAAGTCGAACTTCTTTAGGCGTCCGGCGAACGAAGCGCGCGGTCACGTGCCCTTCTGGAGTCTTCGTCGGGAATGCGTTCACAAGACATCCACTTGATAGCGAACGAGTAGATTCAACGTCTCGACACTTTGCTTTTTACTTTGTAGCCACTTTCGTGCTCAAGGTAAAATAAAAGTTGAAATAGATGCCGGACATGGTATTGGTATCTAAATGCCAGACTCCTAACTGATGCTAATGCACTCCATTTAACCCTCTTCCTCTGCGTCCGACTCATCAGCCGTCCCGTTCGTGAGAACTTTCCGGGGTACCTCGAAGACGTAGATTCCGTTCTTTACTTTTCCTGACATCCACCTTGCTAGCCTAGGTTCTCTGCCCACAGCCGCAACTATACAAAGTCCATCCTTGCCTCTGTCTCCCCGCTCCTGGACTGACAGACCATTCACTATGCCTCGAATGAGTACTGCATCCTCCGTGCCATCTCCGTTTAAAGTTCCTTCATCCGCCACAGGCACTCGCCCAACCTTGCCTACTGACTCAATGGTACGCTTCTCAGGCCCAATTTTCCATGCTCGTATCCAGCCATCCCAGCTCGCTGTCAGAATGAGGTCGGCGAAAGGTACGGTGGTGAGCGCGGTGACATATCGGGGTAACCTTGGTCCTGGCTTTACTGATGTTGCCGCGTCGTGATTTGCAGACATCTGTTCGGGCGTAAGGCGCGGATCGCGACCATGGGTAAGGGGGTATGTGAATAGCGGCTTCTTCCTGTTGACAGACCATAGTGATAATGCGCCATTGTCCGATGCTGTCACAAACAAGCTTGCATCGAGAAGCGCCACGCAGTCGATCGAGCCTTCTGCATATGCGATTGGTGGATCGTCGTCGCCGTCGACACCGTTCACCTGGTCGTCCTTGGCTTTATCTGCGTCTTCAACATTTTTACCAAACCGACCCTTGCGTAGCTTATCCATGCCCTTCTGTCGCGCAGTGCCACCACCTTGGAAGACGAGCTGATTCTCCTCGACAACCCTCCACAATCGTGCCGTACGATCTCGCGCGCCCACACTGACACAAATCTCTTGATTAAGCTCCAGTCCACCCGCAACACCTACGACAACATCCTGATGTCCGACCAAAGTCTCAATATATGCTGATTCTGGTGCACTCCAGACAATGACAGCACGATCTGCACCCCCGGAGAAGAGCTGCTCGGTGCCCCTTCTGAAGGATAATGACATGACTGCGTCTCGGTGCCGAGTGAACAAATGGCGCGGGGTGAGGGTATCGGCGTCCCAGATGATCAACCGGGCGTGCTTGTCGCCCGTCGCCAGGTATTTCCCGGAGTCTGAAATGGCGATGGATATGATCTCGCCCGTATGGCCCAAGTAGGCCCTATCGCCCTTTTTGTTCTTGTTGCCTTTCCGCCAGAAGAGCCTCTTGGGTGTCCTGCGCGGCGTGACGTTAGAAGGCCGGTCGTTGTCTGCGGCGTATGCTTTTGGGTCCGCGATCTCCCACTTCTCCACGACAAGGTCTTTGCTGATGGTCCAGGCATGCGGTAACTTCACTGCACAGCCGGTGGTTGACTTTTGCAGGCCTGAATATCCACAAACGTGTGATGCCGCTTCAAAGTCCAGCTCGGCTGCGATTGATCTGTAAATCTTGCCCTTTGTCTCTGCCACGTCTTCCTTGAGCCTTTCGGCTATGAGGTCCTTGTCGATTTGCTCTGCATCGAAGCCCACCTCATCTTCGACCTCGTTGCGGATGTTCTCGAGGTAGCGCTCTGCGAGTCTGAGTCGCTTTTCCGCTGCCGTCTCGGCCTCGTCTTCTGAAGTATCTGAGTCGTCGTTGGCCTCGTCGAATACATCGCCGCGATCGTCGTCTGAGATATCGCTCCCACTTATCGACTCTTCGCGTGGGCCATTCGTGTCCGTGTTCCGCCGTTTGGGGACATTTGAGCTGCCGTCTGTCCTTTTTCTTTTCCGCTGCGAGGCCGGGGTCGTGAAGAAGGAGGAGGACATTGCTGTACGTCGGGAAAGGTCAAAGGCAAAGCTGTCGCACTCGATGGCTCCTCAGAAAATTGATCGGCGAACTTTTTTTCTGGCGCCGACAGGCCCAGCACGCACCTGCGACCCGCGGAATTGCTTGGCGCCCGTGCACCTTCCTCAGAGCTCCATCATATCCACACCCCAGTGAAGGAGCAGCTTCCGTATATCTCACCCCCACCCCCATCTCTCTCTGTCTGTCGCCTCTCCCTCGCGTGGAAGTACGAGACGCCCGTCAAACCCTGATATCACCCGCCCTCTTGACGCACCGCCGCACAAACAAACCCTAGTGTTTACGCATAACCGCCGCAGCCTGAGCTCGCCTCTCGCACATCACACCCGACCACATACGACACGACGCACAGTCTATCACCATGAGCGGCAGCAGCGATCCCGAGCGCGAGCACGCCCTTGAGGGCTACAAGTCGAAGCTGCTCGAGTCAAGAGAATGGGAGGCAAAGCTGAAGTCGCTGCGGTTAGATATCAAGGGCCTGCAGCATGACTTTGACGTATCAGAGGACAATATCAAGGCGCTACAGAGTGTGGGTCAGATAATAGGAGAGGTCCTGAAGCAGCTGGACGAGGAGAGATGTACGTGACCTAATTTAAACTGCCCACATGTGCACAGGATCCACTGACAATCCGCAGTCATCGTCAAGGCATCGTCAGGTCCGCGATATGTAGTCGGTTGCAGATCCAAGGTCGACAAGGCGAAGCTGAAGCAAGGCACTCGCGTCGCACTAGATATGACGACCCTCACCATAATGCGCATGCTGCCCCGCGAAGTCGACCCGCTCGTCTACAACATGTCGTTGGAGGATCCTGGCCAAGTCAGCTTCGGCGGTATCGGCGGTCTGAACGAGCAGATTCGAGAGCTGCGAGAGGTCATCGAACTCCCCCTAAAAAACCCCGAGCTGTTCCTGCGAGTAGGCATCAAGCCCCCCAAGGGCGTACTGCTATACGGGCCACCAGGAACCGGAAAGACGCTGCTAGCGCGAGCCGTGGCGAGCAGTCTCGAGACAAACTTTCTCAAGGTCGTCTCTTCAGCTATCGTCGACAAGTACATCGGAGAGTCGGCGCGTCTCATTCGCGAGATGTTCGGGTACGCAAAGGAGCATGAGCCATGTATCATCTTCATGGACGAGATTGACGCTATCGGTGGACGAAGATTCTCTGAGGGTACATCGGCAGATCGAGAGATTCAGCGTACATTAATGGAGCTGCTGAACCAGCTAGACGGCTTCGACTACCTCGGACAGACCAAGATTATTATGGCTACAAATCGACCGGATACCCTCGATCCTGCCCTTCTCCGTGCTGGACGTCTTGACCGCAAGCTCGAAATTCCCCTGCCAAACGAGGTCGGCCGACTCGAGATTATGAAGATTCATTCTGCCAGCGTCGTGACCGATGGTGAGATCGACTTTGAGAGCATAGTCAAGATGAGCGATGGCTTCAACGGTGCTGATCTGCGAAATGTCGTCACCGAAGCGTACGTCAAATCTTACTTCCTACATAATCTATAAAGCTAACATAATGCAGCGGTCTGTTCGCCATCAAAGACTACCGAGACTCTATCAACCAAGACGACTTCAACAAGGCGGTGCGGAAAATGGCCGAGTCGAAGAAGCTGGAGGGCAAGCTTGAGTACCAGAAGTTGTAGATTCATCTTGTTTGAACTCTTTGAAGTCGGTCAGAGCCTAATGCTGGCTATGCATGACAGAGCGGAACGTGACCGTCATGTACGATAATATGACATATTGGTAGCAGAAAAGAAGATTTCCTGCATCCATCCTCACTTTTTGACAATGCCACATCTTCTCGCTTGTCTCATACTCCATACCCTACCTTCTCCACTACTCCGTCTCCCCCAATCTTCTTCTCCACATCCACCACCCTCCCCTCCACAACTGGCACCCTCAACTCCACTTCCCCAAAGTAATTCGCCTCTTCGCTTGTCCTCGTAAACCCCACCCGCTCAAACAACCTGATACTGCGGAAATTCTCCTTGTCAATCTTAACACGTAGATACTTTAGCCGGCTCCCACTCCCGTGCACCTGATCCCCAATACCCCCGCCGCTGGAGGAAGAAGCAGAAGCATCGTACTCGGCCAGAATAGCAGACAGAGAGGTGGTAATGTACCAGATAAATGCGCGGAGTGTTTCGCATGCGAGACCTTTGCCCCGCGCATCGGCCCGCGCGATCATGATTTCGAGTTCGCCGATGAGGGGTTTGGGATGCTGATGCAGCTGTTTCTTCTGCTGCTGGTCCTGTTTTGACGCGTCTTCTTCGTCGGAGTCCGAGTCGGCGTCTGAGTAGAGGAAGAGATTGACGTCGCCGATCATGTGTTGTGGCGCGTCGTGGTGGCCAGGTGTAAGCGTAGTCGTACTTTTTCTCCTTTGCTCGGTGTTGTCTGCTCTCTGCGCTGCTGTATCCGGATGTGTGTTTGTAGAGCCATCTGACGGCGCCGTACACACGATAAACGTCAATTTATCAGCGTCCTCGCGCCACGAACGCTGCATTTCATATTCTTCCGCCAGACTAAGCGGTTCAGATGCAGTGAGCTTTTGTAGGTCCTGATATGTTTATCAACATCCATATTCTTTAGTATAGAGGAACATTCAAGCGTTCGTGTACATACCTCATCTTGCATCCATTCGTGGTACGCGGGCACGTGATGCGAGGAGTAGGGGACTAGGAGGACGCGGGGGGTGATGATTGCTAGGCGATTTTTAGTGATTGGTGTTGAGGAGGAGCGTGGGGAGTGATTACCATCATTTTCGTTAAGTTTCATTGTGGCGTTGATGGGAGGGATTTTGTTGGAGTTGAAAGGATGATTTCTTATTCAAAAACGTTGGAAAAAATCTTTGAACCATCTAGATGTATGATGGCAGCATTGTCATGTGAACTCGGGCTTCAAGATAGTTATCAAAATCGCAGCCTTAATCACCCCACAGCAGTTTCGCACAAAAGGTAACTGGGAGTATGCGTATTGAGAGTAGGTCATGGTTGTTCTGATGTAGAACTCGGAAAGGAAGTCTCGGCTCGATTAGGCAAGTGTCAACCTCGACTTTCCCCCTCATACTCTACCCCCTCTCACCCTCCACTTTCTATGTCTGATATGCGGAAATATTATTTCGGCACTTGGGCACGATTTCTCTGTGAAAACCTCCAAATTGCAGCAACAACCCATTTCACGAGACCGGACAAAAATGCGCGGAGAAGCAGATAAGCCGCCATCCATCGTCCTGTGATCGAATAATCATCTACCTCACCACATACTACTCTCTCAATATTTCATCAATGGAGCAAATCCGTGTCCTGATCACCGGGGGCTGCGGTTTCTTAGGAACAGCCGTCGTCTCAGCGCTGCTCGAGACGAAAAGATTCGAAGTCACAGTTATCGACATCAACCCGCCCTCGCTGGGCAGCACAACCTTCGCCAATGATGTCCGCTATGTTCGGGCGAACGTCCTGGATGCAGAAGCTTTGCAGAAAGTGTTCAGCGAAGCTCGGCCTGCTGTTGTGATTCACACTGTTGGTGTGTATCCCCTTGGTATGCGGCGCTACTCTATGAAGGGTAAAGAGCCCGTGTTCAGGGTCAATGTTGAGGGCACGAGGAATGTCTTGCAAGCAGCCAAAGAGTGCGGCGCAAAGGGGTTTGTGTATACGAGCAGTATTACCGTGGTGCTTGATGAGTTGGACAAGGACTTTAGGAGTGTGGATGAGGAATGGCCGACGGGAAGGGCACATACGAGCTACGGATTGAGCAAGGTACTTATTCCCTCTAAACCATCTAATTCCCAACCATATTCTCCTCAAATCCTTCTGAATACCCTCACACGTCATTCTCTATGATCTCATTTCTATATATCCCTTCAATCCTGGCACAAATCTCACACATATCCAGGCCATCGCAGAAGAGCTCGTCCTCTCAGCAAACACCCACGACTTCGCAACCTGCGCCCTCCGCTCAGCACCCATATTCGGTCCCAACGACGCAGCATGCATCCCAACCATACACTCTTGCATAGCAGCAGGCCAAACCCCTTTCATCCTGGGCACAGGCACCAATCTCCAGGACTTCGTCTACGTCGACAACGTCGCCGACGCGCACGTGCTCGCAGTGGCCAATCTGATCAATTCTCAAACTGCTGCGGGAGAGGCCATGTTCATCACCAACGGGGAGCCCGTCACGGCGAGAGATTTGTGCATAGCGGTTTGGAAGGAATTCGGGCACGTTCCAAAGTTTCAGATGAGGATTCCAGAGACGCTGGCGTGGTGGATGGGGTACGCTGCGGAGTGGACGAGCTGGCTGAGCGGGACGGAGGGTGTACTACTGAGTAGAGGAATGGTAAGTGACGGGTGTCGAGAGCGGTACGTTAGTATCTCCAAGGCAAGACAGATATTGGGGTATAAGCCGAGAGTGAGCCTGGAAGAGGGACTCAAGATAAGCTGTCAGGTAAGTTCTTCTAAAGCTAGCTTGCGAGGAACTTCACCGAGAGAGTTGCTTGACTAACGCTGTCAAGCATTACCAGAAAAAGATCAGTCAGCGGAGCAAGAGGTAACATGGACACCCAAGGGTAGAGCGAAATCATGATAATGATGCCCCCTTGACAAAGAGCAGTAATCCCGAAGGCTAGTATATAAGATAATCGAATGATACAAACATCTCTCTCCTTTTCTAGTTCACCGTCCGTATCACTATCAAAAACATATCTCTCAACTCTTTTCCTCAACTAGACGGATAATGATTTGAAATGGGGACTCTGAACGCTAGTCCACCTGAAAAATCGCCTCAGTCTCCAACGTAGGGTTCTTGACTGCTGAAAGATGCCAAAGGGCGAAGTAAAATTTTGACGTCTCGGCATTTGCAAATGTGTAGAGAAGTAAAGATCATCGCTATCATACGTCTCCATTCGCTAGATGCTGGATATAATTCACACTTCTCCCTCCAGCTACCTAACCTACAACCTCCTCATTCTCCTCGATAATCTCCTCGACAATCTCCTCAATCTCCTCCTGGTGCCCATCCTCGGCCTGTCCCGGTGTCTCTCCATGCTCTGCCTTCAGCTCCAAATCCGCACCTTCATCACGCAGCCTCTGTAGAACCTCCTCGCGCCAAATGTGCCACTCCTCGAGCATCTCGCGACGCGCCTCAACAACAGCCTTATCGGCAGAGCTCCTCTTGGCGACATCCTGCTCGTCGAAGACCTTGGAGTAGTTGCGCAGGTTCTTGCGGATCTCGGCCTGCTCTTCCTTGGAGAGGAGAGTGGCCGGGCGAGGTCGCCAGAGAAGTTGCTTGAAGCCCTCGATGGCATCTTCGCGAAGGAGAGTTCCCTTGAAATCGTAGAGATGGTAACCGTTCTCCATCTGTTGGGATGTTAGTAGGTGTTACATGTAACATAGTCTGCAAGGCACTTACGCGGTGGCGGAAAGCACTCGCAACGGTCGCGACATAGCGACCGGTAGGGTCCCACTCGATGTCAGTGACTCCATAGTGCTCAGCGGTGTCCATAAGCTGCAGATTGGCGTTGAGCTCTTTCTCGCCCTTCTCAGACTCCTCCTTTGGCTTATCGAAGCTGAGATCCCAGAACTCGAGTTCGAAGGACTGTTGCGACTGCAGGGCAGCAATGACAACGAAACGGCCCTTGGGCGACCAGTAGATGGCGTTGCTGTTCTTCTTGTCGACAGTGCGGATGTGACGGAAGTTACCTGGTGCACCACCCTTGAGCTTCTCGGGGGCGAAGAAAGAAACAGCTGTCTTGGGACCAACTGCGGCGTTGGCAATGACTTCGCCAGTTGTGATAAGCACGAAGCGGTTACCCTTGGGTTCCCAGGCGAAATTGATGACGGTATCCTTGATTGAATCGACGACCTCAACAGGCACGCCCTTTTCGCGGACACGGAAGATCTCGAGGTTTGTGGCGAGAGACTTCTTGGACTTGGAGTGACGGTCGACCTTAACGCAGACATAGGCGGCCTCTGATTGCCAGTGTAGCTTCGCATCGGAGACGTTGAAAAGGTTTCGGGTACGGACGATCTCTTTGGATGGAATGGACATAAGGCCCACCTTTGCGGGATTGCTGCCCAGCTCAGGTGTCCAGTAGCACAACAGCTGCTCGTATGCCTTGATACCGTCTCTCCGAGGTGTGGCGGGGGCCCATTCGAAGTCCATGACACCCTCGATTTTGATAGAAGACTTCTCGAGAAGGTTCATTCTGGGTAGCTCGTAGATGGAGATGGACTGGCCCTGGGTCATGCGGGCAACGTACTTGTCGTCGGACGACCACTTGAATGTCGGCCACTGGAGCTTCTTCTTGATAGGCTGGCCCGTTTCGGCGTCCACACCGCCGGGAACGTCAATGGTAGCGAAGGAGCGCAGAGGCTTGCCGGTCGCGACGTCCCAGATGATGTAGTTCTTGCCATCGTCTTCCAGAGAGAGGGAGGGGACCGGGTGGTTCTCGTCGACTTGTAGTGGGCGATGCGACCAGGTAGTGAGATACTGTTCACTCGGCGAGAAATCGACCAGGTTGACGCCTGGATGTGCGAATCGCTTCTGCCTGCTCCATGCCTTGCCGCCCCATAGCTGTACACCCTGGGCGTGCATCGAGGTGAGATAGGTTCCTTGAGGCGACCATTGTATGAAGGACTCGGTCCAGTTCTCACGGTCCACAACGGGCTCCGGCTGGTCTTCCTTCTCGTTCCAGAAGACGCCGACCTTCTCGCCACGGTACATGGCCATCTGGTCACGACTGTCCGGGTCTCCGAGCCACCATCGCAAGTGCTCCTTCTGCTCAAAGGGCGCGATCTCCGGCGCGTGGTATTCCTCGTCGATGCGGCCTTCCTTGCCATAGCGGTCGATGTCGGTGAGCTTGTTTACGGCCATGATGTGCTTCTTGTCAAGGGGTGATCCATTGAGCTGCTTGACGGCTGCGACTGCCTCGGCGGGCGCGCTGTATTCGACAAAGGCATAGCTATGTCGCTGTTAGTTGTGCAGCTCTCCCACTTTCCATGCACAGCCAGGTCACGTACCCCTCCGTCTTGCCGCTCTCTCCAACGGGCATATGCACACCATCATCCTTGACTCTCCCCACACTATTCAGCTTCCTCAGCACAAACTTGACCAGCTTGCCCTTGCTGTCCTCGGGCACAACAGGCAGGCCGTCAATGACGACAAACGCGTCGAGCCCCTCGTCCAGGCGCACCTGGAACTGTTCTTCGATGTCGGCAAAGTCAATTTGAGACTCGTCAAACTCGTCGTCGCTGCCTTCGGGCAGGTTATCGTATGAAGGCGCCATGATTGTGTGGTGGGTGATGTGCTGCGCGACGGCGGGGCTTTTTTGCGAAACTTTGGCGGTAATTTTGAACCAAAGTGCTGCCGGTCCCGCGCTAGTGGGGGAGACACGTGACGTGACCTTTCCTCGCAACCACAACAACCAACAGTGATGTGACTCAGCATAGGCGCTCCAAAATCGGATCGCTCTGTAGCAAGCTATGACTCGGGTCTGATCAAGGTAAGTGCCACTATAAACGGTACTATGAGACACATGATTAACTGATCGCATGGCAACTGCCTTGACTCTGCCATTACTCATTACAACTATTGTCATCGTCGAAAGTGACTCAGAGGCGACAGGAATGAAACTCTCCTAGTCATGAGTCCTGTGACGCAAAAACCTTTGAAACAGCCCGTCGCTGCAAACAAACGCGCCAAGTCATGCCATTGTCTCGTCCGCCGGAAAAGTCGTACAGCGAAGGGAAAGCCTCGTATCCAAGGCAGTCATAAACAACACCTGGCCTTCACAACCCAATCCAATCAAAGTAGATGCGTAGTTCTCTTTCGTCTCTCGTCTCTCGTCTCCCATACAACGCCCATGTACCCATCATCTGTATCAACCCGTTGACGCCCAACGCACGATGCCGCACGCTGCCCAGGGAAGGTATAAACTAGAAGCAAAAAAGAATCGTAAGCGTCGGCTAAGTCTATGAGCCGCGCTTACCATCTGATATATCAAAGTTGGGTGACTTCACCAACCTTCCACCTGCTGAGACGCGCTTCTGCAGTCGTGCATCTCTTTCTCTCGCTCGCTCGGCCGGAGTACTACCATTGCCAGCCATGATGTAAGGGAGTGCCGGCAGTGTGTCGCCGCTGGGATTCGGTTGACTGCCTACCAGGGGGGCCACCCGCTTACCTGCCCGCTGGTCTGTTTTGAAATCGAGATACGAGCGTGCTGAATGGCTGAGTGGGATGGGTGCCGGTAGCGGAGGTAGGTCTGCGCCATTCTGCAGGAGCAACTCGGCAACAGAGAAGGGTTTCCGTATAGGTTGCGCCGTGCTTGGTCGAGACCCAGGACCTGGCGATCCGGCTGGGGATACGGACGCAGAAGGAGATGCCGGGTCAGCTGCGGCGAGTGCAAGGAATACTACGTGAGTGTCTCTGGAGCGGTCACGAGCGTTGGGATTGGCACGCAAAGCCAACGCATAGAGAACATTCCCAATGTCGTTCTTCTTCACCGAAGCCAGTAGCGTCTCTTCAGGAGTCGCATAGTGCGACATCGCAGGGGATATGGGAGCTACATATGCTCGGTCGCTGTACTTTGAGGTGATAAAATGCAGTCTCTGCTCGCGAGTTGACATTGGTCCAGGCTTGAGACTCGGATCCAGTCTAGCTTCCCAAATCATATTACTGATGCGGTTGCCGATCTTGAGTAGTATTTCGACAATGTCCGGCGTGAACGATGTGACGTCCAAAGTTAAGGAGCGGACTTTTGTGATATGGGTACCGAGCGATCGATGAATGCCACTACACTCGATGCAGATGACGATACCAAGATTGATAGACACCCAATCAACTTTGATCTCAGAACCGCAATCTGCGCACACCTTGTTGCTAGGCTCCGCATCTCGCACTTGCCGGAGCAGTTTGCCTTCGTCTCCGAGAGACTCTTCTCTCCGATAGCCTCCAGGCCTGTCGCCAACCGTGGCATGTCGAGCCGGTGGTTTGGACGTGTAGTTGTTGCGGTGGCTGGAAAGCGAAGGACTCTTGCCAGTAAGGACTGACGCAATATCCCGGGTTTTGGATCCTGGCAGCGATTCGGTCGATGGCCTATCGTGTTTGCCCGTAGACTCTACAGCGGTTTGAAGAGCATTGTTGACGGCGTGTATCCATGACTTCATATCATCTTCATTCGTCGCTTGATACACGCGTGTGTACTGAGGTGTAATAACCTCGAAGCAAAATCGACGATCTGCACCGCGTGCTTCCCTGACAGAGGCCATACGAAGATCAATAGGCTCCATGTGAAGCTCGAGACTCTGCTTCCAGTTTGTGTATTCTGAAAGCTTGCCTTGATCTAGCACAATCCAGAATCTTCCTCAAGTCAGCGATTACTTTCGTTGCGATGTGCATATTCAACGTACTTGTGCCAGGCCTGCTTATTCAGACCTTTTGGATCCACATGACTGCCTGGTCTGCTCAACGCCCAAAGAAGGCCTTCTTTGCGATGTGTCCCCGAACCAGCCTCTGCCATCGCGGCGAGGTCCTTCTCTTCCAAGTCTCTAAACCCTTTGAACTTGTCTGGCTGTAGACTTAGGGTTGCTAGATTGGTTTTGCTCATCTCTGGGCTTTGCGGAGAGGTTACAGTGGGAATGCTGGATGATGACTGTGGCGGACTGATGGTGGTTTGGAACACGGGGGCGATACTCGATTTCCGCCCAGGGAGTTCCGCCTCTGGCTTAGAGCCCACTTTGGGAGTACTTCCATTTGCGGCTGATGCAGCTGTGATCGCCGACGGTGGTTCGTCAAAGGTCTTGTTCGTTTTTTCTAATGCCCTTCTTTTCTCTTCGCGTTCAGTCCTCTGAATTTGAAACTCTTTATCTGCCTCCTTGACCTCTGTGCTTAGTGCCTCCAACTGCGGGAGCATGGTTTCTACCTTCTTGGCCGTTTCCAGGTAGTATTTCGCTTGCGCATCTGCGTATCGCGTTAGGTGGGAGAGCACCTCCTGATCCTTCCTTCCACCATGCAGATCTTGCATGAAGGAGGAATAATCGAACCGTTTCAGTTCGAAGTTCCGTCTTTTTGTTTGATATTTGGAGTCGGTCTCGACTCTCTTCTTTTCCTTTAGGGAGTCTTGCCGTTGCCCAAGATAGCGACCGAGGTACTGGTAGTAATCTTTACTCTCTTCCTCGAAAGCTTTCCGCTTGGTCTCGGCCTGCTTGATGTCGACGTTGTATAGCTTGTATATTGGATCAATAATGAGCTTCTGGATATTGGTTGTGTTTGATCGCTCGTAGGCGAGGATCTCTTTGGCAATCTTATCGAAATAGTGATCGATAGCTGGCTGCACCGCGTTGGCATTTGATGATGAGGCCTCTTTCAGCGCGTCCATCAAGTCGGCCATGGCATTGTTGCACAGCACTTGTGCTTCCATGGCGGATTCGGCTCGCTTTAAAACCTTCTTCCACCTTGTGCGCATGTTCCCCGTCTTCTGCTCCAACGACTTCATTGTGGCTCGAAAGAGGGGACCATCATCAGTTTGGCTCAGATCCTCGCCCGGCCGCGAAAGATCAAGCTTCACGGGCAAACTCCCGCTTGTGAGACTCGTGGACTGAGTCGGTATTAGGCCCAGGGCATTCTCAGGTATGGGCTCAAAGATGGGTGACTTTGGAGGGATATCCCACTCTCTGTATTCGTCCGTCGTATCACTAACTCGCGATTCTATCGACTGGGCAGAAGGGACGCGCAACCGGGGAGGAACGTGTAGCTCTAATCGCGGTGATGGAGAGCTAGGGCTCTGAAGACCGCGCGCAGTGTCTGCTAGAGTTAGCCGTGTTTCGTTTCGGTAGAGAGGCTTGGGCGTACTCTGGACCCAGAAACTGAAGCCTGCCAATGTCTCGAGCTTGTGCGCTCGCTGGTCGTATTCAACAAACTTGGCTGTGTCAGCGATTGAAAGGATATGAAGATGACAGACTACAAACACTGCAGCTGGTGCGCCAACCTCCTCCGCGACTCTCGTTGGTCTTGGGCGGGGTCCACTTCCAAGACCACTGAAATTGCACAGAAGAGCTCCCGCCCGTCGAGTAGTCACCGACAAGTTCGACTTGCGGGTTCTTGTGCAGGTTTGGGTTGGCGTGAAACTCGCGCGTCACCAGATTATCCAATTCCCTGGAGCTCGACGCGAAGACGAAGGTGAGGCCATTGATGAAGGTATCGACCAAGCCCGAGGGAGCAATATTCGAATTGCTGTTGACATTGTATATACTGGGGACGGCTAGATGTTGCCGAAGTATGAATGTGAAGTTGAAGGTAAGCTCCTCGTCGTTGGGAAGGCGTATGAGGAATGATGGCGATCCATCGCTGGGTGTAGATGGTTCGGGATCCTACCAATAACATTTAGCATTGCCTGTCGGGTGTAGGCTTCTCTGAGACGGTACCTGAACGTAGTCAATCACACTATCGTCCCCAAATTCTCTCTTTGGGCTGTATCTTGTCGCGGGGAAAGCATTGGGTGTGATGTTGAGGAGCGTGCGATTGCGGGCGTTTGTGATGTTGAGAGAAGCGACCGAGACTTTGCCCAGTTAGCAGGGGATTCACAAGCTGATTGCTGATTGAGACGTGGGGGAGACTACATACATCGAGTCTGGTCGCGCAGATACAAGGCGCCTGCCTCGCCTGCCTTGCTGTTGACAGCTCCCATGCCCAAGGATAGCTGTTCGAGCTTGGTGGAGGTGTGGGATGCGGGACTCTCTCGTCAGGTCGCCCAGGTGGCGCTGATAGTTGTGGTGGAGTGCGGAAGCATGCCTGGCCCCGAGATAGGGAGACAGCTCTCAAAGGTCTGACGCGAGCCTCTGCTAGTCTGCAGGGTGGTCGGCGGCTGCTTAATTAATATGGGGTGCCGGGGCGCGGTTCGGTTTTGGAGGGGAGGTAGGTAGCGAAACAGCGCTATGTTTAGAGGTGCGCGGGGTCGAGTCCGGCTATGTTTCTGTATATCCCTAAAATGTTGGACGGGCTAACACTGAGGGAGGACACGGGGAGAGAGACGGGGAGTGTTGCAGAGTAATCAATGTCAGTCTGGATGGGCGCGGTGTGGGAGGGTCCACGGATCGAAGAACCAGTCCTCGGTCGCGCGATGCAGATGAGAAGTCAACTTGGGTGGGCTGTGTCGATCACACACACACACACACACGCACACGCACAAGGTAGGCGGGACCGCAGTGAATGAAATGCTTCTTCCCGCACGCTACAGACGGTGGAAACGGCGTCAGGCAGGAAGACACATAGTGAAACACGAGACAAAGCCGTTGGTGGTGACCTCTACAGGGCGCTCGCTCGCTGCCTACGGAGACCGCAGCAGCCACACACACACACAGCTTGTCTTCTGCACTTCGTCACCCACCCTCGTCACCCCCGTCGTCTTGAACAGGCAGAAGTATTGCTTGCATGCATGACCAACGGTGTCTATTTCCATCGCAGGAGCACACATGCGTGCAAGCAGGCAAGCTTGAAGCTTCCCCACCATGTGCGAGGCGAGAGGTGTGCCTGACTCGGTACCTTACCGCTGCATCTTGGAAACAGCCCTGAAGCCAGGCACACACTGCGAACGAATGTCGCGCTGGAGCTATGGCGTGGTGGGCATGGGCTGTCGCTTGAGTCTTTGCATTCATCTCATCGTGGACCCAACGATAGCACCGGGATTTCTTCCCGTTGTGTGCTCCTTGCTCATCTCTAGAGGTTAACTTAACTCAGTCAGCGCAATGACATGCATCGCCCGCTACCCAAAAAGCATCGATCCTCGATCCAACCGTCCCTGCATGTCTGTCCAATCAGAACCCCCGCCTTTTCGCCGCCAATTTGTACCATCAACGTCCTCGTCTCCATCGCAACTTACGCTGTATATACCACCGTTGACATCCAGGCTTCAATGAGCATATGAGCCATGGCATTCCGCTCGCCCACTCTCCGTCATGTCCTCCGCCAGCCCCTCTCCAACCCACGCTTTTGCCAACGACGCTGGGCACAGGTCCAAGACGTCCGCTTCCTCGCAACCCACGACGCACAAGAGCGCATCTTGGCCAAGTACAGGGAAAAGCTAGAGTCCAAAGCAAAGCAAGAGGGCGTCAAGGACATCTCGGAGCTGAAAGAACGGCACAAGGACAAGATCAATGAGCTGCGACAACAAGCCATTGTACCCGGGGCCACTGGGCCGCTGACACCGCCGCCGTCACCACAGGGTGCATCGCCATCATCGCCGAGTTCAAAAGCACAATCGCCCTGGCCCTCACCACCTCCCCCGCCATCTCCCCAATCACGCAATGCGCCTCCCCCCGGCGTCAAAACACTAAACTCCTTCCTCGACCTGCCCAAGATCCGCGAACTCCCCGAGAAGGAGATCCAAGCACTGTGGCGGCTACGGCACGCATCCAATCCGCAGTCGATACACTTCTCCGTTCCCGCGACGACATTCCGCTCGTTGCTCGAAACCGCGAAACGCCACCCCTCATTCGTTCTCCCCGTGCCACGCGAAATTCCAAAGGAGAGCGCGGACGGTGTACCGGCCGAGGGGGAAACACAACAGGCTGCCGAACTGCATTACCTGCAGTTTGCACACCCGCATGTCGACACGACAACACTGCTCTTCACATCGCTTGCCGAGTTTAAGCTAAGAGGCGAATTCGCAAGCCCACACACCACCATCACTTTCCACCAGGAACTAGCAGATTCTCACAACCTCGTCCTGGGACAGGGCATTGTCACAGAGGGGAACAATGTCAGCGTCGACGACGCAAGGTGGCTGGTTATGTGTATGCAAAAGTTCTACGTTCAGAGCGAGGAGGGCAAAGGGAGAGAGGCGCTGTTGCACCAGTTTACGCGAGGGGATAGCGGATTCAAGGTGGAAAGACTGATCGACGAGGCTGAGAAGATCTTGTAATAAATAAATAGAAGAGTTGTATTATGAACTGTCAGATAGCTCAGGCTAGATACCGCTACTACGTATGTTTGTATATCCTCCATTAGACATATCATGACGTCCTGAATATAGATAGCTTGTCCCATCAGCTACTCGTACCACCATACGTAGTCCCCGAAAGAATGCTTAGACTACGACCTCGAAGTAGTCGGTGACCTTGGTCTGCTGGAAGAACCAGACCGATGGAGCCGTGACCTCCCCGTAGTAGCGTCGAACTTGTCCCGGGAGGAGCATGCCAGAATCAAACGCCTTACGATTCTCCTCATAGTCATCCTCAATCGGAGGTCCACCGCCGTAGGGACCCACATTTGCCTCCTCGTTCCCCTCTTCAGGTTCTTCATCGTCATCTTTAGGAGGGAGGACCCCAAGCTCGAACAGCTCGTGTTGCATGTCCATCATGCGCTCCATGTCCGACTCTACGCCGGCTGGGCCCACAAGGACGTCGATGGGCTTGTAAGGCGGGCTAAATACTGGCCAGCCGCAGTGCAGACAATAGGTCGCTGGGTGATTGGGGCAGGGCGGCGGGCAGGTGCATGAGCGGCTGAAGACGATGGAGCGGTCAGCCGGGACGCCATCCTTGTAGAAGGTCTGATGGAGAAACTGGGCAAAGCCGGGGAACAAGCATGCGTTATCGTGGAGGCGGATCTTTACGTGCTTGACGGCTTTAGCTTCGACGAGCTGGACTAGGGACTTCGCAACTGGATGGTCGCAGAAGATGATGTCCCACGGGCAGAGCTTCTCATAGAGGCAGTCGGAGGAGATTAGCACGACGAGATACTGGAGGTGTACGGCGAGGCGAGTAATTGCTTTTATGAAGTGAGCAACCCGTCTCGCCGCCTCCTTGGTAGGGGTATCGGCGCGAAGGTAGATGCCCAGGTCGGTGAGATAGGGCATGTAGCGTGTGTGGATGGGAAAGCGCCAGAACATGCCAGGCTCTCCTCCCTTGCCAGTGCAGAAGACGAACCTGTTCTTCGAATACATGATGGGCATGGCTTCCTCATAGTATCTGCGGCATGTAGCAAGGATCTGCCATGGGATGGGGATTGCCCCCTCGAATTCCCTCTCGTCCAGCGGGCCAAACTCATGGGCTCCACGGAACACAATCTTAGGCCACACAACAAGGAGTTCCTCGAAGATCATGAGGCGAATTTCGGTAGGAAACTCGCTGAGCAGGTCGTGCTTTTCGAGTGATAGTGATGCAAGTTGACGGACGGCAATGTCCAATACCGGATTGCATTGGCCGGGAGCGAAAGCTTCATTGACTCGCGCAATTTTGGAGAGTACGTTAGGCATGGTAATGATAGTGAATGCCCCGAAGAGTTCAGATGTCTTTCATAGCCAAGTCAGTAGTCAGAACCGCATTCAGCAGCCAGTAGGCAAGAACTTACTTGACTTTGAAGCCCTCAGGGTCAGCGCGCAGATTCGACTCAGAAGTTCGAACAGAACGCCTCGACGCCGCAACTCCGAAAATGCAGACAGCACGATAAAGCAGTGGTCACAATGCTGGCGGAATCCCGTTATCGGCCGCGACCATTGACTGCCTATTATTGTAACATTAGCAACCAGTGCTATCTCCGTGGTGTACTCCGGTGACTCAATGGTCTTCTGCAGCCTTGGAAGACGCAGGCCACATGGACGAACGTGCTGGTTCTGTACAACAGAGCATCTCCATTCCCGGGCCCAGTGAGTCTTACTCCAACAGACCCGCGGAGCAGTCAACACGATGAGGAGAATAAACATACCTGAAAGACCCTCCGAACTCCCGTAATGCAAAGACGCACGAAGAAGACAAAGGAAAGAGTCGACAGAGGAAACGGATGCGAGGAGAGAGAAGAGAAGCCCTGGAGGGCGAGGGTAGAAGTAGATTGAATGACGTTGACCGCTCCGACCACCATTACGGCAAGTGCCCCCGTGCACGCGGTCACTGAGAGCAGGCGGCAACTGCAATTTACCTCACCTCCCAATGCAACGCCAAACATCTCCAAGTGACCACTGGATCGCTTTGAGCAATCATGTCCGCCGATCACGTACGATATGTTTACAACTACTCCGCCCTTCACCTCTTACACGCGTTCCTCAATCTCCGAACCCAGCACGCCCAGACTTTGACGCTTTTTGATCAGATAGGTGAGCTAAAGCTGGTGTAATATGAAGTCTTCTCCTCTCCTAATCCGTTGCAGCATCGCTTCATGAAATACTCGTATGACTCTTCGCGATTAACGGCTCGCGTTTAGGCTCGCAGATGCCCTGGGCTACAGACGAACTACGTTTCATCACTGCAGTGTAATGTCAGTGCTACTGCGAGCGATACCATGGCCGTCTAACTAGTCGGGTATAACTCACTCTATGTTCAAGTTTAGAGCAGTTGCATGATATGGGCTTACAGTCAATAAAGTCATTGATCAACTGTGACGGCTAGTAGTTGCAATGACACGCATTCATTGCGTCCGAATGTTTGACTATTCTCTAGGGATAAGTAACCTGTAGTCCCGGAAGGCTATTTGATATTTAGGACTAGAGGCAATGAAGGGTTAGGGCTGGCTTGATGTGAATCTGCGCCTTCATCGTAGCGGATTGCCGTACTGGTGATTTCTTCCATTGGAGCTTATAAATGAGCTGCTATCGAAATACCGGGATTTCGTTTGTGGCTCGGCGTTGCAAGTCCTTGTAGACGTGTTGGAGTGGGGAACGGCAATACAATTCCAATCCCGGGGTCGTGAATCTTGTCCAACAGAGTCGCGCCCGAGATCAGAACAAGATAACTGTTTGTGAACCAATTTCGTGTCTTTGCAAAGTAAACGGAGGAGGGGTTACACCACCTGCAGCCCTGGGTATCTAGGTAGGTACTTAACCGCGGTTGGCTAGGACTGATTTGGAACCAACCAGGGGTCCATCCAACGCGCGTCTTGGCTTCCATCATACATTCGACCACCACTGATTGATTCATCTCACTTCTTACTCCTACTTCCAACAACAGACAAATAACATATAATTATGTTGTCAGCCCGTGACCACCTTCTTGGTATACCAGAGCTCCTGGAAGCCATTCTTCTTCACCTTGGTCATGTTGCCCCGCCAAACGAGCTACTCCGTGCACAGCTCATCTCGCGGCGAGTCCACACAGCCATTGCATCTTCCCCACGAATCCAACAGCTACTATTCTTGCGTGCCGAACCAGCTGATAATCCGAAACCATGGAGAGCTAACCCTCTTCTCCGCGACCTCTTCCTCCCTTGGTTTGTCGGCCCACTACGTGAACGCTGGACGATGCCGGATTATGATTCTTTTCAAATGATGGATTGGACGTCAACCAACAGGGACGCATTTCTCCGGGCCGAAGCGAGTTGGAGGAAGATGCTTGTATTCCAACCGCCGCCAAAACAACTATCCGTCGTCCGGTTTTGCAATGGACAAGGCGGCGACTTTATAGACGAAGCCACAGTCTCTTTCGCTGACTCTGCATCCGGTGGAGTGACTATGGGTTTGATCTATGACCTTTCCGAGTCTTTCGTGCGCGAGAATCCGGTTAGTCAATTTGGAATCTCATTGAAGACCTCTGCGACAGGACCGCCACGAATCGCATTACATTTAATATATACTTCGCAGTGCTGTCCCTCATCTCCGAGTAGTCCGAGGTTCATGTCGCAGGGCGCAAAGTCTCAATGCGAGATTGATATGCTGGAGTGGCAGCTAGAAAAGGAAGTTGTCGAGGAAGGGAGCTTGGAATGGGGCACAAGGTCGAGTATTGATTGGGAGACGGACTTTTCGGTAGGGCGAGGAGTCCTCAATCTTTGGGAGTGGGAGGAGTGGAAGAGGAAGAGAGCACCCATTTCAGACCTGGTTTCGGATGTGCGGTAACGTGTCAGCACCGTGCTCTGGTCTCTTGGATACCAACTGCTCTACGCTTTTCAAGATATTATTCTCCCTGCTTGCTCAGGTAATGTAGGCCTGAATAGATATTATATTTTCGCACTTTTCTCTTCAAGGGTCAACTATTTGTTGTAAAGAGAAGTTATACAGATACTAGAAGTTACCTCGTGGCTAATATCTACTTGCAACCTAAAAGATCTCATCACTAAACACCTTCGAGGTCCTGTGTAATACTCCATTGCAGCATATGTAGGCAGTCAGTCCAACCATAGTTTCATTCAGCGACGGGCGTCTGTTGTACAAGAAAACTGCCTGAAGATAAACGCAAAAACTAGAGGACAAGACGAGTTTCGAACCGTCGAGCCCCATACGACATAAATCGCCAAAAAAGGAAGTTGGCTTGCTGAGTGGAGGTCTCAACGCCCGGGGATAATTCCGATGCTGCAAGTTGAATATTCAAAAATACTAAAATATATATACACATATAAATGTTTTGTGAGTATCATCATGATACAGTGTGTTGGCTCATGGGACCCAAGCAAATGGCTCCTCCTTCACTTTGCCTTCACTATACCTAATATTACTGTGGACGTCATGTATTATTGGCCACGCTAGCATGCTTTTCCCGAAGCAAACGGAGCGCATGAGCTTAGAGTAATGAATTGATGCACGCGAAGCTTGCCTGTTGCGCTGTTGTCGACTTTTCTATGTAGCCACTGAACTCGCAATCATACTTTCACCGCCAGATCGGCGCAATGAACGACGCGAAGGTCTCTACTGAGATCTCCCCAATGCATGGATTAGAGAAGACGCCACTACCGTGGCACGTAACGCACCTGGACAACGAGGTTCTGTCGGGCAATGTTCATAGCACGCGCGCTGCGAAGGCCGAGCTCGACAAGAAGAGAGTGTCGTGTTTCGTGTCTGGACAACGCATGCATAACTGACAACTGCTAGGCGTGGTCAGTATATGTTGGATGTCGGATTCGACGCATTCTTCCACTTTGTATGTCACGGCGCGGAATTCAGAGTGCCAGTCGCAATCGCATCTCAAACGAGTGTCTTTCTAAGATGTCTCTACGAAGAAAAGGCCAGTGAACTGACTTAAATGTCAAAGTGACCGTACTGACAACATGTAGCCGACACTGCGCGCCATACAGGTTGAAGTAGTGGACTCCATCATGCCCTACACCATGGACCGTATCGTCGAGTTCTGGCACCTGTTTGGTCTACACATCCGGAACGGGAAGAAATTATGTCACGCCAAAGATCCTCCTAGCGATCTAGCTCTCGCCGACGTAACTGAAACGAAGACATCGATGGACGCACTCATGGACATACTTGATGCGGGTTACAGGTTGGAAGATGCTGCCCTGATACGAGCAACACTCGCATGCATGCGGTTCCGTATAGTACATGGCGGCGTTGAGGCTATGGAATGCGTGGATGCCGTGCGACGTGCATATACAGTTGAAGTAGCCTTTAGGGACCAGGCCGGGGTGCAGAAGCGCATTCTGCTGACAGCTGCACTTTCTCAGCGATCAAGCCTGTGCTTCCCTGGTACTGTAAGGGATGCGTTTTCGAAGGTTCTCGAGTGCCAAGAGTTGAGGGACGATTGGGATGAAGCAAAGAGGTGGCAGGACAGGAAGTCATAGTCGGACCGCATGGTGTGAGATCGAAGAAGGAAATGTGATGCAACATTCCCAAGCTATCCGGGGGTCAGTCAAGATGCAAGCTTGTGCGTCACTCATGGACAATCGTCGCCAGCAACAGCTTCAAGCCTGGAAATATAACATAGCCCTACGCCCCTCCTTTCATTGAAAAATAGGAGCCTAGCTCTACATCCAATATCTCTTGCCTTGTCCCAAACTATGCCACAAGGTTGAGATCATGGGGAAGTTCTTCTGTGAGGTATGTAACGAGGGCTAAGCTTCGCTACTGATTGAATTAGCTATACCCGTCGAGCAAAAAGTAAAGTAGAACGATTTCGACGAGCTGATGCGAACAATATGGCTGAGTCTCGTGGAAGCCTGAAGGCATGAGGTTTGAACTGGTACCTGGTCCAAGCTCTTCCGATTTCAAGCCGAGGTCCATCATCATAGCTTCCCATCAACACGCGATACAACATCGCGACGCTTTCTAACGCTACTTGACGTCCTGCCTACACCTTGCGCCATATCTACCTCAATGGCCTCGCCAAAACCCTACACCTATCCTTTCGCCGCCTCGCCGGACATAATACGCTCCCACCAGAAAGACGCCTATTTCAGTGGCGTCCTTCTCGACCAGCTGTCCACGCTCCTCCGTAAATTATACGGCGCACGCATCGCACACACTTATGTATCAGAAACGCGTGTCCTCGGCGAACTGCTGTATCTTGGCCTCACAACACTCATCGGCAACCGTACGCTAGGGGAGGAGTATACGGATATTGTGCAGGTCGAGAGTGAGACTGGACGGTTCCCGGCACTAGGGAGAAGGGCAGGGTACATTTTGGGATGTATATTGGGACCCTATCTTTTGGGAAGATTACTACCCAAGCTGAGAAGGAGGGTGAAGGCAAAGTTGGAGGCCAACTTGAAGGCGTATGGGAGACAGATGGCAAGGGCACAACATCACGCCAACGAGAGTGGGAGCAACAAAGCTGTATCAAGACCACTGGGCATGCGGATACAAAACTACATCCTCCAGAACCTCGACACCATCACCTCGCCATCACCGGTATACGCGCTCTCACTCGCGACATTTTATTTCTCAGGGAGCTACTACCACCTCTCAAAACGCATATGGGGTCTTCGCTACATATTCACGCGCCACGTGCCCGACAGCGATAACCGCGCGGGCTACGAAGTTCTCGGTGTACTTCTCGTTCTCCAAATGGCCGTACAAGGCTACCTCCACCTACACAATACCGTGACAAGCTCGACGGCAGCTGTTGGCGGAGGCCACCCAACAAGCACATCAGCGCTCGTAGGCGGCGGCGCAGAAGTCTCCCTAGACCCAAATGCATATAGCGCCAACAACGCCCTCTTATTCGATGCGGCAGCAACACATCCTGCAACCCCTCCTTCAGACATACAGAAGTGGACGCACACACCAGCAGCGGACAAGCCGCGGTATGAGTTGGGGGATGAAGACACCATGGGGTGGATTGGCGGCGGGAACAGGAAATGTACTCTATGTTTGGAGGAGATGAAAGACCCTAGTGTGACGACGTGCGGGCATGTGTTTTGTTGGACGTGTATTAGTGATTGGGCGCGAGAGAAGCCGGAATGTCCGCTTTGTAGACAAAGCTGTCTGGTACAGCACGTACTTCCACTTCGAGGGTAGTACGACAGACAAACGAAATGCAAACGAGTATAGTCTAAACTGTCTATAATCTCCGTGGCACTATGTTGAGCAGTCGATGCGCCAAAATGACTTGCTGAACTCGAATCGGTCGTCCTATCACAGAATCAGCATGTTTGTTCCCTGTGCGACGGAAGCGCCGCAAGGGGTCAATTCAGCCTTGGAAAAAGTCCCTGAGCACCCAGTTCTGCGATATCAATCCCTTACGTTCGTAGATAGACTCCTCGTTATCGTATAGCAACAGGTGGCCGGTTAGCTCGTGGTGCCTAATGTAGACATTATTTGCTTCTTCTCCGCAATCTTCGGACGGTTACAGGACCCACTTTTAAGTGTCATGGCTGCCTGACTTCCCCCCTTCCTCCTTCCCTCCCTCCCGCTTAACCCGGAACCCGTCAAGCTCTCTTTAGACGGTGATTTATCTTTTGTACTTTGCTTCTCGTGTTTCCATCATCTCATTACGCACGTTTCGCTTTGCGCTCGCTGGCTGCATATTCCGCAAGATCGCCTTATCCGGAGATAGCGTGACGTAGACGCGACGCGACGCGTCTCCCTTGAATTCAACCCCATTGGAAGCCATCCGGCATCGCAACGATGGTGAAGAAACCAAAGCCAAATTTTTACGCCATCCATTTGCCCTGCTCTTACGCGGGTGTGTATGAGGATTGGTCAGAAGTGAAGCCGCGCATAGAGGGTCGGGGAAGGGCAGAGTACAAGGGATTTCAAACCCGTCACGAGGCTGTGTTCTTCTCTGAGACCGGATACCAGGGCCAGAAAGCCCTAAGATCATCTGGACGACCAGGTCCTTCTCGAACTCCAAGCCAAACTTTACCGCCAGCTCGGATGCAGGCGTCGACACCTTATCCGACTACCTCGATGAACAAGCCCAATGAACAGCCTAATTATAACACGGAGGAGACCAATGGCGAAAGATTTGCAGATGTTGAACATGAAAGTGCATTCCGCAAGTACTATGCCGTCGCTAACGGCAGGAAACCAGGCCTGTACGTGACTTGGGACGGGGAGGGCGGTGCAAAGGAACAGGTCACTCGCTTCAGCAATGCCAAATTCAAGGGCTTCGAAAATCGCGAAGCCGCTATCCACTATATGTGCAAGAATGGCTTCCTGCAGGATGAGATAAAGTCCTTTGGCATGGCATTCAAGGCCCTGGTGAACTTCACGCCTCGACCGACTGCACCGTTCGAGGATGAGTTCCGACGCTATGCAGCATCACAGGACTTGTATGGCCCCGAGATGCGTAAAGCAAAGATCGATGCGATTCGCGATGACCTTATTCGCCACTTTTTGCCTAACGGCATTACAGTCGATCAAGAAGACGAGGAAGAAGGAATTATTTTGACGGAAGACCAAACGCTCAAAATCTACCAGGGGATGTGTAGATTGGCGGGTAAACATATACCAGGCGACATCGACGAATGTCTCTGGGAGTTGAAAAGTCAACCATTTGTCAACATTATGGATTTCGTAAACACCTTCCGTACAGGCGAGCGGGTCCGCACATTTAACAGTTGGGACGACTTCGTTAATTACACCGTCAACGGCCACAGAATTGACGTACAATATGCGAAGGATAATGAGTTCCTGGCACCACTCTTGCAAGACCTCAGGAAAGGGCCCGGTTCGGTTGATCCGACGAGCGTTAGAAGGGCTTTCATTGCCAGAAGAGCTGAGAGAATGCGTGCACGCCAGAGGTATTTGCCTCCAGTGAAGCGAGAGCCATTGACTACACTTCCTGAAGCGAGCCTTTCGCCTCCAGCATCCGACTTTTCGCCGCCTCCATCTAGATCACCAACACCAGATCTAGACCCTCTGCCAGAGCTGGATAGCCCACGGTCAGCGTCCGACGAGTCAGAAACACCATCCATCTCCCCAGCCCGAGGTTTAGATCCTTTGACACCGGCTTTCCTTCATGCTACTTTAGCACCCAATGAACCTCAAATCAAGCTCGAACCATCGAGCCCAACTATGCCTGCCAATCCTATTCCACCACCGAAGGCCGCCCAAGTTCCACTTGTGCGAGAGACGCCAAGCACCCCAACGAAGCCGCGTCGCATCCAGACACGCTCTTCTACGAAAAGGGCACGTGCTTTACCGCCTGACGCTGAACTACCTGGTACCCAAAGGACGAAACGGAGGAAGACACAGGGCAAACCTGGCTGCCATGGATCTGATATAAGAGGTTTCTTTCGTGCAACATGATTTGTGTTTTTCACCCCCTCGAAGTATATTTGTTTTGACAATTTCTGGATCGCTGGACGTTACAGGCTTATCACTTTCAACCCCTGTCTTTGTATACTGAATTTCTTCTTATCCCCGAGGTACCCGTCTTTCTATGCTTTTCGGACCCTACGTATGTCATTTTGTTTACTTTCGCGAAATTTAATCAGATTCAAATGACATGCTATAACAAACGTGCTCTTGAAGAAATTTTTGTTGCACGTCCGTAATGCCATAAGTTTGTGTTCCGCAAATGATTAATGTGGCCTTTTCTGCTGAAGTTCGCGCGTTTTCTCTACGACTGTAGCCTTTCTTAGTTCCTTGACCAAGTCTCCCGATATTGTCTTGTTTCCAGACCAACTTTTCATAGTCAGGCAATTGCTGGCCTGGTGAACAAAGATATACGTCTTTGGCAACTTGTCCAAAATAAGATAAATATGGCTGTGAGAGAGAGAGTGCAGGCTCACAATTAGCGACAAAGCCGAGGGATATGCACTAGTTCTTGAGATGATGGGATGCCGTACTCCAGTGTAGAACTCAACCACTCAACAGAGCTTGCTATAGAGCGGGGCTGGAGAAAAATTAAGGATGTATGGTATGAGCGAGTACTTCGAAAAGTTAATGAGGCTGGCCGATGTGACTAAAGTTGAGACTCAAGGGGATAGACCAAAAAAAGCTTCAACTGAGAGTTAGATTGGGATCCTCAGTGCATGGCATCGGGTACTATTCTGAAGATATCAATGTAACCTGAAGCCCATCATCAAGCCCCCTGTCTCCTTTCCAGCATCTCATTGGCCATCAGTACATCTCCACGCGACAAAGCATCGATGATATAGCCCATACGTTTTGCCATCCATAAACCATATGCCTGCTCCTTGTTTTCCGTACTTGCGTTAGGGCAGCTTGGATCTCTGACCATCTCTTAACCGTAAACCGCACTTCTTGATCGATCCTGATATCTTGAAAATGATGCTTTGCTGTAGTTGTGCGGTCCGAGGGCCAGCCGCAGTCGTGGGCTGTAGTCTTAAGTGCCGGTCTTCCGCCGTGGTCATGATTTCAAGTAGTCAGTCGTCGTCGTACAGGTCGTGATTCCAAGTCTCATGTCGTAAATGGTAGCCTCTATTGGTGTGGTTGCCGTCATATGATGTGCCAGACTCGCGAAGTCCTGTGTGAGTGAAATGTTGAAGGAAACGTGGTGCTGATGTGATCTAGCGCATTCTAAAATTCTCAGAGTCAGAGGGGAGTACTTACCTTCGATTTTGTTTGACCGCTTTCCAGGTTCGTACAATTGTGTGAGACCGATTTTCATGTCTATGATGGGTTGTCGGGTTCAATTGTTGAAGTTGGGTGGTCAAAAGTAATAACACCGATGAGAGATCGATGTTGATTCTGTCACCCCCTCGTCGCCTCGTCCCTTGATTGTTATTATGGTGTGGGCCGAAGCGCAGACCTAACAATGTACTCACCCAATACCTACTTTCGAATATAGAAAGCACTTGTTTGCAGAGCACAGTTTTGAGCATAGAGAAGTTGAAAGTTGACGTACCGGTGAATAAGCAGCATTTTGCCAAAGCGCGAGTGCGCCCAGGCCACCACCAGATTGAGTAGAGTTTCCGGCAGTTCCACTTGTACACAGGGCACTGTTGGAGCTGGAAGAGAAACTCATGTTGTTCGAGCAGTGGCAGTCGCGTCCACCTTCGATACCGAAGTACCGGTATGGCGCTCCACTCTGTGAATTGCAGAATGACAAACAGGTTTGCTGGGTCAAATCGACACTGCCTCGCAAGGTAGGACCTGCAAGGAGATTCAAGAGGTTAGAGCCGAGGGTGGATTGGAAACAACCCTGGTAGGTATTCGGTAGGAAACTGGTAATCTTAAGCGTAGTATCAACAGACTGGGCTGTCTCAGCAGGCTGAGCAGCTGTAGAAGACTGGATTCCAACCACCACCAGAGATGAAGGAATTGGCTGAGACGGCTGAGGTGGCACAACCACCTGAGATGGTTGAGCCGGCAGCGATGGTTGAGCCGGCAGCGATGGTTGAGCCGGCAAAGATGGTTGAGCTGGCTGAGAGGGCTGAGGTGGCAGCGATGGCTGGGGTGGTACAACCACCTGAGATGGTTGAGATGGTTGAGCCGGTAGAGAGGGTTGAGCCGCCAGGGATGACTGATCTGTAGGCTTTAAAACAGTCAGCAGCTGCCAAAGGCAGTAGGTTAGACTGTCTCATATGCTCAAAACTGTGTCTGTGCTTTGCAAATATGAAGGAAATAACATAAGAGAAGTTTGTGTTAGTAGCAACCCCTGACTCAGAGTGCATTCGCACTCAAGAGCGCGCGGGAAAAATTGAAGATTAGAGCAGTATTCTGCGAGTGCAACAAGCAACAGAGGTACAGCAACAGGTGCCGAGAGATGGAATATGGCTAGAATATATACTCTATCGGATGGATGGTCCCTGTTATGAATGTTGAACGTGCTAAAAGGAATGGAATGTAGTCGGCAAAGAATTTGAAATGGTGGCCAATGGTCTTGCTAGGGAGGGCGTTGACAATGTGATTAATCTTGTACTGACTACCCAAATGGGTGTGGAACAGATCTATTACCAGAAATGTGAAGTAGATTATCAGCCTAACCCGGAGAGGACGACGGAGGGAAGTTCGGAATCATTTCGACCACAAATTCCCGGAGAGATAAGCCTGGATTGCACGAGAATTTTGCGCATGTAGAGCACTCGGGTGTTTTGCAAGCCCAAAATTTGGATCCACCGTCGAGATGGTAGGATCAAGTTTCTATTCAAGTTTTTGGGTCACATGACACACCGTTGGAATGTGCTATGCGCTGATGTGCGACACGAGGTTGAAATACCCCGCGGAACCAATGCCCATTGCTTCGGGACCTGTAGGCATAAGTAACACAGCAGCTTTTGCCCCACAAGAATGTGCTTATGCGCGGCGGGACACTGGTTTGGACCATGCTGTCAGTTAGATCCCGATAGATGTTGTTGCGTTTAATTGCTTTTGGAGATTATGAGTCCTGCTGAGTCAAAGAGTACTTAAGAATGTTTGAAGAGATACTGTTTTTAGATTAGACGTTCTTTTAGGCTTAGCCGACTGCGACATTCTCCAGCATGCGCGAACTTAATTGCATTGAAGTCAATGCCATTTTTATCCAGCCACACGTATTAACGAAGACTAGTTTATGGCCGTTAGTTACAAATGGGAGCTTGAAGAAAGCATTCTTTCGGAGAAACGATCAGACACTCAACATTATTCCCATTTCGTGAGTATTTGTAGAAATACCATGTTATTCTGAGTTTTCCTCTAATCTATTTCAATTTCAAGACTGTATTTATCTTATTGGTGAACTAAATCAAGCGCGTTCTCGCTGACTATTTCCATTTTATTGTCCTCAGTTTGCAACGCAAGTCTTTCACACGGTGCCAACACTGTTTAAGTACGATACACCCCGGTCATTTGCCCTTCTAGATCTTATAAAGTGAATGGCCTTATTGATTCCAAAGTTGGGACTCCTCGACATAATAAAGTTATTTCTCTCTCCCATTCTAGCTTGAAATCATACCCCCCACAACGTCTAGCGCAACTCACGACAAGCAAGAACTCGTTCGATTCAAACTCGAAGAACCTGCAAATAAAATGATGCTTAGTCGATTCCTTGACCTTGCGACAAATCTCAGTGCCCGAGCCATCCTGAAGATATCTCCTCGACTCCAAACTGTCTTTGGCGCCCCTGACCACCACGATATGGCCCAAATCCACTTACTTCACCTAGTAAACTCGGAGTCGGTACCAGAGTCGAGGCCAGTATACCCTCCGCATTTGCACCCTTTGGACCTTGTAGACGAATATGAAGAGCTCCCAGGACTTTGCAAAGAGCAAGATCGTTGCTGGTACCGGGAGCATGCCGAGCGCAATGCGTATGTCACCGATGCAAGATACCAAGCCAATAAGTTAACCGAAGCTTCAACTCAGTATATCGATCAAGAGTATAAAACAAGGGTAGATCACTATTTGCCTACCTGGAAACAGCAAAAGGGTATACTGATACAATATGACCCTGGTCGCCATATTCGTAGTACACAGCATATTGACATGACAAAAGTAGGCCTTGACGACGAACCCCATGGCTATGATATGTGGCGCACGATCTCCAGCTCTTCATCTTCTCCTAGGCGCCACGGTGCTGTACGATATCGACGAAACCCTCTCTTCTATCGCGATATGCCTCACCCGTTCCGTGATCATAACCAAGCCGACAGACCTTTAATCAGCTCCGATTTTTAGTAGCTTGTTCGGCATGTTTTTGAACAAGACTGTTAGGGCAAGCGGAAAGCATTGTTGGAAAGTGGTCTTTGTAGTAATATTAGTGTTCTACAACCCTAATTTTACTTTTAAGTAAGCTTTTCTGTTAGTTACTTTGTTTAAGACGGAGCTGAAAGAGCTTTTGTGAATTGAGGATCTGACCTTCAGATTTGAGATGAGTAGAGTCATGCTGTAGAAACGTTATGATCGATTGAACAATTCGTTCTGCATATCTTAAGCTTCTAAGAAGATTGTTTGTTTGTGAAGTCATCCCCGTTGCTGTATGGTCATTCCCCTCAGTACACTACTGACATATAACTACTTGATCTCTATGTCATCTTGCTCCTCTCCGCAGCTGCCAGCTTCTTTGCCGCTTCCTTAGCCAACTTTCCTAGCCGACTTCTCCTCTTCGGCGGCGCAAGCATATTCACCGTGTACCTCACTTTGGCTGCCCCCTTTTCACCAGGCAGCGGTATCCTGTTCCCATCATCTGGGGGCGAGACAACTAAGTATGGCAAGCTCTTTAACTCTTCAATCTTCTCGGGTGGAGGAAGACTCAACCCCAATTTCTTCACAAAGGTTAAAGGCGTGTGTTCGATGATTGAGTCGGCAATAAAGGCGAAGTGGCGTCCGCGAAGAAGGGATGAACGATCGTCGGCCGGTAGATGCGTAAGTTGAGGTAGCAGCGTGTCGTAGATGAGCATGTGGAGGGAGAAGAGGGGCTTATAGAGGACGACGAGCGAAGATTCTTCGGCTTCCACAGGGTACATTAGCGCAGGAAGAGTGGGCGGCGCTTTTGTTTTGGAGAGCTTCTTGAGCCCACGAATTGTTGTGGTAGATCTACGCAGTTAAATTGATGTACAGTGTACTAAATCAAGTAGCTGACGCAAACTTACAACGACGCACTATTTTGCCAGCAAATAGCTGCGAGACTAAACAAAACCCAGAAGAGTTTGAGAAAAGGAGAGATAAAGTTGAGCAATTGAAGTGGTACTTCTAGACCGAGCATCGTGAGCAAGAGTTGAGTGATAGAGGTAAGGTGCAACAGTCATTGTAACAGATGGTGCGCGTATTATGGAATAATCGGCGCTGGATGGAATATAACGCTAAGAAAGAGCGAAGTGACAGTGAAAGAAGGTGATTTCGTAATTGCCGATTCACCCAGAACGACCCGTCGCGCTGGCATCAACTCAGGCCTTCTGTCCCCTCTTTGGAGCTCCTTAGTCCCTGTGCTCTTTTGTTGACTCATATCTCTCGCTAGTCTTTAGTGCCACTTGCTTCAGTGCAAATATTCGGTCTGTGTCATTGAGTTCGCCATCTTGCTCAAAGTTATCTTCGAGGATTTTCGGCCGCTCTAGCTCTTTCACGCGCGGTCCCCAGCTGGGGCGGGGTTCGAAGGTGTCCAGTCGCGCGTGAAGAACAAATAGCATGGAAAGAGTCGCGGTGGTTTTGCAACGGCTTCGGCGCACGAAGGATGGTGACTGAACCTGTTTGCTCTGCAAGCAGATCTACCAATCGCAGTTCGCCTTGCGGTGGCGTTGGAGGTCTGAGTACTATTTGCGGGACTGTAGCATCGCTAATCGTCTTGGGGCGGTGCTCTGAGTTTTGACTTGCTCCATTCGAAGGTATAGAGCGTGAGCGATGACTGCGCTTCCACAGGAGACTGAGGAGCTTCATTTTGGTGGATCAAGATCTGAGTTTTAAGTTCGAAGAAAGAAATAAAAGACCTGGAATAGTATACTAGGTCCTATCAAAGGGATTATGAATGGACAATGTGGATTGTGGGATGAAGCTAAACCATGGTTATCACGACCTCTATTCAGCACACCTGTTGTCTTGTCATCCATACTCGCGCTTCACCAGCAGAGTTCCTGTACGTGATATTTATTGCTAGCTATCTACTGGTGGTCTGTGGTAAATTCTTCGGGACCTGACGGGGAATTAACGTGATTGAAGCAGGATGTACGTGAGCATTGTGTGAGAACTGCACGATACATAGCGTTATCATATCAAGCTATCAAGAATGTCAGCTACACACAGCTTAACCTAACACCTGATTATGGCTCTCGATAGAGACGATCAACATGACATAATCGCACCCAAAGTGGCTATCCGCTACTATGTCATACTATGCGTAGTTTATTTCGATTATAACAGGCCATAACACCTCTAAGTAAATGTAAAAGTATACTGGGACAAGTTTGATGCCCTCTACCCCACTCGACACGTCGCAACACACTAACCTCTCTGTACTCATGCGTGAACATTAGTTAGTCCATGTTGGTTTTTCAAGCCACTACAGTTCGTGCAACTCTTGCAACTACCATAATTAGCATTTTCGATCAGAATGCAATCCAGAAACTAACAGCGAGAAGTGTTTTGGGCGACGTACTCGATACCTTTGAAATATAGGTAGGAAGTCAGCGTACATTTCAAGTACATACATTTCGTGCATACTAGTGACTCACAATCTGTGCAATTTGTGCAGCTATGACACCCCTCGCACCCATCACCTAGATAGTAAGTTCAAAGTCGGTGTCCCCCTCACTTGTTTGGCTTACAGGAGGTACAACTGTGGCACTCGCTACCTAAAATAGAGTTGCGAAGTTAGCATATGTTGTTGCACGCCGAGCGTATGCTTTACTCACAATTATCGCATGCCGTACAGCTGTGGCAGGATGTACAGTCTGATCTTGTAAGCAGATGCTACTCTAAACGCTTTCTATGTCGGATTCGCCCTCATTATCAAGCCTTATCATCGAGGCGTCCCGAGCTGAGGTCGGGCGACAACACTTGGGCGAGACAAAGAAGCGAGTAAAAGAGAGACCGCGCGATGGAAAAGACGAAGTCAATTACCTTTGCAATTAGTACACGAGTGGCAGTCAACACAGTTTTTGCAATTGGTGTTACTCCCACCTCCTTGCGCTGGTTCGTTGAGTCCTGATGGGCCGCAACCCATGATTGAAAGCTGGAAATAGTGTTGGCAAGAGTCTAGAGACTAAAAAAGAGTAAAAGTTGGTGGAGTGAGTGGAAATTTTGAAGACGTAAGGAATAATGTAAAGTCACTCTAACAATCCAAGCTGATGATGAGGAAGATGTATCTGTATGCAGGTGTGCGACGTCATCTCACCTTGCTGATAAGCTGTGAGGGGTCGCACACCCATGGCTCCCGATAAGAACGAGGGTGATGTCAAAGCCTGGAAAAGACGCTCGGTCTTGCAAGACCTGTACCTATTTTGGGCAATGATCTCATGATTGTGGTGTTGCGTTCATGCAAGCACGGTCCGATACATATGCGTTCCTATTGCAGAATATCTTACTTCACACGACGCTTGGTGCTGAGAAATGGACGTTGAAATGGGGCTCCCATTAGAATGACACCAGTGCTGCTGTGATTACATCTCATGTTCTCCACAAGAATGGTAATAATGGTCATTATTTAAGAAATCGTTCCACCTCCCCTTATCTTGCCTTTACGCCTCCTCCTTCTGTTTTTTTCGTTGTACTCCGTAACCAGCTCCGTCGCACTTCCCAAACGTTCTTCTGGTAGCCAGTCATAGCTATCCTCATACCCTTCCCATTTGACCAGATAATATTTCGTCCCTCCTTCGTAGAAGTGCTCAATTATGTCCTCCACAACAAATTCCTCAGGCTCCTCGTCCTCCTCTTCGGCGGGATCTTTCTGCACGGAAGAGTTCTTATGATGGGATCGAATGTGGATGGGATCGGTTTCTATTGGACCATTAGAAGATGGCCCAGGAGGTATTGCCTCATCGAACGAATCCCCGGAAGCTTCATACTGGGCCTGTGCAGTGTGGATATGTTGGTTCGAAGTTGTGCTAGTTGTTCGTTTTCTCTTATTGTGATGTTGATCTCCATTTAGACTGTCTTCTGACTCCTCGACTGTTGGCTCCCGGTGACGGGCTTCGGATCGTAGTTGTACTGCAGCGCTGGATATGGACCTTGTCTCATCATCGTCCAACCTAGCATCCGAATCATCCATGTCGGACACCCCAGGATGGCCACGTCGTAAAATCGATAGATTAGAAAGGCGCCGATGTGGCGTGATAGACGAAACAGGAAGCGCGCTGTTGGCAACGAATGCTGAGCGCATGACGCCAGGTGAGGTTTGCGTCGTGTCATCTTCTTCTGACTCTGTCTCCGTGATGGTGCGCTGTATGAGTTCTTCTTCACGGTTTAACGTCTCTATGGGTTCAGAGCCTACTAGCTCCTCCTGCGAGTCTTCATCACGTAACTGACCGTGCATCACAATGGCGCCCCGTTCACGCCAGCTCCCTCTACCCCTTCCTCTCCCACGCCCTCTTGGTCTGCCTCTTGTTGATAATTCAGGATCGACGCCTAGCCCGCTTAGCATGCGGCTACCCTTGGCTGCGTCAGATACCCTCGCGTTCTTAGCCAGCCGTCTGAGTGCCTGTTCTTCTGCTTCTTGTTGCAATACCTCAGCCTCCGCCGCGGCTTCGAGTCTGAACTGCGCATTCTCGAAGCGCTCTAGCTCGTGCGGCGAGACATATTGCATTATACAGCTCAGATCTACTTCTTCAATCTCTATGCTTGCGATATCCCCCACTTCCTCGCTTGATGTAGATGTGTTCCGATCTGCTACGAGATGTGTGATCTCCACTATGTAGAAATTCAGTCGAATCTCCGTCTCTGTTTGTCGGCGGTCCAATATTCGTGTTCGTGCATTTGTCATGGGGCAGTTGTTTGGCGGTTGTGAGGTTACGATTGCGGGAGCTTTGCGAATATGCCAGAGTTGCTCGTAGACTTCTGGGCTGGGTTTATAGCTCTCCCATTCCCACTACTCAAAGTCAGCCATGTGCATATCACCTTTTGTACTGTCCTTAAGCAACATACAAGAATAGTCTTTCCTCCTCTGCCGCGCCCTCGCCCACGACCACGACCACGTCCACGACTGCCTCGAGGGCCCCTCACGGACATTTCAGTGCTACAAACATGCGCGATTTTGACAGCGCACGTAATCGGATGGTTAGTAGGCGCGATTTTGGCGGCCAAGATGGATTGCGACGCGTCATGGCGAGAGAGTTGGGAGCAAACGATGCTGCACACGTCAAACCGCGCTGATGAACTGCTGTGCCAAGAAAGGGTCCAAGCGATCAGAATGTCGAAACTACGACTCAATCCTACTTTTGCTGCAATTTACTAAAGTAACGTCCTCCATAATGGTAAGACATGAATACTCATAGTGTGGTGCAGTCAGATGCTGGTGCCATTTGCCATATTGTACAGATGTACGTCGCCCACGCTCGCAGTATGCATATCCTACAGCGGCCCTTCTCACGGAGACAGGGCGGACTTATGAGGGCCCCAATAATACCCCGAACGCCTTACTAAGCCTCCTCTTCCGTCTTGTAAAGCTTAGCATTCACCAATCGTGTCGCTAGCCTACTAATTGGCCAATCATCAACACTTTGCATTGCTCTAGCGCCATTGGTCAGCACCGCGCAGCAGGAACAAAGCATTCCGCTAAGTTGCTACTTGGAAACTTACAAAAAGGGAGAATTTCTCTGTTTTTGACATGTCAGTCAGCAGCATTGAGCAACGTTAGGCGGCACCGCCAGTTTCGTACCGTCTCGTCACCGTCTAAAAGGATGCCGATACCCGCCCTTGGCTGCCAGATTGCGCCGCACTACAATCATGACCCATGGCCCTACAACTCTGACAGTACCGACAGTGAATCTGGGACCGAGGAGCATGTTGAAGAGACCCTTGAACTAGCTAGCTCTAATCAACATGGGTTCGATGTGGAGAAAGCAGAAACGCAGCCTGACAATGGCGGTATCGTGCCTGTGGGTAGGCCAACAACGCTCCAAAGAGGACCAACGCAGACCAGTCGCAAAGAGGTACCGCTAGCTCCAGTTGGATTTTGGGATTGGCAAATGGTCTGTTTTTTCTCATTTCGAAAAAAGTTGAGAGGTGCTAATGAGGGCCTAGGCTGGTGTGAGACTACATGTACTAAATCTATGGTTCCGGACAAGTGGGTAGTAGAAGTCTCTTATCGCAAAGTAATATGTGCTCACACCAAATCAGATCTCATCCTCGCCATAGCCATCATGGCCTTTCTCTGCCTGTTCTGGGGCGCTCTTTTCCGTCAAAACGATAATGTCAAAGCGCTGAGCATATGGGTCGTTGACTTTGACGGACAAGCGCCCTATTCCAACACTACCCCCTTTGTAGGGCCTTTCGTCACCCAGTCCATCCAAACGATCATCGACCAAGGCGGAGCAGTGCCTGGCTACACCTTCGCATTACCAACCCACTTCGGCAACGATCCGCTCAAAGTACGTGAGAGCGTTTACGATTTCGACGCATGGGCTGCTGTAATCATCAATCCGAATGCAACCGCCTTACTCGAAGCCGCAGTAAGGGAGGGAAATGCGAGTTACGATCCGCTCGGAGCTTGTCAAATCGTCTACAACTCCGCACGGGACCAGACAACATCATCCTCTTACATCGTACCTAGCATGACTGTCATACAAAAGCGTGTTGTGACGAACTTCGGCCGGGCATGGATCACCCACCTTCTCCAGAACAATGTCTCTGCCACGGAACTGAATTTGGAGATCTCTCCCCAAGCAATCTCGCCAGGTATCGAGTTCACAATGTACGACCTGCGCCCCTTTGGTCCACCCATCGCCACACCAGCTGTCAGCATTGGGCTCATCTACCTCATCATAATAAGCTTTTTCAGCTTCACTTTCTTCCTTCCCATACACATGAAATACCTTTCCCCAAAAGGCCATCCACCGCTGCACTTCTCCCAGCTCATCATCTGGCGCTACGTCGCCACCGTCGCCAGCTACTTTTTCCTGTCGCTCGTCTACTCCTTCGTGAGTCTTGCGTTCCTCATGCCCATGGATCGCCACTCCGCATCCCACATCTGGCCAGCCAAGAACCCAAATGCCTACGGAAGAGGCACATTCGTCGTGTATTGGATGGGGAACTGGGTCGGTATGGCAGCTTTTGGGCTCGCGAGCGAAAATATGGCCATGCTTCTCGGTACACCTTGGACTGCTCTGTGGCTTATATTTTGGGTTATTTCAAACGTCGCGACGGGTTTCTACGCGCTTGAACTTGCACCATCATTCTATCGCTGGGGATATGCGTGGCCGATGCACAACATTGTCGAACTTACGCGCTCTATACTGTTCGATCTGCATCCGCGCACTGGCCTAAATTTTGGCATCTTATTTGCGTGGTGTGCAGTCGATACGTTGTTTTTCCCGATGTGTTGTTACTACATGCGTTGGAATACCGCGAGGGTCAAGAAGCAGGCGGCGAACATGGAGGCCGAGTGGCATGCGAAGATGGAGAAGGAGAGAGAGGCGCCTAGTCTCTTGGCTAGAGTCACGACAGTTGGGAGTAGGAAAGATGGTGGTCCGAGGGGACGGGACGTAGAACATGGTACCAACAGGACAACTTCGGTCCATGCACAGCAAGCGAAGGATAAGGAAAGCAGGTGGGTCCGGGCGAAGGGGTATTTGGGGCTATGAGGTTGAAGGAAGTTGCAACAGGCAAACCGCTCTAGGGTGGAGTCCCCAATGAAGGCGAACGTAATAATTTTAGCAGAACAAGCCAGCACTGTTCTGGTTAAACTTCCGCCACGTAATCGAAAAGCCTCATCGCAAGTGAAAGAACGAGAAAGCCACTTGCGATGAGCCATGGAAAGTCACCGTGAAACACTCAAGCGACGGCTAACCTAGTCCGCTGTTTTTGGGATTGTGAAGCGTTATGGCCGGACCGACAAGGACAGATGATAGAGAGGAGACATGGAACAATAGGAAGAAGGGGGATGACAAATGAAGAGACGAAAAGAGAGGACTAGACACCGCTGCACAACGTAGATTACACCAGGGATATGGTTGTGCATATCTCAATGCCATACTTGGCACGGAAATTCGAGATTACACAGTGGGATCGGACGATGCCGCGCCACGAGGGTGTCAGAGCTCCGAAGACGTAGCTCTCGAAGCTGTGAAGCAAGAGATGCAGCATATCTATCGTGACGACACTTTGGATTGGGAGCTTGGGAGGGCTCGTTTTGTAGCTTCCTTCCAGCGATCTATCTCCGCCGAGACTGGGGCATCGAGTAACTGGGAAAACAGCCAAGAAAGAGGAACCAGCTGAGATGGAACTGTGAGCACGAGCCTTCGACGAGGGGGATTGTTGTTGGGTATTTTAGGTTCTCGTATACCATTTAGTCTCTTGCGTAAAGAAATAGACCACGCTGTTGCGATCTAGTACGTTAAATCTTTACCTTGCTCGCGCGGACCTCTTCGTAGTGCTCAGCTTGGCAGCAATTGGCAATAATGGCGGATTGCAAACTTGCCCTTGCAGTCGGAGCGGCTTAGAGAGCAGATTGGCAGGCCTATCAGTTACAACTAGGAGAGTACGTGCAACAGGAATAGAGTGTACAGTCGTTGTTTGAACTTCGGCACATGTGGCATCCAGTTGTCGGACAAACTAGCATGACTTAACCCGCTTTACCGAACCCGCCCCCGCGGGGATCTCCGCTACTTCTCCGCCATTGGTCACAGCAGGGCAATTATGCTGTCAAAAACCCACCTGATCGCATATGGTAAGGATGTGCGTTCAACGCATTTGGTATCGCGAAAAATCTTTGTCATCTAGTCATGACGACCTCGGAAATAAGGCTTTTCAGACCCTTTTGGAGAGCTGTACAGTCATAGTTTCCAATCTTGGTTTAATTGAGAAAGACGCAATGTCTATATCAAGAGTCAGCTTGCGTCGATAATCAACTCAGAACATTCTCCCAAATACTCAAGGCACTTCTACATATCGTCAATAGCCCAAAAAGTAGTCCTGTGGAGTAGGCGCTTATTTAAAACTTCTGTTTTCTTCATAACACCGAGAAGCTAGACCATGAGTGCCACCGCTGTCGAAGGAAGCAGGCATGACCCGGAAAAGGATGCCACTCTCCGCGACGAAAGGGAACGCAACACGAGGGTATGGCCAATCCTCCGCGACGACGAAATAGAGGAAAGCGCAGAAGAAACAGAAGAGCAGCAATATGAAAAGACACAAGAATCGATGGCGCCTGCTATCACAAGAATCTTATCAAGGAGATCCGCAGCATCTTTTGACCCTGGGCCCGCACCCGACGGCGGGACAACAGCCTGGATTCAAGTTATGTGCACCCACCTCACGATATTTACAACGTTTGGCTTCTTCGGCTCCTTTGGAGTCTACCAAACATACTATCAGAACACCCTCGGCATCGCGCCATCCACCATATCCTGGATCGGCTCTATCCAAGTCTTCCTCCTCTTCGGTATCGGCACGTTCACCGGTCGGGCTACAGACGCCGGCCTCTTCCGCCCCGTATACATCGCAGGAGCCATCTTCCAACTCGTAGGCGTCTTCACAATGGCCGAGTCAACGAAACTCTGGCAACTGTTCCTCTCGCAGGGCGTATGTCTCGGCATCGCGAATGGTCTGCAATTCTGCCCCTCCATGGCCTTGGTATCAACCTACTTCGTCAAGAGGCGTGCGTTTGCGCTGGGTATCACGGCTCTGGGTTCCTGTACAGGCGGTGTTGTGTTCCCTATCATTGTTCAGCAGTGCTTGCCGCGCTTCGGGTTCCCGTGGACAATACGCATTATCGGTTTTATCATGTTGGTGCTGAACATTATCACCATCGCGTTATACCGCACACGTCTTCCACCCCGCAAGACTGGACCGCTCGTCGATTGGGACTCATTTAAGGAAGCTCCGTACTCACTTTACTGCGCGGCTATGTTCTTCTCGTTCTGGGGATTGTATTTTGCATTCTTCTACATAGGCGCGTATGGGCGCAATGTTCTGGGTGTGAGCTATCAGCAGTCGATCAACTTGCTGCTGGTACAGATTTGCATGGGCTTTGTGTTTCGGCTTCTGCCGACATACTACGCTGACAAGATCGGAGGTCTTAATGTCTTGATCCCGTTCGCCTTCATTGCTGGTATCATGATGTTTGGCTGGATTGGCATTCACTCTGTCGGTGCCCTGTACGCCTTTGCCGTCATTTATGGATCCGCCAGCTCAGTTATCCAGGCACTGTGGCCTGCGGTTATTGGGTCGTTGAGCCGGACGCCGGATCTGAAAAAAAGTGGCGTGAGAATGGGTATGGCGTTTACGATTGTGAGCTTTTCGAGTTTTACAGGGCCGCCTTTGGCGGGGGCGCTGATACAGCAGCATGGAGGGAGTTATACGTATGCGAATATCTGGGCAGGTTCGTCTTTTTTTGTCGGTGGGCTTTTGCTCTTAGCCACTCGTTTCTCGTTGGTAGGGTGGAATTGGAAAGCGAGGATATAGATGTATTATCGGTCTGGGCTTCTTCACGGGCTGCCTAGATAAGATTCCGTACACTCACTATCCTTCCGCATCCCGCATTGATCCATAATCTCACCATTCTGAGGATAGTGCAAGTGAGGCCCAGAAGCTGCTGGAGTCTAACATGCTGCAATCACAGTCTCCTTATCATTAATGTGAAGAATACCGAGAACCTCCGAGGTAACTTGGTGTCAAATGGAAAAGTTAGCCTTGGACTACTGCCACTCCTTTTGGCTCTGTCAACGAACAGAAAATGTAAGAATAGCTAGTACAGGCTATTCGTAAGCTAATAGCCATGTGTATTGAATGAGAGTGTACGGTCTCGAACACTGATTCACCTCCTTGCTGCTCGAGCAGCTCTGATCAGAGCCGCTCTTTCACATTCACCTCGAAGGCCTCTACTTCTTCTAGCCTGTGCACGGTGCGCTTGGCGTCGAGAATTTCCCCTCGCCTCTCTTTAAAGTCTCGCCCTCTGCTCCTTCTGTCTAACTATCAACCCCGTTTTGCCTCTCTATCCAAAACTTGCTCGCACCTTCACAGCATTCTCCAGCAACTTCCTCCAGCAACTTCCTCCACAATGTCTGCCCAAACCGACATGTCCAACGCGAAGCAGCGCCTCCAAAAGGCGCTCCAAACCTACCCCACCAACCGTGTCGTGCAAGACAAGGACAAGACGTTCTACGAACACATCCTCCTCCAAGTCCGCGCCGTTCTTGCCGAAAAGCAAACGCAGCTAGCCGAGAACAACGAAGAGCTCAAGAGCCTTCGCATCGACATAAGTGCCCTCGAGAGGGTCGTCACCATCAAGACCGACTACGTTGCCTTCCTCGACAAGCACATGAACGCGTTCCAAGAGGGTCTTGCCACGGGCGCGAAAGCGAACGAGGGAAAGGCGATGCATTGGGACGCCGGAGATCTGATCAAGTATGTCGACGAGAACGAGAAGGCATATTTGGAGAAGATCGAGGGCTTTGCCGTGGAGTGGGAGGTGGCGATTGTGTTGGTCAACCCGGCGTGGGTGAAGGCATTTGGGGAGATGTATGTCGACACTAGCAAGAAAGGCGATGGCGACTTGGTGGAGGGGTTGAAGGGACTAGATATGAAGGGAGAAAAGAGCGAGGAGAAGGACGAGCTTGGTGCCGAGGAAGCAACGGAGCAGAAGAAAGGCTCCGGCAGGCTCAAGGGAAAAGCGCGAAAGGAGGCGAAGAAGGCCGCTGCGGCAAAGAAATGAGGAGGAACGGCATTCTTAGCTAGACCTTATTGGATGACCACATCGAAAGTAGAGTAACGATGAAGACTTTATGTCCTAGATAGCCTAGGGGAAACAAATATAGGCTATTGAAGGGACTATCGCACCTCTGATGAGGATTCTGATTCCACCCGAAGCTGTTAATGTGTTTCTCGGCCTACTACTTGATCTACCTATCTAATCCTAGATCAGAAGTCTCCACCAAAATCGAAAGCCCAGAAGTCCGGAAACGACCATCCTCCAAGGTCGACTTGCATATCCTGCAAAGCATCAAAGGGGCCAGTCATATCTTTTGACCCATCTGTAGTGACACTTCCTATGTTCATGCCAGGTATTTCCGAACAAGATGCATGGCTTGTCGTTGTCGGTGTAGCTCCAAGCCCACCCCTAGAATAGACAGCACCTGCACTTAGAATCGGAGTGTGACCTTCGGACGGCGAGATACTTGCCATGGTATCACGGAGTGACAATGCAAAGCCATTTCCCGGGTCTTTCTGTAGTGCAAGAACCCGAAATAATAACGTTGTGAACCGGTCCAACGTGATTTTGCATCTTGAGTGAATATCATCGCTCGTATTGGTCACATACGCTATTGAAGTGGCTGGAGAAGGTGCAGATGGCAGCATACCGACCGCGGCAGATAATAGCCAGAACTCCATATACCCTGTACCGAGACGCATGACCTTTTGTTCGAAAATCTGCCTGGATCGTTCCAGGATCTCGACGGAAGAGGCGCATAACGTCCTAGCAAGAAAAGGCTCCTGTGGTAAGGCCGCAAGCATCAGTAGATTATCTGGCGATGTCCACCCGTTGGTGGAGGGAAGGTCCCCGATTTGCGGGTCAGCAAAGTGAGACTCGGTCATGTTCGGAGCAAGCGCTGAAGGTTTCATAGGGCCATATTGGACGCAATTGTGATACACAACTTGGGCGAGTGTCAAGCCAACCCTGACCACATCATTTCGGAAGTTGTTCAAAGCCAAGATACCTTTGGCAACAAGATCATCATGCGTCGCGATCATAGCGCCTGCGACATCTACACATGTGATGAACGAATGCATGTAACGCTGATTTTTAACCGCAAGCTTTGCATACGGCTGGTGTAGTAGGAGCAGATACTGGCGGAGTTGTAGCTGAAGTAGGGCTGCCGGTAATACAGCTCGATCGCCTTCCCAGGAAGGAAGGGCGGAGAGCAGGGAGTGGACCTGCGCGTCATAGTGAAGTATATCGGAGTATCGGAGTTCGGTAGAAGGATTGTTCAAGAGTTGAGCGAGATGAATACGGAGAGGAAGCGACTTCAGAGCAACACTAAGATACGAAGCTGATGTGAAGTGTAGGATGGGTCTGCTGGCTGGTATTTCAGAAGTGTCGATTGAGAACGCGTCGTCGGGAAGGTTAGCGGGAGCCGGCGCATCGAAATATAAGTTCGTGAGCGAAGACTGGAGACCACTTTCAAGAGATGATTGTAGCTCGAGCTCCGTAACGGTGACCCATAGTCGTTTCTTCATCTCCTTTTCGAACTCTGATATCTTGCCACTAGCCAGTAATGACGCGTCTCGATGCAGGCCGGAAGCTAGGGCAAGTCGCACAAGGTCACCGGAGGTGACCCAGTCCTGCTTTAGTTTTACGCAGTTGACTCTCTTCGCAACTAGCGCCAGACATTGAAGTTGAAAGAACAGCAAAGTCATGCGTTTTCGAGACTGTCTGCCGATCCAACTTTCGCATATTCCGATGAGATTAGAAGCGATTTGTCGATCAGCAGTAGTGTCGCCCATAAAATCATCATCCTTCGGGTTAAGGCATTTGGAAGTAGCAACGATCAAGAGGAGGATGACGGCGAAGCCAGGCTGACCATGATCTCCATGTCGCTGCTCCCAAAAACTAGAATACTCACTCCAAAATGACGGTTCATGCAAGACTCGGTAGGTCGTCTCCCATGTCTGGAAGTACAGGGCGACATGTACATCAACTATGTTTCTTTCCGGTAGCGCTGCAAGCACTTCCTCGTCTGTGCCCTGAGTAATTGCGCCCGGTCGTTTTGAAGCTATCTTTCTTCGATCACGGAATGCTTTGAAATCTGTTTTGACACGAGTGATGGAATGATCTACAGTGAGAGCTTCACGTGTGAAAGCTTGAAGTTCGCGATACTGAATGCAGTGAGCTTTTGTGTGTAAGGCTTCCAAGTTTCTGAGTTGGGAGCTGGTACCTGCGATATCAAGCTCATTACGCTCGTAACGCCCTGAAACTGTGTTTTGAAACCTTTTCCTCTAAACAGCATTTGTTCCTTGAAATCTGGCTCCTCGGGGAGCCGATCCTCGTACTGCGATAGGCTCTTCCTGCTGTCGTTGGCAGCCAGCTTCTGCTCTAGCATCTCGATCCTTCTCTCCTGAGCCCTGATTTTAAAACGCAACTCATCAGGTGATGTAGGCGTATGAGCGAATCTATGCGCTACGTGTTCTGGTGCTGCGAACGGAGCGCCTCCATCAATATGCGTGTCGCTATTGATGTGCGGCTCCTCTAGCAATCGCGGATCATACGTGCATTCATCGGCTCTTCCAGTCTTCTGACATCTTCCGCACACTGGATATACTCGATCGCACTTCATTTTTCGATTGCGACACGCGTAGCATGAGAGCACTTTCCGCTTCTTGCTCGTGCGCTTTTCCGATGAACCATCGTGCCCTTCAGGAGAGTTCTCGCGTGACTCGGGTTCGGTGCCGTCCGCACCTCTATTCGACATGGCAAATCAGAAATGGATCAGGATGCCAAGTAGTGTGTTATTGTTGATGATGCGAGTCGGACAAGGCGGAGATGTGAATGGAGATGAGGAGAACGATGCAGTCATAGCCGTAGCGCCGACGCTCGGGCATAAGACGGGAATTAGTCAGCCTTGTGCGAGCCATGTTTATCGCGAACAGAACCAAACTGTCAGTGGGAACTGCGATCGAAGCTATGATGCAAGTTCTCTACCTCCAGCGGCGTCCAACCTTCGGGCGTTCAACATTGGGAGTAGCAGTGTTACTGACGAGTCAACAGCGCCGCCCAGGCTGCACATCCTGCGTTCCGGTAACACCCGTTAATCGACGCCAGCCTTCCTTCTCCACACGCTCTTGAATCTGAACTGAAGCCTTTAGTTCTAGACGGATCCCCAGAATATGATTGTTATTACACGCCTTAGCAGCTTCCTGACGACTTCCACTTTGAGACCGTCAGGTTTTCCGAAAGGCGACTCGAATTTGCCCAACCAGTTACATTTCCTTCGTGGACGCTCGCCGTACTTCAGAGCCACTGTCGCAAACGAATGGACAGAAGCCTTTGCTTGGTCAGCTATAGAACACTATATATTGTCATTTCTTGGAAACAGGCGCAAGCTTGAGAAGTGTCCTATACTAGGTTCCTTACACGCCTTGGCTACGTGCTATCAGCTGTTGCCTGTCTGCACACCACTTACGCGACGACACATTCTGTGTTAGATCGTGACTCCTTGAAGTCAAGCTAGCACAAAAGGGTTTGCCAGACTTCACTCTAATCATAGAACCTCAAATGACCATTTGTTATTGCAAAGGTTTCGAATCAAGCCCTCACGGAGCAGTATTCGCCTGCAAAGGGCCTAATCCCTGACTGAAAAGCGGGGAACCAACATTTCCCCACAAACCTCCTTGCCGATCATAACCTTAATTTCGTTGCCGAATCCCAATTCGCCGCTCGATATTAATATGCTAACAACCTCTGAGGGTATTTCTCTACTTGTTCGACCAAAGCAAGCTTACGTTGATAACTTGCTCTAGAGGGTCTACGATCACTTCATCGCTACCATACATTCCACATTAGATCAACGCCGCGGGAATCTTATCATCACGCTTACAAGAGCTGAATGTTTCTGACACGCATGGGTCGAGGATTTTGAATTCCTATACAATCAATGTATACCCCTATCTAATATCGAAAGACCGTCCGGCAAGGCTAATTGTCCGCGTCTGAACAGGGATCTCACATATGTGTTACCCAGTAAATTCACTATGCCAAGGTTGCCTAAGTCGCGGCAGTGAGCTTCAGTATGCTTCATGCTCTTAGCCGAGAATACCGCCGACGTGGGGAGACTATCATCAGACCATGGACAGGGCGAATTTTTTTCCATGCCTCTCGTCGAGTGATCATTTTCCCCTCGCAATATAGTATGCCGAAATGAGTAGACCTTCTCCCACCGAATGAACGACTGATCTTAGCTTCGAGAACAATACTCTGTCCCAGGCTACTTGCCACACCACGTTGCTGGTGGTTGATCTCGAGACAGCTTCTTATGCTGTTTGATGACATGCTGCGTAGGGAGTACGGGTGAGTCCTTCATGATTGGTGAAAAAGCCTCGATCAGATCGAAGTTGTCTATCCCGGAGCGACGCCATAGCTGACTTCAAATAGATTGACCAGGCTGTGGTCACACAGATCTCAGATACATGAACGGGGTGTCGGCCGCACAGTTAGCCCCTAGATTTTCATATGGATCTTCTCTCCGCTCATATGAAGGCCTTCAATTACATATTAAGATTCTCAACCCGTCATTTGGAGCGATTTCCGCCGCCGCCGGGACCATGGCGAGGAGGCAGGAGGACCCCTCCAATTTCTCGGCACCTCATACTTAAGTCTGGACCTGCCAGAGCAATTGTAACGACACGCATACGAACAGCACCAACTTCACCATGTATCGCACTCTTGTTTTAGCTGCTTCTCTACTTTCCGTTGCCCGCGGCCAGCTCGTGGGCACGGAGAAGACCGAGACTCATCCTGGAATGACTTGGCAGTCATGTACAGCTAAGGGCAGCTGCACGAGCAAGAACGGGAAGATTGTTATCGACTCTAACTGGCGCTGGCTCCACGTCAAGGGCGGGTATGTCCTAATCAGCTCAATCTTACCGCAAGTCTCGTTTCACTGAGGTTATATCAGGTACACCAATTGCTACACCGGCAACGAGTGGAACGCTACTGTCTGCAAAGACAACAAAGCCTGCGCCGCCAACTGTGCAGTCGATGGTGCCGACTACACGGGTACATACGGCATCACCGCGAGCGGAAACTCTCTGCAGTTGAAGTTCGTTACGAAAGGCTCTTCTACCACAAACATCGGATCGCGTACGTATCTTATGAAGGATGATACAACATATGAGATGTTTAAATTTGGTGGGAATCAGGAGTTTACATTCGACGTTGATCTGTCGAACCTGCCTTGCGGTCTTAACGGCGCACTGTACTTCGTCTCTATGGACGCCGACGGTGGCTTGAAGAAGTACTCGACCAACAAGGCCGGTGCTAAATATGGTACTGGCTATTGTGATGCTCAATGTCCAAGGGATATGAAATTCATCAACGGCGAGGTTCGTCATAGTTCTAACCCTGCCCACAGTAAAGTACCTGCTAACGCTGTGAAGGGCAACGTCGAAGGCTGGACTGCCTCTTCTAACGACCCTAATGCTGGTGTGGGCGGTCACGGCTCCTGCTGCGCTGAGATGGATATCTGGGAAGCTAACTCCGTCAGCACGGCGGTGACACCTCATTCGTGCTCTACCATCGAGCAGTCACGCTGTAATGGCGATGAGTGCGGTGGAACATATTCTGCAGACCGCTATGCGGGCGTGTGCGATCCTGATGGCTGCGACTTCAACAGCTACCGTATGGGCGTGAAAGACTTCTATGGAAAAGGAAAAACTGTTGACACCTCCAAGAAGTTTACCGTTGTCACACAGTTCATCGGCACTGGAGATGCCATGGAGATCAAGCGCTACTATGTCCAAAACGGAAAAGTCATTCCCAACAGTCAATCTACCATTCCGGGCGTCGAAGGAAACAGTGTCACAACTAAATTTTGCGACGCTCAGAAGATTGCCTTCAAGGATAAGTACACGTTCAAGGATAAGGGTGGAATGGCCAACATGGCCAAAGCTCTTGCTAATGGCATGGTTCTTGTCATGTCATTGTGGGACGATCACTATTCCAACATGCTATGGCTCGACTCGACTTATCCGACCGACAAGAATCCCGAAACCGACCTTGGTAGCGCGCGTGGGGAATGCGAGATAACCTCCGGTGTCCCGGCGGATGTTGAGAGCAAATCTGCTAGTGCATCGGTCACCTTCTCGAACATCAAGTTTGGTCCGATAAACTCGACCTTCGGTTAAATTACGGACACTGTAGGGTATTTGCAACATATAACGAAGGTTGTACATATAAACAGATCTATTGTACATAGCCCGATGTCAGGAAGAGTCACTCATTTAGTCAGGAAGAATCCAAGATCAAAACGTGCGAAATTTACTGTTCCTAGACACATATGGAGAAGCCCGATTACCTTGCGTGCCATAGATGATGTAGTGCGCAGACATCACAGTTCTGTTTGCCATCCATCCCATTACACCTCGTCCTTCCGCAAGATTACTACCCGTCTTGGGGTTGCTACGAATGGTTTTCGTCATCATATCTGGCGTAGAGATTCAGTCTTATCATAGAAGTCTCTGGGATTTGATGAGATTGTTAGGAAACCTTCAGAGCTCAATCAAATGTGTGCAAAGTGCGAAAGAGCGGACTTCTGATGTACCTCCTGAAAGAGTATCACAAACTTGTCCGAGACCAGCTGGAACTCAGCGCTATCGCCGAGTAGGGTGGGCATTGATAATTTCACACGTATCGTTCGCTGCTTGATAATTTCTCCTCCTCACCACTCCAGGATAATCTGCAACTATGTTTGCAGGCGAGGCGCGCCATGTGAAGTATAACCTCTACCTCAGCCCTCAGCTACTCGTGTAAATCTTTGGGGAATGTGTCCCAAGAACGGAATGAAAAAGCCGGTCCTGGCGCGGGCGTGATCCCGAAAGTGGCGCTCTCCAGGCACATACTGCTGTTGATTGTAGACAATGAAAATGCATGTACACCTCGCATGACAGAGTCATTCATCCATGCGCCTGATCCAATCTTTGCTCATCAAACAGCCGGCTTCAGTCGTTGAACTATTGGTGCATTAAAAAAGTTGAGTGAAAGAATAGTTACCAGTCTTGATAAAGCTTCGCTTGCTCCATCGAACGTTGCCGTTTGCGCCAAGCAAATGCGCAAAATACAACCATACCTCCGCCTCCGTTACAACAAACTTGTATACACTGCCGCCCACCACGTATATCAACTCACGCAAATAGCACCTTCATACCATACATTAATCCACTCTTTCGTCATGAACCAAGAGCAAGCTAACCGAATCGTCGGAGCGATTCGCACGCTTGACAGCAGTGTTAAACTTCTCCAAAACGAACTCAACAACCGTCTTGACAACGTGGAGCGTCGTTTGACCAATTCTGAAAGAACCATTGTTCGTACTGTTGGACCAAACGCAGTTCCGGCAGTTCCTTCGTTCTCGGACGCGCCTTCAATATACCAGCCCACTCCTCCTCCCCCGCCCCCGGTGTACGGTCCGCCCCCAGCCTCACATGGCTACGTTCAAACGCCACCTCAAAACGCGAATGCTCTTCCAGCTCCTAGGACAGTTGGTAGCAGGCTGAATGCAAGCTTCCTTCCATACGCGATGGAAATGATCGGGTTGGCATCGTAGCGAAAGTAGGCTGGAGATGAGCGCAAGGGGTTAAAAAAAAAAAAAAAATCAATCCTCGATTGTATTTGTCACTGAAATCTTTCTTTGGTAGCGCATGCGGCGCGCCTACCTACTCCGTCAACTGCTTCCGCGACGACCATTATCGGTGGTGCCGTGTACACCAGCGGCCCATCCTGAAGCCGCATAACAAATGCGGTAGGGCCTACGATGGCTGCAGTCAGGTCAAGTGGGGTGAGTGTTGCATCCAGTCCATGTGAAGTTGATAGAGTCTAAAACATTGCAGAGCATCATATCAACTGGAATATACTGGTTCAACAGTCTTATGCGGCAGGTTATCTGGGGAAGAAAGGTGTGCATGGGTTGGATGAGGTGTTGTTCCCACGCAACCTCTATCCGCAGAAATACAACGCCCAAGGCTGGTATACAGGCTAAGCTGTGAAGGCTGTCGGAGGTTTCAACGTGTATGCTGGTGCTGCTTAAGGGATGATGATGAACACAGAGAAATGAAGTAGTACAGAATGATCTGCTCAAAATAGCTGAAGTTCTGCAGCCCAGCCCAACGAATGAATTGACTCAACTGTGGTGTTGATCGCGTGTTCTTAGCCGCAGACACTGTCTGCAGAGAAGTGAATCTCGGCTCCGGTATGGGTTGTGGGGGACAACGATGGGACAATCGCCTAGAAATGAAGTTATCATGCTCTCTGGAAGACTGGTTGGTATATATGTGTGTATTGAGACGCCTGTACCAATTAATAAAGGTAGCATGGGGGAGCTGACGTCTGCTGTGGATGCCGAAGGAAGGAGTGGTCCAAGCGCGTGGACCGAGGCAGAGCGCCTAACTCGCCCTTTGTGGCGCTTCTCATTTCTCATATCATCTCTTGCATTGGCAGACCCGATCTACAACGTCCAGAGGCCCTCAAATGCAACAAACAGATGATTGATTATGTTAGTACCCAGCGAAGGTCCCGAGCATCGAGCAGACGTCACGTCGCAGCTCCTGTGTTTGTCCCTGAAATACGCCACATCGGAACGTCGCCTAGCTTGTTCAAGAGAGAATTTGCAAGGCGCCTACGCCCTAGCTAAGCTATCGCTGGTTCCGTGAAGGTACTTTGAGTGCGAGGAGGTGCTTGTTCAAGTTAGGTAAGCATAGAGATGATGATCCTGCTCTTAAATCAATGGTAGATACCAAGCAAGGCTTCACTTATATTGTCGCGTGGGATAGATTGCGACGCGATTTGATTTAGCCGCTCTCCAAAGGACACATTATCCCATTGACAATACAGACATGTCGCGCACACCGCTGTACGCAATTTCACATACCCAGCTTGAACTCTCTTGTTGTGCTAAGCTTTCTCTTTGTGGTCTGGAATCGCGACCGGTCAGCTGTCCTCAACCTCCAACATGGCTCGTCCGGACCCGATTCGTAACACCTACGAGGAATTCCCTGATGAGCTGAAAGAGTTATTGAAGACAGGACAGAACGAAATGGGGCGAAATCCTTCGACAGTACCGTCTCGAGACATCCTTCTGCACAATCACGAATGGCACCTGAAGTTCCTAGTCGAGAGTGCCATGCCGGCAAGGAACTTTGTTCTCCCGCCTGCATACCCACCGTCAAGGGCATCGGCGTCAGAAGCGAAGCGGGTTGGTATCGAAGACCTTCGTATCGACCTCCGAAATCCCAATGATTTCATCCTACTTCGTGCCATTACAGGTCCCTATGTGTATTCCTCGACCGTCACCATCGTAGAGGGCGAGTATGGACAGGCAGCGCGGCTTACAGTATGCAACCTTGAAGATTCAATAATTGATCCAATTATCCCAGTCGGCTCAATACTGGCGATCAAACAGCCGTGCTGGAGTAGGTTGCCGACGGGCAGTTACCACCTTCGAGTCGATCATCCCTCAGACCTGGAGTTCCTAAACCAGGCCGACGGAGGGGTACCAAAGAAGTGGAGAAATACCGAGGATGTTGAAGAAAACAAGGATGCTGCAACATGGAAGAAGGACGGCGATGTGATGTTTCTGCAAAAGAGGTTCCGAAAAGCACTCGAGCTGTTAGTCTGGAACACTTACTATATGATGGGATTGCTGACTTTCAAAGTTACAATCGTGCTCATGCTAGGGCGGCATCTTCTTTAGATGTGGCTGCGCAAATCGATAATTATCGGAAACGATGCGGCGTCGATCTTGTGCTCCTGCGATTTGATGCTGCCGCTTATGATCTATCGCAGGCTGTTTCTCTCTACGCTAAATCCAACCCCTCTTTGTTCTCCTCACAGCTCACAGAACCTTCCATTATTGAAGCATGGTTGCATAACCGAAGTACCGACGACCCGTTGAACATTGCCTCCATCCTCCCTCGCCCGCTGAAGGGCCTAGCCAATCGCATCAAATTTGATCTGGCGATATACCAAACCACGCCAAAGTACAATCTCGAGCGGATTTCATCCTACGTTGGTCCTTTAACCTTACATATGGACGTCGCGAACTACATCAGCGACGCCGAAATTAAGCAGACGCAACACCACGGTCGGGGCCTCTTCGCTGCACGAGCGTTCAGATGTGGAGATCTAATCACAGCAGAGAAGGCTTTTGCACTCCCGGCGTACTTGTTCAATGACCGAAGTACTGAGTGCTCACTATACAGCCTTGGGGATGGTACAGCAACGGATCGAGCGGGTGCACTGCTCTTCAAGGAGTTGGTGCAGAAGCTGAGGCATAACCCAAGTCTGCGAGAGAGCTTCTTCGACCTAGATGATGGAGGATACTGGAAGGAGCGAGGTTGGGAAGCGAAAGAAGGAGATGATATCCCTGTCGATGTGTAAATATGTCTACGTTGATCGCTGACTGGGGCGTAGGGTTAGAAGTCTGACACTAACCAACAACAGGTTCCGCATCGAACATATCCGTCGCCGCAACTGCTTCTCAGCTCCTCTTCGCTCTCTCGACCTCCTCACTATACCCTCACCCGTCCACAATGGATTTTGGATTCATTCATCATATATCAACCACGCATGCCTACCTAATAGCGCAAGGACTTTCATCGGCGATATTCTCCTCCTTCGTGCGACTCGCGACATAGCTAAAGACGAGGAGCTCACCTCGCAGTATGTGGCTCCTGAACTAATGTACGAGGAGCGGCAGGAGAAGTTTATGGGTACATGGGGGTTCGCGTGCGATTGCACTCTGTGTGCTGTAGATAAGACAGTAGGGATGAAGCTGGAAGGAGAAAGGATGGCCATATTCGAGGACTTGAAAAGTGTTGCACAACGAGTGGGAAGCAAGCCAACAGTAAGAGTACTCAAGAGATTCACCAGACGTCTTCGTGACCTTGAGGCCCTCTTCGTCGACAACACCTACGCTAAACTCCCGCGTCTATGCTTAGTACACCCAACCCTGTTTTTGACCGAAGCTTGGAGGACTCTGAAGAATGTAGACAAGACCATTGGGTCAGCAACAAACCTGTTGAGGTATTTCGGTATAATTACAAGTGTTGAAGAGGAAAGGTTCAAAGTATTGGAGAACTCTGGATTAGTCAATGTCGAGACCTTAAGAGCGTTGAAGTATATGGCTGAAGGTTACGACTGCAAAGGGAGAACACAAGTGGCAGGGCAGATTAGAAAGGTGGCCAGTGTATGGTTTAGGATCATCACTGGGGCAGACCTTGGCATCGATGAATTCATGAGGGCGTAGAGCAGGAGAGAATATATGTAGGAGCTTTTCTTCAGCGTGCATTGTCTACGGTCATCCTTGATACAGCGCAGGCAAGTTAGCACCCCTTTGTATCCCACAGAAGAGATTGCATAGCCAAAAGTAACTTGGGTGCTCAAAGTGCCTTACCTTACATGTAATCAACCATTTCTACCGCTATGCGCCGTATACGTACTAGGGACGAAGAACTGTGGAGTTATTGGGGCTTGATTGAGCTCGTCTTCCCGAAGCCCCTCTGTCCAACTTTGTCGACCTTGGCCGCGTGGTCGACAAACATCTCACAGTCATCGCGCTACTCTGTTATCAGCCAGATATTTTCTGCTCGAGCTACTCTGATGACTGAGCTGACTCCAACATGTAGCGCGTAATAGCCCTTGCCTACATTACCGCAAGTGAGTATACCTCCAGATATTACGCGCAAGTGCCGGCGACAGTACTCTAGTAAGTGGGTTTGGGAAATCCCTGGACGCTAAAGGCAGGCCGCTTGCACATCTTGATCGGGTTTCCTGGCTTCTCCAGGACAAAAGTGCAGGGTTCCAATTAGCCTTGCCGCTCGAAGTGCTTCTGACTGGCTACCACGTTCTCAATAACCATTGGTAAGAAGTCTGCATTATCCTTACTTCCCAGACCCTTCTCCTTCTGCTGTGTACTATGGCCTGGTTGGATACCGGCGGATGTAGCGCGAGGAGTCGTCAAAGAGCCGGGGTTGGTAAAGTGAGGAGTGCTACGCGAGGAGCATGCGCCGTAACTAGAGGGCAACAACGAACCGGGCAATCGGGAGGAGGTATCAGCATACCCCCAGGACTGTCCGTGGCTGACTTGGGTTGGAGGAAACGGGTCACCGACACGACCGTATCCGACGGATGAGTTGTGCTAGCGATTTGGGTGGGAGCGCTTGTGGCCTGGTCAAGCCTGTTGTTTTGTAATCCGGACCTTCTATGCAATCAGCAAGACTAGCAATGTAGTTGTCATTCGCGATTGCGGCGCCATTGTACTTGCTGGCTTATAGGCGGAGTCTGTTTGCCTCTTGAATGTGGGGGCCATAGTCTTCCCAGATGCTCTAGAGATCTGGAGTCAGTCACCAAGCGCATGAAGCTATGCCTAGATTTGTCGAGGGTAAAGCTGTCGATTCGTCATAGTAGATGGAAGAGGTTGAGCGGGTTGAGAGTGCGGAATGGTAGAGTGGAAGTTGTGTTGTTTGAGAGAAAATGTATCCGCATACATGAATAGCGGGGTCAGTAGAGGTGAGCTGACTGTTCGCTTCACCATCAGAAATGAAACGCACGGTAGCGGGTAAATTTCCCGTCACCATTTCTGAATGTCAAAAGTTAGGGATGAAAAGAGGCAGTGAAGGGGGCGAATAGAAAATCCATTCAATATAACAGGTAGTTGCAACAAAAGGTTGCATTTTTCATGAGATTGAAGACACATTCAATGGATTGTGAATTGACTTCTAGGTTCCAACCTCCAAACTCATAGTATTAAATCTTGTGCCCATCGCGCATAACGGCTTCACAGAAAACCAGCTCCCGTAAGCAGATTTAGCCACTGCTTCCACGCGTCAGCACTTCACATCTTCGTCACTGTAGTAGAAGGTTGACAACTAACCTCACTCAGGATCATCTTCGAGCAACCGCTGAACTAACCGCAAGGCCCTCTTAGCGACCTTCAAGCGCGGTTTGATACTCGTACTGGGATGGAGAGCGGCGTGTTGTTCTAGTTCGTCGATGGCGTGCTGGACAAGCATGATCTTGGTGCTGAGAAATGCTTGCTGCTCTTCGCTCAGGGTCGGCTTGACCTGGTCCACGATGGGATAGTACAGGGCTACTGCTTTGAGCAGGTGAGACTCTGCGCGTCGGAGGACGATTCGGTGACGGCAGGACTGTACGCCTGCTGCGAAAGGGGTGAGGAAGAGAGGAATAGTATTCATTTGTGTGCGTTGTTGGGGAGAAGATGATCGGTGAAGTGGAAGAGTAGTGAGTTGACGGTGCGAATAAGAGAGATTTCAAGTGAGCCGTCCAAAGAGAAGTAACGCAGCTTACTGACATCCCAGTCAAGAACTGGCCCTCTTGAAGCATCCAACGGCAGAACCTCGTCGTCGCCGCTACCGGTGCCGAATCTCTACCGCTACGCGAGCACGTGCAGCCTGCACGCGCTAGCCCCCTCTGCCTATATAAACCACGTCGCCCTCCTCCAACTCTTTTCTCTTTTTGTTCAATTAATAGACGGAAGGATAGCTGGCCTATAGTCAGGTACCCTTTAAAGACGCCATCAATACCATCATGCGAACTTGTCTACAGATTGTTGTGCACTCTATTGCCTTCGGTCTAGTGTCGCCCATGGGACATACCATTCATAGCTGTTAAATTCATATCATTTGATCTATGTGTTCGTGACTTGCTACACTGTGATCAATTCCTGTATCCACGCTTCTTGATCTTGAAGGCTTCACAATGGGTGCTTATTATACTGTGTGGTTGTTTACGAGAGCCGAAAAATTGCGAAGCTGAACCCCAAGAAGGATGGCCAAACTCCGATCCTTTTATGACTGAGCCAAGAAAGCCGTCGAAGAGAACCTTAGCGCTTGCGTTTCCTTTCCCTTTGGCTTAAGCCTTTTAACATTAGGCAGCGCCACACACTGAGAGAGAGAGAGAGAGAGAGAGAGCGAGAGCGAGAGAGAGAGCAGGCTTTGTTTTTGTTTTGGAAGGCTCTTAAGTGACGTTGAACTGACCTGAAAGGCTATTGCCTCAAGTTGTGAGCGCTTTCTAGGTCGCGTCGCCGTTTGATCATCACGCCCGGGTCCGCTGCGCTCCTAAACCATAAGCCTAGAATGTACCGAGAGATAATTCCATAATCTCAGCACTATCTAAGAGCTCAGTGAAACAAGATATGAGCGGAGAGGACAATAACCTGTATAATTGCTGTGACACTTCCGATCTTGTTCCCGCCCTTCACCTCCAACACTGCTGCGCCTTCCCACCGCGTGTTTACAGAACCTCAACGAATGTTCTCCAGTACCAACTGCTTGTCACAGACATCCCTGTCCAAAAGCAGCAGGTTGCTGCCCTGCTTCTGAGATCAAAACTTAGTCACGTGAAGTGTTGATCGAGCGACGCTGGCCCGTGCCATGCGCCTATAAAATTCCGCTTTGCCCCTCCACAACCTCTTTTCTCTTCTTCTTTGTCGGCCGTACGGGCACAGGCTTAGCTTCATGTTAACGTCTGTGTTAGCGCTTAAGGCGGCGGTCCAGGGTGCTCCCCTTGTCATATCAAACACACGCTGGCGTGCAGGCTGCAGCATATTATCGGTTGCAGCGATTCTTGTCGCGTGGACATTCCTTATAAACTCATAGCTCTCAATTCCATCTTTCTCTCCGTGTGATCCGCTCTTCTGTGCTTATGATGCCTGCTTATATGGCTGTCGTATATGCAGGCTTTGAAGATGTGCTGTTACTTGCCCTTCCTATGCTACTCACCTTCACTACATAGGTATTGGAACAGAAATTAGCTGCTTGGTTGCACCCTCTCAAAATACAGCCTCGCACACATCACCGACATCCGCAACTATCGAAACGGAATCGCCGGCGCTGGTCGCAATACCGCTCTCCCTCAACAGCTTATGACACGATCAAGGTTCAAATCGGTATGAGAACTAAAACACAAGGGCTAGAGCTCCCTGGCAACAAGAGGTAGCGAGAGACGCCTCAGCGCGCATAACGACTGGAAGGCTCTTCACTGTTTTCATACACTCACCCCGTACCGCTAAACATCAGTTCAGGCACCTCTACCTCTACATCCTCTCCGCAACGTACAACGCGCAAAATTTATCGACTGCAGAGCCACCAAAACCTTGTAAAAGATCGCGCTATTGATGAAATGTCGGCCTCCGCACGCCAAACCCTATCTATATCTTCGGGATACCCTTCAGGAAAACGCAACGACGGACAACATCGCCGCCGGGAAAAGCTGTGCCTTGGATACTTTATACCAAAGATGTCCATGACAAGATTCAGATCAAGCGTGCAAGGGAGACCCATGCTTTAGGTCAAACGAGCCCTAGAGTCTCTAACTCTCATTGTGTGTTAATATTTTGCAAGACTTGCCTCAGATTCCGAGCCCGAATTCGATCCAAATAACCCGTCATCTAGAAAGCTTTTAAGGCTACACAATATACCGCTGAGTCTGAAAATTAGGACGACGGCGAAGGTGAAGAAGCTATTAATAACAGGGAAGAACTTTACACCGTGATAGCTAGAACTGGACGCACTAGCTAGGGCTTCGAGGCATATATTAGGAAGACTAAGGTCCAGATCAAGGGTCTTTGAGTTTCTCTGTAACACAGCAAGTCCTACACCCGCAGCTGCTACAGACTCTAGAATAGTTGATCGCGTCTTCGCGTACTAGGGAAACCCCGCGCCTGCAGAATGTATTAGGCCAAGGACTGGGCCGAAGAGAGCCATTACAGTCATGGCGTTAGTGATCTCCAGCATGATACTGGCATGGACAATCGATCGACGCTGGTAATTCTCAATAAGATTTAGTTCGATGAGCATAACCAGCACAATACACTGGTAACCGAAATTCTTGCCGCCACAGCCCCAATGAGGCTTAGCAAGAAAACGAATAGCTCTATAGGGAGAAGAATAAGAAATATAAACGAGCAACGAGAGCTTAGGGGGCCAATAATAAGCACCCGCAGCTAACCAGAGAGGCCCGTTTTAAATCTCAGTCTAGTTCATAACATAGAGAGCCCCAAATCAGAGGAATAAGTACCAATTCTTCTCCAAAGTCCACGTCAGATCTCAAGTAAGCAACTGTATAAACAGCCTATATACTCTCAAGACGCGCACGAAGCGCGCAAAGCTGCTTTTTATTAAAAATAAGGGTATAGCTGCGTCTATCAAAGATGTAATATACGCAGATTGTTGCGCTGCCAAGATATCAAGTCTAGTTATTAGAGAGAGGATAGTACCTGTACAGGCAAATATAAGTGATTTATATAGAGTATTGAAAACAAAGTAAGCAATAGTTATACTATGCAGAAAGATCAGAAATTCTATGTTGTGACTAGTAAGTCATAGTGTTATATATGAAGCAGTTATTCAAGTAATGTTACTCTAGTAGTTAACTGCTGCTTTTGTAAGTGAATTTAGTGCAACAGTGTTATAATATTAGATAGTAAAACTAGCGCAAACTCAAGAGCTAGACTCGTTATATAACATTAAACAATTGTTCCTGCTCTAATGCTATACTGCGGTACTTGTATTCCTATCTAAATACCCGTTGCAGAGTTGCGAGTTTCCGCACTTTTCGATACCCAATACTGCTATAAGAGAAGTCAACGCCAATATCTAAGCAATACAAAAGCCTCAGGTACGCACCTTATACCTCCTGTACTACAAATCCTACTACTAAATAACTCAACATACTTAAAGAGCTCGAGCGCCCAGCGTATTTATTAACGCTAGCGATGCTACTAAGCATCTACTATTAAACTCCAAGGATATTAGGGGTTTAGACATTATCTCATGCATATGCAGGCTTGAAATTACAAAAACATATTATAACTTAGGGTGCTCATCTTTAAGCAATATGCTGCTCGATTTAAAGAGTACCTAAATAACCTTTATAGAAGCTGCAATAGCTTAAATAGGGCATAGTTACTTTTAAAATCTTTTTATAAATTGAAGTAATAAGGTGTGCGAAGCTAGCAATGTCGCTGCACAGCTATAGTAATACGCAGAACAATAACTCTATAGGATACTTTAAATAAAACTAGAAGGACTTTAGCTACGTTGATGACCGTTCAGCGTACAAACTTTGGAGGGATTACTATAAGAACGCACGCTCACCCTATATTAAAAACTAAAACTTTAAACCTAGCAATGTATTGTTAAATCTATTAATCATCTAGTTAGAAACAATTAACACAATAAACACTAGGTTAGAGGGCTCGAAAGTTGTAAATATAGTCGAGGAGCTTCAATAGCGCAGCATAGTATTGTTACAATATCCTTGGATCTTTGAGAACCAATTAAGGGCGCCCAACAAGTGTTAATATATATTGTATTTGTAGGGAGTCTATCGTGGGTAAAACGCAACAATTATAAGGAATTTAAGTTTTATAACAAGTAAGGCTGCAACCCTCCGAGACGTTGAGGTAAGGACTCGAAACAAGCAAGATCTTTGGAGTGAATCGATCCATTTGCTAATAATTCAAAATGTTACTAGAGGACCCAGTAATTGAATTTGGGGCTTTTGTTAGTAGTATCAAACTTATTCCTCTTATAATCAGTAACTGCTAACGAGCTTCACGCCAGGCTACAGTACGACATTCCACAATCAATTATAACATCTAGTAGACGATAAAGGTATATAGCATGAACATGCCGCTAGATATCTTAAAGTTTAAGGGAAGGAATAACAATCGAGACGTATTTTGACGTTGCGCTTTAATCCTCACATGTAATCTCCTCTAAGCCTCCAACGTCAACCATGTCTTCAAGAGCTAGTGTTGGAAGAGGGAGCTGAGGTAGTTCCGAGTCTCAAATTCGTACTTGATATGGAAGGGTGGCGATTATTAGTGTACTGTTATACCGACTCAATGATCATTATTATCCTTCTTGTCTAGAACAATCACCAGCCACCAGCCGCCACTCACGCCTCATCCGCCCTCTCGGGTCACCCTCCAGCTACTGCTAAATCTCGTCGTCCTCCTCCTCTTCATCGTCTGTTCCCTCTCTGCCCTCCAGCACCACTTCGTCCTCACCCTCCTCGGCAGTCACCACCGCTGCCTCCTGCTCTGTCATTCCCTCCACCATCCCGGCGGGAAGCTTCTCCCAGAAGTCGGCAGGCGCCATTCTGCGCAGAAAACGTTTCAGTCGGGGCCAAATGGCCTCTCGACGCTCGAGACGGGCGAGGGAGATGTCCTAGTCTACGTTAATCATAGGGTTTGGACAATGTACGGAGGCTATTACCCGGTCTTTCTCCAGCTTCTTCTGCTCCTGCTTGGCGGTCTTCTTCTTCTCGGCCTCTTTTGCTAGGATAGTCTCTAGCAAAGTTTGTGACCGCGGTCGCAAAGGGTTCCGGAGCTTGATGTGTCGCCAGTGCATGACGAAGGAGATTGTTGTTGGTAAGGAAGGAAGAGATGTGGAGGGTTAACACTATCTTATGAATTGCCGTAGTTTACCAAAGATCACAAGATTAAACATCACAAGAGTTTCAAGTATCTAAAAACGCCTTCTACGCTAAACTAAATTGAATCGAACTTCACCTTGAACGAATAGTGCGATGTAATGGTGAAGACGCCTTAAGACGGATTGATCTTCCGCGTAAGACACGTTTGTCCTGCTTTTAATTGGAAAGCACTTTCTAATTCACGCTCATGCTACTATAATGCTATGCAGTTTCACCGCTTTGACTTTCACCGGGAGAACGAGTGTTTGTCGTTGTGACCAAGGTGTCATTTGCGGAGCCGTTACTAAGCAACTTTCCGACTATTGTTTTAATATGTAAGACAAGTTTATCTTCTATTTCACCCACAACTCACACTTAATATCGCAACCTCGACATCATTCAATTCGCGTACCAATTCCGACGTCAGACACCTACTACGACGCTCTTTGCCACAACATGTCTTCTCCTTGGACCAGCAAGACCAAGCCCGCTGAGGCGGCCGAACCATTTTCTCCGACGGATGCGGTGGTTCCAGAGCAGCGCAAATACAATCGTCATCCAGGACCTGAGTTTGGCAATCGCCTCGCTAACGCCCGAAATCTCCATCATACGCATGCCCCGCCTCCTCTTCCTCGACGTCTTCTTCCTGGCCTCGGCACCCAACCTGCCATGGGTACACCTCGTCCGGAGACGATCTGCTTCGGCGACATGTCACCTATCAATACCACGGAGCCTCCGAAAAAGGAGCCTATCTTTACGATGCCGGAGACCAAGGCTGCGCAGCCGCCGCCCCATGTGCGTTACTCTTTCTAATATATCGTATCAGAACAATGTCTAACCACTATCTAGGTCCAAGAGCGCCTCATCCTTCTCGGTCCCCTTCGCATGATCCGCCGACAGTGCGCTAACACGCCAGGTCTCGATCTCCTCGTTAAGTTTATCGACAAGCACATGGCAGACGGATTGCAAACTGTCATCGAACAAGACCCGATCATCCCGGGTGTTGTGTACATGGTGTCGTTACCAATGACAGAGGAGCACTGGCAGATGTACAATCAGATCCTCTCTCGCTGTGGTCATGCGTTGGGTGTCCACGAGATGCTCGCTACTGGCAAAGACGGGTTTGACCATTGGTCTGGATCCGCGAGCCCGCATCTCACCCCAGAACAGCGGGAAGCATATAGGGTTCTTGTGTCTGGTGCATCCGCTGGCTTGGATTTGGAGGAGTTCATGGCGGAGCTCGTCAAGGACCAGCGGTGGATGTGGATAATGGCAGATTCGGGGTACGCGGGAGAGATGGAGCGTTGAATGAGGAAGCAAGGAGGGCGTCGATGGAGTACCCGAGGAGTAGCTAGATGAGATGGTGCTCTAGGGACCTTCTGAGTCCTTAATGGTGTTTGCTTTGGGGTTCAATCAGTGTATTGAGATGCTCGAGGCTTGATTTGGCGTCTCGTAGGAAATAAATTTCTTTACCTGATTCGCACTCTATTTCCCCCCTCCGAGGTGTCTTATTCTAAGATACTTTCATGATAGGTGGAGTTGCATAACATTCCAGTCTGTGCAACACTTGACATCTCTATCAAGTAATTCTTCCAGTCACTGTCAAAACTATTGCTTAGATGGGTTGGGTCAAAGTCTAGTACGGCTGTCCGGCACGACTGATATCCTTAGTCTTACCATCCTGAGCTCTTAATGCTGCTGGTCGTGCGTAGTATTAAGGCTCGGCCCTTTTGTTGCAAATCTCTATTTACTCTCTCATCAACCTCAATCCTCGTTTGATTTTCACCTTAAGTTAGGACTGAAACGAGTATCCAACTGTTCCGGACCATGTCTTGTTATTCTTCTTCTTTCCTCGGTTGGCTGTCCTTTACGGTTTCAGCAAAACCTTTCAGGGACCCTGTTTTGCAAAGCCACCCAACTCCGAACCCCTATTGCGCTATTGCTAGAGCATAGCAGTATGGTGCACCGAGTACATGTTCTGAAATGAAGGTATATAGAGAGTGGCGCAACACAGAAACACCATCTTCCTTCGCTGACCTGAAACCGATAACGGAGCCTTCCTTGGGTTATATGAAAACTCCAATGTGCATAATCCTATCAGCAAACTAACATGCAATCAAAATGTAGATGTTCAGCTTTTCCCTCATGGTACCTGATGGGAACGAGGCGCCTGTGTATAGAATCGTAGTGTTTAATCATTCTGTCAGTCTACCCTTGAGAAACCATCTCCACAACAGTTTTACGGTGATGTAGACTAGCCATGCCATGGTTGAAACTGCTTTCTCTTGTAGCTACCAAGAGCAGCAAAAACATGCGAACGGACAACATGGAATGACTAGTCTGTGAGCTTCCTCTTGATCCACCGTCACTTCGACTATTATAGCTATCATTGAGTGCTCTCTGGAATAAGATCGTTCGAGCGGCTTTGATTGCCTGCCGGCCATCAATATACATATTGCTCCTGTTACCATTTTGCTTTCTCTTTCCCCTCCTCACCTCGCCCCCTACCTTAATCCCGCTCTGGGGCCTCAACATTATGAGGTCAGGAAGGCTTTGGCCTGTAACGCTTGCTCGTGTACTTCATAATGATGGTGACGACCCAGCGCTTGTATAACAAGCAGCGGGTGAGTCTTACACTCTCCATGGAATCATCACCAAACAAGTCGGCTTGGGCTGGGGATATACCTCCCAGCCCACAAGCGCCAAATGTAAGGGCTGGAGTGCTCCACTTTGAGCGTAGGTAAGTCTAATCACCTTCATATTTCACCCAACTTGGTAGCTGACCTCAATGAGGGTGGCGCGCGCCGCTGAACCGGCCACATTATCAGCACTCGCAACCTCGCCAACAAGTCACTATTGTGCAAAACCTGAGAAGACGTACGCCACTTGACTAATACCAATGCTTATCGTTATTGTTAACGGCATAAACAGCTTAACCATGAGAGGGGCTCTAGTGGCCCTTGGGGATCATGGCCACAACACCAGCTCCCTTGGGGATCGCCATTGACCATCCCGCGGATTAGCCCTGAAAATTCGGATCCACTGTCCTGTCCCATTCCCCCGATAGAGATATCTCCAGCTTTCTCGACGACATCACTATCATCTACGCATGGTGTAACTACGCCTGGAATAGCTTGGAATGCAATTCGCACTCGACATTGTTGGCGGACGTGATGTTTTTACTCCGTATCGACTGCTCTACTGTAAGCTACTTCAGCTTACTCTTCTTTCCACCTCTAACTAGGACTTAATTGATTCGTAGACGGCTTTGTGATGGATTTTGCTATGCTGAAATTGGTGTTTGATCCGGGCGTCTAGTATCGGTGGTGAAGGAGAGTTGGGATATCGATGTGCCAGATAAATACAAGCCTTTATTAGCGCTCATCTTTAATCCTTTTCATATCCACAATAAAGTACCTTCTCATCACTGCTGTCTAAAGGCTTCGTACACCTGACGTTCTGTTCCTATCTCTGCAAAACGCACCGCGCTCATCTTTAACGTCCTCGCAAATGCCTCTCCACACCCGCAACGGGGCACGAAGCCTCCCAAGCTACCTCATCATCATCATCAACGTACTCGCCGCAATGAGTCTTCGTCTTCTTCTCACCATCGCAACGCTGGAAGAACCATGGGGAGAGCCTGATTGGACGCAGAACGCAGGCGTCTACGTGTTGACAAAGTCATCTCGTCGAGGGGTTGTATATCTCATCAGATTCTGCGCCGCATATCTGGTTGTCTTCTCTGTGGGTGTCGTCGCCGGGTTCGATTGGCTGGACAATGATTTGGTGGTAAATGTTTGGGGACCAGAGGATCTCCGGGAAGAGGTGAATCGAGGCGGGTTATTGTGGTAGTAGGGTGACGAGAGCCTCCTAGATAAGCTTTTGGAGAAATAATCCGGGGTTGGAGTGGGTAGTTGGCGATCATGGGGGCGATTTGGAGGTTATGAAGTTGAGAGATTGGGATGCCTGGATGGACTCGGCGGCGATTTGGAGGCCTGATTACTATTACCATTGGAGTAGTAACAATTTAAACATGCTCCCTCATTTCCCATGTACCCACATACTCACAGGCGATCAACGAATACGCGATTCGAACGTCCCACAGTTGTACCCTCTTTTGGCATATGATATCCCGACTTAAGAGTTGCCTGGGATACCACAAGTCTTCGGCCACCTCCTTATTGGAGACTTTGTGCATGAATAGGCTGTAGAGCTAGTGATATCATGATCTGGACGTCTGTCGTCTCCACAATGCGTACGATAATTCCCTTCATCCAGGCCTGCTCCGCAAAGGCGGAACAGCGTATTGTGCACTGCATTGACAGCGACCGTTACCAGCGTACGCTTTCAGCAAGTCGAGTTGCTAGATAATTCACTAGTTGGCGGTGTATAGATGGTCGGAACTGCACTAGGTCTGGTGCTCCCGCGGGTTCCCAGATTCGACGCTCATCCGCACGCCCCTCACTTCGGTTCGCCCGCAAGTGCTCGACCACTCCAATCCACCCCACCACCACAAATCGCGAAATTCCCACACGTGAGGAAGCCCGAATACCTGGTAATACAGAGAAGTGGGAAAAGAGGTCAGCTGCTTTATTGCACTGGATCAGAACAACTGCAGTCGGAGGGTTTGGGAATCGACATACACACAGATATCAGCCATCCTACCCCTCCACCCGTTCACACCGCCGACTCACGATCGACGATGAGAACATAGCAATATAAAAGGATCGTATAATGCGGACTTTGGACGGCGGGCCACATTGGTACTGCACGCTGTGTCCGAGTACAAGAACAGACATAGGCGGGGAAGTTGACGCCTACCCCTACTCTCGGCTCATTGTTGCGAAACAGGCGGTCATGGTGGTGGGAAAATAGGTGGAGGGTATATTTGAAGACGAGCCGCAGATCGAGGGTACTGAATTCCGGCGGAACGCGAAGGGGAGGAATTGTACGAGACCTTTACTAAATCGTGTACCCAGGGCATCCAGCCGTACTCGTGAGCCGTCGGGCGCTCTTCAACTCGATGGAACTGAACTAAGGCGCTAGCGGCAATGGGCGCAAACCGATGTTAATTGCACTGGAAGACCCCTAGTATACAGGGCTAAATCCAGGAAGGTATGTACCTCTCCTTCTCTCTCGCAATTTACAAGCAGCCCACTCACTGCGAGAACGATCAGGGATCGCCATGATTCAACTAGAACCCTAGCGCAAGCTGCGCGACAGACCCCAGAGTCTCCCTTCTGCAAGGCGCGGACGGGTTGTCTGCAGCGGCGAGAGGACTAAAGGACCCTACTTCCTCACCACCAATTGAACACCGATAAATCGAGAAAGAGGGCAATCACACAAGCTCCCTGCGACCCACGGGCCTGTCAACATTGCCCTTGCAGTGAGTTGTTGTCCTTATCACTCTGGTAACGCTACCAGCGCTTAAAGGCTCAATCACCGCTAGCTACCAAGCAAGGGTTTCACCCTGCATGAATAACTTAGCATTCTCTTCTAAGACCGAGACTCGGAGGTACGTCTAGTGAATCTTGGCCGCCCTACTTCCTGTACTCGTGATGGCGCGAAGGGTAACAAGAACCACTTAGGACATCAGATTATCTCCACAGCGGATGCGACAACATTGCCTCTTCTTCACGATGGCTCAGCCAGTCGCTCATTGGAAGCAGTAGTTTGCACAACCCCTCGCCACGGTAATCGCAGGAACGGTGGACACTTACGTCAACTTATGGCCCGAAACGATTGCTCGTATCCACGAAGAACTCACCGAAGAACAACACAGCCTGCGTAACTGCGTCAGTGCCCCTTTGTCTGAATGCAACAACTCTCGACTTTCGGACTTCGAGTCGCACGCTGCGACGACCACACCTTTGAAGCCACAGTAAAGATTTGCAAAGAGCTCGACGGGCTTCGCAGCCTTTTCTTTCCTCACAGTAAAGACCTTCAACGACTTTGAGGACTCAACACCTTCAGGGTGGCAAAGCGGAATTTCAGCTACTACGCATCAGACTTTCTCCGCTCAAGCTGTTGGGACGCCTGAATCAAGGAGGCAGTCGAAGCGCACACTTTGCCATCCCTAGGGAGCATGGCCCTTATTGTGCCTCATGCCAAAGACGAGAGCAACAATACGTCCTTATAATGCCATGGGGCAGACCGCATTGAATGCTATGTTGCTGGCTCGTGACCTTATCGGCAGCCGTCGCGCAGAAGGTTCGGATTGTCGATTTGAAGGCCGGACCATTCCCGTCGCGGGTACCCTCCTAGACTTTGGCGCCATAGAGGGACTTTGGTAACCTTACTCTAGGGCTCCCTAAGCAATCAAGGACTCAATCGAGTTACACATGATGAACTTCCAACTTTGCTTATCTGGGCTATTCTGCGAAAAGCATAACCCAGTACTCGACACGACGTCCTCGACGACTCGAGAGTCCAGAAACAGCAGGATCGAGCAGCCGGCCGAGAGACCTTCCAATTTTTCTATTATGGTAGCGACGATCTACCGAGCGTTCACTTCGAAAAATTAGCCTTCTCCAAAGCTCGACGAATAATGACTGCCACAAGAGGGCTGCTACCGGTTCACGACCGAGGTGCATGGCGCCCCTCAGATATGGGGGTCGCTCTTCTCCCGACGATGGGGTACTAACAGGACGCTCTCCTGTCCGGCTTTCAAGCTTAGGGATTGCTATGGCCACCTTACCGCTACACTCGAAAATGGGCCCATAGCGTAGGGTAATCTATTCAGTTCACCCGAGTAGCCAGAATGAAGACTTTGTTGTCTTGTAGGTCGCCTCAAACTATGATGAGCCTCGTCTCTAGGCATCATGTCAATGTTCAGGTTGGTTCAGCCATATGGCTCAAGCTCTCTAGCTGACCATCTCAGTACGTTGCTTTGGTTGTATCATCGAAACAATCAGAACAAGTGCATCGCGACAGGGAGCGTAGGCGTGCACTCATGAAGGCGGTCTACGCGAATACAGAATGTTGCTATGCATCCCTTGCTTGCCATCTTAAGCAAGTACAACTGCCAAGACGAACGCTGCCTCAGACTGAGACCGAACATGACAACGGCAGCACATCGTCAGCTACAGGTGACATTCTGCCGAAATAGAAGGATGGTGTAGCTATTTCAGAGCGACGTTATCCACCGTGTCCGATACTCCACACGCCGGAGACAGCACAGACACGGCCAGAATCTGCGTTGCACCGCAGCGTCAAACACCAGAATGCTCGACTAGCCACGATAAGATTATGCAAGCGAAACCACTTCTCGGTGATGCGCTAAACGTGCGCAAGGCGAAAAATCACGCGGACATTGAGATTATGTTCTTGACAACACTGCTTTGTCCAAATCGAAGGTTTCGCATGCGGTTACCGACCACCCTCCTTTTCTGGATAGTAGGCAACGACGTCGAGAAAGTGTGTTAATGTTTCAGAGAGGTCTGATGCCAAGAACTTGAACTCGAAAATCCCTAGTCATCGTAGGCGGTAACCTCTCTGGCCTTGGGCTAGTAGAAAGCAATCGGAGATCCCAATTGGACTCCATTGAGGATATTTTTATGTGAGCATACCAATGCATGTGCCACTTAGTGGATAACATTGGTGTATAACGGACATCCAGGCGACGTGACGGAAGTCCGATGGCCTGCGTAACAGAAACCACAGCTTCAGCCGAAATGTTCGCACGGACAGAGGCAAGGACCACACGTTCCCCTGTACCGAGAAAGTTGTTCCGACCCGGGGGCCAACTCCTAGAGCTCGGCGGTTGATTCATGGCACACTGTCTCCCATATCCCTCGTACATCCATCTGGGGCGCTTGATTCACATCTGGAAGTCAGACTATTGATGCTGATTCACTCTGGGACCACCACAACTCCAGCGCAATGGCAGACATAAGGCTTCCGGCCTATCACCACCCTACCCATAGCATGTGGACGTATTACCATGGGCGCGGAAATATCTTCGCTATCCTCCTTCTGAGTTTGTTGCAACACCACTTTTACGATTTGCAGAGAGCGCTCCGAGCTTTACGACGTTTTATTCTCTCCTCCTGAGTGACCAAGCCGTTGAAGTTCATCGGTACCGAGCTCTGTCATAATTCGTGTTCTTGTTGTACATCGTAGATCGACAAGCGGCAAGCAGCTTTGTTCCAACTCCATGAAGCTGAGCATGCGCGAAACTTCGAAGACGATGCCTGACCTCACGCGTTCAGCAGAAGGATCTTGGGATAAGCCACTAAACCGGAGGAGCGTGCAGATCGTTTGGATACACCTATCGTCTCCTCGTCAAATCTAAGAATGGTCTATCCCTCTGGGGTCGGTCTTGGGATGTGCTTCCTAGATTTCGACGAACCTGTGGACTGTGGCAATGACACAGCTTTGGTCATCGATCATCGTAACTCTTTCCTAGTAGTGTGTCGCCTCAGAAGAAATCAATGCTACAACATCCAAGCCAAAGGAGCGATACTATCAGCAAGTTGTCCGTAGAGACTCTCCAGAAACTGGGTTGCCGTCCTCCTCTCAATCCTTACATCTCGGACTTTGAGAGTGCGCTAAAGGCTAGACGTAGAGATTGGGAGTTCCTCCCCTTCAAGTTGAGCTATTCATAATTGGATAAAGCCCCGTGTGTCCTTGGATGTCACCGCAGGTTGCCGATGGATATTTTATACCGAGAGAAAAGTCACGGTGGGCTGCAGCCGAGTTGCAGCTATGAGCTACCACATCTGCACACCCTACCCATCCTATCATTCTCGGCGAGTATTCTGCCCTCGATTCTCGCGAGATGGCAAAAGTCTGGCTCGAAAACATCTCAGTGTCGAGAGTTCCTGGGTCCTCCAAGTCATGCCCAAGTCACAAGCCGCCTTTCGGTTTTGGACAGGTGGCTGAGTCTCTGGCAAATGCATCCTTGGCCAATGTCAGATGCGCTATACTCATGGGTCCATTCATAACCCTGAGACTTCGTTCGTAGGAGATTCGGCGAAATTAACGATATAGGGTTTGCCGCTATTTCAGATCTCTTTGGTCTATTCGGCACTCCTGATCGATTGCTGTAAGGGGCCAAACTGATTATACAAGTAGGGCGTGAGATGCGGCAAGAAAGAATAACGGAATGAAAGAGCGAGAGGTAGTCTCACCCCTGCGAGGCAGTTGTCGTTGTGTACTGCACTTGCGAGTGACAGCTGCGAATGTCCTAGGGCAGGAGCGCCTACGACCAAAAAGGCGCAGTGCTCAGGATACATATCCCACCAGAAGTGAGAAATATAGGCCTAGAGAAAAAAAGACAAGCTGATCTTATGAGGAGGTAAATAAAACACGACAAAGCATGAGAGTGGTCTAGAGAACAGACTAGAAGAGGTGGGGGAAGGATTACGATAAGAAGAACTGAAGTTTGGCAAAGAATGTAAGATGAACACCCTTACCGCCATCGGCTTGGGATAGGAAAGAGGTAGGAAAGAGTAAGCGCAAGGGTGGGGTTGATCATAGGAGCCTGCCTCTGAGGCTATCGATCGAACTGTCGACATCTGCATTCAGTACACAGTCAGCAAAGGTTCTCAAAAGGAAGAGAGGGAAGACAAACCGGGCCACGTCAGCTATCACGGAGCATCCACGAGGATCAGTAGCAAACAACATCGAGTTGCTCGCGCATCGAACAAGCGCGTTAAATCGAAGATGTTGGAAGGTGTCGAGATAGAACACTCGTACTATCACACAAAGCACAGCAAGAAATCGCATTCAGATTAGTCGTAAATCAAAGGGCTAAACCTCGTTTAGATGCCAGATGGATGAGGAGCTCAGAGACGATACCCTTGGAGGCTTCTGCCAGATGATTCAGGTATCGATGCTAGAGTTTTACGAACGTCATTAGCTGCACCTGATGTAGGCGCCTGATTGAGGACGACCAGCATCGATGTTGAGAGCCAAGGCTACTGGAAAGGCTTGCGCAGGTCGTTAGTTACACTAGACACGGCGCCTCACCGAGGCCGACCGTTGCCAAGTTGCTATTGTTGAAAGCCGGAACGTCGAAAGCCAAAAAGGGACCGAGAAAGGTGTACTGTTCTCGTCGGAAGAGGTTGTGAGGGCTGTGAACCGACATCGACGACCAAATTGTCGAAACCAAAAGTCGCACTTCGCGAGAGCCGTAGTCATAGTGATGTTGCTTCATCGCGTCGTCGCATTGTCGCATTACGATGCTGTGGCATCATCATTTCGTGCGAACAACACACAGTCCACCACAACTTCCACCATCACGATCCTCAGCATTGGTTTTACCCAACAGCTGACGTTTCATGGGGACTGGACATTGCCTGAATCTACACGGGACGCACCAGAGGTAGATCTCTCCCTTCCCTGGTGTAGTTTGCCCGTCCTACACCTCCAGGCGAGATTACTTCGTGTTAACCTTTTCCTAAAGGTTGTCCAGGTCGCCCATATTGTGACCTTTCTGGTATCAGTAAGACCCAATGCCGAGTAACGTGGAAGGTTGAACCGTGGAGGACGGTGTGTGGTTCGTGGAAGAATGATTCTGATGTCAAAGTCATCGGTCGACGTAGGAGTTGACGAAAAGAGACGGAATTGAATCGACTGAAGATATCGAGAGCGATGAAATGTCAAAATAAACGACCAGAACTTCTGGAGAGTCGGATCATACTTCCATTCCGAGGCCTCGCACTCATTGATCGCTAAGTCGGCACTCGACGACCCCGAGCAGTAATCCTATGCGATTCTAGAGATGTCACACAGAGGCCAGAGAAGGGTCGGATAGCATGGATCAGGCACTTCCGCTAGGCAAGCGTTACGCATAAGCTAAGAGAGGCTTGAAGGCGAGGGACATCAGGGTTGATGCAGGCCTTCATGCTGACTGCACAATCGGCACGTGTATCCGTCTAGTCGCCCAACGAGGGAAGCAACGATAAGGGCAATGATGGCTGTGCACCACGTCCTTAACGATACGATGGTATACCTATAGGCAGGACGAAAGTGGGCGATGAAGCCTGCACTTTGGATTGTTGGTGCCAAAGCGAATCGACTCTGTTGAGGTCGGCCGAGCCCGCGAATGTATGCGGCTTAGTCGAAAGTTGGGATCGCCCTGTAGCAACTTTTCAACAGAGCATACGATGTGTGCTCATGCTTCATACAAGGTCCAGCCGACCTCCGATATCCTCGAAGCCCTTCACCATATGACTATTATTGTTCGGGTTACGGAAATCCTGACGATAGCTTGTAGGCGGTGCCGTGGCTCGGTTCGACATCGATATCGACTAATCGCTTGCGAGTTGCTTAATCACAACGCAGGAGATAATGACTGTTGCTATCTTCTACCCTATGTGTGCGCGAGGTAGATATCTATGCGATCGTATCGTTGTTCATCGAGGCCCAGAGGCGAGGGCACTGCAAGAGTCAAATCAGCAAACGGTGGATAACAGTAGGGAAACTTCTGAAATGAACACTAGACGTACCTTTTGGCTATTCAACGCCCGCATGTTGGGGAGGATGGTGCTTAGATCTGAGAAAGCTCCTCTTAGAAGCATGGAGCTCGGAATGAGGTGGTGGTAGAGGGAGAAGGGTTGCGAAGTGAGCTCAATGTGCTGCGGCTTTTGATGCTGCAGGCGCTACCACAACGCTGCAATGCGCTCAACAGCAGCAGAATGAGCGAGACGTAGATGAGCGCGTCCTTCTCTACAACACGAATCTGCTCGTAGACCTCGATTGTGTTGTACGTTGTGGTGGTGGGGGTGGACAGGAAGCTGGCAATAAGCTGGTGAGAGACGCTCTTGGTGTCTCGGACTTCAGCCAGCATCTAACGCCAAGCTACACGACCTACCCCTGTTATCAGAACGACCACGCCTGCTACAAGCTTTAGAGTAGGCTCATTTGAAAGAGCAGCTTTGGAAAAATCGTCTCGTACTGCGTGCAGGTCTGGAAGGACTTGTTTTGACTACTAGGGGGGCGCTGAAGGCGCCATCTGCAGACACCCCCACCCCGCGGCGGCTTGAGGTCCGGTCGCCGGAGGTGGTTGCGGCTGGCCTAATGCATGTTCTGAGCATGACAACACCGACAGCAGCCTGCTCGCATACTCTGATAACGTATATTGAGCTCGTATCAAGCGGCAGGAGGCCCCCAAAACATCCTCGATTTGCGCAGATAGCTGCCCATCATGTGTTCAGCAAACCCGGCGAGCAACATGATCCCCCAGCACAGCAATACAACGGCACGCTCACCACACTAGGATCAGGCAAATGTTGGGGCATCAATAAGAAGGGGAACCAGAGTCATGCACCTCCGGTAGAGGGCAGCGACTGAAAGTTGGAGCCTGCGATCACAATGCATCAGCACCCAGGGCGAACGCTACAATTATGCAGGGTTTGGGGATAGCATCACATGCTTTGCAGAACTCTCAGAACACCGAGACTGCTTTCTCACAAGGATCTGGAGCCTGCATACAAAGTTCCGAGCTTGCGGATGAAGCACGAAGGAGTAATGTGCGCTACAGTCAAAGCGGAGATGACCATACCCCACAGTCGGAGTACCTGGTCTAGGCAAGCCTTCGAGCACGTAGATGGCGAAGCCGGAGACTAGTAACGTAAGAGATGCGGCTATTTTTTGTTGTAGCCTTTTAGGAAACTCTCGCGCAGAGATCGACGATCAACAGTTGTGCACATAAGCCACTTTATCTTGCACGTACTACAAGGCTTGCATACAACAACACCATCATTCAGAGATTGATAAATATGACGCTCTAGTTCGTATTCCCTTTATTAAACCCTACACATAAGGATTATTCCATACATTTGCACAAGTCGATGTTGTCTTAGAGGTAAGTACGACTTCGATGTTTTCCTTTAGTTTCAAGCTCTTAGATTAACATCTCCTAATGTAAAACCACTCAAATCTTCACGAAGTCTTGAAATGTTCTTCTATCTCTTCTCTCAAGTCTGGGCGGGGAGCAGCTTTTATATGACCTTAAAAGGCGTGAAAAGTCATACTCTGACTATTGTGTTTCGTAAGGTGCTCCACTCGTTCTTCTCAGCGGTGAGCACTATGTAACACGGGAATCCTCGAAGGTGAAGGTTTGAGGGTTGATACCAATTGGGAGAACGACCATGATGCTTGATACAAAGGTTAACTGTTAGCTCGAGCAATTACTCTAGAAGAATCAACATAATCACAAACATCTCCTGACTTAAAGTACCTCTAGCGATCGGTAACTGTTCCGATTTCCCGCCGACTGTACTCAGCATCGGGCAAATGGGTAGTCACCCCGCGCTTCTTTTCGGGCATCGGCATAATCCTACCCTAGTAATAATTAATGTCGGTCTTCCCACATGGATATTAATTCTGCAATCAAAAAAAAGTGTTCGAACTATAATCATTGTAAACTATGCGCTAATGCTAACCGCAATTCGTCTATGCACCCTTGTCTTAATTCATATGCATTCTTTGGTTTAAGTAATATTATTAGTCTTTACTCGTGACACCATGAAATCTGTCTATTAATAGTGAAACGACTCTAGCTCCGGCATCTAGGGACAGTGGGACAATGCTAACCCGGTGTTATTTGCAATAACGCTACTATAATCCAGCTGAGGTCTCACCTGTATTTCATGGCTTACAACAAATCGTAACATTGATCGCTCACAAATGGTGTATTTGGGTTTATCAGTCTTGGGGCTGCTGGCTTCGGTCGCAGGTGCCACACTCCAGATTGTATCTGGTGCGACATGGACTGCTGTAAGTCGGGTAGAATGCCTACATGGGCTCAACTGACATTACTTTGCAGACGAACACTGGTCAGCACATACAAGCCCATGGTGGTGGAATGATCAAAGTTGGTGAGAAGTGGTACTGGTATGCTTTGTATCTGCCCAGGACCATGGTAACATGCCACTCATCAACACTCTAGGGTTGGTGAAGACAAAACAAACGGCACAGCATTCATAAACGTAAACTGCTACTCTTCATCTAACCTTGTAGAATGGAGCTACGAAGGGGCGCTTCTTTCACGCACCACATCCGGGGACACAGGTCCAAATCGTGTCATCGAGCGCCCAAAAGTCGTGTACAACAAGAAGACAAACAAGTATGTCCTGTGGATGCACATCGATAGTGCAAACTACGGCGAGGCGAAAATTGGCGTTGCGACGGGCGATACAGTCTGTGGTAAATACACATATCTAAAGAGTGAGAGGCCTTTGGGGTTTGAAAGTAGGGATTCTGGGGTCTATGTGGATGATGATGGAAAGGGGTATCTACTTACCGAAGACGTCTGTCCCTGGAGTCTTATAAGCTGACATAGATGCTAACAGTCATAGCGTCGCAATGGCCTTCGCATCAACCTTCTCTCCGACGACTATCTTACCATCCAAAAGAACGTATACACGTGGAAAGAAAAATACGAAGCCCCCGCGATTGCCAAGAAGAGCGGGGTGTACTTCATGTTCGCCTCTCAACTGTCTGGCTGGGACCCGAACGACAACTATTATAGCACCGCCACTTCGCTTTCCGGTCCATGGTCTGGTTGGAAGAAATTCGCCGACTCCGGCTCAAAGACATACGGTTCTCAAACAACATTCATCGTACCTGTGGGTGATCAGTTCATGTACATGGGTGATCGATGGCAGAGTTCAAACTTAATGCGGAGTACTTATGTCTGGCTGCCGCTGAAGATTGATGAAACCGGTGCTAGCATGAAGAATAGTGTGAATTGGGTCCTCGATGTAGGATCTGGGTCCATGACCGCCGGTCCGTCGGAGAATCAGTACGAAGGCGAGTCAGCTACCCTCTCTAATGGCGCGAAACCAGTGTCCTGCTCGGGTTGCTCAGGTGGCAACGCAGCAGGCTATGTTGGTGGCTCATCTTCTGGAGCTATGCTGTTCAAGGATGCGCAGAGCTCAGCAACAACTCGGACTACGTTGAGAATTAAACATTTGAATGGAGATAATACTCAAAGGTATGCGGATGTTAGTGTGAACGGAAAGTCACAGAGGGTGGCTTTCTTGCCGCACGGGGGTGGTGATCCAGCTAGTTCGGTTGTACATGTGGATTTGAAAGAGGGTACAAATGAGGTCAAGATCTCAACATCGGGTGGTTGGGGGCCGGATGTGGATCGGCTGGCAGTGCCGCAGTCGTAAACGTAGACTGGGTGATGATGAATAAGGTGTGCATAGTTTGAAAGCTGCGGCAAAGGCCCCGCATTCGGTATTGAGGTTCTCTAGTACTTTGTATTAAACATTGTGGGCTTTACTTTGAGTGTAATTATCCTCTAATCAGATCGATTAAGGGTGAATCTCGGTTGTGACACCTGGGCAGCTTAGTTGCAAAATGAAGGGCTAGCCTAATTGAGTAAGATGTCTAATGCACAAGGCTCATCTTGCCACCAACATTTCACCTCATCTCACAATCACCAGCACGATGGTGTTACTAAAATCGCTTCGCAGGATGCTACCGGAAATGGAATCTCTCACTACCGATGTAACAGATGTCTTAGTTTTTGAATCGCTCAATGCGCTAATATCTCATGCAGCCACAAGACAGCCGTACTCACTTTCGCTTCGTAGAGTTGCCAGGCGAAATCCGAAATCAGATCTACTTATACGCCATATACCCGGAGCTCAGCACGGTCATTGTCTGTAATTGTGAAAAGCCAGAGCATTTCGGCTCGCGCATACTCCGGCTTCCGCTTTTCCGCATCTCACGCCAAATCCGAGCCGAGTCTCTCTCATTCCTCTGCGCCACCAAGACTTTCAAAATCCTGGGTATTGTCACCGCAAATGCCTTCTTTCAGGTTATTGGTACGGCGATTGGCAAGATGAAGAGCATGACACTTCTTCAACCCCTAAGTGAGATCACACCGTCATGTAAGGAGCGTACAGACCGATTTTTTAGCTCCATGACAGATGCGAAAGCGTTGAAAGAGTTTCGCTTGGAAGGATTGGGAAACTGGGTTCCTCTATGCAATGAAGGAGAGTACTACACGTTTGTGAGACGGGTGCGGAGCCTGGGACAGGGGAAAGATATTGAGATTCATGTTCGGTTTGGGAAGTACGGATAGGGACGTATTCCTTTGAAAAGGAAATTTATAAGCATCAGGTGAGCGATAAGAGCTATGAGCCTGCTTGTATGATGCACCGCCGTGTAGACCGAAACCACCGTCAAACCACCTCCTCACCAACCCCTCGGGTTATCAACATAGTACGTATTACAGCGACGGCTCGCGAATCATCACCGTACTCTTGTCCATCCCCTGCAACCCGTATTTTCTCAAGTCCCATATTTCCTCATACCTCGGCTTGAATCCCATCCGTGCGTACAGTGGTCTTCCCATTGGGGAAGACTCTAAATAAGAGGGCAGCTGCGCGTTGTCGGCTTTCTTGAGACCCCAGGCTATCAACATAGCTCCTGCGCCTCGACGATGATGCTCAGGGTCGGTTACCAAGATATGCAAAACTTTGGAGGCTTAGCTTTACCAGGCAAAGACACGGTGTGGAAGCTTACAATAGAACGGTTTTCTTCCCATGTATTCCCGTCGCGCTCGGGTTAGAAACCACATGAAGTCTTGCGCTCCCGGCCTTCCTTCTTCATCGATCCCGGGAATTGGGAGCATACTCTGTATCTGTTCTTCTGTCCGCTCTTTCTCGTTTACGCGCCACTTGCCGCCGGCGATCATCTTTCCACCAAGATCTGTATCGATGACTTTGAGGTAGTGCACATCTGGCTCATCCCGCCAAGATTTAATGTGTTTGTCAATTGACTTTTGTACGTAGTCGAAAGGCAGGGGAGTAGGGGTGAGAAGGGATGTTATGCCACCCCCGCCGGCGAAGGCAGCCATTTGAATGCGGACGAAGTCGGCAAAGTCCGATTCTTGTACAGGGTGGATTTCGAGAGGCATCTTAGTTGCGGTTGTAGGAATAATATGACAACAGCTTGTGTAGTTGCTCTGTTTGATGGCGCTATGTTCCTAACTTTATAACAACAATGCTAAAAGATTGCTAGTGAAGGCTGGTACCTATACGTTCCTTATGGAGCGATAGCGGGGTACTAATGCTCCACCACGGCCGAATGAGTCAACGTCCGCCCTTTCACGTCCTTGATCACGCCTACTATTATGCGTATGTTGACAGCGATGCAATGTCAACGACAGCCCTTTCAGCATACGTGAGTTTAAGCGCACACGCGTTAGCATAAATAAATCCCTGCATTAAGAGATCGTAGGGTCATTCATAAATCAGTGTCGAGTGCCGCTTATAGGCTGCGAAGCGCAGTCGAACGTCCTTGTTATCGCGGCTGTCGAAAATGCAAATTATCGACAGTATCTCGCTGAACGCTCTTTCGCGCCATTGACCCAGCCTGTAAACCTCCTCCTTGATGTGCGCTGCAGCCTAATCGACTAAGCTTAGTCAGCCTTGGGATTCAAGATTTGAACGTTAACACTTGAAATTGACAAGGCACCGAGCATATAAGAGGATTTTCAAAGCGCCTGCGCCCTAGTTGAGCTATCGCCGGTTTCTGTGAAAGTACTTTGAGTACCGAGCATATAAGGCCTCGCGCATCTCGCTCTTTCAACCTCACGTCGCAACCGTCTTGTATACGTTCCAGCTGTGATGTAAAAAGCGCTCAGTGTGTATTCTATATTGGCCTCTGTTGTCCAGTATGCACATCTCCCCTGCACTGCGTATTCTATAACGCCCGTGGCTTCTCAATTCACATGCATGCTATAAGGAGTAATAGTGGGGATAAACTGTTGTCAATCGCGACCGGCTACCTATCAAGGCTATAAGCGGACTGCCTTTCTGCACCTTTGTGTACCCAGTTGAGAGACTCTTTATACTGATACTCCTAGGGCACCAGCATGGTAAGCCGATATCCAATACCATGTAAAATAGCAAAAGCCTCCATACTCCTTTAGTTTCGCCCAAATAAGAACGGGTAGTCTAATGAGAGTCCCTGAGGGCACTTCTATCTAGTGCTGAATCTTCGACCTTGGAGGGAGCGGAATACCTGGTCCACCCGTATTTCTCATCCTTTCCTGGATCAAACGTTCGGTATCCTCCAAAGACCTCAGCTGCGCTCCTGCCACCGTCCTTGAGCTCCTCCTGATAATTCTCTCTTTCTGGCCAATGAGTGACTCCTGCTTCCTGCTAGGCGAATTTCTTAAGCTATAACTTGACGTTGGAGGTGCGTGCGGCGAAGAGATTGAAGGGCCGCCGAGGTCGTACGTCCTCGGGCCAGCAGAGCTGGGACTTCTCAAGGGCCAGTCGGATCGATCATCAGAACGCAGTGGTTGGATCGATTGGGAAGGGACAAGTTGGAGGGGTATTAGACCGTTGCGCTTTCTAGAATTTTCGAGATTCGACTTCCGCTGCTTGCGGCGATAGCAATAGGCTAGACTGAGAAGGATGGAGAAGATGCTGAGAGTGAGGAAGCTGGCTAGCAGGATGTACTTCCAGTTGCGACGGAACCTGCTAATAGTTAGTATTATTCTCGAACTTGGATATCTACGACTTTTTCTGCAGAGGTAGTAGACATAGCAATGCTAATTTGGAGAACACATCAGAAGTTACGTACCATGTACCCTGATGGTTCAGTTTGTCCTGACCATCCTTAGTGGGTGTAGAAGTCGCGGTATCACTCGTGCCAGCTACTGGAGAGGAGCTCGGGGTGACAGTAGGGGTCGTACTTGTTGTCGGTGCTCGGTTTGGTGTGTTGCAGATGGAATTGTAAGAGTGGTAAATGGCCAGATCATCTTTCTCGTCGCAGACATCATGGCATATCTCGCCATTGGCATGAAGGCTTCGAAGATACTCAGACTGACAGAGGCAATCAACGTAAGTTGCTTGACTCGAGGACGGGGCAGTAGGAGGAACGCAGTTCAGCTCCGAGGTCTCGAGTATCTTGCAATTACGCGCGCAAGACGGTAGTTGGCTGTAATCGAAGACAGATGGGAAGTCAAGTGCCAGTACAGTCGCGATCTGCGCAATACACAGCAGGAAAAGGCCGATTTTCATGGTTGCAGCAATTATTCTTGACGAATAATTACGGGGGGTTGAGGAAAGAGTGGTACCGAGTGGTTGGTAGCTTACTGAAGAAGGTAGTGGCAAGAGGCAAGCCTGCAGCGTCAGTTTATTTGTGATGCCTGGGCCCTCGACGAAGATATTAGTCCAAGCACCTGGCGCCTTTATCATAAGCGCGCTCTTTCACTGCAAAAGCGTTGCTATAGCATTTCCCCCTCGAGGCTTGAGTGAATGTCCCCGTCAAATTGAGTGCATTCGCGCTATGAACGCATGACTCTCAATGAGAGATGAGCGTCAGATGCAACTGCACTTATATGTAGTCACAATTAAGAGCAGTAATGTTGTAACTGCCTTTTCGAATCAGCCCTGCCTGTCTTTCGTGTTCGCTTTGTCGCCTCTGCCTTTATGCTAATTTCTTTAAATATGCTAGGAACAGAGTCAACTGGGTTTTCAACCGTCTGTATTAACTTTTGTTCTTTCAATAATACCTGATTTCTAAATTTTTAGATTTATCTGTGATAGAAGCGAATAGGCTGCGTAGTTTGATTTTCAAACTATTGTCTCACATCATTAGCTCTACTAAAAGGGTTCTTGCATCGACGAAGGTTTCGGACTATTCCAATTCCTACACGTCACTCAAGCCCATTGAGATGTAAGCCCAATTTCTCTTTAAGTATTGCATGTTTCCCAATATGAGCTCTCGAAAAGGCGAAAAGCGGGAGATAAAAGATATATTAAGATGTCATCCAGTCACTTGCAAATCACATTGGTATGACAAGGTGGAGAGAAGCAACATGATATTGCCCTAGAAGAGCGCTACTTACAACACAGGGTGTTTTCACCTTAACGATTTTTATGGGCCCCCCACAACACACGTTGAGGTGTGTGTCGTGGGGGTTCCATAAAAACAGTTAAGGTGAAAACGCCCTGGATGGCAAGTAGCGCTCATCCAGGGCAAACCAGTCGCCGTCCAAGTATCTCGAGAGCGCAGGCCCCAACCTCGCCTGGCTCAGTCGTCAGCGCCGTGAAGCTTGTCTGACGTCCTTGCATTGCATCGAGATACACCGCTACCAAGGCTAGCCAGCCGACCCATATCCAGCCACCCACTACCCTCATCTCTCCAGGATCAGCATCCCCGCGAGGTTATCCATGCTCCTCCTGTCACTTTGGTAGCCAATCGAGGTTCGCTATCATCGCCGCTATGATTTCTTGCTTTGGAAGTAGGGAGAGATCGGTGCTGAATGGTATATCAACATGATTGTAGACCTGTATAGGCGTTTCATCTTACTTTGTATCCAGATCATCATCCCGTAGCGCTGTTTGAGCAACCCGAATAAGTGTCCACGCCAAGAATTCGTGCTATGACCCTGAGTCTATCACCGAGTGGCTGCCAAAAATTGCTGAAGATACGCTGCTAGCTCAGATGGACGAGCACTGGGCATGTAGGAGGCACCGTGGAGGGCGCAACCTGCAGGCAGTAGGTTTGAGAAGTGACTGCGCTCTAGCGGCTGACAGGAACATGGGCCGTTTGGTCAATGGATTTTGGCCGGTTGCCCATACCACTGTATCGCAATTAATAACGGGTATGGGAATTGGGAGTTATGAAGGGGTACTCACAAGGCCATGAATTGATACCTTGATTTGGCAGGATCGCGGTCGCCGGTGTGAAGGGCGTGCTTATGCCGAAGATGTAGAAGAGACGCGAAACCCAGCACCACTGTGATGGAAATGAGTGTGCGCATACTTGTTGAAGATAATGGTGGTGATTCTCAGGCCCGACCGATAAGTCGATGAATCTACTCAAGGTCAGCCACATCACTGCACTCAATGTGACTGCGAGAACAGGGAGGAGACTTACTTTCTCGTAACTATAAGACCCAATGCACCAATATCGATCCACTAACGGTACTTCGAGTAGGATATGGTGGATTGTTGAGGTGTTGCGGCAGGATATGTTGGAGCTCGAGGGTATTGCAGTACTCATAAGAGCCGCAAGCTCGCCTTCTTGATTTGGGACCAGCCATCTCATACAGATGGTAGTGGTGTCTTAAAGCTGGATGCACTCGATCCAATAGTCTATGGGAAGTTAGCAATTGCGCGTTAACTAACGAGGCAGACGAAGAGGCCAGGGGTGTGACTCACTCACTCAAGATCAACGGTCGCACGCTTCAACCCAGAAGAGCAAGAGCGGCTTCGTGAAGGCGATACTCACGTCTGCCATGACATTCATTTGGCCCGTCAGTACGTCAGAGTTGGGTTTCTGAACCCTGACCATGGCGAGGGTAGACTGCTGGGCGTACAGGTTGAAACTGAGCGGTACTATGAGCCAGGTCTCTTCTGTGGTGGGCAGTGCCGCCCTAGGAGCTTTTTAGCCTCGAGCAGAGTTGCGGCAAGCGTGATCATCATCATCAGCAATGTGAGAATGAACTGGAAGTGACTTGGCGAGCTTCTCTCGAGGACAGGAAGGAAAGAAAAAACTTGAGTAACTGAGGTGTTGAGAAATTTTGTGGTGTTGTAGTGGAAAAGGTTGGGCGAGGTGAGAGGCAGTTTGTTATGAGCAAATTTGACTAAACCCTAAAACGGAAGGGACGTGCTGCAGTGCGCCAGCTGGGCAACTTCAGGTCGCAGTCAGTGAGATTGTGAAGGCGAACCAGCAGCTTGGTTCATGTTTTGACCAATTAAAGTAATACCCCCTAACCTCGTCACATACCGCGTCTAATCACCATTGATTGTTCCAGTTATGGGCCGTTGTGCTTCCGTGGCTAGAGATGTTAAAGACTTTCCGCCTTTACAGCTTCTAAATTCTTATCCCTGATGCATAAAATCCTCCAATCAATAGCAAAGACTAACTTACTTTAGTCTGCTGTGGGAACTCGTTGCCTGCACTCGATAGTCAGCCGCAACCCCTCAGTATGCTGCTCAAGATTAAGCTCGATCCCCTCGAGACACAGCCCTGTGGCGGCCCGCTGACTCCATATGAGCATGTCGCGATGGTGCGTCATGTTTTTATCATTGTCAGCGTGGCGAGGGATCTCGGACCCGAACACCTACTAGACCGTGTATGAACTCGTCGAAAGGCTCGGATCCACAAAGCAATGTACGCCTGCCTAGGAAGAGCAAGCCGAAGCGTTGGCTCGATTTATCACATTTCGTTGGATATTTCCAAGATTAGAAAGCAGTGTAAAGGTAGTGATAACTACCCGATCCTCAGAAAAAGTCGTGCGAAAGACATATGGTTAGATACGCAACACTGTGAGCTGGGTGTTGAGAAGAAAAGTTATAAAACTCGGAGAACTCTGTGCAAATAGCTGAGTGATTGGTACTGCTGATACATATAAGTTGCCCCAGCAATTCTACAGCGCTTCTAGAACTGGCTGATAGACAATAGTGTATATAATATGGCTATGAAGTAAAACGTCCATTGTATAATACATTTTACGTAGCTACGTGAGGCCAGTAACTGTATGAAGTATGGGAAAAGAACACCTGTTAACTGCGTATAAGCTCAAGACCAGCCACGTCAAACGCCTGGCTCATTGCTAGACGCCTAGCTTGACCCAACTGCATATATTCGACGACGTGAGTTGGCATGCGGAGCACTATCATACATCTACCCACCAATCTGGAAAGGACCAGTGCTACAGGTGGTAGTAGCTATACACTGGTAGAATGGATTGGAATGGCATAGTAAAAGATAGGGCCGAGACAACAAGCAAAGTGGACACAAGCTAGAAAGTGAGATAGGCCAAGAAAGTCTAGTACCGATTAATCATTCCAATACCAAACTCTTGAAGCGAGCTAGTAGAACTACGTCTACCACCGCTCTTCGAGATCCATGTAAATACTAGCGTCGAGTTAAAGACCGGTGATAGCAAAGTACACCGGTCGGGCGGTCTGCAACTGATTGACGACATTGAGTCTCACTTGAACAACTTCAGACAACCCAAGTCCATCCAAGTTATCCTCAGTCATCATTTCAGTGCTCAGTACCGGATTCGTGGTCAGCAAACTAGACGGTTACTAACTATCTGATACGGTCAACCGAAAATCATCATCACAAGAAAACAACTAAGAACGGAAGACATGATCGCTTAGGGTATTGGAGCTCTGGTGTACCGGAACCCATGATGGAGCATATGCTAAATGGGTCCAGTCCATCGTCGAAAGCGATTTCGAGTATGTACCCATAGAAAAGAAAGAACAGCAGTAGGAAAGGCACATATTGCATCATGCGATGTCAAGGCGATGAAAGGGGTATCAAGTTATATTGTACAGTTCTAACGTGCTAAATCATGTATATAGTGTTTTATACAGTAGCCTCATCAAACATCCAAGTGCTCTCCACCCCCTGGCTTGACAAGTGCACTAGGATGCGTAGGAGGCCCCTCCCTTCCCAACCTCTTCAAGTCTGCCAAAATTATCCTGAGATGATCCTGGCGATTCTGGTTGCTGCCCCACGTCACTGCCTGCGAGTAGTACAGTATATCCCATGCCTCGTCACTCATATTCTGTAGGAAAGTCGGTAGCGAACGCGCTTTTTGATATGTGCGCCATAAGATGCGTCGTATGTCGTCGTTGGCACCGATGTACGCGAGCTCGATAGCCTGATTGAATGACTTGAGGGCGGGGGAGATATTGAATGGGGGAAGCAAGTTCACGTGGAGGCGCTGGAGGGCGGCAATGTGCTCTGGTGTTTGGCGCGCCGCGTGCATGCGCTCTTTGAGCGTGGCGGTGCGGATCTCTTCTAGTTCGTAGGGGTCGGGCGCGGTTTCATGGGCGATGGTTGTGAGGTCTGCCTTTTGTTGCTCAGACTCACCGATGAGCTTTTGAATATACATAAGCTTCTCCATGAGTTTGGGGTCTTCCATGATCTGGTCGACCTTGGCTTGGAGCTCGACGGGGATATTCTCTTCCTCTACCTCGCTTTCCGGGGTGTGTGGTGCTTTGGACTGTGCCAACTTCTTCAGCTCCTCGGCAAGTTCTTCAGGGTCCATTTCGCGCTCAATGTCGCCTTCTTGCTGAGCCTCGGGATCTTCGCTGAGTACGGCATCCAATTCGGCCTCTAGGTCGCTATCACCGCCTATGGACTTGAGAACGTCGCGCATCTGGTGTAACAGTTCGTCTACATCTTGCAAATCGCTAGGCGTCTCCAAGTCGAGATCAGCGTCGTCGCTTCCATTCTCGTCGATCGCTTCTTCGACATCCTTTTCAAACGATTCCCACTCTTCCTCGAAATCGGCGTCCGTGGATGCATCTGCCACGGCCGCCATCTTCTTCTGAAATGCCTTATTGCCGTCTAGTTTGGCCATTGCCTTCTCTAGCATGGCTTGGAAGTCGGGGTTGTCGATGTCATCCATTTCTGGCATCTTGGCCTGCACATGTTGTAGCTCCTCCCGCGCGTCCCCAATATCAGGATCGTCAATCAGATCTTGGAGGGCCTGATGTGTCGCCATCCTCAAGCTCGCATTGAACTGCTTGATCTCTGGCTCTGCGTCCTTGGCTGCCTGGTCGTCTAGTGCCTTCAGCTCTTCCTTTGTTCTGATTCCTTCCTTGATATCTCTCAATTCTTGCGTCAAGTCTGCAAAGTTCGGATTTGATATCAAGCTATCGATAAGTCGCCGATTCAATTGCGCATCATCGTACTGGGGGCCCTTTTGGGACTCTTCAATCATCATAAACATCTCCTTGTCCTTTTTTCGGTCTTCTGGCGTAGCTAGACGCTCAACAAGTCGTTGTGGGGTGCCCTTGTCTAGATCTTGCTCGTACCAGTTGATGATGGGTAGGTCGTCCGACTCGAGTTCTTTGTCGGAGAGCGGGCGCATTCTTGGATCCATGTCCTCCATGTCCGATTCAATCTTCCATGTTGCGCGCTTGACCTCTTCCATCGAGGGGGCCTTTGGGAGGAGTGTGATAGTGGAATTGGAACCTGATTCGGCCTTTCTAGCTGTCGCGGCTTTCGTGCGTTTCTCGCGGATGAATTGCGCTGTCATGGGGCGCGTGAAAGGACATCTTATTAGAAGCGGTCGTGAGAGAGCCCTTAGAAGCGCTCTGGACGGGAAGTAGGCTCGCGAGGGGGGCATCGCGTTCGTTGTTGCAGAGGTGGCACACAGTGTGGTGGCATCTGAACTTGGGGCAGTCGGGTGCAAACAATGCAAACATGGTTCTTGGCACTCCCGGGCACTCCGCAACTGCCCCTCGTGTCCTACATCGCTCCATAACCGCCCAATATCTCACTACACTGCGTTTCTTGTCATTTCTGATTTTGCTACAGGAAATCACCTAGCACTCGTCTATAGCTTGGCGAACCTTATGTAAGCCCGCGATTTAGACACATGTGGACTGAACAACGCCTTACAGCCTATAACATCCGACCCATCTGCATTCATTGAACTATGGTCATGCCTTTGCACTCCAACTACTATTCAAGGTGGCTCGACTCCTTCGATTCCGACGTACTAAATCTTCCCGGAGCCCTCATGAAAAATTCGTCGCTGTGCTATGCAGCTGCAATTTCAATATCTTGTCCTCCAGGTCCCGTAGCGAGATTCTACGTCTTCTGTTTCTGATGCTAATATCAATCCCATTGCGATAGTCACAATCCTTGCGAGCGTCGGCCCTCGTACAGTCCCTCCAGTAAACACCCTCATCCCCACTCCCCCATTAGTGACTTTGCTTGTCACTTTCTTTCTTCCAACCGGGTTCTTCACATCATTAGAGACATCCACCACTTCACTCGCTGGCCCGAGATTGAGAAAAAGCTACGAGAATGAACGTCGGCTGCCTCGCAACTTGGCTCCCGCATTGAAGCATGCATGCCTACGCCGTCAGAACTACCCCAAGAGATACCAAAGGCTTGTTACTAGAAGAGAAGGTGGTTCACAGGAATAGTTTGCCTAGCTCTCGTTCTTCGTTCATGGAGGTGGTGTTATGGTCGATCCGGCGAGAGGCTCACAAAAGGAAGACAGGAGACATTGTAAGACCAAGGCAACAAAGGTAATGGCGCCATCTCTATTGTTCCTCAATGAGCAGCCATTAACGAACAATAGCGTTGTGTGACGTGGTGAAAGGATGATCAAGAAAATCGAATTTGTGGATTTATCAAAAGAGTTCACTTGCGCTAGGCCCTTTATACAACCTTCCCGATATTCACCAAACAATTGTGGATATCATAATCCGCCTACAGTGTATTTGACCCACCTTCTCGAGGACGCATGGCCAACCAAGCCGTTCCATAAGCTTCCCAGCAAACATCGCTCTTCTGGCACAGATAAGACAGAAACTTTCTACCGAGGTACAAATAGTGAGTTCACACATTCGAGCCGTCACAATAAACCTTTGTCGTACGACTGAACATGTCAGGCAGTCACGATGCAGAACGACCGTCACGCTCGTCAAGCCGCGCTTCATATCAGGGCGAGGAAGATAGCGAAGACACGTCATGCAACTTGCCTATTAGTTCACTACCTTTCCGCATTATCTACTCAGCTGCAACCCTTAGTATGCCTAATCCGGAACGCAATCGGTATTCTAATAAAGAGTCGGCGAAGGTAAACGCAGGTCTCGAGTGCGGTAGTGGCGCAATCTCGGGCTGCATACCTAAGGAGTCAAACGCCATGCTGACAACGAACACTCCTGCCCTCAATATTGATTTTGGTCAGCTCATGGTATCCTCGATAACTCCAGAACCCAGACTTGACACTAAAGAGCAGGTCCATTGCATGCTTCATCCACCCCCTTATGCTTTTGTTCACGGTGTATTGTCAATACAGTGGGTTCGAGGCGCAGTTGGTGAGGATCACTTTGTCTTCCGCGAGAGCGATGAGCGATACGTACTGTCCCGGGCCTCGCAATTGAGGTTGCGTGGTGCGGCGTTGGGGATTCCCATGTTGTATATGGAATGGCTTTGCGGGAACAGCGAAGCCGTTAGTTCCACTGAGGCGGGCATGTATCTAACGCCTGAGCTCTTTGAAGAGATCCAGCGAGAGGAGCTGGATATTCAAGTTTATCCCGAGTAATAGCCGGCCAGCATCGCACTAAAGAGAACAGGGACTCGGTACATCACCTACAACTACCTCTTCATGCATAACTTCTTTCCTCGGGTGTTCTAATCACGCAGTAGCTGATGCTGGGAGTCATATCTAGTGGTCTGCCTCTCTGTGTGAATGTTTGTATGCAAAGGCTCTCTTCGCTTTTCCTATCTGCCATCATCAACTTGGATCTGTCATGTCACCTCAGTACTTCATCGTATGATTTCGTCGGACTTTCTGATTACCCCATACTATGTCCTTCTCCCCGGTGAATATAATTTGCTTTATGCTGTAAAGACAATGAAAGTCTTCGACGTATCTTCTGTTCTCTCCTCTATGCCCTTTGTTACCTCTCCTTGTACGGTGTCAGTTGGCGAAGTGATATGGGATTCTTGGAATTGCGTGTTCTCAGGGGAAATTTAGCCCTACTCTCATTCACCTGCTTTCTCTTGCTTACACCCTCTCTTATCGACCAATTTCGACAAGTCAAAATCGCACGTGCCGCTTGATGTTTCACAACCTTCGCACGTACAGGGTTCTCCTGGGGCTTTATTTTCTTGATTATCCCCTGGTATTAACCGTTCAATTTCTAATCATAACCCGACCAACAAATCTTTCTTAGTCAACTAGGAAACATACATGGTAAAAGAGTTCACGTTTCAAACGAGAGCTCGCTATCACGTGACGTGTCCAGTGCTATAGCCCTAACTACCTTTGCGGCTATGTACCGTGGCCCTGCGTAGATAGTTCTCCGGCATGCCTTGCATCCACTTTCCATCCACGTAACTCAAATCTGAAATCATAATATAGCTTGCTAAATCTGCGAACGAAACAAGGTTGTTTGTCAGCCTGGGGTATAGGGTGAGTTCTAAATAGGATGTTGCTAGTTCAAGGTTTGAAGTTCGCATGAGATCATTATCAGATAAGGAGGACAAGATAACGAGATTAATTCAAAAAAGCTCTAGCTAGTCCTTGCCCCATCCTTTCAGGATTGATCAAACCATAGCTACTGCTAGACTAAACGAGTGATATAATTAAGTCTAAAGATCTGCTGGTCGAGGGTGATATTCGCGCTAGAATTCGATTAAACCGTGCTCGTTATTGCGAGGATACAACAAGAGAGACATAAATAGCAAAACAGAAACTCATACCAATATTTAGGAAAGTCGTGCATATGTCCCAAAAGGCTTTGTACTCATGTCCACCAACCAAAAAATCACAGTGGGAAACAATGAACGCCTCTGATCATTAAAAAAGTAGAAGAAAATGGCGCAACTGGCTACCGAAATTCCATGTGCCTGTCATGCTCACCAACCCTTTGGCGCACACATCCAAGGCTTCTCGTCACACCAGGATTTATGCTCCCTCGGTGGCGCCTTGACAAAATTAAGCTTTGGCATAGCCCTCGTGCCGTTGACTGGAGCTATGCCAGTGGCAGAAGCAGCATCAGCATCACAGGCTGGCGTTGAGGGAGCACTCTTGGTGCATGTATCGTAGCATCTAGTCGTTTATTATGCCTCTGATTGTAGGAATTCCAGACGGTGTAGTGACTTACTCGCCATGAGGTATCATCGCATTGCCACATGCCGCTACTAAATCAACACAAATCCATAGTGGAGAGCAGGTCGACGTTGCATTCCCATTAGTTCTCGAAGAATTACTGCTGAAAACCGGAGCGGGAGTGATCAACGGATCACTCTCAGTCGACGTTGGGTTTGGCGTTGCTTCTGGAGCCACGTTTGGGTCTGCTCCAACGGTGGAACATAGTGGAACCGTAAACGTTGGCATGCCAGTGATACCAGTTGCGCACTCGACCCAAGTACTATAGGCAGATCAGCATAGTTATATGCAGAATTATGTATTTTGCGCATGGAAGTGAGTTGGGAGGAGAGAAAGAATCTTACCCGCCATAAGTCATGCCACACCCATTGGTTGCGACAAAGGACTTCGTCTCACCACAGTCTCTCCTAGCAGGCCCAGCAAACATGAGGCCAGCCATTGGCAGGAGAAGAAGAAGTTCGAATTTCATTATGAAGAAGTGTGAACGAGGTAATAAATGGTCGGTGGAGTTGTCGAAACGATTAAGGTGGTCTGAACTAAACGGAGGCGTGAAGAGGATTGTTGAAGGTGCTTATGTTTCGAGCGTTATAGTACTATCGATATGAGGAGAATAATGTGGGCGAGGGATTTTTTTTGAGTGTGAGGAATATGCCCTAGATGGCTGCAGACTGATGATTAAATAGCCCTTCGCAATGACAGATCTCGTAAAGAGGATAAAGTTCTCGGTCCCCAGCTCGTCACTTGCGGATCAGTGCTTGACCTAGGCAGCAAGGATTGTCATCCGGAAATCTCTCCGGCCATTAGCAAAACATTTGTAAGTTGAGACTTGCCGTCGCCAAGATTTCGTACGTTCCTCTTTCCAATCGGAAGGAACCCAAAAGATTGCTTTAATTGTGCTATCATGTAAAAATAGGTAAATGATTGGCGTTTGAGAGGCCACGCAGCAATGTCGGTGTGGGTGTCACTATGTAACTGGATACCGCCATAGTAGTGATGAGCATCTCGCAGTGAATGTGTAACAAACATAAGTACATCCTCGTGTTCGCCCTATGGAGTGTGCGACTGAAGGGTCCGGGGCTGGTTAAAATGGGACCTCGTCTCTGGTGCGATGAGAGTCAATCCGTTGATTGGATAACGGCGAGTAGACCGGTCTGTTGAAGGAGCTGTTACCTCGCTGCACATTCCTGACTCTGGTCTCGCATTGTGAGCTGAGACAAGATCACCGGACGTGGACGCTGAGTGGAGGAGTGGCAATGGTAGGCTGGAGTCGGAGAACCTAGCGAAAGCAATGCAACGTTCCATAAGACCTACAGTATGGGTAGCTGTTTGCCCGTCAAAGTCCTATCCGTGGACTGACACCTACATATGCTGTACCTGCTCGAGAAAACCTTTGGAAGACCAGAATGAATACTAGCAGGGTTTAGCGAAGGCTAGTTGTCGTTGAGGACTTCGATAGAGACAGATATTCTGATCTCTATCGAGAGTCTACCAGAAGCGTCAGCCGGGTTGTAGAGCGGGGTAGTAAAAGATGAAAGGTAAGACATTTCCGTCAAGATGAAAATATCACGGTAGCACTTGTCGACAGATCATGCCTGTAGCGATTCTTGGCTGTCGTACATCTTCTCTGCATTTCCCACTTCCAGCTTTCCCAGATACGGCTGCATTTTAAGCCTACGCACTGCCTATCTCTTTCCTCTTCAGTCGCCTGGTTGCCGGTTTAATCGATGTCAATAAGCTCGCTTGTACTTCACCTACGGTCGCTCGTACCAGCTTTCATGACTGTAGTCTTTCTTAGGCCCGGTAACTTGGTATGTGATACCGAACGTCTGCAAGCTCGCACCAGAAAATCTGAACTCGCAGATGTTCGTGTAAGTATCCGGATCGCACCAATGATGTCCCTTCGCCATCCACCCATGATATGCATCATCCGGTACATAAAAGTTCCACGTATTGAAAAGCGTACCGACTGACTCGCCATCCTCGTCTGCGAACCATGCAGTGATCTTGTCCGTCTTCTCATTGTACCGGTAGATGTAGCGGCGTGTCGCTGGGACAGAGTAGCCGGAGTCCATTCTGAAGGTTCCTTCTTCGATGTAGAGATACTCGGCGGAGTAGTTGAGTGAAGTGGGGCTGCGTGGGTGGAAGTTGACGCTGCCGGAGAAGTTGCCACCTGGCGAGGTGGCGTTGTGGGAGTCGATTTTGCGGTGTACCGTCCATACGCCTTGCATGCCTCTGAAAACTGCTGCTGCAACGAATTTTGCCTCATTGTTCGACCTTCTGACCAGATCTGCAACTTCCTTGACCACCATTGCAGCTTCCGAGTCAGTTTTGCTCCCCTGATATCGCGATGCAAATGCAGGCCCAGACTGACCACCAAACGCAGAGTCGTCGCGTGTGACGCCCGTGCTTCTTGCAAATTCTTCCACAAGGCCAACGAAGTCCATCATCCAGAACTGAGGCACTTGTAGTGATCTCTCCTTGATCGCTTGTCGCATTCGTGCCGCGTCCTTGTACTGATAGACCTCGCGTTCTGGGAGACATCCTGGGGTCGGCTGGATTTTAGACCATGTCTCCGCCATGAATCTTGATTGCATCTCCATAACAGACCAGTATGGGCCCTCGTAAAATCCTACAAACCCAAGGGTTGGTACTTCAGGGGCAAGAATCGACCCGCGCGTGAGTAGGAATGGGACGCGTGGGCAGGTAGGATCGTAGTGGAGGCGGTTTTTGATCTGGGCGTCGAGGAAATCAAGGTTCGTCTTGTAGCCCGTCGCTTCTACGACACCCGTCACGTCGGTAATCTTGCTGCTGTCCTATGCGTTATTAGCGTATGTTATGATAGCGTTGGGGTAACTAGGCCTTACCCGGGATTCGGTGGGAGATGCATTAGACCAAGGTTCATAATGCTTGAAGGTGATGTCGAGTGAGGTGCTGTTTCCTCGCTGCTTGATCTCTTCTACCCAGCCTTGCACGGGGATGATGATGCCGCTCCTGACAAATTCAGAGTACGTATCTGTGATGCCGGTGTATGCAGGATACTGCATTTGATGCGGCTTATACGCGACCTCTGCAATTCCAGTCTCTCTTTGGGTCCCACCGATAAGCGAACGCATGAACTCATGTCCTTTCTTTGCCTTTTCGGGAGGAACCGTCGTAATGGCTGCCGATATATCGCCTTTGCCTCGTCGCGAGAGATTGTAGAGAACGAGATCTAGTGGGAGAAATTTCGGGGCGAGGCTGAAGTCGTGACCTTCGGCGTTATTTGAGTTCTGGGGGAGGTATCGAGGGAGACTGTAAAAAGGTCGACTGAGGATATGATAGACTCTGCTTTCAGCGTGAGTTGCTTTTTTATCTCCGGGCGATGTTCTGGCGCTGGATATCTGGAACGCAGCTTGTGCGGCGGCCTCAGATCCGCTGATACTGCCCCCGATGACTACAATTTTGCCAGGCTTGGTTGTGAGCGAGGACAAATCTCGGAACCTTGATGAATGCTGAATGTTTGATTGATTTTTTGTGCGAGAGGGGTCGAAGGAGGCGCCAGGTTCGCCAAAGAAACCAGTTGCAACAATTAGATAGTCATACCTCTCCGTGCTTTCCTGCAGCGTCACGTTGTCTACACAAGTAACTTCCCACGTCCTTAGGTCTTCAAGTAGCTTTGCTTGAGTAACACTCGTGTTAAACATAATGTTAGACTTGACATCGAATCTCTGTGCATACGCCTCCAAATACCGGCCAACTTGCCAAGCCTTGGGAAACATTGGAGGAGGAGCAGGGGAACAGGGCCCTGTATGCGGGTCCGAAAGGTCGACTGAAGACCAGGAAAGATCTGCAAAGGCGACCGTGAATCTGCTGAGATTTGTTCTCATATCCGGATCACACTTCTCGCCGAATTCGCCAGGCTGGGATCTCCACATGCCACCCACACGGCTCGCTGCTTCGAAGATAGTGACAGAATAGCCGCCTTTATGTAAAAATGTCTTCGCGGCGACGAGGCCTGCAGGACCTGCGCCCACTATACATACACTCCTCATCTTGAACTTGGAGCTGGAGCCAATTAGTCATCTCTTTCTCCAAATCTCGGAGTCTCCCCCACGGCCCCAACGTACCACTTGGCTAGATGAAGGGATGGTTGTTAATCTCCAGGAGGCAGCGCAGCCGTCGTTGATGTTCGAGGTCGTGGTGTGTTGGGTTGAAGATGATGGATGTTTGCGTGAGTGGAGCGATGGAAATCGCACGCTAGTTAGAGCCTCGGAAAACCAACCAATCATAGCGATGCAATGTACACAGAGCGTAGACAAGAATGGGAGTTAGATTTGTGCGGAATCATTCATTGAGAACTCCAGAATTGATAAGAGAACCTTTCATAGCTTGGAACTGAGTTTTGCCGTACTAAAATGCGGTGTAAGTGTTAGATTTCTGTCACGGGATGAGGCCTCGAAAGAAGAACATACGGAGATAAGGTAGCGAATATGGCCCTGGGATCGCGTTTAGACGCCTATTTGAGACTTTATTTAGGATCAGAGGATACTTACCAGATCAGTGACATGGCGATGCTGCTCGAATTCCGACCTTGCAAACTGTCTCATGTCTTTTCTTGTGGCCTCGTCCGGGATGTTCGCCGTGCTTCGCACAATCTCCCGCCATAATGCTAATGTGCGTTGCCGCTGGATGAACTGTATAAAGTGAGCAACGAGATGCACTCCAAAAGCCGCATTGTGTAGAGCGCCCACATGGTCAAGCCCAAGAGGGCTCTTCCCTCGTGCTCGTAGCCGGGAAGGCGGCTTGGACGCTATAGTAGCATATCGTCGCAGCATTCCCTCGACGTGCCCCTCAACGATAGCTTCCTTGGGGTTCCGAGATGCAAAGTGCGATCAGAATGCGGTGTGAGACAGTGATTGATGGAATGCATGAGGCTCTTCTGAACATGCAAGCTGACGTAAAGAGTGGCCAATGCAGAGCTAAGCTGTGAACGCTCTAGGCGTGCACGAACAGTCCTCACGAACGCGTCTCCCCGGCCAGCCACGCTTTCCTCGACGCGCTGCCCTTCCCACAGTCTGCTACACCACAACGGCCAACGACTGCGCACAACCGTCGGGTACGACTCCCGTCGTAATGGCCCCGTCTGCGAGACGCAATCGACTCCGCGCGTACAAACAGAAGCTTCACTCTGAACTGAATAGGGACCCCACGAGCTTTCCAAAGACGCAAGACCCCCGCGGACGCATCCTCAAAAAAGCGACACACTCGTACCTCGACATCGACGAGATGCCTCACGTCGTTCGCCGTGCTACTGAAGTGCAAAAATTGCTCGAGCAAGATGCCACCGGCTTGCACGCGTACGAAGCACCACAGTTGGTCTGCCCGTTGAAGTTCCAGCTCATTCGATCGGCTGCTGCGCTCAAGAAGTCCGAGATCGACACTTGTTTAGGTCTCGTTGAACAAACTTCCGGCCATGTCTACAGGGCTTCTAGTATCGGCTGGCACCCTCGCAAGAAGAAGGAGGAGATGATGGACAAGGAAATGATTTACTTGCTTGTTCGACAAGGCGATGTGGGTGGAGCAGCTGAGCACAACCCTCTGGCCAGTTCCGAGGAAGATATCCCGGATGTGGAGTCGCAGGCTTCACCGCAGCTCCATCCGCTCGAGCAGATCATCCACGACAATGCTTCTGACAGCGACGAGGAAGACTCCGTCTCAAAACCGACTACCAGGGCACAAGACACTATCGGAGCGGAAGATGTTGATAACACTCCTCTGTCCAAATCTCAGCTGGAATGGCCCCTTCCCAGCAACAACGGCAGGATACTCGGCTTCGTCTCCTTCATGTTTACCTACGACGACCCTCCTTATGAAGACCGCGAGGTCGTCTACATGTACGAGATACACCTACACGAACGTCTACGCGGTCGCGGACTGGGTTCGAATCTCATCAAGTTCGTTGAGCACGCAGCACGTTACTGTGGTATTTCGAAGGTGATGCTCACAGTCTTCACCGCCAATGAAGGCGCTAAGGCGCTGTATGAGAAACTGGGCTACACTGAGGACATATGTTCACCAACGGATAGGATCATGAGAAACAAAGTCGTCAAGCCAGACTTTCTGATCATGAGCAAGGAGATTGCTTATGCACTCTAGCGACGGAGTTCACTATGTTTTTCACGGCGCTTATGGATAAGATACCCACGGTAGGCTAGAGAATTTTACCATCAACGTCATGGTACTTCTTACTCTCATCATGTTCCAATCGCGCTTCAATTCATCATTGCCCAAATTCTCAAACCTTTCACATATCGGAGTACGTTTCAGCGTGCCCGTGATGAATTCATCCAGCAGGCAAATTCATCTTACCTTTCAACGTTACGAGATTTTCTCCAAGCACCTTCACCTCGCCAGTCATACGTCTTATTTTCCCTATATTCAGGACACCTCCAAGGCTCTCGTCAACTATCCACGCCCCTCAGCTTTAAGCTTCCATATCTGCTTGTGGACGCCAAATCAGGAAATCTAAGTTGTTTAGAATCGTTGTGCCATATAGTAGCAACCGTAAATTGGAAAGGTGCTGCTGTTGCCGAGAATGTCATGTTGTCTAGCTGTATCCAATGAGTCGGCGCAAGTCATCTCGCAGTCTTAATTTACGACTCGACCACAATTATTGCTTTCTCTCTCCTACGGCTTATAGACGTACTACCTCTAACGCCGTCGATATTTATAGCCTAGTTAAGGATGCCTGTCAAGACCGGATCCTTCCCATCAACAAAGACGAGTGGCACAGTAAGTGACGATTTCCTACATGTCCTTAAACCTAAGGTCGATATGTTAGGGATGTTGAAGCTGAAAAACCCCGCAACTAGACACGAAGATTTGGGTGTAAGAAGAGTAAACAGGAATACGATCCATATACCAACAATCTTTCGTAAAAGGTTACATCCAAATAAAGCAACCAGAGATAGGTGTGAATTTTACGAGTCCTGCAAATTATATAACAAGCGATGAGGACCCAGGCTGAGGCTAAACCCGTACGGAACAATTGGGATAACTATCACCTAAGCCCAGAAACCCTTCTGTTGCAGTCCCTCAATTGTCCCTCTAAAGCCTACGACCTCATTTTTGTCAATGCTCAACTCCTCAGGACTAATATGGTCGTCGGTCTCCTCCCACGGATCGCACGCCTCGCCATATTTGAATTGCAGGGCCAGCTCGTTTCCCATGTCGCCGTACAGCTTGGTCACGGCCTCCATTGTGATCTCCGTGAAGACGCATGATTTGCCTGTGATCTCGGACCATACGTCGACCATTTCTTGAAAAGTCCACTTTTCTAGCGCAACGTTGGCATATCTGCCGTAGGCTTTGTCGCCCGTCGCAAGTACTTGACGCACCCAGATTCCCGGGTTCACGGACATGTCGCCAGATAAGAGGACTTTGGCATTGCCTTTTGTGGGTAGGGTTTGGATGTATTGGCCGGTGCCTGGCTTATATCAATGGTTAGTATCTTCTAACGTATGACGAGAATGACTGACTACATACACATTCGAATGGTTTGCAGAGCGGAAAGAAGGCCATGTTCTGGGGGTAATAGCCGAAGTACAGATACGTAGTGATAGCTGCCAGTTCAGGCAGCTCCGATTTGATTCGAGCATCGATATTGGCCTTGTAATCCATATGCGACGCCAGGAGCTTACCCTGGAACATGCGCTTAGGACTTGGCGTTGTGGACCAGATGTAGTGCTCCAATGTGCGCGAGCCTGCAGCGGCTCGGGCAATTTTCATGCCCTGTTCTTCTTCGATCTCACCAGATTCAATTTGGCTCTTACCATGGAAGAGGTGTTCCCACCATTGAGTAACAGCAAAGACGGCGTGGACCCCCTGGAAGCGGTTAGAGACATGGGTTCCACCCTCTCATGAATTGGTGTGCTCACTTCAAAGGCCTTGGCCAGCGATGCTTCATCATCGAAGCTAGCTTGAATAACCTCGATGCCCTCAGCAGCAAGCTTCTTCGCTGCATCACTTTCAGGATTCCTCGTCAGTGCTCTCACCTTCCAACCGACCGTCTTTTTCAACACATTTACTACACCGCCACCCTGGCTTCCTGTTGCACCGGTCACGGCAATGATCTTGGGACCTCTATTTGGCCAATCTTGAATTGCGCCGGGCAACTCACTTCTTTCGCCGTGTACCATCTCAAACCATGGTTCAAAAACTGCCTCAGTCCGCTTTGCGAACGCTCCACTCTTATAACCTGGATGCCCCCAATTGACGAGCTTGTCGTGTGCTGCTTCAAGCATTTGACCAGTCTTTCTGTTTTCCGCGTCATCGAGGAAAGTATCGTAGCCGGATAGAAGAGTTGACTTCAATGTCATCTGTTGGGGCAGGAAGGCTTTGGAAAAGCCAGGCATGGCAGGCGTCTCGATACCACCGGGCATTACGCAGTTTACCGTGATGTTTTCTTTTCTCTGCAATAAAGGCCCCACTGTCTTGACCCATTGGTGTGTTGCAGCCTTCGCCGCGCAGTACTCCGGGAACGTTGGGCACGGGTAGATCCCAATCATGCTGCCTGTGACGATGATTTTCCCTCCCTTTCCGTAAGCATTGTGACGCATGAAGTGCGTGGCCAGTGTGGTGCCATATATCGTGCCTTTCAGGTCGATGTCAGTACAGCTAGTTTCAGGTTCAGACGGTAGGTCGTCGATAGCTGTATCGCGACGGGCGAAGTTATACATTGAACCTCGATCTACGGAACCAGCGTTGGCAATAAGAACGTCAAGACGGCCCCATTTTCCCCAGACGCTTCTGAATAGATCGGCCTGTGACTGATAGGATTCCACGTCACATTGTATGAAGATAGCCGACTCTCCGGACTCGTCGATGGAGGAGGCAACATCTTGCCCCTCTTTTTCACGTCGACCGCAAAGTGCAACGCGATAGCCACGTGCGTGGATGTGCTTTGCGAGCCATGTACCAATACCACTCTGTTAAGATGCGTCAATATGGGAATAGTAACTACAGCGCTGATGTGCGACGAACCGTGGCACCGGTAACGATAGCGACCTGTTGCTCACTTTGCACAGTGGATCCCATTTGGGACTAACTGTAGCTCAAGACCGCGAAGCGATGGTGTGTGTAGCCGGTGCTGAAGAAGGTAAATGGTTAAGTCCTGGCACGATGCCCATGGGAGTCTTAAAAAATGGATGGCTCTATCCCTTCACATACGCATGCAACTCGCTGCTGGTTAGTTTCGGCTCTGGCCTCCGGCTCCACATCGAATGTTTCTCCGATCGCCCTACCAAGTGAGGAAGGGATTGCCGAGAGATTAGCCCCTCAGCGCATGTCTTCTTCCGCTACACTGCCTGGCGTTCCACGGGGCGTTGAGACGAGCCGCTGGAGGCGGTGTAGCTTACAGCTCGGTCTTAGCGTTCGTTATTGATGTAGCACAGCAGCATCAGCAGGGAGTTTTGACAAGATTTAGGCCTTCAGTTAGCCCTAAATAAGTTAAAGAGCGGAACAAAGACGATGTCCTAAAGCGAAAGAGTAGCAGATTTCGGAGCCAGCATGGGGTGGAGGAAGAACGCGGGTCGGCACGGAAATAAGCATTTGTAATTGTATTTTTCTGGTAATACATGTGGAGCCTTTTATTCCCTGAGTCGCGCACACGCGAACAGTTCGTAGTAACTCTGTATTAGCACCTTGGCGTTGGCAGAATTCACCCCCTTCAAGTTACGCGATATCAGACTATGGCGAACTCAACCATTTATCCCTTGTTCCAATAGCTACGAATTGGGAACGCCTTGTGGCCTTTTCGAGCTCAGACTCTTTCCGTGTCGATGTGTAGAGACGAAACAGTCAGTATTTCTTTTTCCCCTTGACTTGAATCACGCCGCACCCTTAGTCGTATCTAGTACATTTTGTTTCCGTGCGTCCGCTCACATCCGAGTATTTGAAAGACAATCTAGAGCTTTAACATCGGAGCGTTCAGGCCCTCATCCGAGTGTAAAAAGCAGGGATGCGAGCCGTTGTCCAAACACAGAGAAACTAATAATATCCTTTTCCGACGTGTGTTGCGCGAATGCGATAGCCTACCGTCTCTGAGTCAATGCAGGTTGCACTACTTCGCAGCCTCCTTGACCATAAAGTCACTCCGAAGTCACCCCATACTGGATACCTCCTACATCGTATCGAAATCCCTTTCATAAACCTTTCTGCCGCACATGCTTTACCGTGCCGAGATTCCAACTTCAGGTCCTGATCACGTCATACCTTTTTCGTCATGATCAGAAATGGTCGCTGCTTGTGCCAGCCCTGTCGCAAAATCCTCTGGCTATGCTTCTCTGGGGCTCATTTCGTAATCAATATGATCATCGGAGTGAGGCTTGATGTTCGCCATTTTTTTCATCAGACACAAGGCTCTCACACTTCATACATCACCTATCACATTGATGCTGAGCCGCAATCTTGCCCTCCATGACGAGAATAATATCAATCGATAATCGCAAACAGGTCGGGGTCTGGCGACACCTTCTCTCAATCAGCATCGCGACCTTCTCAGTGACCTTGCGTTTCATCACCGAAATTATTGGTTCCAGGATTGATTACGGCGACTACAGCATCCTGCCAGCAATATTATGTTGATGCTCTCACTGGATCATATTCAAGTTCTTTCTTATCTTGTGTCTAGCTCTCGAACGCAGCACTTACACCTGCTGCATCTTGCTAGTCTCTCATGGTGGCTTCGGCTTTCATGTTACAGAGGTTTACTAGAGTTATGATGCTGCTACTGCAGTCTTCTTCTTCAAGGTATGGTAGCGAATTACAGGAACTGTATTAAAATGTCACTAACTAGGTCTTCTCTTTGTAGGGAATTATGTCTTTCGCGCTCTCGTGGAATGCCACTGTCTGTTTTAGCAAACTGTCAGTCCACTAATGTACACGGCGCTCATATTAACCCTTTCCATCTTTAAATGGGCGGGCTGCATCGGTACTCTAATAATAGTCCGCCATTTTTGAACTATGTGTTCTTGGTAGATGATGAGCACAACGAATATGAAGGCGCGATATATCGTCGTTGGCATCCGGGAGACATCTCACAGAACTGATATAAGTGGATGCCCAGAATAGATCATTTAAGAGGAGAGGGCACTAATACAGCAAACTGAACTTTTCGAGATATAACTTCCCAGGGATTATGTGAATAAAAGGAGAGCGAGCATTTTAGAAGAAGTAGTATAAATATGGATAAGCCAGAGCCTAGACCACGTCCTAAAAATTTTGGTTCAGATATCCCTCTCCAATGCAGCATCTAGCTCCACATTGAGCTCCTCGTGTTCGCACTGTATCCCACACTTTAACACACTCCGAATTTTCTTCTCTTCTCCCTTCTTAGGACTCTAGAAGGTCCTCTATGCAATCAGATCATCAGACAAACACCAACGTAACCCAAATGTATGACCGGCACCGCTGATTTAAGAGAGATAGTGCTTTTAGGCCGGTTGTGATAGTTCCGTGTTACTTCTATGTTCCCTCGCCGTGTCGGGGAGGAGAGCTATGATAGAGCTATGGCAGAGCTTTGGAACTGAAAATGAAGGGTAAGCAGTTGGAGACGAGTTTGTTCTGGAGAGAGTGGCTGAAGTGATCGGAAGGAAGTTGCTGTCTGAGGAAAGTGAGGCTCGGAGAGGATAGCCTGGTTCCAATGGCTATTGATACTGGGGCATACCAATGCGCTACCTTACAGTATACAAGGGATTAAAATGACGAGAAGAGACCACGAGTATATAACTGAGAAGAATGGGTATATTTGTGCTCATATTTTCTTGCGCTATGGATCGACTGGTTGTATAATGATGATGTGACTAGAGAACTACTCGTAGCATGATTCGCATCCATTACCCATCGTCAGCCCTTCAAGGAATTACCCATGATACGTCACAAAGGCTCATTCAGTGTGGCATAACATTGAACTTCAAATATGCAACAAGCACTTTCCTCATTGGCCCCGAAAGCCAATCGCCTTGTCTCTCAGATCACCCGATCTCAATTCCTTCCGGCAAAGAAGTTCTCATCCTCATCGTTCCTCTTCCCTCGATTTGGACCGCCAGTTGTTCCCCGCAGTTCCTTCTCTTCCCGTAGCCGCTTCGATTTCGCGCCCTTCCTATAGATGTCGGGCTTCCGGCGATCGTTACCTGGGCCAAGTCTATTATCCTCCTGCTTATGCTTACGGAGGAAGTTCGGATGCCGCCTCTTACTAGGCTGAAACGGCGTAGCGGACTCTTTGAATACAAACGGCGTATCTACACGCGCAGGAGTAGCCGATGTTGAGGAGGAGACGTCTTCATTGATAGGATCCTGGGCCTGCGTACCTGGTGGTAAACTGTATGGTTGCAGTTGAGCCGGGTATTGGAACTGCGGTGCTCCATAGTCATAGCTCTCGGGATGATGCACTGGGTAATCAGGTGACATTGGCTGCGGCGCCTCGTAGTAACCAGAGCTTGACTGGAGTTCCATTTGCTGCTGCACGAGATAGTATCCAGTGTTGGGCTGCAGCGCGCACCCATAGTTCTGGCAAGGGAGGTATTGCTGTTGAGTAGGGACGTTTTGCAGATGGTATTGATAGCCATAGTATCCATACATCTCCTGATCAGGCGTAGCCATCTGCGGATGCGACGAGTATCCTTGGGGAGGGAGAGGGTCTTGGGCGTAAGCACCGCCAGGGGGTAGATATCGAGAATCGGTCTGCGGAACTATGGGGTATCGCTCTAGAGGAGCATTTGTGGTGTAGTTTGGGTAGCGGTAAGGCATCGTGTGGCTTGGAGGTAGACTACCTGCGGGTTGGTACGCGTTTTGAGCTGGACGAGCTGGACGAGCTGGCGCGTATGAGCGAGGCTGACCTCTCGGAGGGCGACTATTGCGGTTGCGGCGGTTGTTATTGTTCGGCGCCATATTGCTGCCTGTGTGCGGCTGCTGAAGGGTGCGAGGATTCGTCGCGCGGGAAGAGTGAATGCTGTTGGTTGGCTAGGTTGGGCGGTTGAGATATTGAAAGTAGTGGAGGAGCTATTGAGTAAGTTAGCAAAATGATAGAGGGGGTCCGGGAAATATATATGCACAGGCGCGCATGCGTTCCCACAATACAAGCGCGTTTTGATAGTGGCTAATCCTTGCAAGTCACCCCGACCACGCTAACGTCACTGAGACAAAAAGAAGAGCACAACGCCTCTGCGACTAGGAATCGTAGAGTCTCTGGGCTAAATCGAACCAGGGACCTCTTTACCGCAATGTATGTCGGCATGGGGAGCAAAAAAGTAGCAGCTTGCAGTGTCGACTATAATCCAATTACAATGACGTACCTGATGATTTTTCTGTTGTAATCGTGATACGACTACGCCATCTGTAGCTGATGGCTTGCTTGATGCTGAAACTGGGAGTTGTTTTATATATATGGGCTTCAAGTATTGTGTGCAGGAAGCGAGGCTAGAAGCCGCTCGGGTAGGTGAATGTCACTAGCAGCACTGGCCCTCACATACGACATGTTCATGATGATGCGGCTGTTAAATAGCTCAATACTATGTAGACGAGGGCGTTTTGGATATTTATTTACTTGTGGGGGTGGATGATTGCTCACGATCGCTCGTGATACGAATCAACAGCACCTGATAACGGCTAGGACAGATGTCAAAGCCGCTGGTGACGTGCCTATCTTTCTCGGAGCGCCACTGAATGGCTCTCAAACCATGTACAACGTTGTAGATCAGTGACTCTGAGCTGTTGTAGTGATCGTCTGGTAGAATTAGTCGCAATTGCAATGCGCAGGGCCCTCGCCCACAGGTGCACAAAGCGGCTTCTTCAAGATCACGAAACTGCAAAACCTTGTTGCTGTCAAGCTTTCCCGCCCAAGGAGCCTTTTAAGGTGGGAGATATCGAAGAGGTGAAATGAAGTGCAAGCGATCAATCTCTTCTTCGACGACCCAGACTAGCTGGTATCTGCCAACGAAAGGAAAGGTGGTGGATGACTTGCACCCGAAGGAAAACATTCTCTCGTCAGCTACGAGAAGTCGTCACAAGTTGCGTGTTTGCAACTCTGCTCATGGGGCTCGGATAAGATCCTCATCGCCCTGCGAAAGTGACTGAATTGGCTGACTGTCAAAGCAGTCATCCGCTGATGCCGTTGACCCTCAGCGTGCAGGTGCCAAAAATAAGGGTACCCAATAATGGGTATGCAGCTAAACAAAAATTGTTCCGTCGCGAGCGTGATGCCCCGAGTCAAGATCCCGACGTGCAATGGGAGAGCTTGAGTGAGGTTGGAATTGATGAGCTCCAAGCCCCCCGGAAAGGCCCATCTTACTCGCTGGTTGGGAAAGGCCTGAACATTGAGAAAGAAGAAGAAGAGGCGAAGTGGGAGCAGGTGAAGACGCCTTTTATACAGGCCTCTGCGGGAGGCGGGTCGCAAGATCACACGCGCTCCGTCTAGTCCATTTTGGGAAGATCAATATCAAAGGTGACGGCGAGAAGCTTCTACTGTCGACTATGGTCGGGCGGCTAATCAGCGGTTTGTTGATCTTGTGGCGCTGGCCCGAGCCCTCTAGGTATAAAACCCCTCCCCTCGCTGCCTCCTTCCTCTTTTCTCCCATTAACTGCCTGCTGCTAGGCATCGGGGTCAACAGGCTCAAGAAGCTGATGGCCAGCGTTGATCACCGCATTGCACTGCGCGGTTGGTCTCGTTTCGATCCATTACAGAGGGGGCGACCGGACAATTTTTGCTTTCTGCCTCGTTTGAGGCCATCTTTTCGTTGACTGACTTCGGCTTGTCCGAGTCGTTGAAGAAGAGATCACCGATTCCACCATTATGCTTTCAATTAGATCATCAGTTTGTTTTCCTACACTTGCGCCTGTGATGCTGAAATCTCTTCCAGTGCCGCTATCAAGTGCTTTCCTGTCCTGCTATTCACTTTACATCACCTCTTCCCGTGCTCACTGTTGCAAAGGTCCACCACTCTCTTCTCACCTCTCCCAAAGTTCAACAACAACAGCCCAGCAGGATGATCGGACGCCTCCATCCCTTCCAAATCGACTCCTCTCCTCTCCCCGTTACAGGCATACACGCGCGCGCGCGCCCTCTTCAACACCAAAACAGCGCTCGTTCACGCAGGCTCTTCGAGAAGTTGGGCCCATACGTACATTCCTTCGCTGGCCAAACACCCACGAGGTTATGGGCGGAAGCCAGAAAAAAGCTGAATACATCGAGGGAGAAGGGAAGACAATCAATAACGAGCGTCAACAGGGTTGGACAGGGAGGTATTGCGAGGACGTTCGACGGCTCCCAATCCAGTACAGGTACCTGGCTAACGGAGGTCGCTTGGAGGTCAGCGCAATATCCCTCAAGGACCGCAAACTATGGACACTGCACTTCTACCGCTTTCGATTATTATGTGGCCCGGTGCTGCGCTGGCTGCCAGTCGCGCGTCGGCGGCCAGTACGGTAGCGAAGGCGGAATATCGTGAGCATCATTGGCCGTTTGGGTGGCTTGGGTAGATGGAAGACCTTGTATGATATCGCTTCCCTACCTCAAGCATCGTGAAGAGCTTCTAGGTTATCGACCCGCCTTCGTCAACGTTTCTGCAATCTCCCAGCCGTATTTTGCATCCTCTCTTCATCACTAATTGTCCAGAAGGTAGCCAGGCACCGGGGTTGTCAACATTATACATTCTCGGTCTATATAAACTTATGTTGGTATCTTGAACTCCGACCCATGCATCGACACTTTACCATGGTGCGCCCTAGCAACATATCTTCCCGATGAGGCCCTCTTTTCTAACTCTTTTCTTCTTTGTACTAAACTCTTCCTCCTCCTCACCGACAACCCGTAGGAACACCTCGTCGAGCGTGGTAGGTGATACGGAATAGTACTCAAGCCCCAGCTCCTCACGGTTCGTTTCGAGTAGCTGGATGAGGCCGGGGATACCACCGAAATCGGAACCTGCAGAGGCGTTGGTGCGAATTGGATGTAATTCTTCATTCGCAGTTTTGCCCTCTTCATGTTTCAGACCGGGTCCAGCTGACGGACTGGCAGCCTTGAGAACCTTGAAGCGAAGCTGGCCGTGGCCACCGCCTCTTGAACCCCACTTGTCCATTTGCACGCCAGGTATGCGAAAGCGTACCCACTCCTTGACGGCTTCCATCTCTTGTTCTGTCGTCTCTGGAGCAGACTTGAGCACCAACTGTACCACCCAAGCGTCGCCATACTGCTCTCCGAGATCACTAACAGTACCAAGAGCTAGCATCTTGCGTTTCATGATACCGACTCTAGTGGCGAGTTTATCTGCTTCCTCCATGGAATGTGTGGTGATGAGTAGCGCACGACCAGGTGCCGCGACTCCGAGGAGTGTGCGCCACATGACACGTTTGGCAGCGGCGTCCATGCCCGAGGATGGTTCGTCAAGAAGAAGAACGGAAGGATTGCCCATCAATGCTATACCCAATGAAAGCTTACGCTTATTACCACCAGAGAGTTTGGAAGCTAAACGATCGTGGAACCTGGCAAGACTAGTAGCCTGGAGGATGGCCTCGACAGATGACTTTGGGTCAGAGACACCGCGAGCGCGGGCGTAAAAGTAAAGGTGCTCGGTGACGGTCATCGAATCCATGGCATCGAACTGCGGGCAGACACCGAGGTGGCCTCGTGCCGCTGCTCGCTTGGAGATGATGGAGATGTCTTCGATAAGAACGTCACCACCGCCGTTAATGTGGGTTGTTGGGTGGATGTCACCACGAATGAGCGAGATGGTTGAGGACTTTCCCGCACCGTTAGGGCCGAGCAAAGCGAAAACCTGTCCTTGTGGAATACCGAAAGTAATGTCGTTGACAGCGTGGTTGTTGCCAAATGTCTTTTGTAAATGGAGGGCTCGTAGACTGTCTTTACTTTGCTCAGCGCGGTTGATCTCAGCGACGACTGCAGGTGGCAACGAGTCAACACTTTCTTCTGAATGCTGCTGGCGGCCTTTCTCGCGGTTTAAGAAGGGAGGCCGATATCCTGAATCCCACCAGACTAGAGCTATGAAAAGGAGGATAATCTGGACGGTTAGGTAGAGGATAGGGCCACCATAGACAGCAATCGCCCCAGGGTAGCTCGGGATCTGATTGCCGTCACACAGCACACTGAAAGAATTGAGAGACAACAATTGTGTCCTCAGCAGACTCGCTGAAGGTGAGATGAGAGACACTGTCCAATGGAATTTGCTTAGGTAAGAGTCGATGGCGTAGGCGGGAGCGTATGTTAAAATGGCCATATATCCAACGAAGTAGATGAGGTATAACGATACCATGCCTCCGGCCGCAAAGGCAAAAGCGGCGAGCTGCGACGTGACTACGATGGATATAAGGTACGCGAAGAGGGTCGCACAAAGGCCATAGAGGAAGAAGACTACGAACAGGTACCCAGGTGCGTACCAGGCGCCGGATGCCTATGTTATCGTTAGTGTGAGTTTGGAAAGGGAAGAGGTGTTGTTAATCTTACGCCTACAAAGATCGCCGTAGTGACACCGGCAATCACAAGAACAAACACAAAGTCGAAACTGGTGTAAGCTAGCCACAATGGTACCGCCCGGATTCCATTGCTATAGTGCAAGGCTCGGACATTCCTCAGTCGCTCTTGCGTAGGGTACAACGCAAACAGTGCTGGATAAACAGACATGGCCAAGCCAAAGTATAGGATAAGCTGTAGAGTTTTGCCCATGTTGGGTGCGAACGGAACGGCAAATTGCTGGTACTGCGTCGAGATGGGGATGTTGGTGAGGATGTTGTCCAGCGTGTTAAGCGTTACGAGTCCGCCGACTAAGCCACCGTTGCCGAGGTATGCCATGACCGGAGGCTCGTTCTCGCGGAGGAAGAAGCCACCAGGCGTGATGTTGCGGAAGCGAGTTTGAACGAAGTCATTGAATTGGTCCAGCGTGTCAACCATGTAGAAGCTGTCATTGCGGATGCCAGTGCGTTCGACGATCGTACTAATGGCAGGCCCGACGAGGTTTGGGGGCCCGATAGGGATGAGTGGAATAGCGTCGACGTTCGCAAGAGAGAACACTGTGGGGGCATTCGAGTTGGCGCCCGGATCACATCCCACGGCGGTATAGTCCTTCAGAAAGAGAGTAACTAAACCAGCAGCTACGATAGGAAGTAGTAGTGCAAAAACATAAGGCCAAAAGTTCCGTCGTAGGATTGTCCATCTCTTTTGAACGAGGATAAGGGTTTGCTTGACCATTGATGTGCCACGACCCTTACCCATCTCAAGATTTTTCTCCGTCTCACAGGTTTCCACCGAAGACGAGGGCACATCTTCATTCGACGCCAGAACACCCGTTTGCTCATCTTTTTCGGCGTCCATGAGTTGGTATTCTTTGACTTCCTCAGCATTTGCGAGGAATACATCCTCCAATGTCGGTCCTACGATATCATAGTTTTTCACTCCGTGGTCCTTCAACACATCGATAAACCTAGTAGCTGGAAGTGCGTCCGGGAACTGGTACTGCACGTAGCCCTCGGAAGGGGCAGGCTTCTTGACCGCATCAAAGGGTGGTTCAACCGGCGCATCCTTGGGGTAGGTGACATGGTAACCGGCGCCAACTTCATGCTTCAGCTGAACAGAGGTTCCTTTAGTCTTGAGCACACCACGAGAGAGGATGGCAACGTAGTCTGCAAGAACGTCTGCTTCGTCGAGGAAGTGAGTGGTGAGAAGAAACGTGCGATCACCACGCTCAGCGAGCAGTATCTCCCAGATCTTTCGTCGGGAGAGTGGATCCAAGCCAGAAGAAACCTCGTCAACGCAGCAAACCTTCGAACCACCAGTGAACATCATGGCCAATTGGAGCTTCCTCTTCTGGCCACCAGAAAGAGTACTCGACTGTGCTTTGATCTTGTGTCCCAGATCGCAGGCGCGGATGAGACTCTCAATCGTATCTTTACTATCGTACGCCCCAGTAGATTTGAGCTGATTGAAAATTCGGATGTGCTCGTACACGTTCAGTTCGTCCCACATTACGTTTTTTTGTGGGCAAAGACCGAGGCCTCCAGTACCGTCAATCTCAATAGCGCCGCTGGTGATTGAATTTAGTCCAGCAATCGCATCTAGCGTGGTCGATTTGCCACTACCGTTGGCTCCGAGCAGCACCATAATTTGACCTTTACGAGCCTTCATGCTAAAGTCATCCACAGCAATAACGGTCTCGGGCGGCTTGATACCGATCTTAGCTAAGACAGTCGTGCGGAACCAACTGGGTTTCCAGTGCTTGGAAAAGTTTGTCAAGATGATATTGTGGTCGGGGGATGATGCCGATGTCTTTCTATCCGCAGACACGGTGCCATAGAGCCACCGCTCGACGAGAGCGCCCAGTACAGGGTACACTAGAGTCTGGATGATCAAGAAAATCCAGAGGACTATTCCAGTAGTGGTCCAGATGTGATTTTCATAGGCAGGTGCAGCTTTGACTAGATTCGTCGGAATAAGCTGCCTCTCAAATCGAGCGACGTAGACGATGAAGAAGACGTAATTGATCGATGGAAAGATAAGGGCAAGAATATAGACGGCACCTGTGCCAAATGGCCCAGCGACTTGGGCGATGATTGCCAACAAAATTGGGATGATGACGATGGTTATACCTGAGAGTTGAGCCTTGCGGAAGAACGCAGCACCAAAAATGGAGAAGCTCGTCAAGGATAGACCAGCCAGGATATGGAAGATGACTAGGATTGCGGCATTCGAAGTTCGAAAAGCAAGCGCCCAGACAATGATGCCCATAAAGACCCACGACGGGAAATATATTATGTCGAAAGCAATGTGATTTGACAGGAGGCGAGCAAATTGTGTGTGCCACGCTTGCTTTGCAGGAGACATTGCTTCTACAAGCTGCGATATCCCGCGTTCTCTTTCTTCTGCCATTTGCCCAGTAAGCTGGTATGTGACGCCACAAACACCAATGTATAGCGCCGCGCCCATGATATCGATCAATGCACCCATGTAAAGGGTTCTGATCCTTTCGTCCCGCTCTTTCTGTGTACGCTCGGTGTATGTGTACTCGTCTATCTCGGGAACTGTCTGGGTGCCGTTGAGGGAGGCGATGGTTTGGTCGATAGCCCGCTGAAAGGGCAAGATGTAGAGCTGGACATCGTTGTCGGTCTTGGCCACGTAAATGTTTTTTCCAAGCGCACCGTCCGACCGAATCGTGTAGTTCCATGCCCTTCCTTGTCCTTGATTTGGACTCGAGTGGAAAGTTGCTGCGCCAAAACATGTACTTGCGCCTCTCAAGGAGCTCTGGCAGGTAGCGAGCAAATCCACCTCTTGCTGTATTGTGATTGCTTCCAATCCTGCGTCACGCACTTGATTCGACAGTTGTCCAATGACTTTGTCAATCTCGCCACCCGTATGCCCATTGTTCACGAAGATGACCTTGTCGCGGCCTCCAGTCGCAGCGTTGAGCGCGTTAGGGAAGGAACGAATGGGATGGATGCTGCCGATGCCGAAGTCCGAGGGAGGGATGAAGAAGTTCTTTGCGTAGGTAATAAAAAACATCTACAGAGGTGCGGTTAGCGAGACTCTGATGTTGGAGGTTTGGAAAGGAATGTACAAATATTATGGGCGCCCAGAATGCCCTCACGCTCGTGAAGAACCAGTGGCGCACGAAGACGACGAGCAGTGTCTTCTTCGTAAGGATCCATGTCTGCTTCACGATTGCGCCTGCCATATTGAACGGTCCTACCCGCAGTGGGCGTGCTCGAGATGAGGAGGTACAGTAGAGGCCTGTGAACGTCGTAACCGTCACTTGTTGTACACAATCTCCGGAGGACAAGAGCACCGGACAAAAGCAACCAGCATCTCTTCCAGTCACTAGATAGAAGCGCGAAGGGGGTTATCAGGAAAGTAGAGAAGGCGATGTTGAGAATGAGCAGATTAAAAGAATGGCATTGAGCAGCGAAGGCGAACAGCTCGCCAATGTGGAGTGCATGGCATGCCGAGCGTAATGTCTTGTCGGACGTCTTCGACTCGAACATCCTTGTAGATTCCTCTAGCGTAGCGACGCTTCATTGTACAGTAGGCGGATCGAGTGTCTCCCGGGCTCTAGGGGGCCATGGGGTGGCGATGACGAATGGCAGGGCAGTCCGCCCGATTTTCCGGACGGAGGTGCCCAACAGCCCGGCTCAGCGCTTTGCAGCATATAACCCCAATTCGCATTCTTACTTCGACTACACTAACGTCTCCATCAACGTTCTATCAAGTTACAAGCTTGAAGTTCTCCTAACCCGTCTTACGCCAATGCGTCAAGCACCCCACCGCAGTCGAGCCTCGGTAACGAATCCCACCGCCCAGGAACGCCCAGCCGCCGAGTCTATCTCATCATCGAAAAGCCAGATATCCAACGATGCCAATTGATGGACATATCCACCTCGCTTGGAGGCGCGATTGCTGCGCCTCGTAGAGCATTTTTGAGGTGCGTCATCGATTCTAGGGAACGGCAACCAATAAGATAGGATGACACGGGCCGACTTGAACTTCATCAACGACGTGGAACAGCACCCAAGGGAAGGAGAAGTCGAAGGGACTTTAGTGCCCAAGTGCGTCTGCGTGCGAGATGCTCGCCATCCCATCAAAAGCGCACGAGCCAAAGAAGGGTATAGCTACTGTAGGTAGTACCTGATATTCCACATATGCTTGACAACGTTCGCCAGCACGTGGAGCGCGCTCACCATCGTGGGACATGGGAATTCGCACAATGCTTACATGGAGGACCAACAAGGAGCTCTTAATCGCAGCTTCATCATACTCCAGCCTCGTCGCAAGGCGCCACAGTCCGTCCTCGTCGACTAGGTCACGCTCACGCATTGCGCAATCTCGGTTTTGCAGTATATCCGTTAAAATGCAATCTCGTAAATATCAGTCGTTCAATGATTGCGTCGAAGCTTAACCTGGTACAATGACTAGCATATCGAGATCGCCCACCAAGCTTCAGTCAGCCAACTACTCTACACGTCTTTACAGAACAAGCTCTGATTGAGAAACTTCCAACACTTCTTCTCCCGCCGAGTCAACCTCCCCTTGTCCTCTTTGCTATCGTCATTCGCTACTACATCACCTCCAACTATGATCCACCTTGGCCTCTCTCCAACGTCCTCGAAGCGCCTCTGGGCCGGCAGTACGCACTTCTTCATGGCGCAGTGTGTCTAAGTACAAGATCAGCGAACATCCTCAAAGGAGATAAGGAAGGGAAAGCTCATACGTATGCGTCCTGCGCATTCTTGCACGCTAGTTCTGGGTTGTCGGATGGACTGTTACAGAGGCAGGCGTTGAGGTTGTTGCGAAGGATCGCGCAGTCCGTGTGACAAGAATCGTGAGCCAAAGCGCAGAGGCTCCTACCTGGCGCGGCGACGGTTAATCCGGCCAGGGTGAGGGACAAGATGGCGGTAAGTTGCATGCTACGTGTGTGGGAGCTTCGTGCGCGAGGGCTTGGGTATGGGTCACGTTAGATGTTTGCGAAGTGGATGAGAGGAAATTGGGTATTCAGCTTTGACAGTGCTGTATGCGCGAGTATATACTGACTTGCACTTCACAGAAAAGTATTTATTGATCACTTTGCCCGCGATCACATCTCGGGTGTGAATGCCGTTTCCTTCGCAACCTAGTGTCAACCTGCCGCTCCACACATTCTCTCCATCCCTCTCGCCTACCACATAGTATGGATGCGTTGTGGGAATTAGTGATATGTAAGGGATTTTCATGTGCAGATTCATCTTCGTGATTACAGCATGATTGCAAAGTTGAAGTCCGTTTGCTGACGGTCACAGAGCCGCAGCATGTTTACCTAGAGTAGTCAAGGGTAGTCAAGAGCTTGCTTCCTACTTGGTCTCATATACACTACCTACAAGACTCGCTTACATTGATCGACAACGTTTAATTACACACGACTCTCATGGCGACGTTGACGTCTAGCACGACTCATCACAATTCTTAGTACATGTGAAGGTGCTAAAGAGAAAAGATGTGTCCCAGAAAAGTCCCCTGACTGGATCATGACTGACAATGCGTCATCGAGTCAGCTTTATTCGAGTCTACTCAGAGAGAGTCGATAGTCCCGCAGCAAAGAAACCACTCTCGGCTTATAGGAAACAGTTCATGGTGTTTGTAGCACGGCGCAATAATCAAGGTTATATTCCAGCTAAAATTAATTCCCAGATCACACAGCAATGCCAACCATAACCGCCAAACTGCATCTACAGTCTCTAACCACATATATCGCCATAATACTTCAGTGCCTCGCACTTTCCATTTCTCCACTCCCTCTAGTCATCTCCCCCCTCAGTCCTAATTTTCCTTTGTTCCCTCTACACGCCAGTACCTCGTCTAGGAAGGATTTGTCGCGCAGCACACGTCCTATTTCGTACCGTCAGGACAATATTGTTTAGAATAAGTATAGTAAAACTTACATATCGGCGCTGCTTATCCTGCTCTTCGTGTCCTCCCCCGCACCAAGTTAAGCAGTGGCAGTAGTCGAGGGCCCTTGCTATATCCTGGCAGTTGCGGTGACAGGGAATGCGGTATTTGCAGTCGTCGCGTGCTTCGAGATCGATGGGAAAGTTGGGGGCGGTAGGGGCGGCGGCTGCGAGGCCGAGCAGGGTAACGAGGAGGATCGGAGTGAAGTGCATGATGGTAACCTGTGTTTACCGTTAGGTTCCGTTGACTTAGTTTCTTAGGATATTGAGTGGTTGGTAAGTTATGCCTAATCCTTTGGTAACGTGGGGTTTGGAGAGTTTTCTAGAGATGGAGAGATGTTGCGAGTCGAGGCTAAATATATGAGTGGCGTTTCAATGCGACACAATCATGTCCATTCTTGAATGACTGGAGCGAGCGCCTTATCAGTCAATGGCGTCACGAACATTCACGTCTTAAGGGGTCACGAGGTGTGGTTTGGCGGCATACAACAGCGCTCGTAGATCCGGTAGATGGCTTCAAGATGTATGTAAGGACGTTCGATTCATCGTGCATATGACGTCGGCATGAGCATGCGTAAACACTCAGGCTAACAACATTCTAGGGGTGTTGAGGAAAGCTCAATCAGGATTACTAACAAGCATTAGGGTGTATCATGTGTTGCCCGTAGTCCACTATCTCAGCCTCTCTGCACTTCTCTCCCGCGGCGTGACAGCAATCGGCAATTCCACGATCCCTGTACCCTCCCCGTCTAGTTCCAGCGGCCCGCTCAGCCCCTCCCTTTGCCCAGGCACAGGTTCCCGAATAATCCGATTCATCGAGTGACCGTCCTCCTCCTCACGCTCAACAACTACAGACAAAACATGGCCACGTTTCTTCTTCAGCACACCGTAACCGTTATCCGTCACTGTCACTATTTCTTGCATGTCGCGCGGCGACAATGGCGACACTGGGCTCTCCCTTCCGTACCTGCTCGATCGCCGCCCTCGCCCAAAGCTGGACTGCCGTTCAATACCCCCTGGGGCTGTTTCTGTGGCGATACTAGAGTGCCATATGTCATCGGGAATACCAGCGGCTGCTCTGTGAGCCGCTTTGAGTTCGCGTTTCAGCCGACGGATATACCACCCAAGCGCGAAGAAGATGGATAGGGCCAAGAAGGATACGCTGAAGAAGATGCCGACTTTGGCGCCCACTGAGAGCTGGTCTGATGGAGGAAGGAGGGCGAGGGGCATACCTGTCGGTATCGGTTGGTTGGTTGATGTAGGTACCCTGTCCCAAGATGGAGACGCTGACGGCGTGCCATTGGGCGTTGATGGTGCGGGTATAGCTTGTGACTCCATATCATCTGGGCCTTTCGGTTTTGACTGACTGGTAGACGTAGGTACTGTTGCGCTTGAACTCGGCCCGCTGTTCATCATAGTCGAACTTGTTCTTCTCGAACTCCATCTACCTTCATCGCTCTCAATGTTTCCTCCCAGAGCTCTGCACCCAGATCGTACTTTTTCAATTGTGATATCTTCGTCCGATTTGTTGCAGCCTTGCTCAATACACGCTGTCGCCCGACCGATAATGTTGCCTGAGGCACAGTGGCAGGCGAAGTCAGTTTCATTGGCGCATCCATCCGTCAGTAGGCTGTTGAGGAAGCATGCCAACGCACAAGCGGGTAATTGTAGAGCTGCGAAGGATGACTGACGAACGGATAACGATTGCGGTATCGAAACGGTCGGGTGTACGTATGCTGCGAAGAGGAACAGTTGCAGAATATAAGAATTTGTCTTCGAAAGCGAGGGAAACACTAGTATTCGCATGATAACTAGCTACCCTCGAATTTCCGCTAAAGCAGTACCGCGGATCGTGGGACAAAGTGAGGATGTTAAAACGGGATCTTTTGGCGTTGAACATGGATGTTGAGAGTAGGAGCAGTTGACGGCCGATACTTTGTGGCACTGCAGAAGTACCGAACCCTTACCAAAAGCCTGATTCTCAGCACAAGTCTGCCTGCTACAGGCCTGTCGAGATGTCTGCACCGAACAGATTGATTGATTGTTAGAAGAAGAAGGTGGGTGACGAAACGAAGATGCGCTTAGCCGCACTTTGAACGCAGCAGTCTGTCAGTCCAGTTCTCCGGCCTTTGGATTAACTGCACAATCGTTCGAGATGTGCCGATAGGAGGTTACAGACTCGAATTATGCCAGTCTCGGCAAAAGACGTTGGCCGTTTTGGAATCCTGAAACACCAACGCAACGAACTGTTGATTGGTTGTTTTGAAAATCCATGTCCAAACGCATAGAAATCAGGGCTACCAGAAACGATCTCACGAGCGCATGAATATTGGCCATGTACGTCGCCTAGCGCCGGCTGGAAGTAGAACGTTAACAAGTTGCCCAAGATAAGTGCAAAGATCGTGGAGAATGCTGGCTCAGTCGAATTTGACGACCATCGCGTTGCCAATCACTAACTCCCAGAAACAGATATCCAAACGCCTATGCCACAGTGTTGCTTGCTGCTCCATCGCTGGTTCTGTAGAAGTCTTTTGAGTGCGGAATTGTTTGTGATGATTTTGAATCGCAGATTTCAGCCGGATAAGAGGGAGAAGAAGCGGGAGCGGGTTGGGGGCAATGGTTTGAATACATGAGATTATAGTCTCTCTTCGATCGCTCTGTCGAATTGTCCGACACGCGCAACATCCAATGAGATAGCGCGTAGTCTGGCCAGCTCGACTGCACATCGCTTCAACTACGACGCCGCATCAACAACCGCGGCCGTGTGGGTTGGGCGACAAGGCTGTTATCAATCCGCTCTGTACTAACCTACTCTTCGAGGTTAGGGTTAAAGGCGAGAAAGAGATGGTACACTCACAGCCCTTTGCAAGAGAGAGATGTTTGACAGCGGCACCCACCTTGTTGATTGTTAGTCTGTCGCACACGTGATAAATGGAAGAAGAGGAAACTAACATCATGGCATCGCTTTTCAAGAGCGTTGCAACCACTTTTCTCCCTAGTCGGCGTATCACGTGCGGCCACTTGTGCATACTTGTCTACGTAGGTCGAGACGATTCACTTAACCTATCACTTAAATGTACCTTTTCGTATCTATACTAACGATGCATCGGGACAAACTCGCCTGCTAATTAAGGCCTAATAGACCATTCCACACTTCGCAGCCGGCAATCTGATCTACTCGTCGTATTGAACCCATACGAGTGTCTGCACATCCTACACGCCCGCTCCATAACCAGTGGTGTTATCAACTTAACGCTTGATTGCAACGAGAACATTCTCATCCTCTTCACGATCGCCGCTAAGGTCAGCTAAGTCTGACCCCGCGACGCACTAAATGAATGCTCTTCGATTGGGGCATGTGCAACTTCGAGACAGAGTTCAAGAGCATAAAGCTTTGCCAATTGTACTGCCGTATATACGAACAATTCTTCCGCGTCGTAGTTGAGTAGGAAGCAAGGGGTTACTGTGTAAAGATGAGTCGCAAGGTCCAGGTATTCTCTAACGCAAAAACTATGAAGTATGGTTCTTAAGACATCAAACCATGTACTCCAGTTAAGACAGTCATGGCTTATTCGAAAGTTGAGTGCCACCGTAATGACCATGTAGTGGATGTGTAACAATTGTCGAAATTCTCTATGATAAGTTTGCGCCACGTTAATCGATCACCAAGTTTGATAACAAGACACGTCCCACAAACTACAGCTGCCTGAAACAAAGCGTCAACCACACAAACGCCGAGACTGCGGCTGAGATCTGAGAAGTAACAAAGGCTTTAGCATTAGCGGCCTGTTTCTCGTCTTTGGACGAGCACACTGTCTCAGACATTATTAACTAGACACATTGGTCGACAGCAAGACAGTGTAAAGTGCATTTTGATTTACATTCATGTATATAAAGAGTTTGCCTACCCCTTCTACTCTCTCAATCTTCGTCCAAGGGACTACCTCCACTCGAGCAGCATACCTAAAGCAGTCCAAACCATATCAACCGACTTCCCTCCCTTTCGCAAACACGAAAAGCCCCAGCGGTCCACCTAAAGCATCCATCGCCATCCAGCATCAATAGAGATTTCTACATCACAAAATCACGAAAATGAACGGCATCCGTGGCAACGATGGCCCCGAAAATACTGACCACGACAGCACTGGCCCAAACTCGAACGGGCATTTGGTCTACATTGGAATGGAGCCGGGGGACAGGATCTCACTTCGAATTCATATCAGAGGTTCTTCTACTGCGCGCGTTTCAAGAGATCGCAAATTCTTTGTCAATCAGCAGTCCATGACAATAGGGTACAACAACAATGTATCCAGGGCGCTAACCGCCGTCGCTGAGCTTGGTTGGTTCAAGGATATTGGTCTCTTCACGCAGATCTGCAGAGCTCAACCTGTTCCGATAGGGCCGGGCATAGCCTTTGATAACTGGGTATCTGAGGTTCTAGCCACGATTGTGGCACATCACAACGCGCTTTGGCGCCATAACGATGGTACGCTGGTCTGAATTGGCGTCACTTGATTGAGGCACAGGAGGTTGAAGGCAGAGCTATAATGGAGGGGACAGAATTAGCATTATGGTCCAGATCTATTTACTCAAATCTATATTCAATCCAACACTTACGACTCGTATATTAAATATTTTCTGTCCTTAATATATTCCATACGAGCAAGATTCGAACACCTTGCCATAAAACTCCCTCGCCTCTGCATAAGACTCCTCGAGGCCCTGTGCCACCCTTGCCAGAAACCGATTCTCTTCATTCTCATCGAATCCTGTAGTTTTGTCATAGAACGTGCCACGGATTGCAGTGTCGAAACTTGCCATTTGCACCCAAGCAGGAAACCATCCAAGACCACCCCAGTCAATGAAGGTGACCTCATAGTCCGACGCACTCTGCATTGATCCATCTAGTGGTCGAACTACCCAGTTCTGCATTCCGGGGTCCACGTGTGTGAGCTTAGGTTCGTGTCCGCTGCACTTACCTAGTCTGAATTTGAATTCTGATAGGTGAAGCTTTTGCTCTGGAGTGTATACTTCGGGATCGTTTTCAGAACTGATCGTGATTCCTCCTTGTATCTCAGCAGCGGCGTGCATTGCTGAGAGGAGATCTTCGTATGATCTGTATGGACCACGAATCTGCTCCCCATCTGTTTGTACGAACGTTATTTGGGGGTAGAAGCCTTGAGTCTTGACTCGACCATAATAGCCCTCAGAGGGAACAGAGCGAAGCAGCTGCAATTGCTCTGATATCTTGCAGTGGACCTTCTCGCGTTGCTCGCTACTCAGACTGACCCATTTCTTGTAATTCATTAATTCACCTTCAATAAATTCCATTACCATATAGTATGGCGGATGAATGTCTCCTCCTCGACTAAATAGTGCATATAGCTTAGGCACACGGACCTTGCAGTTCTCCTGGAGCCACAATAAGTCTTCTGCTTCCTAGTATTTGTAAGCCATGTGTAGTAAATAGACAAAGTCGAAATCGCTGACCTGAATTATGGTGTGATCCCAGCCCACTTTCACCACTACGCTGCCGACTCTGCAAACGTCGCGGTAACCAAAACGTTCGCTGATTTTGTTGTTCTTCATGCCTATTGCAATTTCTTCAAATGAGGGTATCCCTGGGTGGCTCGATGCTTCGTATGGAAGCGTGAGCTTCGTACAACTCGATAAGGGTAGTCGAGGACCAGAATCTGAGTTAGCCTGATATATATTACTGGCCTCTTCATACGTGCGCACGTTGAAGTGTTCTTGGAAAACCTCTGCTTTAGAACGCATTATGAAGTGGAAGTTTGGTGGGAACCACGTATTCCGAGAGGATTATCCGAGTTGATGTATAGGGTGTTTTTAGTCGTGTGCTTGAGCGGTCCTGTACTTGCACTGTTGCAGTACCTTTTGCTGGGAGCATCGAGGTCTATCTTATATCAGGACCCCCATTGTTCTTAAATACTTAGTTACCTTATATTTTCACTAAGTTATTTGATTCAACTTCATGTAATATATACCTTCGCTTTGTTCTAAGAGCTTCTTTGTGTGTTCATTCCAGTCTTGCACCTGAACAGTTCCTTTATTTGCACCGATGGGATGCCTTTAGATGAAGGTGACATTGAACCCTGCTTGATATAAACGTCCCGCTATATGTTCTTTGCAGAAAGAAAGTCCTCTCTTGCTTTAATGCGTAGTTGCAACTCACCTCTGAGGAGACACGTGCCATGTTGTGGATTAGCGCTGTTTACGGTCACCCACCCTAGATGTACTTTTTATAGTTTCCAACAATACAACCTCAGTTCAATACTTCGATTTCCCATGCCTGCGCACTGCTCACGATCCCCGAGAAAGATTTAACCTAACTGCAAGCAGCATACGAATTTGCCTTGTTTACAAGGCTTCTTTGTGTGTCGCAAGTGGACGCCTAGTGTTGCTATCAAAGAAGTAACAAGTAGCGCCATATAGATAAAGAGAACATCTAAGAGAGGCGCAAGTTCGTAACATAAGTGAGCAGTGCCGTGCATTATATCCTTTATTCAGCCAATGTATTGGCCCTTGACATGTTCGAAGAAAGCTTCCTTTTCTTTGTCTGGCTTTCCCCCGGGTGTGATGGACCCCTCTGGCTCTTCTTCGTATGCTTCCAGATGCACACTATGGATGTCCTGCACCGGGAACTCGTTGATTAGACTAGCCTTTTCCCAGTCTTCTCCGCTGCCGTGACTATCAAAGCTGATGTCTTCCTCAAACTCATCACCCCAGTCTTCAACATCAGCTCCGAGGTCGTCCGAGTCTACTCCATCCTCCCACATATCCTGTTCTACCCCGCTTAGAAACTCCCACGTACTCGCCAGTACCTCCTCCAATGGCAGAAAGTAAATCAAAGACTCATTGTCAAGCCCGGCCCAATCACCCCACGCCTCTAGTATCTCGAGGCGAGGGAAATTGGCTAGCAGGTATTGCGCCCACGTTCGAACAAGATCTTCTTCGATTGATGAATCAATCATTGAGCTGGGCTGTGATGAAGATGATATTGTATAGGTATCGTTAACGATGGAAAGGATGGACTGGGGACGGGCAAGAGCGAGGTGGGTCAAGCGTGGGAATAAAGGTTTCACGGACACGGTTTGTGTACCAGGGTAGTCCCCGTGAGTAATTCCATTGACCGTGATCACTGGTGGATTATCGATCATCTGGGATGGAGTGCTTGTGGCACGAGCGGTGTCACTACGTGACGGTACATCGAGCACTGTTGAGGTGGGTAACTGTAATGCACTCTTCAAACGCAGCACTTCCAGTAGGGCACAGTGTTTTCCTAAGCTCTGAATGGCGACTGATTCGAGGGCAATGACTGTACTAGGATGAAACTTTAAGCTCAGATTCTTGAGATGTGGTGCATTCCTGCAAAATTCGTCAAACTGAGCACTAGAAATGATTGACCCGTCGATGGCAGCTGATTCAGAGGCAAGTAAACTGAGATCTTGTAGCTTCGAGCAGCCAGTCGCAAGTTTAATCAGCGTTGTGCCAGAAAGCAATGGCCACGACGAGGATGAGGGAAAGTTCAATGCAAGCTGGCCAATGTTGACTCTCAGTGACTGAAGCTTTGGGCATTGCGAAAGTGCATCGAGTAGCTCATCCAGTATGCTCATGTCTGAATCCAGAAAAGGCTGGTTCGGTATTCGTGCGACATCGAGCTGCAAGTCCTCAATATGGCGTAAATGACCTGGAAGGGCGAGTGCAATCTCAGGGTAGCACATAATGTGGAGATGTTTGAGTGAGGCAAACGGAGAAGATAACGCGCTGGGGCTCGAAAGCTGTGATAGTAATTGTAGGCCAGGATCAAGGTCAAGTTCCAGCGCCTCTAGACCAGGGCGTTGGATCAAGCGACCAAAAAGCAGATCCTTGCCGAAGAAGTTGGTGTTCATAATTCGAACGTCTTTGATGCTTGGTACAGAGTCAAGTACGTCGCTCAAAGCGCGAGTGTGGACAGGGTCTTCAGGGTCGATTGCGCTTGGGCCGAAGTGTACACTTTGAAGATTCCTGCAAGGAGCGAACAAGGTGGGAAGAAGAACTTCGGCAATGAACTTGGAGTCGCCGGTCTGCGGGCCTGAAAACTCCAGATGCTCAAGACCTTCATGGAGCATGTTCTCAAAGCTCCTGCCATGAGCCTTCCAGTCAACCTCCAATTCAAGGCTCGTCAGGTTCGGCCACGTCAGTCCTTCTAGGTATGTCAGATCCTCGTCACTATCCGACGATGGTCCTAGTACGAAGAGTCGCTCCACCTTGTTTGCATACTCTTGCCGTCGATCGAAGTTCATGCCGCTCAGAGCCGGAAGATGCGGGTAGCGCTTCCAAAGCAGGGAGGTGCCTTCGTCAGCCCACATTTTGTTCACTAGGATAGACGGCACCAGGGTAGGTCGAAATTCCATAAACTCAACGGGCTGATCCGGCCCTAGTTGTCGACGCTCCTTGTACTTCATATCCGACAGGTGGTGCAAGACGGAGGACACGATGCGGCGGTCCGCCGCAGCTTCGGTGGCTGCCATATTGGCGCGATTCCAGACCAAGCGATAGGCTGGGGGAAAGGAGCGACTTGAACGAAGAAACGATAAGAAAGTGAATGTAAGGAAGGAAAGGCAATTGAACTACTCCGCCGGACAGAAAACGCTGTCATCCTTCCTGATTTTGGCGACATGGCGGTTCTGGCCGGCAATAGGGTAGAGCGAAATCCCGGCCCACCCACGCATGCACGCATGATCGCCAGGGGCCGTCGAAGCCTGCCAACCTGTCATTGATGCTTCGCTCACAAAGCGGTGATATATTGGAAGATTCCCATGTCGATAACATGCATACTTGGGATGGACTGGATGAGGTTCTGCGACACAGTTCGGCCTTTGCATGTGACATCCCTTGCTCCTGAAAGGCACGGGCTTAGTCAAGCCGCCCTAGCCGTCCTCAGCGCAACGGACGACGATCGGACCTACATCATCAGCAACATCTCCGCCGGGCTTGTTTCGTCGGCTGTAGGAGCGTATCTCCATTGTGTCTCCACTATACGACGCTGAGGATGAGGATGAGTTGCGCACGGAATGCCGCAAGAAGCTACTCAGATGGGACGCGAATGTACCAGCGCTACATTCTAGGCTTTCTCTTTCCCAAGAAACTGACCACCGCAGTAGTGCTTACCTCTTCCCCTCACAGCATATATAGAAAGCCCGCTTGCAAGCGCTCTACCTCCTACCTCAACCCTTGGACCCAAGAGCCAACCGAAATAAAGCAGTTACGATGCACCTCATATTGACTGGCGCGACGGGCCTCATCGGAGCGAGCGTGCTCCATAACATGCTCGCGCAGGAGAGCATCAGCCGGATATCAATCCTCAGTCGACGACCCGTAGCCATGGCCGAGGGTCACGACAAGGCCAAGGTCATCATCCACAAAGACTACGAGAACTACGAGCAAACGCTACTAGAGGAGTTGAAGGACGCCCATGGGTGCGTTTGGGCGCAGGGCGTGTCACAGAACGACGTGGGCAAGGAGTGCGTAGCCCCTTCTGTACTTGCTACATGGGGTGAAAGCTGACTCCAAGCAAAGTGAATACACCCAAATCACACGAGACTACCCCCTCGCAGCCGCAAAAGCCTTTTCAACACTGCACCCTGACTCGCCGTTCACCTTCGTACACGCTTCCGGCGAAGGCGCTACCCAGACACCAGGCATCTTCACCCCCATCTTCGGCCGTGTCAAAGGACAAATCGAAACTGCTCTCTTCGAGTTTGGTAAGCAGACGCCCAACCTTAAGGTTTATAACGTACGACCAGGTGCAGTGGACTGGACAAACCACCCGGAGATTCATCCGTTCATGCCGAAGCAGGCTATGTATAAGAAGGCGTTGATTCCACCGCTAAACGTGGTATACAAGGGCTTGATGACGCCGACACAACCTATGGGTAGGATCATGACAGAGCTTGCCATGTCCAAAGGCGAGCCGCTGGAAGGGAGTGATATCGAGATGGAGGGGCGGCTGGTGCGGAACGCGGCTATTAGGCGGATGTCTGGGCTGTGATCTTTGACAAGGGGTATTCTCCTTCCTTTCGGCGCTTGCGAAGATATCCCACGTTTGCTTACGTTTTTGATCATCGTCCTAGAATGGCACAGCAGCAGCCTGACAACAGTAACAGAGACCATCTAATCTGTAACTCGACTGGGTCTCTTCTCTTCTGTTCCTTTCGTTCAAGCCCAGTTTTAGAACTCTTGCTGCACAACATAGAGTAGTGCCACCATGACAGTCTACACTCTGTCTGCATCAAGTGGGACATCAAACGAGTTTGCTGGAAATTACAGTAACATGATCGATGGCGACAACCGTGGGAGGCCTAGTGATAAAGGCTGGTGATCACAGGCGTTCGGTCATGCCAACGTCCTTCGTAACATATATATGGAGCTGCCGTAGCATTCTGGTCAACGAAGCAGCATTGATCCCTCATGCAATCTATCTATACTCTTCGTAAAACGTCTTGATGTGTAACAATGCACGTGGGAACGCTATCTGTGGGTGGGCCATGACGGCATCCCGAGGTCTTGGACCCCTGGTTCACTAGCGGGGTCGCGTCCACATCCATGGACGCGTCCTCGCCAGCCGTCTTTCGAGTCCTCTTCGTCGCGACGACGACCTTCAGCAACGGGGTATATGTTCATCCTATAGTCACTGACTTATCTGCCTCACGGCTTATACCCCCTGACATCACCACATACTACATCATGGATAGCGACGCGATTCCGCCATCTTCACCTCCGCACGCCAGCACAGCCTATGTCTCGAATTCACCCTTCTTCGAGCCGCAAGAGAGTTCATTTTCACCCAAATCGAGCTCACCCCCGCCCCTATTTTCCAGCGATGACTCCCGCGAGTCGGTGGACGTGACCAATTACGAATCACCGCGCATATATAAGAACAAACGCAAAGGCGCGTGGTGGGACACTGCCGAGTCGGCGCACAATACACCAGAGCCTAAGAAGACAAAAATCTCGCGCAACTTCGACTCTGGCGTATATATGCTGAGCGACGCTTCCGACACCTCCGAAGACCTACTGCCACAACACAAATCACCCTTTCCAATGGAACTCGCACGCGAAGAACCGCCGCAGACCAGCGGAGCAGAAGCCGCTTTCTGCTCTCAATTGCGCACGGGACTGGAGAGAAACCTGGAAGTATACGAGTGGAGAGACCTCGACCTCGAAGATAGCGACATCAAGCAGATTGGCAGTCTTGTGTCCGTCATCAAGAACTCGCCAGACCCCGGAAGTGACCTCCCCGCAGAAGGCCAGTACCGCTCTATGGTCCCCGAATTATACGTCAATCTTAGTCAAAACAACTTGTGTCGACTCACACCCCACCTCTTCGATGTTCACTCTCTCACCACACTTATCTTGAGGAACAACGATATCGAAGAACTTCCTGAACAGATTGGTCAACTTCAAAACCTGAAAACGTTGGATGTGTCTTTGAACAAGCTGAAATGCCTCCCCTTCGAAATATTGCACCTTCTCCAGCCCTATGGCTCCTTGCAGCGTCTAACCACTATCGGCAACCCGTTGTTAGAGCCGATGCCTTCCGCTCGCTTCACCGCCGGTCACGCCAGGTCTGAGGTACCATCATTGTTCTATACCGACTCTTTCTATCCAGCTCTGGACCTAGAACAATACGAAGCAAGCGAACAGTTGCCAGACCTGTATGGCTCCTTGGATTCTTGCTCAGACCCCGAGCAGGCTGTTTGGCGAATACGGTACTTTGAATCCTGGGCGGATTCTTTTGGTGGCGAAATGCGCGACGAGGCGGACGTCAACCTAGAAGACGATGGATACTATGAGCACCATCCTACACTACACCTAGATGATGTGAGGTCTGTGGCCCCAAGGTACATTGCTAGGACTCTCGTTTCCTTCTTCGACCAGGCCGGCAATACTATGAAGGGCTCTACGAAACAGCCAGCTTCCGATGATGCAGAGTACCCAGTCATTATCGACACTAATCGTGGTACATACGGTTTTCCTTCTTCGTCGCTATTCTCGCCACCCTCAACCTCACGAGTCGCTTCGCTGATCACCAGCTCGCTGCACAACGTCTTCAAAAAGCGACATCGCGACCACTTGACTATCGAGGACCTCAGAAATATGCTCCATGATCCAATTCCTCACGCCGCAAATGCCATCTTCACACAGGCATTGAAGAATGACATTGGCGGCTACGGCGAATTCCGCAAATGTCACGTATGCAGTAAGGCATACGTCGTTGCAAGGGCAGAGTGGATTGAGTTCTGGGGTGCTGGTTACGGGATCTTCCACCCTCTCAATGTCAAGGTCTGCTCATGGGGTTGCGTTCCAGAAGAGATGAGAAGGAGGCCAAAGAACGAGCTAGCATGGTAGGAGACAAGTGATCAAATGGCGCAGTTCAATAGCCAGTCAAGGTACTATAGTATACCCGCCTCATTATTGTACAGTCTACCAATACTACATATTACGCTAAAGGCCTCCAGGCCACTTCAAATCACAAGGCTTCAGCATTATTGTCTGCGACACTGCGGTTTCCAAACAGAACCCTTCCAATCGCAGCGGCACATGAAAACGTGCTTACGGCCACGCCAACGCAACTTATCATCTCATTCTACCCGCGATCCATTGCTTCGGTAATATTACCGAGCCGTGTATTTGTGCATGGTGTCCTGGTAGCAAGATCTACAAAACTTACCGTACAAGCTAATTAATTATCGAGACCATCTTTGGCAAAGCTCTGCATGTTGTCAACAGGGCTGTCATGCGGTATTGCTTCTGTGTTTACGGCTGCAAGTTAACTTGTGGACTAAAGTCGAGCAGCGGTGGTTCGGTGGCTGAAGCCACAAACACCATTTCTTGATTCTGCTATAGGTCAAGTAGATACAAGAATCCATGAGCGTAGTATCCCATGATCGACATAGTGGCGGGCAAGAAGAACGTCCAAAAGCCGTGGTACCATTGGCATTACCACCTGAAGTCAGCGCACGCTAGTCCCAGGTGGAATTAGAATGCGCTGCTCGGTGAATCACGATAACGAAGTGTGTTCTCACTGGATATACCCCACGCAACAACACTTTATCCCGTACCCCAGACCCGGCGATGGTACGGTAGACATGCGACTTAGACACGAGACATGACGCTGTCGCCTTAAGTTAGGCTCGTTCGGTCCATTCGGACACGGCGCCCGCAACGGCGCTGCCATCGACTTCTTCTGCATAGAAAGCAATAATGAACGAATCATCAACTTCCTAAATGCCAGGGAAACCAACGTCAACGTCTCGTATGCATACCATCCACAAGCATCGACCCGCGAAGGTATGTATACTGAGCTTATCTTGCACGGTATCGTCTTATCGCAGCCACTATCGGCATGTCATCCAAATCCCTGTGATAAACAACTTTGAGCTACCGTTCCCTTATTCCGACGTTGTCGATTTGCTTCTCTCAAGACGTCGGGTAGCGCCATCTCGACCCCTCTCAGTAAATGCTTCTTTTTCTTGGCTTGGTGTGGAGAGATCGGCTGGCGCAAGCATTGCTTGGGTTACGCGGCTAGGTAAATGGCGTAACGACAGGGTTACTTGATCCTACCCCAGGGTACCCTTATCTCAACTGCGTTGAAATGCTAGGAGGTAAGACGGATTGAAGCCCCGGCCCACGCCTATAGACTCTTGCAGTATCTTCGAGCTCACTCTTAAACATATTTCGATTTTCAAGGTCTGATCTTGAATCACATACACCACCATGTCCCAGAAGAAGGTCGAAGTGCCTGGTGTCTATGCCGGAGAGAACCATCTCGATTATGGCTCTGGGAACGTACATGCAGCAAGCCGCAAGAGAAACTCGGTGGTCAATCCGGACATCTTAAGAGGAGACATATTTGATGAGCGATATGAGACTACGAAGAGAGGTCTCAAATCTCGGTATGTTTATCCGTTTTTTTTTCACGGTCCAATAGCTCATAAATCTCTCATAGACATGCGCAAATGATCGCCCTAGGAGGTACCATCGGCACTGGTTTATTCGTTGGGACTGGCCAAACGCTCCATCGTGGTGGTCCAGCGTTCCTTCTCACCGCGTTCTGCGCATTGTCTTTCCTCATTTTCTGCACCATTTGCGGTATTATTGAGGTTGCTGCGTACCTTCCGACACCTGGATCATCTGTGAACCTGTTCGGCTACCGCTACGTATCTCGTTCTATGGGCTTCGGGCTGGGTTGGCTCTACTTCTACTCACTAGGCATTCTCATTCCATCTGAGATCACGGCTGCTGGGTTAGTCATCGAGTACTGGTCTCCGCCAGTGCATATTGCCGTCTGGATAACGATCATGATTATAGTAATTGTGGGCCTGAATTGCTTCCCGGTCAGGTTCTACGGCGAGACGGAGTTCTGGTTTGCAGGCACAAAGGTCGTCATGATACTTGGCCTGCTCTTCTTATCATTCATCCTGTTCTGGGGTGGCGGGCCACAAAAAGATCGTCTAGGATTTAGGTATTGGAGACACCCAGGCGCAGCCAAAACATACCTCGAAGACGGCAACACTGGTCGCTTTGTGGCTTTACTCTCAACAACGACTCTAAGCGCCTTTCCTTTTTCCTTCGCGCCAGAACTGCTCGTCGCTACGGGCGGCGAAATGCAAAGCCCGAGACGGAATTTACCCACGGCCGCACGGCGCTACGTATATCGCCTTCTCGTCTTCTATGTTTTTGGAGCGCTTGCTATCGGAGTCATCTGCCCATCGGATGATCCGAGTATTACTAGCGGGGGTCATGGCGCAGCTGCGTCGCCTTTCGTTGCGGGGATCAAGAATGCCGGTATCCCTGTCCTCGACTCGATCATCAACGCTGGTATCATCCTAAGTGCTTGGTCATCAGGCAACTCCTTTCTCTTCCTGTCCTCTCGTTCACTATACGCGCTAGCACTATCAGGCAACGCCCCCTCTGTCTTCAAGTCATGCACTAAGTCTGGTGTTCCATATTGGGCTGTTACCGCATCATCAATGTTTTGCGCCCTCGCTTACCTCAACGTTGGCTCCAATTCTTCCATAGTCTTCAATTGGTTCGTCAATCTTACCAATACCTCTGGTTTCATATCCTGGATCTGCTGTGGCATTGTCTTCTTACGGTTCCGCAAAGCATGCGAAGCACAGAACATCACCGATCTACCTTACCGCTCCCCCGTCGGAAAATGGGGCGCATGGTGCGTCATCATTAGCTTCACTTTCCTCTGCCTGGTGAATGGTTTTGATGTGTTTTGGCCAAAAAACTGGAACGTGAGCAGCTTCTTCACAGCGTATGTCGGCATTCCAATGTTTTTCCTTTTCTACGGAGGGCACAGAATCTGGGCATGGCATGACACATGGGCTTACGATCCAAAGGAGGTGGATCTGTATACCGGTATGGAGCAGGTACTTGCTGAGGAGGTGCCGAAGAGAAAAGTTGCAGGCCTATGGTGGAAGAAGATCACCGCGATCTGGCAGTAAGATATCATTGTGTGCGTAAGACCAAAGGGTGATTTGCGCTGTAAGTTCTGGGAAACCTAGCAACGATATAGTATTTTATTATGGCCTTATTGATTCGGTTTCTCTCCGCTCTATGTTTTCCTCGCGTCTTTTCGATTCATAGTCTATTTCCTTTGGGGATATTGACAACGATAGTATTTGAGACCGGAGCGGCCTAAATTTACCAACCGTTAAATAGCGCTTTGAGTTCACACTATCGCAAGCGTTGATGTTTGCTTCCTCGTCGCCTCATGTGTCTACATTGAACAAAAATCTTCCCTGTTATTCTTTAACCCTTCATCATACAACTCCTAACCATCACGACCGCGGTAATATCATTGAATGGCAGAAGTAAGTGATTGATTGAAGACTCAAACTACGGAGAGGTGCCCCTATATATAAGCCCAGCCCCCTTTCCAATTTGGCTGGGAATCACGTGACTAGATCCTTCACGAGTTGAAGCTTGGTTGCTACAGTTCAACACATCTATGTAATCAATTATTGGCAAGTCAAAAACGCTAAAGACCCCAAAGCTCTCCACCACATAGGCGTCTTCCAGGTGACCTGGGAGTTGCGGCCGTTGAGTGCTGTCAGGTTCTTGAGGCGCACCAAAAGACCCCCGACGCCGTTCCTTATCGAAAGTGGTGGCAGATCCTCGTATGGCTGCTGCGCCAATTTGTGAACGTCGAGGCTATCGAGGCACCATCTGAGTGGATCGAAGTTGAGTGTTGCCCTCCTCACTTTCTAATGATTGACCCTCAGAGGCAGCTAGAACCTGGTTATGCGCGGCGGTGGGGCGAATAACCAACAGAAGGAAGTTGAAGTCCTCGGGGACTGTAGCATGCTGGTTGACTTAGAATAGGAACATATACGTCGTGGAATCTCGACGCACGTTGTCACTCAGCGTTGCGTTTAATCATCTAATTAAATAGCGCTCAATCAATCACCAGCTTTTCATGAAGCTGTCACTGGAGGGTCAGCTAGGCATTTGCTTGTAGTGTCTCAGTCAACAATGTAGATTAAAGTAGAGTTTTCCATACTTCCATTCAGTGTCTATCAACTACGTGCATTGTGAGAGGGAAACCATTTTCTAAATTGTAGTATGTACTTCAACAATGATGTCCCATGTACCACAAAACGTCCGAGAAAACCTCCCCTTTCTCAGTCATAACCCAACCCAGAATAACCATCATATTACAATTTACGACCTCAAAATGATCAACATTATTCAAAAGGTTCTCTCCAAGCTAGATACGCCGCACCCGGCAAGCGCTAATCACGACGTGCAGTTTCGACTTCGACATCAACTTCAGCAACTCAAGAACGAGACTTTGCTAATGGTGGCGGAGAATCCATCCTCATATCCTTCTGACCAAATCTCCGGGACCTGGTCGTGTGACAAATGCTCCCACACGAATCATATCGTTGTTCTACCAGGCGAGCATCCACTAGGCTACTTGGTATGCGGCGGTTGCTCCCATATCCTCTGCTCTACTTGCATAACCTCCAAAATCATCGAGCCATGGTTTAACTCCGGCTCTGATTTGCGTAAAGACCATGGGAGGGGGGAGTCGACTACTGACCTTCCTATCGCGCATGTTTGTAGCACGTGTGGATTATCGTGGCGCGCTGTTATTACTAACGTCACCAAGGCCTTCGAGCATGCAGACATGGTTCATTGGTGCTGGATCCAGAAGTGTGTATGTGGTGCGCGCTCTAGGTCGTGGAAGAAGTGGGCCGCGTATCTGATTAGCGGCGGTAAGGCTAGTCCAGCGTACCATCAAGCGTACGCTTGTACAGAGCCATTCCGATGCACCGGTGGGCTGTAAAACTTCGATGAGATAACTCAGTCTTTATTTGCTATTGCATTGTCATGGAGATCGATTAGAATTTGCGTATCATTGTGAACTCTTAGCACCTCGTTTTATTCAATGTCTACCACCTCATAAATTACCTTTAAGTTTCCTTGCTCATAATATGCCAATGCAACTCGCTAATATGCGCGCCTTCTTCTAGAACGTCCTCTTCCAGCTAGGTCTAAAGACACCAGACACAAAATCTGTTACTATGAAGAAAGATCCGAAAGCTTCTTCTCCGTAACGTGCTACTGCTTTGAACCTAGGCGTTACTACATGATTGATTATTTATCCTGCTGCGAAGATAAGTAGTATGGTGATCAACCAGAATGATAATAAATTTCAATAACTCTCGCAGCTCACCTATCGTGTTGTCGCCTTCCATAGTAATATCACTTGTTTGTGTACTCACCTCATGTTTGTCTCTATTGACCTTGCTTGCACGCTACTATTTGACAGTATAAAGCGAATGTCATTTGTAACAATCACTAGAGCTCTTCATCCGATGCCGGTAAGGTGGCATCCATCGCATCTTCAAGTCGGGTGGTCGGGGACTTATTTTGAGTCACATTGGGGTAATAGCTTTCATCTCTTTTCTTCAATCAAGGCTGGAGCTCACGGTGGCTGCACACTTTATGTTTTTCCAGTAATTCAAACTTCTGGCCTGGCAGTCTAGAATCGACGGCCGCACTCAACACAAAAGGATATTCTGGTATATCAATGGTCGAGACATACAATAGCCACAATTTGGTACTATCAATTACAGTTGCGACCATTCGTAGTATGTATCTAATAAAAGTCGGACATCAGACATCGGTTACTACAAACAAGATTCAATTCACTATAGAGAATGGATGTGGGTTTAATCATTTTCATCCTCCCTCTTCCGCTGGCGATTCAGCTCATCTATCACCTTCTTACCACAGGCCAAGACCTCCAAGGTTCGACTCTTATTATCACGACCTCTCGTCTCCGGCACTAAGAAATGTGTGGTCACTGCGCCAGCGACCATGAAGGCGCTCATCACCTGCAAAACGTTGCCGAAGTACTTGCGCTCCCAGTTAAATTGCTTGTCGACGGTGTCGGACTTGAAAGCGTAGGCGAGGAAGATCTGGACTATCCACGAGCCGAGTTTGCCACTAGCGGCTGCAATACCATGGCATGTGCAACGATAGCGCGTGGGGAATATCTCAGCAGGTATCTGTCAGATGGTCAACTGGGTGCAGGCGAAAAGCAAAGTGGTATTGGGGACATACGATGAATGTTGTTACGTTCGGCCCCAGATTGAATGCAATGTGGCTGAGCACATACAGCACAATCAAGCCCGAGCGACTGCTGTCTAGCAACTTCGTCCAAGCGCTTCCTGTCACTATAAATAGCACAAATAGAACCAGGAAGCCCCAGAACTGGATTACCTTTGGCGAAACATGCTTGACGATCTTTATCATCAATAGGCCACCAGTCACCGTTCCGATTGATACCATTACGAGTGTGTGCAAGCTGTTGTTTCGCAGTGTTTCGAATAAAGAGGACGGGTGCTTTGAATCTGGGTTCTCCCAAATGTGGCTCACGATTTGTGGCGACGAAAGACCTAGACCGTAAACTAGTAATATGTCAGTGGATGTAATGTAGAGAGCTAAGAATGAATTTGCGTACACGCAAAGTCAAGGAATAGCCACGACAAAGATGTTCCGACGAGATACTGCCAGTTTCCTTCTACGATGAAGAAATTCTTCGCATCTGCCCATGAGGCAAGAGGTGGCACGAAGCTAGGATCGCCCGGTGGAAGTTGAGGCATTGAAGTTGTGGCAGGACGCAGCTGTTCATCGCTTGGTCGTGCCTCGGACTCGCTATCGCTGTCGATTACTTCGTCGGGTGCAATCTCAGAGCAGCTGGACGAGCGTCTCGAGGCGGTTGTCTGGATATTTGGAGTTGCAGGAACAGGGAGCATCTCGACATGACCATCCTCAGGGTGCCGCTTCGGCGCACCGACGAAGTAATTCGCCGTGTCCTCGAGCGTGGACTGCGTATTTTGAAGAATATCCAATTTATAACGTGGCGATTCCGGTATTGTGAAGCGGAAAACAAGAGCAATGACCGCGGGGATGATGCCAATACCGATGACTAACCTCCAGAGCCGATCGATGGCGCGGAAACACTCGAAGTCGCCTGGATTGCAGGCTTGGGCGTTCGTCTCAATCCATGGTTTGAAAGCCTCTACTGCTGCAAATGACAGAACGTTGGCGAGCAGCTGTCCCACTGGCTGGGCGAAGAATACCCAACTCAACATGCGTGCACGATATTTTCGAGGTGCGAACTCGGCCGTAATGACCTGGTATCACAGTAAGCCCTAGTCCTTCAAGAAATCCTCTATGTATAGGAATATACCCACAGCACTAAGGGGATAATCCGCGCCAATACCGATACCTGGGAGGTGTCAGTTATTATATCTGGGACGTCTATCATAATGTGGAGGACTTACCCATGATGATCCGCCACGTGACCAACCAGCCTCCAATAGCCATGCTGTTCTTCTCGCCATTCGAGCTCATCAGCAGGAACATGGTGCCGACAATGATGATTACTAGCTCCATTCCATACATTTTCCTTCGTCCCAGCATGTCGGCCGCGAATCCAAAGCCGATCTGGCCAAGCATGGTACCAGCGAGAGTCGAACACATCATAGCGGTTTTGACAGAAGATGGAACCGTAGGCACACCATCCAGTTTATGATCAGGCCAATAGACATAGCCTAACATGGGTGTGACAACATTCAGAGCAAAGAGCCCAAAAGCATCGGTCAAGAATCCGATGCCGGCTACTACGACAACCCAGACCTGGAAGGGTGCCTGATCAATGGTATGGAGCGTCCATTGTCGCCGTCTTGTTTCCTGTGTCAGTTGTTAGCTGTCTGCTCTGGACTATGCGGAGGCAAGATAAAGAAGGGCTCGTGTGCAAAGATGGAAACACGACGCACCGGAATACCACGCCCTCCCGCTGTAAGGTCTTCGACGCCAATGTGATGGCCTCTGATTGGGCGCGTAACCCAATTGCGGAGCCCCATAGATATCGTTACGGTTAAAATATCGATACGGTTAGGCAAAGACGTGTAGGATGTCAACTCTTACAGTCCTTCAGCCTTTTGGTTATAAGTACTGTTGCGCAAGGTCATCATGGAATCTCGTCGTTCATATTGCAGGCGTGCGACGCTTCAGCCTCCACTACACACAACCCCACTGAAAGAGACTCTGCCAGGAGATAATGCACAGCCCTAGGCAAATAGGCAAACCGGTCAACAACTTAACTGCATAGGGGCTGGCGCCCTCCTCCGGCTCACTATGTTCGTGTTCATTTCGATCCTCACGCGAAGTTAGCCTTGGTGGCGCCGGCCGCTGCAAGGAAGGCGCTTTGAAGCCTCGGTCCTGTTCCTTCTGGTTCTGCGGTCACTATAATCGGATGGCGCTGCATTTCATCTGCGGTGTTTACATGGTGTCCTGATGGACGGAGGGCTGCGTAACGGCGAAAGGTTACCCTCTTCCCATAAAATATTTCGAGAGCTTCACGTAAGACGCACCGATGTGTGCGAGAAGAGTCATAGAGGGCAAATTCATGCAGTCCTGGTAATGTCCGTGGATACCTAGGCGTGTTGGTAGTTGACGGTTGCCGTTCGCTCCTGGACCCACGTTCTGAGCTCTGCAATTTCATTGATCGACACAACCCACCTTACCTGTTTCGGCGAGGCAGAGCAGGACCGCCACATGCATCAAAACACGACTCTTCCAGCTTTTCGATAAGCTCGCGGATGTCCATCGTGCAGCCGGCACCGATGAGCTTCGACGGGGGCGCGTGCCTGGCCCGCAGCAAAACGCCAGGCAATATGCTGAGCCAGCCTGTATGCAAGAACCGTCTGCCTTTGGGATAGACCCTGCAGTGACCCTTGGAGAGAACGGGGAGGGTGCCCAGGCGACACCTACTACAACAAATTCCCTTCCTGCTGGGTGCCTGGTGCTCATGCGACATTGCTCTCCCTTGTTGTGAGCAGTCCTAGTAGTGCATGAGAGGTTGCATTCCCACCACAGCTGCGCTTAAGCGCGGCGCAAGCCAAGGGACATGTCATTTGGATTTAGTCCGTCCGATGTCATAAAGTTGCTGGAGGTTTCGACGCGCGTGTACATCGCTTTCAAAGGTATGTCGCTTTCCGCTTTCTTTCCCGTAACCCTCGAAGCATGCTAACTCGGACACAGATGCAAACGAGAACTCCGAAGCGCAGGTGGAAGCTCTCGTGCGCGAGTTCACCACCTTCCACCAATGTCTCACCGAGCTGGATGAGCTTATGAAGGAATATGGGAAGCCGCTGCCATTTCCATGTAAAGATTTTGAAGTGACGCTGGAGAAGTGCGAAAGGTCTCTGGAACCATATGCAGAAAACCTGGTTGATAAGAAGATGGGAATTAGGAAGTTTTTATATACCATTAAGTATATGGGCAAGGAGAAAGAGATTGAGGGCTTGAGGAAGCAGATCTCCGGCCACTACCAGGCGCTGCACATGTGCATCTCTTTCCTACAACTGTCAGTAACCTCCCTCATTTATGCGGTGAGCTCGTACTGACTGAACCCTAGGCGGCTCCACCTCGACGCAACCAAGCAGACTCAACGACTTCTTGATGCACCCCCCTTTCGAGCCATGAGTCTTGGAGGCCGATCCTACACTAACAACGCGCTAGGAAGCTCGTCGCAAGGCACTCCACTAGCCCTACCTGCTCCTGATGAACATCCACTATATAGTGAATGGAGGATTTTCGACCGCTGGCTACAAAGCGAAGACGACCGCGTTGCGCAGGAGGCAGGTCTCACGCGACCGTTGTCGTTGGGGGACACACCCGCTGCTGCACCAAGTGGCGATGTTGAGACGGCAGCTATATTGTATCACTTGCGAAGACAGGTCGACGATGCTATTCTAATCGAGGAGAATCGCGTCAAGCGTACTACCGCTGAGAAGCGATCGCATCTTGCGCCTAGTGATGCAATGAAACAAAAGGTTAGAGGCATGCCGCCCGCTCCTCAACGGACATATACCCTTGACACAGAACATTCGGGCAACTTTTCAGGATTTGAACAGCACCACATGAGTAGTTCCTCGACTACCATCCGACCAGGTTCAAGCACACCGTTGTCCCCCGTACCGCCTTCGGGGAGTCCGCGCATCGAGTCATCCTACTTTAGTTCCATGGATTGGGCACAATCTCCTACCGATACTACAATCACCCACGACATAGGAAACAACAGATCGTCCGTCTCAACGACACGCAGTAGCTTCAGTAACTCGCCCGACTCCCGCCTCTCGGTATCTGGTCTCGGCCTAAGCACAGCAGGCACCACACCCGAGAGTGCACTATCACGTCCCTTACGACACAGGCTTTCTGTCACTTCCCTTGCAACCATCGCGCTGGGAGAAGGTGCGATGGAATGGAACAGTCTCTGTCGTAAGGTTCAGGTCGAACGCCAATCTGCGGAACACGTACACGGTCGTGAGCGCATTGTCGTTGAAACCAAAGAATGCGATGTGCATTGGCGATACCGAGAAGACACTGGTATCTCACTACGTACTTTATACCGCTCAAGTAAAGACAATAAGCCAAGACCCTGGACAATGCAGCATTTCCCTGCTACGGGTCCATCGATACCGCTCACAACAACGTACGCCGATGGTGAGGTATCGGTGGACTTCCCACGAGGATCTTTTGGCAAACTAGATAAGCACTGGACGGAAATCAAATACACATTCAATGGTTATGATTCAGCAGAAAAGTTTCAAACGCTACTCTACACCAACAACGGCACCGACTCCGCAGAACTAAAGTACGACCGACCTATATTGAGTATATCGTCCAACAAGAATTCTCCCGAATGTCGAGGACGAAACCTTCGCCTGTGGAGACGAAGTGAAACTCACTTGGAGCAAAATGGCCCGGTGACATTCAATGCCCTTGTGCTGCTATTCTATACCAGTGCACTGGACAAGGGCCACTGGGTCGAAGAGCCACACTACGCATTCGAATGGCTGGCCGACTCGATCTTCAAGAAAGACAGCGATAAACTCACCCTAGTCTTCTCCAAAGACCCGGCGAAATGGACATCAGATAAACTCTTCCAGCGTCGGAAATCCTCCAACAGCTCAGTCGCTAGCAATCCTGCCACGCCCCGGAGTCCAACCTTCTCGCGGAAACGCAATGACTCAATGGAGATTCCTGGGATGGCTCGCTCAGGTACAGATGTTTCCGTAGCATCTTCGGCGATCTCGATTACGTCGCGGAGTGTTTTCGGCAGAAGTAATGGTAGCGTGAGTTCCAGAGCAGGAAACCTAAACCGATTTGGGTACTCGGAGTTGGATATCAAGTTCCAGAATAGGGAGGATAGAAGGGCGTTTCTGGATGTATGGAAGGAATATGTTAAACCGCTAGGGGCGAACGCTACAACCTCCTGTGGTTAGGATGGTACTTACGGGCCAAAAACAAGGAACATAGAGGTGTTCTCAAAGGGCAGAGATGCAAAACCATCGTCCGACGAAAAGTATACCCACTCTTTTTATCTTGCAAGAACAGAGTATTTGGATCTCTTCTTTTTCATCACAATTTTAATTTACTATTTGTCGTCTCACTCTTGTCGAGTATACCGGGCGTCTTGCTTGCTCGAAACTTCTCCCTGGTGTTAATACAGCACAACAATACTCAATAATGCTCTTCTTCTTTCCAGTACCAGCACTTCCCACCTGAAAAATTTGTAAAGAGCTCTGCCACAGCTTTACAACTTCCACTTTTTTTTGTCTTTATCCACTGATCAACCAATTTCTCGTCTCTATTCTTAAAGAATCAGTTGTACCACTCCTCATCTTCCATATCCTCGTCCTCGTCCTCACTCTCAAAGCCTAACTCTCCTCCACCTGCATACATACCGCCATGTTCCTCACTCATATGCGCATAAATACTTCCAGAATCAAACCCCTTCCCACAGCTCCAACACCAATGCGTCTTACACCCCTTAAAGGTACATGTTATATGATCGCAGCCATATGTCTTCTGCGTCGGCGTCTTGCACCCCGGGCACTCTTTTGCAGGACACTCAAGCTCTTTTCGCAGTCGTTGGGCTTGTCGCAATCGTTGCTGCGCTTCTGTACGCGCCTCATATTGTCCTTGAGCATCAAGACCAGTCGCAAGGGCCAGCGCTTGACGCGCTTCATCTTCGGCGACGCGAGCGCGTTCGAGAGCAGATTGGCTACACACTTCGCACTTCCATTCTTGAACAGCATCGGGGACACCTCGCACGCACTCGCGCTCCATATACCGCCTTGCTTTGCCGCAGTCGTAGCACCATGCATGGATCCACTGTCCTCTCTCTTCAACCGCAACTCCCAAATCACCGACGGCATGGATGCCCATACCATATGTAGCGAGTGTACGTGCAGCCGGTGGTCGGCGACAGAATGGGCAGAACAATGCTGATGTGTTGATGATGCTTCCAGCGTTATTGAGACCATACCAGCCGTTCAAACAGCCTTCACAAATGTGCTGGTAGCAGCCGCGGCGTCGACATGCAGGTAGCAGGCGCCTCTTGGGAAATATGTCGAAGCAAAGACTACAAAGAGATCTTTCGGCTGTGCGGCGCTCGATCCATGAAAGCAGCTCTGTCTTAAGAGCGTGTTGGTTTCGGATCTGCTTGCCCCGTAGGGTCAGGGTGGGTTCGGGGTGGAGAGCTGGAAAAACTTCAACATTTGTGAAGATGGAGTCGAGTCCTAAGGTAGAGACAGTATTGAAGAGACTGCGCTTGAAAGGTTCTTTGATCACACCGTTATCGTTGCGGAGAAGCCACAATTGCCCGTTTTCCTTGCAGATCTGCTCGGCGTTGGTATTGACAGTGACAATAGTTTTGCGGCCGTTAATGCATGCAGTACAATTGAAGGGCGTTGGAGCCATTGCGCTCCATTCATTAGGCCAGATAGTTTTGCTCAAGCACTTCTTACACTCTAGAGTGGGCGCGGGATCGGTGTTTCGCTTGTGATCGGGCATGCCGCTCTGTAAACGACAGTGATGACACTTCGGACGGACGTTGAGCTCACCGGGGTTGTAGCATACGTACTGTGCTCGGCAGGTTCGCACGCTACATTCAAGCCAGGTAGCACTCGAAGCTTCGTTGTCGTCCTTCGTAACGTGAGCTTCGATAGATCGTTTCTTGTGCTCGGTGTCAGTCCAATTGTCGATCACGCAGAGGCCACACCGACCGCCCGACTTCTCCGTCATGATTGTGATTGAACGTGGAAAGCCACATCCGCGGCAAACTACCACTGGCCCAACAGGCATCTGTGTCTTCTCTGGCGTCCATCCAATTTCAGCCCTTAGAGTGGTGAGTAGGTTGGCTCCAGTGTGTTGGTAGGTGACTAGTTTAGTGAAAAGCGCGCGATCAGTGTTGAGCAATAGAGCATTGCCATCGTCTGCCTTCTCTTCATCGTGACTCTTCTTCTGCTTCCGATATTCAGCATCCGCATCGAGCAGGAGACCCAAACAGCTCGAGTTCCACGTCTCCGGAACTTCAACGTTGTTCCACTTGTCGCGCCAGAACATCATGGCGGCGCACGCAGATGTAAAGAGAGGTTTCAGTCCAATCCTAATAGCTAATGCAGCCAACACTGTAGCTGGACGTGCAGCAAGCATCGTTCCTGGAAGCACAATGTGCAGTAGTATCTTCCAAAACTTCCACCCGTGCTCCTTAGATGCGAGGACGAGGGGAATTTTGGGAACCTCTGCATCTGTTGTTGCCGCTATGTGCGCTGGAAGATCGGCCGCGGATTTAACGAACGTGATTCGTGTGAGGACCTTCCCAAGGCGACGAAGGATGCGTCCGTCGCATGAGCGACCAATCTCGAGAAGTTCATCGCGCCGAAAAGCGGTGACTGGACGACTATCTTCGTCTATATCTTCCTGTTCCTCCTCCCCCTTCTTCCTCGCCTGTCTGAATTCAATAGTTGGGTCGAGATACACGCATGGAAAGCGCTGGTCTTCTGAAACAGCCTCTAGCGACACCAAGATCTCAGTGGCGTAGTCGTATGACTCCTCAAGCCAAATTTTCGTTCGCATCTTTTCCTGTGCGTTCGCAATCCTGTCAACATGGAGCCCAAATGCTGTGATAAGCTCGTCGCGGGCGGGGTTTTCGCGGTCATTACACACAGCACGCCAGAGGGCGCCAAACACTGGATTCAGCGACATGGATGTCACATCCGTCTCGATGATAGTCTTCAGTTGCTCCACGACCATCTTCTTATAGTCTTCGTCCTTCGCATACCGTTGCGCAAAGTCGCTGACTGGTGTCTTCTTCTTAGGCAAATACTGCTTCAAGACCTCTGAATCGACCGTCACTTCTGTAAGATTGGTTTGCAACTGCTCTTTGACCTTTGTCTCTTCTTGAACCTTCAGCAAACTATTCCAGATATTGACTGGATTGTGCGCCCAGAAGTATGAGTTTGCGACTGGATCTTTTTCGTCCTTGATCTTCTTGATGTTGTCACCATTCTTATACCGGATCAACTTTGCTGGCATTGTGTTCTTCTCAACACCCACCTTCTCGCTACCCATCCAAGCCAACAACACATCCACAGTAACTTGCGCAATGCTATGTGGCTCCACATCAGTTAGAGATAGACATGCACCTCGTGTGATGGTGCTGATATACGTGTAGTATCCAGAATTTTTCGGACGGTTTGCGAGCTCTTCATCGAGAAAGCAAAAAACATGGGCTTTGCGTGGGCCTTCATGTAGCCGCTTGGATGCAGACACCCAGTCGGCAAAGTAAAGGCCGAATCCGTCATAAGAAATAGGAGTGTTCAAAGCGGTTTGCTCGGCGTAGTAGTTGCTTCCTCGACCCTTGTCGGCTACCATCCAGCATTGAGGCGGCGCATCGGTGTACAGCAAGATGATAGTCGTCGCATCTACACGCATTAAAGAATATGCGCGCGCAAGGCCTGTCTTAGTCGCCTCAGGGAAGTCGCCTCCGCCGCTAGGCTCAAGGCCCGCAGCCTTGGCCCTAAGTATATCGGCACTGACAGCTCCTACGGTATGCAAATTGTCATGGTTGTACCAGCCGCTCCACTCTAACAAACCATGTTTGTCGCGATAGGCCTCGCTGTAGTCGCGATAGGCGAGTAGACCAATTCGTTCGAAGCTGTTGGTTAGGTTGGAGATGGCGATGATCTTAGGGAGCGAGGTTTTGAGCGATTCGAGATAGCTGGACATGGAGTACGTCGCATCAACTAGGATGAGGAGGTCATAGACCTCGGAGGTAGCGTCCGATGTCATGATTGCGTATTGTGAGAAACATCTCACCTCATGCGAGGGGAATATATATCATTGGCCTCGTATTTGCGAAGAGTCATAGCGCCCTTTTGGCGCTATTCTTCAGCCCTCGCTATACGAAAGTATGGTGAGATTATGGTGCTTGCGAAGGTTCAGAGTCACGCCGCTGTAGGCACCAACTGACAATCCTCTTAGGCACCAACTGAGATCGGCTCACGCCTGCACACCTAAAAGTTTGCATCTGTTCGTTCCAGTCGTGAACGGCAATCGAGCAGGCCCAGGGTGAGAGCAAAGACATAGTTGGGGCATTAGTTAGAAGAACGACATCCTCAATAGACGACGACGCGGCAATTGAGACGTGACAGATGAATGACCTCGGGAGACGGGCGGTCTGCGCCACGCGCTAGATGCGCCACACCCCGTAACAACAACACGGCGACATACATTTGAGGTTTTCCAAAGCGCCTACGCCCTAGCTGAGTTATCGCTGGTCCTGTGAAAGTACTTTGAGTGCGGAGATGTTTGTGATTACATTGATTCTTCCAGGATAGGCTTCGAGACGGTCGCCAACTGGAAATCCTCTACTCGTCAATGTACAACTAAATGGTACCGTAAAGCCCGGAGTGTCGCACTACACATATTTTTATCCATTTGTCTCTGGACGATGAATGCTAGTCATGATAAGTCGAGTGAACTTTGGGTGATCGGTAATCTGTTAGTTGGGACTGGATAAGAGGAAATAACTATCAAGATTACAGCAGGTCTACGATCTGAATTGAACATAACATCCATTTCACTTTGTATCACTTTGGGTGTTACCTTACATACTCCCCCGCATTCGTACTTGCACCTCCTATGACCACAGTCTTCTTTTATGCCTCAGATATCTCCACGCAGTATGAAACATAAGACAATATTATCAGGATTTCTGTTCTGGGCCTTGAAAATGCTTTATTGGAGTTCAATGTGCATAGTGAATCATAGGCTTAGGTACGGCCCTAGGGGGGGAACATACCGTCGCAAATTCTTGACACGAGTGTAACTACATTAGCGAGCGTTATAGACCTAGCTTTCTCCGTTGATGGCGCTTAGCCCTAAGAGCGATCAAAATTGAACAAGAGAATGATGTTGCAGAGTGGAAGTGAATGTGAAAGTAAAAACACGCACCCGCCACCCTAAGACGCAGGTTACTACACCACTCAAGTACTTCCCACTTCCTCAGACCCAGAACACGCGATATTTCGTTAAACCCGTCATATCCTCAATTTTCACTCTTTTTTCAACTTTCGAAGCTACTCGGCCCTAGCGAATTGTACCCAACCCCGAACCACTCCTACACCAACGTCCACCGCCCCGATGTCTGACGACAATGATACCGCACGGCTCAAAGCTCGTATTGATGCTGGTGCCTCCGTCTCTGAGATCGCTCAAGAGGCCTATCGCATCAGCCGCATCAATGTCTACCTACGCAAAGCCGTTCAGAATGCTAAAGACGCACTTCGCAAGTCTGGTGAACTGACGAAGAAGCAAGCGGTTATAGAGGATGCTCTGAATGAGATGCGAGACGAGCTACTTGAAACGCGGAAGTTGTTGGGGCGAACATGGGGGTTACTCGAGCAACGGAACGTGACGAGGCCGGCGGATATGGAGCTGGCGTACGATGCGCTCAGAACCCGAGATCAAAATGACTGGCAAGCTCAGAAGAAACCGAAGCACGAGACGCGGGTGGCGAAAAAGAACCATGGGCGACAGCAGCAGAACAAGCAGGACAAGAGCAAAGGCAAGATGAAAAACAAGAAGAAGGGCGATCATAAAGTTACCTTCTTGCTCCACACACACGATGGTAGGACGTACAATATGCGAGACCCGCCCCCCGACAACGACACTAACGATGATGCTGGTTCTTTCGGTACTGAGCCTGGTGAGGTTCCTGGCGATGATGGTATTGAACGACCGCCCGCTCAAGCTGGGCCTTCAGCATATGCGCCTACTACTTCTGTAGGGCAGCCAGGTGACCTGACTGTAGAGAACATCGCCGCTAGTACTGAGCGCAAGGCATCGAAAGTATGCACCTACCGAATCCTATAGCTTATACTAACGATGACAGGATCGACGCAAATTCAACATCAAAAGCAAATGAACCCAAAATCAATGAGAGCTCAGATGAAGATACGAATACTTCCGCAGACTTACCTGTTGCCACCCCTGTGGTCGGTGAAATGTTGGCAACAGACAAAGTCGCCGCTGTAAACCGCAAGAAGGCATCGTAAGTCAAACCTCCATTCAAGTCGAAAACCTCTTACAAACGGTCACAGGATCAATGAACCGATTGGCGCCGCAATCAGGAAACGGATGATGGACGATGGTCTTGAAAGTACCCTAAAGCACGCAACATCGCCCGTAGGCAGCTCTTCCAATAAGTCGATAAAAGCTACCAGTCCTGCCAACAGTGGCGTTGTTAGCCTAAAGCGGAAGGCATCACCAGCTTTGGGTCCCGCGCTGAAGAAGCCGAAGTTGAGCGAGGAGCTTGAAGACGGTGAAATCGATGAGTCTGCGTAAGTCTCCATGATGTTCATATCTAAGCGTACTCTAACATCATGTAGCGATACTCTTCTTGAAGAAGGCGAGATTCAAGGGTAGTTGTGTGAGGGTGTTGTTCCTTTGGTGCGGAATTGAAAAAGAGAGGTGACGAGATAGTCGCTAACGCGCCACTATCACGGTTGATTGCGCACATCTTCTCAAGCACGGAGACCTAAACTTCGACGTCTTGTGAGATTGTATCACTAGCATATCTGCTGTTAGTGATCTTCTCATTCTATGGCAATACTACGCCCCTGGCACTCATCAATGCCGACCCAGTACATTCCCTAGGTTCGTCGTAATAAACTAATGTATAAGTTTCGATATGGTTATACCTGGTCTATTTTCTGGTACATATACGTGATGCCAGAGGTAGGGTGTCGGTACGATTAAAACCCTCGACCATGTGTGGTTGATCTACATGGCATGTTCAAGACAACCCTGGCGCTAGACCTTGAAAAGAGTATCAACTCAAAGGCCTGATATTCTCATAAGAGTTTTGCCCCCAGATGTTCGCAGAACGATCGCAAACGCTGTTGTGGAGGAGGTACAGGTGGCAAGAGAAATTGGGACAACGTCACTCCGGGTTAGTGCTGACATGAACTAAGCGAATGCTTACCCCTCAAACATCGGCATCCAGTGCAATTCACAGAATTAGCAGACTCAATACTGCTGAAGCTTTCGATGTATTCCTGAGATCCTCCCCGGTCGACAACACACGATCAAGCATGGAGCCGACATTGGAGTGCATCGTAGAGACACAGCATACGCCTAAATTCTTCGAACTTCCCCGCGAACTACGTGATCTTGTCTACCACTTCTTGTGGTATGATTATCCAGACCTGGCCGTATTGTATCGCGGAAAATGGTGCGTAGTGGGTTACCAAACGATGAATGCGTTATCTACGAAAGGGCAAATTCAGCAACGCAGCCATCGCCTTCCAGCTTGGCTGTTCATCAACAAATTGTTCCACAAAGAGGCCATTTTCGCTCTCAATGAGCGAGCAGAATGGACTTGGTTTCCATACTGGCGCCACCAGCCAGGCGCTGGATCTTCAACTCTCTTTGGGCCATCAACTTCTCAACTCGTAACCCTAAAGCTTGGAGATCTTGCGCCCACGTCACGCCAACCTTTCGTAATGGAGTCGCTTGCTGAAAGAGCTCGAAGTCTCAATCAAAGCTGCCGGAATCTTATTGACGACCATCGTCATATATCAGCGGATATGCTGGCTTCAGAGAAGCCACAGGATCTCCATATTTGGTTTGACCTCCCTGAAGACGCGGATGAAGACACGTTCGAGTGCTTTGCGAACATGGACCTCGAGTTCTTAGAATTGTTCCAACGGATTCAATTAAGAGACCTAGTTATTTACGTTTACGATGAAGCCGACATTCAGACGATGGACGATATGAGGCAGCAGAACTTATACGCAGGTTTCAAGCGTATACGACGAGCAGTTCTTGGAGATCAACATGAAGTCATTTATTTCGAGAAGCACTGGAAAGATCTGGAACACGAAGGCTTCATGCACCACTGGTACCAATTCAAGAACAATTCCAACAGATGACGTGTTGTTTTGAAGGACACTTTGAGTTTGTTGAGGTACAATTAGATTCAATTTTAGCATGTTGGTGAATAAATAGCGCTATATACATTCCCATCTCTCTAGATATTACTCTTCGTCCAAGTCCTTCATCTAAAGAAATAAATCTGCCCGCTAGCTGCATTATTGTCTTCCATTTAGCTCGACACAGAGCTTGGTACTCAGTTCCCCCCCGCCAGCGGACGCTATTGTAGCATTGCAATGTGTTCTCTTAGTCTAAACTGTCGACAGCTAACACTTTCTAAGATCAGGACCTCCATCTAGCCCAAAGAGATGGTAACAAGTCGCATTTGGCACTGGAAGCTCAGCATGGATACTAAAAACTATGGGCGGGCCATATATTCCCATATTCTTGAAGCTACTGCTTGAGCTGAGCAATATGGAGTTCCATCACTGGTAGCAGTGGGCACTTGAAGTTGTTAGTCCAGTCCAACCGTTTTGTATACCTTTCCCCAATTCCCTCTCTCATCGGCTTACAAGGCTCAGATGACCTCTTACATCTATGATGGACCGGCGAAGTAAGCACGACTTCTATTGTAAGGCGCACATGAGTACCACAGTCACTTCGAATGGGCGTGAGAGACTAATGCTTGTCAATTGCGTCTGTGCTCTTTCACTGAAGTAGAGCACATCGCTTCCACCAGATGGCTTATCAATAATGACATCACTTCCATGATCTTTCTTACTCATAATCAATTTCTAGAGGCAGAACACTCCATCCCTGCTTCAATCTTCATCTCTGTGCCCACGTCAGACTCGTACTAGCCAGCCAAGCTATCGATCTTTACACTCCTCCCGAAGCTCATTCTACCCTCAGCGGCTCGATCTTCTTTCAATAAAGCTCCACCATTTCGAGAAGTATTTAAAAAGCTTCTCTACAAGTCATGTCGCAAAGCAAAGAGCTACGCAAGCGCGCGAAACGCGAACACGACTACGAGCCTCAATTCCCTGTCAACAAAGACAGCAATGGAACACACGAAAGGCGTTCCTCTACATTCTTGAAGCTCCCACGCGAGCTCCGCGACATGGTGTACCATCACCTATGGAAGGCCACGCCGGTGCTCAAGGCAAAGTGCCGTCAAATATCGTACTACGCCCTCGAATTCCCCAACGCCACACAAGAAACGGCAAAGATATTCAGATTCACGGTGTCGTATGACGGAGGCGACGAATACGATCAGCATCGCCTCACACGCGAGAATCTTCCGCAGTGGCTCTGTGCCAACAAGGCGATCTTGGAGGAGGGACTGGAGCAGCTTCGTGCCCACGGTACCTGGCGCATGAGCTTCAGTTCCAACAACACTCCCATAAACATCAGCTTTCGTGGCCTCCTAACGCCTGCGCTGGCTTATAATCTGCGCATCACAATTTTGAACCGGGGAGGCTATGAGATGTTCAAGGGGACGGAACTGCTGGGGACACCAAAGTCCATAGACCAGCGATTCAGCTTGATGAAGCAAATCGAGGGTAATGCACCCGGGCCTCAAAACGGCCACCAGGTCAGGAAGCTCGACTTGACGGTGCCCCAAGCCGCATTTGGGAACTCGACGCAGGGAGAGCTCTTCCATGTGTACATGTCTGGCATAACGCGGAGCCTGCTGGATCTGCCTCCAACTGCTTTGCCGTCATTGCAAGAGATGACACTCGGGGTGAGGGTTTTTGGCTCAGACTCGCACACTTTCATGCACAGGGTCGAAAGCGGAGTCTTTACGCGCATGGGAGAAAACCTTCGCCAATTGGCAAGCACTGTTCTGGGTGACGATGCCTCTGAGCACTTTCTCTCGTTTCCTGAAGATTGTGCACAATCACATCTGCGAGTTTGTTTCAAGCGCAAGTGAGGGAGCGGGGACTTGGAGATAGAGCGACTTGTAAAGTTTATGGACCTCTCTCCTTCTCCTGCATGATGATTTGACTTTATGGGTGTGAACAGAAGCAATTGTCAGGCATCTCACATCGCTACTAGATACAGCACCAGGCCATATACAATTGAAAGTCACCATAAGAAAATATGTGTTGATAAAGGATTGATTGTGTACTATACAGTACAGACTCCATTGGCTTCTAAGCCATGCTATGCCCGTTATGCTACGCTTGCTATGCAAGGCACTCCTGTATGCAAAAGTGTAACCATGATCCCATGCACCCACGCTATGCAAAACACCAATGTTCGCTCGAATAGGCGCCTGTCCTAATGCCCGATCTCGTGAAACCCCCTCAACATATAGTCATATGCTAAACACGAAAGTCCACCCGCTAAAACACATGTCGTACTTGTACAATCCTTTTCTTTCAGTCATCACCCTCCAAGATGCCCTTTAGGATACTACTGCCGGGACCAGTAAGGGCGGCTGAAAGCTCTTTGGCTCCCACAGCACTGGCGACACGACGGTCTTCAAGGACAACACCAGGGAAGGCATTGCCCCTACCCCTCCTGCTCGGTGTACCAGCTGCAACAACTAAAGATCCGCCCTTACCCTCGACAGCCGAAAGAAGTGACAGTGTCTCTAGACTTCCCACGATATCGCGAAATTCAGTGCTTGTAAGCGGGTGTAGGATGTTCTCCCGCTTGCAGAGTGCGGTGTAGGCTTCGAAGAGCTCTTTGATAGTTGGGGCGGTGTTGTGAGATCTTGAGGGTGTTGCTAGGACACTGTCTGCTGCTGATGCGCGCTTCTTCTTCTCCATGGCTGAAAGAGAGCAGAGGACTGCCTTTTGCTGGAGGTTGAGATTTTGTACACGTTGGACGGTACCGTTGCTGAACACTGCGGCGGTGATTTTTGCCATGTGTGCGATTGTTGCCCGCGGCGCTGTCTCGATGGTGAGTGAAGCTAGAGAAGCTGCAAGAACACTCTGGGTCTTCGCCTTTACTGGTGAGCGGACGGCTGGTGACGACAGATTGATGTTATCGACCAATGGGATCTTCGATGGAGAGGGTGTGGGGGATGGTGTGATCTCCGCAGCCTTCTTCGCATGCTGATCGCGAGTGTCGGCTTCGATGAGATCGATTGCTCGCCTACATATATCGAAAGCTTTGCGCAGGTCACCAGACTGTGCAGCGACCTTCTTCGAGAGAAAGAGGATGGCAGTCGGGTGGATGAAGGGAAGCTGATCTGATCCAGCTGGTAGTAGGCTCGCGAGCTTCGATGTGATAACAGAGGATATCTGCGATGCGGTGTATGGCAGAAATGGGAGGAGGAAAGGCTTCAGACCACGGGACTTGAGACGAGGAAGAAACCGATCCGTGAAGTCGAGCGCATTTGCAATGCCGACCAAGACCAGGCCAGAGGACTTTTGGAGCGACCACTCAAAGATGTTGTAGAGGAGGTCGATGTCCAGCTCCAGCAGGTGGTCCACTTCGTCAAGGGTAACAACATATGGCGTCTTGCGCTGCATGAAGAGCTTCTTCAGCGCCTCCATCTCGTTGCCCTCTGCAATCTCGGCAATGTCGACAAACTCTTCCAATAGTGTCCTGTACAGATCCACGGCATTCTTGACGCTCATGCAGTTGATGTATCCGGTCCTGACTGAACCCTCTGCTGAGACTGTGCGGCAGACTTCGTCGACGAATGCGCTCTTTCCGGTCCCTGGGGGGCCGGATACATATATGCATCCGGATTTCTTGCCCTTGACTCGTGTCGAAATGAAGCTTTCGAGCTCGTTTCTCTCGTCTGCGCGTCCAAACAGTGCCGTGGGCGCAGACCCCCTCGCGAAGACCTGGCGTGCTTGATTGTAGATGGTAGGGGCGGTGTGTCGGGGAGTGCCTGGTGTGTGCGGCGTGCGAGGCGTCAATGGTCGTCCAGTGAGTATGAGCCTATGCCTTGGCGTGACGGCGACTTTGGCGGCAAGCGCGTCGCGGTGTCTCGGTGTCGACGGTGTAAGAGCGAACTTTTCAGGTAGTTCGGGGAGCGCCTTCTTGGGTGAGTTCTCTTTTGTTGTTGACAGTGGGATTCGTGCTCCAGCAGGTGCGCCATGTTTTAATGGGGTTGTCGTTGCTTTCCTCCCACGCTTCGCAGACGGCTTATCCTCCTCCCCTGGCTCGTCCACATCCATGGCATCGCCATTGCGCACATTTTGCTTCTTCGGGGTGATGAATGGGTTCTCGTTTTCGGCTTCATCCAGAATCACGAATTGTGCCCTTCGCTTTGCGCGCGTTGCGATGCTTGACTTTGAATCTGTAGAGCGCGTTAGGGACGTGTTGCCGGAGAAACGACGACTCGCGACACTTACCAGAAGCATCTGCGTTGGCCGAGCTGCGAGTTCTCTTTCCAAGAACGGTAGGAGCCATTGTCAGCACCTGCGGAAGGTAGAGTGGATAGTGGTGTGCGGTGTGTGGGAGGTGCACTGGGCGTGGGTGTTGAGGCGTAGGAAGGAGCCGAGCTGCAGACGGAACTTGAGCTCCAGGCGCGACCGACGCGTTCACGCGTAAATTGATTTCTTGGCGCCACGCGCCTTCCAGCCTCACAAAACGTCCGAGCGCACGTCCCACACGTGCAACCCCGTTTCACCCGACTGCCAAATCATCTCATCTGACCGTCTTTCCGCCGATATGACGATTCGACTTATGTTTTGACTTGCCACTGACTCGCACCGTATGAGATAATTGGGATGACATTGGCGCTTATCGACAGCAGGAAATCGTGCAAAGACGTTGGAACCATTCTCCAACTAGCTGACCTCCTGACATGCCCGACATGCCCAACACGCCTGATACAGTGTCCCGAGCATAAAGGTTCGACCCACTAAACCGCCTTGAACCGCCTCACACCACCCGGCAATCAAACAATACGCTTCCGCCCTATATCACTTCGCAGCGTGGACATGGCTCACCGTTACTCAACTGCTAGTCACTGTGTAGCACAAGCCATGGGTTTCATCAAGTTGTTTGCTTAACCTACATGCCTAGCGCCACTAGTGCTCGCAGTCCCAACGCTCGCCCAGTGAGTACCTGCTCAACTAGACCGAGCCGCAGCATTCAGGGACGAGTACTTTGGCCGATGACCTGCTCTTTCTCACCGCCATAGCGTTTGCGGGTTACATCTTGTCGGCCTCGTATCATCACGCAACCCTTCTCGTAGTGCAAGCATCAGCCTTCTTCAACTGTACGACATGGCTAATGGTAGAGTGGTTGGTATAAGTACTCTAGTCCTCACTAGCTACTGACCGTCTGTTCTCATTTAGCAGCCTGGAATCCAGCACCAAGTTAAACTGAAGCTCTTCAAAATTTCGAACTGAGACCCAACTCTACAAATGGACCTCGCCATAGCCTGGAACCTTGATTGCCCCTACCCGTATACCCCGGGTATAGGGGCTCCCTTTGGAGTACCACACAACCACCTCTACCACCACCCACACTCCTTTCCGATGCGAGCACCTCGGTGGGCCTACAACAAAAGGCCCTGCTGCGAGTTTTGCAGTGCACTGGACCATATAGTACACCGTCCTCCATTCCGCTCACTTGATCAAACTTCTAACAAAGCACCATAGCCGAGCCTCAATCAGGGCCTTTCCGAACTCAGCATCATCATGCCGGACGAGGTGGGTGACGTCCTAGAAGCCTTTGACAGCATCCACCACCACTATCGGTGGGGTTTCGACCGCGACGGTCCGGATTCATACTTCCTGTCCCGCGAGGTGGAGAAGCTTTCCCGGTTTCTCCGACGCATGTACCGTTTTTATCCCTGGGTGCCGCAGTTGGGTACGCTGTCGGAGCAGTTGAAGTATATGGGGCGAGATGTTCAGACGGGCCCGAGGCGTCTTCGCTACCATACCATGCCTAAGCATCGGTACAAGCCGTGGCAACTTCTTCATGGCGCATTTTAGGAGATTTCCCATTTCCATGGGACGTTTCAATAGTCGATTATTCAGGTGTGCATTGATTGGCGTTCACGGGAAGTTTGGAATGCAAGTAAGAACGGCATGAACAAGGGTCGCGAAAACTACTAGGAGCACTGCAGTGAGTATACTAGACGATAGACGGATTCTCAATATATCATTCCAATCAAGAAGTCGACTACACGGGCAACTGACATTGCATTGCACGCATTCCCTGGTATATGGTATATATATTTACAGCCTTCGCGATTGAAATATATCGTAACGCCATAGCAATGCTCGAATATATATCTAGACTATAAATCACTCTCTTTGCAGGCGTGTACAGCTCAATATACTACAGTCAAGTCAAGCCTAAGTTCACCTCTTCAACCTACTCCCATCCAGATCCGCCAAACTCGCGCCCGCCATATCCGGATCCCTCTCCAAAAGCTCCTGGACCCTCGTCTCAAAAGCTTTAATCATAAAGTCTGCAACCTTGGGCGCAACACCACCACTCAGCGCCGCATACAAGGGACTCGAAAAGGCGAATTCAACCGCGAGCGAAACGCGCGTCTGATCCTTGGCCAATTCTTCAATCGTCCATTTACTCCTCAGATGCGTGAGTAGCCCATTGCTTCCTGCGCTGTTCCCTCTCGGCTCAGCCTCTGCGAGGTGGTGCGCGATTTCGTCCCTGCTCAGGCTTGTCGCTGTGGCGCCGCCTACGCTCTCCACAATCTTTCCTGGTACGCAGTATACTCTCGATGCAAAAGATTCGGTGATGTTCCCGAAACCGGACGTTAGAACGCCTTCGCTGGGCCAGCGCCGGTTGTATGTGCTATCAGGCGCGGACCATTTTGTTATATCGCTCCGTTGGCAGTAGGGGAGGAAGGTGTGGTAGCTGGGGACATCGGCGATAATGGAGTATACGGGCGCTGAGGGGTAGGGGAGCGTTCGGCTAGCTGTGAGGATTTGCGGTGGGGACTGAGAGTCTGACGAGGAGGCGAAGGGGTTTGGGAGGAAGGTTCGTCGCTGTATGCAGGGTTGGAGAAGCTGTGTAGAGGACCGAAGGAGCGGGCGTAGCGTCTTGAGGGTCGCCATTGAGTGTCGAGGGAGCAGGAGTTCAAGGAAGGTAATTCTTGAATGTCACCTTGGCATCATCATAAGGTATATATATACAACAACACAACTTGGTGAGCCCATGAAGGCTCCAGGCATGGTTCGCGCTAAGCTTTGCGGCTCGATGGGACAGCGGCTGGCCATGCCTCTTCGGTGCTAGCTCTCTAGTACTTATCGATTAGAGAAATTTCCCCTCCAGTTGATCTCCCCCTCCATAATTCTGTCCGCGGATTTCGATATACCAGACTTGGACAATGGCTACCAACCCGGAGGAAACAATGGCAAACAACATAGACAGTAGCGAGGAGTCGAGATTCCAGACTGACAACAGTGTGTCAAAGAAACAACAGCCAAAGCAGCAACTATCAAAAGCAATGGAGCACATGCGCTTCGCAGTTACCGTAGACCCAATACCTCACACTTCGGCACCTACTCCACCCCCAGAACCCTCATCGCAGCCACTGCAACCCCCACCGACCTCTAATGAACCCACCGAAAACGACGCATACGGCGTCCCCGCTTCTTTCGCACCCGTCCGCAATCCAGCATCACGCTCACACGACGCCTCAAACAACCAGAAACGAAGTGACCCTTTTGCATTTGGATCTCGCGTCCTAGAGGAGGGCGACAACATCTTCGAGTTCAACGCTTGGGACCATGTCACCGTCGACGACACGTACCAAGCCTTCTCCGAAGAACAGTACGAGAAGCAACGCGCCGAGCCCGTAAACGACTTCGACCGCAAGCGCTACAACGACCAGCCCGAGAAGTGGTGGAACCAATTCTACAAGAACAACAAGACAAACTTCTTCAAGAACAGAAAGTGGCTGTCGCAGGAATTTCCGATACTGGAGGAGCTGGGCAAGGAGGATGCGCCCGAGGCCGTGGTGCTGGAAGTCGGTGCCGGCGCAGGAAACAGCGCATTTCCCATTTTACAGCAGAGTCGGAATAAACGACTCAAGATCCACGCGTGCGACTTTTCCAAGAAGGCGGTCGATTTAATACGCGGTCATGAACTCTACAACCCTGAGGTTATCCAAGCAGATGTGTGGGACGTGGCGTCGTCGCCGGAGTCGGAAAACAACGGCTTGCCACCAGGCTTGACAGAGGGCAGTGTGGACGTGGTACTCATGATCTTCATCTTCTCCGCCCTCAATCCAAAGCAGTGGGATCAAGCAGTCCGCAACGTCTGGCGAGTCCTCAAACCAGGCGGCCAGGTCCTATTCCGCGACTATGGGCGCGGCGACCTAGCACAAGTACGCTTCAAAAAGGGGCGGTACATGGAAGAAAACTTCTACGTGCGCGGCGATGGCACGCGCGTCTATTTCTTTGAGCAAGACGAGTTGGAGGATATTTGGGGCGGCAAGGAGAGGGATACGCAGACGGGCAATGTCGCTACCGCTGCGGGCAAGGGCAACAGCGCGTCCGAACAAGGCCTCGCAGACAAACTCTCAAGCCTCGATCTCCACGAGCCTACGTCTCCCGAATCCTCCCACACGCCGCAGAAGTCAAACGACGATGTTGAGAATCTGCACACGCCGCGGCCTGTGTTCCAAGTCGCACATATAGGCGTCGATAGACGCATGCTGGTAAACCGCCAGCGTAGACTGAAAATGTATCGATGTTGGATGCAGGCTGTGTTTCGCAAGGCGGGACAGGAGAGCGAGGTGCCTACAAGTACGTTGCGGCAGGATAAAGAGCAAGATGCGGAGGCGACTAAGAATGGCGAGGAAGTAGTGTGAGGATGAATGGATGAACAAGGGCATATTGGGGGGAGGATGTTGACGGTACCACGGTTGCATAGCACATCTTTCTGAGAATACTAAAAGTCACTTGATTATATTTGAACGTACGTGAGAATGAGGTTGCATTGCATAATGATACTGAACGTTGCCGGAATATACAGTGCGCCTGATGCTATGCCAATACATACAACCTACATCGTCTGCCCCTCAAAATACGGCCTGAACCGAGGCTCCCCCTGCAACCCACAATCCAACACACATTCATAACAACTCATAAGCAGCTGCGGAAACTTGGTGGTCCAATACCTCAAATACCCAGTAGGCAGTGACCCTACTTTCGCCTTAACAGCCTCATCCATATCCTCGTAGTGGTTCTTCTTATTCCTCAGCGCCCTCAGCAAGTCCAGCATGCGGTCGCCTGTATACTTGCGCTGCTTGCCGAGCGAGTTGATGAACGCGTAGTCGAGTTTCGCTAGGAAGTTGCGTTTGTGATCCAGCACTTCGTAGCTGTAAGCTTCGAGGCGGGCGAGATCGTCGGAAGGAGGGTCGCGCGGCTCACGTTCCCAGTGATCACTACAATCACACAAAAACGTGAGCCGTTTCTCGTCGCTCCAGAAAAATGGATGGTTCATAACCTGCACGGCGGTGGGTCGGTCCTCCGGTCTTGTCTTGAGCATCCACTGAATCAAATGATATGGTTCTTCCGAGTCGTCCCCCAAGCGAAGTTGTTTAAGGTTGGCCTTTTCCTTCTTGATGTTATATTCGCGGATCTGCATCCAGCCTTCGTCGTCGTCGAAGGGGTGACAACCGTTGGTCAGAACGTAGAAGAAGACACAGCCGAGGGAGAAAATGTCAACGGCTCGTTTGACGCCTTGCGCGACGGGGTCGGTAGAGCTGGAGGAGTCGCGGGAGATGCCTGTTGAGCTGCCGTTGGCAAGTTCTTTAGGCTGTGATATTAGCTCGGGAGCTTTCCAGCCAACGGTACCCGCATTGCCCGTGGTACCAATGAGTGTGCTGACGTTGTCAGGAAGAGTCTTGCAAAGCCCAAAATCGGAAATGACAAGACGTGTCCCTAGTTTGTTTTTCTGGGGGTGTGCGATGAGGATGTTCTGTGGCTTGATGTCACGATGGATGATGCGGAGGCTGTGCAGATGGTTGAGTCCGTTGGCCAGTTGGTATAAAGCGTGTCGGGCATTAGCGTTGATGTCGTTGACCAAGCGTTGCTGAGGCCCGGTGAGCTCTTCTCCGGGCCTGCCATCTTTGTACAAGTCGAACAAGCTGGCTTGGCAGAGCTCAACCGCGATGTAAAGGAAATTTTCGTCCTTTTCATCGTCGAAGTAGCGAATCACGTTCGGGTGTAGATCGCTTTCCTGGAGCAGCTTGACTTCCTGCTCTGCTAATCCAAAGTACTGGGGCAGCATTCTCTTGACCGCAACCTCGCGTTCCTATAACAAAGGTTAGGGCAAACACGAGAATCATCATCCAGACAACTTACATTCCACTTTCCTTCGAAAACGAAAGTGCCACCACTTCCATTGCCGAGGAGTTTGTCCTGGTCGATGGTCAATTTTCCAATGCGTTTGATGTTGGAGATGTCTTGTATATCGTCGCCATTCATGAAGACCTCGTCAGGCTGCAGATGAGGCCCGACTTCAAGCTGTCTGGCAGCGTCAACGATACGACCGACTTCGTCGTCGTCTCTCACTTGGTTCCTATTCAACTTTCGGCCGCCACGCTTTCCCCTGTGTGTCTTCTTCTTCTTTGGGGTCCCGGGCGCAACAGCACCATCCTGATTGCCGTGGTCGAGGCCTTTCGTTGTGGACTGGGCCTCTGCATTCGGGTTTGTTTCCAGAGTATCCGCGTCATCCTCAGCGGGTGAGCCCTGGTCAGCAGTTGTTGTCCTCGAAAGAGGTGAGAGGTCGGCGTCATCCTCCTCGGGGATATCGAACGTGACCTTCTTCTCCTTCGCATCCTGCAGAAGGGGTGCGTCGACCCCTGGCTTCTCGACCATGTCTGCGGCGGCCTTGTCTGGAACAAGCGCCTCCAAGTCTAGCGAGGAAGCCGCTTTTTCTTTGGTAGACTCGGGTTCCGACTGTGCGGCAGCAGGAATTGGAGCATGAGGCTTTATGGCCTTACTTGGTTGTATATACTTTGACCAATAACTTCTGAACAGATCAATATTAGGCTGTTTGTATGAAGCAACACAGCTAGCTATGATGATGAAGGTCAAAAAAGAAGCGACCCAGTAGCGGGGAAAGGATCGGGATTCCATGTATGTCTGTGGGGGAGGGTCGATCGTGGCGTGTTGGTGCTCCATCGGGGATGACTTTGGAGGCATAGAGGCGACTTGGCCCTCTCGGTCCCTCTCTGGATAGTAGGTAGGAGCGGCGATGGCTCGCAATCTTGATTGATGATGCTCCACGCGGTAGTCCAGCTTGTGCACACCGACTAGACTCTTCTGGTCTGGCAACACATATGGAGCTTCCCAATCGATCAAGTCGTTGTGAATGTAGCACGAAGCGTCCGGGGCGCCGTCGGTCACGGCCGGATAGTTGACCTCCGACAGAGCGTACCAGGCTCCAGAGTCTGTAGTGTTGAGAAGAACACGGTTGGCCATCTCCTCAGAGAATGCCGGTCCGGCTGGCTGTGGGAGCAGTACAAGAGGAGGCTCTGCAGATTCGTCGTGGGTAGGCCTAGCAACATCGAAAACTCGTGCTACTGGGTAAGGCAAGGGCTGCTTGAAGAGCGGGCGCTGATGCCATCTCGGTCGTTTGTGATCGTACGCGATGACCTCGCCATTGTATCTGCTGTAGACGTATTGCTTGTCCATGGTCTCGACATACTGTGCCTGTAGGTCCTTGTCTCGACTGTTCGGATTCCACTCCGCGTACTTGATTGTGCATAAATGCTCGTTCGTCTTCTTGTTGTGTATGGTGATGGTGTATTCCGTCTGACCAATGTCGATGATGCCTCGACAATCTCGCTCTCGAGCCCTGAAGAAGTTCTTGGATTCGGGGGCACAACTGTCATCATTGGTGAAAGTGCCACCCGGATTGAAGCTCTGCTTGACAATACCCGAGGCGGCGTCTACAAGAAGCATGAAGGTCTTCTTTTCCACGTTATATACGACGGGAAGATCGGGGTCGTCGCTAGAGTAGGGAGCAATGTCAGTCAATTGCTTGACCGTCAGACCCAGGCTCTGGAGGATGGGGTAGGGCCCCGGCGTGAGCACGTAGAGGGCTCCATCCTCTCTAGGCTCAACGATCCAGACAAAGGGTTGGTCTTGGATGCTGGTCTTGCCCTCGGAGACGTTGTAGATGGTCCGCAACATGGGCTTTCCGGCCAGCTCCCAGATCTCTTCTCCATTGTATCGGTCGCGTGCGTGTATATGGCCATCGACGGTCGCCAAGAGAACAAAGTCCTCGACTTCCCAATCCTGCAAGGAGCGCGCACTCGGGATGAGGGCTCCCGAGGCTGCGTTCTTGCCAGGATGGGCTCTGACAGCCGTGATGGCTGGAGCAGTAGAGACTTTGGTTGCTACGGCGCGCTCATTCTGGCCCAAGAGGGAGGAGTAGCTATACGATCGACGCTTCTCAGCGCCTGCTGCTACACGGGCGCCCTCTTGGCTGGGGGGTTCGTGGTGGGGTGGGATGATGTGTGCATTCTCGACGCGGGCCTCTGCGCGGGGAGACCTATTGCGGGCATGATGAGGCTGCTGCCCCAGTGGTTGCTGCTGCTGAGCGGCCACGAGGATCGAGGGGAGGAGGAGGAGGGCGAGGATGGTGAGCGCCGGGCCAGCACCAGGCGGCCGGCGCGGACGCGGCATTGCGGGCGTCGTGTTCGGGCTTCTATGTGATGGCCTGGGGCAGGCGGGGAGGGCGGGGGAGATGAAGCATGAATGAACAAGAGGCGATGGAGCGTGACGAGAGACGGGGAGGAAGCCAGCGGCTGTGATTTTGACCTCGATATTAACGGGCGGGGGTCGCAGCTGAGCGTGCGCCGTCTTGGAACTGGGGGTGCGGCCTCGTCAGCCGTCCCCGTCAGCTAAACTGGATTGCGACACGCTCGGCGGTTTCTCTTATTTTAGCACCTGGCTGGCCTGTCAAAGGCTAGCGGCTCGCGCAGGTACGAGAAGAATGAGGGATTGCGATCTTGTCGTTGAATAGGGTTGAAAGGAAACAATGTCGAAATTAGAGAGAAGGGGGGGGGGGGGCCGGGTCACCAAATTGTGCTCCCTGGCTGTCTCTCGTGTGTGACAAGCTGGTGACCTACCCGTCTTCCAAGGCCGGTGCCCCTTTGACGTTACTGACGGCGAGGAAGGGAGCACCAAAGGCTAGCTTAGGGAATCACCTGGGCAGGGTCAAATTATCATGGATCCATCTCTCTTCTGCCCTTAGTGTCCGCTGTTGGGCTCTACTGTGGGGGCTGTGGCAGTGTCTGGCCAGCGTCATCATCACCATCTCATCTCAGACAGCCTCTAGAAGCCTGTTGCGTTTTCGTGCCTCGCCCTTCCCAGCAAATGACCGCCTTCAGGGCAACGCACAAAAGCCGTCGAGACCCGAAAAAGTAAATATGTCTACTCGTGCTTCGTTGCAATACTATGCCTTGCCGCCACCTGCACCACCTCATAGGCAGGCGATCAAGGGGGGGGGGGTGGAAATCCGATGCCTTTGCGACGAAACGTCTGGTAGACTGATGACGGACTTCATGTGTACCTCTGATTGAACTGAGTGAAATGTTATTCAGCCATCATTTCAAATCCGTCGACATGGGCGTGCGTCTACCGAGCTCAAGATTAAAATTTACTATGGGACAACGAAAAATGAGCCTGCATGTCTTCAATAGTGCATGGCCTTTCATGCCTTCTGCAACAGGCCCAGGTCTAGGTTCCAAGTTGATCTTGCGTTTCTAGCTGCGGATTCTGCTGTTGGTGTACATCAACTCCGACGCATAGGGGCGAAGAGCGTGTTGCCTCGTACGCCACTCCAACACACACGAACCACATCTGTCATAATGTTTTAGGCTGCATTGATGTTATTTCGTAATGTACACTCTATCTAGTGCCGAAATCGTCCCATGCTTGCTCGAGCACATGGTGTTACTGTCTCGCGTATCTAACAGGTCACATGTAGATCACATGATGATCCCATCATCCACGACCACCTCCTCCCTCGAAGTGACACTTCGCATCAGCTCCAAACTACATGCGGTCGCGACGTCTTGGTGCTGATCTGATTATGTTATCAACACGTAGCAGTAACTGTGATAAAGTTAGTCTTGTTCCCAAATGAATTTGCAAATCTAGAATTCACTCACCTCTGCGGCCTCAGAAGCCGAAGAGACAACCGCACGCTTTAGCTTGTAACTCTCAATGACGCCAAGCTCCCTCATGTCCGCAATTCCGCCTCCGGGTGATAGGAGGTCTAGTCCAGAGCTGGTCAAACCTGAGTAGACGGCTTTCCGGAGTCGCGTGACCAGGTCGCTTGAGTCGAAGCCCGCATTATCGGCCAGGATGGTGGGTAATTGCTGGAGTGCCTTGGAGAAGGACTCGACTGCAATTGCCTTTTTGCCAGCCACGTTTTGTGCGGCCTCTGCAACGGCCTTCGCCATGTTCATCTCGGCACAGCCACCACCCAGGGTTGTCCTAGGCTCCTTGACGGTTTGTGACAGGACGGCGAGAGCATCGTGTAACGACCGCTCGGCCTCATCGAGAAGCTGCTCAGTGGCGCCACGGAGCACAATTGTGCATGCTCGCCCAGCCTTGACACCCGAGAACCTAATCAAGGTATCTTCTCCGATGATGACTTCCTCGATAAGATCGCATTGGCCGAGCTTGACATTCTCCGGATGGTCGAATGTCGATGTGATTTCTCCTCCTGTGACCAGAGCTAAACGCTCAACACCGTCAAAGTCCGCATGCTCGATCGAGCAAATACCAGCATCTGCGAACAGCTGTTCCGGCCAGTTGTAGATGAGCTGTCGGTTGACGAAGCAGTTGATGCCATGTGCCTTGATGCGCTCGACCTTGGCCTTCATCTTCTCTCGCTCCGCCTTCTCGAGATCAGCCAGTTTGCCAGTCGAGTCAACCTTTACTCTCGCGCCGAAGATCTTGATCTTGTCTGTGTCCATGGCCGTATTCGCGACTAGAATCTTAGCGTTCTCTATCCGCTTAGGCTGGTTCACACCAAACTTCTTGTCTAGAATGAAGCCATCGTCCAAATAGGAGTCCTTGAGCTTTCCTCCTGCCTTCTTGATGATCTGGATGTGCGTAAGATCGGTCGAGCCTCCCAGCTTGAGCACTGCCTCTACTGCGAGCTTCGCAAACTGCTGTCGGTCTTGGGAGAGGACCTTTGAGCTCAATGTCGTCCGAGCGATCGCCTCGAGATCTTTCCTGAACGTCTGCTCATCCTTGCTGTGGTCCACGGCGATCTTCTCCAAAGCTTTCAGAGCCGCAACGCTCGCTATCCTGTAGCCTTCGATGATCGTCTGGGGGTGTATCTTCTGGTCTACGAGCTTCTCAGCCTCACGAAGCAGTTCTGCGGCGAGCACAGTGACTGATGTGGTTCCGTCGCCGACTTCGTCGTCTTGGACTTTCGAGATATTGACCAGTACTTTCGCCGCAGCGTTGTCAAGAGCGATAGCTTTCAGGATCGTAGCACCGTCGTTTGTGACCATGATTTCACCGGTAGACCTGTGAATGAACATGAGTGGGGCTCGAATTCACCGTGGGGCAGTATGTACATACGCAGACTGTAATATCTTGTCCATGCCCTTAGGCCCCAGTGTACTCTTGACAAGGTCACCGACGGCAATAGCGCCTACGAAGGCGGAGAGACGCGCATTCTCGCCCTTCTCTTCCGTCACATCGTCCGCAAAGATCTGTGTGGGGTTGGACTGTAGGTGATTAGTAGATTTTCTCAGCTGGAGCAGTCCCAAGTACGTACCATCTTGGAAACAATCTGAAAACAAACAAGGAGGGGTATCTCAGAAGATGTGGGGTTGACAGCTGTGGTGCCTGACGACGCGAACTTTTTCGAAGTTGCCCGCGTTCCGCTGTGTTTGCGCTGTTTGCGCAGAGCTCTGACGGCCAATAGAATCACCGACGCCCGTGACCTTTTGGATGCCTACTACTTTTTGTCTACCATCTTCCATGTATTCGCCTGCCGGACAACTTACGGTTGTCTGTATATCGCCGTCTAACTGCGCACTCATCTGACTGGTCAAAATACGCCTGCAAATTGCTCCGCGCCGCAATATGTCGAAGCGACCCGCCTTGGAGCCTCTCGAAGATGTCCTCGACGCGCCCTCTCCAGCTTCAAAACGCGCGCGAGTAGAAGATGAAGAGATGCCGGACGCACACACAAATGGAACGAGCAGAAATGGCCATCTCATGTCCTCACGACTGCAAGATCAAGAGAAGGTGGACATACTAGGCGCAGATGCGGAGGAGCACGCGGAGCTCGAAGAAGCTGGCGCATTAGACGACGAGGACGACAACGAGCCCGCAATCGCTGCGCCAAAGCGACAGACGGCCCCAGAAGCCGGATATACAGATCTCTACCTCGACACTATAGACCGCAAGGTCCTCGATTTCGACTTCGAGAAGCTATGCTCCGTCACACTATCCAACATCAACGTTTACGCCTGTCTCGTTTGCGGGAAATACTATCAGGGACGAGGGCCAAAATCGCAAGCCTACTTCCATGCGCTGGAAGAGGGACATCATGTCTATGTCAACATGGAGACGAAGAAAGTCTATGTGCTTCCCGAAGGCTACGAGGTCAAGTCCAAATCGCTCGACGACCTCAAATTCGTAGTAGACCCACGAATGAGCAAGACAGAGGTCGCGCGGTTGGATAAGGAGCCGAAAGTGTCCTGGGATCTGTCGAATAGAGAGTATATACCAGGCTTCGTGGGTATGAACAACATCAAGGCAAACGACTACTTCAATGTGGTTATACAAGCGCTGTCACACGTCGTACCGTTGCGGAATTACTTCATGCTGGAAGATCTATCAAGCCGACCGCAGCTTGCCCAACGCTTCAGTACATTAGTCCGCAAGATTTGGAATCCACGGGCCTTCAAGACGCACGTCTCCCCACACGAGCTGCTACAAGAAATCGCACTACGTTCCTCGAAACGCTTCACATTGTCAGATCAATCAGATCCCGTAGACTTCCTCTCCTGGTTCCTCAACCACCTGCATCTCGCAGTCGGCGGCTCGAAAACCAAACCGAACTCTTCCATCATCCAAAAGGTCTTCCAAGGCTCGCTAAAAATCGAATCGCAAGAGATCACCGCCCGCGCCGACGCCGGCGACCGCTTACGATTCGAAGACGCCGCTGTAAAAACCGACGTTACTAAATTCCTCGTCCTAACTCTCGACCTCCCCGCCGCACCCCTATTCCAAGACGCCCTCGAGAAGAACATCATCCCACAAGTACCTTTGGTCAATATACTAAGCAAATACAACGGCGTCACACCCCAGGAAAAGAGCAAACACCGCGTTCGGTACCGCCTCCTCCACCCGTTGCCCCCCTACCTCCTCTTCAACATAAAACGCTTCTCGAAAAACAAATTCGTCTCAGAGCGCAATCCCACCATCGTCACCTTCCCCGTACACTCGCTCGACATAGCGCCCTACGTCGAGCCTAATCCAAAGGAATACCCGCCAGGCGAGCCGATATGGTACGACCTTGTAGCGAACATCACACACGAGGCGGTTAAGAAGAAGGATGATAGTGTCGAGGGAGAGCAAGAGAGTAAAGTGTGGAGAGTGCAGCTTAAGGATCGGAGTAGAGAGGAGTGGTACGGTATCCAGGATCTATACGTTGAAAAGGAGCGAGGCGAGACGCTGTTCACAAAGGAGGCGTATTTAATGGTGTGGGAGCGAAGGCGAGGGCAACAACCGAATGGAGCGGCGAGTAAAGGAAAGGGGAAGAGCGCCTAGGCGCTGCGAAACATGTTTGAGCACTTGTATAGTTTCTGTAGGAATTGGGAATTGGCGGATAACCAAAGTTGATCAGATTACGATTATAGAATGCATACGCATCTAACTAAGCCTCTCCCTTACCATGCGTCTGCTGCTGCTGCTTCTTCTTCTTCCCGCCCACAACTCCCTTAACCTTGTCGACTGCTCCACCCAACGCACCAAAGAGCTTCCCGAATCCAAAGCTCCACCCTTTGATCCTCACACTCCAGATGAAAAAGTACACGAGCGCCCAGTTACTGCAGCAGAACGCCAGGAAGATGCCGAAGTTGCGCCACTTTTGATCTGCATGAATATTCAAAGTCTTGAGATAGTCGTCGCCGACGGAGTACGGGCAATACTGGCAGCCAGCAGTAGCGTCAGGATTGAGCAGATAACCAGGAGCTTGTTGGAGGAAAGCCGCAGCGTACGAGGAGCAGGTCTGGCCAGGCGGGACGTTGAAGCTTGCAGTCTCGGATTGCTCGCACTGCACTGGTATGCCATGCAAGGTAGCAGCCAGGACGCCGCCGATCCAGTAGGTACTCGGATTGACCCAATACCTAGGTTTGAGAAACCAAAAGTCAGTTCATGCTCCTCAATTCATTTCCGGAAAGGAAGAATACAGGTTTATAACTTACATCCAATAACGCCAGAATACAGGCATCATCTGGTACGGCCGCACCACTCCATTGAACAAGCTGAACATGACGAAGAAGAACGGCAGAACGTTGGAGATGACAGTGAAGGACGGTGCAAACGCACAGATCCACTGTCCCCAGCTGGAAATGAAGAGGAAGAACAACATCGTCATGAGGAACACGTAGCCAGACGTCGAGCTATCCGTCGGCAGACCAGTGGGAAAGTACCACAGTAGCCAATATAGAACGGAGCTCACGATAGCGATCGGGATCTCAGCCACGACTTGAGCTGTTGTGAACGCGAACCAGCCATAGATTCTTGAAGGTAATTCGCGCGCTTGCCAAAGCGCCATGTTTTGGTAGAATTTGGGTAACACTGCGTTCACGATGGTAGGCGGGATGAGAATGATGAGAAATGATGTGAACATGCGGTTCTGTAGGTCGCCAATGGAGTTGCCGAGTTGGTAGAATGTGAAGCCGTTGACTAGAGGTTGAAGTACCGTCAGTGTATGTCTCACATGCAATTGGTACGCCGATGTTACTCACAGATGCCAATGATGACTGCGACAAACAGCTTGCCGTAGAGGTAAGAAGGGTCGCGCCAGTACTGGGTAAAAGTGCGCTTAGTGAGCATAGTGGTTTGCAACCACACACTGGCCGCAAACTCCTCTTCCACTTCAGCACCTCCTCCACTCTTATTGTCAGCAACTACTTTGCTGCGATCAGCCTTGATGCGATCGATCTCCTCGAGTAGCTCCTGGTTGTTAGAGGACTTCTGCCACTCGTCGTTCCAGTTGATTTTGCTCCCGTCCTTGCGTTTCGCGGGCTTTGCAGCCGTCTCTAGGATGAATTCTGCGACGTTCTTGTCCGGTGGGCATTGTACGCCGCGCTCGCCAAAGTATTGGATTACGTCGTTACCATTTTCGCCGACGGGGCCGAAGTAGACTGAGACAATACAGTTAGCATGTGTGGATGTGAAAGGAGAAGAGCTAGCTTTTCCCCTAGATCGCTTCACAGAATTTTCAAAATTCTAGAAGAGATCTAAAGAGATCTCGGGGGGTATCCAAGGATGTGAATAATTTACTTACAGGTATTTCCACCAGGATTCAAGGCGAGGATCATGTCGAATTGTTGAATGAGGACACTGCTCGGTTGATGAATCGTACAGACAATGGCCTGTCCTGCCGAAGCCAGCTTCTTCAGAAACCTAACGATAGAGTACGCAGAGCTGCTGTCAAGACCGCTTGTTGGCTCGTCGAGGAAGAGGAGCAAAGATGGTTTCGCAGCGAGTTCGACGCCGATGGTCAAACGCTTCTTTTGCTCGACACCCAAACTCGAGACCAGCGCATCTTGCATGTCCTGGAGCTCCAGTAGGTCGATGATATGTTTGACGTAATCGAGCTTTTCCTGCCTTGGAATGGATTTGTCTTGTCTCAAGATGGCGGAGAACTCCAAAGCTTCGCGGATCGTCGCAGTGCCGTCATGGAGATCCATCTGCTCGCAGAATCCTGTGCCGCGCTGGAAGGCCTTGCCGAGATCTTTACCGTCGACTAGCATCTCGCCGGACACAACGCCCATACTTTGTCGCTGCGACAGCGTGTTGAGCAATGTCGTCTTTCCGGCCCCAGAAGCGCCTACGAGCGCGACCATGACTCCAGGCTTCGCATACCCATTGACGTTGTTTAGAAGCTTGCGCTCGCCTCCATTATATGGCACCGTATATTCAACATCCTTCCATGTAAAGACACTCTCGCTGCTCGAAATTGACTCCAGCGCCTCCTCTTCATTGACGACAGCCTCGGCAGAGCTTCCGCTCGACTCTCCGACGACGACCTTCTCTTCGTCCGTGGATTCCTCCCTCACAGCCTGCTTCGTTCGTTTGGACTTCTTGAACACCAAAGCGCCTCCGCCCGATTTGGCAAAAGAGAAGACTTCGGTAGCAAAGACAGTGACCAACAGGTACAAAACCGTGAAGGCAATCACAACGCCGAAGTTACGCCAAAGATTTGATCTAGAGTAGTTGAACGTCGTCTGGAGGTAATCCGCACCAGGGACAGTGTTCGAATCCGGTGAAGCACCAGTCAAGCTGCAACCCTGAAAGGCGGGATCTACACCCGGTCCCTGCGGAACAAGCTGCTCGGGAGCGCATTGCATGGTCCTATCGGAGAACTCATTCGACAAAACTGCTTCGAACGAGTAGCCTATTGGATTTACCCTGAATGTGGAGGTGTGAAGTCAGTCATGGCTCATAAGCTGTTCATACGTGAATATTACGTACCAGTAGAGCCATCCGAACCAGATGTACTTCCCAAGAAGTTGGGTTTTAGGAATCACATAGCCAGTATATATGATGAGGAGGTTGAGTGCCATACCGGAAAAGCGCACGGCGTCATCGATGCTTGGAGAGAGCGCGGCGAACATGCGGTAGAGCGCGGTGATGCAAAAGGTGTTGGTAAAAATGAAGAGAAAGTAGATGAAGAACTTGCTGACGTCCATGTCAAGTCCGGTCATGAAGAACATGATGATAGCTAATATGTGTTAGTATTTGATCCTCGGGTGGGTTTTGGATACCTTATGTAGGGAACCACTTACAGAAGGGAATAACCTGTGCGAGGAGAAGCGGGAAGTCCTGAACAACGCGTGCAAGGCTGACAGCGCTCGGTCGATAAAATGCGTAATCCTCATGCCTCTTCACCACGTCTCGGCCAGATACAGCCTTCATCAACTCGCTCAATTGAAGCCATCCCAGGAACAAGATTGAGAAAAATGCAGAGCCACCTCTGGTAAAAGCACCAGACGTATTAAGCGATTGGCCATAGAAGAGACTACCCACGATAAGTGCGTTGGCGAGGATGATGAAGAACTTGGTGTAAAGCGTCGTCTTGTCCCCCCACGTCAGCCAAAACTCTCGCTGAGTGCAGGCCAACACCTGTCGGATGAAGGAGACTGTGAATGGACTCTTCTTTCGCACAGTCTTGCTCTTACTCTCTCTGACTGCGCCCTCGAATTCCTTTGCGTCCTTGTATCCACTTCGCTCTAGGTCTTCCTCGTATTGCTCAATCTCTTTCAACACTCGTCGATACGCTTCGGACTTCCTGAACGCCTCCTCGAGTTCCGCGGGGGTCTTCGGCGCACGATCTTCGTAACCAGCGCGGAATTGACGCTCAGATGGATCGGTCACGGCGGTGAGGAAATCGGCAGTGGTTTGGCGTTCGGGGCACTGAAAGCCTAGGTCAATGAAGTACTGTTTTGCGTCTGCTGCTGGGCCTTGGTAGATGCAGCGGCCTTGATCGATGACTAGGACCTTGTCCATGACCTCGTAGATCTGCTCGCCTGCTTGGTATAGTGTGACGAGAGTCGTTCGGTTCGACATATCTGTCATGATGCGCAACGACTTCGCGTAGTCTAAAGCTGTAGATGCGTCAAGGCCACGGGTGCTGTTGTCCCAGCAGACTACAGTGCTCTTAGTAGCTAGCGTTTCTGCGATGGAGACACGCTTCCTCTCTCCTCCGCTGACACCTCTGACGTACTCATCACCAACTGGCGTGTGCTTGGTGTGCTGGATACCGAACATCTTCAGCAGCGCTTCTAGGATGACTGGTATTTCGCTCTTGTCATTCTTCTTCGTCTTGTTCGTAAGCGCGAACCTGAGGGTTTGCCACACCGTGAGTGCAGCCATGTGCGAGTCGTCCTCGGCGTTGTAGTTGACCTCTCCCCGGAATTCCTTCTTCTGTTTTCCGGCCGGAATGCCTATACGTGGACAGTTAGCAAAGTAGTTAACATCGCATAGGGAACCCTAGAGTGCCTCGCAGAGCTTCCGAAAACGTTGAACGAAAGTTGGAAAGCTCCGCAAAGTCCCAGGCTGGTGTTGACCATACGTACCTCCGTAAGAAACATCTCCGTCAACTGCAGCATAGCTCTCACGATTATTACTAATCGCTTTCAGAAACGTCGAACACCCGCTCCCCGGCCTTCCCAAGACTAGCATCATCTCGCCATCCTTGACCACTCCGTTGAAATCGTTAAGCAGCACCCTCGTCTGCTTATGCCGTCCAAGCTTCAGCACAGGAACGAAATTCGAAACAATGCGATACAAATCTGGCCCAAATGTTCCCATAACCGCTTCAGGGAGTGTTTTGACAAAAGTGGCTGTAGAGCCTACGCCCTTGACTGTGAGGTTTTTGAACACGACGCCGACTTTTTTTGCAGATTTGCCGTCTTTGCGCTTTTCAAAGTGGCCGTCGCGCATGAACTGGCCGAGCTCGAAGTCGTCTTCTTTCGCGGTGGCTGCAGCGCCAATGTCACCTGGTTCTTCGTCTGATTCTTCATCTCCCGCAGCGACTGAAGCTCGACGGTGTGTGCGTTGACTTTGGCGGGTGCTCTTCCTACTGAGGGATAAGCCATGAGATTTTTCTGATCGGGCGTCGTGTGATCGTGTCTTTGATAAAGTGGTCAATTCTCCTCGCAGGATAGCGAGGTCCTCCGCTGCCAATCTGGTGTCAATGCCTCCGGCGTCTCGCTCGCCCCATGTTCCGCCACGCCGAAGACCGTTTAGGTTGTCATCGCTGCTACGGCAGCTTTCGGGTGTTTCTTCCGTCTGTTCTCGTCCATTTCGAAGATACTCATCCTCGTGCCATGGGTTTCTTCTATTATCCCGTTCTTGGGGCGGACGGTTAGTGTTTGCCCACATCTTGGTGGCCTACGCCGGTATTGGCGTGGTAGGGTTAGAGGCGTGTAAATTACTCAAAAGCAGATGATACACGACTGAAGTTAAAAGAGTGTGAAGAAGAAAGTAAGCAGTCGGGATAGGGGCGAAGAAAAACAGTGAGTGTAGTATGTTGAGCATCGACGGATTCTAGTCGGGGATAGAAGTTAATTTCGAGGTTGACAGACGTATGCTGGAGACATCGGAGTTAATACCGTTCATTTCGTCATATCGAAGGTTGATAAAGGGCGAGCTTCGCTACCCACTTTCATTCGCTCGTTGTCGATTCCCACCGCACATCTGAGCTTGACATTACCAATCAAGTATTGGCATCTCATTACACCGCCTATTTCGGAAATGTTCCTGCATATCACATGTATCGAAACATGGACAGAAATGGGTAGGCCGTGAGAGGGTCTGACAAAGCAGCCTACGCTAATTACCGATCTGGTGCAACAATTGAAAGTGCATAATCAATCTCTGCAGCATATTAATCGTATATCTAGTGCGGCTTTAAACAGCAGAATGCGTGCCACAGGGAGTTTTCAATTCAATTCCAGTGGCAGACTGGCTGTTAGAGGCTCACAGAAGTTAGAAGCGCAAAGTTTTATCTGACGTCAAACGCCAAGACTAGTATTGTGCAGGGGTACTCCCGAAACATTTTGGCATCACCAAAATATATGGATTCTAACTCGCCTAACCGTTCAAACTCGCCTAATCTCAATTCGGGCTCGCCAAACCGTAAGACAGCTCTTATCTTGCTGGTGGGTATTCGTCTTTAAGTTATTCCCGAAATCTATATCCGTTATCTCCGCTTGGTCACCGCATGCTCGCTCGCGTCTCCACCTGAACAACGGATCGCATCTAGTACTTCTTCTCGATGAGATTGGGAATATCCTCAGGCTTGTTCTTGCCTTCCAATATGTTGTACACCGCAGTGAACAGCGGAAACTCATCCTCCATGCCTTCCGATTTCAGGAATTCGTGGACCTCGTACGCAGTGCTCGTGCCTTGTAGCTTCTGACCATTGAGCTCCGTCTGTTCAATCTCGTAGATGGTCTTTCCACGCTGTATAGCCATCTTCGCGCAACGGAAGTTGCGGCCGCCCATGCACGAGGTGACCACGTCGGCAACACCACAGCTCTCCTCGGTGAAGGTGCTTGTGCGGGCGCTTTCTCCGAAAAAGGCCTTGCCAAACTTGACCATCTCGAGAATGCCGACGCGCATGACGGCTGCTTTGGCATTGTCTCCCCAGCCCAAACCATCCACAAAGCCGGCTGCGAGCGCTATGATGTTCTTCAGGGCTCCTCCCAGGGAGACGCCCGCGACATCGCTGACCATGTGCACGTGGAAGTATGGTCGGTGAAATAGCTTGCGGACGTTCTCATGCGTGAGCGCTGGATATTCCAGAGGAAGAGGGGTGAGACGTGCTGACCGGGGACCAGGATTCGGCTTGCTGGGGTTGATCAGGTCGACCTGAGAAGCATTTGGTGAGCCACTTGGGGTAGGGTTTCGGGAGTCCATTGGTGGCGGGTCGTATGCGATAGTCGTCTCCGAGTACTTCTCCTGTGCAATCTCAGTAGCAATGTTTGCACCCGACAAAGCACCACAGTAGATGTTGAGCGTCATGCCAATCGTCTCCGACATGAGCCGAATGCCCTTTTCGCCGACGTCTACACCTTTTGTGCAGCATATGGCTCGAGCATATGGAAGGATCTTGCCGACCAGTTGCTCGCATGACCTAGCGATGAACTGATGGGGAAGGACGAAGACGAGGATGGTAGAGTCTTTGCATGAGCTCGGCAGGTCTGGGTTTGCAACCACGTTTGGTGGCAGCGTGATGTTTGGAAGGTACTTGACGTTCTCGTGCACCTTGTTGATGAGCTGTGAGAGCTTCTCCGGCTTGTCTGAGCCGCTATAGTGTGGGGAGTCCTTTGAGAGTGTGACTTCCTCTTCGTGTACCCACATTTGTACCGTCTCCTCGAACAGGGTGGGATTCTCTTTGACAGTCTCAGCGACAAGCTTAGACATGGTGGTGCCCCTGCGATGATTAGCCTGCGCCCTCAGTTTCTAGCTACCTTGCGCATCCAGCGTTTTTGCGAGCCACGTACCAATTGCCGGAGCCTACCACCGTCACCTTATGCTTTCGCTGAGCACCTAAAGTCGCCATTGTCCTCCAAGTTCTCGCTCCTGGGCTTTGTGTATACGGGTAGAATTTTAGCAACGATGTTCGTGCGCGTGGTATGAGGCGGGGACAAGCTCTGACGTAGCAGGTAGGCGAGGGGAGTGTGAGGGATAACGGCCTCAAAGGTTTGAAGAACGCCAGCTTATATATTTCTCAATGCCCTTAACACCTGTTACAATGTCAATAAAAATACACGCTCGAGGCACACAGCGGCTCAAGACCGCAGTTTGCGACGTACTCGTCGTCAGGAAGCGAAAAGCCTCGGCTTCTTGTGATTGCGGCGATGCCGAAAGCTTCAATCGTGACAAGTCGGAGGGTCGCGGCAACAGTGACTTCAGGATGCCGAGGCGAGGGCAACTGTGAGAAGGATACAGGGAGGATAACGGCGCGAATTGTTGAATGGAGGTTGCTCAACACCTTTTCAAAAAGATGCGCTCATCCGGCAAGGGTCAGCTGCACGCACGCTTATCGATAATGCACACAAACTCGCTCCAATCCTGGGGGAGGTCGGCTGATCAACACCGCAGCATGCATTAGCCAATCGCAGAAATGCTGTGATGAGCTACGGGAACACAACCTTGGTGCGAGGCACAGATGCAGGCAGCCGCTTCGTTCCCAGGTTTTGCCGTTTGTTTGCTGCGATGATGAAGGCCGCGTCAATGGAAGCGTGGGCTTGCTTAACATGGCACCGTATGTACCTACCTAGGGAAACAAGCGGGATAGTTAGGAAGGACTTTGGGGCAGGTTGCATGTGATACACGGCTTCATAACGGGATCAGCACAAGCAGACAAAGTCCAGAGAATTGGTAATAGTGTTGGGTATTGCAAGTCGTGTATCCTTCATTAAATCGCATTAAGTCTCCCCCTCATTGCACTCAGACCCCATGTTGCGCACAAGTGAACATGGCAGGCTATTCCAATGCCCGTAAACGATGGAGACACTAAGCCATCTTCATGTGTATGCCGTATGGCCATGATGATATCCGAGACGCAATTCCATCCTCATTACCGTCCAAAAGACGCTACCCGCTGAAATACTTGTCGGCTTACAAGGCGAGGCCGAAGAGAGCCAGAAGGCCACCAGCCAGAGCAGGCGTGCCGTAGAAAGCAAGATTCGCGGCAGCAGCAGCGCTGCTCGAGGTAGTGGCGCCGGAGGAGGTGGGCGAGGATGAAGAGCCGCCGGAAGTGCGGGACGCGCTGCCAGAGCCAGAGCCAGTGGGCGAGGACGAGCTTGATGCAGACGAGCCGCTGTCCTTGGCCGTCTGGTTACCGCACTGGGTGTCGCGGGCCTGGATGCAGCGGAACTGGGCAGAGGCGTCGGTTCCAGTCGCGTTGATGCAAGAGTCGAACCAGTAGCGGCACATCAGACCAGGAACGGACTGTTGGTACCGTGCCAAGTTGGACGTGATATCCGTGCCGTTGGAGCATTTGCAAGTAAACTTGAGGTCGGACTGCATCATGGTCAGCATAGTTCTACTGAGAGAATAGGCAGCATGCGACTTACAGACTCGCACTGGTTGCCGTTGCTCGCGATGGAGCCCTGGCCACCGCAGAGGTCGACGCAAGTGTTTCCGTTGGCAGTGCACCAGTCTGAGCGCTGGGACTCGGGAACAGTGGTGACCGGGACCGTGCAGCAGGGAATGGCAGTGTTCGCTGTGCTGTTCTGCGCGGAGGCGAAGCCAGCAAAGGCCGAGGCGGCGACGATGAGGGTGGAGTAGAGCATTGTTGATGACGCAGAGAGTATCAATGCCTGGGTAGCGTAATGTCAGCGGGAGATGATTGGGCGGCGAGTTGTGGTGGAGAGGCGAGAGAGAGATGGAGGAAGAGGAGGATTAGGTGCAATTGGGGGCGCAATGGAGATGATATATGTTCCGGCGCGCTTGCACTTGGGCAGGGTTGGGGGAACTTACAGCGAGATTTTATGCTGGGGTGGTACGAGTGAGGGAGAGGGCGGGTGGTTGCTGGGGAGGGCAAAGATATAGGCTGGGAAGCACGCCGCTAGGAAAACAACGCCAGGTCGGCGCTTTGCTCAAGGAAGCTAGGCTATACGGAAATTCAAGATACGCTCAGACACGTTGGAGATGCTCAGCTGGGCATCTTCATAATCCTGCCCGGCAGGAAATTGGGCAATTTATCTTCTACGCCTTTGCTCTGCTTCTGCCGGCGCTCATGCCTTGCTTCAGAAGGTGCTGGCGTCGACTGCTTTGCTGCGCCGAGACTTGTTTCAGCAACGCCGTCTCCAAACCCGCCACGCGTCGGATTCACACACACACACACCGGCATAGCATCTTGGAACCCCACACTCTGCGCAGCACCGCCTCTCGAGCAGCCGTGCCGCCTGACGGACTTCTTATGGTCCAGTGCCGTCGAGCCAACTTCAGCGAGGGCGAGCTTGCCATGCGCGCGTCCGCGTGGTTGGCTGAGCATTCCAGTCGATCCTCCAGCCAAGTCGCGTCGGGCGCGCGCGAATAGCCTCCACTTGGACACTGGGAAGAGGACGACTCATATTATTTCCTTGGCTTGGAGGTGCGGTGAGGCAGAGGCAGCGTCTTGGACGCATCTGTGGCCGTGCCCAAAGAATCGTTCCATTCAATTCACCAGGGCCCCCCCCCCCCGTCCATTGATATGTGCGCGCCTGTAAGCCTCGCAGTATTGGACAAGCATCCAACGGGCCGAGCTCCACTGCTGTATCAGAGGCTGGCAGAAGCGTCCTCGCAGCCTTGCATAACGCCGTGCGGTTGATACACTTCTGTCGCACCGTTTCAGATGGCAAGATCAGAGCATATCCATGAAACAGGCGGCAGTTGACGGGGCTGGAGCCACAGCAAACACACGACACGCTGCCTATCGCCAGAGCAACGCAGCGTCCATCAACAACACAACCTCATCCGCCTCTTCCGCATGCAGCGCCGCGGTCGTATCTAGCATGGGGCTAGTGGAACCTGTTCTCATCCATGGATGTCCCTCGGGACGCACAGACGCGCCTATCCTACTCGAGCTCCACCCTATTTGACAAATGCCCATGAAAAAGACGCAGTCCGTCCCTCGACAAAATACTCTAGTCGTGACATTGCCACTTCCTGCCGTGTGCAGGCTATTCGCGACCACAGCCGGTGTCTCCACTTGGTGCACCATGTACTTGGAAGCAAACTCATAGCAATCCTCCAACGGCTAAGCGGCGCCGGGCCACCTGGCACAGACGTCTCAATTATGAAGGTAGGTAATGTACAAGGCTAGGCTGGCAAGCACCCGAACCAAAGGGGTTAGCAGCTGCCAATGGATCATGAGAAGTGTCCAGCATGTCAAATTACTTCGCAACATCCTTCGCTCTGCTCCTCCCCATGGTCGACTTCCGTCTACCTGCCTGCTTTCCATCACGTAGACAAGTCATGCACGCTTGTGTTTGTTGGGTGTGGCAACATACAACTAGAGCTGCGCGTCGAGTGGCTAGCTACACTAATAAGCCTTCGCGACCCTGCGCCTCGCACGTAGGTAGGCGTACCATCAGAATGGCTCCCCTGGCCTCGTCAGCACATTACGTGGATAGAGGAGATGGACTCCGACGCCTCTCTTGAGCCACGTTATCCAGCAACGACCACGAGCATGACGATTCCATCACAGTCTTGTAGTTGTACCCTCGACCACGTATTCTGCAGGACTATCCGCGCTTATAGAGGCATGCGCACTGCGACACAAGAAACGCAGACGTGAGTGGCGGTTCCAGTGAGGAATTAGACTTGCTCAAGCAAGATCACAGGCAGTGACCTCGTTTTTCTTCCTAGTCAAGTATTATGGCCTCAGGGCAAAGCTCTTCCAAAGAAAGCAAGTAGGCTGTTCAGCAAACCCTTGGTCCGTGCGAGCCGCACCTGCCACTCTGAGGTGAGTTGCGCCTTCTCCACACTGCTGTGACCTGGTACTGTCCTCAGCCCCGCGTCGGATTGTCGCACTCTAGGATATTGCTCCAGGTGGAAAAAAAAAACCCCCAACTAATAGCAAATACACTCCCTCTCCAGGCGATGTTTTGTTCCGACTACAGGGGTTCCAGTCTTTACCACCCTACATGATGTCACGACTTAAATGTGGCGTATAGCAACTCCTACCTCCACGCTCGTAGAAATTCCTGCGGATGCGATATCTATCATTTGTCCGATTCTCTCCTCCACTAGATGATCTAGTCCCATCAATGCAATCTATTTCTTTCATTAGAGATTACCATGCAGTGCAACTACTTCGTTTGCACGCTTGGTCAAGCTACACGACTACACAGCGGCCCTAAGCCATACCGCAACATCAGCCAGTTTGTGGAGCAGCAAGCACAGCATCACCCGCTACTACCAGCCGTTGGATTCCCAGTCCCGTGTCCAGAACCAAAGCAATGGCATCACGAGGTCCTCACATTTGGAGATGTTGAAGAAGGCACAAATGTCTTCGCAACGAGACTATCAGACGCCTTACGCACGCCCAAACATCTAGAGACGATAGCTTTACTATGTCACAGCTCTCCGGAGTTCCTTTTCACGTGGTTGGGTTTGATAAGACTGGGCCATCCCGTCCTCCTGATAGCGCCGCAATGTCAAGCAGCTGCGATCGTACATCTTTGCACATCTTGCAACGTCTCAATACTGCTCCATGACGTTGCTCACGCAGATCGAGCGCAGCAGACACAGCAGTCGGCGGAAGAACAAAAAGTGACCGCGTTCAAGACACAACTTTTACCTCTAAGCGAAGGAGAAGACATCTTCCAGGTCATCAAAGAGTCGGTTGAACTACATGCTGAGTCCCCTCAAATAGACGAAACAGCCATCGCATACTTGCACCACACTTCGGGAACCTCGTCAGGACTGCCAAAACCGATACCACAATCTCATCGAGCGGCCATCGGTGTACTCCCGCAGCTTCCAAAGATACCGGGCATAGCCTCGTTCACTACGACACCTCTCTATCATGGAGGGATTGCGGATCTGTTCAGATGTTGGACGAGCAGTTCTCTCATATGGCTGTTCCCTGGGAAAGACATACCCATCACAGCTCAGAACATATGCAAGTGCCTGAACGTAGCCAAGTCTTACTCAGGAACAGATGTTCTTCCTCAAGTCAAATACTTCTCCTCTGTACCTTACGTGCTCCAGATGATGGAAGCGGACGAGAGTGGTCTTCAGGCACTTCAGCAGATGGAGATCGTTGGAGTGGGTGGAGCAGCACTGCCGACTGATATTGGGAACCGCTTGGTGAATAAGGGGGTAAATCTCATCTCAAGATTTGGGAGCGCTGAGTGTGGCTTCATTCTGTCTTCATATCGCGACTTTTCTGCAGATGGGGACTGGCAGTATTTGCGGAACTACAACCCACCTAAGCTGCTGGATTTCGAGCCACGAGAGGATGGTCTAGCCGAACTAGTCATACGGCCTGGGTGGCCACATATGGTAATAACCAGTTCAATCAAGCGATCATCTCCTATTAACTCATTGAACAGGCGAAACATAATCGTCCCGACGGGGCTTTCGCAACGGCCGATCTGTTCGCACCACATGAGACCATCGAGAACGCATGGCTGTACCACTCACGAGCCGACTCTCAGTTGACACTGATCACTGGCAAGAAGTTCGATCCCGCCCCTCTTGAAGATTACATAGCAACCTCGTTGCATCTCGACGACGTGTTGATTTTTGGCAACAACCGTCCATTCCCAGGCGCACTTCTTCTACGATCTGAACAGTCTAGTGGTGTATCTGATCAAGAGCTTCTTCTTGCGATCAGGCCAGTAATAGAGAAGCTGAATCTTGAAAATCAGGATCATGCTCGAATACCTTTCAACATGTTGGTACCACTACCGCATCAGAACCAGCCACTCGAGAAGAGTAGCAAGGGAACTATCATTCGGAGAGCCGCAGAATCCCGGTTCGAGGAGGAAATTGAACGCGCGTATGGGTCGCAAGGGCCAGATCAGTCGGCTGACGTGAAAGATGAAGACCTGCTTCAGCATTTCACTGAACTCATACAGTCTATTACTTCGCAGTCGGCAGGCTTGACTGAAGATGCGGATCTTTTCTCATATGGTGTCGATTCAATCGCATGTATGCAGCTTAGGAACCGGCTGACAGGGCTAATACCACACTGCAAAGACCCGCTGCCCATGAGCGTGGTCGAGGACTGTGGTACCATACGACGTTTGGCCGACTACGTCCTACGAAAGCGACATGGGGAGTCCGATACGGATGTGGAAGATGAGGAGCAACTGATGCTGGATCTGGTCAAGGAGTTTGGTTCCTGGCAGCAGTCAGCTTCGCACGACGCGATCAACGGTTCACACGACAAGAATGCTGGAGATGTGGTTGTACTCACAGGAGCCACTGGCGCGTTAGGAGCACATATCCTGAATTTGCTGCAAAAGACAGCGAGTATTGACACCATCTACTGCCTTGTCAGAGGGGCAGACGAACATGCGGCAACAGAGCGTGTCAACGAAGCCCTCGAGCAGAGAGGTCTGACCAGCCTCAAGACGAAGACAAAAGTCAACGTGATACCAGCACAGTTAAGCAAACAACGACTTGGACTTGGCGATGGACTATACAATCACCTGGCCAAAGAAGCAACCTCGATCATCCACGTCGCATGGACTGTCAATTTTCGTCTCAAGCTCCGCAGCTTCGTGAAAGACAACATCGCAGGCGTCCAGAACCTGCTCAATCTAGCCTTGAAAGAACCGCGTTCCAGCCCTCCTCGCTTCACATACTGCTCCTCCACTGCAGCAATCATGAACGGCTCGCTCGACGACGCGGGATTTTTACCCGAGAAACTTTTGTCCGACCCCTCTACTGCATCCCCGCTGGGCTACTCGCGCTCGAAATGGGTAGCAGAGCACATATGCCTCGAAGCGCATAACCGGACGAGTCTGCGCGGGCGGGTCGCTATCGTCCGGGTTGGACAGCTCGCTGGCGGCTCGATGTCAGGGGTGTGGAACACGAAAGAGGCATGGCCTATGATGTTGAGCACTGCAAGGTTGATCCAATGTCTACCTGATTTAGGTGATGAGCCGCTTGATTGGCTGCCTGTTGACATTGCTGCTCAGGCTTTTCTTCAAGCTACGAAGGTGGTCAGCGGAAGTGCAGGAGAAATGCCTGTGTATCATGTGCTAAATCCGCATCGACGGCCAACGTGGCGGGAGATGTTGCATTGGCTGCAGAAGAAGGAGCAGTTCGAAATCGTTGCCCCGCAGGAATGGGTCAGACGTTTGGAAGATTGCAACAATGCCAATCACTCTGCGATGAAGCTGTTGGGGCTTTGGAAGGATTCATACAGTAATGCACCTGAGAATGCGAAGCAGCAGCCGCAGTTTTCCATGGCGGAGACAAGGAAAGCTGTCCCGGCACTAAAAGTTGTGAAGCCGCTTGATGAGGCGTATATGGGAAGGATCTGGGAGTGGGTACAAAAGCATGTTGACTGAGAGAGAAGGTATCAATGGGCAACTGTGTCCAACGCAAGAATAAGCCTCAGCACACGAGAACTCGCGCTTCGAGCGCAAAGACTACCCGTACCATTTACTCCAAGCGTGCCTCTATATTTAGGCTAGAAAATCTTATTGCTTGCCTGAATCTAAACCAGCAGCTTTGACACTGTCCCCCCCCTTCTTCACCCGACCTACACGGCGTATATCGGAATCTAGCGACATGAACACGGAACACATGGGACAAGAAGCCACCACACTTCACAACGTCGCCACGTGGGCGTTGCTGTTTACATGCATGCCGTGTACAACGGTTACATGAGGCTGAAACGGCGGGGCTAGGCCTATGTTGAATTGAAAATGTTAAATGAGCACATCGTTGCGACAAGGCAGTAAAAATGCCAGAAGCTGCCTATTTGGCGATGGTCTGCAAATTAGCGTCCAAAGGTTCTTGTTACGCCGTCTGTACAACTATTTTACTTTTGCATCACGCTCGGGGGAATCACAAGGCGCTCGTTGCGATGGCCAAGGCTAATGACAGGAGCTGTCATTTAGGCTAGGCCACGTAGCAATCCAATCGATGGCGGGATCTGATGCAGTCCTTCTTTGACATGACGCTTTGATAGTACGAAATGTCGGATGCGGAGGCCACAATCCCCCCGACTTCCCGACATACCAAGATCTCGATACCAAAGCGAATACGACAAAAGCCTAGGCCGTAGATCTCGTCTGTGGCTTCAAGCCACGATGTTTCTAGTTTAGCCTTTGACGCCAAACCCAGTCATGTCTCCGGGCCACGAATGATTTTTTGTGCGATATGGGAACCGGCGGACGAAATCTTCAAGCTCAGTGCGCGGAGTCAACGTACCAAAGCCATCATGTTGAGGACTAGAAGTAGAATTGGGCACCTGTGCGGCATTCCTCGTAGAACGGGTGGAGCTTGAGTTGCGGAGATGGGCACTAGATCGTGATCCGCCTTCTGCTCAGCGGAAGTCCGCCTAGCCAGAACTTTTGTCGAAGCTTGCGGGCTCGCGATGACCCACATAGATCTTCGCTTCGAATAATAGCGCTGTTCTTGTAGAGCTAACGGCTGTCGAACTTGGGAGTCGTTGAGGCCCTGCGATGCGACGGACCAGTCAACCAGCGTGATTCTGCAGACGCATCGCGCAGGTTTGTGGCTCCAGGCAGCAACTTGTCAGCGCAAATGCGACCTGGCTCCGGACGAATCGTCCAGCCGACTGGGATAAAGATGGTAATCTGTGAGTAAATGGGACGGGCGCCCGGGTCACCGACTCGCACCCGTTTGCACCAGAGACAAGGGATAGCGCGTGGACGAAAGAGACGATGGTTGTTAGGGTCATTGCTGATGGCGTCTGTTCTTCAGCCCTAACTCCGCCCATTTGACTCTACGCACTGCGCACTCTCCTTTCCTTTCCCTTCTTTACATATAGCTTGCGCCTTCGCCCCTTGGGACTTGCCCTTCCTTTAAACAAGCGTTCGGAGACATCTTCGGTGACATCTGAACGAGATACCTATTAGCGCCACTCCTTACATCATCATATATGATATATATCTACGACACACTCGACACCAAATGAGCGAAACACACAAAGGGTTGCGCCCAGTCAGCATGGCCGACTCGGACAAGACTGCTACACAGAGCCACGAGCCCTCGGTGCTTGGGGAAAAGGGTATTGTCGAGGGCGTTCTTCCATCAACGGCGACGGCTGTTCAAGCGTCGGAACCTTTTGCCGCGGATGAGAAGGCAACAGCAGAAGAGAGGGTTTCGAATCGTAACTCGACGGCCAGCGCAGTAGAGGGCGAAGCTGATTTCGAATACCCTGCCAAAGGAAAGCTCGCCGCCATCACATTGGCTTTGTGCCTGTCAGTCTTCTGCATGGCGTTGGTGAGTATCTCCGAAGTTATCCCCGATGGGTATCTAACAAACGCATCTAGGACAACACCATCATCGCAACCGCCATCCCTCGAATCACCGACCAGTTCAAAGCCCTGAACGACGTAGGCTGGTATGGCTCGTCCTACCTCCTCACGACGTGCGCGACGCAACTCATCTACGGAAAGTTTTACACATTTTATAGCATTAAATGGGTGTATTTGACGGCGCTCTTCATCTTCGAGCTCGGCTCCCTAATCTGCGGTGTTGCTCCCACGTCGACGGCCCTCATCATCGGGCGCGCAGTCGCGGGTGTGGGTGCTGCGGGTATTTTCAGCGGAGCCATTTTGATTATTGCAAACACTGTGCCTCTACGACAACGACCAACCTACATGGGGCTCGTCGGTGGCATGTACGGCATTGCGTCTGTTGCGGGTCCTCTGTAAGTGGAGACGCGCAAACTAAGACTTGATCTTCATGGACTAACAAATGCTTAGCATGGGTGGGGCCTTTACTGACCACCTGACTTGGCGATGGTGCTTCTACATCAACCTACCCTTTGGTGCAATTACCGCCGCGTTCATTCTTTTTTTCTTCAACATCAATCGTCGCAGCAAGAAGACGGAGGCTACGTGGAAGCAGCAGCTGCAAAAGTTTGATCTTCACGGCACGGCGCTCTTCCTACCGTGTGTCATCTGCCTGCTCCTTGCTCTTCAGTGGGGAGGCAGCAAGTATGCATGGGGTAGCGGGCGGGTCATTGCCCTCCTTGTCATTTCTGCTCTTCTGGGCATTGCCTTTGTCGCTATTCAATGGTGGAAGCAGGAGAATGCTACGGTGCCTCCTCGCGTCTTCCTGAATCGCAATGTGTGGGGTTCCGCGTGGTTTGGTGCCATGCTCGGCGCGGCTTTCTTTATTCTCGTCTACTACCTTCGTAAGTCAATGGCCGTCGACGTTGGATACATTCAGACACGGTAACTAACATGCTATAGCTATCTGGTTCCAAGCCATCAAGGGCGTATCAGCAACGAAATCAGGCATCATGAACCTGCCAGCCATCCTCGGTCTTGTCATCGTCTCCATCGCAGCCGGTGGTCTTGTCACGGTGATTGGCTACTACACGCCCTTTATGCTGCTCTCCAGTGTTCTCATGGCCATCGGCGCCGGCCTCCTCTCGACGTTCGAAACCGACACCAACTCGGCCAAGTGGATTGGCTACCAGTTCATCTTCGGTGCAGGCGTAGGCTTCGGCATGCAGCAAACGCTTATTGCCGTCCAGGCCACGCTTCCCGCGGACGACGTGGCCATTGGAACGGCGATCATCATGTTTTCCCAAACCCTCGGTGGCGCTCTCTTCATTTCTGTAGGCCAGAACGTCTTTACGAATCAATTGATCAAGAATCTTGCGGCCGTGGTCCCAGATCTCGATTCCACGCTGGTCTTGAGGACGGGCGCAACAGAGCTCAAGCACGCTATCCCCGCGCAGTATCTACCCGGGGTGCTCTCGGCTTACAACTCGGCCCTTAACAGCACCTTCTACGTGTCGGTGGCGACGGCTAGCCTCTCCATTGTTGGCGCAGCTTTCGTCCAGTGGAAGTCGATGAAGGGCAAGCAGATGCAGATGGCCGCTGCGTAGCGTAGCGTGGCATGAGACGGTGGGACAGCGAGCCGGACACTCCCGGCGCGCGCGGCCATCAGCACCTTAATCGGACCTTTTGAGATACCCTTGGACCCTAAGCTGGTTCAAAGCTTTGGTTGTATTATATCCCCATGTACTTTTTTCGGTCAGCATCTTTGGCTGTTAGCACTAGCATTTTTTGCGAGCCAGCATGGCGTTGTGGGACTAGAGACGGTAATGGACTGATAGACTGTCCTATGGCTGCGACTCTTCGCTCCTGTAGAATGGTTTCATATAGATTGACTGAATGAATCGACTTCCACTTAGATACACAAGACGAGGTTCCTTGGGCGAAGTATGCTGTCGAGTAGTGTCTACAGCTGAGCTGTCAGGCTGATTTACTGCTGTCATGACGTCAGACGGAAGCCTCTGCCCACACTCCTTGGGACCTCTCGGCGTCCTCGGCAGCCGGCTACAGTGGCACCTTGCGCAGCACGCTCCCCAATCTAGGCGGCTTCAATGAAAAACACGCAGGCTATGGACATCACTGGGCGAATGGGAGCAAGCGCCGGCAGATGGAACGGTTGGGCGCAGCGTCGATTGGGGTTAGCAGAAGGCTTGAGGAAGCTTGTTTTACCGCTTAGCCTGCGCCGGCCACCCGCCATCTATAATCACTCGGCCATCTGCTTCACCAGCCGCACTCTCCCCACCCCGTCTAAGCCACAGGCCGCGCCGTTGCTCATGATTGTGCGATTTCTGCATTGCTCATCTCTCCTGCTTAGCTGTCGTATATCTTTGCGCCCAGTCCCCCGTTGCGCCGGCTTATGCCCATCCGCTTGATCCGCAAGCCACCTTTTCCCACCCCCCCCCCCGGCAATATCCTCCCGTCGCATCGCGCATCGCAACCATGGCAGAGACAGGAGACGCGAGACAGCAAGACGTACAGAACGGCCATGCGACGGCACCGCCTACGGAGAAACACGATACCCCCAATGACGCAGATGGTCAACCGCCGTCCACGCCGACCAAGGCCGAGACCAATGCGAACAACAAGAAGAAGGACCAGAAGGATCAGAAGGATCCAGAGGGCGGCTTCGACGACACTCCCATCCCACGCGCCCCGCCCGGCTACACAGTCAAGTTCACCTTCCAGCGCGCAAACCACCTACCGCTTGCCGACATCAACACCCTCTCCGCCGACCCTTTCATCTTGGCCGAGCTGAGCACCAGTCTCGTGTCAAGGCACAAGGAAGACCCGCGATTGACCATGCGCACACCCACCGTCCGCCAGAACACCGACCCAGAGTGGAACTGCGAGTGGATCGTTGCCAACGTGCCCGCCTCTGGCTTCAAGCTCAAGTGCCGCATCTACGACGAAGACCCCGCAGACCACGACGATCGCCTCGGCAACGTCCACGTCGAAGTTGGCCAAATCAACGAAAACTGGGCCGGCATCAAGAGCCAGACATACCCGATCAAAAAGCGCATGGTGAGCAAGCGCGCCTTTCTGCTACGCGCCCTTGCCGTCTGCTTTGGCAAGGCCGAACACATGAATGGCACCTTGACCATGAGCGTCGAGGTCCTGGGCAGGACCCAAGACGACAATGGCGGTCGCGCATACACAATCGGGCCTCAGTTCTGGATACGACACTACTCGCCCCTACTCGGACGCTTGCTCGGTCAGAAGGAGCCCAACGACGATAGCCAAGACTCAAAGTCAAAGCCTGGTAAACCAAAGCCCCAAAAATACAACTTCCAGTCAAACCAAATGCAGCTACGTGGCCCCGTCCCCGAAGCCATGTACCATCGCTACGTCGAGTTCAAGCCTTTCGTCAAGAGCATGTTCACCGCAAAAGGCGTGCGAGGCTTCATCCTCTCCAAAGCACTCCACCACCAGCATGCTCGCGTATACAACTTTGATGCTTCAACCGAGTTCAAAGTCTTCCAAGAACCCTGCAAAGAGTTTGCCCAAAAGTTCCTCGAGCTCGTGCACTTTGACCAAGGTGGACGCATCTTCACCTACGTACTTACCCTCGACGCCCTGTTCCGCTTCACAGAAACCGGCAAAGAGTTTGGCATTGACATGTTGTCAAAACACACCATGCACAGCGATGTCGCAGCCTACGTCGCCTTTTCAGGCGAATTCTTCATCCGCCGCCTCAAGCACCACCAGCGCCCCGCCCCAGAGGAGGGCGGCAAAAACAAGTCCCACCCCCCTGACGACATTGACGGTGGCCCACCTGAAGAAGAGCCCAAGATCAAAGACCCTAGCTACTACGAACTCGTCATCGACAACGACTCGGGTACCTACCGTCCCAACGCCAAACTCCTCCCCCAACTCAAGCAATTCTTCGAAGCCAATTTCCCCGGCCTCCACGTCTGCACCCTCGACTCCCAAGGCGATGCTGAGAAAATGGCAGCCATGAAGGACGAGCAGCGCGAGCGAAAGAAGAAAGAGGGCGACCACGTCGTCTACACGCAGATGAGTAGAAGCAGCAGCATGAGCAGCAGTGATGTCGAAGACCTGGACAGACTAGAGCGCGAGGGCCAACTGCCCGCGTCTCATTTCAGACACCAGGTACAAAGGGAGGCAAACGCGAGAGTCGACGCAGCCAAATTCCACCTAAAAGACTACACGCCGAGCAAGAACCACGAGGGGTGGAGAGGCGACCAGCATCCTGCCAGGAGCGATGATGAGGAGGTTGCCACTGCACGAGCGAAGGCGGGGCAGAGCAAGCCTGGCGAGGGCGAGCCTACCAACTCAGGCGCGAGGAGCTAGTCACCTGCTATTCATACTGGATACACACACTCTCTCTCCCTCCATTCCTCTTCCCCTCTTCGCCACCCTCCTCGCGAGATACCCACCCATATATATGCCCCATCTATAATCTTCTTTTACGTATGCTTGTAATTCTTCTTCGTCCCGCTGGTTGTAGCCACTTGCATCATGTGGTTGGGGGCGGTTGGTTTCTGTCGCTTATTCTTTTCCTTTGTTTGTGTGTATAGTGTGCGAGTGATCTAGTGAGCTAGTGTGCGTGTGTGTGTGTGTGTGTGTGTGTGAGAGAGAGAGAGAGAGAGAGAGAGAGAGAGACAGAAAGGGGGGAGAGAGAATGTGGTGGAGTGTTCACTGGAGCGTAACCGTGCCACGAATAGGTACCTCGTGATGGACTTTTATTACCTATCATATCATTTTCTATCATTTTGGACTATGCTCGGTTAGGAGAATCCGAGGGGCATACACCAACGACACATGTAGCATGGCCTTTTCTTAGCTTGTTTTGTGAGAAACCAACGGGCTTTGGCCTCGGCTTCCCTATACCAGTGAGCTCTCTGTTCTGAATTGCATCTTTAAATAGAAAGAGAAAGAAATGCCACTATGGTTAATGCGCTATCTCTCCTACACCTTCTTGTCTCGAGCCCTTACCCCAATTACTCTCAACGCCTCCCTTTCGTACAATATTGTTTACATTACACGTACTCCGGCACATCAACATGCGGCTTCGGCGTCCCAAACCGCACCGCCTTGGCATAATACTCCAGCAACGCGTCCATCTCCGTCCGCACCCTCCCATACTCCGCTTTCAACTTCCCTTCGTTCCCCTTTCCCACTCCACCACCGCCGGTTCCAAACCATCTCGCCTCCCCGCCCGCGCCTAGCCTCTTCCGCATCTCGCGATTAAACTCAATAGCATGCCTAACATCCTTCCTCTCTGCACCTTTCGCTTTGACCGCCACGTATCCCTGCAGATTGAGCAGGACAGCGAGATCAAGTGCTGTGGTGAGACTAGTAGCAGATGTCGCAGAGGAAGAAGAGGAGGAGGACAAGGGGCCGGGGAAGTACGGCAGATCCGACCCCGTCTCACTCTTTAAATGCAAGAATATCGCCGTCGAGAGCGCAGCATGCATGTACGTCAGTGGCAGTTTCTTCGTCTCGGCGCATAATGTGAGACTGGCTTCTAACGCGCGGGAGAGCGGCGTCCAGATCCGCAAGGGCACGATGGCGTCGGAGCTGGACGGGGAGAGGAGAGGTAGAGCAAGTGTTTTGAGCGTCCAAAGATGTGCATTTGCCCACTGTTGCTCGGCGAATAAGGTGCTGGCGTTGGTAGGGATTTTGCTGAACAGCTCGGGTTGCGAGAAGAGGTAATCGCGGATCGCGCGGTGCGTATATGTCACTTTCAGATTGTCTGGGCTTTCGTCAATGCCGAGTTGCTCTGGGGGACCTGTGTTGTAAATTGTGACGAGGGTTTTGCATTGTTGTGTGAGTAGCGTGTGCATGTCGTCGATGCGCTTTGTGATTTCCACAGGTTTCAGAGGGCGCACGTCGGCTGCGAAGGTAGCGGGTATTTCCGCCGTGAGTGCAAAGGAGAGTGGTAGAATACCCGGGTAACTGTGTTTTTGGAGTAGCACGTGAACTTTCCATATTGCCTCAAGATCGGTGATTTCGACCTTATCTAGGATGTGCGGCAGTAAGTCGTCTAGCTGGTACGGTAGGGCGTCCGCGCGGTCTTTCAGTACGAGGAAGTCGTCTCCTTCCTGGAGTCCTAGCAGCAGGAAAGCGGTACTCAGTGTAGCCCAAAGAAACACCCCGGAGGCTTTCTTAGCCAGCGTGCTAACGATACTCGTTTCTTTCTCGCCGTCTCTCTTTCCGCGCAATTTTTCTAGTTTGATCTCTCGGTTGAATGTGCTCTTAACATATGCTTGAATATCGTCATCAGTATGCTCGTTCACCACCAAGCGCGGTCTTTGTTCAAAAGCGGTCAGGAAGATAGCCGACTCGCGGCTCGAAACACAAATCTTGATGTGGTCCTTCTTCGTAGCACTGAGGATCATGTCTATGAGTTCATTGGGATACTCATCCATCTCGTCCAACCCATCAATCAGGAATAGAAACTTCTTGGAGACGTCAGAGACCATGACCTCGAACGCGCGTCGTAATTCAGGGAACGAGAACTCGTGTAGCCCGCCGCCGTAGGAAGTAAACTGGTTCCAGCGGTCCGTAAAGAGCCACTGAATAACATCCTGGCCTTGTTCGAGGGGACCAAATACCATGTCTTGGAGCGACTCATAGAGAATTGTGCGTAGCAGACCGACTGATGATTTCTGCAGTTCATTTCCGCAGCCCCAAAAGAAGAAGCCAGAGGTAATGCCCGGAGTTGGGCCGGACCACGCTTCGAGGCTAGAAAAGATACGCGGATTGCGGAAAAGATGCTTCATCAGTGTAGTTTTGCCGGAGCCAGGCTTGCCTATGAAGACACTCGTTCATCAGATGACGATAGGTATTTAGTTGGAGCAGTAGAAGACTTACCAGTCACCCAATACAGCCCTTCTCCCCTCGAACTCCCAAACCACTCCAACAGCCCGCCCACTTGCTGCTGACTTTCTCCGAATACGAATTCAAAGCCGTTGCCTAATGGCTTCGCAATGCTATTCAACCTATCGTCCAGCTCTTCAAACCACAACAACTTGAACATTGTTTCACAAAAGTGCGCTTCTTTCTCCGCTTGAATTAGCGTATCGACCTGTTTCGAGAACTCTTCGACGTTCTTCTTCTTGTTATGTTTCCAATCATTTGCATGGATAGCGTCTAGGGCGGTATTCTGCCATTTCTCCCAGTGATGCAAGCGCCCTGAGTCCTCGGCGGTAAAGACAGGAAGTCCACTCTCAGCGGATTGGTCCAGATACTGGCGCAAAGCGAGAAGGAGAGCAGTTTCGACCTCCCTCCGTAACGCGCGAAATTTCTTCTTGGCTCCTGTGACATCGCCCTGTTTCCACACGCCGTTCGTCAATGCTTCTCTCGCCGTACCCCATCTTGGGTCGCCAAAGCTACCTCTTGTTTGCGCTGCTATGAGCGCATCGATGAGCGAGGTGGTGAGTTCCTTGGTCTGGTCACTGAGTTTTAGAAGCTGTTGTGCCGCTTCGCTCAATTTCTTCGCAGCCTTGTTGGCGCTCTTCTCATCGTGTATCTTCTTGAGTTCAGACTGATCGATGAGATCGATTAGGCGATACAAGTTCTGTACTAGATCCTGGAGAAATGCAGCATTCTCCACGGGCGTTGTTGATGGGTCGCTAGGTTGAAAGATAGGATGGTCTTTGCGCAGCGTGTTGATAGTAAAGTCAATTATTTGAACCAATGCCGAAGCGAGGCCAACAGCGGGTATTGGTCGCACCATGTTGCGGATTCCTAATCCTAGAGGCCCAAGAGGTTCGGGGGGAACTTGAGTGCTTGGTGTTTAAGTCAAAGTTAGATGCTTGCTGCGCCACGGCGGGCGTGTGTACGCTAAGCGACTTCGGTCGCTGAGTCGTATCTGGCACGCCTTAAAACTCGCGCGATTTGAAACTTTGCATACCGCGAGGTTTGTGATATACAACTGCACGAAGTTTTGCTGAAGATTACGTGACTACCAGTGTTTATAGACGTGAGGAGGCGTCTAACTATTGAACAGATATTTAGTATATGTTGTCGAAGAGTATTCCAATACACAAAATAAAAGTCTAAGAAGCGCCAATGCCTCAGGGCTACCAGAGGTTTGTGGGTCTTCCAATTACAAAACGCCCCCAATGCAATGCAATGCTTCACCCGAGGATCAGAACACACCTCTCCAATCCAGACAATTTCGCCTCTTAGAACTGCACTTTGAATTTGGGACTGGTCCGAATTCGCTCACCGTAATACTTGAATAGTATCGGCACAGGTATGACTAAGGTAGCAATACAATTAGCACTTTTCTAAGTAAGAATACAAATACCACATAAGACACGCCTAAAGAGTGTCTTAAGTAAAGTTTAGTACTTACTATCCGGTTGTTAGCAAAACATGTAAATAGTATTCATGGTAGGACTTCTCACCAGGCTAATGAGATAAAACCAAGCAGGGTGTTACCCCACCCTAGTCCGAGGGCATCGTACATGCTTAGACCGCTCAATGGTAGCAACGCACCAAATATGGAGCGCAGAACTGTATTCGCGGCGATTGCGCTAGCGGCATGGACGGTAAATGCGTCAACAAGATAAGTCTGAATCGTCATCATAGCCGTCAGATTGCCCAGACCAATGAAAGACGTGGCAATAATCGGCACTATCCAATGTACACCGTAAAATGTCGTCCAGCCATATACGAACACACCAATCGGAAGACTAATAGCTCCAGGCAGTGTAAGCTTGAGTAGAAGGCGATGTTCAGGCTTAGCGTCTCCTTTAGCTTGCTCTTGTTTGATGATCTTGTCCGACATGACACCTAGCACTGCCATGCCTACGATCATGCCGACACCGACGCCGATGTAGGAGAGTCCAACAGCACCAGAAGAGAAGTGGTATTTGCCTTCGAAAACGAATGTTATAGTAGTGAAGAAAAGATAGAGGATCCCGTAGTTTATGGCAATGTAGAGCGACATGAGGCTGACGATAGGCGAGAGGAAGAGCATCTTCATCGGGCGGAAGATGGCGCGGATAAAAAGCTCCCTTGGCGGGATGTCCTTTGCCAATTTAGATCGAAGATTCTCGTTACCAGTTTCCTTTCGGAGGCGCGCCGTCTTTCTGTCCAGAAGAGTGGGATGATTCGTTTCGCGGCCGACAATGAGGAGCAGGATACCAAACGCTCCTCCAAATATAGCCATGATCCAGAAAACCCAGCGCCAGGACATGTGCTCGACGAGAAAGCCACCGCATACCGGCCCGATGACAGGACCCAACAGAGGACCCGACGCCCATATAGCCATAGCACCAGCTCTTTGCTCCGGAGGAAACATATCAGCGATTGTCCCCCCACCGAGCGTCAAGGGCGCCGCGCCCGCGCACCCAGCAAGGAACCGAAACGCAATCAGCATGCCCATCGAGTTCGAGGCCGCGCAACCGATGTTGAAGACGACGAAAAGCAGGTTGGCGATGTTGTACAGCGGTATGCGGCCATAGAGTTCAGACATGGGTGCTATAATCAGCGGGCCAATGGCAAACCCAAGAATGTAGACTGAGACGACGAAGGCAGCCATAAGCTTGGAGGTTTCATGAAAAGCATGCAGAACCTGAGGGACACCGGGGGCGAAGAAGGATGATGCGAGGGGTGTTATTAGCGACACGGCGCCCAGAGCTGCTATTATGCCCCATTTCTTCTTTATAGGCCAGTTCTGGGGGTTTGCTGGATCGTCGGGGCCTTCCCAATCTACAATGTTGGGATCGCGCGTTTCGTCTGCTTCTGCGATGGGTAGATCGCTAGATAGTGTTCGTTCGTCGGAGTGTGTTGAGTGTGTATGCTGTTTGACGCCCTTCTCAGCATCCTTTGAGAACACGTCTTCTGGATTTCCGTCTGCGTCATGGCCGTGGACATATGCTTCCCTACTCTGGAAGTCTTGTACTTCCCACCCAGGATTGGGTAATCCAGCGGGTGCTGCCATTGTGGATGTGGAATATGCTGCGGGAACCACTGTCAGTAAGTGATGAGAGCCTTCGTACTACTCTACTAGTGCAGAACGTGAATATTCGTGAAAGCATGTTTGAGGGGTGATTAGGAAATATTAGGTGAATACTGACAGCGCAACTCTTGCCGATGTTGGACCAGAAGTGAGACAGGGCTTCGGGAGCAGCCGTAAACCCTAAAGTAATCTAACAAACGTTCGCAGATGAAACACCTTTAACCTTTACAAGCTTGTTGTTGAAGAAGGCGCAAACGGCATTTTTAAAGTACCAAAGGATGAAGGAGCAAGGAGAAAGGAGCAACAACACACAGTCACGCCGCAAATGGAGGCAACTTTCGACCCTCCGATCATGAGGAACGCAAACGCGGGCGTTTTAGACGGACAGTAACACCCCCGTATAGCGTATCCTGCCTGAGGGCTTAATTGTTTAAATCCGGGTGTGTGCCCATGACTCGGGGTAGCTAAATCGGCAGACATGATCGGTGCAAAGTATGGACGTACACCAATCCAAAGTCGCGGTCGATCCTAAGAGCCACCGCGCTTGCGTTACTGGCTTCGCAAAAGCTTGTTGTTCGTCCAAGCGAGCTTGGTGTTGCGCAAGCGTGCAGCCACGTTTGTTGGATCCGGGGTGAATGGGCGGAGCATCGGAGGGTCACTATCAAGGCCTGTTACTAGGTCTATTATTTGCTCGGATAAAGTGTATTCCGGGGTGTAAGGACAGGAGGATACCATTCCAGTACCATCTCAGTAACCAGGCAGAAGCTTCACGTCTTGTTGCTGTATACTGCACGTGGTACTCACGTCGCAACAGTACGATGAGCAGGCGTCCTGCTATGGCTTCTTTTGTTGCAGAATGCATCCGTATAACTTTGATTTGATTGATGTTGTCTATAGCTTCAAGACTGCAGTAAGTAGACGGAAATGAGGCTCTGGATGATGATTCAAGTGCCCCGCGGAAGGAATCGGTTCAACGAGCAGCAAACCGCTTTGGGAAGGTGCAAATTGCGACAAATCTCCGTACAAAAAAAGATTAAACAGCGCCTACGCCCCAGGGATCCTGTTGAGCTATCGCCAGTCTGTAGAGGTGCACTTTGAGTGTTCAATCCTCTGCACAGAGAGACCAGGGTAATTCACGCGACTTGACTTCTTGTAAACGTCCAGGTTAACGGTCCGATTTCTACTCCACTTCCCCACGACAGCGGGGTTTGTCCCACTATTCCCCAAACAAACGTTCACCGTCTATCTAAATAACTAATGTAGGCTTCCCTAACAAAGAGACTGGCTCGTGGGCTTCTTGATCTTGACGGGACCGCTTTTCAAAGTTGTTTCAGCTCAAATGTACGCTTGCGCTTGAGCGACGAGATAGCTGAATATATGTTGCATGTTGAATCACAACTCGCAAAATTCTAAGTAGAGGTTCATCGTCCTGAAATTGAACTTAAGATGAGTTTCCTAGATTCACATGAGCTCACCTTCCGTCCCTGTCTAACACCTTTCGCCATGGAAACTCTTCCCTAAACCCAAGCATCTCCCTCATCTTTTTATTTGACACGGGGGCCTCTCTTTCACCCATCTTGCCCAAAATCTTAGTCCTTGGACACACTTTCCTCAGCCATTCTTCACTACTGCCCTCCTCCTCCGGTATCGTGATCTCATCATTCACCGCATTGAAGACCTGAAACCCCAGCCCATCTTTCTGAAGGCAACATTGGACCATATTACCCAAATCTCGAGAATCGGTGTATGACCAACCATGAACCTTGAAATCTCCTGGTCTTGAGAGATAGGCTTCGAACTTCTTGGTGTGCTGTTCGGGCTCAATAACGGCACCGATTCGTAGGCAGTAAATGTCGACGCCCTTGAAGCGGTTTGCAAAGCTGTGCGCTATGCGCTCCATGCAGAGTTTGCTCGTGGCGTAGACGTCCATGGGTTCAGTGGGTGAGTCTTCCGTCAGAGGGAAGTGTGGATAATCAACATCGCCTTCTGCATAGGTAGCGCCGTATGTTGTTAAGCTTGAAGCGAGGATGATCTTCTTGATACCGAGTTTACACGCAGACTCGATGATGTTGTACGCGCCCATTGTGTTTATTCGGAAGGTTTCGTTGTCTGGTATTCGCATAGGCTGTGGTATTCCTTAGGATTGATTTGTCAGTCCTCCAACTCTCTCGATCCATTTCAGAAGGAAGTCAAATATATACCAGCAAAATGCACCACCGCATCTGGTTTCTGTATTGGATCCATGAACGGCTCGCTCACTCTAAAGTGACAAGAGAGGCTGTTAAATGCTTGGGCGCCGTCCGTCAGGTCGGCCTTTAGCGTATGTACATTCGAGTTGTCCAACGGTACGACATCGACATTGAGGATTTCGTGTCCATACGAAAGTAGCTTTTCGACAACGTGACGGCCTGCAACACCAGAACCGCCTGTGAAGACTATTCTTTGGGCCGCTTTTGGCGTGGGTGAGGACATGGTGAAATCTCAAATCAAGACGAAATTGTACTTTGCACAGAACAGTGTAGAGATATCCTGGATACACGAAGCCACATCTCACTTAGATATATGCTCCTTATTTGGGTGACAAAGCTTCCCCGCTAGTAAGCTATAACTCGCCAACCTGGGCAGTTGCTATTGGCTATTATGGTAGACCTATATCACAGCTGACAAATCTGGGCATGACTGAGACGAAAGATATTATGCAGAAATCGTGATGTCATACCGGTATTGGTACATTCATTCATGTCTTTCATTCGACTATAGCCTTAGAGATCATCTCGCGGCATTTGTTCGAGTGTGATCCCTATTCGATCGTGGAGACTCCGGCTTACGCCGTCTGCGTACCGTATCCCCTGATCCTGTCCGCGAAGGCCCAGCTCTGGTTCTCCAGCTTCACGTCCTCGTCTAGATCAACGCCCTCGCTCGTGATGACAGCAATCGAATACTTGTCCATACTCCTGGCGTCCCTGTAGAAAAGAACCTTCATGCACTCCTTGATCTTGTCTACTGCCTGCTCTCTAGTGACGTTCTGTACTGATGCCTCATCTGGCAAGATTGTTCTCAAGAGCGGCTGCGCAAGATGCGCTCCAAATCCGGTGGCTAGCGAAGGCGAAGAGAAGGTGGTACCAAGGAGATCCGCGCTCGCCAGGAAAGGCTTCGACTCGCCGTCCAGACCGGCTATCAGCAGGTGATTCCACAGCGGATCGAACTTCGATCGGCGGTTGTACATGACTTTGGCGAGGTATGTGTGGAGGTTTTTCGCGTTGAGTGGCGTCTCGGCAGAGGAGTAGTTTTCGCGGATGTCGAGGGAGTTGAGGAGGCGGTCAAGGTACTGCATGTCTGAGACGTCGCCGCCAAAGCCTACCACTACCTCGTCGTTGAATTTCCGTAGGCGCTTAACGTCCGTGAAGCGGGCAAGTGAGCCATATGAAGCTATACATATATGTTAGCAAGCTCGTCTCTACTAGCTTGCGTTGTTTGATTGCCATACCCAGGTTGTCCGCTGCAATGACTACACCATCCTTGAACTTCGCCGCGAGGACCGAGGTACCGGTGACGATCGGACTCTGCGTATGCTGATTTGGGCCATCAGTCTGGAAGTGTGAAGGATCGTAGGCGCCATAGACATCGTCCCTTGGCTGTGATGAATCAGTACTGCTGTTGTTTGAGGTGGGTAAGACTACATACACGGCCCCAGGCTTGCGGAAGGTGGTTCATAGTGATCAAGGTAGCTGAGTCGCGTTTGTGAGAAGAAGAGTAGTCTGGAATTCCACGGATGCTTTGAAATTGGAGAGGGCGTTTGGAGGTAAAGGTATGGTTTGAATGCTCGTCAGGCAGTCGGTGGTTGCGCAGCTCGCCGCCAAGATGTCGTATGGCCCAAGCTCCATCCACATCAAACCGCGACGATCTTCCTCACGCATTGCCCAAGCAAGATGCTCGGAATTGACTACGCGAGTAGCGACGAGGAGGAGGTCGTACCGGCGACGAAGCCAGAGGTGAGGCTCACAAACGTACTCGAAGGGGTTCCGATAGCTACTAATATCAAGTTGACCAACTTCCCTTCAGTTGTTACGCTTCCGCCAGAACCTCTCTCCAAGCCTGCTCCTCTCGAACAACCTCGAATCCCTTTGGGTCCAGTCAATGGCCCATCCCAAGTTCCAACCGTGACGCCACCTCCCACAGAGGAGCAGTCGACCGATGGTGCTCTCCCAGGTTCACCATATGCATCGAACCGAGCTCTAGTTCAAAACCTCACACTGCCAACCGTACCCAACTTCGATATACCACCATCACCGCCCGGTTCGCCGTCTCAGAGAGCAACAAAGAAATTTGCACAGTTTCTGGACTTGAAGAAGAAGGGTCAGCATTTCAATCAGCGGTTGGAGGGTTCCTCAGTGCTGCGAGATCCCGGCCACTTGCAGAGGCTACTGGAATTTGCGCGCATTAGCGAAGAAGACTCGTATACGTCGACATTGTCCGAGGATGTCGCAGTGCCAGCGGTGTTTCCAGAGTGGGCGTATGTGGAGGAGTTGAGGGCTTCGCAGAAGCGGATCGCAAAGGCAAAGGAGGTCGAAAGGTTGAAAGCGCCACGAGAGACAATTGACTTTGTATCGTCAACAAGGTCTGGCACATCTAGTCGAACAGGCTCACCTTCAGGGAAAGCGTCACGACCGAGTGCTCCCGAGAAAGGCATGGCCGATCTAGACAAAGAGCAGACTCGACGATCGTCGTCCCAGAATCTGAGCAAACGGAAAGGGCTTGAGCACAGAGGCAGGGAGAACCCAAGTTCAGGAGGCGGACCGAGAAGTGGATCAAGATCTCCCAAGAGGAGGCGGTCAAGGTCGACAGACAGGAGAAGGTAATATGCTAAGCATGAACTTGATTTTCTTGATGAATGACTGTAATCAATGCTGTGTATTTTAATCTATGAAGGTGCTTCCTCGCTTGGATTGCTGTACATGGATTGTTCAACATGGGACGTCTATTGAAACGGTCTAGTTGCAACGGTCAGATTGTATGATGACACTTCAAATCATTGATCAGATATACAATGTGGTTATGTTACTTTAGCAACTGGTGGTGATGGAGCACTTTATGCCAAGAGATCCTGATATTGGCCCAAGCTCCCTCCAGGCATCGTGCACCGCGTAACGCCAGAGCTTCGTACCATCGTCAGCAAATAAACCCACCACGTTACCTCACAGCTCTCGACAACCAATTCTAAACTGGCCTGTAGCCTCTTTTGGTCTTTCTCCCTCTCAGGAACATCACAACTGCCGCAATGTTCACCCTTGCGCCTCCGCAGGGCGGCCTAGGCTACTCGTTCAAGCAAACTCCCACAGCTGCTCCATCAGGCGAGAGGCAACACGGTTTCTATCCGTAAGCAGAGTCCGTGTGTTCATGGCTGCTAAGTTTAACGTTGACTTTCAATAGTTACACCGACAACGGCGGTTCAACACTAGGCATCTCAGGCGCCGACTTCGCTATCCTCGCTGGCGACACACGTTCCACCTCCGGCTATAATATCAACACACGATATGCACCCAAGCTCTTCAAGATCGGTGGAGAGGGGCCGGACAACAAGGGTGCTCAGATAGTACTCTCAGTAGTCGGCTTTGCAGCAGACGGTGATGCGCTGAAGGAACGCCTCGATACTATTGTCAAGATGTACAAATACCAACACGGAAAGCCTATGAGCGTTTCTGCCTGCGCACAACGACTCAGCCACATCCTCTACAATAAGCGATTCTTCCCGTACTACGTGCACGCTATCTTGGGTGGTCTGGATGAGGAGGGTAAGGGCGCACTGTACTCATATGACCCGGTCGGCAGCTACGAGAGGGAACAGTGTAGGGCGGCTGGTGCAGCGGCATCACTCATCATGCCTTTCCTGGACAACCAGGTCAACTTCAAGAACATGTACGAGCCGGGCAGCGGAACGGGACACGAGCTGAAGTCGGTACAAGCGCAGCCGCTACCACAAGACCATGTCGAGGACCTAGTGCGAGATGCGTTCACGAGTGCGGTCGAGAGGCATATCGAGGTTGGTGACGGACTGCAGATGATGATCATCACGAAGGAGGGCATACAAGAGACATTCACAGAGCTCAAGAGGGACTAAGGGAAGCGTGGCTAAAGGAGGAATAGAGACTTTTACATGATCATAACGACTTTAGGATCTATGGCAGACTGTACGACTAGTATGACATGATGCCATGGAGTTATTGGTACTAGAACCAGTCTACTTACAGAAGAAGCCAGGATCAAAGTATACTGCTCTCATACACTACAGTTTTGTTGTGGTCACGTTCTCTCTATGCCATTGAATCTTCTTTGTGCTGACCGTTCCCTTGTTATTTTTGTTCTACCGCTCCACAGTCTCCAGATGCTTTGCGTGTTGTAGCACGAAATAAGTTGCAGCATTTCTTGGCAGGTTGGTGAGAGGAAGGAACGATGCCCTCACCTACCGCGCCTCAAGCTTGAAGCTCGAAGCTTGAAACTTTCTACATCTCATCTAAAGCTGAAGTTCTCCTGCGGCTCGCCTACAAGACCACGGTTCGCCTACCCTACTGCACACTGGATGTCGATGCTTCATTCTAGTCTGAGACACTGAGCTCTTCTATCCCGCATGTGTCTCAACGCTCTTCCCCCCACACTCCAGCAATGACAGCCAAAGACACAACAGTCGAAGTCCCAGCCTGCATCTATGCAGATGCCGCACCTCCCCAGTACGTCCCTCGGGCCAAGATTCCTTTCCGCTAGTCTTACTGACCACCACTCACCCATAGATGCTCCTTTGATAGTCTCGTCATCGTCATCGTCGGCCGTGCGCATAACAAGAAAGAATTTCAAGTCCATCGCGGCCTGCTAAGCCATTACTCGATCTTCTTCGAGCACATCCTACGCGATAAATCGGAAAATGAGATAGCAATGCCGGCTGAGGACCCCGAGGTGTTCGATACCATCACGTACTGGATGTATACCTCCCGATTGTGGGGGCCTGGCACGATCAAAGACGGTAAAATACCTTTGACGGTCGCACGGATCCTACAGCTCTACTTTTTCGCCGGAGCGAAGGGCATCGAGGCTCTACAGAACGCGACCATGACGCTCCTGTATCAAAAAATCGTGCAAGACTGGGAGACGCCTATTCAATTTGCGTCTATCATCTATGCTAGGACAGTGCCTGACTCTCCGCTGAGGAGGTTCCTCGTCGATTTTATGGCGGAAGCATGGAGCTTCAGTACGCTGGAGACGTACCGGACGACCATACCGAAGGACTTCCTGATCGACCTGTTGATAGCTTTGACGAGGCTACGGAAGGCACCTGGTATAGGCGTTGTTAAAGCAAAATGGGTCCAGGATTCAAATAAGGGATTCTGTGAGAAGTATCATTCTCATGGAGAGCAGGCGTAGGAATGATAGAAGATGAGAGGTAGGTAGAAGGCAGACTTTACACAAGCAGGATGTGGTTATCAACGTAGTACAATGTGAACAGCGGCTTGTTACCGTGGAACACTGATAGCGCGTGAGGAGTTATGACACGTCAATAAGATCGCAATCATACCTTGTAGAACGATCTTTACTGTGATAGAGACTCGGCCATGATGCTGTCCCAAGGTTTCCCAACACTACCTTGTTAGCATACAGGTGTGCCACATATAGTACTGTTGTAGAGGGTACTGACTTCGCCGGGTTCAGTAAGCGCTCAAGCACGTGGTCGTGCCTGGGGTATCCATTTATGAGGCGTCCAACTTCAACTATATGCGTTCCCAGCAGTGTGTCTCAAAAGAAGTCCAACAGCTCCTAGAACTCTTCAACGGTGGTCATTCCTGCAGCCAAGATGGCGAAACCTTAAATTGCGCCCTATGTCGGCATCATGTCACCATTCGCTTATAGGTATAGCCTTCTCTGTACTAAAGGTGCGTCATCCCCCTTGTCCTTGCATATCAGCCAAACAGTTCTTGACATATCTAACCACCGTGCCTTAGAACTCCCCGGTTTTCCAGCAATGCGAAATCGCGTACCCTGCCGATCTTTTTGGCCGGCTTGATGCACGCGTGTGGTAACAACACGCCGATTAGCATTACGAGTAGTTCTCCCTTTCTTACACGCGCTGCTTAGTGTGTATTTACTCTAACATCGCTCAAAAAGGATAATTGATCGATGCTGATCGCTTCCGCACATACCACAACGTCCTATCCTGCATTATATGCCACTAGCTTTCCTAATAATACCCTCTCTATTCAGCGTACTCTGGTCGCACTGTCGCTTTCACACCCTCAGTCCTTGCCAAGGGCTATTTCACTTTTCTATGAGAACTTTTGGGCCCACTGGAATGGGCTCATCAACCCCGAGAATATTCAAGCGACCGTCAGGACTATCGTTGGCTGCGATGAGAAGGCACAGAAGGTGATCGAGAGAACGAAGAGCGTTGGGGTGAAGAAGATCTTAACTGAGAGAAGGAGAGGGTTTAAAGCTCGCCAGAGCTCTCGGTCAAATCGTAGAAGCGGTGTTGCAATCTGAACCACGGAACTGAACACTGGAAGTGATCCACCAGGACTCAACCACTGGAGAGATCTTAACTGATGATACGAGCAAGGCGTTTGGTTCGTTGGTAAGTGTGCAATCTTCTGGTACAGTTAGAGTCAGTGTCATGCGAATACTAATATTTTGCTGCAGCAACAGATGCAAAGGGGGAGAAGGAATGCCTCTGGGGTTTTGATCACATGGGACGGCTTTGCGATCACCTGAGTCTTGAGAGACCCAGTGATAAAGGCTGACGAGCTCTACTATAAGAAGCAGGTCAGCCATGAAGTCCATACGAATGAGACCACCCAAAGTTACCCTTCCCCCTGGGACGATCCGAACGAGGATCCTGCTCCCCGAACAGCTACTTCAAGGTGGTTAATCAACGAACCCGTTCATGATATCGACGAAGCAGCTCATGTGCAGCTAAGTATCGACAAGCCTACGCCAAGGTCAAAGCACGCAGGTAGACCAAAGGTATCTTCAACGGCAGCACCTTCACCAGCACAGTCACGCGGAAGCGCATTGCCACTACTCCACATCTTATCTTCTCTCACCCGCGCAAGGTGGAGTATCACTACCGCCTTGCTAGCATCGCAAAGAAGCACTCTGTCTTCATGCCGTGTTACGCCTTGTGCTACCTTGCCCGGTACAGAGACCAAGTTATAGCGCCGCGCAAGGACGGCCACCGAAATTATGCAGGCGTGGGACTCTCGTCGTGATTCGTTTGATCTCAAGTGGGCGTGGTGCATGGCGTGTGACGACGAGATGTTGAGGATGAGGATTGGGGGTCTGAAGTGGAGTAAGTTAAACGGGCTGAAAGTCTTTGCTTCTGTGTTGTCGTAAATATAGAAGAGTCTGTGGAGGATTTACAACCTGATGTTGTGTATATCTAGTCGTTAAGAGCTCATGTAGATGCCTTGATTCCTGATGTTGGATATCTTGAGTCTCTCAGAACTGGTAATTGAAACGCACACTTATCTTCCCGTAAACGTCAACTAGGAATTACCAATACTTGACCTTGTTTATCTGTTCTAGGTTTCTAAGCCTTGCCCAAGACAAACTGAAGACTAGAAATGATCCACACCGCCATCACAAATTTCGCACGCTTACACACACAGCCATTTAGACTAGATCTTGCACATGCTAACTCTTGAAATTTTTTCAGCACTTCTTCCGTGCTCGATAATGCACTTATGAGGCACAGTCGATACACTCCCCACTATACGTACGTGCCGTGCACGCCGCATCGCAGCAAGCCTCTTCGCCGAGGTAATTGGCCTGTCAGGGATTATACACGTTAGCAAAGAACACATGACGGCCCACAAGCGTCAGGCCTTCCAACGTTGGGCATTGGCTAGTGCTGCACGAGCGTCGTGCTGCTCCGCTGGGTATACCTGGACCAGAACGACGAATCGAGCCAGGTTTTCCTCGCGTGGAAATGGACTGGGATCCATTGCTGACGGTGGTTGCCTGGTCGTATTCGCGTTTTCTCGTCTCGACGGGTGGACCTTCGGGCTGTCGATGAGTTGATGACTAGCATCTCTTACGTCTTCAGAGGCGGAATCCTCAACGTCCAGCCAGCCCTTGTTCCATTGGACGAAAAGAAAGTGTCTAAATCAATTCCCACATGCCAGCACATCGCAGCACTTGAGCGCTTCCCCACTCTATCCCATCGTCTCCCGCCCGTCTGTCCATCAAAAGTCCGCTCGACAAAAAGACGTTCGTTCGTTTTCGCGCCTCGTGGACCCAGAGAACGGTGCTTTAAGCGCCCGCTAAACCCACCACCCCTGGCCCTCACCCCTGCTCCGGCCTATCAACTCCCTCTTCAGCCATATGATTGGCTGGACTAAAGACGGGAAGGTGACCAGAGCGTTGGGATGGCTTGCCAGTCCCTCACCGGCGCGTTGATGGCTTCTGTCTGGGGGGTGGTCACTTGACCGGCGGAGGCGGGGAGGCGGGTATTGGAATGAGGAAGTGGAAGCGAATGGGGAGGAGCTTTGTGGGGATCTACAGGCTGTTGAACGCCGAGGTTGCGAGGGGCTAGAGGGCAAGAGCGCTGCGACGGTCGTAGTGGGTATTGGATGGACAAGCGCGGGTATATGGAGAGGCATTATCGGGAGGGATATGTTCTGCTTAATGCGGTGCTTAGGTGCGATCACATGGCCTTGCATTTGCCTCTGCATCATCCAAGGTGGCAGGGAATTTGGGGGAGATTCGACAGTATGATCCGAATTACGAGTGTCTCTCATGTGCAAGCAAAATAGACGGAGGGTATCAAAGTTGTTTGAAGAGATATGATATTCTTACTTCTCGTCTCGGAAGGCGGGTCATATGGACCACTCGCTACTTCTCTAGCAGGGCTCTTTTACCGCCAGCCCAATGCATGCATGCACGATCTACTCGCCAGCACACACACACACACACACACGTGCTCATCTCTTGCATGCGCTTCATCTCAAACCCAAGAAACAAGCAGGTCCATCCAATTGATGATGACCAACACCACAAGCGCCAGCCGGCGCACACCGCCGAATAGGTATCCGCGTTAGAAATAATGATCCCCAACGCCCAAGAATTTTCCGCACCAAAAAGGGCTATTCGTGAGCGAATAGCCAGGGTCGTGAGAGAACAACGTAAACATAAGTCGTTTCTCTAATGATGGGTAGTAAACAAAAGAAAAGTGGTGGTAGGGTGCAACAACCAGTGTAGCTGTGCGACGAAGCCAATGAAGCCAGGATGTTGGAAAGGAAGGATGCGATCGGATCGCCTGGACCCGAGAATTAGTTGGTAGGCCGGGGGATGGTGTATGTCGAAGAGGTATGGTGAGAATGATAGATGACTGGTACATGGCGAGGTAGTAAAAGATAAGCGCTGTGACTGGGGCGCCAGTAAAAGTCCACAAATGGTTCGTGAGGTCGTACGTGGCGGTTGCGTAACCGTCTCTGCTTGAAGCATAATTCCATGTAATAGGTGAGTCAGGTAACAGTGGATGCTTCTATTCCATCTTTCTCCTCTTGCCGCGGGGTGCGGGGTCGATTTGCGGGAACTGTGGCGCTTTTGCGTCGATGGGAGTGTGACTGTAGGTCACTGTTCGAGTAACCACTTCGCGCACACTTACGCGCCTTGAACGAGCAGGCTTCTTATCCAAGTCCCAGGTCTTTGGCGAAGCAGCGGAGAAGGGTGAGTGGATAGATTTCGCGCTGGCTGGTGACATTACCCCGGCAGGCGAATAGGGCGATTGGGGAATGTAGAGGCGGGGTGTCCGCGCCGATTGCGGCCGCGTGAATGGCGATGGAGGCGGGATGGTGACCATCTGAAGCTTTGTTGGAGGAGCGGACATGGGCGGCTCGTCCTTGGCCGGATCGCATCGACTGCAGCTGCTTGATCTTGAAGTTGCCGGCGAGTCCTTGTCTGCTGGAGCGCATGTGGACGTGAAGGACGCACTGGACGCAGAGGATGTTACTGAAACTGGCCGGCTGCCTTCGAAGATGAACCTAGAGCTGGTACCCGTGGACATTGGACTGGTGAGAACGGGCGACATGCTCTTCAGGAATTCCAGATAGGCAGTTGGGGGAGTAATGGGCGTCTTGAGATCGTCCTCGCGCTTGATGTTGGCGAAAATGGGTGTTGTTGCTGAATGAATCATAGGCGACCTGAGCTCGGATGGATAAGTAGCAGACAAAGGCGTCTTGAGCGTGGACAAGACGGGTTTGGAATCGGTGGCGGCCATGTTTGGTGAAGCGTGTGAATGAGTGACTCGGATTCCTGGTGGGTTGCACGGCGAGCGAGGGTGGTCTACACTGTGCCTTCTTCCACAGTGAAGTGGAAAAGCGAGGAGAGCGAGGCAGGCAAGCAGGTAGGTACCTCTTTGGCGCCGGGGAAGAGAGCGTGTTTATTGTACGTAGTTTGACACTAGCTCGCGGCGGATGCGCTGTTGTTGTTGGCCGCTGTGTGGGTCGTCGATGGTCGAGCTAAAAATACGTGGGTATGCGGGCGCGTAGCAACTATGAAGGGCGCACTGCCAGAGCGGGGCCTTCTAAGCGCCAGGCCTGGGGGGACTGAGGCCGTGCGTTGGCGAACCACCTTGGACGCCTCGAGGCTGCAATTGGCCGACGGGCAATGAAACCAAGTGTGTGATGGCCCCTGCAGGTCTGAAGAGAGCGGCCGGTCCGGTTGAGAAAGCTGATTCGTTGCGTATGCTCTGGAAGTGTGATGTCGGCTTGCTGGCGGGCGGCGGCGAAGGTAAACACGACCCACGCACAAGCAGGAGGCTCGTAATCGGGAGTCTGAGCAAACGTGGCAACCTAGTCAGGCTGTCTATCTGGAGCAGAAGAATGAGGACCTGCGACGAGCTGACGATCAGACGCTGGCGTCAGAAGGTCTCAAAAGAGAACAAAGTCAACCGCTGCAGGATCGAGAAGGGCTGGAAATAGAATTGCAAGTAGTGCTCCTGATCTCGTGGGAGCATTAGACCATTTTATGTCTTGCTTGCAGCCGCTGTGTCTTCTCTATGCTGCTTGAACATGTCGCGCGCTTCCATTTGATACCGTGCCTTTGCCCGCTTAGCCACCCGTTCGACGTTACCGACACCTTTTTCTGCTTCGTTGCTGAGCGCGCGCCTCATAACACCAACCCGTTAGCCCTGTCAATACACAGGCCGTAATGGAGGTGGCTGCTCAGGCCATCCTTACAGGCCACAGTACCTTGGGAGAGTTTTCCATGAAACTCCAATCACCAGCGCTTACACATGACCCTTCCAATCCATCACGAGTGCCTATTACCTTGGCTCGACGACGCGCCCTAAGTCTTTATCGGCGTTCCTGGCCTAACCTGCCCGTTGGACGCCTGTTGTTGTTGTGCTGCTGACCCCAAATAGACCAATTGTCGTCTATTGTTGTCTGTAAGCTGAAGCCACGCGCGGAAGCCCCAAGCGTATGGTACTGCGGTACGAGGCCCGACAGCTTAGTCTTCTGCAAAGGGAAAGATCAGCTAGTTTAACTGAGTCGCGACGACACATCGACACATAGAAGTCGACGCTGTCCTTAGCCCACAAGAGCATGCAAATGGCCGTTTTGATCGACCTCATCATCCCGAAATGGGCGTACTGCATCTCCGACCGTGATAGTGGGGTTTTGTCCCAAGGGCGAAGACACCTCTCCCAAGGGCATATGGCAGGTATGCTCTCCAAAGAAAACACGGCCATCAAATCGACGTGTTTTGGAAAGTGTAACAAATGGCTCCTGGTTCTTTTCGGCGGTTTGTTGGTCGATGCAAACCATCTGGCACCGTCGACACGCTCCTAGCATCTCGAAATATTGTTGGCCAATCTGTAGGTAGCGCCAGTCGTCTTCCGCATAAGGGTCCTCGAGCCCAGGCGGGTAGGCTGGGTTCTCCGCAACCACAATGTTGGCTCTGAACACCTCCGCTTGTGCTGCCTTACCGCCCTCCGCTTTGATCAGTTCATTGAGGCGGTTGAGGCTCGATCGTGAGATGGTGAGAATGGGACTCTCATTTGATAGCAATATTGGCTTTGAAACGCACGCGCCGGGCCTGATAGAGACCGCATCTGGGAAAGCGCCGGGTATCTGCATAGCGCCAGCCCTCTGATATTTCTGGAGATGCGCCTTCGAATGTCTTGTAGAGCTATTTCCATCGCCAACGGCAGAGAAGCGTGCAAGATGACAAGCGACTCCGAGCGCCTGCGTGAAGAACAACGATATCTCGCTTGACCTATATGTTTTGGCACTAATCGAGTCTCCGCATACTCTGGCATTTGCACTCTTGTACACCGCTTCGTCTGCGTACAATCGTGGATCCGCCGACAGGGGTACAGTAATCTCGTGAGTACTAGTCATCTCCCGCAAAGCGCCTACTAAATTTATGCGTAATAGGCCTTTACCGAGATCAATGCTGGGACGAATGAGAGTCATCTTCGGGTAGCGCTTTTGGCTCAATGCTGCCCCAGTGCCTTGATGCACAAGACACCATTCACGATCCCACGCGAGGCCCTCTCGCCGTATTTCCCATGCATGCCCGCGCGGGACGCTGAACCCTGCACAGCTTTTTATAGGATACACCGATACGCTCTCCACGTGCAAGCGACTTTGTAGTGGTGGCTCGTCGACAGAGGATGTAATCGGGGCTGTGACTATTGGTAGGCTTTCTTGGACGAAGAATTCGCGCACAAAAGCGACAAATGAGTTCACGTCTTTCAGGGTACTCATCGCTCCGAAGCTGACGCGTACCATGCCGGTCGGCTTTGCACGGATCACATCGTTATCATTACCGCACCGTTGGCCGGCAGAGAAGTTCTCTCGCATTTCCCATGGCGCCAGCCCTAGCGACGACGCAACACCGCCAGGGTTGCAGAGGCCACCAGTCCGGAGCTGGAAATCCTTGATGGCGGCGAGCTTCTCCACCTCTGCATTGCTGACCCAGCCACCATATTGATTTCGAAGGTTGAATGCAACAATTGGCCCTTGCGTTACTGCATCGCCGTATGTAGAGGCCGGATCTTTGTAGATCTGGCACAATCTCTCGTCATTACCATGTCGTAGCGCAGATAGCCCCTCATACAGCATTCTGGCAAGAAAAGTGGTGTGCTTCGAAATCTGGTCCAGCGAAGTGTATAGCTCCTGGTGAACGGCCATGGCACTATCAAGCGCCATGATGCTGTGTATTGGTAAAGTACCATCCTCTAACCTCTCATGAAGCGAGTCTGCCTTTTTTGCATGCCATTGCTCCTTGAGACACACGACCATTTCAACAGTGCCACCACCAAAGTAGCGGCGCCTGTCAAATACCGATGCTGATGCTTGCCTGACAATTAAAGCCCCAAGATCGGGGAAGCCGAACATCTTGTACAGGCTCAATACAGTGAAATCGGGTGCATTCTCAGCATCTCCGAGGTCAAGTGGCGAGGTCGAGACAAGGGCTGCGGCGTCCAATAGAGTGTACACTGCCTGCTTGTTCGTGCGTATACGACGTGACCAATCCGAAGGTAGGCGACGTCCGTTCATATTTGATTGCGCCGGATACGCGAATAGCCCTGCCCGACCAGATCCGTCGTCTTGACACTCGATCCATTCATTAGCCTCTGCGTCTGATGCGAAGCACTGATGCTCCGCCGCTGCCTCGCGTACTCCTATCAGACTCGTGTGTGCGTCCCGGTGGTACCCATACCAAAACCCCTGCTCTTGCTCCCGGAAGGCATCCATGACCAGCTTTATACCAGCAGTGGCGTTGGCTACGAACACCAGATCGAATTCTTGCGGGTCTGCATTGAACAATTTCAGCAATCGTAGTCGAATATCTTCAATTCGTCGTGTCGTCAACTGTGAGGCGTTGGAGGCAGAATGGGGATTGCCGTATAGATTGGATATCATGTCAGCGGAGAAGCGCTCGATCAGCGACTTGGAGTACAGCGTGGTCCCAGCGTGGTCAAGGTAGGTGGTACCTGGCTAGAATCAGTATTGAACTCAGGCATTTCCAGGTATAGCTTACCTTGCAGCATAGGATATTCCCTAGCACGAAGCTCCTCGATCGCATTGTCATAGCTGATGTAGGTCGCCTCCTCCATAATAACGGATAGAAGCTGGTTCGACTATGCTCATCCGCAGTCCCTAAAAGAAGAAGAAGAGAAAGAAGAGCTTAAAAATCCCGGGAAGCGACCCATTTGATGCTGAACGTAGTGTATGCGAGAGTGGGGGAATGTGAATGGTGGAGTTCCAACGCGATACGGCGAGTCCCGATCGCGCCAAGCACGGTCAAAGGGCAGTGGAGGCCGCTACTGTCTTGCGGAGATGATAGGCTATGGCCTCAAGCTTTTGAAAGGAATTGCTTTTGGCAACAAGTTCGTGTGTGAGATTCGACAAACTCTAATACTAGAGTTCTCCGCACCTAGCACTTCGAAACGTGGGGTGTCGGCACAGCCCGAGATCATTAACCACTATGCCCGAATGGGACAACGATCTATAGGTCGAGTCTGCTTGTTATTAAGTTCGTAAGGGATGACACTCGTTATGGCATGGTCAACGCTGGCTAATTGGTCTTGTCTTTAGGCTATTCACTCGAGATTCCACATGAAATTGGACATTATTCACCAGTACGTATGCGGTAAAATCTATAGTCTTCATGAACTTGAAACATAGTTTTAGGGAGTTGCAATACATTACTCTACATGTTGGCCAGGTCATTGCTGGCTTGCAGTAAGACACTTACTCTCAACTTTGAAAGATGGCCATGCCTTGCTGTAATACACTATCCTAACACGTACTCTGAAGCTACTGAGTGTATCTATCGAGTACGTTTCTGGACTTCATTGAGGAGCACTTCTGTCCAATAGTAACGCCAAATATTCAAATAGAGTGAGTGGAATTAGCATCTCTGGATCACAGGCCGCGTTCAGAGTGTCTTTCCTGCTAGGATAAAAGTTTCCAACATTGTCCTGTATCAATCCGATTGATACAATTGATTGTTTGAGGCCTTAGTGTCTGACACAGTCGTCTTTCCCAGATAGTATGTTCTAGGTCAGTTCTTCAATGGCTAGTCTGATATCCAAACAGAGCCCAAAGATGTGACCAACAAGGTAGGATGCTCGCACGGCGGCCATTCGTGTCGAAAAATCGACGTGAGCAATCCTCGTTCTTCTGATTGGGTCCCGCTCATTCAGGAGGGTGATGTCGCGACTAAAGGTACTGGAGTTGGCATTTGGAACTCCTGCAAATGATATGAGGATACTTTAAGACTTACGTGTCGTGCCTGTATTTGTAGAGAACCTGCTTAAGGTCTTCTTCGCCAGCGTCGGCAGCGAGGTTGGAGACGATGATTCGGCCCGGGAGTCTCTCCCTTTCTTCAACCTCGCGGTAGCGCAGTTCTTCTTTCATGGTGTGTTGGATGATGGTGCTTAGCTCCTCTTCTGCTCGTTTGATGATAGCGTTTTTGTGTTGCTGAGCAACCTGCCCATCCAAGCCAGCGCTGAAGACGTATGTAGTCCAGCCCTTAACCAGCTCCCATTTGAATCCCATGACTTCTAGCTCGAGCGCAACCGCATATGGAATACTTCTCTCATAGAGACCGATAGCTTTGTGGTCAGGAGCATCGTTTTGAGCCTCCGACCCTTCCGAATGTTTCGCACCAAGGAAGCAAGACATGTGAGTGCCGTTGTGGACTGAGTTATGTGACGACCGGTCGCGTGACGGCGAGAGCATAGCCACTAATCTGCTACGAAGGACCTCGAGGTCGTCGTTATCGTCTTCATGGAGGTCTCTGCTCGATGAGTGTGTGTTTCGATCGAGATCGTCAAGCATCCTTCTCGGGTTGTTGTCTATGATCGCCTGGCTCGGTGACAGTGTTCGTTTTTCGAACTCAGCAAGCATTCTCTTTGGGTCGTCACTGATGTCGAACGCACTGAGAGAAACCATGCTGGAACGCTTTTGCAGTCGGTCCAGCTCTGCAAGCATTTTCTTGGGATCATTCTCGACATTTGACTCGTGTCCCCGGCGCAGTGAGACGTGTGGAGCTTCGCAGACATCTTTGAAAGCATTAGCTGCATGTGTATACACGATTGGGGATGGTTTGTGAAACAGTACCTGCGGTCATTGTCGTGTCCATGGTAGTTCGCGGCACGCTGACAGTACCGTCTTCCAAGCCTTGCTTCAACTGCTCAAGTCCTGATTTTCCGGTGTCAGAGTCGCTGCCCTTCAAAACTGCTGATCCTAAGGTGTCCGGGAGGTCAAGCCCAAACACTTGTTCGGTGGGCGCCGCTGTCGGCTTTCTTGCCTTCTTGTGTTGTATGTCTGCGCCGTCACGTCCTTGACTTGCTTTAGCTAGGATGTCTGAAATGCTGGCAAATTGACGGTCAAGAAGACCCTTTATCGCATTCGAGCTGGTTCGTGGGCGCCGGTCCATCCATGCAGTGCTGTACTTGCCTTTGCGGGCGGAGGAGTGTCTGGTAGGCTGCATGCTCAATCCTTACTCTTATTGTCTTGTGAAATACGTACCACAGTCTGAATGTCTTCAGAAGCTCTAAGCGTTTCTGGGGTGGGTGCTGTGAAGCTCTTTGAGGACTTCCAGCCTCTGCTTGACCTGTTAGATTGACACAGTGAAGCTGCCCGGTGATTGAATTGGAGTACCTCAATGAAGCATGTTTCACTGCTATCGTATAGCACAAGAAGAGACCAACTGCGTTCGGCGAAGAAGCGGTCAAGTTGCGTTGTTTTCGGGTGCAATTGGGTGAGGTTGTTGTTGATCTGACGGCGTGCAGGATAGGAAGGCGCGCCCTGGCAATAGGAAGGCGCCACCGCCACGGCGCGCCTACCAAACACCTGAGCTCAATGGAAATGCCAGTTTATGAGACCTTTACTCCATGCATAGCTCTTTTCGCATGAAGACCTCTGATTAATCCAAGGAAAGAAGTCTAGGACACTACAAGGTCCTATTCACATCTCGCAAAGCTTGAGAGAAAGACAGAAAGACATGGCTTCGACCTGGGGACAAAGCTTGGGCTACGACGAGCTTCATGCAATATGTAATAATAGGCATAAGGCTCATTCGCCTATTTCATAGCTTGCCCACCTTGATCTTCATGAATGCGTGAGATGAACCTATACAAGCCACAAACCCTACTCTTAAACCAATAATCGAAGAAAGACATGAATGAAGAAATTAACAACCTACTTGAACATCCAGAGCGCTCAAGGCCGAGCGGCATCACCCCCACCCCCCATACACTTAGAACTCTTTAGAATTACTGCTTCTTCTTTCCTGCTCCCTTCTTCTCTTCGGCCTTCTTCGCAAAGTCCGCCAACTCCTTCTCCTCCGCGCGCTTCGCATACCATTGCCCCGCCTGTAACACCAACACACCCACAAGCACCAGGGCCAAGATCGTATTGCTCGCCGCGAAAACCCTCAACGTATCCTCCCGGGTAATGTAATCTCCGCCATCGTCCTCTAATACCGCTCCTTCCATAGCCGCCTTGCTCGGATCTCCATAGATTCCAGCAGTCACGACTCTAAAGCCCTTGACGATGTTGGTGAGGTAGACGGTTATGCCGGCCATGTACAGCACAAGCGACGCGCCATCGAAGAGCATGTTCGCTTGGTTGGGCTTGAAGAGCTTGATGAGGAAGCCGAGCAGACCGGTGCCGATAGCGATGTTTAGAACCCGGGAGATGAGAGGAGGCGAGGCGTAGAGGAATTTTATGTGGTCTTCAAGGATGTTGAAGTACGGGGCGCGGTCTTCGGGCACGTTCCAGAGGACATTGTAGTCGTAGGGGAGTTGGGAGAAGAGGACACCGAGGAAGAAACATGTCGCTGTATAGCATTGTTAGCTTGATCGCGTGGGCAGATTGACTGGGAAACGTTGGATGATGCGAATGGCCTTCGACCGGAGGAGGGGAGAGTACGTACGGCCTACCACCATAAATTGCGCAAAGTTGTTTGCAGACATCTTTGCGAGGTCGCGATGATGCGCAGATTCGTAGATGTATGCGAGAGGTAATAGAATAGTGTAGGTGAGAGGTGGTGTGGAGTTGCAGCTGTGGGCGCGCAAGCTGAGGCTGGCTTATCGTGAGACGAGGATTGTAGTTGGAGGTAGCTTCTTTGAGAAGGTGGAAACGAGACAAGGCTTGGAAGAATGAGATATCACCACTAGGCAGACTGTATGTCGTGGCAATTGTCGCAGGTACAAACAAGTTGGTCAATTCTTGTTGTGAGACTTTGAGCTCCCACTCCTGTACGGTACCGATCTACCCCGCGATCTACCCTGCGAGGCACCCTGCGATGATGCTAGCCTGCAGATTCGTGCCCACCCCTTACAACCTTGGCTTGTGAGAGCAACCAATTCGCACGCGACATGGATTGGGGACAGTTCACCGAAAGCAACGTTCAATACGTGGATGGCAAATGTTTTGTTTGTCTTATAATGTGGGCCAAACACGCCCTCATTCGCATACAATCCCAGGTGTACGCTCAAAATCGCTCGGATTCAACGCCCTAATACGCCGGGTCCCGGAAACTCCAGTTCCCACTACCTGCATTGCTCAAAATTCATCGTCATCCATGTCAAAGTCTTCATTACCAGCTTCGATGAAAACAAGTCGTGTGCCTTCTCCAGTAGTTTGCCAGACCTGGTCGAGATTGTTAGCATATTGCAGCCTTTACGACATTGGAGATGGAAACTTACATCGAGCCCAGCATACTCATCAATAGCCTGCTCAAACTGATCGGCAGTGAACCCCTTCGCTAATACCCTCTCCCTAACCCTGCGTAGGTCCAATTCGCCTCTTGTGCCATCGCCAACAGCGGCGGCACCACTAGCCTCCATCGTTTTGATGAGGTGGTAGATCTTACTGCTGGGAGTATGATCGTCTCTACGGTTCTCGTCGGCATACAAGCTGGCCTTGCTGACTTCAACAAGACGCAGAGCCTCGTCGACATCTTCAGAGATGACCTCTTCAGCAAAACGTAGACGCGCCAAAGCCTGTGCAATACGTAGCACACCGAGTAGTGTACGTGGTGATGTATGCGTGAAAGCCTTCTTGGAGCCTTCGTCACGTTTCTGCTGTTGGCGCATGCGTACGTAAGCGCCGACCATGTAGTCTGAGACTTCCTTTGGCACAGTTGGTCGGTATGATCGTGCGCGGGCAACCCATTGTCGTACTTCTGCGGGACTGAAAATAATGCCTCCTGGAGCTTCTGGATGAGCATTGTGCATGTGCACATAAGTGACATGGCGCGCTAGTTCCTCGTCTGAGTCTCGCGCGGGGGTATCAAGAATAAGGAACAGGATGTCGAAACGAGACAAGAGCGCAGCGGGCAGGTTGATATTCTCAACCGGAGAGATGCGAGGGTTGTAGCGACCGTAAAGAGGATTGGCGGCAGCAAGAATTGACGTACGGGCGTTCAAGGTAGTGGTAATGCCGGCTTTGCTGATTGAAATGGTCTGCTGTTCCATAACTTCGTGGATGGCCGTTCGGTCGCTGTCGTCCATCTTGTCGAACTCATCGATACAGCACATACCGTTGTCAGCCAGGACAAGAGCACCGCCTTCAAGGACCATCTCATCGGTGACCGGATCACGCATGACGGCTGCTGTGAGACCCACGCCACTACTTCCACGACCTGTCGTGTAGACACCACGAGGGGCGACCTTGGTGATGTACTTGAGAAGCTGCGACTTTGCCACACCAGGATCACCCATCAAACAAACGTTGATGTCACCACGGATGCGCATTCCATCGCCGACTTCCTTTGTAACACCACCAATAAGCTGTAGGAGAAGCGCCTTCTTCACATCGACGTGGCCAAAGATCTCTGGCGCAATGGAGCGCGATAGATACTCATACAGCTGTCCTGTCCTCTCAAGCTCGTTCATTCTTCGCAAAGTTGGCTGAGCGAGGACAATGTCATCATAGGCCTTCTTGTGCTGCATGACATGTTGTGCCTCTAGGTATGTATCTGTGAGTAGACCGGCGCGAATTGCCTTGAAGCCAGTATACGGTGTTGGTAGGAAGATACCTGCAACGTCGATGACGTCTCCAGGGTTGATCTGGCGAACCAAAGCACCATGGCAGTGAATGGTCAATTGCCTAGGAATGTGACCAACGGGCACCTGGTCCGCCATCTCCTGGATTTTGACCTCCTGGAAGGGAAGGAATTTTGAAGCGCGAGTGGACAGAAATAGTTGTCCCTTGGTCTTGTTGTTCTTGCACTCTTCTGATGGGCATTCTACAAGTGGCGTGAACTGCTTGGTCGTTACAGGCTGGAAGACTTCGCTACCGCAGCGATCGCACGAGTAGGCATTGACTTGTACAGCAGGCTTGACATCTGATACCCTCGTTGAGATTCCTCGAACTGTGATGAGGTGACCGAGGTGCTCTCCTCGGACGTTTCGGACTGCTAGCGCTTTCATGTTGCGTTGACTGCTGGCACCTGAGGGTATCCTGGGTATAAAGTTGAGAGTGTATCGACGAGTGAGGGCTGGCGGAAAGATTGACTCTGGCGCAGCCTGCGCGCTGTCTTCTACTCCTTGTAGCTCCTGCATCCTCTCATTACGCTTTGAACGCTGCGTCATGATCACGTCCAGGACATCGTCCTTGAAGCTGCATCGAATTAGTTCATACTCTAATCTGGTCATTGATCAGAGGGAGCCGTACTTGAGTTCCCTTGTCGGTTGCGGCAGGCACTTGTCCACGGCGCGCGAAAAAATGTCGATGTAGTGGTGCGCGTTGCGCTCGATTGACTCGATTAGCCTGTAGTTATGTTCGTCGTCTGAGGTAGCCCGCTCATACTATATTCCCATCAGCGCTATGCCATGTCAAACGGCGGCGTGCTACCCACTGCTTCCACATCATTCAGATCTATCTGGATCTCGTCTCGCTCGCGGTTTGCTACCTCCTGCAACTGGTTCATGTACTTGAGCTTCGACTTGTTGCGCGCCTGCGCTCCGTTCGGCGCGGGGTCGTCCGAATCGTCGACCATGTCGTACTCTTCATCTTCGCCATCGCCATTGAGATTGAGGCCCTGGAGCTGGTCTGCAGCCTCGGTGGAAGAGGATTTGAAGTTATTGAGAAAGTCCACGAAGGCAGCTGTATGCGCCATTAGCTAGGGCCCTCGCTGTTTTGCACCCGTGTACACAAACCTTCCTGCTCCTCGTAGTTCACTGGCGCGCTTGTCGTCAGGAGCGCCATTGCTTCTCAAGCTTCAATTAGAGGTGAAGAGGGCGTATGCGGGATATGCTCGTCCAGGAGTGATGTAGTGGGGAGAGAGTCGTGATCGCAATTTTGGGCATGGGGCTGTCACGTCCAGAGCGCGTCGCGTTTCTGGCTGGGCCGCTGGGCGAATGGCCGCTGTTCTGCAACCGGAGCCAACGTCTTTGAGCCTGGCGCGCCTAGCAAGCCACCGGCCACCGACGACCTCGGCTCAGGAAGAGAGAGAGCTCGAGCATTCACTAGAATGCTGGCGCTGCGGCTGTCTACTTTACTCTCTGCTCCCTACTACGAAGCATCATGCCGCCAAAGAAGCCTGCTGGCAATGTGGTCCAGGCTGAGGTCGCCCTGCACCAGTCGTTGAAGAATTGTCTGGTCAACCTCCCCTCTTCACTCGTCTCGGTGCTTGTGAATGCCAACACGGTACGTGGTCGCTGTGTTGCTATTGCGCCACAATGCTAAGAAGATGCACATAGGTTGCGCAGAATGTCGTCGTCGAGCTCTCATACCGCCAGCCCCCTCCACCTGGCGCCTCAGAGACGAGGAATGCTGTTCCGCAGAAGTCAGTCTATATGGGCTGGACGGGCATGCAGAGCAAGCGCAGGATTGCACCCGTAGTCGGTCGAGATGGGCTGAGAGGCAGTCAGACCTCCAGCCAGCAAGAACTACCGGCGGTAGAGGTGGATGCAACATTCGCAAGATTAATTGGGCTTCAAGAAGGACAGAAAGTGGGCATATCGCTGCATCTAGATCCTCCTCAGGCGCACACTATCAACATTGAGCCTCTGACTCCTGTCGACTGGGAGATGATTGAGCTCCATGCGCAATTTCTAGAACTGAACTTTCTATCCCAGATACGCGCGCTACCAAACCCTCAGGCGCAGTCTCCACACCCGCTTACCCTCCACCTCTCGCCCACTACCACTGCGAACATTACCGTCACATCAATCGCTCCTGCCCCGCCAACCGTCTCGCCATTCGTCAAGATATCTCCCGATGCTGAGGTTATTGTTGCGCCGAAGACACGCCAGAAAGAGCGAAGCTCGACACGGGAGAGCAGGAGTGTCGGAGCTGCCTCTAGAAAGAGCGGGAAGAGCACCGCAAGCACAGTCAGGCGCCGCAGTGGCCGCGATGACAATGCTAGCAAGGGTGCCGTCTTCCTCCGAGGTGTCGATCGTAGTGTAGCCCAGGAGTGGTTTGACGACGAAGAGGAGGTAGATGCTCAGGGTCTCAAAGTCTGGGTAGACAAAGATGTACTTCTCACGAAAGCCCTCAGGGGTGTCAACTGGGTTTCTGTAGCCATCATAAAACCTTCAGGACTCCAAGAGCCCGTAGACATGTCGAAAGAGCAAGATCAGGAGAAGCCTGCAACTCGTGTGGTCGCAAAGGTCGCAGCTTGGGAAGATGCGCCCGATAGTCGTCACATTGCACTTTCAACCGATCTTTGCAAAGTCTTGGGCTTTGCAGGCTTCGTTGGTGGTCTCGTTCGGATTGAGGGTGCACCAAATCAAACCGCAAAGCCCTCGGCCATCAAGGCACAGGGCTCGAAAGAGTCTAGGGAGGTAGTGGCCAAGTCAGTCAAGATCATACCATTCTCTACAAGCGCATCACAGAGCAATGCCTCTCTGAGGTTTGGTGGTGAGTCTAAGCAGGAGCAGGAAGATGCTATTCAGAAGATCAAAACTATATACGGAAGAAAGAACGGGCTCTTGGATGGACCAGTCACAGACGGTATGGTGCTATATCCACCAAAAGACTCTGCGGCAGGTTGGGCAGGAGGCCTTGTAAGATTCGATCCACCCCAACCTGCGAGTGGTATTTCATGGGTGCTGTTTCCAGAGAGGAAGCTCCCGGTCGAGCTTGGACAAGAGATATCAACGCCGTCAAGCTGGTTGAGAGGCTCGCAACAGGGCGATCCATTACCGGAAAGTCCCCCAAAATTAGTTGGCATCGACCCTCTCGTCGAACAACTGCGGTCACATCTCACACACAATTCCTCCGTTCTGCTCACGGGTGGCCTCGGGGCTGGGAAGTCGAATTGCGCGCAGCTTCTTGCACACCAGTTGCGAACAGAATACCTGTTCAACACAATCTACTTCCCCTGTCGTAAGCTAGTGACGGATGAGACAAGAGTCGCAACCATCAAGGAGACACTCAACAGGCTATTCGCATCTGCTTCCTGGGGCGCTAGAGGGGGCGGCAATGCAGTGGTCATCTTAGATGATCTAGACAAGCTATGTCCAGTGGAGACTGAGCTACAAGTTGGCAACGAAAATGGACGCAGTCGACATGTCAGCGAATGTCTCATCAACATTGTCAGACAGTACTGCTCGATGGATTCTGGGGTAGTCTTGCTGGCGACTGCACAAGGCAAGGAGGCTCTCAATAATGTGATCGTCGGCGGTCACATCGTGCGAGAGATTGTCAGCTTGAAGGCACCGAATAAAGACGGCAGACGAAAGGTACTTGAGATGTTGGCACTCAAGGACGCAAAAGTCGAGTCGCCTCAGCAAACCAATGGCCATGCCTTCCCAGCGTCGCCTTCGAACAGCCGGCCAAGTACATCGCATCGTAGTCAGCCCAGTGTTGGAAGCATACAACAGGAGGAAGATTATGGGTTTGTTGTAGACTCCGCTATCGACTTCCTCGATCTCGCTGGCCAGACTGATGGCTACATGCCCGGTGACCTTGTCCTCCTCACTTCGCGAGCCCGCAACGAAGCACTCATTCGCTCAATCAGTGACTCCTCTAATACTGTCTCCCTGACCAGAGACGATTACACTCAAGCACTATCTGGTTTCACACCAGCCTCCCTTCGCAACGTAACACTACAATCCTCAACTACAAAATGGGACTCAATAGGTGGCCTCCTCACAACACGCCAAACCCTCCTCGAAACCTTACAGTACCCCACCACATACGCGCCCATTTTCGCCCAATGTCCTCTTCGGTTACGCTCAGGTCTACTCCTCTATGGCTACCCCGGCTGTGGCAAGACCCTACTCGCCTCCGCCGTAGCAGGCGAATGCGGGCTAAACTTTATATCTGTCAAGGGCCCCGAAATCCTTAACAAGTACATCGGTGCGTCTGAAAAGAGCGTCCGAGACCTTTTCGAGCGCGCAGAAGCAGCACGGCCGTGCGTCCTCTTCTTCGACGAATTCGATTCTATTGCTCCGAAGCGCGGGCATGATTCCACGGGTGTGACGGATCGTGTGGTCAATCAACTGCTCACACAGATGGATGGTGCGGAGGGACTAAGTGGTGTCTATGTGCTTGCCGCGACGTCAAGGCCTGATCTGATTGACCCTGCGCTTTTAAGGCCGGGACGATTGGATAAGAGTCTTCTCTGCGATATGCCGGATGTGGAAGAGCGTATCGATATTCTCAAAGCTGTGACGCGGAAGTTACATCTCGCGCCCAGCGTTCTTGAATTTGACGACGCTGGTGAGAATCTAAGAGAGATAGCGCAAAGGACGGAAGGATACTCCGGCGCAGATCTACAGGCTGTAGCTTATAATGCTCAGCTTGAAGCTATCCACGATGTGCTTGGGGACACAGACTTGGGCGATCCAACGAAGAGCGGAGACGGAAAGAAGAACGGGACGAGCGCTGCAGGGAAAGGAAGCAAAGAGAAAGGCATCCCGGAGTTCACACACTTCCGTTATGGCGACCCGGCATCTGATACATCAGCATCCACACCAGCAAAAACCTCTTCTCAACTCACTGAGCGCGCTATGATCGCCCAAAAGATTGCTGCCCTACAATCGCTTCGCCGCAAGCAGAAACTACTTCAACGTCCTACTTCAAGCCACAATGATGATGAGAAAGATGGCAAGGTTGACGACGACAATGAGAGGAAAGACCCAGAGATCCAGTGGAAGCATATTGAACATGCCCTCGCGACAGGACGCAGCAGTATCTCTGCGCAGGAGAGGATGAGACTGGAGAGGATATACAGGGAGTTTGTAGAGGGACGGGATGGGGATTTACCGAATGGGCAGGGCGGGACAGAGATTGGTGGGAGATCGAGCCTGATGTAGTGGACATGTAACTATATATATTTGGATTACGAGGCGGCTTGGGATCCGCTAGGATATAGTATGGCTTGGATACATATAGTGTACAATAGAATGTACATAATGTTCGGACATGGCGCTTTGCGTAATGACAGAATCTCCATTCGTTCGATTTATCAAGCATTGAGCGCCTCTAGGACGTCTTTGAAATCCACTTGTCTAGTTTGTTAGTGGATCGAGTGCCTACAGGCGACATCTTCATGAAGCTGTGCGCAAGCTTAATGGGATTCAGATTGTGTCTTGGGCAAGAAATGTTCATTGGCTTGAATAAACGGTATTTGCCGGTTATCCCTAGTGTTGTCCGGGACCCTGCAGTATTGTACACAGTAGCTGGAGAAGAAAGTATAAAGACCCAAGACATCTCTTGGATCCCGCCTTATCATGCAAGAAGGGTGCACGTATCCATTGTCCTGAGTCATCCGACCACTCACTCGTCGGGCTTAGTCTCGCTTGATATTCACACTATCCATTCCTCGCTCAATTATCTCTATTTCCCAACAATGTTCTTAGCCTTATCTGCTACCTCGTGAACTTTACTCTCAACAACCGCCGCTACACCGCTGGCCTCTGTCTTGGCCTTGTCCGCCAGACTCGCCTCTCTGCCGCCGAAATTCCAGTATTGCAGATACCTGTATCCCTGAACGAGCTGGGAGCTGAAGTTGATGGCGTGGCAGCCGAACAGGAGGTAGTTCTTGGGCGTGACAGCGAAGGCGTAGCGCATAAAGGTGCCGGAGTAGAGCGTGAGGGCGCCGGTCATACGGCCGGAGATACTGTACGGAAACGATCAGCATGCAATTGGGACATTATCGGGACGGATGATGTATGCGCGTATGCATGTGTGTGAAAGGGGAGGAAAGTGTGCGTGCGAGTGGAGGCAATGCCGAACGTACATCTCAGGATCTTTGCTCATGTCCGCAATCGCCGCGATCGGGATACCAAAGTTACTCGCCGGACCCCAGAAATCTGTACACTCATCAGCCGGTATACTTTATATTTCCTTTTTCTAATCCTCTGCTTCTTTGTCCACCTCCTCCGAAAGCCAGCCTCTCCAAGCATGCTTCGCAATTGTCCGTGTAAAAACGTACGAGTCGAGCAGAAGTAATCTGTGTACTTGTTTGAGCGTATCTTCGCATTGAGGGCTTTGATCGCGGCAGCCATCTTGACGAAATGAGCCTCAGGAGAGGTTAAGATGGCGATTAGACAGAGGGTACGGTAGCACGGAGGGAAGCTGCTGGTTGTCGTTTTGGAGGATTGCGGAAGTCGGCGCCAAGAAATGTCGGGACCGCCATCCACTTTTCGGAAAGCTGTCACGTGCGCTATAGGCTGAATGGAAATACGGGCGGCCTAAGTGGACAGCAAATCATGTGTACAAGTTTGAACGGCTCAAGAGGTAAATTTAAATGCTACAGAATTCTGGAGATGTTGTAAATCGTTCTGATTGCGGCTGTCAAGCCACTGGTATACGCCGTCCGATTGCACCCCTTCCACGTGCACGCTTTTGAGTCTGATATCTCTCGTCCTGCCCGTGGCCACTTGCAGAGTTGAAGGATAGCGCAAGCTCTCAGTTTGAAATTCGTACAAGCCCGTTTTGACGATGGGCCTATTGGCTTTCATACACTTCTGTACAAGCCATCTGAGTTGAAGTCGATTTATCTCTTCTAGTCCTGTTCGCCAAATCGTCGCATTTACTCCGGAAAAGTCCTAATAATGACTATTGCGTCGTTCATCTTCGTCTATCTGCCACCAAAGCCAGGAGGGCCGCCACGGCCAGGGTTGAAGCCAGGTGGTCCACCAAAGCCTGGAGGGCCTGCAAAGCCTGGAGGTCCGCCAGGGGGAGCGAAGCCAGCTGTGAGAGGTTAGCAATGTGCATACTCAAGTAGTATATAAGTCGGACGTACGTGGGCCACCTCCTGGTGGGCCGCCACGACCTGGGAACCCAGGTGGGCCACCGAAGCCTCCTGGTGCGCCTGGGAATCCTCCTCCGAATCCGGGACCAGGACCCCCAACGCCAGGCGCGGGACCAGTCAATCCAACTGGCAGACCGCGGCCAGCTGGTCGTGCCACACCGGGTCCAGCAGCCAGCGTCGCAGCCGTCGTAGCTCCTCCAGAGGGCGCTCCAAGTCGCGCAGCGGGATCTGCTGGAGGTGGTCCGTCTACTGATAGCGAGATGACGTGCGCACCACGGATGATGGTGAGCCCAATGGCGCGTCTCTCTTCGGTCTCGGTGACTGTCTGGGTTGCGCCGGGTGCAGCTTTGCCCCTTCGTCGAGTGCGTCTGAATTCTTCTGTATCGGCGAGAACGAGGTTCATGTGCTGTAGTGTGCTAATCAGCAAAAAAGGCCAACGGGATGTTTGCGATTCTGACCTTGTCGAAAGCGAGCATCTGTCCGACCATCTGTCTACCATCTTGCAGCGTGACTTTCATGCGGTGGTTGATCTGAGTTGGGTGAGTTGGAGGCGATTTGAGCAGAATCTGAAGCGCTTACTAGATTTTGCTAAAAGATTAGAAGTCAGTCAGTTTCTATGCGCGTCTTCTCTCAGGTCAAGGATTCGAGCTGCTAGGCAGAATTGGAATTGCTTACCATCTTTCCCTGTCTATTCGCATTGCCAGCCATGGTGGATGTTGCGCGTCCGAGGACGACTTGAACTCAGGGAATGGGTGTAGGAGAGTATTAGAAGATAGCCCCTCGTTGTCGATAATAGGGTGGGGTGTATGTGGTCGTGGGTAGTTCTTGAAAGCTTCAAGCGCCAAGAGAGTGCACGGTCCTCGAAATGTTAGCTCCCACCACTCGCTTAGCCTACATTCAATTTTCGAAGCCGCGACTTCAACGACAGCGACAACCACTCCGACTACTAACCACCGCAGTCATCACAATGGTACGCAGAAACCACGGCAATTCACTCACGACGATGCAAGCACTGACAAGCAAACCAGTCCGACTCCAAGGCCTCCAACCCCATGCGGGAGCTTCGCATCCAGAAGCTCGTCCTCAACATCTCCGTCGGCGAGTCTGGTGATCGTCTCACCCGTGCCGCGAAGGTGCTCGAGCAGCTGTCCGGTCAGACTCCCGTCTACTCCAAGGCCCGCTACACCGTTCGTACCTTCGGTATCAGGAGGAACGAGAAGATCGCTGTCCACGTTACCGTCCGTGGCCCCAAGGCCGAGGAGATCCTCGAGCGTGGCCTCAAGGTCAAGGAGTACGAGCTCCGCAAGCGCAACTTCTCAGAGTCCGGCAACTTCGGTTTCGGTATCAGCGAACACATCGACTTGGGAATCAAGTACGACCCTAGCATCGGGTAGGTAGCATCTGGACAGCGAGCCGAGGACACACGCTGACTAGAGCAGTATCTACGGCATGGACTTCTACGTCTGCATGACCCGCCCCGGTGAGCGCGTCGCCAAGCGCAGGCGGTGCCAGAGCAAGATCGGCGCCTCCCACCGCGTCAACCAGAACGAGACCGTCAAGTGGTACAAGAACCGCTTCGAGGGAATTGTCCGATAAGCGTATCGATGGACGGGTGAAGAGGAAACGACGTGAAGATTCTGCACGATAACCAGCATTTTCGGTCTCGGAGGGTTCGGTCCTACGGAGTCCTGGATGTACTTAACAAAAGAGCAAGCATTGAACTTGCGGCCTATCAATGGAGCACGACCAAGTCTCTAACGAGCAGGTCTTCGATCACATCTACAATGGAGGCTTCACTTGGGTGAATGTTCCGTACAACCATTGTGTGATCATCTCTTTGCCCGTTGTTGTTCGCTTGTGATGTGTGCTTTCGCTCGAGTGAGGTGACTGACAGACTCGAAATACCCCAACATGGCTACTGTCATCTTTTCAAAGTGACACTACCCTTTTTTCATCATTTCTGTGCCATCTCGCTATCACTTTTGCCTTTTGACGTTGCAGACTATTCGTAAGATTCAAACGCCTCACTATCGCAACATGTTTTTTGCGATAGTACCTCATAGGTTGTCAAACAATCGAACCAACTCATTGACCCGCACCTCGGTGTCAAACGTTTACCTCTATCGTCCCCCGGGAAGAAGTGGCAAACAGAAGAGAAGGTTACAGGAGCTGTCCGCCAACTCTCCTGATTTATGATGAACCCTCACAACTGAGTAGAAAAGGCGTTGAGCCTGACAAGCTGCCCGACCAAATCATTTCGCAGCATGACGTCTTAACATTCTCTCAAGAAAAGCACAGAGTCATTAGGACGACGTTTGACATCTTGTCACTGTACATACTAATCACAGCTTTCAAAAACTCAAAGCGTAATCATAAAAACCCACCGTAGATTACGAGTACATGAATACTATTAGATTCGATTCACGCTACCTACTCCCGTAATAACGCTCGTGACACATCACGGTTTCGCTATTTTTTCATGTCGCCACCACCTCTTACAACCACATCATACAGAGGTAAAGCGTGTAACATCACCCCTCAAATCCCATCGGTTTCGTTCATAAAACCATTCGAACGTGCACCATAACGACAGCCAGCGCGAACGCAGTACAACTCAACTAGACCCATTCCCAGACCCAACTACCTCAAAACCCCGTACAACCTACAACGTCGAACTCTTTCTGTCCTAAACTGACAGCTGTGCCACGCTACGCCCCGCCACGCCTCCTTCGCATTTTCCCCCTCCCATCTTCCCATCCCTTACGTACACCTCCCCCATTTCAAACCAGCGTCGCACCCATAGGATCCACACGTTCACGCGCTGTGGCGACGCCGGGTTTTTCTTCCCGGGCGGTTACAGTGGCGTGGGCGGCTGGGCTAGGTTTGGGCTCGCGAGGCCTGTTCTGCGGCCGAGGGGTGTGGGTTCACGTTGATTTCAATAGCGTTTGGGAAAGTGTGGAGAGGGTCTGGCGAGACGCTGAGGTGGATTTTCTATTCTTTGTGAGGCGTTGATTGAACTTTTAGAGGAAATGTGGAATGGGGCGACTGGCGAGATGACGAGATGAACGGGGAAGCGCAAGTAGTGCCAGACAATTTGTGTGTCGAGTTCGTTCACTTCAGTCACTCAGAACGACGTTGGTAGGTTGATTGTGGTGGAAATCTTTTTGATTTTGCTATCTCTAGATGCAAATGATCCAAACTGCTCAACTTCAGTTGCATCCCCCACTCGTCCAGCAACATGACAAAGAGAGGCGTTACTCAAAAAGGTATCTCAAGGAAAAACCGGTTCCAACACCCCCAGAGGAAAATTATTCAGCGATAGACAGGTCCGATATGGTCAGTCGGACAGACAGATGGATAGACAAAAAGGAAAAGGTACAGCCAAAGCCGACTCATATATCAAAAAATGTACAACAACACCAAAGATCGCCAGTCGTGCCCAAAGTGACCCTGATCCGAGGCAAGGAGAAGAGAAGACGAAACGATGCGCGCTATGCAGCTTGAGCAATATCACAAATACACGTTACTGGCTCTTCATCTCGGACCCGTCACCGCCGGCCCGAAGTCGAAGCCTGCGGGTTGTTGTTGTGGTGGTGGGTACGAGGGCGATGCTAGTGGTGTGTATGCGCCGGGGATCGGCACACTTGCGTATTGTTGCTCGCCTGGTGCGGCACCTACGTGGTCGTTTCGTCGCTCTTGGAATCCTGGGGATACAGGAGGTAGTGGTGGTGATACGGTGTTCGTTCGAGATGGCGAATCGAAACCATCTTGCTCCATCCTTGGTGTTGCACCCGTGACCTTGATAGGTGGCGCTTGGAGGGTGAATGGTTGAGGTTGAGCGATTTCCCGAGCGTACGCATACTGGACCTTGCCGCTCTCGCCAGCTTCGGCAGCGGAGTGGGGGTCCACGTACATTGGGTGGCCTGGAGGTGGTCGCCAGCCGCCGGAGCGAGGAGACATTGGGCCAAATCCGGGAGTGTTGGGTGCAGATTGCGATCGGAGCTGCGCAAGGTAGAGATCAGAGCGAGCCTTGTCGCGCTGAGCCATGGACTTCCTGAGCTTCCTCTTGGACCAGAAGCGGTAGAAGACGATTCCGTAGATGGTGATGCAAAGAACTTCGACGACAACTTCGATGATGCAGCAGACAAGTGCCCAGTTCTGTAGTATCGTTAGAATCAGTTGGTCTGGTGTGTGCAGGGGTTGCTTACCTGAAGGCGGCAGACAAGGCCATAGGCAATGTCATCCTCGAATAGATGTCTTCGCTTATTGTCCACGCAAGACCAGCCCCACATATCTTTGTTGTTGTTCTGCGCTTTGCTCTGGTTGAAAACAGCTGCACCTACAGCCCACATGACGATGCTGAAGATGAAGAATCCAACGGCGAAAACGGTGTAGTAGGCAGCGACTTTCTCTGCTCTGTGATGACCGCCTCTGCAATAGGCGATCATGACGACGATGGACATGAACAGGGAGATGCAGGCGATGGCGAGTAGCATGGCTTGGGGCCAGACCCTGGTGTTTTCAGCCCATGCTGGGAGATTGTTTCTTTTCGGTAGAGTCTTGGTTGCGTTGAAGATGGCGAATGCTGTTGCGACCATGGAGAGGACGATAAGACTACAGGCGAAGTTGATGCCTCGCAGAAAGATCTTGGCTAGTCGTACTCTGACTTTGATTTTCTACTGGCGGTTAGCAGCTGAAGTGGAACCAACGGCGTGATGGGATATATACCAAATCTTTGGCTTGCTCTTTCTCTGTCGACTCCTCGTGTCTTTCGAGCTTTTGCTCTTCCCTGAACGTGGGACTCATGATGGACATGGCACCTCCTGGTGTCCGTGGTGGGGCGCCGGGTGATTTTAATGCGCTCTTGAGGCCTCCAGCGGTCCTTGGGGTTGGGGGAGGAAGGTACTTCCTGTCGGTTTCCTCCATCTCGACTGGTTGCATGTAGCCGAAGCCAACGTCTGAGACTTGAGGTTGCGGCTTGTAGTGGTTGGTGGGGTACTCGACTGGTCGTCTTGGAGCGTCCACGGGCGAGTACACTGAGGTAGCTTCTGCGAAGCGTGCTGTGCGGGGCGTCTTGCCGTCAAGGGAGTCTTTTGAGCTCCGTCTTTCAATCGTGATGGTCAGCTTCTTGTCGTTGGGGGCCATCTCAAGTCTATCCAAGATTCACACAAGGAAGTTGGAGGCTCTCATGAAGCGGGGGGGCAGCGAAGAGGAGACCAGATGGAAATGGTGTAATGGAATAGTAACGACGATAATCCAGCCCAGCTTAGACGAGTCGTAGACGATGAGTGCGGTGAAGGAGACAGAAGGCAGAAGATGCACGACGTATTACAATAAGAGAGACCTGCTGGAGAGAAGAGAAGGGAGCAGAGGCAATGGGCGAAGCGCTGGCCTTTTGTCTCGGGGCGCTTCGAGGGCGGCGAGAAGTTGGATTGGATAGAGCAGTGCACGGATCGAGGCAGGTGGAGAGAGATGGGATGGAAGCGGGCGGGTACTTACAACGTTCTAAATGTATGGCGCCAAAGGAAGCCTGCTTGCACGACTGCAGGTGCCCGTCTGATAGGCTGTGTGGGGAGACGAGGTGGAAGCAATGGCGCGCAGGCGGAGGAGGGGAGTGGTGTCCAGAAATAGACGCCCGGGTGAAGTCAATTAAGGATTTTACAAACGAAGTCGCATCCAGACCGGGAACACTGCAGCGCGAAGAGGGTGTGGTTATGAAGCGTCTGACTCTGTGCTTATGCTGTATGCTGCCCGTCAGCGTCGATGTGTAGAAGGGTGCCCACGGCCGTGGTATCGTCCGTCGTCTCTTGGTCGTACGTGTGCTCTCTTGCGCCTCCAGACGATGGGGAGAGGGCGGGCTGAGGACTAGGAAAGCCAGAAGACGGGTCCATTTGCCCACCCACACCCACCTCGTGCCGTCCGGCGGCGGAGGACTTGCCCAGCGAGAGGGCATATAGAGTGCCAGGGCATAGAGGACTCGACACCCAATTGCTGGGAGCTGTTTCGCGCCTGCCAAACGCAACATGGCCGTTGTGGGTGATGAGTGGTTGGGCGTGCAGGGACATGGCATAACGCTAGAGACGCGCTAGCCCAGTTGAGCTCCACGCAAGCGCCTGCCCAATCCTGGGCCACCAATCGCCGCGGGAAGGTGCCCCCCAAGACCTGAGGAAGGCGCCGCCCCGCTCCATAGCGGCCCACACCTGGCTGAGGGCTGATGTTGTCCAGCACGACCTCGAGTCCCATCCTGTCCTGTCCTGTCCTGTCTGTCCTACGCCGTGGAATGCTGCTCGAGTCCAGAGTCTCAGCATCCGGCTGCCCGCACTTCATCAGCAGCTTGTCTGTCGAGATTAATTTGTCAGGCCGTGTCTGACAGCGTCGTCAATGCCGGTACGTGGTCATGGCCAGGAGCTGCAGCGCATGTCAGGCCAAGTGCGCCTATCACGGGCAGACACCCATCAGCATGCAGTCGTGTGCAGAACCAGGCACAACGCCTGCTAATTAGCCACGCTCGTAGTCGCGCAGCCATCAGATCGGGTCATTTACCCAGGATATCGTCGGTCCTCTAGCCTCATCGGGGCAAATCGGTTTCCCTCTCTACCGCGATCTTCTGCACCCTATTTTTGGGGGCTTTCTTGCGTCGTGGGGTAGTACAGTGTGAGTGGCGACGATGCGCCATGCTTCCAATCGCGACATGGCCCTCTCTGTGTGTTGGCACCCTCTTCGCACCCTCGGTGAACGTCCACGTTGACCGGCTCGCTGTGCTCGTCATCTGAGTAAGGGCAAGGAAGCATTAAGACGCGGCAGGCGTTGCATCCCCAGACGCCATCTTCAACCCCGACGCACGAGGGCCGTCCCTTGCGCGGGAAGGATGCTGTAGGAGAGTAAGCGGAATGAGCAGTTCACCTCCGCCTCCAGAATGAGACACGAGAGAGGTACCGCAATAGCACCCTCGAGAGTACAAGATGGGTGCTAGCAGCTGCAGTGACTTGAACACACACAGCCCAACAGGGCCACTACGCTCGCTTGCAAGTTCGTGCATCAGCTCTTTGGATACCTTTACTTTGGTCACATCGATACCATCAGCGCACTTTGTGCAACACAACCTCGTCATAGAACTAAATTTATCGCATTTTTGCTTCACCTGCTCGTTCCAACAATCGCAAAATACCTACACCTGGACCAGCCGTTGTTCCGCACCTTGCATGTGAATCAGCCGGGGCGGCCATGCATCCTGTTTCGAAACAAATCAGCCCTCTTTTAGCCTCGCCTCCCCAATACCCTCTTCCTTGTCTCTTTTATATTATTCTGCAGTAAACCGTTTTGCTATCCCATGTCCATCTTGGCTAGGGCTGAGCAAGACGTTCTTTCCAGCCTCAGCATTCTGCCTTGTCTAGGAACCGTGATATTAATAGCCAAACGACATGTATATAGCATGGATCATTATATCAAAAGGAACAACTATGATGAAATTTAGAAAGTCATGTCTTCAGGAAGGTTAGCGAGAAGAGATAATGAAATTATAGAGTAAGAATAGATAGGGAGAAGACATGGGGAATCGGCCTTGCCTACTTTCGCTGCCGGAATCGATGCAAATCTTGGCCAAAAATAAAGGACAGAAAGAGATGGAAGGAACGCCTCGAGGTGGGTTGACTGAAGGACGGGATAGCCTAGGAAGATCTGACACGCTTCGCAAGCATATGCAAAACAGTTCTGAAGATATCCGTTCGACACTCTACCAGCCTCAGTACTCATTAAGCACGTCATAGTAAGGCTCGTAGAACATCGAGTCCCGCATCCCCTCGTCACCCGCCCGCGCGCCAGAGAACAGCGGCTCAGGAACCAGCTCCTTGTCATCCTTACGGAACCTTCCACGCGCACGAGTCTGAAACTGCGTCGAAGGCCCAGGATCCCGGACATGCATGGCTGACTGAGAGGCAGGAAACGAGGTATCAGCAAGCCCCTGACAAGCAAAACTCGCATCAGAGCTCTTCCTCTTCTTACCTTTGGTACCCATCGACTTACCCGCCGAATTGGTAAAAGAATCAAACATTTCTCGCCAGTGTGTCGGCGGTGTGTTGTGGTCTCGGGCCCTTTGCTTACCTTTTCGGTGGCCCGGCTCTAGGTTTTGTGGTGGTGGTCGATTTACCTGATTCTTCTTTGCTTGAGCAGATTGGGTTGTAGGCACGCCGTTGTGGTTGACGGGTCGAGGGATGGCGGCTGCTGGACCGCCAACTCGATTGCACCCAGCGGCTACATGAACCGTACGGCCATCGTTGAAGGCCGTTAGGGGCCCTCGATGGGAGATCTTAGCTTTGAGTCCATCATGTGCTTTGGCAGAATGTTTGTCAGCTAAACTCTTCCACCAGGGGCCGGAGTGAGCGTCTTTCGGTACGTGCTGGTCGCTTTCAGCACCTTGGTTACCTACTCGCTGCTGTGTTGGATGTTGTATGCTAGCAGCAGCGATTCCTACTCTAAAGGCAGTCTCCAAGTCCATTGGATGCCGCGTTTTGGGTGCAGCTTGCAATAGTGGCACGGGAGGCAGAGGCTTGTTAGTATCAACGACTCGCTGCACGCTCTTGTCAATAGCTATGGGCACCTCGCATGATGAACGTGAGAACTCTCCCTCACTCAGACGGGAATCCTTTTGTGCATAGGGACCCCTGCGTATTACTTTGTCTGCTTCGAATCCTGTGTAGACCTGCCCTGGTAAAGGTCGTAGTGGTGCGGCCGGGACAGGCGGAGTCGTTCGAGATTTCTGATAGACCTGTGCTGTCGATTTGTCCTGTTTAGCTTCAGTTTGATTTTGTTTGCCTTTGCGGGACTGCTTGTAATCTCGCCAAACTTTCAGGCCTTCGCCCTCTGGTCCTACCTGATAGATCTCTTTGGCCGTACGATACAGATCCGTAATGCTTGGGACTGTTTGACTTCCGCCTGTCGTATTTTTACCTGGAGCAACTTTAGGTGGAGTGTCGCTTATGTTAAAGCCCTGCTTCCACCAAGACTGCTTAGGCCTAGGTTCAGGTTTAGTGATGGTGGATGGGTAATAGGGAAATACGGTAGCACCGGAGCCCTTTCGAGCTTCCTCTAAATGCGAAAAATCTATCGGCCCAGTAGCAGATACGGGGCTATCGCGGCGAAGAGCGCGGTCAGAGATCGTAGGAGAGACTGGCGACGAAGATTTTGTTCGGAGCGGAGGTGGGTTATGTATACGCGGTTTTTGTGAGACTTCGTCGGAAATTGTTGACATTGAGGGGATATGACTGAGATGCTGCGATTGCTGCGTCCTGATCTGAACAGGCCTGCTGGGCCCCGCTCGTCGTTGAGTATAGGTGTGTTCGCTATCAACGGCGACCCATTTATTGTTTTTAGTGTTGCGCCTCATGTGATTTTCATTCTTGGTGAATGGGTTAGCAACTGCTCGTGGATTAACCATCCTTATAGACGACAATGTCGATTGAACGTTAGCAGTTCAGTATAATCGCTTGAAGATGGCTCGAACCTTGCGTTTTCGAGATGATTTGTGTGATTTTGGCGAAATTGGTAAGCAAAAGATGAAATGCTGCGTCAAGAATTGGGTAATGATGATATGATATGCCCGTGAGAGATTGGGATAGGCGTTGTTATAAGATACCTTCTGGTTAGACATTGTGCGAGATGAAACAAAGGGTGGAAATAGTAGTCCTCTCACAAAGACCACACAACAATGGAACAAGGGAGGGACTGCCTTCTGAGTCCCTCGAAAGCATTCCGTCAATGGAAAGGGCCGCACAATGCAAAATGTGACAAGGGACGGTTGCCGCTTATCGTGAGGTGTAAGAGTTGGGTGTGTATGTCGGGCAATCGTGAAGGTTGCACCATCATTGATTATGAAGTGGCTGCCGCAAGTTCCCTCGAGCAGCTTGGACCGACTTGGGACTTTGCGGGAGCTGTCCGAGGGTGTCGAGTAATATCTTCGAGAGGTAGGAGTAAGTCGCGTGTTTGATATTGCCTTGACGGTCCTGACGAACAATAACATTGTTCATCAGCTTTACCACATCAAGCACATTGTGAGCATGAGGATCAATGGCGACTAATGTTGTAGTGATCGGTTACCAAGGGAAGGCGTCAGTATTCTCAACGCCCAGGGTGGTATTTGTGTCGTATAGTGAGCTGTATCTAAGAGAATACCCATCTTGAGGCCCCAATCTAGAAAGAGACCATTGGCGATCGCATTATATGTGAAATTCGGGTTGGCGTTGTATTTCTCCCAGAGATAAGTCTGCATCTCGGCTTTGGGTGTACAAACTGGTAGTTGTATAATGCAGTAGTGAACGATGCAACGGAGTAGAAATCAGCCTCTTTAATATTGAGATTTGAATAAGCCTTCAGTTTGGCCGAGTTTCCGCCTGTACGTGAGAGAATTAAAGGTTCGAAGTCAGTATGTCTCACATGCAAGTCTTACGCCATTGTTACCTACCTGTCACACAGAAGTTTGCACAGAGGAGAGTTCCAAGGATAGGGACGCCAAGGTTACCCGTGGCACCGGCAAGAGCGACCTGAGTTGGAGACGTCCTGGGCCTCGTATTCCACCTCGTTCGGTTCCCTCCAAAGTGGGTCGAGGTTTTAAAGGTATCTATAGGACTATCGGTTAATTTATATGGTCAGTATGAACTTTTTGAGTCAACATTACCTGGCCACATTTTCTGAAGGGGATGACGAGAGTGCAAGAGAATTTAGAAGTAAAAGGGCATACCTCGTATTCTATCTAAGTGATTGAGAAAAACTACTCAGAGAGTTGGGGATCGTGTTTTTAGATCTACCTCGATACTTTCGTCTAGCGTGTCACGGTTCCGAGTTTCGGTTCCGTGGCCTAGCGTACAACGGCTCCGATGTATGAATTCGTTTTGCGTTCCTGTCCATAAGACACGAAAACCGATCCTACGAGCTTGTCTGAGAGGAGTAGAGCGTATAATTTCTTGTTTCAAAGGTGCAGGCGCGTACTTACACAGCGAATAATCGCCAGTAAGGATTGGCGGAGCTAGCTCGATAGGCAAATAAGCCGATTGCACAAGATAAAGGTCACGATATATAGATCATCAACTGCATAGCATTTAATTTTGTGTACAGATATCATTCGTCTTAATCGTCATCAATCATTGCGGTTCCTTTTACTCGCTCCCTTAAAGCCGTGCCTTCCACACTAGGCTTTTGTTGATATTAGCTTACAAGTTGACGGCAGTCCTGAAGTTCTTGCCGGCGTAGATGGCGTTGTCGCCTGTAAATGAGTAAGTAAGATATCTGAGAATCTGACAGGGTGGACTTACCGAGCTCTTCCTCGATACGGAGGATCTGGTTGAGCTTGGCGAGGCGCTCAGATCGAGCTGGGGCACCAGTCTTGATCTGTCCAGCTCGTAGACCGACAACAATGTCGGCAATGGTCACATCCTCGGTCTCACCGGAGCGATGAGAAACCATGACGCCCCAGCCGGCACCGAAGGCGTCCTTGGCAGCCTGAATGGCCTCAGTGATGGTACCGATCTGGTTGACCTTGAGCAGCAGAGCGTTGCAAGACTTCAGCTCGATGGCCTTCTTGATGAACTCAGGGTTAGTGACAGTCAAATCGTCACCAACAATCTGGAAGTCAGAGGTCTTGAAGAAGTAGGACCAAGCCTCCCAGTCATCCTCGGCGAACGGATCTTCGATGCTGACGATGGGGTACTTCTGGGCCAGGGACTTGTACAGCTCCGCGAGCTGCTCATAGGTGAGCCACTTGCTCTTGTCGCTGTCGGGGTTCTTGAAGTCGAGATCGTACTTCTTCTCGTCGACCTTGTAGAACTCGCTGGATGCAACGTCCATAGCGATCTTGATCTTGCCAGTGTAGCCAGCCTCCTCGATAGCCTTGGTGATGAGGTCAAGAGCCTCCTCTGGGGTCTGGATATCTGGGGCGACACCACCCTCGTCACCAACGTTACCGGCGGACTGTCCGTAGGTCTTCTTGGCAAGGCTCTTGAGCTTCTGGTAGACTTCGGAACCCTGACGCATAGCCTCGGAGAAAGTAGGGGCCTCACTAGTAGCCGTTAGTTGGATCTCGGAAGCGGGATCGTGAACGAATCACTGACCTGGGAACGATCATGAACTCCTGGAATGCAAGACGGCCACCGGCGTGCGAGCCACCGTTAAGAACGTTCTGGACTAGACAATTCGTCAGAGTTGGGTACAATCATGCAAGAGTACGACATGCTTACAGGGTACGGGGAGAACGTAGGGCTTCTTGGTGCCAGCCAAGTCAGAGATGTGGGCGTAAAGAGGCACGCCCTTCTCGGCGGCAGCGGCCTTTGCGATGGCCATGGAGACACCGAGGATGGCGTTGGCACCCAGTTTTGTCTTGTTCTTGGTACCATCGAGCTTGTTCAGGAAAGCATCCACAGCAGACTGGTCCTTGACATCGAGCTTCTCCTTGATGACAGCTGGGGCGATGATGTCGTTGACGTTGCCAACAGCCTTGGTGACACCCTTACCACCCCACTTGGTCTTGTCCTCATCGCGGAGTTCGCAGGCTTCGTGGGAGCCAGTGGAGGCACCGGAAGGAACGATAGCGCGGTGCAGGCCGGTCTCGGTGACAATGTCGACCTCAACGGTCGGGTTGCCCTGGGGTGAATGAGCTTCAAAATCATGTATGGCAGAGTGGGAAGCTTACACGAGAGTCGTAGACGGAACGGGCGTGGATCTTGGTGATGGTCATCGTGATGTTGTTGCTATAGAGTAGGACTGATTAGCTCTAAGTGTACTGAGAGAGTTCAATTGAGGAGCCGGGAGGGGTTATAAAGGCGTGGATCAGCCTATGATGCAAGTGAGGTGAGAATAAATGCTAGGCCGCAAAAAGTGGAAACGTTCGATGCTTGCACCCAAGGCGCGACTGTCAGAGCACGGCGGGACCTCAAACGGCGTCGGATGCGCGGGTTGAGTGGAAATTGGTCGGCCGCGGATGGCGACACTAGAAAGACTTTGACTTACCAGGTGGGTGCGAAGTAGGGTGTTGTTTTGTCTGGGTGGGGTGAATCAAAGCTGTAATTAGGAGGTTGAGGAGGGGCAGTCGTCCTGCCCTCAGCAGATCTTCAGCCCCGCCATGCCGCCAATTCATTGGGCGCTACGGCGTGTTTCGTAAAACCATGCATTAAGAGTATCTATCGCAAAAAGCAATCGGGGGCGAGTCTGGGCGAGAATTCGCCCATTCCAGGTGTTGAGGCGCAGCAAAAAGAAAGTCATTCGAGTGTCATGTTTCTAGATTCTTTTTGCTCTCCGTGCCCGGGAGATCGACGTCTCGAATCCTTTTTTCTTCTTATCCGCGCAGCTACGGACATGGACGCTCTCGACGACAAGATGATAGGCGTGGGCTCATGATAATGACATATATCAAAGACCCGCGCCCTGAACTGTAAAGTCCAATCGAGTAGTCTGATCCAGATTGATGTCACTTGGGATTAATTCTGAAGTCATGCCTGCTGCACCAAGAGCAAGCCGAAGAACCATCGACATAAAAGAACGACTTTCGCTTGGGCTTGGTACACTGAAATGAAGCTGCATTACGTGTAACCTAGAAACAAGAGAGTGTGCAGAATGCTTTCAAGGTGGGAATAGTCGTGATAGCCCACGTCAGTTAAAACAACGCAAACATGCCAAGACCCGCCCACGTGGCCCAAGCTCCTGTGTGAGCCGCGACGCTTCAGAGCTGCCTTCGCGTTGTCCAGCTGCCGCTGCATTCGACGACTACTGCCAAACCAACTCCATTTCCCTGCGAGTCCTGTACACCTTTCGCCTTCATAGCCTCCCCCACCTCACATTCCGCGCCATCGAAACCTCTGAACTTGCCATCGACTGAGTACCAACACGTAACACACACGACCTCAGACCCGTCACCATGTAGGAGCTTCTTCGAGATCAAATGGCGCTTCTTCTCTAACGGGTGCCTAGGGAGGTCTTACTGGGAATTACGGGCAAGGACTTCACCCTCATTGCCGCTTCGAAAGCCGCCATGCGAGGCGCCACCATCCTAAAAGCCTCCGATGACAAGACCCGGGTGCTGAATACACACACGCTGATGACATTCTCCGGCGAAGCTGGTGATACTGGTATGACAGAGCAACACTTTGCCAGTATTCGGAGACGCAGATCTAACAGCCTTCTCAGTGCAATTCGCCGAATACATCCAAGCAAACATCCAGCTATATTCGATGCGAAACAACATGGAGCTGTCACCTGCTGCCACGGCCAACTTCGTTCGGGGAGAGCTAGCACGAGCCCTACGGTCACGGAAACCTTACACGGTGAACCTGTTACTCGGCGGCTACGACACGATTACCGACAAGCCTACACTGTACTGGATTGATTACCTTGCGAGTCAGGCGGCGTTGCCCTATGCGGCACATGGATACGCCCAGTAAGTCACCTTCCCTCCCTACCTCCAACATAGCTGTGTTACGATCGAACTACGCTAATCGAAGAAACTCAGGTACTACTGCCTCTCACTGCTCGACAAGCACCATCACCCGGACATCGACTTCGAGCAGGGCATGAAGATCTTGCGGATGTGCACAGAGGAGCTCAAACGACGCCTCCCGATCGACTTCAAGGGTGTTCTCGTCAAGGTCATAACGAAGGACGGTGTCAGAGATGTGGACTATGAGGATGACGTGAAGGTTTCGATCCCATAAACGGGTGACTGACGAGTGGAGCTTTGGAGTTTAGGCAGCTTGAACGACAAGTGTACTATAGCGTCTACGAGCAGGCATGATGGGCACCTTGTAAAGAGGCCAAAGCCATGATTCTAGAATCACGATAAATATGCCATAATCTAACGACAAGCATCAGGAAAGCAAGAGCTGTAGATGCTAAACACTCGTTTGCCGTGAACTTGTATTTTGAAGTGCATGTGAAGAATAGAGTTCTGCAATGGCAGTTGAAACGCAACCAAATCATTGTGCAAAAGTATGCACCTATGCCACTTAGCTCAGGAAGAACTGATGCCGGAGGAGCATACTGTCCTGCCTGTGAGCACGTCCATTTTGGCCGGAAGCCGGCTTAGGTAAGCGTCCGTGCGGCTACGAATAAAAGCTTGCGCTCCCTCGCCCTCCTCTTCTGTTCTTTGATCAAAAAATAACCACCTTTGCCACGACTAATTGCTTCACTATTGCTTTAAGTTGCCAGCCACTACGGTGGCGTAAGGTGGGAGAACAAACCCTCCTGTAGGAAGCTGTTGTCTCGTTGGGTCATCTTCAGTGATGGCGATGGGACGTCGGTGTCGAAATATTGGGAGAACATATCATCACCACATGTATAAATGAGCATTGCAAGGTGCGGAGCGCATCAATCTGAATGTTGCTTGATTGATGGGGCTAATGCGTATAAAGTGTGTGACATTTAGAACATGTCCAAGTTTCCTCCACCTGAAGAACTTTTCCCGAGCTCCATCTCAGTGCGCGCCTGATCGGATCTTACCGCAACTGCTCCACTTCTTAGTTCTTGTACCCGTTCTCATACCCATTCGCCATGACTTCCTGCAGGCCGTTGGGCAGACCATTCGTTTGACCGTGTGCCTTGCCATTGACGTGGCCGTTGCTCATACCATTCATGACCTTCTTCGATTCATGCATTGCCTCTTCGACAGGCTTGTCGTTGATCGTGTACCCAGTATCGCTGGAATCGACGAAGGCGTCAATGCCAGCACCCTCTCGTGGGTACTCCCTCATGAGCTCCTTGTGTCGTCGCAAAGCAGCGTTCATCTCCTCGGCCGAAACATCGTTCAGGAAAACACATGTTCCGATCGGGTTCGGGACGGCAGCACGTAGCAGACCATCTCGGGTCTTCAGGATGGCCTTGGTGGCCTTGTCTAGCATATCCTCGTCGAACAGTTCGTGGTCCATAGACAGACCCGCCCTCGAGAACAGATTCAACAGTCTGCGGTGCTCCTCGTCACTAAGCAGCTTGCGCTGGTTCGCCAATGTCGCGGAATAGGCCATGTCGATGGAGATGGCATGCCCGTGACGCAAGGGAACAGTCGGCGAGAGCTATGACGCTGTCAGAAAGGGTCACAGATGACATTTGCAGGACTCCTACCTCGTGAAGAGGGCTCCAAGTATGGCCGTACGCAATGACACGATCCAGGCCAATTTCGTGAAGATTGGGCGTCTCGAGCTTGAGCATCTCATGGATACCGGCGCGGTTTATCTCATCCGCCGCCTTCAGAACTTCCTCGTCATTGCCCTCACGGCCGAAGCGTGAAGTGATAAGCTTCTCACAATACTTGTCCAACAGGTCAAATGTTGGCTTATGGGCACAGGTCGAGATCTTGATCAGCTCCGCAAAGCCATTCCGGACTTGACCTTCAGGCAGGGTCCTCAAGAACGAGAAGTCCAAGAACGTGTGCATCGGAGCGTGGTACGCTCCAAGTCGGTTCTTGTAATTACCGTAGTTGACCGCAACCTTAATGCTGACACTAGCATCGATCAGGCCGATAACTGTAGTAGGGATGCGGATGAAGTTGGTATTTCTCCGGTAAGCCGCACAAGCAAATCTAGGATCACAAGTCAATTCTACCCTTGAAAGGAGACCAGGCCAGAGTGCCTTAGAGTTAACTTTTACCCAGCAACGTCAGTCACCAAACCTCCACCCTGCAAAGCATCAGTATGAAACTCCAGATCAGTTCGAGACTTCGACATACCACTACAAGAACAGGCTCCTTTCGGATAATTCCAAAGTCGGTCATGGAATCCACGATGCTGAGGAGGGTGTCCATCGACTTGGCCTTCTCGCCAATCATGGTCTTGTGGATCGTCAACGGCAGGCCATGATGATCAAAGTATCTCTGCATCTCCTCCCCGTAGATGTTGTAGATGTTCAAGTCCATGACAGCAAGGCAACGACCCCAGCGCTCATAACATTTGGCGAGCTGGGGGTTACCAGTGTTGAAGATCCCATCAAGGAACGTGAAGTCGTATTCGATCTTCTCGTATCCTTCGACGTGGAAGCCGTTCTTGGTCTCCTGGACGGTAGCATTGAGGTCTGACATGATGAAAGAATTTGAAGAGTGCTAATGAGATGCGTTGAGTGTCTACAGGCCTGAGTACGGGAAAACCTCTGTACTATATAAGGGACTAGACTGATGTCGTTTTGAACCGAAAACATCGTTGTCGGTACACGCTCCTATTCAATTGGTTCCTAAACGCTGCCGATACTCCAAGCAAACGTCAACCATGCGCGTTACTTTCGTTCATGATGCGGCAACTCGAGGATCCCTTGTTGTGTGAACTTGGTACGACTTGACGCGTGGGAAACTAAGCTCTTACTGGATGACCATGATGAAATGACTTCGTTACCAGAGCTACTTCAGCGGGAAAGTCCGGTTTCGGCACAATTCTTCATACACATGGGCTTTTACATCATGGACAAAGTAGACAGTCGTAATTGCATTCGGTCGAGGACAGAATAGGCGTAGCACACGCCGCTAACCTATATAGTCAAGAGCGGAGTAACATCCCCGGGGAAGTGAATCTTGATTGTGGTTATTGCGGGGCAACCATCAGAATCACCTCATCGCCGCCTCAAAAGTCCGTCGTTGAAGACTAAGGCCTCAGAAAAGAAGCCTAATCCTAATCACAGATTCGACCAGCGTATCTAACGAGGACCAATTGTGCCTATACACACGCGGCACTTTGTAACCCCTCTGCACACCTTACTCCTCCAGCGACAGGTTTAAAAGTGACGTTCTACGAGATCTCAGGTTTTTTAGTTCCCGCCTCGGGTAGATAGAGTTGGGCGATCTAGAGATCGCTGAGGGATATTGCCTCGAAGGGGTAAGTGAGCAATCATGCGAGTCTTTCTAGCTAACAAGCTAATTGTTAGGCTCTCAAATCGTTGACGACAGGTACAAAAGACTAAACGTCAACACTCAACGAAACCAGACATTACGAATGTATCGCCCCACATGAGCCTCCCATATACACAGGCTACTGTGGAGAACTCGCGCAACTATTCCCAATGAAAGCCATTGGCGCACGCCACGATCATTTACTACGAGAATGGCCTGCTTCAAGCTGCATAGACATCCCGCGTCTATTGATGAATTCGAGCGAGGAACGGGCCCATAGCAGAAGTATTTGCTAATGGTGTACATAAAGACTGACGCCTGCATTACCCGTATGCAGCAATCTTTGCGGTTCCGGCCCAAATAGTGTCGGTTGAAACATCATCCATTGTTACACTTGTTCCTGAGCCGTCTTCGTCATCAACTATTAGCAGCCCCGCACTAAGAAACACGCGTTGAGGGGTACTATGGATAGCGTGGACGCGTCGAGCTTACGGCTGCCACGATTTGAGTATTCAATTGAACAGCAACAACAATGGGTACATTCGATCAGAGCAAAGCGTACGCAGTTCAGGAGGAAGAGGGTGCTTTCTTTGACGATGGAAGAGAGATTGAGCTTCTTCACTTTGTGTACTCGCACCCGAACATCGAGAAGATACGTGGCTCGCCTGCCCACGTTCTCGCTGCGATTGACGAGTATGGGCGAACAAAAAAGTATTTGATGAATGTAGGAGAGGACAAGGGTCGAATTGTTACAGGCTTGATTGCGGAAGTCAAGCCAAACATAATGGTATGAAGGCGCTCAGGAATTTGTCTTGTCTAACAACTCTATTAGGTCGAGCTCGGCGGCTACGTAGGCTACTCTTGCATCCTCTTCGGCGATGCAGTACGCAAATCCGGCGGCGAGCGATATTTCAGCTTAGAGCGCGATCCTGCATTTGCCGCGGTCATCATGTCTCTAGTCGAACTCGCAGGCCTCTCAGATATCGTCAAAGTAGTTGTTGGATCAAGCGACGAGAGCATTGCACGACTAGCCTCGTCAGGCCAACTAAAGCGTATCGATCTCATGTTCCTAGATCACTACAAACCCGCATACACGACTGATCTGAAGCTTTGTGAAGAGCTCGGCCTGGTAACAAAGGGTTCAGTACTGGCGGCTGATAATGTTATCAAGCCTGGCAACCCGCCGTATCTCAAGTACGTCCGGGCCAGCGTCGAGGACAAAGTGAAGGAAGCGGGCGAGGGCGGTGCGACCAATCTCAATGGCATTGCTGAGACGAACGTCAAAATGTACGAGAAAAGATACGGGAAGGCCAAGTTCAGCGAGAGCAAGGGCAACCCGAATCTGAAGTACGAGAGCAAGCTGGTGAACAGCTACGAGCCAACAGGTGTTCCTGTATGTTTAACTCACCAATATATTTGCACGTTGGAACAAGTTCTAACGCAATGACAGGATGGCATCGAAATCACAAGATGTGTTCAGTAGAGTACTATCGTGAGGGTTGCACACTTGGACGCAATGCTTCCAGCACACTGGTAGAGTCGGTGTTAGTGAGCCATAGATTAGATGGACGGTCCGCCTTTGAAGACAAACAAGCGCGTGAACAAGTAGCAAATCGTCCTCGTAACCAGAATATAATCTTGTTATTATTAAGCTTGGATAATTCAATCTTCCTTGAAACAAAAACTTGTTAAATGTGACCACATTGTACGTTCGTCGCCGTCGTGAAGGCAGCCTACCGTCGATTGGGGGCAGTTCGCACCCCAGCTCCCGGACACAGGCATCATGCGGAAGCCACTCAACACCATGCGTCGATCACGGACAAACGATATCCAACATGCCAAATCGCGAAACTCTATACCAGGATCCCATATCTCGCGATTCAGGATCCGTACGCTTGTGCAAGTCTGAAGGTAACGATGACGTATAGACTAAACCTGCTCGCCTCCATTCCAAGGAGAGCACAAGAATGCCACCATCTTGCATCCACACAGACAGGTTTCAGCTTCGAAAATTACGTGCTAAGGGCCGTCTCAGCCGCTAGATGTCTGATGCTTGGCAAATGCCGTTCGAGACCTTTGTTCCTCTTGACGAAGTGCGCTTGAGGGAATCCAGATCCGGATCAACATTGCGCGGGGGCCGGCCCACGTCACGTTCCTCCACGCACACCAGAATGGGGGACAAGAAGAATGGCCGCGTGCCATTCTACCATCGCCATGTGTGGAAGAATGTCTTACTGCTGGTTTTGAGCTTGATTTCCGCGCCCATTTCGGCGGCAGTGGTATTCATCAGTCTAGCGGTGTCGAAACTTCACGGACAACGCACGGCGACTTTCTTGAAAGAGCACAAGCAACATGGAGCAGCAATACAACAACGGAGAACGATTCTCATAACTGGAGTGTCTATGACCAAAGGCCTCACCATCGCGCGCAATTTGTCCCAGCATACGCCCCACCGCATCATCGGCGCCGATATCTCTGCTCTATCACCAGGTCGCTTCTCCTCTGCTATTTCCAGATACTACCGCCTGGATGCCCCAAGTGGTGACGATGCGGAACCGTATATTGACTCTATCCTTGCCATTATGCGGACTGAGAAAGTGGACCTGTGGATATCCTGCTCAAGCGTTGTAGCTGCCGTGGAAGATGGCCAGGTCGTCCGACTAGCAGAAAAGCAAGCAAAAGAGCAAGGAAGACGGTTCGAAGCCATTCAGTTCCGCGAAGATGTCGTGCAGAAATTCCACGAAAAGGACAAATTCATCGACTACATCGATTCGCTCAACCTCACTACCCCGGAGTCACTTCGCTGCACGTCACCGTATGAAGCGCTAGACGTCCTCATGCGGGAACTACACACCAATTCACCGAGGTCTCGCAGGAAGCAAAATGGGAAACAGATCGTGGTAAAGAAGTACATCATGAAGCCCATCGGCGTAGACGACAAAGCACGCGACAATATGATGACACTCCTCCCTTTCTCGACTGTAGATGCAACCACGAGGTACATCCGCAGTCTCAACATCAGCAAATCCAACCCTTTCCAACTGCAGCAGTTCATCAAAGGCAAAGAATACTGCACACACGCGCTCGTCATCCGCGGAAAAGTCAAAGCGTTCACGTGCTGTCCGAGTCTAGAGCTCCTCATGCATTACGAGCCTCTCCCTCCTTCCTCAAGCCTAAGCCAGGCGATGTTGAAGTTCACCGAACGCGTCTGCAGAGATGGAGGGGAGTCATTCAGCGGACACTTGAGCTTCGATTTCTTCGTGGAAGATGGGAAGAAGGACGGCGCAGAAGTGAAGTTATATCCCATTGAAAGCAATCCGCGAGCGCATACCGCAGTGGTGCTCTTCGAACAGACACCAGAACTGGCAGACGCATATTTGTCCATTTTCAACCGCTCCAGTACCGCAAACAAGTATAGCTCCACGCCAGTCTTCCCGCGTGCACCGACGTACAGCTACTACTGGATCGGCCACGACGTCGTCTCGTACTGTATCCTTCCTATTCTAGACGTCTTGTTCGGCCGTGGATCATGGCGGAATGTCGTAAATGGACTGTCGGTGCTATGGACTCATCTCGTGTACTGGAAGGATGCCACATTGTCGCTCGATGATCCTTGGCCGTTCTTCGTGCTGTATCATGTATACTGGCCAGCGCGGTTTGTGGAGGCACTGAGGAGGGGGAAGGCGTGGAGTCGGTAAGTCGGTCTAATTTCATGCTTACTATTGCTTAAAAGCATCTTCTTTGCATCTGTGCTAATTATTCGTGTAGTATCAACGTCAGTACGACGAAAGTGTTCGAGGGGTAAGAATTGCCCGTGGATGGCTACGCGTCCCGGGTTGGGAGATTGTATAGTAGTTGTGATAAAATATATCTTGGAAGATGGCGTGGAACAAATCATCCTATTCGCACATACTCTTTTCTCCAACGAACTGCCGCTTATATTTACCTTCTACGTCTTGCATGATACAACACCGAGTCAATCCTCAATAAGTCTCATTCGGTTAGGAAAGTTGACTCGGGTAACGCAAGCTGTCCAGACCTTTGAGTAGTCTGAGAGTAGTTCGCTTGTTTGGGAGCACAAATCTGGGAGGGCCCATGACTTTGAGAATGGAGCAAGATCACAACCGGTAAAGATATTCCTGTCAATACTGAAATTTATTCGTATGACAAGAGGGTAATATATACTCTAAACCCAGCCAATAAACCCAGTAGCCACGCCATCTACCATATAATACCCCTCCACTCAAACGCGCCATCAATGTTCCTCCACCTGCGCTCGCCAATTGCGCCCTCCCACCCCATCATAACCGCCAACAACCGACACGTAACACTCGACACGGTGCACACGATAGTATCAGCCTTGCCTAGCACCGCCATATCCATCAAATACGCACGTCCCACCAACTCCCGCAACTTCATCGCTCCCTCGGGCACCTCCTCCGTGTTGCTGAGCTTGTTCATGTCATCGGCGTTTCCGACGGGTTGGCCGAGCGAGAAGAAGACGTCGCGGTAGAAGCCGCCTTCCCAACCCGTGATTTCATCGATCCACTTGTTCTTCTTATGTTGCGCTTGGGCGGCTTCGAGAGCGGCTTTGGTAGCGAGGACGATGCGGTCTTGCGCCCTGATGGAGTTCGGTCCGAGTTCGGGGGATTCGTAGACCATCGGATCGTCCGAGGCGAGGATCAGTTTGGACGACGTGTGGCGTGCGAGGAGAGCCTTTGATTCTTCTGAGGTGTGCTTGTGTTTGGGGTTTCCTTCTACGAGGTCGATGTAGAGCTCGCGCGCTGTATCGATGTAACGGTCTAGTGGGATGTAGTCCTTTTGGTACTGGTATTCCATGGGGTGCTTGTCGCCATGGCGGACGTGCATGCCAATGCTAAGACCCCCTTCCTGTTTCATAGCACCGTAAAGTTCGAGGGCGCGATTGACGACATACTCTGCGTCGTCGGTGCGTAGTTTGAAGAGCGCTTCGTAGCCTGTGCGCACAAGACTGAAGATCTTGTGTTGGCGCTGGACGCGCATCTTGGTGGCATCTTCCCACTCCTCGGTAAAGGAATGACCAAAAGTGGAGTGAACAGTGGCGGCAGAAACTACAATGTGACGGGCATTGTGAGGGCAAGGAACCATGTGCGTTTTTGGTGGCGGAAGACATCCTGCTGCCGGAGGTGGCTGAAAGTAGGTTTTATACCTGCCGTATGGCCTGCCAATTAGTTAGTAACATATTCAAGATGGTTTAGTCGTGGTCGTCAGCGGTAACATACCATCGAGTATCATCGATGAAGAACGCTCGATTCTCAGCCTGAGCTAGACCATATGACATCCACATTCGCATCAACGAAATGCCGAAGCCAGCGTCTTCCGTCTCCATAACGTACGTCAAAGTCTTGTCACAGACCTTGAGTCCAGTCGTGTATGTCCCGCCCGCAACACTCTCATCCTCTACGAAACCCTTGGGTCTTCCAGGCACTCTATTCGGCGGTAACAGCGCCTGCTCTTCCGCCTCCTGGACGTCGATGTAGTACTGATCTTGTTGATAGTAGTTCAGCATGCGTTTAGCGAAGCTTCCTGTCCCCTGTGCTTCCTGGCGCAGCCCTTTGGACACTTCCATCGATTGGTGGCATATTTCACGGTACTGCGCTGGGCGTAATGGGAACTCAAAGGTCGAAGGGATTGACACCGTCCACCTCATTTTCCCATTCGCATCCTGAACGGCAACAGCTGAAGGTTCGTGAGGCAGTCGGCTGCCTCCCACCATCTCCCATTCGTCACCATCCTCTTCGTAGCTGACGGCCTGTTGCGAACTCGAGTATAGTTGGCGTAGAATAATCCATACCAGGAAGGCTACTCCGCAACAGCCAATGAGGATCCGCTTGACTAAGCCTGAGTGACTCGGTTGTGGTTGCTTTTTGCCATGGCGTGGAATGAGAGACGGAAGGCTCGGTGACGGTGGAGGAGATCGAGATAGCAGACCGCGACGAGAGGCTATCGTAGGAGAAAGGAAGGCACCGGATGTAGCGGATTGGGGAGGCGGACTCAGTTGCGAGTAGGGAGCCGTGGACTGTATAGACAGATTTGGGTTCCGTCTGGCATGCATCTTCGAGAACTTTTGGGTCGCTTGATTGAGCATGTCGAATGATAATGGGTCCGGAATATGGTTCTCGCAGCTGATTGTCGGCCAAGTCGGGTAGAGCTGAAGGGTACTACTCGATGACGATGCTGTTGCAGGAGACCTATGAGAAAACGTCACCTGTCCCTGCAGAGCGACTAACAAATGAGAGGACGAGGCACTGCCGTCAAAAGGAAAGTAAGAAGTGAACACGCACACACAACACACACGGCGAGAAGGCAAACAGTGAGTGGGAGAAGCGAAGAAACCGAAATCGCTTTCTATGAAGCCATGGATATCGAGGGGAGCGGCGGCGGCAAATGGCGTGAATTAAGGGCTCTGCCGCAGAAGAAGTTTCACGACTAGCAAAGTAGCGAAGATGATCTCCATCAAGGGATCCGACGAATTGAAGGAACAAGGACCAGCGAAGCAGAGACGGTTACAGGTCGCCTTGCGGAGGACTTGCAAATTGCGGGATCGAGGCAAATGAGATGCGCTTGCTTCTTCCAGGAAGGTAAAGAGAACAAGTCAGCGCGGCGATTCATTTTGAGAGTGGGTATATGATGCAACAGAGGGAGAAGGATGTTTCAGAATGCCATTTTAGTGTCACGTCTCAAGAGTAGACCACAGGGTGGCCAAGGCAGACTAAAAATGGAGCCCAGTGTCCGGCGCTAATGCCCGCTTGACACTCGACATGCTTCTACGCCGGCTTACTCGATAGGATGCTCGCTTGCGTGTGCTGCTTCATATAAAGCCATGTAGTCAGATGAAGATGTCGTCAAGAACGCATCGGGCGGTCATCTCAAAGCGCCAATGTCGTGGGTCCCATGTGAGCAAGGCACGAATGCATCTTGATGCTAATATAGCCCTACAAGGCTGCGCCTACTACCGAGCACACTAAATAAACATGGCCTTGCAGTAGACGAGAAAACGGGGTATCAAATCGAAAGTCCCTCGGCAAAAGAAAAAGCCCCAGTCTCCATCCTGGTGAGGATGGTATAAGTACAATCCCGAGTGGTTAAAGAAATAAATAAGCAAGTTCGCCCCCGCGTACATGCCCTGTACGCGGTTCCCCATTCCATTCCGTAACGCCTGCGCTTTGTATCCGCGCGAGAATGAAGTACGGCCCCGCGCCATGCTGACGTCTCAACCTCATTACGTGGTACTTCGTATCGTTTCAAATCCTAACGGCAAGGCCGGGAGATGCTCGTGTCTCTTCGTGCAACGTCCAGGCCCATGTCTCTTCCATGCCCTTACTTTCTAGGCTATTACCCCTCGGTAACAGGCATCAAGCTGCTTCTCCTCGCCGTCTTTTCCACTCTTCCTGTGATCATTTCGTCTAGCATTCGTGTCATTTCCTCAATGTTCTTTCCAGTGCTTGCGGCGGGCGGTGGTAGGAAGGGCTTGGGGCTGATAGGTGAGGTTGGGCCTTTGGCGATGAGGCTTACACTACTGCCCTCGCTGCCACTACGCTGGTACGACGAAGTCCGCCGGCTGCCAGGTGATCCGTCACTCCCCACTTCGTGTGCGTTGTCGTTCTTCTTACGAGCTGATGTGAGGGCTGCAATCATTCGCTCCTTGTCTTCGAGTTGTGCTCGCAGGTTTGAGATCTCCGTGTCCTTTTCGGTAATTACTGCAATCAGGCCGCCGTCCTCGCTGCTTCCCCCCAGCTTGTGTGACAATGTCATCGAGACGCGTGAGTGACTTGACCGTCGAGCGTGTAACAGTCGCTTCTCCAGCGTGGTAATGTACCGGTTCTTGTCTGCGAGATCTGCTTGCAGTGCATGTATCTGTACAGTCTGACTTGCAATGCCATCCCCATTCTCTCCCACCGAATCATCTTCTTCGGAGCCATCCACTGGGTGCGAATGTTGCGCGTGATTCTGTCCTGGTACTTCGAGGGTAGCATGGCTTGCAGATGAGCGTACAGAACTCGGTCGCATGTCGACGTGAGTGCCTATAGAACCGCGCTGGAAACTCATCGAAGAGAAGGATCGGCCGTTGTTGACACCAAGAGACTTCGAGCTCAATATTAGCCTATTAAGATGCTCGATTCGCTCTTTCAATGCTGTGCGCGCCAACTGCATCTCAAGCATCTGCTCTTCATGTCGTTGCTTGTCTTCCAGCTCGCGTGCCTTTTCTTGCTCCATGTCCCGTTTGAACTCATCCTCGTCTTCTTCCTTGGTCTCCTTGGTCTTGCCCTCTTCGAGTTGTTTCTTGAGGTCTTGAATCTCTAGGCGGTAGCGGTCGAGCAATGCCCGACTTCCTGCGTCTCCACCCGCGCCCATGGACTCGTCTGCTTTCTTGGCATGACTGACGATGTTGTTCTTTGCTCGAGATGCAAACTTCAAGGTGTTTAGTGTCTCGCCCGTGTGGCTGACGGCCGCGGCAATGCTGCCACTGGCTCCGATCTGAATCGTGCAAAGAATGCTGACCAAAGAGTTGCCGGAAAGGGCCGGTTGTAGAAGTCGAGTGAGCTTGCTGTCTCGATATGGCAAGTGTTTGTCTCCCTTTGACTTGTCTTTTTCCGACTTTTCTTTGTCGCTGACCAAGCGGCCGATGACAGTACCCAAAGTGAGCAAACTTTTGTTGATGTGAGAACCTTCGGTCCGTCTCTCCTTGTTGTCCGCCGCTTTCTCGGAGCCCGCCAAATCAATGAGACTGAGGGTCGATACACGAACACCGCCAGGAATGATAGCCGCCCGTTTGGTGTTGTTCGAGGCAGCAGGACCCACAGGTGCGCGTTCTCTACTCTCGACAACAATCTGCACAACAGCATGACTTCGTGAACTGCGCGCATTGAATTGTGTACCAGCCACTCGACGAGCATTGTCACCGCGTGCAATGACCCTAAGTAGCTGTGTCGGACTTTGTACAATCTCTTCTTTTAGTGGGGTTGCATAAACGCCACGTTTGCTGTCCTCGCGTAGCTTGATCTCTTCTTGCGGCCCAGGTTGGCCGTTCATACCTACAACAGGTCCTGCCAGCAGGTCGTGTATCCTCTCGTTGTAGATCTCAAGATAGCTGACCCTCAAGAGAAACTCTCGGTGGGGTGTCTCACGAATGTAAGAGAAGATGTCTGTGATGGCCAATGGGATTACGCCGGGATTGGTTGCGGTTCCTTGCATGGAGAAAGTCTTTCCTGTTCCAGTCATGCCATAGGCAAAGACAGTGCCGTGGTAACCCTCCATGACCCGTCGGACCAGTCGCTTGGCTGCAGAATCGTACACACGTGCATTGTTGTCCTGGGTATCGAAGACATTGTCTAGATCACATCGAATTAGCCTCAATTCCTTGACCCGGCGGCATGTCGTGAAACCTTACCATAGGTATAGTCTCCGCCCTCACGGCCTTTATAGGATATCAATGCGTGCTTGTTGTCCACTTCCCACTCCATCTCCTGCTTGCTGTCTTTGGCTCCAATGTCTGGCCGTACGCGCACGCTGACAATAACATTGCCTTTGCCGTCTTTATTTCCACGCCCTCTCGCGTCGTCGTCTCCGACATCTTCGAACGTGGTCGCACTTGTCGCATAGGATCCTTGGGGGGAAGAGTTGCGACTCTGCGGAGGGGACGGCAGGCTCAGATGGCCGTTGTCGACTGTCACCGAGTCGGCGCTGCCATTGAGTAGGCTGGGCGGTGATAGTGGGGATCTTGATAGGAGACCTCGCGCGCCTCCGATGTTGGACGTTCTCGGCTTTTTCAGACTGCTGGCCCGCGAGGGGACTGGGCCTTTTGACACCGAGGAGAGTCTCCGGTCCGTCGTCTCCCCGCTGGGGGTTAGACTCGCCGACAGTGGACTAGTAGGATTGGATCTTCCTATGTGCTTGGGCGGCTGCGGGAATGCGCCGATACTTACAGTCTTGCGCAGCGATTTGCCGACTGGAAGCGCGCCGGCAGGCCCATCATTCGCGGGTAGCGATGGCACAGAGGGAGAGGTTGTATGTCTCGAGCTGGGTCGATAGGGCAGCGCTGAAGAGGAAACGGCGCGGCTTGCTGCAGCTGGGCTGGGAAGCAACGAGCTTCGCGGGGCGGGGCTGGCATTGGAGCTTCGAGACTTGGCGACTGGTAACGAAGGCAATGGTCCAGTCGGTGGAGCGATCGAGGGTCGTGAAGGACGCGGGAGCGAGTTGCCCGACATGGTGGTGGCACACGGTCAACGGGATCGCCTTTTGACTTTTCTTCTCGACGCTATGGCGCCGTATACATCTCCGTCGCTCCCCCAGAGGCAGTGTTTCCACCAAACTCAAATATTGCAGGCGGACGAGGCAATGCCGAAGGCCCCCAGCGATGTCTGGCACAAGCGGCGTCCGTCTCAGACAAGGGCGCGGGTGCTAGGACGCGGCAACAAGCGCGCGTGGGACAGCGGGTGGCTACAGTGGGTACAGCGGTACCACTCTTTGGGAGGGGGTGTCGACCGGCTCGGGCAGCGAGTTGAGGCGGGCGGTGGGGAGCAGCGAGCGTGGTGATGGAGTTTTTCAGGGTCCCCGGGCTTCGTGGATGGAGTTTGAGGTTTCGCGGGGGTGAAAAGGAGCGAGCGCGTCCAAGCCCAACAAGCGTGTGCCAGGACTCGGTGCAGGGCAGGTGCAGGGGTCCGCCAACTGATCCCAAGAAGGCGCGACCGACGAGGATCACCAAGAAGGGCAGGAGCAGGTGGGGAGGGAGTGAAGACGGCAGAAGAGAGTAACAAAAGCAAGCAGTGAGCAACGAGCAACGAGCAACGAGCAAACTTGCTGCAAAGACATTCACCAGCATGGCGGACGACGTGAACTTTTTGATGATGATGCGCTCAAGACGGCCTAGGGCGCACCCACCCACATGTGTCCAGAGGGTACGGGTCCCTGCTGCTGGTCGCGCGTATGCAGCCATCCGGCTATCCATACAACCCAGCACTTTATCTGATTCTGAACAACCTGTTGCCATACACATACACACCCCATCCCTGGCCGATAGCTGCTTTGCATCAGCAAACAAGCGTGGTGACGTGGACCTTTGACGACGTTCCCTGGTACCTATACAGCCAGCCCAGCCGTTGCTCGATGCAAGTCGTACTGCGCTTCGAGCCTCGCCCAGATGTTATTAGCCCCTGGGGGCGCGGGAGCACACTGCCTGTCAGGCCTGTAACCTCCGTATAATTTCCGAGTCACACAGCCATTGTTGACCAAATGTGCTGGTTGCATCTGCATGCCCTCCAATCAGGCCGGCACCTTGCCTGAAGCTGCAATACACAGTACACGCATTAGTCTTGGTGAAGACGCCACATTGCACGTGCCGTCGCGTCCTGTCTTGCACGAGGCATAGCCCTGCCAGAGCCGTATACATTGTTGTTGTAGACAATCCCCCTAAGATCGCGCCAAGATCGCGAAGAGCGTACCGTCACGACCTGTGCCCGCCCGCCCTACCATTGTATGCGTTACTTGTACCAACGGATCGAGTCCTGTGTCCCGTGGAACCCTCCGACGTGCCATTGTGAGGCCTCTGCATCGGCTTCCCCAGACCACTGAAAAGAGAGAAGCGAGCGAGCAGATCCCGCTACCTTGGCACAGGGTGATGCATCGACATGTCACTGACACTAGTGCCAGCCCCAATGCGCTGCCAAACCCACACAGAGTCTCCATCAAAGTGTACCCCATCCAAAAATACTCTTCCCAACTTGGGTGATCGCAAGGTACTGCAGTCCCCATAATCCGAGATCGATACTCAGCTCCAACGCGCCACAGAGCGCTATGCGTGAGATCTGCATGCCAATACATCGCCAGCTAAAGTCACCCACACTGGGCAGTCGTTCCACACTTCGACGCACCCCAGCGTACCCTGCTGGACTAGCGGCATAGTGTGAGGCCATCAACCGCAGCACAACGAATCTGATGGGGAGCAACGCAAGTCCAACCATCTGTGCCTTCACTACCGCACTGATCATTTGGGCTGGCTCCGAAGAAAGTTGGCTAACGCGATGATGACGTCGATTCGGACCCGCGTTCCGTGATGCAATAGCTCGACGATTCGAGAGAGAAGCAAAACTATCTGCAACTTCAGTGTGACTGGAAAGTATCCTAGGCGGAAGCCGCACTTCCATCTCAACGATGCCTTCGCGATTAGTGATCCTGATTCTTGGATCATTGTCTTCCTGGTCGGATATCAACCCAGTTGGACTTGGTGGCGTCGCGGGTGGCGTCGTGGACCGAACCATCTCTTCTAGAGCATCCATGGGAATCGCGACCCTCTCCATGTCAGACGATTCGACTGACAATAGAGCCTGCGTCTGCGCAACTGCAAGCTCTAAAGGAGTCACGTTGGTGACACTAGTCCCACCAACATCCAACATCCGCCCTTCGGCTGAGTCTATTGTATGCGCAGACTCGTTGGCTTGCTCCCGTCCCGTACCTTCTGAGCCAAGTGGCTGGCCCCAACCAAGTACTAGAAGCAATCTATTGATTGAGTCACGGATTAAAGGTGGTGATTGTCGTCGAAGACCGAGAATCGCCGTAGCACGATCCTTGGTGCCCGCGTCTCGGCTCTGCATGTCTGCGTGGTTGGGATGTATAATGGAGGTTTCGACAGCTTCGTAGATCGCAGCGTACACCCAACGCTCCAAGAAATGCTCCACACAGACCAGGAGTACTGGTGAAGTCAACGATGCCTTCAGAAAGTCTACAGCAGAAGCAGAAGCGTCGTACTGCGATGAGAAGGGCAGTATTGGTGACGAGGCTGAAAATGGCAGGAGCCATTGCAAAGGTGGCAAAGGCGAACCAGCCGGGATGAGCCCAAGGCGTTGTAGACTGGCATAATAAGAAAAAGGATAAAGTAAAACCTCAAGCGCCAAGCGAAGGCTGTCTGCGGTTAGTAGCTACATAGTTACAGAAACAATCAGACTGACCCATTCTTCAGCGAGTTCCTCCATCGTCTGAAAAAGTAGCGTGTCTTGGAGCTCGCGCGCGTCGCATGGAGTAAACGATCGATTGGCCGGCACAGGAACACACTATACACGATGGCTTCTATGCTCATAGTGGAGAACAGTCGGGAGGCGAAGCCAGCATAGATGATCGAGGTTCCAGATACCGTCCGTTCAGAGGCAACAATCTGAACGAAAGGAACATCATGCTTGTATCGGAAAGTCTAGGTTTGATTAGTTGAAGACTTAAAGAAGAAAAAAAGAAACATGAGGCGTACGAGGATTCTGTCTCTGATTGTCCCTATCCACCACGTACATAGGTTTTCTGTGAGAGTAGTTGTCAAGGCGATCGCATTCCCCACCGTATCTTCAGCATCTAGCAGATCCAAGCGCTCTTCGTACGAGCCAGGTAAGCCCTCATAGGGGGGGCGTCGCCTCTCGACCACTCCTACTGAAGCAAGCACGTCGTTCTGAGAATCTCTAAGCCGCTTCCCATAGTCGCGCGAGCGCGGATTGATAGGATTGCCTCGTTCGTCGTATAGCTGGACGTAGTTGTTGGCAGTGGCTTCCTGGTAGGGTCGCGGAAGCTCAGACTGGGACGACTCGAGTTGGATGTAATCAGTCGATCGCGTAGTGGACTGTGTTGGCTCGAATGCTGACCGGCCCTGGTATCTTCATCAGTGATGCTCGTTATAACCAAGACGAGAGACGTACGAAAGCAATCTTATCCAAGTAGGCTTGACGGCCCATAGCGATGGTGTTTAGCAAGCGCTCCCATGCGCGGCAAAGGATAGGTACAAGCGTTTCGAGCTCATGGCGAATCTGGTGGTCGAACAAAGGCTACAGGAGCCGGAGCTTGAAGCTCAAGGGAAGCCTTCAGGGCCGCCCTACCCCAGACGTCAGCGCGTGGTCGCGCCGCAAAGGTTCGCTATCGATAAGAAAATTTCCCAAGATTTCGCGACTTGCTCTGCAGACCCACACGACGCTTGAAACAACACGATAACTGCGATTCAATGGCGCAAAGGACGACTGTGAGGACTACCTACGACGTCGGTCGCACCTTGCAGCCCATTTATTCCGGCGGAAGTCTGGCCCTGAGTGAAGATGGGCGCATTCTGGCTGCAAGCTTGGGGGAGGATGTGCTGCTCACAGACCTCACCAACGGCAAAGAGCTAGGGCGGGTAGAAGGCGACGGCGAGACTATTACAGCATTGGCTTGTATGGCAGTCGACTTACGGCTGCAACATCTGCTAACCTCTTCCCAGTGACACCCTCCGCATCGCATTTGATCATATGCTCACGATCGCTTTCCATGCGCATATATGCGCTCAGTCCCTCAGACACCGCAGAAGATGCGATTGAACTCCATCTTCTCCGGACACTGCGACCGCATACCTCTCCCGTGGTAACATTGGCCACAGACCGCACAGGAACACTTGTTGGCACGGGTGGTGCCGATGGCGTGGTGAAGGTCTGGGATATTCGCGCCGGCTACACTACACACACGTTCCACGGCCATGGCGGGGTTGTGTCGGCACTGCATTTCTTCGAAGTCGAGGTACCCGAGAGTGAAGACGCATCGGAAAACAACAAGAAGAGGAAGCGGAGAAAGTCCCGGCACGAAGAAGCAGGCGATGAGAATGCTCCAGGCGAAAATCACATTCAGTACCGACTAGCATCTGGTGCTGAGGATGGCAAAATCAGAATATGGGATCTACACAAGAGGAAAAGCACGGCCGTCTTGGACTCTCACGTTTCTGTAGTGCGATCGCTGCAGTATTCGCCGCAAGAGAAGGTCCTGGTATCTGGTAGCAGAGACAAGACATTGATCCTTTGGGAATCGCACAGATGGAAGGCACAACGCACGATTGCGGCACTGGAGGGCATCGAAGACGCAGGCTTCATCGCAGGCGGGCAAGTCCTATACTCTGGCGGCGAGAATGGCCGGATACGACTGTGGTCTGCGGCAACCGGCCAGGAACTTACTCAAGAACAAGAGCCAGGAATCGAAACAGACGAGATTGTCAACATCCTCCACTACGCCTCACTACAATACCTTATCTCAGTACATGCTGATCAGGTTCTCAACTTCCATTCCCTCAAAGCGGTAGAGCCACCTTTCGTTGAGGAGGTCATCGAGCCCCTACCTATATTCCGACGCGTCTCCGGCACACACGACGAAGTCATCGATATTGCTTACGTTGGCCGGGATAGATCGCTTCTAGCACTGAACACCAACTCAGAAGACATCCGGATAGTAACGCTGAGTGAATCAGACTCGGCTGGTGATGCCACTCAAGGCAGATATTTTGGCGCAGATGTGGGCCTACTCAAGGGCCATGAGGACATTGTGATTTGCTTGGACGTGGATTGGTCCGGACACTGGCTAGTAACAGGTGCCAAAGACAACACCGCACGACTTTGGCGACTCGACCCCGAGAACGACTCTTACACATGCGCAGCTGTTCTGACTGGTCACGCCGAGTCGCTAGGAGCGATTGCTTTACCACATTCTGCACCACAAGAATCGTCAGCGGCATTCACAGACCCGCTGTCGCACCCACCATCATACATTGTGACGGGGTCTCAAGATAAGACTGTGAAGCGGTGGGATGTCACCAAGGAAATGAAGCAAAAGTTACGCGCGAAGTATACCCGCAAGGCCCACGACAAGGACATTAATGCCATCGACATCGATCCTTCGGGTAGTCTGTTCGCCTCGGCTTCGCAAGATCGTACAGTCAAGATATACTCAGCCACGGAAGGAGAAGCGATTGGTGTTCTTAGAGGCCATCGTCGTGGTGTCTGGACCGTCAAGTTTGCACCCAAGGACTCACAAGTTCCCAACTCAGGGAACAAGGGCTTGATAGCAACAGGCAGTGGAGACAAAACCGTCAAGATATGGAGCTTAGCGGACTACAGCTGCCTCCTTACTCTTGAAGGACATTCTAACAGCGTCTTGAAGCTCGCTTGGCTTCCCTACCGCCCTGTCGACACACGAGACAAGCGTGGCCCACAGATTGCCTCCGCAGCTGGCGACGGATTAGTCAAGATCTGGGATTCCGCATCCGGTGAGGCAATGTCAACACTCGACAACCACACCGATCGTGTCTGGGCATTAGTCGCACATCCCGTAACAGGAGCTCTAGTGTCCGGTGGTGGCGACAGTGTTATTACCTTCTGGCAAGACACGACGAGTTCTACACTGGAAGCCGCGACAACAGCAGAGACGGAGCGTGTTGAACTAGATCAGAAACTCCAAAACTACACGTATGCTGGCAACTACCGCGAAGCTATCGTGCTCGCACTCCAAATGGACCAGCCAGGCCGCCTCTTCACACTCCTCAAAAGTGTCGTGGAGACGGAACATCCCGATCCCGGGAGCATATCTGGACTTGACACCGTCGACGACGTCTTGGCCAACCTGGCAGACGAGCAGCTTTACAAGCTCCTCCTCCGCCTACGCGATTGGAACACAAATGTCCGCACCGCACCCATAGCTCAGAAAATCTTATGGACAGTTGTAAAATCATATCCAGCGGCACGGCTTGCGAGTCTAAGGCCTCAAGGCAAAGTGGGCGCAAAGGGCAGTCTCAAAGACATTCTTGATGCGATTAAAGCGTACTCGGAGAGGCACTACAAGAGGGTGGAGGAACTGGTCGACGAGAGTTATTTGCTTGATTTCACACTCAGGGAAATGGATGAGGTGGGTGGAGATGTCAAGGCTATTACGAATGGCGCTTCGCTTTTGGGTTTTGAGAGAGATGTCATCATGGTAGATTGAGTCACAAACATAATGATACGCGGTTTCTAAAGCAAGAGTCGAGGAGCGTTTCCCCTCCTTTCAGTTGAAGTGAGAATAGTAACTTGTCATTTCGTCGTAGGCGTTAACTATATAGATCTAGTCCCAATTCGCCCGTCCCTCCCCACCCCCCAAAAAAAAGGAACCCAAAGCGCGTCTATGTGCTCCAAACGCCATGCTATATAACTGTAGTGTACATAAAGGTGAGACTGCGATGATCGTAGGGTATCAACATGTTAAGCAATGTTACCCGCGAGTCCCAGGAACAAAGCCTGGGCAGCGAGCTGCAGCGTCCAGATACCGACCTTCTTTATGCGGCGTTTCCGCACAGTTCGGTCGTCAAGAACGTCGCGGGCAAAGGCATCGTACATCTGCATCGAAGTTAGCACTCGTCCCAATTTCGCACCAAAGATCGTCAAGACATACCTCACGAGAGACCTCCTCCATCAACCCGCTATCATACAACGTCCAGCTTCCATCAAACTCGCTAACGCGCTTCACCACCCTACAATTCACGGGGATAAATGTGCGCTTCGAGTTGATGTAGGCCACGATTGGTCTTACGAGGGCGTTGTTGACGTACGAAATATCGCGCGTGAAAATGGGTACTGCGGCCCGGACATCGTTGAGGTGGACACGCATATCCATGATCATAAAACGCTCGTCTTCTGCGCTATCGCCTTCATGTTTGTGCTTTTCGTCGTCATCGTGGTCATCGAAGCCATGGGTTGCGTGATCGGAGATGTGAGGTTTACGACCGTTCTGCGAAACGGTGGCTTCAACGCGATCGTACATATCGGACATGACCTTCGCAAGGCTTTCATCGTCATCATTAGGGAGCATGATATCTGCCACAATATCAACGTTGCCTTCATGTATCCATGAGAATGGTCCGTCATAGCCGCGGTTTAGATGATCGATGTTGAGACCATCGATTCTTATCCGACTGTGTTTCTTCCATGAACTGCCATCCTCAGAGTCACGGCCACTACTAAGCTGCACTCCAGTGTAGTTGTGCGTTTGCCGAGGGTGGATAGTAAAGAGTGAGTTATCGAACGAGCCGGACACCATGTTTGCTGACAAGAAATCGTAGAAGAGCCACTGCTTCCGCAACTGAGGGAGGTCGCAGGAGAATATACTGGCGGAGAATGGCCTGAAGCCATTGGGCTGGTAGATGGTAACAAGCAGATCCTCCATCTTGAAGGAGTCTAGTTCGAAGTCACCAGGGTTGTGCTCATGCTTGTAGGATCTTGGATCTACGCCTTCGATGGTTTCTACTGACGTTCGATCCACAACGCCACGAATCCCCTTGATCTCAACATCTTTCAGCAGGCCCTTGCCGTTGAACCACTTCGAAAATGACAGTGTGACGTTCACCGTGTCAATAGATATGTCAAATTGCGTGTAGTTTGTGTCTTCTACTGCTTCTGCAGTCACAGGGACCCCATCCGTGATATCTTTTTCCTGCTGCGCTTTGGCGGCCGCCGCTACGGCCATTTCAGTCTGCGAGCCCTTGCTGACCTTGCCACGACCCTGGCCTGGCCTCCTTGACACGAAGACTTTGCGGAACGAAATGACGCCGTCTCCCCATTTTGGCACCACGGCAGTCTCGAAGACGACCTTGATGCCGGAGGACTTTGTCAAGTAGTTACCGATCCATTTACCGAGAGTCTCTTGCGAGAAGGCGGTATTGATCAAGAATATGGTCAACATGCAAAAGGTCGTAGTTCCTAGCACGATCCATAAGACATGTGCAGCCAGTATCCAGGAGAACATGGCGTATATCTCGTCGGCATTGAATGGTCGCGCGCTCCGAATGGTGAGCCATTTGAAGTGGATCTTTATGCGTGACCAGAAGCCCGAAGCTGCACCGAGGAGTTCTGCTTTACTAGGACGGTATAGGTGCGGGAGAGAGTGAGGAAGGCGGTCGAGGAGATGCTTGCTAGAAGCTGGCGAATCTTCGGGCTTCGGTTTCGGTTTCGGCGTCGGCGTCGGGCTCGAGGGCTTGGGGTGTAGTTGAGGTTGCGGGGAAAGTGTAGCTTGCGGTGCCTGTGGTGCAGCAGTCCGTTTGTTCTTGGACGAGCTGTCTGTCACTGAGCTCTTATTGCGCTGACCGCCACTTCCGTTTCGCCTTGAACGCCGATATGGACTGTTCGACGCATGTCTGCTCCATGCCGAAAGAACAGCGACAGTTACGCTCTGCTGGATATGACTTGCATGGGGTGGCGGGGCTCGAAGCAGGGAAGTGGAGAAGGTTCTGAGGTGTGACGAAGGCGCATTCGAAGGCCAGGTAGTTGTCGACCAGCGGCATCTCTGCGATATTGAAGCAATACACCGTCTTTGGACCTCGACCCTCCGTGTTGACTGGGATGGCGCTCCTGATTTGACTCTCGGGAGTGCACCGCCGTGTCTCAGCGGTGGGTCGACAAAGGAGCGCCACAGAGATGCGCCGATGGTGCCTACATTCTTGTTCATGGTAGTCGCGGCAGCAACATTGTGCGCGTCTGCAAGCCCCGGAGTGCGTGAACGGCCGAGGCGGAAGAGGGGAAAGGCGTGCGGTGGGAAAGAAGACTGTTGGCTAGGTGAAGTGGTAAGTACCAATATTCACGTCATGATGCAAGTAGGAAAAGAACATGGAGTTGAATGGCACTAAGACGCTTCGGGTCTCGCCTCACAAATTTCGGGCCCTTGCGAACTTTCTTAGCAACGACAACCCCGCCGAAATTCCGACATTCACCACCACCTTCATACAGTACTGCACCGATCTCGACGAGAAGACGAAGAGACACAGTATTCACCACTACCTCATACAGCACTCCGCCGATCTCGACGAGAAGACGAAGACGAAGAAAACCCAACTTTTAACAACACCACCAACTTATACCGCACTTCGCCAACTTCAACGAGAAGCCGAAGAGAATACAGCAGAAAATATGCCAGCACCGACAGCGCTCATGCGCAGACCCGAGGAACTCGCAGAAGGCGTTGCCATGGAAGCCGTCAACGTCCCCCTGCCCACCGAAGACGACGCAGAACTGGTCGATATGAGCTTCGAGCCTACCACACCGAGTGACGCTCTACAAGCACCCACAGAAGACACTGCCATGACCGACGAGGCCGGCCGCCCAAAGTTCGCGCCAGCCCAGTCCATTCCCCTCGCATTTCGTAGGGAACAACGGAAAGTGCCCATTCCGCCGCACAGAATGACTCCTTTGAAGGCGGCTTGGCCCAAAATATATGTACGAGAAACCTCTCTCTGGACATGTTACATGCGCTGACTCTACATAGCCGCCCCTTGTTGAGCACCTCAAACTCCAGGTTCGAAGTGAGTTTTCAAATATCCAGTGTCCCTTCAACCGCACGTACTAACAACAACACAGTGAATACCAAGACCCGCTCAGTGGAACTTCGCACCTGTAAGTCTAAGTCAGGGCATAGACTTGAAGCATGTAGCTTACCCTAGACAGCCAGCACTACGGTCGATACTGGTGCCCTGCAGAAAGGCGAAGACTTCGTCAAAGCCTTCACCCTCGGTTTCGACGTGGACGACGCAATCTCGCTATTAAGACTGGATGACCTATATATAGAAACATTCGAAATCAAGGATATTAAGACGCTCACTGGAGAGCACAAAGGCCGGGCCATTGGAAGGATAGCAGGGAAGGACGGAAAGACGAAATTTGCAATTGTTCGTCTCGCTAAGCAATTGAAGCCAATTGACCCTTTTACTGACTCGGTATAGGAGAACGCAAGCAGAACACGGGTGGTGCTAGCAGATCAGAAGATTCATATCCTGGGCGGGTTCAAGAATATCCATATTGCGAGGGAGTCCATTGTCAGCTTGGTCCTTGGTCAGAACCCGAGCAAGGTGTACGGCAACCTGAGGACGGTGGCGGGCAGGATGAAGGAAAGGTTCTAGAGGCGGATAGGCATATTGTATGTGTGTGCATTTCAATGGCGTTCACGGAGAAAGGGACGGAAGGGAAAATACCATCTGACATGATTGCATGATTGGAAGACGACGGATTCAGCGATACTTTTCAAGCTATAGCAGCAATCTCAAGATATTGAATACTTCCCTTTCCGGAATTGTCATTACTAGTCTATCCAGTTACGGATGTTGAGAAGATGGCATAGAGGTACATCTTGGATGTATCAAGTCACTTCATCCGCGGGGAAAAACATCTCCATGTTGACCAAAAGAACAGGGAACTCGCATGCCCTCCTTCATCATCTCTCCTACTCTCCCACGCTCTTAAAACGCAAACTACTCACAAACTTCTCACATAACACTGCCTTCCCGCTCATTATCACCATCCACCCTCCCAACAAGCACAGCCCGCACCTCCCTCCCATTCTCCCCCCAAACTTTCAAACAAGGAATCCACTGCACGCCCCTCCAATTCATCGTAGCAGTCCCCTCGAATCCCCGTCCCGCATATAGCGTCGCGCTCGTCCATTCCTTTATACTGTCTTCTCCTAATCTGCTGAGCGCATCTAGATCACTTTGCTCGCGTATCTCGAGCGTGTAGAAGCGTGAGCGCGAGCTAGTGGGCGTGGTCAGTGTGAGATTGCTGTGGGTGAGATTTCGATTGAAGTGGATGGAGGGCGCAGTGAGACCACTCGCGCTCCATTCTATGTCTACGCCGCGCGGGAGGGAGTGTACTTGTGCGATGAAACAGGGTGGTATGGGTGTTGTGTTTGGATTTGTGGGGTTGGATATCGAAGTTGGATCGGGAAGGGGGGAGCGGTATGTGTTGTCGTTGAATGTGGAGGTGTGGTTCCGGTTCAGGCGGTCCCAGGGGTCGATATCTTCTTCTTCTTCTTCGTCTCCGTCTGTATCTGAGGAAAAGGACGGTGATGGAGTATGGATGGCTTTCCATGCGCCTTGGGCGATTCGCACTTGTTCTTCGGCGTTTGCAGATGCTGGTATAAAACCTACACCTGCAGTCCACCATCGTACTCCTTTTGCCCGTCCAATACGCCCAAGATGTTGCAATGACAGGATTGCCTGTCCTCGGAAACCCTGCTCTTGGTAGACTTCCATAGATGCCGGGATCAAAGGGATTTGACCAGCCACATACACAACCTCGCCGACATGTTGATCCTGACCCTCACCTCTCTCGTCAGTAGCAGGTAGTCTGACGGAGATTGCCTGGCTATATGGTCCGATATTGGCCGGTGCCCAGTAGCTTCTCCCCTGCACATGCAGCCCTTGTCTCTGCACAGCTCTATCCTTCATCTCCTTATCTATTACTACACTGAGCATGATATCAACGCCTTCTGGCATTGTGTCCCCAACAGCTATTGTCACTCTTGCTGGTGGGTTGATATCGCTGAAGTACTCAGCGTAGATCGGGTTAAGGACAGTAAAGTCGGCCATGTTACGGAGAAGAAGTGTACAGTGGTTGACACCGGCTTTAGCGACATGCCATTGTGTCAAGACATGGTCGAGACGGAGGAATATCTTAGTAAGTTGACGTGATGGTGAGCTTGGTGAGGAGGAGGGGCGGGTGTCGCTAATTAAGTTTGAGTAAGTGAAGACTGTAGGCGTATCGCCAGTTGAGTTCCTAGGAAGACCCTCAGAGATTGGTGTGTCGGTCGATGTTGAAAAAGTGCCAGAGGACACATCGACAAGTGTAGCATCCTCGGACCTGAAAGACTGGGAGTCGTTGCCACCATCCATAACTTGGAGGAGCTTTTCGAACTCGACGTCGAATAGTTCAGGGATCCTCAAAGCGTCCAAAGTCCTCTCAGTGTCCTCCTGTTTGTCCTCAAGAGTACTCGCCTGAATCTTTAGCACCGCTTGCCCGCCTTCCATCACTCCGGGTGGGCCAGGCTCTATCCTTATCCTCTTCTTCCATAACGGCGTTGGTCCGTCAAGGGCTAACGTCTCAAATTCACCCCCCTCGCCTACGATGGCACCATTACTGGTCTCACCAAATCGACTCATCGCCTTGCTCAATCTTCCTATAGTCCGCTGATGTGCCACATCAAAGCCAAGAAAGCTTTCGTCTAGGCCGCCAGATGCGGTCTTGATGATTATTGCTTCTTGTCCTACCGCTGTCATATCATGCAACAGCGATGTCTGTGTGTAAGGAGGTAGTAGCGGGTATTGCCATAGGTACGACAAAGGTGTGAGTCCCAGCCTGAGGGCAATAGATTCCACCCGCGTCCGCTGGTATGTGCTCAATATAGCTCCTGTAGAGACCGCATTTGCCTCCGGATGAGCTTCCATGACACTCTTCAGCAACGGGACTAGATTCTCCGTCTCATCCTGCTCTTGCCCTGCCTGTGGCGTCCCATAATCTCTGCTCGAGTCCACTGTTTTGCCTGTGATCTCTTGTCGGTACAATGGAATGCCCAGCGCTTGTTCATACAATGGGATTACTGAGTGTCCCACTGTCTGATACATGTAACTATTGATATCCTCATCGAAATTGGTCGTGCGCGTGGGGTATAAGTTGGCTAATGCAGTAAGGGTGTGACCGTTTGCCTGACAATGCAGGATAGAGTATAGCGAATCCTTGCCGCCGGATATCAACGCGATCACATTTAAGGATGACGACATACTGACAAATAGAAGAAATAAAGTGGGTGACAAGATAATAAAAACAAAAAACATGTAATGTGAAGCGGGTCCGGTGCTGTACGAGCTGAAGATGGAGCTGTAGATAGGTTAGGCCCCGCTGAATGTTGGCCCACGCTAACATCGTCGCGATTTTCAAACCCAAACAAAATCAAGACCACCGATGGGCCTATCGCAGCCACCACCCAACTCTGTTCCAAGGTATCAAAAGCGCCGGAAATCACAACAGGCAGTGCGGCGGTCACTACAAGGGGGACCAATTGCAAGGTGTGAATCGTTTTTTTGTATGTAATAGTCGGATAGTGCCAGCACCTCTAACCTGCAACGACGCAAGGAAAATATTTGCAGAGCGAAGGTGTAGGTTAGGCAAGATTACAGTGTAAAGAAGAGAATATTCCCAGAATGACTGGTATGCGGCAGAACCGCATACCCGATTACAACGAGGGTAAGAACGCAGAAGGGCAGGGGTGTAAGAAAACGCGGCGACGATGGCCGGTAACAAGTGGCCATGCCGTCGTGAGGGAAACCAAAAAAACACCGAGTCTAATCCGTCCGTCCGCAGTGAAGTTGCCATGCCCCCCATCCAAAACCAGAACCTTTGATGTGCCATGCTGAACGCGAAACCCAAATGTGATGAAAGATGAGAGAAGCCAATTTTGGAGAACGTGTAACCAAATTGGGGTGTCAGAGAATACAGTTGAAGAAGAGAAGAAAGGGATTTTTGCCAGAGCCCGATAATGGTAGATGCTCTGGCCGCCATTACAACCTGTGCCGCCTGTCTATCTGAGCCGCTTCTGCGTAACGACGTGATAGTAGACGAGCAGCCGTCTGGCATGATGGAAACTCCTTCTACCGAGTGTTGATGTCATGAGGGGGTCATTAAAGGATTTGAAAGGAGAAGTGGAAACGAGAGGAGAAGCCTACTCGTTCCGCTTCCGCTTCTTGTTGATGGGCGATGCGTCAAAGTCGGAGAAGTCGGAGCTTGAGCTTGAGCTCGAGATACTGGCAGCGGCATCATAGAGAATGCTACCCATCAGAGCTGGATTTTGGTGGTCGAAGGCGCCAGACTGCTCTCGTTGCATATCGCCATTGTGTAAGTCGGAGGTGTCCAATACATCAAGATGAACGGCGCCCGTACCATGCGTGCGCTGGTGCTGCGAAAGATTGTCGCTCCTGGAGAACTTCTTTCCGCAGTCAGTGCACTCGAAAGGCTTGTCGTGAGTGTGGAGGGAGCGGTAATGGCGCTTGAGGTGCTCCTGGCGGCGAAAGCGGCGCGAGCAGAGGGTGCAGACAAACGTCTTTGAAGGATCTTCTGTCAGTGACTGCTTACGGCCGCGGCGGCTGGTGGTTGCGACAGGCGTTGTGGCGTTGTCTTCAGAGCTGGAGCCGACAGCGTTGTCCGCTTGACCTGATTCTTGTTGGCTTGATGCTCCAGACGTGGTGTGTTCATCACCTGATGTCTGTGTCTTACCCTGGTAATCCGACTCAGCATCGCTGTACTCAGAGCGCGCCTTCTTCACTGATCGCCTCTTGGGTGCAGGCGCGACAGACATGTTGTCAGAGAAGTCGCTCGCAGCAGGCGTAAGGGGCAGGCCGTGGACAAGCTCCTCCTCGAAATCCGTGAAGCTCTCGTCGCTTACGAAATCGTCCTCAGGGGTGAAGGCAACAAGATCGGTTCGCTGGCGCTTGTTGCAAGGAAACTGCGCGTGCTCGGTGGCGGGAAATTGGACAAACCCGGCGAAATCGTCCTCGCAGTCGAGCTCAAACAGGGGCTCAAAGGTGGGAAGGCCGGTGAAGTCGAAGGGCTGAGTTGCTTCCAGTTGCTCGATCTTGGCGGTCTCACCCTTGAGGACGAGCTTGTGCTCTTCGTCACCAGGGCACAGGGTCAACAAAGTAGGCAGTTCAGTAGATGTAGAGACAGTAAGATCGCGCGGGTTGCAGAAGTTGTTCTCAGCCTCGGCAAAGGTTGCGCGCGGTAGCGGTGAGGGTGAAGGGGAAAGCGAGGGGCACGAAGTTGCAGACAGCAGGTACGACCCCTGGCTAGCCGAAGGCGGCTGAATATAGACTTTGGAAGTCAGCAACACCGTCCGCAGCTTTCACCTGACCGTGTGCAAGCCAACGGGAGCACAGCAACCTTGATTGCACCGGCCTTTGGAATATTTCACTTACCTGGAGTCATTGGTGGGGTCGTTGATCGCCATTCCAGGCCGGCAGAAAGGATCTCGGCAAAGACCTCGCCTTCACAGCCCTGCTTGACGCCCTCAATACCCTCGCCAGGGAAAAAGTCATTCAGTGGTGTAGGCAAAACATCGTAGCTCGAGGGAGGGCTGCTGGTGCTGCTGCCCGACGACGAAAGAGGAGGGGTAGCGGGCACGAAGGAGTAGTCTGTATCAAGAGGGTGAAGATATGGCGAGTCCTGGGGCTGAATCAGGATAGTCGGCTTCTGATACTGCGGCTGAGGTGATGCGACGGGTGTGAGCATCTGGTTTGCGTATGCTGTCTGAGGGTACGAAAGCTGCGAGTTCGCCGAGGATGGCCTCTGGAGATACATGTTTTGCGGCTGGAAGGTCGACTGGCCTGACGGATGGGGTGTGAAATGGCCGTGTTGGCGGGTGTTCTCGCCTTGGGGGTCTGGGTTGTAGTAAAAGAATGGCGATTGCATGGCCTGGGCCGGGTGCATAGGATAAGAGCCTTCCATTGCAAATGACAAGAGTTGTTTACTGCCGAACGTCAGATCATGTTGCTGGCACAGACAGAAGCTTGTTCTATTCGACTTACTTAATTGTAGTATACAAGACGATGGATGGACTGACGAAGCGATGATGGTTGGGTACCGAGTGGGAGTTGATTGAATTACTTGCTACTGAACGTGGAGCAACGGCTGGATAGTAAAGGAATGTGCGAAGGAGCGACAGGACAACAGGCTCGTGATAACGAACTGTCTAATAGGTATGCCTACTGGGCCGCGGAAGATGTCATACGAGATTGGATGATCCAAATGAAGGAACGGTTATTGCACAGACGATGTACAAAAAACCAGAAAAGCCGATGATGAGGTTGATAAACCTTGTAAGTAAAGAAAGACGACGAAGAATGGAGCGGAAAGATAAGTAGAGATCAGCAACAGAAAAGAGAAAGTGATTTACAGGCACCGCGCGGTATGGGTGGTGGGAGGTCGGGGCGCAGCAGACTAGGGCCAACCTGCGCCGTGCATCCATGCAGTCGCATGCACTCAGATGACTCGCCGCCCTTAAGCCAGGCGCGAGTCGGCAACAATTGATTTGGTCGCCCAATATGCAAAGCGGCATGGGTTTCTGTACATGCGAGGGGAGCTAGCACGAGTTGGCTGCAGGCGAGCGTACCATTGGACCTGGGCCTGCCCGCGTCTCAATAATAGTCCTTCCGCACTCCCCTAGTGCAAGCAAAGCTGACGGCCAACAGAAGCTGAGGGTAATGACGAAGCCCGGCCTCGGAAAGGCCGTGGCGGCGGTGATGTGTGTGTGTGTGTGTGCTGGGCCTGGTGTCTCGTATGACAGGCTACACGACAGAACCCCGTTCGTCGCCAGCCTATTCAGCCTGATAGCGTATCTGCCCAATCGATAATGATAGCTGGCCGTAGGATGGGCACCCTGTTTTCCTGGCCGACAATTTTGAAACAAATCACCAGCGCGTCGTTTGTACTGTCTGTGATCATGACGACCGCCGCGTGCTCCGCATCCGCAGTCTTAGTTGCGCCAGACAATGCCAAATCGCCCTCGCGCGCCGCAGTGCCACCGTCGACTACACACAGAGGAAACAACGTAAAGGCTGCATCTGGCGACGATCCAAGGTTTCTGGGACGCGCCGTGGCCCGGCGTCAACGCCGTCTGGCAACAAGCAGCCCTCGACCGACCCGAGAGCGGATGGTGGCACGATGTGGCATGACTGTGTCGACTTCCCACCACGTCCACACCATCCACACGTCGCAGTAGCACCAGAGTCGTGAAGCGCGTTTGCTTGTTACCTCCTGCAGTAAAAGTAGAAAGGTTATACAATATTAGACGTTGCCACACTCGCATCGTGCAGCTGGAGAAAAAGACTCGACATGCCGGGCTGATGCAGGAACACAGGCCATGATGCAAGCCGATGATGCCCGTTTGGTGTGATTTGCTCGGCCAGCTGGAGGAACCTGGACCGACCTCTCAGAAGTGGGGAGATGGACGGCTATCCATCATGGTGCGACACGCTCGTGAGCAGTGAGCTGCAAGTCGCCATCAATACGGTCTTGGAGGGCTCAAGAGTCCCGCGGTTGGTGGAATGCCTGGCAAATAAACTGCTCGCGCGGCCTGCTACTATTTTTTTCCCAGCGTGTTTCACTCCTGCAGTCACAGTTCCCCGACCATGTCTGCGTCAGGGCTGTTCTATAAATTTGTAGTCGTGTGTCCGGTAAATTGTCTCTACGTATCGATAGTGGACACTACACCCTCACTGTACTGTGGGCTAAAGTGGGCGTCTCTATGTATACCGCGCGGCAGTAAGAGTTGTGCATCCCCGAATGGCTCGTATATTCTATATCAGGTGTGCCCGAAATGAAGCGACTGCATTGAGTCAGCCGGGGTGGACGACTTAGCGTCTTGCTGCTTTACTCGGCCGAATTAATCGCACCCGCATGTCGATTCGCGTGAGGGTTGACTCGAACATGCCCAATCGCCTCCACCTGGCTATCACCCCACAGTGACGGTGCGAGCCTAAAAGCTGATTGACCCAAACAAGAGCGTCTACTGCAGGTACAATGCAGGAACAGACATCTAACGGACGGCAACAACATTAGCACCTTATCGTGTCTCTGAAAAACAACTTTCGTGGAATCAAGTGCGTGCGTCTCGCCTACAAAGCAGCCACTATCTCGCTCGTTTCATATCACAACGTGGGATCTTCTGGAAACCTCAGTTTAGCGGGGCTCTCTTACGACCCAACAGGGTCTTGAGGAGACGGCACGATTCAGGAAGAAGGTCCGTCGCGCAGCGCACTGGGGCACTTCCGTGGACCGTGGTCCTGCCACTGATTCGGCACCGGGGAACGACGCATGGCTTCCATAGCTTCTTTGGTCTCCACCCAACTAGCCTTTATCATTGGCCCTGATTCATGGAAGGCCCTGATCTACGTCAATTTTCGAGGAACTTTTCCACGTCGGCGGGGTTGTGGCTTTCGTCCCGCTCACCCAGAGTTTGACCATCTTGAGATCCTACCTCTCTTGACTCGCAGAAGTGCGTCGGAACTGCTCCCAAGTGAGGCGGCTTAACCCACGACCTTAGCAGATTGTGGCGTTCCTGTTTAGTGTTTATTGCGCTATCCTGCGGCCTGATGTTGCCTTTGCATGTTGGAGATAGCATCAGGGCCTTTGCGGCCACAATATCTCAGTTTGCTGCACGTCTTCTGATGATCTGAATCGCCCTAGATACGTCCCTTGATCGGGCTAGTCTATAGTATGTTACCGATACCGTGTCACCGAGCGTCATTCTGAATTGTGAAACGATGTCAAAGTGCTTCCTATTGTGAAAGACGAATGACATGACAGCGGTCTCTCCCAACGAGGCAGCTGGCAGGCTCGAGGAACCCACTATGCTGGGGCCTTATGCACGGTCCTTGGATTTATTCAAACGAAATTCGAGCTTCATGCTCGAGCAGGGGCATGGTGGTGTGCAATCTCCCGGGAGCCGCAACGCACCCGCACGACTGGTCCCTGGCGTCGTGATTCTCGAAGACTTCCCCACATTGATGCTGGATTCTCAGGGCTGAGTGCACGTTGATGTTCATGCAGTGTGATTGTTGAGCAAGGAAACCCTTTCCCTGAAAACACAGCTCAGACTCCCCCGAGGTCAACGTCTGATTTGGAAGGATATCGGTGACATGTGCCTCGACTGATCGAGACGGCAAGTGGAACAGGACGGAAGGCCCGTTTTGGAGCCGCGGTGGCGATTGTCAAGGTGCAAACTCCTCCAGCTGGTCTGAGGTGAGGCGCCCGAAGTCGCACCTCCACTGAGTTTGGACGCTTGGTTGGTTTTCATCATAGGGTTTAGCATGACATAGGCCTACCACGAGATGTCTGCATGTACGGTCACCATTGCACCTACAGACTATCAAATGTGTGTAGTTCGGTAATGTTTTTCTTTGAATTCGTGAAACTATCGACGCCACGTCTTGGCTTATCATCGGAGCATCTCCTGCGCCTGCTGTTGGGTTGACGCTTGATTCACGACACTTTCATACCGGCAGTCGTGTCAGACAAGTCCACGGACACTACTCGCGGGTAGACGCCGTCCGTAGACGGCTAGGAACTGTGCTCTCGAGTCTCGACGTAGGTTGCCGATCTGAAAGCCGATCTTGGGCATGAAGGTGGGCAGGTGGGCAGGTGAAGATCGCAATCACGCGACTGACCCTAGGAATACGCAGTTGCCAAGTACTTTGACCTTGAGCTAGTTAATAGCTCTTATCAACTATGGTATTGGGGAGGGTTTGGAAGAAGGTCGCAGTGGTGCCATATGCTGACACCGCTTCTTTACGTAAATAGTTGAGCTCGGAAGGACGTTGCGTAATAAGCAAGTAGACTGTCGGAAAATTTGTACTTGTTTCAACAGCCAGGTCTTTCGGGCATGTGAACCATGCAACCTTGTCAGAGAGCTGGAACAGATCTCGAACGACTCTATCGATACAAATCGAGGATTGCGATAGGCAGAGCTGTTCCGACAAGAGACGTAACGGAATCAAGCCGGTCGATCGCTGCGGCATGTGCGAGGGTGCTATCGACATTCAACTATTCCCAAGGTGTAGCGTCCTGCATACCCGTCAGAGTACCGAAATACCTGACGCAGTCTCAGTATCCATGTCTTGCTGCTGCATGGTATGTCTCCCCATGTATTGTTGCAGAGAAGGGACAATCCTCCGCTATCTCGAAAAGTAGCGTCCTCATCAAAAACCGAACTGAAACCGGAGGATGACATTGAGCAGAGGACGAGCGGGGGGGGGGAAAGCGACAAATGCTGAAGAAGACAATTGGTCCTGGCACTGTTGTCGTTTCATTGCAGCAGCTGTCGCTGCCACTGCCACCGCTCCCGACATCAAGACTGTCATCCAACGGTCGCAGTCGCCAAGTGCGGGAGACAGGCCTCAGAAAGTGTTGTGAGTTGAGATCAGTTGCTGCAATTGCTGCATCATTCTCTTCCTATCAATAATAAAGTATCATCAATGGCCATGAAAGGAAAGTTGTTTGTGTGGCAGCTCGATCAATTTTCTAAAGAGCCTTCGCGGTCCGAAGATTAGCCGGACTTAGCGTTCGGAGGCTATGACGGCCCGCCGAAGACATAAAAACTTTGCGGCCCTGGGAACCTCTTCTGTTCTTTGTGCGGCGAAGGTCGATAGTCCGTTTCCCCGGTTGCTTAGGAACCTTTATACTGTGGTTTCAATAGTGTCGTTGACCTCCCAGAGAGAACATTATTGCTCTCGATCGTATACACTTTGTGGCAGCGTCTTTTACAGTGGCGCTCTCGCTGGAAAAGGATCGAACATACTATTTTCGTGAGACTGAATTGTTCTATTGTTCATGGGAGTCGGGTGTCAGACGAGGCGCAACCTAGCCTTGTCTGCGAGCTCTGCTGCAAGTTCAGAGATGCGAGAACAGCTTTGAAAGCAACACGATATGAAGAAGTGCCTGCGAAAGGCTTTGGTGCTTGTCATATGTCTCATTATCTCTTACGCGGCGGAACATAGAGTTCCAGTCCGAGTGTTGCGGCAGTCCTTGACGCTCAGTCGTCTGCGCCAATCTTCTCGAGCTTGCCTATGTCTCGCTTCTCGCCGCTCTCCCCAATAAACCGAATCCTATCTATCCGCGTCTTCTCGCTGTCACCTTCGCCATCTGCCACAAACAGTACGAGCGAATACACATGTTGGAACTTGACAAACCGCAGCTCGAGCTTGGCCGTGGCCGTCTGCTCGTCCCAGTCTGACGGCTTCAGTTCGATCGTCTGGGTAGCTGGGATATCCTCCGCTTCCTCGAATCCCAGATTGTGTTGGCGGTTGGTCCAGATGTGCACTGTCTTCGGTCGGACGGGTGCTTCGTCATCGTCATCGTCGCCGTCGCCTGAAACGCAAGACGTAATCTGAACCGTGTGGACCTTTAATGACGAGGTAAAGGGTACGTAGAGCATGAGCTGGTTATCCACATCGCTCTCGACCCAGTCTTTGCTTCCTTCTGAGCCTGTTGCTGCCCCTTTGCCCTTCTTCAACGATGCAGGCTGCGATGATTCGAAGAGTGTCCGTACTCCACCGAAGTCGCTGTCCGAGTTCAGCAGGTCCAGTCCTCGGACGTCCACTTGATCCGTGACGTCTGTGTAGCCACGGGGTAGACCGGCTCCTCGCCATCCGTCACTGCCACTTGAGCCAGCCTCGCCGAATCCCCCAGAGCCGCCGCCCGCATTTTCCGACTCTGCTGCGAGGCTTTTGATGGCGTCGGAGAGCTGTTGGGGATTGGAGCCGCTGTATGTGCGTATTTTGTGGTTGTTCTTGAATACAACGAACGACGGAGTACTAGAGACCAATATTAGACATGCTCCTCCATAACTCGTGGGAACCGTACTTGGTGACGTTGTAACTCTGCGCAATTTGCGCTTGTTGCACTGTGCTGACTTTGGCAAAAGTGACCCTGTTCGGCCTTGCGAGCTGGCTTGCTAGCTGGTCATATACTGGGGCAATCGCTTTGCTCGATGCATTTCCTTCATTGTAGACTACCACAACAAAACATCAGCAAGCGGTTTGCGTACTCTTAGGGGCGCTTCTTCTTACAATTGACTACTACAACACGTGAGGATGACAGCAGGGTGCTGAGCTGAGCTGGCGACGAGATCTCCACGGTCCCTGACATTGTTGCGGGCAGAGAGGGAGTTTGTTGTGGTGGAGTCGGCCAGTCGAACACAGAACCCCAAAAGCCATGCTGGTGGGGGCGGGGTCTCGAGCTGCCCTCACCGACGATCCCGTCTGGCAGACAGGCACCAACAACACGCACGGCAACGAAGCTTCCAGAATATCCCCACGCCCTCCAAATCACGACCAAGGTCAGCGAGAGAGACTTGCAGTACCTTTTCGAAGCTCGACATATTGCTGTCTTATTTCCGAGAGCAGACATCTGGCCAAGTCCGGCACCTTCAACCTCGACGTCTCTACAAGCGTGCGCCTCCATCAACCCAGGACATCCTCCCAGTAGCCTCGCTCTACATCGGTACCCTCGAGTGACGGCTTCCCACCCCTCTACACAAATATTTCGGGATTGGTAAGCGCCCCTTCTGGCGTGTACCGTCCCCGACATTGCGTGAAAGCAGTTCCTGATCGGCAATCCATGGCAGGCCCAAATAATCTTCTGCTTAGTTTCCCTGAAGCCAAACTTCTCCACATCGCCAGCATCATTCTGCTCGTTGAACGCAGCGACGCGACACGAAGGGCCCATCGGTGGGATTGTTGGTATTCGCGCGCCATCCTCCTCGCAAACGCTCCAGCTGTCTTCCTCCTCGCCCACGGCCTATACAGACTCTTCCGTCCGACATAATGTCACACGTTGTGGTGTTCAACTCGTACGCAAGGACAATCAAGATTTCTACCACGCCGGTGAAGTACTTGACTGAGGTGCGCGACGAGGCGTGTCAAAAGTTCGGCGTTAGCAAAGACCAATATACGCTGAAGTGCGTGGACGCATGTATGCTATCTAAGTAAGTGGCTAACAGGTCTCAAGGTACAACAACAAGCCCATCTCCCTATCCCAGCAAATCCGGCTTGCGAACTTGCCGCAAGGTGCCCGGTTAGAGCTTGTCCAAGCTTCGCGGTCGCCCACCGTCATATCAGTCGCGCTTCAGCTTCCAGCGTCCGAGAAGAATGTCCGTCTTACACAAAAGTTTGCGAGCAACACCTCATTATGGGAGATACTGCGGCAGTTTGAGAGTGGTCAGGGTGCGAACTACAACTTCACACAGCGCGGGGTGCCAGAGATGAGTGGCACATCAGGCGCAGGTCGGCTGCACTACGAGATGCCTGTCATTGCAGTCATGCCAGGCCATAAAGAGCAATCGAGCTTCGTGGAGCTCCAGCAGACGTTAAGCCAACTAGGATTCGACAGTGGATCAGCCCTTTTAAAGCTCTCGTACAAGAACAGCGGACAGCCATTAGAGGAGGCCATGGCACAAATATCGCAGTACTTCAAGGCGGAGGAGCCTGCATCCGCTAGTGCAGCAGGTACCCATGCGGCGACTTCGATTCAGGAAACCTCGAGCCCAGGTCCCGACCTAGCTGTTCCAGACGCAGCAGAAAATATCGCAGACGAAGCTATTCAAAATGACGGGCCAGGTCCAGAACCAATGGAGGTAGACTCAGCACCCGTTAGTGAGTCACTACCAGAATCTGAAGTCGCTACACAAACTCCTGCGATTCAACACCCCGAGAGTGTCTCTCCAGTAGCAGTATTAGCAGAAGCAACATCAACAGCAGCAGCTGCACCAATAGAACCCTCCACACTATCATCGCCGGCTATCGAGAGGCCTCGCAATGTACAGATATTCTCGGCGCCGACATCATCAACACCACAGGCTGCACGGAACACGTTCAATGAGAACGACTACCTCCCCACCATCGAGCACGCAAAATCACACCAAGCTGCACTGCAAAGCAAGATGCGCAATACCCGCCTCCTCTCTGACAAAGAACTTGAAGAACAAGAAAAGGCTCAACAAGAGAAGATTGAGGCTGCCGCTGCCAAAGGCGGTGCTCTCCGTATCCGCATGCCCGATGGCTCACTCATCCAAATGGACTTCACAAAAGCCGACACTGCATCCGGCCTCTATACGTTTGTGCAATCCTTCCTCGAAAAGAAGAACGAGCCCTTTAAACTCAACTATACTTCCCCAACCGGGCGCCTCGTCCTCATCCCACAAGACGAGAACAAGCGCTTGATTCAAGATTTGAAGTTCTTTAACAACGAGTTGATCACTTTCCAATGGGCGGAGAATGCGAGTGTGGAGGCAAGAGCATCACGGAAGACATTGGCACAGGAGTGGCAGGACAAGGCAACGACTCTGAAGGTTGAAGATGCAGTGCAGCGTGAGAAGCCTCAGGCACCCGTCAAGGGCCAGACGGTTGCTGAAGGAAAGAGGAAGGCGGGGATGAGCAATGAGGAGAAGGAGAGTAAGTTGAAGAGTTTACTTGGTAAAGGTCTGTTCAAGAAGAAGTAACGGCCTCATGGGGTAGGAGCAAGGCCGAGGCAGATGGATTTAGATCATAAGGCATTGCTTTGGAGTCTTAGCGAGAGAGCGATTTGTTCAGTAGGTATGCATGTGCTATATTGGGAACCTGTCTACAGCAATGCTAGTCCCGTGACGTACGTGTCTATGAATATTGAAATAACATGCACTGCAAACTCATCCTGCATAACTTACAGCAACACATCTGTTGAGCTGACGAGCTGTTATCTAGAAAAACATTTAGACTCAATGAAACCATGAGTAAAATATGTCCGCGCCTCTATTCCATGTCTCGCCCATACAGAAGGAAGGGCAAGCCAGGAGTAGCCTCGTCACCGAGCAAGGCGCGTTTCAATATAAGCATTTCTCGGCCCAAATTACTGCCATTAAAGGGCGGAATTGGAATTTGACATCCATGCTATGGTACACTCCTGGTACACCTGAATGTAGGTTGAGCCTGGTGAGGCATACAGTAGACATTAGCTCACACTGTCAACATGCATTGGGCATTGGGCAATCGAGGGAAGGGTATTGTTGGCGTGAACCAATCGTCACATTTCATGATTTTGAGTGACACTGCTAGGTACGTGAACCTTCATTGTTCATTGCCATACTCCGATATAGTGCCATCCTTGTGGGGTATGCTGTGACGTCTCGGATTCGTGTCGAGCCGCCATGTGAAAAGACCTAACACCCAGGAAGAATCGGAAAATTGATCGTCGCCGTGTTGCTTCATCCGTCATTCATGAAAGCCGTTTAGTGAGCGGCGCGCTTCGACTCGGCGATGACGTTGGTCATCTCGTCAACCTTTCTCTTCGCGCGACCGAAGGTACCGAGCTGTGCAATGTCAGTGTGATGCTCGCAGTAATGAGTGTGGTTGGTGGAGGGCGGTCGGATGTGTAAGGGAGGGGAGGTAGACATACCCTCTTCTTCGCTAGACGACGGGCACGCTTGTCCTTGGAGTTTCGGAGCAGTTCGATAACACGCTTCTCGTAGGGGGCAAGTCTGCAGGCAAGCCAATGTTAGCGAATCGATCATGGAAAAATTCGACCTGGCACTCGATGCGCAGCCCGCAGTCCATCTCCCCTCCAGAAAAGGGCGGAGAATAACGTACCCAGCGACCTCACGGGTGATCTCACGGACGAAGGCAGTGCGCTTCGACAAGAAACCCTTCCTCCTCGAGATCCTGGGTGCCGGAGTCCTGGGAGTGACCTCTGTTCACAAAGTTAGCTTCCAGTTTCTTCTCTCCAGCGTAGCGGTTGCTGATATGGAAGCGGCGAGTAGGAAGACGTACGGTGGCCACGGTTGAGGCCGACGACAAGGCCGGACTTCTGTTTGACTTCCTTCGGCATGGTGGCGGGTGGTGTTGTGGACGATGGATCGAATTTGAGAGGAGAGATTTACCTATGCATATTAAGCGATGTGCGCCAAGAGGGGCTCATGACCTGCTGGCCTAACCACAAATGAACGCGCTAAGGGCGTTGCTTGCAAGCTAGCATAGGACCTCACTCACTCATCATGCATTGCCACATTATTAAAGATTTCCGTTATAATTAAAGATTTCAGTGGAGTTATGCGAGCATAGGAGTGGTCGGAGATGTGGGGAGTAAGCGGTGGGCAAAGTATTGATAAGTATCGACTGGATTTACCTACTCAAGTAATATCTCGATACACATGAGCAACGGCTCCATGGGCGGCGATTATATGCAGCGTATACAGTTTTATCCCTGTTCGTAACAGTGTTTCTTCGAAAGATTCTAATCTCAGTGCATTTCGCTGCGTAGACTACGTTACAAACTTTGCGCGGCATATCTGACAATTACTACGTGCGTGTTCTCGGGCTACCCCGGCTGGCTGAGCTCCCCGTTAACCCCCAGTTGCATACTCATAGCTCCGAAGCTGTTGCTCTGTCCAGAACATCCGTGCCACAAAGGCCCAACACGTATGCATGGTGCCTGACATTGTTACATCGGCGAACTTTAGCTTGCCAGCTTGTGACATCTTCCCTCACCTATCTTCGACTCTCATCCCTTGTATATTGAACCTCAGCTATCGACCAACGCATCTCAGTGCGAACGCAGCACTCAAAGTACCTTCACAGAACCAGTGATAGCTCAACTAGGGCGTAAAATCCTCTTACCGCAGTGAATACATTCTCGGTTATCAACCATAAATACATACTATCTCAATGAATCCTGATAAGTGTATGGCGGATGATCAACCAACGGTAAACCCTTCCAACTTCTCGGAAATTAAATGCGACCTCGTTCAAGGTTGACATGACCAAAGCCCTGGAGCTAGCGGATCCGCGGAGGATGTCTGGTGACAAATGAGGACAACATATCGACGAATCTCGAGTCCATTTTCAACGCATCAACCTCTCCACCTCTCTGAAATCCATGCTTGCCACATTCCTTTTCTTTTCCAAACTTCAATAAGCACTCTCTTATGTCAGAAACCATCCTTTCATGCATCCTAAGTGACACGCTTTCTACCTTGTGTAATATAGTAGTATTCTTATAGTCTCTATAAAAGCCTTTACGCACATATATATGCTCTACCCTCCTAAAACGATCTGTCTTGTATCTATATCTTGGCGTCTGGTTTTCTCCTTGCAGCAGTATTCCTCGACGCGTCGAGGACAAACCCAACATGATGGCTCAATGCCACCAAATCTCCTTCAGCATCATGCACGTACACCTCCAAATCCAGCCTCCCATTCTTGATCCTCTTCATCTCTACTCTGATTTGCAACCACTTGACGCCCTCTTGTGGCAGGGATTTCTTGATGTCTAGATTCAACAACAAAGTCGGATACCAAAACGGACCTTGACCCTCATACCGAAAAGACTCGACGATCTGGGGAAACATGTCCGCGACGAAACCGATGGATGAGTTGGTGAAGTTAGTTCCGTCTGACCAGCAGAGCCACTCATCGGCAGTGGATAGTGCCTTCTGTCCGTCCCGAGGGAAGTGGAAGACAACTTTCGCGGTCGCTTTTCTGAACTTTGCATATGGTAATTCTGCAATTTTAATCCAGTTCGGATCGACACCCTGATCCAGTTTTGAAAGATCAACAGATGGGACTGGCGGCGATAGAGTGTACTTCGTATCAAACGAAAACCCTTCCTCTGTGTCGATGTTTGAGTTCGTAGCGTATGCAATGATCTCCTGGCGACCTTCCTGTTCCATTCTTACGTGCACAACTGATGTTTGGCGGCCGAGCTTGACATCTTCTACTTTGAAGATGGCAGGGCCAGCCCCGGTCCGCCGCAAGAATTCGACATGTAAAGCTATAGTATGCGGCTGGTTTTGCTTCGCCAGCGAGGTGCTAAAGTGGGTCTTGACAACTTCGAGTATGCACCCAGTAACGTAGCCACCGTTAGGAACTTAGAGTGTTAGTAAGACGATCTCTGATTCTGTGAAGGTATCCATACCGCTTCCGATACACCAGTCGTCGTGCAATGTGCATGAGTAATCGTGTGTGGAGAGCTTCTGTGCAGCTGTTGCTTCCGCCCATCCAGGCATTGTAGGCGATAATAGTGGTCCGGTCTATTGCTAGACGTCGTGTGCTTACGATATTATTCACGTTCAACTACATAACGAATGCTACAGTGACGGGCGTGACGGGCGGCGACGGGCGGCGACGGGCCAAGATTGGACCTCGGCCACGCTAGCGACAAGAATGGGCATTGCCTCGGCCGTTTGGAGAAAGTGTGGGGTGAACCCCGGCCTAACATCTTCACCTGCAGCTAACGCGGAGTTGCCTTTGCATTTATTTTGATTATCTCGTATCCTCCGCCTGACTACCACAAACAGTGAGTAATTATCACGATCTTGAGCTTAGCATGCCTTCTGAATCCAAGTACCCCAATCTGCCTATCCCTAACGTGGACCTCTGGGCGTTCTTGTTTGAGAGGAAAGATAAGCCTTATGCGGAGGACAAAGGTACATTCGATTATTTATCAGACTCGTCGACTTGAAGTAATATGGCTGACATTGTACCATAGTAATCTACTATGATCCATACACCAAGCGATCTTACACCTACGCTCAAGTCAAAGCCACTGCCGAGAACTTTGGCAAGGGTCTCAAGGCTCTCTGGGACTGGCAGAAGGGCGACGTGCTTGCACTCTATACTCCAAACTGTACGTGAGGTCTGGGCACATGCAGTAGGCAATTCGAGATGCTCCTAGAGTACTTTACCATACTTTCCCACCCTTATTGTACATGAAAGCTCCGGGAAATCCTCTAGGGCCAACTGGAATCCAACCGCCCATTGCTTTGAGGAAGAGCCACGCTTACTGTAACAAAGGCATTGACACTCCAGCGGTAACATGGGGCTGCCACTGGGCTGGCGGCATCCTCAGCCCGGCCAACCCAAGCTACACAGTCGAGGAGCTCGCCTTTCAACTCAAGGACTCAGGAGCCAGGGCTGTGGTCACACAACTACCATTTATCAAAAATGCCCAAGAGGCGGCAAAACAGGTTGGAATACCTCTTGACAAGGTCATTGTGATGGGTGATCAAAAAGATCCCGAGTACAAAGTAAAACACTTCACTAGCATCATCAACACTGCGGGCTCTGCGAAGTATCGGAGGACTAAGGCAAATCCAGACGACGATCTAGCATTCTTAGTGTACTCCTCGGGAACAACGGGCAAACCCAAAGGTGTAATGCTCACCCATCGAAACATTGTTGCAAACATATTGATGTTGAAAGCCGGAGAGGCTGGCCGTTTGAAACCAACGGGGGGTCCGAACGGCGAGGGCGATAAACTGCTAGCGTTTCTACCCTTCTTCCACATCTACGGTACGTCGGCAGTCGCTAGCATACCAATTACCCACTGACGGTCAACAGGCCTCACCTGTTTGATTCACCAGAGCATCTACACAGGTCTACAGCTGGTTGTCATGCCGAAGTTTGACCTCGAAGACTTCTGCCGATTCATCCAAGAGCTCAAGATCACGTTTGCCTACGTCGTCCCGCCCATCGTGCTTCTCCTGAGCAAGCATCCCCTAGTCTCCAAGTATGACCTCAGCTCAATACGTATGATGAATAGCGGAGCTGCACCATTAACCCGAGAGCTCGTAGATGCAGTTCACAAAAGACTTCAGATACCTGTCAAACAAGGCTACGGGCTCTCAGAAACCAGTCCAACCACGCACACCCAGCCATGGCAGGATTGGAATAAGACGGTTGGATCTGTAGGTACGCTTCTCCCGTATCAGACAGCGAAATATATGTCACCGGAGGACAAGGAGATGCCAGTTGGTGAGGTGGGGGAGCTGTGGATCAAAGGTCCAAACGTCTTCAAGGGCTATCTGAACAACCCGGAGGGCACCGCGCATGCGCTGACAGCGGACGGCTACTTCAAGACTGGTGACGTGGGTTATCAGGATAAAAACGGCAACTTCTATATCACAGACCGCGTCAAGGAGCTCATCAAGTACAAGGGTTTTCAAGTGCCGCCCGCAGAGCTTGAAGGTATTCTGGTCTCACACCCGAAAGTTCTCGACGTTGCTGTGATAGGTGAGATATCCAGTGCTGATCACATGTGAGATATACACTGACATCATACCTCCACCGCTCTAGGCGTGTACGATAAGAATCATGCAAGTGAACTTCCGAGAGCCTACGTCGTGCCTACGGATGGTCTGGGCAAGAGTGAGACAGATGCGAAGGAGATTGTTGACTGGCTGAGTGGTAAAGTGGCAAATCACAAAAAGTTGCGCGGGGGAGTGAGATTCGTGGATGAGATACCGAAGAGTGTTTCAGGTAAGATTTTAAGAAGGTTGTTGAAGATAAAGGCACAGGAAGAGGAGACGAGCGTCGCAAAGGCGAAACTTTAGGCAGCCTCTGTTGCTACATCTTGAACCGTACCCGCACCAATCTCACTTTCTGATCTCACTTCACTTATGATTGATTGCCTTCTTCTCGGTCTTTTTCTCATCCGCCTCACTCATATAAACCTTCTTCCCAGCACTTCATCTCAATCCATCTAGCACTTGTTCAGCTTTTCTCCTACCACACCTGCGACAATCACTCAAACAAACAAGCAGCAATTCGATAGCACTATAAAGCCTCCAGACATCTCAAGAACTCCAAGGTAAAGAAATGAAATCTCATGTAGGTAGTCTAGACTAATCATATCACAGTCTACCATGTCTTCAAATCCCAAGAAAAGGCAGGCCAAGCCGGACGTGTTCATACTAGCAGCGAAGAAGGTCGCTCGAGCCTCCAATGTGCAGCCAGAAAACACTGCGAATAAGCAGGACGAGGTGTTCCAAGTATCGGTCAAGCTGCACAGAAAGTTCGACCATTTCCCGGCCAAACTCCGCACGATACTCGAGACCTCATACAAAGACACCATTGACGCCCAGATGGATACACTTCAATCCGGCAAGCAACTAGCGCAACGATATACCTATAGCGTATTGGTTGGCCAATGCGACCGCCCGTCAACCTCCGGGTTTGACTTTTGTATCAGCGAGAAACGTACACTGCACCTCAGCCTCGCCAATATGCAGCTGCTCGAGGCCTTCATGGGAAGAAATCAGGCTGGACTCGGGAAGGCTACATTTGTTGAGTTGAAGACCAAGGAAGGTCTTGCGAATGCAGAGTTCATCCACCTTCATTCCGTCCGGCATGGTGAGCTAGGATGGGGTTTCGACACTCACGGGTGTCTATCGCTCTACTCAGTCAGTATCGTGGATTCTCGACTTAAGGAAGTCGTTTACTTTGTGGAGAGATCAGAGGTGAAAACTGAAGACGAGGGATGAACAATAGGACAGGTAGCAGTGGAGCTATCATCTGAAGGAACAACGAGCGGTGAATATTTCGATATTCAAGGGTTCTGGTCGGAGTTTGCAATGGGTGGGACTGCTGCTGAAAGCATGGGACAATCTGACTTTAAGGGCTGGTGTTTTGGGATCTAACCTCCTTCTTATACAAAATACAAAAGTACTTATGTAGGCTGCGGTCTCTCTGGAAGCAGGGCTACGATGGCGAGTAGTAATTAACACAATCCTGTGAAGTTTTCATGTTTCGAGAAGAAAATTGGGGATCAGCACATCGAGTCAAAGGAAGCGACATGGTCGCCTAGGCAGCTAGGGTGTACAGTGATGACTAAGCTTGGTGAACGAGGGTGCGGAACTTAGACCTCACTTCCGAACCTTGTTCTTGTCTTTGAGCGGAGACGACTCAGTTTCAACCCACCATCACACCTCTCGCAACCCCTTCTACCTTTTTGCGCTATCACTATTAATTCATCGACTTGGACTTGTACCACGCCATTTAATTGTAGCTATTACCACCTTCCCTGCGCGGACGACGAAGCCACATTCTTGTACCTAGGCAAGAGCGCACTTGAAGAGGAAGGAATTACACCATGAACGCGCCAGATAGGTACGCTTCCCTTCTCTTACCTTTATTCTCTCAGGTCTATATTTGTCTACCAAAAGTCAAAGCCGGTATGGATTCCAAGGAAGCGCCAGAAGATGTCCCTCAGTATGTTGAGCGCTTTCACCTCACGGTGAAAACACCTGGCCACCACGCCTACTCCGCGTGAGCACGCAACTCTGCTGCCTAATCGCTGCGCGCGCACACGACCATATGGACTGTTTCTCCGCAAATTCATTCCCGACCGCAACGACTCGAGCGCAATTCTTAGCTGCAACAATACCCGGCGCTCAACTACAACTCGAAGATGCCTGGCGCCGATAGCATCCCAGCTCGATCTTGGAGCCACAAGATCGGGCAGCTTGTCGAGCACAACCCAAATTGTGGACTCCGCGACCACCAGAATCACCGTCACGTCGGGCACAAAGCTGACTATGACAACGAATCTAGATTCGAGCTCTTCCTGCTAGACGAGGGTCAGAAGAAGGTCGAATGGAAAGAGGAGACACGTAGGCCAACCCTGAGAACCCACCAAATTGTCACAGTCACTAACCTCACCATGCAACAGGTGTCCCGCACACAGCCATCTTCACCTTCAACAAAGAAGACCACACGCTTGGCAACTTACTCTCCCAGCGCCTTCTAAAGTATGACTATATCGTCTTCTCCGCCTACAAGGTTCCGCACCCGCTGTTTGCGACGTTCGAACTCCGCGTCCAGACCGACGGTTCGATTACACCTAAGGATGCGATCATCAGGGCATGCAGGGATATTGTGCAGGATCTCCAGAGGTTGAATGACAGCTTTCAGCAGGAGTGGCTGGGCAAGAAGATTGTGAGCGAGGGCGAGGCCGAGAGGGTTGCGCGCGAGCAGAACAACTTCTAGAGTGGTCTTGAATGGATCCTGAGCGAATGGGGGCGTATGGGTGAAGAATTCTTGAAGGAGATGCATACCTCGGCGTTTAAAAGGTGGCTGGCATGCTATGGCCGGTCTGGCGTTATGGTTGGGTGTATGAACATGGCATTTCCGATATTGTCCTCACTGTGTTTAGGCAGTTGGGACTCATGAGAGCCGTAGCGTTCACACTGCGTGGGATCTAGAGGACTGTTCAGCGATCCCGTTGTGTCTACTCTGAGGCTTACACGTCGTGCACTCAGTTTCAGTGTTTGCTACCGAGAGCGACCAAGTCATGCCATCTACCCGCAAGGGAGACACTATAAAGGAGAGAACTAGAAAATGGCAGTGTATGACATGGTTGTTTATATGGTTCAAAGTACAGCCAGTGTGGAGGTGATATGCTCAGCTAATTACAAGATATGATATTCTTTGAGCGTTTTATGCGTAACTCAATCGCTCTCATCATACTTATTCCCCAACGATATATCCCCGAGCAGAATATCGTCCTGTGCTGGGCCTCTGTGATTCCTCACCCACTCGCACTCGACCCGAAAGAATATCCAGACCCATCTCCTCAGTACCTCAAGTACCTCCATTGTAAAAATGCCTCCCTCCAAGTCATTAAAATGATCCAAATGCACGCTCAACTTCAAGCTCCACGTACACCTCAACAGTGCATCGACCACGATCGCTGCATAATAAAGCTCTTTCGCATGAAACCACCTATGACGTCTCAAACCCCATGGATGTTCTGGACTATCTCGTTCGCGGGCGCCGGAGAAGAGGGAGAGGTCCCAGTCGCGTGCTACATCCCAGTAGAACGAGTAGCCAGAGTTGACGACGACGGCGGCGAGCCACATGCGGAAGAGGGTTGCTTCTGAGACACCGAATGTTGAAGGATCGGGAGAGCGTTGTAGAGCGCTGAGAATAATGACAGGGAAGGCGGTCGAGTACTTTAGCGCATTGGCAAGGTGCACGCCTCCCCACCCCATGGCTGGACTAATCTGCCCAGTCCGCTGATTCGCCTTCTGAACTCGATAGTACTCCGTTATACACTGCCGTAGCCGGATCAAGGAGGGTATAGATATGATGAACGGTACCCAGAATGTGCCTCCGCAGCTCCGATTCGGGGGGCCAGTTGAGCTATGTGATCTGGAGAAGAACATGCATAGCGAAACAAAGAGGTCGCCGAGCACTTTTGCGTAGCTCGTCAGCGCATCAGCGAGCAGGATGTCGCCGAATTTGCCGTCGGCGGCTTCTGCAATCCCGCCGATGGAAATGCGCTTCAGTGTAGCCAGGGTGCGGGAGCGGCCGTTGCGGCTCACAAAGGGTATGGGGGCTATGAAGCCAACGACAAGGACTAGGAGATATAGGTTCGGCAGGATCTCCCATGCCGCAACGTCCTTTGGACTTCCATTTGTGAGGAGCCAGAACAGGAGGAGCGAGAGGGCGAGTGGGATGGAGAGAAAAGTCGCGATGCGGTAGCAGGACAGGTGGTGTGAAGGGTGGTGCGGTGAGGCGCGGCTTGGGTAGCGGATTAGACTTGGGACGTCTATCTTGATTAAAGAGAGGTAGTGGAGGTTGAGGCCCCATGCCCAGATGCCTGTGGTATACGGTTAGTTTATAGAGATGGGTAGATGGGGAGCTGACTCTACAAACCGAGGACAATTATGAGCGCAACACGGTAGGGCAATGGTAGTACGCGACTAAAGCCATCGATTCCCGGCTCGACGGCAGGATCACCGTCCATTTCTTCTTCTAAGTCGCGGGTCGAGTCCCTTCGCTATGGCTGCGTCCCAGCTTTCCTTTTCGTCTCGAAGAATCATGAAGGTCCCTACAACTTGCAACGCTGACGACGCCTATCTTCTCCAGTCCCTTTTTGTCTCGTGGGCGCAAGGGGTATTGTCGTAAAGATAGCGTGTCCACTTCCCTCATCCAGGAGGCTTGACAAAAACGCAGCCACACCCCCGATCGCCCGTTACGTGAGCTGTGCTTCAGCCGCATTCTAACTGCTTTCGGCGAGCTTCCCAAAGCCTCGGGAGCTATCCCCAAAATGCGTGACCATGACGCGAGCATCAAGACGACAAAGTGACGCTTGCCCGCACGCTGTCATTGATCTACCAGCGAGCACTTCTATAGGTCGGCATCTTTGTCCAGGTCCCCAGATTCCCATCGATCCATACCAGTAAGTTTCCACACCTCCACAGCAATACAACCACTAAACATACACGTTAGCCCTCGAAAACGCGTGCCTGCAAACTTCTATCTATCACACCACTCCCCGACCGAAACCAATTGACAACGCACACAATGTCCCCCCTCTCGGTCCCTAAGATATTCATGGCTGGTGGGTTGTCGGGCTTCGGCTACTACCTATACATGCGACAATACTGGTTCCCGAACCCGTACAAAACACAGGGCGTCCAGAACATCGAGGACCGCTTCTCAGCCGGCGGCGGATCCCCCACACACACGCCAGCAGGGGGAAGCAAACGTGGTACGGATACCCAGCATAATGCGCCAATGTTGTCGAGTGGGAGACAGCTGTGGTAGGCTAACGATAGAGCAGGAAGTTCGACGGACAACGCAGGCAGACAGGAAGTGAATAAAGGCCCAGAATCAGAGCACTATAAGAAGAACATTTCGGATCAGTAGAGTATGTTATGCGAGTAGGGTGGCCTGAGGTTTGCTTGTGCTAATTTCGAGTAGCCCGTCTAGCCGCAGGAGTTCTATGAGTAATTGTACAACAATACCAAGGGGAAATAAGGCATCTCACCATAGCGGATGAGTGGGTAAAAAACAAAAAGGCATGGGCATTACAAGGGGACCTCAAGGGTTCGACAATAAGCCGTGGTCATCTGATGTATCAGGTTCGGGGCGTTTTTGAATGCGAGATGGGTGCGCACAGCATCCTTCATATGCAAGATCTCATCTACGACTGCTCAATGGCAGTAGTGAGTGATGCAGATAGTAAATGTTTAACTTTCTGACTTCCATTTCGCTTGTATTTTGTATCCGCTGGACATGTTCAGACAGTTGCTAGTGACAATGGCCCCCGACCTGCGGAAAGGATATTGGCAATGGCAATGCCGCTCGCATCTGTTGATTGATCCGTACAAGTGATTGCATATGATGATATTTGTCTCTCGTTGAAATTCAGAATGGTTTGGTTTAAGTATCTGCCCATAACATGTTCTATCACGGTGGAATGCAACCCAGCCGTGCAGATTTGTGCATCACGCGAAGAATGATTCAGACTTCAAAATTTGTGATGTGGTTGACCCGACATCTAATCAAGCTCCATGATATTCAGAGAGTTCTATAGACCTTTTAAGCCTATCAAAAGGCGCCGTGTCGCTGGACACTCAAGGCCCAATTTGCCACCCAACCACTGCCTCAACAGATCATGATAGCGCCGCGGTACGCCAGTAACACCTTGCTTTCTCACGAGGCTTTGTACTTCAGGAACATTGCTCAGGCCTAGTACATCGATGAGAAACCTCACCGCGAGCCCAGACTCGCCCACACTAGTAATCAACGCTAAAGAGAGGACATTAAAAGTATATACAATGCAGATCACATTGGGAATATAAGGGATGCCTCGCCGTGGGATTTTCAAGACCGGTTGATCTGCGCTTGTTGCAAGCCCGGGCTCTGCTGCATCTGTGGGTTCTGGGGCGTGGCGCTCCGGCTGGGCGGCCGAGCATTCAATCCAGGACTACCGGCCTGTTGTCTCTGCTGCTGGCTCATCATCCGCTGCTGCTGCACAAGCTGCTGCTGATAGTTCTGTACCGCATTCGGTTGAGGACTGTTGGCCATACCGCCGGCTTGTTGAAGATAATGATTGTTTCCCATTTGCGGAGAGGGGGACATGCCCGAAGACCCTGCTGCTGCGTTCATTGCCTGTGCGCGTTGCTTAGCCAGGAACCGGGAGAGTTGTTCGGAAGCCACTTTTTGAAGCTGCTCTGGTGTCCATTCCGGATGCTGTACCTTTAAACTGTTTTGGATTTGCAGGAGCTGCGGCATGTGCCCACTGGATAATGGACGAGCAGGAGTTTGATTGTTCCCATTTCCCTGGTTCATCCTCGGAGATCCAGCATTGTTGGACATCCCGTTCATGGCAGTATTCATATTCCCGTTCATGTTCCCATTGAGGTTCTGGTTTGGTAGAGGCGCCATCATGTTCGCATTGGGAATACCATTCATGCCCATGCCTTGCGTGAGGTTACTCGCCATGTTAATCTGCTGTTGTTGTAGCTGGAATTGGTGCTGTTGATTGGCGTTCTGGAACTGGCCTCGTTGCATAGCCATGCGCATTTGATCAGGAGGTCCCATGCGCTGAGCATTTTGCATGTTGCCTTGCATTTGTGCCTGGGGGACACCTGGTGTACCCATGGATATGCCAGACATGTTACCATTAGCAAAGTTAGCTGGCATTCCCTGCTGAGTTTGGTGTGCCCGTGCTGCCATTGCGGGACCGTTCTGACCCTGTTGCGAGGAAGAATTAGCCATTTGCGTAGGAACATTGACATTGCTTCCAGGTGTCCCGTTACGCTGCATTTGGTTGACACCATTCGCCATGCCTGGTTGCGCCTGCATTTGAGCCTGTCGCTGTGCTGCCATTTGTTGCTATGTGGAGTTAGTCTAAATTTCGTCAAGCGTGCCGAATCACTTACCCTGACAAGCATCTCCTGTTGCAGTTGCCTTTGCTTCAGCTTCTCTTCACGTTCCCACTTGAGCCGACTGAACTCTTGCGGGGTATGAACATTGCTCTTCGGCGGCGCAGGCTCATGTGCTTTTCGGAGCGCGGCAGCTTTCTGGGACTCCGCCTGCTTGTGCGCAGCAGACTCTCGCTTCCTCGCTAGTTTGCGCATACCATCAATGATGGCGAGATGTCGGTTCTCCCTCCTCCTCTCCACTCGTATCGGCGTGGTCGTAGGCCGTCTTCGCGGCTGTGCCGGTGTTGGTCCTTGCTGTTGTTGTTGCTGCTGTTGCTGTTGTGCCTGGAATTGGGCATACACGGTCTTATTCGCTTGCTCCAATCGGCCCTGATAAGTCCGGAAATATTGTGTCTTTGACATTTCTGCAGGTAACCCTTCTAACTGTACCCACCGCTCGAAACACTCCCAAGGTGTTCGCCGGCCAGACCCGGACACAAACATGGACGGTAGTGATAACTGTTGCGACACAAGAGACCAGTTGAACGTATATTCTTTCACTAGGGCTCGCAATTTCTGGTCCTCTTCCCATAGCCACTGAGATGGAGTCCTAGTTTCGAAAAATGCAACCGACGGCATGTTGAATTCAGTCGGCGGCCGGAACTGGTGAGCCACTTGCAGTCGGTCCCGGACATGCTTGTTCTCTGCGTTGAATAGTGCAACGTCTGTCATTTCTGGGGGCAAATCGTTGCGACAGAATAGTCGTCGGCCGGGAGTCGATGGCATTGAGTGTTCAGCTGAAGTCCCAGATCGACTCGGTGGCGTAGACGGCTCATCTTCAGAGTCGTAGTCGTATCTACTCCGTTTCCTGGGCGGACCTCGTATTTGCGACACTAGCTTTCCTGTTACGAACTTCGACACGGGGAGGATTGGCGGTTCAGAAATCGAGAAGGGACTGGTGTCACTGGAACCCTCAAGCATGGGCTCGTAGAACGGAAGTTCCCGGAACATGGTATCGCTGGCAGGGGTTCGTTCGATTTTCATGACGACGTCATGAAAACCCAGGGAAAAGAGCCCGGCTGGGGGGTTAGCACTGAGGGGGGTAAGGAGCTCGTCTTCATCGGCGTAAGACTCAGTTTCCGTTTCATTTGCGCCGGACTGAACGAGATCTGGCGTAGGAGCATCGTTCATATCCTCATCATCGTTGCTGGTATGCTTGGCTGATCTTGGAATGCGCGACTTGACTTGCAGTGTTGCTCGCTCCGTTGAGCTACTGTTTACGTACTCGGCGCACCATTCCGCGAATGTGGCAGCAAGTGACTTTTTCCACTTCCTCTCTTCTCTGAAGTCTGTTTGCATCCACTTCATTTCTAAAAGTAGTTGATCCTGATGTGTGAACGGACGCTCGGGTTCCACTGCCTTTTGAAGCTGCCGTAGAGACCATCGGTTTGCGTTCTGCAACTGATAAACCCTCTTCAATATTTTATAGTCTTGATGTTCCCGGATCATGGCAAGCGTTCCAGCGGTCGATACAGTTTTCCGTGCCGAGCCTACCAGTTCCTGTAAAGGTACAGATCTTGGAGGATGATGAGCCTGGTACTTGAATAGACCCTCAAGGTAGTCCCGGCTCGAATCCTCCGAAGCTCCCTGCAGGGATGCATAGTCCTCATTGTAGGATTGTAAAGCTTTAGAAGTCCGAGTTGGGGTCTTCTTAGCAAAGACAACGGTCGAAACTTCTCGGGATTTCCGATGACTAGTCTTCGGTCGCTGAGGACTTACTGATGCGGAGCTGTTGCTCGAGTGGGGTGTTAATATGGCCTTGGGTGTTGCATGATCTGCGATGATCTCAGAAACAGACTTTTGGCGAATTGCCCCAGAGGAAACACGCGTAGTCATCCGCTCGGTTCGCGCTGGCGGAGGTTGAGGCGATGTTATGGACTGTGGATCTGAAGGCACGTCGTCCATATCGATGTCAGCATCCGCAGGGGGTGTTGGGTGATCTTGAGCCATGTGGGCAGCTTCTGGTTGCTCGAGGCTATTATCAGTAGTTTCGCGATCCACAGTTGATGATTCGGGAGCGGTCGTCGTTGGTGTTGGTAATGACTCTGCTGCATGGTCGTGAGTGGCCTTGGATCCCATGGACTCATCGTACTCGGCCGCCAATTCGCCCGCTACCTCACTAGCATCTTTGGTAATTAGATCCAATCCTGATCGAGGCTGCGATTCACTCAAACGGTCTTTTCCATCGCGAGCTAGCCGTATCGCTTGCTCGTTTTCAATCTGTTTCTCGATGTCTGGGGTCGGGGAGTCGTCTTCGCGTGCTCGTGCTCGTTCCCGTGCTTCCTTCATTCGTTTCTGTAATGCACGTTCATGGTCTTCCTTCACCTGCTGAGCTGCAGGGTCCAGGACTTCGTCGTTGGGCACTGGCGCATGATTGCGCTCGTCGACGGACTCTGCGTCAGGACTGGTGTCAGGAGAATGATGGGGCGCATGCGGTGTCGCTTGAGAATAGGGGCCGACAGTCGACGAGGGCGAAGAAGCATCAAGTGGACCATTCGTATGTGGGAGAGCCAGTCTTTCGTCTTCTCTACGTTCCTTCTCCGCAGCCTTGTCCAATTTCCGCTCCGTCTCTTGCAGTCTCGATTCTTGAACTTCCTGTGGAGGTAGGTGCACAACTTGGGGAGCCTTTGGCTTGCCTTCAGCTGTAGGGGCAGACAATGAGTCGTCGGGAGAGGCAGTAGCATCAACATCCTCAGCAGTGGGAGGCGCGACAGCAGTAGGACTGACTGAAGGGCTCTCAGGACCAGTACTGCCCGGGGCGCTCACATCCTGGACGGCTGGTGCCTTGGACGACGGACGTAGCGGGTGCTGTGCTTCGGACTGGGCCTTGATTGCTGTCTTTTCCTCCACAGCAGGTGGCGCAGGTGGCGACGGGGCCTTTGCTTGAGGAGAAGAGCGAGTCGTGTCGTTTTGCGATGGTGCTAGAGGTAGCGTTTGAGTTGCGACAGAAGGTGAGGCAGACGCAGCGCGCAGTTGGTCTTCAAGGCTGGGCGTGCCAGCAACTGGTGACGGCGACGACGTTGAAAGCGTCGGGAAGACGGGTTTATTAGCATTCTGGAAGGGTAGGGTATCGGGCAGTGGTGGTTGCTGGTCAACAATGACTGGTGGGAAGGGTAGAGTTGCATCGTTGAAGCGTCGACCTCTGTAGACGCAGGCAGGTTAGTTAGCGGAATGGACGACGACAACAACAACACCAAGTCGCAGATTGAACCAGACTTGATCGTGCCAGGCTCTGTAGGAGAGACTTCTTACTTTGTCTGGTCATTTTCGTCAAGAAAACGGCGTTCGTCCTCGTCAGGTTCGCTATAAATGCTGTCCTCTGGCTGGGGTTGGTAGGTCGCGCTCAACGAGGCCGTGCAGGCGACCGTGACCCTGTAGAGTTCGCGCAGCTTGCGCTTGCGGGTGGACAAGCAGCTCCTATGCACCGCGATATCAGCACCACGACGCCATAATTCCGCAAAAGAAGCGATTTTTCGGTGTCGCATCAAGTCACAGAGTCGAATGAGACCCAGTGCGACAATATCGGCGCCAGTTACTCACTTGACTTCGTTCGACTTCTCCCTAAGTAATGCATCACGAAGACCGTCGAAGGACATGTGAGGGCCGACGAACGGTGGCCGACATCCGTTATCCACGAGTGCCGCCGTTGTGATGGATTAAAAAAAGTTTGTTAAGCGCGTTCGTTGATGGAAATGTGGTAGGCAATACACAGAACTGATGGGGGGGACTTTGCAGAGTCGTGATGGGAAGGAGGCACCTGCAGCCAAGCGGGTCGTCGTTACCGCCTGCCGTGATAAGCTCTGCGCTTGCCGCCTTGGGCTAGCCGCGAGGCAGTATATTTTCTGTATCTCAATTTTCTACATGCCGTCGCGGCACCGCCTGACTTTGCACGCTCAACCATGGCCAAGAGAAAGAGGGAGACGAACGGCGCTGGAGCCGCGAAGGCGCTGAAGAGCAGCAAGGAAGACAGCGCCTCCACGCCCAAGCAGGCTGCAACGAAGAAGGAAGTTGCGTCTCGTAAACCTGCAGCAGGTGCAGTCAACGGGAAGCCAGTCGCAGACGCCAGCAAGCCACGGATAAGCCCAGATTCAAAAGGAGGGCAAGAAGATGCCGATACGACGACGATCCAGGTCATCACCGGCTCCTATGAGAGAGTGCTCCATGGATTTGCAGCAGCCATCCCCCAGCACCTGGTCACGGGACAAGAAGATGCCTCACCACCAGAGGCCGACAAGCCCAAGGTGGACTTCACAGATACCTTCCTGTTCAATGCGCATGCTTCGGCTATCCGATGTCTGGCCCTCTCCCCGCTATCCGATGAGACTTCCAAGGTCACGCTCGCTACAGGCAGCACCGACGAGCGCATAAACTTGTACTCGATATCCACAGCACCCCCAGTCGCCTCAAAGTTCAGGCCCAAGCTACCCTCCCTCCATGGCGGCTCCATCACCGAGAATCCCAAGAACAAGGAGCTTGGGTCCCTGCTCCACCACTCGTCCAACATCACAGGCCTGTACTTTCCCACGCGAAGTAAGCTTCTAAGCTCCGCAGAAGACAGCACAATAGCCATCACACGGACCCGCGACTGGACAGCACTATCCACTATCAAAGCACCAATACCAAAGCCCCAAGGACGACCCAGTGGCGACACTGCAGGACCAGGCGAGGTGCCTTCTGGAATCAACGACTTTGCTGTCCACCCCAGCATGAAGCTCATGGTCAGCGTCGGAAAAGGCGAGAAATGCATGCGCCTCTGGAACCTCGTAACAGGGAAGAAAGCCGGCGTGCTCAACTTTGGCAGGGAAATCCTCACTGCCGTAGGAGAGGGGCGCTTCGGATCAGGAGAAGGGCGGCAAGTCATCTGGGACACAGAAGGCGAGGAATTTGCCGTAGGATTCGAGCGCGGTGTCGTCGTGTTTAACATTGATTCCAAACCAAAAGTCAAGATTGCGCCGTTGCCGAGAACAAAGATACACCAGATGCACTATCTCCCGTCGGAGTCGCTTCCGGCTACGCTACTGGTGTCTACCGAAGACGGACGCATACTCTTGTACGACACCAACTCCACGTCAACAACTGAAAGTCCGGAAGCGGAAACAGCCAAAGACGACATACCTTCAAGCAGACTGGTGGCGCAGATCGGAGGTCCCGCGGCAGGAATTACGAGCCGTGTCAAAGACTTTGAGATCCTCACCCTCTCCGAGAGCAATTTCATCGTAGTCGCGGGTAGCAGCGATGGGACTGTACGATTTTGGGCACTGAATACAGAAGAGCTCAAGGCTGGCACAGACGCGAGCAAAGCGAAAGGCTTCACTGCACTGCAAGTTGGCAAATTACTCGGATCTTATTCGACAGGAACGAGGATAACGTGCCTAAAGGCCTTTGCCATGACCGGGAAACCAGACGAGGAGGAGGAGGAGGAGGAAGTGGCTGAGAAGAGTGAGGCTTCCAGCAGCGATAGCGAATAATCAGAAGTGAGACGAACATGTTTAGAGTAGAATGATACCACCTGTTAATCCCAATGGCGACTCCCACGTTTGATAACCGTTCATCGTTTCAACTATACAATCTCAGCTATGGGGAAAACTCAATCTACACGCTACAGATTCATAGTAACAGTCATACTATTACTATGCACCAATAACACAGGCGGCAAGCCCTGGCACAGCACCTCCAAATCACTAATGTACTTGACGCTCTCCGCCTCGCTCTCACAAGTCCCCTCTATCGGACTTGGCAGCGTCGTAAACACCACGGCCGTATCATCGCTCTGACGCCGTATGAGCTCGTTGAGTATGAGGTGCTGAGCGCGACAGGGCAGGTCATTGAAGGAGAGTGGTATTGATTGTTGGGCGGGGTAACCTGATGCTGGAGAGGTAGTGGCCTGAGATGTAGGGAGAGCAGTGGCCGATGACAATGGGCTATTGGTAGCGGAAATCTGAGGAGAGCTGGCTGCTGTTGCTGCGAGCTGGGCGGGAGAGACTGGCGCCGTAGCGATGGGGTCCTTCTTCTCCTCTGCCCCGGTTGCCTTGGGGGTATTGACAAACATTATAGAGGGACCTGCCGCCTCCTCTGAAGCTACAACGGTTCGAGGTGTGGGGTTTGAAGTAAATTTTGGTAGGGATTGCGGGCCTACTAGAGGTGGAATGACGGTTCTTGCTCGTGAGGAGGGCGACAGCTGAGAAGTCGAGCTGGCACTGCTGCTAGACTTTTTCCCTCGTCCGGCACGACGAACAGCAGTGTCAGATGCAACAGCACCGGGATGTGGTTTAAGCGGCGTTACTGAATCCGAAGTGGGCCGATCATCCTTCAGCGAGCCATCTTTTGGCGAACCCTTCCAAATCACTTTTCGCAAGTCAAGCTTCTTTGAAAAGAATGACGGACTAGGTGTTGTTTGAGTTCTTCGCGATGGCATGGGACGTCTCGCGCTGCTATTGCTGTCGCTTTCATCCGTAGATGCGTCAAGATCGTACTCGTCGAAATTGCTACCACTAACAGCAGCCTCGCTCTCACTCGCTATAGCTTCGTCATCAGCTTCATCGTCATCTTTACCATCATCGCTCCTAGTAGAGCTTGCGGAGTCGCTGCCACTGTCTGCTAGAAGCTCAATGGGTAGTCTTTGGCTGCGCATCCCGATCTTAGCACCAGCTTCCTGCACATCACCCAAAGATGTTCTATTCTTTGCTCGTCGGAGCATTCTCTGCAGTGCGGCGAAACGCTTCGGCCTCGTCTCATGCCTACCATGCTGAAATGATGCAATTGGCCAGCTGGTGACGGCTTCAAGAATGTCGACAGTTTGCGCTATTTCTTGGCTTGCGCTCAAGTCTTCTGGTCGGCGAAGTCGTTTGATATCTTGCCACCAGCGCTCGTCTTCCAAAGAGTAATCAATATCTCGAGCTATTTGGTCAAAGCTGCCCTCGTCATGTCCGTTAAGAATGACTTCATACATCCCCAAGTCGCCACTTGCTAGCCAGAATACAAGCACTTCGGCTTCGATACGCAGGTTTCGCAGTAGTGTAGTAACTCGTCCTCGTTCTTCCTCAACATCTGCTTCGTACTCGACGAACACGCAGACTCTCAGCTTGTATGATCGCTTCCATGATGGAACCGTATGCAGTATGCAGCCAAGTTGGAGGATCAGGGTATATGTGTCGAAATTTGTTGTCAACACGTTGTTGCGACTAGGTTCCTCGCCCGTAGTCGCAACCTCTGCAGACATCTGTATGGGCCATAAATCAATAAACTTTTTCTTGGTATCGTCGATATCGATATTGCCCAGTCCGAGGACGCTCAGTGCTTTCTGCTTTGCGGTGGGTTTGGCAGATGGTACTTCAAGCTCTTGGAACCCTTTACCAATAGCGAAGTTGGCTTGTAGTCGTATAACAAGGTCCTCAATGACCGTTACGTAGTTTCGTATATCGATTGCGGTTTCGGGCCTCATCGCATCAGTAGGCAGTGTGCCCTGCATGTTGCCTGTCTGCCTTCTCTTAGGTGCCGCTTGTATCGCTTTACGAGCGACTGGACGATTAGCGGCTTTACTAGATGGTCGCGAAGGTTGAGGTGATGGTATGTCGATAGAGGGCTGATTCTGCCTAAGCTCTGAAAGATTGTAAAATCCCATAACGACAATGTTCGGTCTCATGCCACCCAACCCTGCGCCGAGGACAAGATTGCGAGCGCCCCATTCCACCGTAGGCGAAATGGCGATATTCACAAAAGCTTTGATTCTCGAAAAGTCAATATACTTGGTCCATGATCGTTGTTGTTGTCTCGCCTCTGGCACAGCCGAACCGAAGTCCTTGGTTACTATAACATGCCCTAGGACAAAAAGCCCTCCTTTCTTTAGCGAGTTGCAGAATTGAATCAACTTGTATTGTCGCCGAGGATCATTCACTAACAGCAAGATCTGGGGTCTCCAGAATTTGACATGTTCTTGACGTAGGCGCAAAAGGTACTTCCGGACCTGGTGGTAGATGAGACCTTGACTGACATCGCCCCATGGCTTCGGGGGCGTAGTGTAGTGGATGAGTAGAAAGATGACAAGCAGCAAAGCTACGCATCCAGAGGCATAGAAGCCGTCGACGAAGAACATTGTAACTCCGCAGACTATAGTCCCCACTGCCGCTGTTTGGGAATTGAAGAAGTGAAATGATGGCCGAAAGTTTGGGGCAGACCCAATCTTCAAGAGAAAACAGGCGAGGTTCGTTACCAGGAAAGTCATGAGATACTAGTACAAGTTAGCAAACTTGATGAAAGGAACGCGAAATTAAGTGGGTTGTCAAAAAAAGATAGAGAACATAACGTACCGTCATGGTGATGAATGAAGCGATCTGATTGATGTCTGCGAGCATGGTAATCTGTGCGATGAGATAGGTAATGATGATCGCATAGATGGGCTCGTCGGACATACGCGTGCCCTGACCAAAGAGAGAAATTCCTGGAATCAGATGATCTCGAGATAGTGCTTGCAAGAGCTTGGCTGACCCAATGACACCCATAAGCACTGAGAACAAGCTTGTGGCGAATTCCCCAGCCAGTATGACAACACCAGAGATATTCGTAAGCTGAATGACATTTGTGTTGCTGTAAAAGGATTCCCGGCCTATAGTTGCTGCCATGGCGAAGATGACCAAGGTGTACAGGATGAATGTCAAGCCTAGCCCATAAAGGGTTCCTTTGGGGATAGCTTTGCTAGGATGCTTCAGGTCTCCTGACATGCTCGCACCAGCAAGAATACCTCCGGTTGCTGGGAACAGGATGCCGAAGAGGTCTTGAAAGCTTTCTCGATGCTTTCCTACACTTCCAGCTGCGCCCCTTGTGAAATTAGGCAGGAGATTCTGTCGAAAGGTATCCAGACTGAATCCGGTGAATACAATGTGCTCCTTCATATTGACGAATGGGTCTTTGATAGCTGCTGATAAAGGGATGCTGATGATGGCAACAAGCAGGATGATTAGCAAACCGTTGCTGCAACGCGCGAACAGACGGCTGCCGGCCAGGCAGATAAGCGTGCATACTGCTAGCACCGCAGTAGCCCAAAGGAACTGCCACCAGTAGCTCTGAGGAAGCCATTGGGCCATATTGCCGGCATGTGTGCCAAAGTTGACGATGAAACAATCAATCAGTCCAACAGCATTGAGAGAAGTGTTGAACACTGAGCCTAGATAGAAAACGATGCCGATCGAGCCACCAAACTCAGGCCCTAGACTTCTGGAGATGAGGTAGTAGGCTCCACCACCTCTTACCGTGCCGTTGGTGGCAATTGCAGAAATGCTCATGGTGGTCAATAGGTTGATTAGATACGCAGCAACAAGCATGCCCATCATGCCCACAAGACCAGCTTGACCGAGGATAAAGCCAAACCTCAAGAACATCAAAATGCTCAAGACATTTAAAGTCACGGGCACAAAGACACCAGCAAAGGTGCCTAGTTTCTCTGTGCCCCCAACTGGCCTTGGGAAAGCACCAGGCCTTGGTTTGGAGGCCTCAGTGATTGACTTTGGTGGATTCGACCGGAAAGAGTCGAATTTACTGGAAAACCAATGCATCAATGATTCGACCACTTGGATTTGCTCTTCAGCGCCATCGTAGCCAAGACCATTCTGTGACGACTCTTGCTGGCCGCTGTCAGGAAGAAGTGGGGTTTCCTCATTGGCTGGAGGGGACTGCTGCACAAAAGAACGTCGATGAAGTCGCTCGGTGTCGTCTCTCGCTGTACGTGTTGCGAAATTGGAGCGAGTTCTCGGTGGCATCCGACCCATTGTCTGCTGCGCATTATCGGCATCGGACATGTTTCAGGCTTTTAGAAACCTTGGTTCCTGGCACGAGGTGTCGCTGCGCCTTTCCGTCCGTGGTACCGAGAGTGGTAGCCGTGGGAATCACCGACAGGTCCTGGATGGCTTTTTGGAGCCCAGCTTGATCGAGTGAGACATGGAGAGAGGTGGCAGAAGTGACAGCTTTGAAACCCGCGCGTGAAGCGATGACGCCGGCGCTACATCAACAGCAAGGTGAACAACTATCATGCTTCTGAAGAGTTTAGCGGCTTAGCCTTCGCATCCACTTCGGACGGTTGCAAGGGTGCAGCTTGTGACTAGGTCATCCCGCGCACCCCACGCCATATCTTTGCAGCGAATGACTTCAGTCCTTCGGCTCAGTCCTCGAAACGGCCCTTTCTGCGCGTTCTTCTCTCCTTCGCATCTTTCTTGACCCGGTCGTTCTTTTGCTGGCCGCCCAGTACGCTCTCATAGCCTGAAGAACCCCCCCAAACTCTCGCGACTGATTTCAGTGCATCCAGTCCTCTGTCGCTGACGTTACACACTGATTATCGAGCTTCAGCATCAACTGGTAGCTGACTGCCGAAGCTTGATAGCAGGTGCAAGACGTAGTTTTTCAATCCAGAAATGGCAGGCGATCGCTCAGAGTCTTCGAGACCACTAGCAGTCCCTTCTTCGCCGCGAGAATCCGGCCAAAGCTCCCCAGCAGAGTCACAATCCGTGACACGGGCAGAGTCTATCGCGAGACTGGGCTCACCCGTTCCTTCTGCTCCAACCGCCTCGGCTGTGCGCCAAATACCAACCCCAGCTCAGCTCGAGGACTCGCCCTCGGCACAAACACCATTAGCAGGACGTACAGACCAGTCCTCGCTGCCCGGCCCAGGCGCGTCGGCTCTTTCGTCAGCGTTGAAAGAGTCACTCGGTAGAAGCCCCCCGCGATTCGGTACACCGCCTATACAACCGCAATCGCCAGCCCAGCAAACGCCTTCCTTTCGCGGCCCCCCGAGCAATTACGGCTCTTTTGACGGTCGAGGTCGCTCGCCTGTGCCTTACGAAGATCCCGAGATTGTCCGGCGCCATTTGGTCGGGCAGCATGCGTCACCCAGCAGGTCAAATCGAGGATTCATAGGCGATGACGATACACAGTCGCAGGGTAAGCGGGCTTTGGATGAGGAGGAAGCAGAGTTCTCGAGTCTGCAGCTCCAAGGCGGCGATATCACAAGGCAGATATACAGGTGGAGCGAGCAGCAACAGGCGGAGGAGCAGGGCAAGATGCAGCGGAGCAAGAGCTTCCATGGATCTCAACGTCGCCCAGACGAAGAAGTTTTAGACATCGACTCCATAAGACAGCCAGGAGGGTTCAGACGGAATTACTTGCGCAGAGCTGCCGGTAGTCCGTCTCCAGCCCCGGGCCCGTCTGGTTATGGTACTGTCCGCCAGTCTCGACAACAGCCCCAGGTCTTTACGAGCAACTTCCTCGAGTTCTTGACACTCTACGGCCATTTCGCCGGTGAATCGCTCGAAGAAGATGACGAAGTACTCGGCCCAGATGAATATTTCTCTTCAGATGCTCTGGACTCTGGGGAGCACTCGGAGGATGAGGACCGTGAGTATGGCGAATCGAGTGCCCTACTCACACCTGGAAAACGCCGCAAGCGGAAACCGAAGAAAACGGGCAACGGCAGTCCAACCGGCGCAGCTATGTTGCTCCTCAAGTCTTTTGTCGGCACTGGCGTGCTTTTCCTTCCTCGCGCCTTTCTTAACGGCGGTATGCTCTTCTCAAACCTGGTCCTTCTCGGTGTGGCAGGTCTATCTTACGCCTGCTTCGTTCTACTTGTCTCTACTCGACTTGTAGTTGAACATTCCTTTGGTGACATGGGCTTTCATCTATACGGGAAGTGGATGCGTAACATGATCAACTTCTCCCTCGTCATCTCCCAGGTCGGCTTCTCCTCGGCTTACATCGTCTTCGTCTCCGAAAACATGCAGGCTTTCGTCTTAGCGGTGTCGAATTGCAGGACAAACATTGACATCAAGGTTATGATATTGATGCAGATGGTCATTTTCTTGCCCCTGTCTCTCTACCGCAACATCAACAATATCCAGAAGCTTGCCCTAGTGGCGGACCTGTTCATCCTTCTCGGACTCGTGTACCTATACTACTACGACCTCTTCACCATCGTCCACCAAGGCGGCATTTCTGACATCGCCGCGTTCAATCCCAGAGACTGGACCCTGTTCATTGGTACCGCCATCTTTACCTTTGAAGGCATTGGTCTCATCATTCCAATTCAAACCGGCATGAAAGACCCGAAGAAGTTCCCCAAGGTTCTCGGAGGCGTCATGATTATCATTACTGTTGTGTTCCTCAGCGCAGGAGCACTGTCCTACGCGGCATTTGGGTCCAAGACGAAGACTGTTGTTCTACTGAACATGCCTCAGGATAACAAGTTTGTCAATGGCGTCCAGTTCATCTACTCGCTCGCCATCCTGCTCTCGACCCCGTTGCAAATCTATCCCGCGATTGAGATCACTAGCCAACAACTGTTCAGTAGAACAGGCAAGTACAACCCGTACGTCAAGTGGAAGAAAAACTTCTTTCGCTTCTTCATGGTCTTGGTGTGCGCCATGCTCGCCTGGGCTGGTGCAGGTGATCTCGATAAGTTTGTCAGTCTGGTAGGAAGCTTTGCCTGCATCCCGTTAGTCTTTATATACCCTGTAAGTGTGCTTCCTCCTTTCTAGAAATAGTATGTACTAACGATGCACAGCCTATGCTCCACTACAGGGCTGTTGCCCGAACGACCGTCGCTCGTGTGATAGACGTCTTACTTGGTATCCTCGGTGTGGTCGGCATGGGTTATACTACCGCCCTTACGATTAACAGCTGGGTCAATGGTGGTGCTCCAAAGGCTCCAGGGTACTGCGACAGCCGTTGATTGGGAGCTTCTCTCGAGCATGGCGCTTTCATCTACCTCATTTTCATCTCTTGCCGCATTTTAGCGATATAAATCAGCATCTCCGTCTCGCATTTGACTCAGCATTAGAGCCATGCGGTTGTAGTAGAAATATGGGTGGTTGTTATGAAGATCTGATGCAACCTCAAGTTATATTAGATTGAAGTAGTGGGGCTCACGCCTCTCAAGGAGCATCATCGAGCGCAATATCATCTATTTGTAACACGAAGGTCATTGCTCTGTTTGATCGCATGTCCTTGTATCAGCTTAGCCTGTCGATTGCACATTGATTGCCATGAATGGTTGGTCGTCGCATATAGTAGTCATGAAAATCGATTGACGACGGCAATTTCAACGAGTATGTTAGGAATGTTTGAACGACGGCGTGAGCGAACCATTGCCACACGAGACTATAGTTTGCACTAGACTATGCGATGGATGCGAGCCCTCGAGCTAGTCATCTTCTATTCGGCCGAGTATTTCACGAGAATCGCCACCCAGGAAGCGAGCATTTGGCAGGTATGGGCGAGCTTCAATCTGAGATGGACCCACGCTGAAGCCGAGGCCTTGGCTTCCGGAAGATGGCAAACGATTATGTCAATACATGGCGAGTCAGATGCGCTGCACCAAGTACATGCAGGGCGCGTAAGGCCGGGGCGAGCTAAGCTCGATTGTAAGGCTGAAGTGCGGCTGATACTCGTTGACGCCACGTAGTGGGGTTGGGAGGCCTAACGTCTAGGTATCTGGCGGTCAAGATGCTGGCCGATACATGACTGGGGAGAGAGTTCACACTGGCACGCCGTGCCAGAGCTGAGACGGCCAAGTATCAGACAATAAGCTAAGCTGCCCAGAGGGACAAGCGTGCAGGGGGCCTACCAAATGCTTACCGTCCAGCCGCAGAAGAGACAGATACGCCCAAAGTCTCAGCCTGCTCCTACACGTTGACCTTCTGATTTCGTGATTCGTTCACGAGGCAAGCCACTGCGCTCTGGGGATGTGCTTCACTGCGTGAGAGTGTGAGAATGAGGCATGCATGGCAGAAACGCAGACTGTTTCTCACCGTCTGATAACGACATTGGCTCCAAAGCAAAAAAGCAAAAGCTGCAGAGAGACGGAACATCTCCCGCCGTTTAGTGGGCCCTGGAGGTGAGGTACTGGCCCACACTCTTTACCTAGCCAGCGGAAAGCCCGTGAGAGAAGCGAATAGCGATTGGCGGCAAGCGTTCCTCGTCTGGAGTCGGAGCCGTAGCCATACGTGGCCTGGGATGTCGCTGCTGACGTCGTAATCCATGGTGTTGAGTTTTTGCTTGTGCAGAAATAGAATGGTTTTCCTAAGCAGCCCATGAAACCGCTACTCGCGTCGCCCGTTGAGATACGAGCAGTTGGCAGTTAGTCGCCGCAATGGCAGCAGCGTGATCAGAGAATTCCAGCACTGTTGACAGAAAATGGTAGAAAAACGAGCTTAGTGTTGCTATTTTGGAACCACTGCGCCATCGTCCCTGAAAACAATAGCGGCGATCTTCCATGGGTGCCAGGAGCAGTAACGGGCGTGATTGGAGGACAAGGTCGTCGACTCCGATCGTGGCCTTCATCCCGAGAACATGACGGAATAGGGGAGGGGGATGTTGCAGAGAAAGAGGAACTGATGTGACGTTCTGCCATGGAACACGGTGCGACAATGTCAGTGTAGCAGGGCGCGAGAAGAGAAATTCAAGGATGGTGGAGGCGCCCCGGACCCATGCGTATGGCTGCACTGGCGAGGCTAGCTGAGGGGAGAAAGTGGAGTGCCTCTGCTCTGTTGGGGCTTGCGCTTGGCTCATGAAGATATAAAGCTACCAACACCATCCACCGCTTTTTGCTCTTCTCCCACCATCTGTCCTCTTCTCCCACCCCTACCCTTCTCTACTACCCCTAATTGAAGCCGACAACCTTATCCCTCGCTTTTATTTACATCCAACCCAGTTCTCTCGTTGCCTCGCCATGTGGTAGGTTCAACTGCCCCGCTATTCTCCCCCCCCGATGCCTCAGCGTAAACAGAACTAACAAAGCCCTTTGAAGCGGTATCTTTGGCTACATCAACTACCTGGTGGAGAAGGACAGGAAGTACATTCTCAACACACTCATCAATGGTAAGTTTCCCTTCTTAGCCGCACTTTTTCCGTGCGACAGCCGCTCAGCGGAGCCCAGAGATGCGTTGCTAACAAGTCTCCTCCACAGGCCTCCAACGCCTAGAGTACCGCGGCTACGACTCAGCCGGTCTTGCCATCGACGGCGACAAGAAGAATGAGGTCTACGCAGTCAAGGAGGTCGGCAAGGTCGCCTCGCTGAAGAAGCTCGTCGATGAGCAAAACTTCGACTTGAACAAGGTCTTCGACTCGCATGCCGGTATTGCTCACACACGATGGGCCACCCATGGTCCTCCTTCGCGCGTCAACTGCCATCCCCACAGGTATGTCACGCGTCCCGCACGTCACCTCCAATGTCTCTGTGCGCGAGGCTAATCCGTCACCCAATAGGTCCGACCCCGACTGGGAATTCGCTGTCGTCCACAATGGCATCATCACAAACTACAAGGAGTTGAAGACGCTGCTCGAGAGCAAGGGCTTCAAGTTCGAGACTGAGACCGACACCGAGGCTATCGCAAAGCTCACAAAGTACATCTACTCTGAGCACCCTGACCTGAGCTTCCCCGCTCTCGTCAAGGCCGTAATCAAGGAGCTTCAGGGAGCATTCGGTCTTCTCCTAAAGTCTGTGCACTTCCCTCACGAGGTGGTCGCTGCCCGCAAGGGTTCTCCCCTTGTTATCGGTGTGCGGACACAGAGGAAGATGAAGGTCGACTTTGTCGATGTTGAGTACAACGACGAGGGTGCTGCCCTCCCCGCCGAGAGCGCGTCCCACAACGCTGCGCTCAAGAAGACGAACAACTTGCTCGCACCGCCTGACAAGTCGCTCCTTCACCGATCGCAATCCCGCGCTTTCCTCTCTGACGACGGCGTCCCGATGCCCACCGAGTTCTTCCTCTCCTCCGACCCAGCCTCCATTGTCGAGCACACCAAAAAGGTTCTGTACCTTGAGGACGACGATATCGCACACATTCACGAGGGTTCGCTGAACATCCACCGCCTCCACAGGGACGATGGTTCCTCCAACGTCCGTACCATCCAGACTCTTGAGATCCAGCTTCAGGAGATCATGAAGGGCCGCTTCGACCACTTCATGCAGAAGGAGATTTTCGAGCAGCCCGAGTCCGTCGTCAACGCTATGCGTGGTCGTCTCGACGCTGTCAACAAGACCGTCACTCTTGGTGGCCTTCGCCAATACCTCGCAACCATCAGGCGATGCCGAAGGATTATTTTCATTGCTTGCGGTACCTCTTACCACTCTTGCATGGCTGTCCGCGGTATTTTCGAGGAGCTGACAGAGATCCCCATTGCCGTTGAGCTGGCCTCCGATTTCTTGGATCGTAAAGCACCAGTTTTCCGCGACGACACTTGTGTTTTCGTCTCACAGTCCGGTGAGACCGCAGATTCGCTCATGGCCCTCCGCTACTGCTTGGAGCGTGGTGCTCTTACTGTTGGTATTGTCAACAATGTCGGTTCCTCCATCTCCCTCCTCACCCACTGCGGTGTCCACATCAACGCTGGTCCCGAGATCGGTGTTGCCTCCACCAAGGCGTACACATCCCAGTTCGTCTGCATGGTCATGTTTGCGCTGTCTCTCAGTGAGGATCGTGCGTCCAAGCAAAAGAGGCGCGGCGAGATTATGGAAGGTCTTACCAAGGTCTCAGAGCAGTTCAAGGAGGTGCTCAAGCTCGACCAGCCCATCAAGAAGCTTTGCGAGAGGTTCAAGGACCAAAAGTCCTTGTTGCTCCTTGGTCGTGGCTCTCAGCATGCCACTGCCCTCGAGGGTGCCCTCAAGATCAAGGAAATCTCCTACCTCCATTGCGAGGCTGTCATGTCTGGTGAGCTCAAGCACGGTGTGCTCGCCCTGGTTGACGAGAACCTCCCGATTGTCATGATCCTTACCCGCGACGAAATCTTCGCAAAGTCGCTCAACGCCTACCAACAGGTCATTGCTCGTTCTGGACGGCCCATCATCATCTGCAACGAGAACGACCCCGAGTTCCCCACGGACAAGACGGACAAGATTGAGGTGCCTAGCAACGTTGACTGCTTGCAGGGCTTGATCAACGTCATTCCTCTGCAGCTTATGGCTTACTGGATGGCCGTTGCTGAGGGCCTCAATGTCGATATGCCCCGCAACCTTGCTAAGTCGGTCACTGTCGAGTAGAATGTATGTAGGATCTGGAATTGGCGTCACAGGAGTGAACATACTCTGGGTTTGATTGTTATTTTTGAAAGCTCCCGGAAGAAGCTCACGCGACATGTAGAAGATGAAACTATGTACTGGCCTTGGAAGCAGGGTTGCTCGGGCTCCGATATCACGTTGGAATGAAAATCTCTGTTTTCTAAACGCTTGTACCTCGTATGCTAATACAACCAAAATGGTGATGGAACGTTAGTGTTTGTTTCATGTGCCAGAGATGACGCTATGCGGGACCCCTGTCGTCTGTTGCGGGGCAGCTTACTGGAGCATTGAGGATACGGTTCCTGCATTCTTCGGCCCACCCAAGCAAACCATACCCCACGTCTGAGACACACTCACCACCTATATACGTACGTTTTGATATACCCATTGAATCTTCACAGACATCCACCATGGCGACTCTCAAAGGCCCGGGCGCACCCAAATCCTACGACGGTTCGTACAACCCCGCCATCCCACCATCATGCTCCACGCGCAGAGGTGCTCCAGACTAACACGTCACAGGCTCTGGACTCCGGATCGGCATTATCCATGCAAGATGGAATACAACGCTGATTGATGCGCTCCTCGACGGCACGAAGAAGGCGCTTGCGCAGGCGGGTGTGAAGGAGGAGAACATAGTGATTCAGAGTGTGCCCGGGAGCTATGAGCTGCCGTATGCTGTCAAGCAGTACGTCGAACCACATATTGGACGCAGGCCTCTCTGGATTCTACAAGAGACTGATGCAAGCGTTTTCTAGATTATACTCGGCCTCACAAGTCCAGTCCTCGTCCACGGGCGTTGTAGGCGCAGCCGCCGACCTCCTAGGCTCCGCATCAGACCTCACTCAACTCAACCTCACTTCGAAAGACACGTCGTCCAAGTCGACCGCGCCCTTTGACGCCTTGATCGCTATCGGTGTGCTGATAAAGGGCGAGACTATGCACTTTGAATACATTTCAGAAGCCGTCAGCCATGGGCTGATGCGGTTGCAGCTCGAAGGCAATGTGCCAGTCATATTTGGCTTGTTGACCTTGCTGAGCGAGGAGCAAGGGTTGCATAGGGCGGGGATTGCGGGCGCGGGGAAGAATGAGGGACATAATCATGGATTGGATTGGGGGAATGCGGCGGTGGAGTTGGGCGTCAAGCGGAAGGGGTGGGTTGAGGGCAAGTTTGTGGATTAGGTGGGCATTCTGGTACGACTGAAAGCATGTTATAGGACACGGCAAGGTCTGGCATTTGAAAGTGGCTAGCTACGCAAGGTAGTTTAGCTCAATGTAATCTCCTTCGCGAGCCCACATGGCTGCGCATTGCATAGGGCGTGCCTGCCTGTAGCTCTATCGCGCTCGACATGGAGAGAAAAGTCCGTCGTGTCCAGCGTCCATCAGGGTATATCGACTCTTGTGATTATGCACTCGGGTCGCTTTATCGTCGCGGCTCGTTGCGTCCCCTGCTGGAGAGTCGTGCTCACGTGCCATGCAAGAGTTGACGACAATTTCCGCGTCTATCTTAATTTAGTTGTCGCATGTCAATCTGTACCTAACGCATGCTATGGTGCCTCTTTGTATCTAACTGAGCGGTGTTACAGGCTGAGAAGAGGAGGGAGCGTGGGCGATCGCTGACGCAGGCGGCTGGAGGTTGGCAGACATGCGGCGTATGGGGGGGTGTTGTATGTAGAAATCGTCGCGCGAATACCGACGTGCGATTCTGAGGCGATATTCGTATGCAGGAGGTGATGCAGGAGATTGCGCGACAGCGTAGGCCGCTCCTGGGTGTGCGTTAGAGAACAAAGGTTGGGTGGGCAATGGGTTCGTTGGTGATGGGCGCTCCTCCTCCCCCTTTACCACTAGCCAGGCTTAGCGTCGAGATGCGCAAGACTTCACCTTGGAACCTCTCACATTCCAACAACGGCCGTATCTGCCACCAGCCCCCATCTGCACGCGCAGACGGCTGTCGGTTGCTCGCCCATCTCATCCTTTTCACTTCTTCATTCATCTCCGCTCCCCTGGCCCCCCTTGTAGGCCTTTGACACGTCTTCACCGCGTGTGCGCGTTGTCCACTTCCCCGTCCACTGGCCTGCAGCGCTGTCGAGTCCCGCAACCGCGCAGCCCTCTTACCCTCATCGCTCAACCGCACACAGCTCTCCCGGGATGGCGCGAGGAAATCTGTGCTGATTCAACGGACGCTAGGTATATGGGTGCGCCTTGACGGCGGAGCCATCACTTTGGAGCAGTGGTCCTCGACCACATGTCCACAGCAAGACGCGGTGAAAGAAGACAAGACAGGATTCTGCGACGGGCAGGTTCGCATCGCGCGGGCTCGTCCGTCCACTCGCCCTCGCCTTCAGCTTCGGCTGTCATCGCGTCATCAGCCGCCGGTGAAACACGCGCCACTAGCACGAGCAATAATTTATATTCACCCAACAACGATGCGCGGTGCCCAGGCGAGCTGCTAAACGACCTTGGCTCGCACTCCTCCACGCCTCCACCTTCGTCCACTCTGTCGGAGCCCTCAACCATGTCGCGTTGTGGTCAATATACATCTCTACACGCTCTTACACCCTTGACCAGCTCAGACTCGTCTCCACCTGGCAAGCTCCCTAGTCCGCGGTCCATCACATCTTCGTATGAGACCATGCACGCGACCTCTGCCTCCACTCGCGCGGCGCCATCGAGCGCGTCCAATAATGTCACCAACACCATCACCCCCATAAACACGCCGCCAGAGACGCGCATATCCGTGTTTCCTTCCGACGGCGTGCTAGGTCAGCGCCTGACCTACGACCCGCTCCTCGACCCGAAACTTGATAAAAAGGCGAGACAAAGCAGAACGCCAAAGTACACGTCGATATTGGATAAGGTACGTGATGGCTACAATTGAAAATCATAGATGTGGTCGTCCTGTGACGCTAAGGCTAACTTGACTTGTGTTACAGGGCGACCCATCTCCTCCTCCCGACCCGCGGCTGGCAATTGTTGGCTACTCTACCGGGAGCTATATTATCAAGACGGTGGGTCCAATTGCCCCGAAGACGAAAGTACGCATAGCCCCATATGTCGCCAAGCCATATTCTTTCGATTCCCGCATATCATGCGGCCCGGGACCCGCGACCCAAGTCGTCGTCACAGGATTTGACCCTTTAACCCCAGACGCCCAATTACGGGGTTTCTTCTCCACCTACGGCCAAGTAGAAAACGTTCGCAATCAGGTGCATCCCGACAATGGCAGCCCCTTGGGCATCTGTCTAGTCAAATTTCGCGACACTCCAGCTACGCGGGGCACAGTGGCCATCAAAGCATCAACATCAGCAAAGCGAGCCGAGCGGGAAGGCACAAACCAGCGCATTGGCCAGCAGTCTATCAAAGTGCACTCTGATCGCGAAGGCCGAAGATGCGCGAAATTGGTCGACTGGGCTGTACAGCAAACCCGCAAAGAGGAGGAGAAGTTGCGAGCTAAGCTGGCTGCAAAGTCGGCCTCGCTTGTGCCTCTAGTTACCCCAGGAAACTTTGATTTACCAGCAAATGTGCCGAAAGGCCCCTCTGGGAAAGGCGCACGACCGCCGATCCCGATACCTCGAGAACCCTTGTCGCGAAAGGCTGCGCTTTCGTATCTCATAGAACGAGAGCTAGTCAAACCAACCCTCAAACGGAAACCCTACCTTTTCATCTCGCACGCATATGTACCGGTCCTCAGCACGACAGTGGAACATCTCAAGAAGCGGTTGAAGAACTTTCGGTGGGCAGCTGTGCGGTGCGATCAGACTGGATACTATGTGCTCTTCGAAGAATCGAAGCGGGGCGAAGATGAGACCGTTCGCTGCTTCCGCGAGTGCCACATGCAAGCACTATTCACCTACGTGATGAACATGGAATGCAATCAATACGGTGACCCAGACTACGAGCGAAGTCCAAGCCCAGAGCGCGTAATGGCGGATAAGAAGCGCAAGGCCATAGATGAGCAGGTTGCACAGGAAGAAGCGGAAGATCTAGAATTCGAAAAGAAGCAGAGGGCAGACTCGTTAGATCCCGTGGTGGCAGCCCTTGAGCTACTCAAGCATGAGCTACAGGAAAAGGTCCTTAGCGACATCAAAACCCGCCTAGCTGCACCCACCATACTTGAGTTGATGGACCCCAATCTCCACGTGGCGAAGCGGCGAAAGCTCGACATCTCAGACCCACCAAAGAAGGAGGATGACATACGACCACCGATACTTCTGGCTCCTGGGTTGGATAACTTTGGAGCTGGCACACCAAGGTCCCGTGCTGCAGGGTTTGCTGGACGTGGTCGCAAGGCGCTTGGCCCGTACGACGCCAACCGACAACGTGGGAAGAAGCCCCCTCGAATCGTGAATGCCTTCGCAGACGAGCGAAGGAAGGCATCCGCCCCCAAACCCCGTGTCGCCCGTGGCCTTCATCGACAGATGATTGAAATGTTTGAACCGGAGGAATCGGACGATGAATCGCAAAGTGTTTTGACACGCGGTACGGAAGAGCAGGAAAGTCGACCTATCAGCCGCGCTCCTTCAACTGAAGTTGAGGAAGACGAAGAAGAGCAGTCATCAAGAGCCCACCGTGCCAAACGGCGTCGCATTGAAACCGGCTGGGGCGAGGATAGTGATGATGAGATGGACGATTCGCACGCTAGGAGCCTGCTTGCTCATTGCATCCACAAAGATCCCGAAAACATGGCCGAGAAAGAGCTGGAACAAGTGCTTGCCATTCTGCCACGTTCTTCGCCCATCTGGAAGAAGGCAGACAAAGCGCTCAAGGGTTTCAGGAGGTTGCGGAAGATTGAACAAGAAGCAGACGCAATCTTTGGCGTCGAGACAAGCCCGGTTGACAAACTTGATCCTGAAGTTATCATCACACAAGACGACGAAGCGCTCAAACCGATTGAGACAACCGAACTGCCTGAGACACTCAAGTCACTCAAGAAGAAGCAGAGCGCCACCAAATCCAAGAAGAAGACCAAGAAACAGCTGGAGGAAGAGGCCAAGGCTGCGAAGGTTGAATTATCGGAGATTGCGACACCCGTGGACGAAGATATTGCGGAAGTCAAAGATCAGAAAGAGATCACCGAAGTTCCTATCACAGAAGAGACACCAGAAGAAGACGAGCGAGGTTCCGTTTACTGGGGCGTATCTTCTGTCGAACCTCGCAAGACGGTTGAAGATGATCTGAGTGTGGTGATGGACATTGATGGTTGGCAACATATGCTCAAAGACGACGAGGATCTGCGTCACCTAAAGACGGTCATGGACTCCGTTGCTGCGGCGAACATCGGAGACGCTCAGTCTTGGGCTTGGAAGCAAAAATCTATCAAGCACCTCAATCGACCTGGCGAAGAAGGCGTCTCTCGCACCGAGACCAAGATCGAAGGTTACTATGTTCCAAATCCAACTGGATCAGCCAGGACAGAAGGTGTCAAGAAGATTCGCGAATCCGAGAAATCGAAGTACCTACCGCATCGTATTCGGGTTCAGAAACAACGCGAAGAACGCCAACGCCGAGCCAAACAGGAAGAACGAAGTGTCATTTCAGTGGAAGGCTTCAAGTTCCAGGCTTCGTCTCATAAGACATCGACAGCCAACTCCCGCGCCAACCGTGCCAACAATCGCCGCATGGTAAACGACATCAACATTTCCAAGAACATGTCCGGCGCCGAAGGTGATGCCTTGCGCTTCAACCAGCTTAAGAAGCGAAAGAAACTTGTCAAGTTCGACCGATCCGCCATCCACAACTGGGGCCTATACGCACAAGAGAGCATCGCCGCAAACGACATGATCATCGAATACGTCGGTGAGAAGGTGCGTCAGCGCGTTGCCGATTTGCGCGAGGCAAAGTATGACATGCAAGGCGTGGGCTCAAGTTACCTCTTCCGAATCGATGAAGATACGGTCATTGATGCAACGAAGATGGGTGGCATTGCAAGGTTCATCAACCATAGCTGTACGCCTAATTGCACAGCGAAGATTATTCGCGTGGACAACACGAAGCGCATCGTCATCTATGCGCTGCGAGACATTGGACAAGGTAAGAACCCCCGCGTCGACGCTAGTATGAAGAAGCTTGCTAACTTCAAGACAGATGAAGAACTCACTTACGACTACAAGTTCGAGCGCGAAATGGACGCTACGGATCGTATTCCTTGTCTCTGCGGTTCTGTCGGCTGCAAGGGCTTCCTCAACTAAGCCTCCACACATTACAACTTCCTTTTGCATCTCCGTTCAACCAACTATTTTTCCTGCGACGCTGTTTCAACACCATCTGATAGGGATTCGGATTTGAATAGCTTGGCTCAGGCTCCAAGCCGTACCCTGGCGCACTAGGTGCATCTACCGGCGTTATATATCTTGATATTTTCTACCGCCACTTGGCCGGCTCATGTATCATTCGAACAAAAGATCGGCGGGCGCTTCCATCACTTGCATCACGCTTGGTGTTCATCATTTGTACCATGTCAATTGGGTTCGTATCGGTCAGCGTAGAGGCTGACGACGAGTACGAGGTAATTCAAGACTTGGGTTGCTTTTGCGCAGGTTGCGCATACTGCATGGGGCTGGGTGGGTTGATGTGTGCGTACCTGCACGCTGTATGCGCTCGTGCGCAGATTTGTTAGTTATATTTGACTCTTTGAAAGAGTGGAACAATTGCATCTGCCTGCTTCACTTATATGGCAAACCTCTAGCATAAATGGGAATTTGAACATTTTTCTCAATTTGCATTCTTCCTAGTTGCAGCAGCCGGTCATCTTACAGGACATATTAGCATCAAATACCCTACTTCTCTTCAATCAAACTTAGCCACCGCAAGTCCCCATCTTTCACATACTTACCGCGCCAGGTACAAATCTGTCAGAACCCTCAGACTAACCACCAACGTGACTCAACTTCGTAGCAAACTTGTCTTGAAACAATGCCGTCGGCCACGCAGGGTCGTCCAGACTGGTCCATGGACCTGCAGCAAAGCCTGCGGATCGGTAGCAGAGGCGTGGGTCTTGAGGGCCGAGGGGGCGACTACCGCGTTGTCAGTAGGATTCAACATGTCCCATTTCTTTTTGTAATGTATGTTTGTTGGGGACGTTTAGTATATGGTGACAGTCATAGTAGGTAGGTATTGAGAAGCCCAGCTGATCCCACTCCATTGTGCCCTTCAAAGACCATAGCGTGCTTACTTGACGCTACGAAAAGAGAGGAAGGGGACTTACTTTGGAGTGTCGGTGGTGACGTGAGCTGGATGAGTACACGGGTGTGCTTCTTTCTCCGCATTTCGTATTTTGAGCGCCCATGGACATGTACCTACAGGGCTGGACATAGCATCCTCGGCGTGCGTAAACAGGCGATAATGTGCAAGTCTAGAACTGCGGTCACTAAAAGGGTTTGAGGCGTTAGAAAATGTAAGCAGAGCTAGGCAAGGGAAAATAATAACGGCCTGATGTCTAAATGAAACCCTGCGTAAGCGCACCTTCTCGTCGATGGGTCCATTGGTTCAAGGTTGTCTATGTACTTTACGAGGATGCGAAAGCGGAACTTCCTAGGAGTCTGTATATGGGCCAGGGACTCTCTATCCTGTGCTGAGTTCAGTTTTGGTCTTGCTTTTGTCATGTTGATACCGAGCATCTCGTTTGCGGGCGTGGAACCCTTCTCTTGGCTTCAGGCTCAGACCCGATGACAACGTGACTGACTTTGGGAAACCTGCTGTCTTCGTCCCCATCATGCACGCGTCGAGGAGCTTGGAAGCCTTGCTTCGATGCTGGGGCCGCCCAGGAAAGTTTTACAGGGGTTTTCTCTTTATTCTGTCGTGACTCGGGTAGTATGGCATAGGAAATGTGAAGTATTGGCATTTGCAGAGGGAAAAAAATAACCAAGGAGACTGTATACTTACCATGGATCTTTACGTTCTTCCTGCTGCTGCTTCTTCAAAATGTCGAGGATGATGCCGGCTTCTTTGATACCAAAGTGGTCGGCAATGTGCTGCAATTGCTTGACCGTCCATTCGCGAGTGGTGGGCAAGCAGTTGCGCGACCATGCCACGACGTACAGACTGAATATAAGGATGTAGACATCGAGGATGTGTGTCATGGTGTGCGTGTGTTGCGAGCTAGGGCTTGAAAGTCCACCGCCAGGTAATTTGTGTCGCGCGGCGAAGTCGCAGTTGGTCATCTGAGGAACAGAAGCACATATCTCTCGGGTCATTTCTATAATTGTAACTTTGGCTCGATTAGACTGGGCTTCGCTCTCTTGGTCTTGACTTTTCATGCAGGACTCGACTATCTCTTCACCAAGGAGGATCCTTGTCAACCGTAACACGTTCCACATTTGTGTTATCATCCGGTTGGGATATACGTCGAAGAACCCGTCGAGCGCAACGACTCTGCTATCGTGGCCAGAAACAAATTTCCGGTCGTAAGTCCATGCTGGAGCTGCTTCAAGAGCAACGGTTTGGAGCTCTTGGTCCTTATCAAGGCTTCTTGCCACTCTCTCTTCCGGCGTCAGCGTTCCCCTGCGCATTTCAGCTGCTAGATCTGCAACGTCAAGCATGACACCACTCAAGGTCCATTTGGGGTATGTTGTATCGAGAAATTGAGCCGCGTGTCTTCTGATCTTTCGAATCTCTTCCGGAATGGGCCGCCCAGTACTCAATGCACAAATCGTTGCGTTAAGCGAGAGTCCCATAAGAGCCCTCAACTCAGAACTCTCAGTGAATTGTTCGACACCGCGTAGCTTGACCAACGCTAGCGCACCTTCTACATGCGCATGCCGCGAGGTATTGACCTCAGAGGCTGACTTCATGATCTTTTCAAAGAGGTCAAGTAATAGAGCTCCATCAAACGTGGTTGTAGCCCTTGCCTTCGCCGGATCCTGCAACTCCTTGTTGATTTTCCCGAGTGCCAAACAGTATTTCCTCCGTGCCAGATCCTTGGCCGTTGGCGACGAGACCTGATGCGAGAGAAACGCAAGACTAACGGCATCAATTCCTAGGCTCACATGCTCAGGGGTGACATTCTGATCTAGGTACTGGAAGAGGAAACTCCAAGTCCGGCTAAAGTCCGAGACGTAGTAGGCAAAGAATATGTCCCGCCCCAGGGCTTGGAGATCCTGCGGCAGGTGTCGAAACTTGATAGGAACATTCAATTGCTTGCTTTGAGTAAGGCCCGCGTTACTGAGTGCTTTTGATCGCACGAGCTCGGTTTCGTCATTGATGCGGACTGACTCTGTGTCTCGATAGCCATCGCATGGTTCCCCAGCACGAATGCAAGAGCGACAACTGGGCCGTTGCTGATCGCACTATGCGCCAAGTTAGCTTGTGAGAAATGATTCAATACTTTTTTAAAGAAAGAAGCATACTCGGAGTCTCCTCTGCCGGCACCTGAGACAGGCCTTCGATGGTTTTCCGCGGAATACCATTAGCTCATTTCGCTTTGGACGTGAACGGCATCGGTGAGCTTCCAGAAACCGCTGGTAGGAAACAAGAGAGTGGACAACTGACGCCGAAATGCTGCCCGAATCTGGTATGCAGCTCTGCAAAGGGAGAGAAGAAGCTGCAGCGGGCTGTAGCACTTGATGTTCACCCCTCTGTCTCTGGGTCACCAGCCGCAGTCCTAGGCTAATCCAAATACAGGATGCATTTCGTGCAACGCTGACTCGGCGATAACCGTGCAACCTTAGTCTCTTAACGTTCCATTGATGATAATAGCGGAGTTAAAAGCTTAAAAGCGTTCATTCAGCGGCGTTAAAGATGTCACACAGATTTGCTCGAGGCAGTGGATGATGTTGAATGAAGCCTAGATGGACGATCATATAAGTAGGAGAGAGGTGCGCCTTAGAAGCCCATCGTAATCATCACCTGTTAGAGCACTTCCTCGGGTCCCTCAATTAAACACATCTCAGTCATGTCTTTCCCATTCAAACATGTCCTCCTAATTGGAGCCACAGCTGGCATTGGTCAAGCTATGGCCCACCGCTTTATATCTGAAGGCGTGAAGGTCACAGCAGTCGGGCGACGACAAGAACGTCTGGATCAGTTTATCGCGCAGCACGGCAGCGACAAGGCATCTGGTCTCGTCTTTGACATCGCTAACTTGGATGGCATACCGGATTTCGTGGAGACGTAAGGCTGACGTTCTATGTCATGTGGAACAATTGAAGCTGACAACGGATAGTGTCGCGCAAGCACACCCTTCGATCGATTGTGTGTTCCTCAACGCCGGGACTCAGTCTTGCGCCGACTTCTCAAAGCCGGATACTGTGGACCTAAATGTTTTCCATCGCGAGATAACCATCAACTTTACCTCGTTCGTTACCTTGGTGCACGCGTTTCTCCCGCACCTTCTAAAACACCCCGAGCCGGCTAGTCTAGTCTTCACGGGCACACAAGTGACTCTCATACCTGCCTTCGTCATGCCAGCCTACTGCTCTTCCAAAGCTGCTCTCGAATCTTTCATTCTGTGCCTGCGAGAGCAAATGCGAGATACCAATGTGAAGGTAATGCATATTAGTCCTGGTCCAGTGCGTACTGAATTGCATGACAATGCAATGGGCAAAGATACAGGTAGCAAGTTTGGCATGGCATTAACGGAATTTGTGGATCAGGCGTATACAGGATTGGCTGAGGGCAAGGCGGACATCTATCCGGGTACGGTAGGAGGATCGACGAAGGAGCAGTTCCTAGAGCTTGTTGAGAAGAGAGATGAGGCGTTTGCGAGGCTTTCCGGGTTGCTTAGGGGTATGCACTAAGGGGATGGTGACCTAGCAAGGTGTACATCTGCGGAGGCGACTGGAAGTGCCGGTGGGCTCTTACCTGTTAGTATAGCCAGATTCTTACAAACTACAAGGTTATGTTTCGACTTAGAAAGCATTGAGGCCTGATAGCTTGTTCAAGCTAGACAATGGCCCAAGTGAGACGCTAATAACATTTTCATCCCCTAGAATCGGTGTCGTGGTCAGATATTAGACTGATACCTATATTCAATCTCCTCAAGGAGCTGTATGATGGGCCGATTCCAAGATACTGACAGCATAACGAAACGAAACATGAGGCCGCCCGACAGTCTCTCAGCAATTCATACCTTCTGCCTCGCTCTTTTTAGATAGCTGAATCCTACTAGCATACCCTTTCGGTCGGGGGCTATTGCGGATTCAAGCACACAAAGGGTCTCCCTTGGAGAAGCGTCATCGCAACAGGTGAGCGCAGCCAGGATGCGCTAGAAATATAGACAATGGTAGAAACGAGGCACGAATAATGGCTAGGCGCCTCGTGATTGTACAGATGGGTTACTATTGTTCGATGAAAGTACTTGAAGAGGCATCGATGCCGCCAAGCAGCCAAAGGGAGCAGCTCGTCCCCACACCCCACCATGGCCCTGAACTTCATATGCGGCTGGCTTTCGGCCATCTTTTGCTCGCCAATACGCCTGCTGCACGCATTACTCCCGAGATTGTTTGCAGGCGCTCCCAGCACTTCCTTTGTAGAGGCTTCACCTAATAGCAAGGAGACGAGAATGCCCAAATTCTACCACGACGACGAGGCATGGGCGGACATTGAACCACTCGCGCAAGATGACGGCGGCATGCACCCGCTCGCCGCAATCGCATATACAGAGGAGTATAGCGAGGCTATGGGCTATCTGCGCGCTGTCATGGCACAGAGCGAGTTCAGCGAGCGAGTCTTGGAGCTCACAGAGCACATTATTAGCATGAACCCGGCACATTATACAGTCTGGTAGGTCGTATGCTTCTTCTTCTCCAAAGGTCAGCCACTGACAACCTGCAGGCTCTATCGCGCTAAAGTCACCTCAGAAATCGGTAGATCGCTACAAGACGAAATCGCCTGGCTCAACCCAACCGCCCTCAAGCACCTCAAGAATTACCAAATTTGGCACCACCGACAGACCATCATCAACGCGCTCGGCTCACCCGAAGGCGAGCCCGAATTCATAAGCACGATGCTGGAGCAGGACTCGAAAAACTATCATGTATGGAGTTACAGACAATGGCTGGTGAAGCGATTCGACTTGTTCGACAAGCCAGAAGAGTTGACGTGGACGGACAACATGATCCAGGACGACGTTAGGAACAATTCCGCTTGGAATCATCGGTACTATCTAGTTGCCGGTCGTGGAGGCAAATTGAGGGCAGAGATCGCAGATCGGGAGATCGAGTACGTGCTTGTAGTTGTGGAGTGCAACAGCGTGCTATACTAACCGTGATCCAGGTACACAAAAGCAGCTATCCGCAAAGCACCTCAGAACCAGAGCCCGTGGAATTATATATCGGGCATTGTTCGAGTGGCTCAGCTTCCCAAGTCCACACTCAAGGATTTTGCGCTCGAGTTCGCAGACGTCCAGACCCCGGAAGAGGTCTACTCAAGTCATGCGCTCGACATTCTTGCTGATATCTACTCGGAAGAGGAGAATAGTAAAGAGAGCGCAGAGAAAGCCCTAGACCTCCTGGCGACAAAGTACGATCCGATCAGGGCAAATTACTGGAACTTTAGGAAAGGCTTGCTTGAGCAGCCTACTGCATGAGGTTTGCGCCAGACTATTGATAGGGAGGAGAACCATAGTGATACCCAGTTGGCGTTGTTCAGCATGCATTTCGATAACGTTTGCGGATCCGCATGGCATGCACGCATGCGATAGTCAAGATGAAGGAACCTTTGTCTGTATCTACGGTAGCCTTCCCGCCGACAAAACATTCCCGATCGTGATGGAAGCTTGGACATTCGTCCCACATGATGCAAGTTCCCCTTCCCGTCGGGGATCCATCAACGCCAACCCGCAGCTGGTCGATGTCATTCTAAGATTGGATCTGCCCAAAGCATCCGAATAATTGTCTAACGTCGGAGTGCTGGAACAACTTTCTACATGTAACCAAGCGCTGACGACTTACACCGTTGCTGTGATAGGCGATGGGCAAGGGTGCGCCAAGCCTGTCGACGTCCACGAGGCGGAAAGGCCAGGCAGAAACCGACCAGCGGTGGTCTCGCCGTGAATAACCGCGATAGGAAATCCTTACCATGGGTACGCATTCCATAGTAGTGGTCTCATGCTTGTACCATTCCCCGGTCGAAGCACGCTCGCTTGTCCCTTATCAAGTTACTATAGGGTAATTCATGCACTTTATAGGGTAATCAAAACTACGTTGGGCCTTGGTTTCTAGAATTACGGGTGCGTGCGGAGCTGATAACATATAGGGCGTGTTTGGTGTGCGTTAGCGTTGGACAAACCCCGTTTCAGCGCCAAAGAGGCCCTTACCTTTGAGATAAAGAGGTGACTGTCTTGTCGTTGGAATACTTTTAGAATAAGCCATCCTATCATTTTCACTTCAGACTGTTTTCCTGCTCTGAACATCTTATCAGCGATACTCAGAGAACAAACACCATTCAATATGACCGTCAAGGAATACAACGTCAATGAAGAACCACAGCAGAGCCCTTGGGTTCAGACTCCGCTGAGGGAGTCTTACGCACTCTCCGAAGCTGCAGGATGGTACGGTCACACTCCCTCTGATATCTCATACGTAGTCACCATTGTTCTTCTTTCATCAACACATTCGAGATAAGGAGTTCTAAATCGTAGAAGCAGAATCTTCCTCAAGCTGGAGAATCTCCAACCTTCCGGGTCATTTAAATCTAGGTGAGTCCTCCCCTCCGGCTCTCCCTTATGCGATATGCTCAGCATACTAATACTACAAAAGAGGCATTGGCAACTACATTCTCCGCCGCCTTGAAGAACTTCCACATGGCTCTCGTCCACACATCTTTGCGTCCAGCGGCGGCAACGCAGGTCTCGCTGCTGTGCACTCTGCTCGTTCCCTCGGTCTGCCATGCACTGTTGTCGTGCCGAATTCCACGACACCGTTGATGGTAGCCAAGCTAAGGGCTGCTGGAGCGTATGATGTTATCCAATATGGCGCGGCGTGGAAAGATGCCGATACCTATTTGAGAGAGGAAGTTATGCCTTCTGTACGTTGCACCGAAGCTCTTTTCCCCTCCCATCGAAAATCAATATATAAACGATGTATCTATAAAGTTACAATGCTAACTCATCTAGGCACAAACATCAACCATATACTGTCCGCCCTTCGACCACCCAGACATCTGGAACGGCAACTCAACCGTCATGCACGAAATCGCCTCCCAGCTCCCCGGCTCAGAGCCCGATGTGCTAATCTTCTCTGTCGGCGGCGGCGGCCTCATGAATGGCATCTGCCAAGCCATGGACGACCTAGGCATGTACAAGACGACCGTGCTAGCCATGGAGACCGCAGGCGCCGAGTCCCTAAACGCCGCTTTGCAAGCTAGGGAGCTAGTTACTCTAGACAAGATCACAAGTCAGGCAACAAGTCTAGGCTGTACGAGAGTCACAGGCTCGACATTCAAATACGCACAACGCAGCACAGTCAGATCCGTGGTCCTGCCAGATGCCGAAGCGGCAATGGGGTGCTGGCGTCTTGCAGACGACGAACGCATCATGGTCGAGCTCGCCTGCGGCATTAATGTTGCCCTCTGCTATGATGGTCGCTTGGAAAAGGCTCTTGGACGCCCCGTCCGACCTGATGACAAGGTTGTCATTGTGCTATGCGGAGGTAGCAATGTCACGAGCAGCATGCTGTGTGAGTGGAGGGAGAAGTATGCGTATATTGAAGAGGAGAGCGAGGAGCGGAAGCGGAAGCAGGATTCTGCGTTAGGAAGTGAAGATGTGAGTGAGAGTGGGAGCGTCAAAGACGTAGCCATGGGAATGGAGAATGTGCCAAGTGAGTACAGTAAACCGCTTGTTATTGAGGGGGTTGAGATTGAGTGTCCGGTTTGCTCATGAGGGATGGTATTAGCGGGAGTTCAGGTATACATGATTTACGACCTTCTTTGGATCTGGGTTTGCTCTCGGCGTTGGAAGAACATCGTGGCTCATCATTCAGTAATTAGATCAGTAGCAATGCTGTTACTTTTGATTTTCCACCGGGTTGTCCCCTCAGCCGTCGACCCTTGTTTTTCTACAGCCTTCATGACGGCAAGCTTCCCGTAGACCACGACGGCTTTTCCGAGACGCCATCTCATCATCTTTTGAGCTGCCTGCATAAAGTGACGCAATGTTGCATCGTTCGGTGACTGCATCAGTACAATTGCATTTAGGAACTCTTTTCTCCAACTTTCATCAGCCATGACACCTAAGAGGTCCTCGATATCATTCTCTCAATCGTAAACTATTGCTTGCTGGTGCCACGCACACCTTAGCCTCGCACTAAACTCCCTCATCCACCTCCAACGCCTTTCGCAACTGCTCGTCGGCACTCAACTCTTTTTCTGCTCCCTCAATAACTCCCCTGAGTCCACTAGCGCATTTCTCAAGTTCCGCTCTCTCCGTCTCATCAAGTAGGACAGGCATAGATTTGATGATACCTTTCCTCCCCACCACCGCCGGCATCGACAAACAACACCCAAGTTCCGGCTGGTAGAAAGATATAGGTCGGACTGATCGTGAATCGAAGAGGATGTACTTGCAGATGCTAGCAGCTATGTTACCGATGCCGTAAGATGTGCACCCTTTTGCAGCGATGATGGCACCTGCTGCGCCGCGAGTGTGTGCCGAGATTGAGGCTTTGAACTCGGGTGTTAATTTACCTGGTAGGGCGAGGTGAAGCGGTGTGGTGCCGATTGTTGCGGAGGACCACACAATCTAGGAAACATTAGCGTTCGATTTGTCTGACAATAAAGCGTTGGTTGGGGACACTACTTACAAACTGACTATCACCATGTTCACCAAGCACATACGCATCGATACTACTCGGCGCTACCTCTGCCTTCTCAGCGAGTATACCTCTCAGTCTAGCGGAGTCGAGACTCGTCCCCGTGCCTAGAACCTGGGACTCTGGCAGTCCGGACAGCTTCCGCGCAAAGTATGTCAAGATGTCAACTGGATTGGCAACAAGAAGCAGAATTGTATGCGGTGAGATGGGCGCCATCGAGCTAAAGATTGACTCTAAAATGTGTAGATTTCGACTCAAGAGTGAGAGCCGAGATTCACCTAGGCATCATTAGCCAATGTCGTAACATGATAGACTAGATTACTTAGACTAACCATGCTTCTGTTTCGCACCCGCCGTGATGACTGAAGATTGAGGGCACCAAGTTAGTAAATATAACCCATACAGTTCGTCCATGGGCGTTAATCACCAACAATGTCAGCCTGTCCAGCATCCTTGTGCGTACCAGCACGAACTTTCACGCCTGATCGACCACCGTAAGTCGAGTCGCTCAGATCTCTCACTTGTGCCTCTAATAGCTCTTTCTTCAAGTCTACCATGATCACCTCGCTGCAGATGGGCTGCATAATGAGCGTGTAAGCCAGTGTGGAGCCGACATCACCGCAGCCAAGGATAGCGATACTGCTCTTGAGTTTCGGTTGTGTCATGTCGATGTTTGTGTATAGGTCGGTGTAGGGAGGTGAATATGAAGGGTGCAATATGAGGTAACACAAAGGGTGTGTGCCAGGCTGCGCGGGGTGCAATGAGGTCAGAGCCAAGAAAAGGAAAAACAAACGCTAAACAAACCAAAAAGAGGGTAGGATTTTGATCTATATAGATGCACTGAAACAGGATATCCTGAATTCCTGAGTCGGACAGCGTCGCCAAGATCTGGGCTCTTGAAAGTGGTGTGATGCTTAGAGCCTGGCCTCGTCCTTCGCCACATCAGCATCCATGGATCGCAATATTGCGCGATAATGTATCGCTGCCGACAATTGTCAATGGCGGACAGAGAACGATATTGTCGAATACGAGGCTTTGAGCTCGCGTAGTGAACCGGCTAGAGTCGTAATGTGGGCCTTGTGACTTCTAGCGCTCCTTTAGTGCTCCTTCATTACATTTGTGAACGCTATTACAGGCTGCAAGTCCAAACCGAGAAAGCTCGTTATAACATGAAGTATATTTACTACCACTCCCCAATTCGAATATGTGCATTCACGCATAGTGCTGGACCTCTTCAGCACTACCTACTTTGTGGTTTTGTGTCGCAAGATGCTCCAAATACCACCTGGCTAACCTCTACGATAGCGCTCGCTCGTCTGGAGCTGATCTCTTCCTTTTCCGTTATACATTGGTCGCAAGTGCTAAAGAGATTCGGAGAGCTCAAAGCATGTGCTTACGCCCACTGGTTCTTAACGTCGTCCTCCAAAGGAAGCATACTCTTCTGCAGCTCCTTCGCCACCTTGTCTGCCTCTTTCCAAACTCTCAGCAGATTCCGTCCCGCAATCTTTGCAGCATCTTCGTCGCTGACACCCTGCCTCAGAAGCTCAGCAATGAGATCAGGAAACTTGGACACATCCTCCAATCCTTCCGGTGTCCCCTCAATACCGTCGTAGTCCGTACCTATCCCTACGTGATCGTACCCAATGAGCTCTCCAATATGCTTGATATGGCGAACGACCTGATTCAGCGTCGAATTTGCAGGAACGTATTCCGGGAAATCGTCAGGAGTCTTTCCGGGGACGCAGGAAATGAAGTCGGGGTTGAAGTTGACCATGACAACGGAGTTCCGTTGCTTTACAAGCTGGAGAATGTCATCAGGGACATTACGAGGATGTGGACAGATAGCGTATGCGGAGCTGTGACTAAAGATAGGAGGGGCAAGACTGCCGTTCCAGTTCCCAGCGCTTCCATCAACTTTACCCACAAGAACATCTCGCATTGTATCTTGACTGGCATGAGCGAGGTCGACCAGCATACCTAGGCGGTTCATCTCCTTGATGAGGTCGCGGCCAGCGGAACTAAGGCCATGCCAATGTGGTGTTGCAATTCGCGGCTGAAAGTCAGGACCACTCTCGATGGCGGCATCGGCATATTTATTGTGGCAGTTCCAGGTCAGCGTAGCGTATCGGACGCCAAGCTGATGATATAGGCGTAAAGTAGAGATCGAATTGCCGATTTGGTGGAGACCCTCAATAGCCGCCGGCGCGATGAAGCCGCCATTCTTGAAAGCTTTTGTGGCTTCGGCACTGTCTCTTGGAGGGGTGAAGTACTTCGGATAGTCCTGACCGAGTCGGTGGAAGAGATCGAGTTGACCGAGCGTGGATTTGACAACTGTGTTTGAGTCAACACCAGGGTTTTAGCTTATCATGGCCTCCAGCTTACTGTCATGATACCTTTCGTCGCTGAAGTTGGTTCCGTCACCTAACGGACACGGCCAAAAAGCGGACCAAAACGCACCGCCCTGCATGCCTTTCTCCAAGCGCGGAATATCGGTGTGCTGTTCGAGTGTACCATTCTCAAACTTCTCTGCGAAGTCGTTGCCATGTTTGCTGTAAATGTGATTCTGATAGCGGGATCTAATGAATATCATCAAATCGTTATGGCCATCTTCGTGATGTTAGCACATATCTTCACGCTCAAGGAACGCGTCTGACCTATGAGAGGGTTCTCCTTCAGAACTTTGGCAGCTCGCTCTTCCACAGTCGATGAGCTGTTACAGACATGCTTTCGTCCTGGAAACAATGTTCGGACCTCTGAGAGCCATATGGTTGAAACGATGAGGCAAAGGGCGACCAGAAATAGTAAATCGGCAAGTGTGAATGATCGCCGCCGAGATTGTCTCTGATGTACCGTTACACCAATGGCAGAATCCTTTTTCTCCATCTTCGTCTTTACATAAGTTGGAGCGTGTTTGAAGGATCTGGGAGAAACCAAGGTTGGAGATAGCGAGATGGCTTGGCGGGGCATGTACCGGTACGAGCTGCGGAGTTTAGGCGTTCTCCTCCGAGACAACACGAGGAATACAAACATTTCGTAAACATCCACACCATCGCACTCGACATCTCGGTCATTGGCACTCAACTCAGTGATTCTAACATAGCTCTACTGAATTTCGAACAATCACCAACATGGCAATAATATCTGCAACCGCGATGATACGCGGCATATCGTTATTCCACGTCACCCTCGCAATACTCCTACTCAGGAATCCCGCAGTAATAGCGAACCAAGGAGTCATCCTTCTCTTGGGCGAGTCAATGCACCTTGTACGTCTTTACATGCCCAGCCTCGTTCTTATAGCATCTAACCATCGTAGCCCACACCACGCGAGTTCAACAAACCTAGCGCAGCGTCAGCCTTCCTAGCTGTCCTCTTCGCTTTTCTCGGCCTCACCGACCTCACCGCACTTGCTCTTCCCGATGATGTCTTCGGCCACTTCTGGGGCGCGCAGACGCCCGTCCGGTGCGCTTTCCTTTTCGCGTTGACGGGATATTCATATATATTCAAGGAGGGCGGCATGTTTGCGCCGCGAGGCCACGATTACACGATTGGTGTTGGAGCGAGTTTAAACAACAGCATGGTATTCACATGGGGCTTTTTTGAGCTTAGTGCTTGGTTTTGGGTAAGCTCGTGCATATGGGCTGTGATACTGGGCGAAGGGCTAACGTGTGCAGGTGTTTGTGACGCTGCGCGAAGAACGACGGGAAGCGGCACAGAAACTCATCGAGAAGCTCAAGGCAGAAGAGGATAGGCTATAGAACACCTACCGAGATTTTAAGGGCAAAATGGATCGAATTCGGTCTTGCGAAGGGTATACTGTACGCGGAGCCGAGTCTCTAGAGATGCATATGGAACGGAGATCTTAATTTGACAAGTCATGTAACTTCTCATTCTTCTTCAGATTCTATCTCGAGGTACGGTACTCATGCCACAGTTTAGAAGTAAGGAGGGCTTATCATTCTCGAACCAGAGAGCACCACCCTAACGTTGACCGAACGGTTAGAAATAAGAAGCGAGTTTGGAAGAGCTAGACTTATGGCATTCGTTTTTAGGGCAATGTTTGCTATTGGTGCTGGGAGCAAGGCTTGGCAGCCCCATAATGAACTCTACCGGTACGAAGTGTTGCAGCTTACGTTCAAAACCCGTCATCTTCCTTTCCTCATTACACATCTCGGCCTCTAGTCTAAGCAAAAAAAGAAAGGTGTTGCGTGCCAGTAACCGCGGAAGAGCTGGGTGAGAATTGGATGAGAGGGTCAAAATCGTCAGCTTCCGATAACGTCCCTTTTGGCTGGGAGTGAAATGTTGTTAAGCAAAGTATTGCAACTATCCATATTGTATAGGATCTCGATTAGCCATAGGCCTAGCCGAGGACCTTGACGAATGACGCACTCTGTAGTCAGCGTAAATTGACCCGAGGGTGAAGGTGAAAACGCGCCAACTTATCAAATCTAGTCTAAGGATTACAGACAAGAAAGAAATGACTCGTCGCTTTGCACAAACATAATCAGGGATTACTACCACTCAGTTTCAGGAAGTGATTAATATTTAGGCATATATAATACTTCTAATTCTTAAATCTGCGTAACATCACGACGACCATCTGTAGCACAACGGATGGCCGTCGTGATTAGTACAAAGGAGTACAAAGGTATGGGCCAATACAGGGTATATGATCAGGCGCCTAATCATATACCCTGTATTGATTTTGACCTTCACTTCGCCTACAAGACCGTAAATTTCAACCCTTTACTTCCAGTAATCACAGCTTAATACCCCAGCTCACAAGTCGTAACATCCTCCACGAAATGTTTGTCCCGATAACTTCTTGTCCACCAGAGATACCACGGTACGACATTCATTTTGATCTTGTGCCCTAGCCACGGTGTGTCCTGTACTGTCTAACCATAAAGTTAGTAGATGTCTCATACGTCGTCCGTACTAGTAAGAAGCTGCTTACCTTGACCACGCTCTGACTCTCGTTAAACGCTGTATCAATGCGCGCTCGTCTCAACTTCTGATATGCATCAAACGCCTCTTTGACCGGCACACCATTATCTCGCCTAGTCTGCATCCACTTCGCCAAACATCTAGAAAACAGAACCCCATCTTCAAATACGATACCTGTACTCTCGCCTTGAGGAGGCATTGCATGCGCTGAATCGCCAATGAGCATAACACGGTCTGTTGCCCACTTTCCGCCCTTGCTCAACGTAAACACAGGCCATAAGAAGAGATCCCCAGCGTCTTCAATCAAATGTCCAATCAGCGGATTCGCAGCACCATCGTACCGCTCCATTATGTCTTTCCGCGTCTTCTCCGCATCTGCGCCAGCAGCTTTCCAGCCATCTCTTGACGCGATCTCCGGGACTTGCATTAGGGCGCCAACATATATTGAGTCTTTGGCTGAGTCGTGGAAGGATGTGAGAAGAATACCTCTGCGCCCAAAGTTCATACCACTAGTCTCAAAATGTGTCTCTTCAAATTGCCCTGTCTCTGTCGTTCTTCTCTTCGCAAAGCCAAACGCATTGCAGATACCAGAATATATGCTCTTTCTCTCAGGCTCTACGTGCTTCAGCCGCGTAACTGAGTGTATGCCGTCACAGCCAATTAGAATATCGCTTCTCACTGTCTCGCCATCTTCGAACTGAATCGTCACACCGTCAATGTCTTCGCTGATATCCACCGTCTTCTTGCCGCAAATCAACTTGATGTTTGCATGTTTCTCAATTGCAGCGAGAACACCCTTCAATGCATCTCCCCGCGTAATCCTGAGCGCAGTGAACGGTGGTTCACCCAATCCCTTTCCATCAGGCCCACGGAAACTGCTTTCTGCAATCTTTTGGTTGGTGTAGAGATCGAATATTTCTACAGCGAGGCACTCTTTTCCGTAGTCACGGGCACGGATCTCATCCAGGGCGCCGAGGTGAGACAACAAACGGAGGGCATTGGGGGTCAGGTTAACGGCGCCACCAATAGTTGCTGGCTCTGGCCTAATCTCGTAGAGAGTGATATTCGGCGGTGGGCGTGACGGAGGTGCGAACTTGGTAAGAGACAAAGCGGTCGTGAGGCCTGCAATTCCGCCGCCTAAGATAGTGATATCCATTGGTTTGGAGATCGCCATTGTATGTGCTTAGATCGAATTGTACGGTACCAGGGGCGCCAAAGTGCTGCTGAGAGAAGTGCAAGCGATCTATTGTCCATGAAGAAAGGCTAGAGTAGTCCGCTACAGAGGGACGATTTGTGCGGTTTGAATATCGGAGGATTCGAGGATATAGTCTCTATATTTATCGGCATCCTAACAGGATCGGAACCGAGACATGGACGTACCTGTTGTGCTACCATTTTGTGGGTCGCGGTAGTGCTAACTATGAGCGGTTGTCCGTGGTTGTTCAAGTGTCGGCAATGGTTGGGGAACCGACTATGCAACACGCATTCCGTCATGAAAGCCGAGCAAATCACGGGTTTGCTCTTGATGAAGACATATACATCGGAGAGCGAAAGAAGAGCTGCATTCCCAACAGAAGGGAGGTTTGATGAACTGGATGTTTGATGGCCAGAGTCGAGATGTGCCTGGCGCGTCGGAATGATTCCGAACGCTAAGTTACAACTCGTTGCTAGTGACAGAACCCAATGATACAAGACTTGAGCGACTGTGGGAATCAGCTTCTATGGAAGCTTAGTCAAAGTATAGAGGGTACATGGTAGCGCCTTTGTTTAATGGGAATGTAGTGTGACTAGGACTTGAGTAGTGTTTGTAGGATCATACATCTTTCCACTCCCAGCTTAACAGCAGTAAGAGGATTTTCAAAGCGCCTACGCCCTAGTTGAGCTATCGCTGGTTCTGTGAAAGTACTTTGAATCCTAAAGCCACGGCACCCAATCCACGTGCTAAAATTTCCGCTTCAGGTAGGATTTCTTTTACCCATCGATGGCTGTAGAGCTTGAGGGTTCATCCATGAAACTATTTCCTTAAACGAGAGCTCTTGCCCAGGGCTCTTGCCCAGGAGCCATTTTCTCTTTAGCCAATCACATTTCGCCACACAAATGTCGTGCCGCTCGCCGCGACGGAACGTCTCCTGTGTTTAGAGCAAGTTAATAATAGTCGCAAAGGTCTTCGCCAGTTCAGGGGAATTGTTCCGTATCTGCGGCCCACCAAGCTCTAGTGAAGACGAGTTATGGCAAGCATATTGGTGGCGCGAGTGGGTTCTGGACTGCTGAAAGACGAACCTCGGACTACCTCAAACAGTTGCTGGAATATATTCAATGGTTCATCGCGGACTACCTCAAATAGTTGCTAGAATATATTCAAAGCTTTATTGCAAACTATCTTAGATAGTAGCTAGAATGTATTTAACAGTTCATCGCGGACTACCTCAAAAAGTTGCCAGAATGTATTCAAAGGTTCATCGCCCCCTTTTCAACCGTGTTACCAGCTGTTCAATTCATTCGTTCTACCGTCAAGTCGCATGATATTTCGCGGTCCAATAATCACACCCAATGTAAAGTCCGCCACGTTTTGCAAAATCAGATCGATAATGGGGCTGCATGTCTAGAAACCCTCTTATTGTACCATCTTCTGCAACACACCTTTCGACATACGAAAGCTCTGTGCTCCTATAGAGCGCAACATGTTTAGCTGGTACTGGTGGCGCACTGTTCTCACCTGCACCACCTCGAAGTTGTAGTTTAGGCGGCTCAGACGGCTCAGACGGCTCGAGTGTTGTAAGACTCCCTTGATTAGTCTTAAGATAGCGGAAGTATATGTCGAGGATTTCGAATAGCCATCCAGACAAGGGTTGAGTAAGCCGGATAAGGTTGTGTTGCGGATCCATAATAGCATCGCGCATACTGGGCTTAATTCCTGCTGCGTCCATAATTGCTGCCCAATCATCACTTCCATCCTGCGCATCCTTGCCATCTGCTGAAGCATACTATAGAGCATACGTGCCAAATTCTTTGTACTCTCTGTAATCTTCTGGTTCCGTGCTCCAGGTTGCGTAGAGTGAAGCCGCCCGTTCAGCAGTGAAGCCTATGAATTCGAGCGCTTGTGCTGATTCGAGATGTGTAGGTACCGATATGTACGAGGAGGGAATGTCGGAGGTTCCAGAACTCGAAGATCTGGAGCATAGGGGGAGATAAAAGTCTCAGTGAAATCTTCCTCGTTCCAGAGCACTCCGCTGTGATGAGTGATCCATCTCTTATCTGGATCCGCTTGATGGTGTCCTCCGGAAGTAGTGGCGGAGATGGTAGCTCGTGCCTTTGATGTGGAGGCATGGTGGTTTCGGTGCAGGAGAGACAAGAATGGTGAAGTTCTGGAAGTGATTTTATAAATTGTTGTGGCAGAATGAACGTTTGAACCATGGTTCATCTGCCTCGCCGCTAGTGGCTGCCACATCGCGCATGCCCCCCGCTCTTGCCTCTCGCTAGCCAATGATGACGCGAACTCTCATGTGACCGCTTGTTGCTGCATACCGCCAGCCCTAAGTACGGTTTGCAGTGGTTCCAGTTATCGACAGCCGTTGGGACAGAAACTTGCCACAATGGGAAAGATGCATGATGGTGGGGAGCGATAAGCCGCGCTTCTTCGGGATTTAAGCCTAGGACTTGACTGCATGTTAGGAAATTTCTAAATACTCAAAGAACCCTAAATGTGCGATGGGAACTAGTGTCAATGTACCCTAGAGACCCTGCTTGGGTGCTGCTGATTCGCTGACTTGCTATTAGCGTGGCTATGGGAGTGAATGCTTCTTGGCGTCCCGGTACCGAGGCACCCGCAGTGATCTCCCGCCCCTTTCCGGGCAACAAAGTAATGTGCAACCTTCAGTCTTCAGTGACACTGATCTCCTATCGACGTCAAATAATCAGTCCAATCGCAATTGATCGAGTTCAAGCCACATCCCTAGCTATAATTAGTTAGTAGACTTGAGATTGATACTTGCAGAATAGCACTAAACATAGCGATACGCTTAACAGCAGCATCGAACTTATCATCAAAGATACCTTTTATCATGGCCGCCCGTCCTAAAAACCTCAACGACACTTACATCGCCCCCACCTACCCGTATCTCAAACCCATCATCGTATGCGGCGTCATAATGGCTCTCTCCGCCCGGCGCGAAGTCATTTCCCCAGGTTCTCCACTATGTAATTTAGACACTCTTCCCATCCCGGAAACTCTTTTGCAGGAATCACACACTGACTTCGTCCCTAGATGATCATCTTTTATCGCGGTCGCCAAATGCCATCAAGACTGCGACATGGATCCAGAACGGGCTGTTCTATTTCTTGTTCGGAGGCCACGCAATTGAGTCAGCAATGTTCACGAAGCGGCTAAACGATCATGGTGTCCGCCTATTCAGCGTTTCCTGGTTCAAATGGATCGGGACCTGTTTTGTTGGAGGCAATTTCGTGTTCAAGTACTTTGATCGGGCTGTTGGGAAGGCTGCGTGAGTGATGGAAGATAGAGAAAGTGGGTAGGCTGAGATATGAGCTTAGTTGTTTTTTGCGGAAGAGGTTATCCACTATAGTAGCAGAACTATCATGCTTAGTAATTACAATGATAGATCAGCTACTGCGATGTAGCATGGTAGTCGTCAGGCCACACAATCAGCTATAACCTATAACTAGTCATCGTCCAGATCCGCCCAGCGTCCAAGAGCTGGCTGTGTGGTGAGAGTAACCTCCTCTTTAGCCTGTTCGTCCTCCTTTCCGGCAGCGCTATGCGAACGTGATGTCGAGACAGCCTCGTCTTCACTTACCGCACCGCTATTAGGTCCGCTTACTACTTTCTCCTTCTCCTCTTCCTCTTCCTCAGCGGCCTCCCAGTCATCCACCACCTCCGCCGGCTTCTCCTTCTTCTTTTTCATGCTACTCAAGCTGAGAACGGCGAACCCACCCCTGTTACCAAATGATACACCCTTCTGTACTTGACGCAAGGGAACGCCCTTCGATGCTGCGACTTGGCTCCAGCCAGAGCCGGGGCCGATGTCAGACTCTTTGCGGAGTACGTTGAGGGAGGCATCGAGTCGTGCCAGTTGCAGCTTTCCCATCTTTTGTGACGTAAGAACTTGCGAAAGTGGCTCCTTCAAAGACTCTAGTAATGTCTGCATCTCGCGCTCGGGCATGTTGAGACGTGCTGCTAGAGGCGGTTTCAACGCAACCGCTTCGCTAGGCAGGAAACTGACTTCCAATTCTAGTCGAAAGGATGTCGTTGACAATACGTTCCTGATAGCGGCGTTTAAATCCTCAATAGTCAATGCGAAGCGGGGGTTCATAATCAAGAAGGCGTTGTACGGGTCGCCAGTCGTGTTGCTAGGCTTCGGGCGCAACGTAGCTGCTGATGTTGTCACAGGTGCAGGTGGCATACGCTGCTGTACTTGACGAGTCCTGGCGCAATCCGCAAGTGTCCTCATTGGTGCCATCACAAATTTTGGAGTCTTGAAAATTGCCACATGTCGATGAGGCTCCGGGTCCATACTCTCGGAATCGAAACCGAAATCTGCCGCAAGCGAATGCACGAAAGCTCGTTGATTTCTAGGCATTGGCTTGAAGCGAAGGCGTTTTTCGTCCGGATCGGCAGCAAAAAGTCTGAGCTGCTTCTCCTGAGCAACCGCCCAGGTGGAGTTGTGCTGATACATGTTCAGTGTAGCGTCTGAGTAGGGTACATGGTCGTTTTGATGCTCTGGGTCGACGTTTAAGGCGAGCGCCAATTTGTGGTTCCGCTCTAAGCGCGCACACTCATCGTCGCACTTCAACCTTTTCAGATTATTTCCTTCTCCGTGCCTCGAAGCGTTGCACTTAGCATCCTGCTTGATCCTCTGACACTCGCAAGTGATGAATATTTTATGCTGACAAGGCTTCTCCTCTTTGCAGAGAGAAGGGAAGTGGCAAGGAGCCATACAAGAATGGCTGCAAATGCTGAGTTCCTTGCCACAGGCTTGCGTACAAGGCTCCTCGCATTCTCCTGGGCGATGACATTGCTTCTGACACTTATGGGTGCCGCATCTGAGAGTTCGGCCGCAGACCTCTCCGCAACGGACCTCACTGAACCAACAAGGTTGGTTTTTGAGTACGTTCTTGCCACACAAGCATGTCTTTGTTGTCAAGTAGGCGCACTTGGGACATTCCTGGTCGTTTCCGTGACAACTGTGGTCTATTTGTGGATGACCACAGTCTTTGGGTCGCTCACATTTGAATCGACATGGCGGAGGGGTCGTGCCACAGGGCAAAGGGGGCTGCAGAACAGTTCGACCGCAATGACAACTTAGTTCGTCAAAGATAGCATCGCGACATGTTCCACAAGGACCCTTGTGACAAAGTTCCTGGCAGCGATGCTCCGGATTACCACACTTCAGTTGGCGCCCGCAGCTACGGGTACAGATATGCTCTGCTTCAAAATTGTCGCCAGGCTGGCGGGGTGCTGAATCAAGCGGTCTTGCTTTTCGACGGTTCGACTGGCGTTCTGCTGCCTTCCGCTCACCAGCACAACAGTGCTCACCGCACTCGTGACGTCCGCAATTGAGTGAAACTCGACAGATACGGATGCACTGGGGAGCTTCCTCCACTCCTTGGTGGCAGATAGTGGTAGAAGTGGTGCGGCCACACCTGCACGATATTGTGCCTTTCTGTAGGCAAGGTAGACAATCTCCTTGATGACACAGTTGTACACATTGGTGGCCACAAGCAAGCAGCTGTCCGCAAGGCTTGTCACAATTCGGAATCGGGTCATTGCAGGCTGTTCGAGCGGTGCTTGTCATCTGCTGCAGTCTAGTCTTGCCGCAGGGACAATGTGTGACGACATCCGGTGATCGTGGGCAATGAGAAGGGATGGCTGCTTGCTGATGGCAAGGCGTCTCGCAAGTATGCTTCCCGCAGTCGAACAAACGAGCACATACATTCGGGCACTGAAATGACCCAGTCCATTGCTCGACGGTCGCAGTGCCATCCACTTCCATATGGGACTGACTGCTGTGTTTTTCTTCTGCCCGATCGCAGCAGAGAATATCTTTCCGTTCCTGGCCGCAGTAGCATCTCGCCGGAATTCGGACCTGGCAAGCGCCACAGGGACCCTCATGACATGGTTGTGCGCAGCGATGTTCTCCGCAAGGCATCAGTGCTCCACATACTTCACCGCAACTCCAACCATGCTCATAATCGGTATCCACACAGCGCCGAGTCACTAACTTGGTGCCGCAAAAGCAGTGCTGAGTAGGTCCCATCAAGCCACAGGGTGGGCAAGGACCAGCATGGCAGGTCGAACCGCAGGGATGAGGGCACTTCTTTGGTAGGATTCGGAGTCGTGCGCAAGTTTGCCCACAGGAGAAGGGCGGCAATCCAGGTAGCGCCTTAGGGTCGAGCTCTTTCTCACACCAGCAATGGAAATTCTTCGGCAAAATGTCTTTTGGTAGATTGCATCCAGGGCAGCGCCACTGCCTCGGGGGAGGCATTTCGCCATCCTGCGCCTGCTGACGAGCGGCCGCGGAGCCCTCGTTGGTTGACCATTTCTTGATACACCCTAGGTGGAACACAGTCCAACATGTTCTGCAGGACCAAATTCCCCGCGAATGTCTCTTGACGTCTTCGGTACAGATAGCACACTCGTAGTGACCATTGTTGATATCCTCGTGTGTTCTGGTGGCGATGTCGGGCGCTGTGGATTTGGGAACTTGTGGTTTCTTCTCGCGCGGCGGTCGTGGCTTGCGTGGGGCAATAGGCTGGCCTGGTTGGAATGCTGGAGCATCTGCTTGTAGGCCCGTTGCTTGTGAATCTACTGATATAGCGTCATTCTCAACCGTCAACTGTCCGCCGAACTGTCGACCGCCCGCAACCACGCGTTGTGGGAACCTGACGTTGTGAGGGCCTCCTCTACCACCCCCTCGCCCGCGCCCCCCTCTACCGCCCCGATGCGCAGCTTCTTGTACAGGTGGAGGACCGGCTTCAGGAACAGCAGATGCATCAGGTATCGAAGGCCCGCCCCGTCCCCGTCCCCTTCCTCGACCACTGCGCCCGCCCCGCTGTGACTGCTGTTCGATCTGGGCATGCCCCTCCTCTTGCTGTTCTGCGGGGTTTCTTTGATTGCGATTTCTCGGGCGTCGTCGTCCTCTTTGCGAGCCTTGTGCAGCATCCGTCGGCTGAGCTGTGGTAGCAGTCGACATGTTGGACAGTTGTGGGACAGTCGTATCCAACGTTGGTTATAGATTGTAGTGCAAAGACCTTCAAGGTCAGTTTTGAAAGGAAAAGGCTAGATGCACAGGCTCTGGTAATTGTACGGCCTGGTGAACGTGAAAGGAAAAAGTGAGCTGTAGTGTGCAAACGCAGCAGGTGGCAAGCTGTTATACCAATCGTGCCTGCAGGAGGATGCTAGTACACGCTTCCAGGGTGGTTGCACAGTTGGATGAGTCAAAGTGCACTCATACCACACCGACTCCACAATCTGCCGTGCCCTTTTGTGTGGTGGCGCAGTGTGCTGTAAATCGATTGAAGTTTTGGTTTCGCTGACTGTTCTCCCCAACCGCGGAATTTCAGATCGGGCAAGCGCGTCATAGGCTGCGGCCGGCGCAGCGTCGGGTAAACTAGGTGTAGTCGACATGCATCGCTGCAACACTGGAGCTTGGTATCGTGAACCTTACCATCAGCTATCACCACAACATGGCCAAGACATTGCTTGGTGCTCTTGCTCTGGCAGCGTTGCCCTCGGCGCTTGCATTCCGCAACACTTCGCCCTTCTTCCTCTTCTCCACGGCCGAGTATGCACCACGGCAGCCCTCCCCCAAAGTCTCGAAGCTAATGCCCGCAGGTTGCTTATTGATGGTACCGATGCCTCGATTGCGGAATCGTCCAAAGTCACCACTGATGTCCTCGGCGCCTTGAAGGACTGCCCGACGCGGTCATATATCATCGTCCAGCAAGAAGGAGTCTCCTCCGCCGATTACGCAGATGGCCGTATTACGCCACATCTGAGCCAATACATGGGCGGCAAGCATGAGGAGGTCAAGACGACCTTCGCACTGCCAGACGTCGTCGGCCAAGTCGATGCGGCAGCTATCCTTGCGCATCTACAAGCCAAATGCACTCCCAACAACGATGACCAGAAAGCGGCTGCGTGGTTTAGCAGGATAATGTCAAAAGCGCCCGCTACATCCAAGGCGCTTCGAACGCAACAGCTTCTGTCAGAAGGTGGGCAACTATGTCTTTGAAGCAACGATCAATAGCTGACCCGTACAGACGCCGAGCTTGAGGAGCAAATCGTCAACGAGGTGAAATCGCGAGACTACACCGTCATCTACATTACCACTCCACAAACCGAGACGCAGGCCAAGGCTCAACTGGCCGACGAGCAATACAAATATGACATGGAGAATTCGTTCGGAGAAGCTGTGCAGATGGAGCTGAAGCGCGATCTTTCGTCGCACATGAAGCGAGCAAACTCGACACAGGGTGGCCTCTTTGAGAGGTATCAGTACTTCACCCCCGGACTCTTCATGGGGTTTGCCGCCATTATTCCGCTCTTCCTAATTCTACTCGTCGGCATCAGGGCGCTTACCAGTTTGGAGGTGTCATACTATGCCTTTAGCAAAGAGATGGGGCCAAATGCGCAGAAGAAGCAGTGAGTGGTTGAGTCAGGGTCCAGTAGAGTGTATGAATATACCAATGCGTTAGTGTGGATATTGTAGGTTTTGTACGCGCATCTGCATCTGGCGTTCGTAGGACAGTTCCGGTCAGTGAAATTTGACAACATGTTATGAATAATACTAGGCTGGCGGCTGAGGATCCCTGCAAAGCACCCTTCCGAGATTGATAACTACTATATGACACAGCCGGAAAAATCACTACATGGCAAGGTGTGACAGCTTCGAAGAGCACCCTTTGTCCATCGTAGCGATCTTTATGAGTATTATTTTCTGCCTTGGGTTTTTCACTCTCACTTATATGTCAAAGCTCCAGCATCACGCTCCTAAGGAAGTACAGTTCCAAAAATGGCAAACTTCACAGCTAAACGTCCCTTTGGTGAGTGAAACACTCTTACATGTATAGCTCATCATATTTTTGACAACGACTATGTACTTTCGATTCCTTTTATGTATACAGCTGTATACAGAAGCCACAGTCTCTCCCTCATATCCCGTCTAAGTTATTGTCTTGCCATTGAGAACGTCCAAGAAGGCCTGATACGCGGGCTTCTTCTGGAAGTTGTCAGTCCACAAAAGAGCTGAGCCCTCGCCATTGAATGTTTGAGGGACCCAGGAGTATTTATCAGCAATACCCTACAAGAAAGATTAGCATGTTCTTCTCTTCGAAAAAGCTCAAAGGACGTACCCAGATTGTGATACCCACACATCGCTCCACGTTAATACATGACTGCGCAACACGTGCCCAAGCAGCAGCCGCATCGTTCAATTTCTGCGTAGTAGTCGGTGTCTTTGACCGAATATCGACTTCCGTATAAGCAACATCAACGCCCAAGTTAGCATAATCCTGTAGCGTCTTGGTCAGGACTGCAACACTGGGCGTAACAATGCTCTGAGTGCCAGTCGGCTCGGAGACAAGGTGACCCTGCAGGCCGACACCATCGATCTTGACGCCCCAAGACTGGACGAGCTTGACAATGCGGATAGCGCCTTGGTGCTTGGCCTCGCCGTACTCGAGGTTGTAGTCGTTGTAGAAGAGTTTGGCTGTTGGGTCTGCTGCTGCGGCCATGCGGAAAGCGATAGGGAGGTATTGTTCGCCTATTACACGGAGGAAGACGTTATCTCTGTTTGTGCCGTCCTCGTTGAGAGCTGTTGTAGCCGTCAGTTTCTGCACTCTTCTCTCTATATTTCCGCTTTTGCATTGTATTCAAGCTTAACTCACCCTCGTTGACAACATCCCAGTGTGTACACTTCCCCTTGTAGCGGCCCATAACTTGCTTGATGTGATTCTCCATCACGCTCATCAACGTAGCATTGTTGTTGATCTGTGTCACCTAAATGTCAAATTACGAGGTTAGTATGGCTCACATGCATTTCGAATATTGATATTACTAACCCAATTCGGCAATTGACTATACCAGACAAGTGTATGACACCGCATCTGCTTGTTATTCTGCGTGGCAAAATTGGCGATCTGGTCTGCATTGCCCCAACTGAATGATCCACGATTAGGCTCCGTAGCATCCCACTTCACTTGAGGTTGAGGTATGAGTATGTCTCACATCCGATTTCATACACCAATATTACTTACTGGCATTTTCGGGGGTGATGGAGCCGAATTCGGCGGACTTGATGAGGTTCTGCTCAGTATTGTCGCTACGGATGGTGAGAGAAGTGCCGATATAAGAGCGGCCTTTCGCAATAATGGCCGCATTGAGGGTGGTGGCTTGACGTGTTTTGAGGCTGTAGGTAGGTATGGCGACAGCACCGTTGGCGAGCGCCAGAGCGGTAGTTAGGCTTGAGAACAACATCTTGAGCTCTATAGGTCCAGCTCAGATCTATGTTGTTTGAATCGGACCATCGTCTCTATGTATTCTTCCCACGGGCCAGGATCACAATCTCTGGTATTCCAGGTATCTATAAACTGTTTTCCAGGCACAACATAATACCCGTCTTGACATGTCTATCGTAGAGTGGCTTACCAGTACACCGAGACCTAGTATAAGCGGTCGTTATTAGTGCGCATCTACATGTGACGTCGGAAGAGATGAATATCTATTTGGCGATGATTACAGGGCGTATAGAGCACTTCGGCGATATTAGATTTACTTAAAATATCGCCCCATGGGCCCCAGGGTAGCGGCTCAAGGGCACACTAGAGCAGGGAGATTATCCTGTTTATCCACTTACAAGACCCCTGTTAGAGTTCCCGCAATAGAAAGCTAGATGAGCTGTGAGCCATACCTGATGGTTACATAACACCGTTCTGGCGTTTGATCTCCGGGGCGTCAACCACGTTATTTAGTAACCAGCTTTCCCAGGAAGTTTTCATTGTACGCCACTCCACCATCAACGACGTATCTGCCAGGCGTCTCAGGGTCGATGTCAAAACGACGAATGATCTGCAGATTTAACACGTTAGAGTCAGCTTGTACATTTTGTTAGGCCCAAATTACCTCTGGTAGTAGCTTGTACATTTCCATCATTGCGATGTCTTTTCCCAAACAAACCCTGGGGCCCACTCCGAATGTGAATTGCGCCGCCTCTAGTTCAAAGTTTCTTTTCTCATTTATCAGCCATCGTTCAGGCACAAACTTTTCTGCGTCCTCTCCGTAGAATGCGTTGTTCCTTTGTACAGAGTACGAATGACTTGTGATCTCCGTTCCACCAGGGATGAAGTGTCCATCAATGACCTTTCCGCCCTGTGGAACTACTCTTGCAAAGAGGTTTGTTGCTGGTGGATTGAGGCGCAGTCCTTCTTTGATGCATGCGACGAAAAATGGAAGGTGCTGACGTGTCTCCTCGTACTTGATCGGGAACGATAGAAGGCTAGCTTGATCCGCAGACTCAATCTCCGCACGAGCTCGCGCAAGAGATGATGGGTGGGTAACAATAAAGCGAAGAATGGAGCCTAGCGCTGTACCAGTAGTGTCTGCACCAGCTTGTATGAGAAGAGTCACATGTGCGCGCTTCTGCATAGGTGTTAATGTAGAGCCGTCTGCGAAGCGAGCGTCGAGGCAGCTAGGCATAATTAGTGAACGCTCAAGTTTAGACGCGTGGCAAAATCTTACTGCTGCAGAAAATCAGGCTTGCCGTCAAAAGGTCTCTCAGCGTTTTGGCTCTCACGTGTCGATACTTGACGGTCTGCTTCGCACATCAGCCAGCCCATCCCAGATTCGTTTGAAACAGCTGGCAAGAACCACAATCCCACCCTCGGGAGTTTGATGATCCGCTCCCTAAAAAATCGAAATCGGCCAACGAAGCCAAAGAAAGTTAGACCATTGCGCCAGTTACGCAACAGGTCCTTCTCATCACGTTGATTCCTGACACTGCCAAACGGCTCCGTGAAAGATATCATGCTCATAATATCAGCGGCAAATTCGGCAACTTTGTCAGACAGGCAGATTGTACGTTTTTCTGCAGCATGTTCATGCATTTTCTCGGCGAAGAGGTTGATTTGGTCATCGAAGCGAGACTCCCATGTCTTCTTCAGTTGTCCGATAGTCCAGGGTGCGTTCGACAGAGCCTTACGCAAGGCCCGGTGCTCATCACCTTCAAGAGTCGTAAATAAGTGCGGAGGACCCAGTGCCCCAGTGCCGTATAGCCCAGATTTCCGGTTGCACTGTGGATCCCAGTAGATGTCCTTTAGAGCAGACGGTCGAGGGAACAACAACATCGTGGGAGATATCCGAATTGGTTGGTCGCCTATCATTCGTGAGAACAGAAGGGCTTCAAAGACTTGTTCAGGACAACTTACTTCCATACCTCTTCACTAAATACATGAAGAACTCAGGTTCCTTCTGCTTCACTGAAATAATAGCGCCCACGACAGAGAAGGAGGTCGCGTACCAAGGTCCGGGGAACCTCGACAAAGGGTGGAACTTTTGCATGTAGAGAATACGCCAAAAAATTGCTGTGAATGTAGCTGTAAGTACAGCGATACTGGCTTTGAGAAGACTCGCTTTGAGCTCCATTGAATCCCAGGTAACCATGATGGCATTCGGATAGCTCAACTAGGGCGTAGGCGCTTTGGAAATCCTCTTATGATGGCCTTCGAAGTGCCCAAGTCTGCACAAAGATTCTTAACTTTCTGGAGGATATAAGGAGAGTGTAGGTTAGGGAGAAGAAAAGCTTGATTGCTGAAGCGCATCAGATAATAAATGCAAGGCCACTGGTTGCTCAGATTATAAATGCAAGGCTACTGGTTGCGCGCAATAGACTTACTACTCCGGGCCCAAGAGGGGAACCTGGCCCTCTTGAAAGTTGCAAGGCCCAGAGTAGAAGTATTGAAGCCGATCTTAGTGCGAGTGGCATATATGTGCAGCAGCATATCGCATGCTAGCCGACAGTACAGCGAGGCTGCTGACGGCTCGGTCCGCAAGGATTAGTTCTCTGTCAGCCAATCAAAGACTGTTCAAACTTCTGCCCTCCTTCAGGCCCTATCCTTTTCAGAACGGCGAATCTTGTGAAAATTCACTAATAAGTTTGCGACAAGGGAGATTTTTTGCGTATCAGTACCGTTGTGGTGGACGAACATGCACCGACTTCAATATTGTTGATGAAACCGAATCGGCATCACCCTAGCGTAAACTGATGAGTGTTGGTCCAATCTTTTCTGGATCCACCCTATGGGCCTTGACAGTGACGTTCTCGTTGTTACTTTGTTCATGTAGAGCGGCATAAAACACCAACACTGCCCCCGTATTCTTCCAATCTGGAGAGGCGATATCGAGAAACTTGAGAGGATACCACTGCGGGTCATCGGTGCCGCTGGTGCCGCCCTTGTTCAATTCCTCGTGATACCATCGCACCCGCGTCGGGCGAAGCTCTCTCGTGTAACTGCCATGGCCGAGGAACAGCGGCAGCGTAACCCATCTCCACCAACTCTGCGTCGTCGAAACTGAGTTCCATCCAGGCCTGCTCGTTGATCGTGTCGGTAGCCTGTCTGAGGTCTGACTCGGAAACTTGAGATGCCAGGGCAAAGACGGGAAATGAGGACGAATAAATCTCGGGAAAACTGTTTCGAGATGTGTATTCTTGGAGCGAACCTGGTGGCAGGGCCACACCGTCAACGGTCTGTACGAAAGCGGCAGCCATTGGGGAACGTGGTCAGACCCGAGCGGCAAGGTTTCAACCTGCCTAACTCGGCAGTTTTGATCAAGTGTGGATTCCTGGTCGGCAGCGATGATTCAGGGTACAGTACCCTGAGAGGTCCTTGGTCCTCCTTAGTGCAGCCACTCTAGGTGCTTACGCGGCCTTGCATTACGGGTCGGGGCGCCTGAACTCTCAGGCAGTTTTGAGTCCCGGCCACAATCAACGGCAAATCAGTAAACTACTTGATTGGGAAGGTAGACGTCTCGGTGACGACACCGTTTTCCACTCAGATTCATGCGGGGTAATCCACCCTTTTTAATAAACAATGAGGTTGAGGTGCTTACTAACCGTATTCCGTGTTGAATTTGTTGTCTGCGATGCAAATCTACCTAGGCTAAGATTAAACTGCGATCAACGTAAGGTGACTTTGAATATGCGTCTCTAATCACTTCCGCATACCGATGCATCGTAGCTCAGTTCAAGAAGCAGCAGCAGCAGCAGTTTCGCATCGTAAGGGGAACGGTGTCCCTATTGATAACAGATATGCGAGTATATACTGTAATCCTGAGTATTTGTACAAACTAATGCTCCCCAGCTTTCTCGGTGTACCGACCGCGTGATGCGGGGTTCCGAAAAGGTTGAAGAGCGCGGCATATAAGACTGTAATACATTTCCGTCTGATATCTACTGAAGCAAGTCATGTCGGTAATCAATCCATGCGATCACATAGCCGTCAAGAACGTCCTAGCGCGATACTGCGAGGCGCTGGATTTGAAGAAATTCGAACTGCTCGTGAAGGTCTTCCTGCCCGACGTGATCGCAGATTATCCATTTAACTCGAATTTGAAGGGCGTCGAAGCTGTTAGCCTTGCGATACAGAATCGGTAACCAACTCTACTGCGCTGGAAGGCTTATTACGTTCCGACATGTTGAATGATCTGACTGTGATCTAGACTGGGACCTATCCGGACACACCACAACCTCACCACGCAGACCATCACATTCAATCGGGACGGCACAGAAGCCCGCGCAGAAACCTACTTCCAAGGCGTACACTTTGGACAGGGTCCACACGAAGGCAAGATGCTCTGTGCGTACGGAAAGTACATGGACGACCTAGTGCTGCAGGAAGTGATAGACGGCGATTACGAAGGTGTACAAGGCGCGAGTGGCATTTGGAGGATTAAGAGTCGGACGGTTGCATTCACGCAGCGGATTGGAGATGAGATGATCATGAAGCAGTATTGAGACGCCGAAGAAATTACTACATAGCCAAAAGTTATGCGCTATCCTCTGCTACTAGTCTATAATGCACTACCTACATCCCCAAATGCGCCCTCAGCTTCTCCAGCACCCCAGCAACCACCTTCTCGTTTTTGCCTTCTTGCCTCTTTGACTCCCTGGTCGCAACCTTCTCAAGCTGCTTGGCCACCGCCCCGTCATCCTTCCAGTACACTTCTGACCGTTCAACAAACCTGACAAATGCTTCCAAGACGATCTCCTTGCCCTCCCAACTCTTCCCACTAAGCGCTTTATCCAGCACAGGCCACACCACCTTGGCTGTTCCCGGCTCGATATTCTCGCTTCCGACTGCATTTGTAATTTGCAGAACGGCGTCGGCAATCGTCTTAGCAGCTGTATGTTTGATAGCCCATTGTCGCGATTCCAACTTTCCCTCGCCTAGGCTCAAAATCTCCTTCAGGTAGAGCGACACAGTGCGTGGGCCCGCAACATGGTCATCCCACGTCTCCTTGAACACTTTCTGGACCTGCTCATCCGAGTCATGTTTAGCGATAAACATGAATGGCAAAAGTGAGGATGCGAAGGAGGTGAAGCGGTCTGTTGCGTACAGGGAGATTGCGCGGGTAGTGTCTGCAGCGAGGAGCCGGTTCTTTTCACTATTTTCCTCAGACTCGAAGTAGAGTTTGTTGATGAAAGCGATGGTGGATAAGATCTGTTTGTCTGATGCTAGGCGGGCGAGATATCCTGCAGCTGCGGCGTACGAAGAAGAGACTGTTTCGTTGCGATCGTGGATTTGCTTCTGAATGAGTTTGAGAAAGCCATCCGCATAAGGACTAAACAAAAATCTATTCCTCGTAGCGAGCGAGACGAGGATGCGGCTGCATCCCACTTTTGACGGCAGGCCAACTGCATTCTTCATTGCGGCTTCGATGCGCGGGACGAGTGCCTTCATAGTTTCCGCGTCTGCAAGGTCGAGACAGCGCTCAATGGACTCAGTGAGCGGAGAAGAGCGCACGCTCTGGAGGCGCATGTCGTCGATCTTTTGCTCGGTGAGGTTGTATTTACTCGCATTGAGATGTATGTAATTCACAGCTTCAGGCTCTAGACTACTTAGTAGTCCAAGCAAGCGCTCAACAAGCTCAGGGACATGTGGATTGAGAGTCGTTGCGTTACTCTTTTTTACAATTTGAAGTAGAGTATGAACGGAGAAGAGGCGGACTTCCTCAGCCGAGGACTCGAGGCCGGAGGTAGAGAAGAGGAAGGGGAGAACGCGAGTCAGTTGAGCGTTTGCGGATTTGATAGATGCATCACCCGCTTCAAGGGACCGAGTAAGGATGGTAGTTAGTACGCGAGCGAGGGAAGAGGCAGCGACGCGGACGGTTTCTTTAATGTCGTCGAGGACCTTGAAAGTTTTGTCCCAGATGGCGCTAAGATACTTCTCGTACTTGAGCTACAATCAGTATGTGTTCATTGGACCCTAGGGATGTTGCTTTACGTACCTTTTCAATACTGCGTCCTTGTACAAGATCCGCTATCGCTGCACAAGAAGCCTGACGGACGCGCCATTCTTTCGTCAAGATGCTGACGAGTAAATCGTCTATGATGGCATCAAAATGCTTATCGATGGTCGCCGAAGAGTCCTTGACCAGTGCATTCCAGATATCATTCATGGACCGCTGTACATTAGTATTGGGATCGAATCTGACCACCATTAGCTTCGTGTCTCTCACGATTTGGTACACCTTTTTCAATGTATGTACATACCTATACCGATAAAGCTTTGGATACAGCTTCGGATTTTGCGCCAGATACCCATCCACACTGGAGTCCGAGAATATGTTGCTCAGTCCAAAGCGTCCGAACGCTGCTCGGCTCGACCAGATAGAGTTATTCGAAGCCATTGACATGAACCGATATACTAAACTCGAATCCCCGACCTCAGCCGCAAGACTTAGGATGTCTTTGTACGTCGTGATGGAGCCATCCCCGGTAGGTAGCGCACCGGGTTCAAAGAGCTGCGTATCTTCCGAGACTGTACCAGACATCTTCGACTTATTGTCTGAGAACGAGCCTACCAGGTCGCGAACTAAGTCGTCTTTGAGCTCACGGTCGCCCTTTTCGTAGACAAGGCCTAGCCCTCTTGATGCCGCTTCCTGGACGACCTCGTCGCGGTCCGAGAGGCAGTTCTTGAACGCTAGTTGACATTGACCGAGGTAGCCCTGCATTCCGGGTTTGTGGCCGCAGTATTGGAGAAGACATAGGAGCCAAATGACGGAAGCTTTCTTTAGCGAAGGTTTAGTTTGCAGACAGCCTTTCAAGGTCTTCTCTAGGACTCTGCCAAGTGTCTTCTCGCGCTTCGGTCCGGATGGTGTTTGCAAAGGCGCATCCCATGGGTCCTGTACTTGATCTGGATGTAATATGTCGAGCTCGGCGGTTAGTGCCTTGGAGTCCCACCCGCTGACGAAGCAGCTCAAAGCCTCGCCGACTGAGAAATGTACTTCTGGCTGGCGGACTTCGTGAAGCTCGTAGAGTTTGTCCCCAACAATCTTGTAGTCTGTCACTTCTTCGGTGTCCGCTTCCACCTCCTCAGTAATCATGGCCAGGTGGCCCAATGCGAGAATTGCGCTTATCGTGCCTGTCTTTGCAGCATCGTAAAGCTGCTGGATGACATCCTCGACCTTTGCATACTTGTTAATTAACGAGGGTGTAACGACGTGGAAGAGACTAAGTTGATCGATGCACGAGTAAGCCGCACCCTTGAGGGTCGCATCTCGAGATTCTTTCAGTATTTCGACCAACGACGACAGTAGCTGCTGAATAGGATGATCATCCGCAGTGATACTGGAGCTTGCGCTGCTCCTCCAAAACGCCCTGCTGAAGTAATAACCGAGCGCCAAGATGACACCGCTGATCTGATTAATGTCACCACCAACAGCTGACTTCCATGTGCTCAACTTCTCGAAGAACAGTGCCTGTGAGTTCCGGAGAGAACCCTGATCACATTCATTGTGGGAAGCTAGCAAGCCGTATGCATGAGCTGCAGCAAGGCGACGTCCAGCATTATTTGACAACATTGATGGTTCTAGGGCACGGACATCCTGAACGAGGTGCGCCAGGAGCCATTGTCGTTGTGGCAGTAGAGACAATAACCGCACAAGAGTAGTCCCAATATCTCCAATGTCGCTCACATTATCTCGAGTGAGCCTGTCGAAGCTAGCCCTTAGTATCACGGCTAGTGACCGGGCATGTGATTCATTTGCTGCGAAGGCACGGAAGGCTTGTCGTGCACGCAAATCCGTAGTCATTTGAGTGTCGAGTTTTCTTCCCCAGTCTTCTGGAATATCATCACCCATCTTCTTTTCGTCTAGTGCTGACTGCATAGCGACAGCAGAGCAGAAAGTAATGACGGTTGGAAGTACCTCCGCATGTTGTTGGTAGAAGCGTTGTACCTGAGTGAGAACATCGCCCGATTCGTCGATATCCATTGCGTCTTCATCCTCGCCTTGCTGTACGAAGATGAAGCTCACTAGCGTGTCGAAATCAGGAAATGCCAAGTTACTCTGCTCTCGTTCACCTGGTGGTGTATTGGACATCCGGAACCAGTATGGGTCGAGTCCACGACGCCCTTCTTCCACAACCTCATGTCGCTCGGTGGCTCCTCCACTTACGGCAAGAATGTCTATCCATCTTGCCAGCACATCATCGTACGGAAGACAACGATTTGCGAATCTAGTTGCGACATATCGCGTGCTTCTCGTGAATCTACTCGAAGCTGGGGTGTTGACCTGATCGACAGAGGCGTATCTAAGCAGAATTTGCCTGAACCTAGGCATGACAGCCGCATCGAAGGGTTTCGCAAAAGCTCCGAGCACAGAGGAGAGAGCTTCTTCTATGCTGACAGCCACATCCTTACCAGCGGAGTCTTCTCGAAGAGAACGAAACAGCCACTCTAGCAAATCCAAGGTGGGCTCAATGAGTATCTTTTCTGGTGCAGCTTTCGCTAGAAGCCCTATAGTCTCGTAGCCGTAGCCTCGTAGCTCCATATCTTGATCGCGGTCAGGAGTCGGCCAGCCCTGATCTTGCAGGAAGGCCCTTAGGTTGCCGACAAGACCTTCGGCGACTACAGATAGGTTTCCAGAATCACCGCGTCGAGCGACAAAGTTGACCAAGGCGAAGATGGCGGAGCGGAATTTAGAAGCCTCTCTACCTGCTGTCTTATTTGTCGCATTAAGCTCGGGGGATAGTAGGCCTTCCTCAACGAGCCTGGCGATGTGGCGGGGATATGAGGTGCATTTGACAGATCTTGACAGTACATTCAGGATCCTAATACGTAGTGGTGTCTTCACGGGTAGCTGGCCGTCCGATGTGCTCGATCCAAAGTAGAGCTCGAATAAGCTCTCAACGAGCTTTGCATCCTCGAGATCCTTGGACAACAAAACTCGCTTCAATGTGTCCTCGCCCACTTCTGAGATGCGAGAATTCGTGTCGGCAGACGCGAACAAAGCTGGAAGAAACTTCTCATCCTCGTTGAACAAGCCAGAAGCTAGGAAGCGAGTGACGAGAGCCTTGGACTCGGTCAAGTTCAGCCCTGCATCTGAGCTAGGGTCCCAGGCATCCGGCTTGCCTTGTAAGGTAAGGAATTTGTACTCGTCAGCTGATAATCCGGGGCATCTTGGCGAGGCGCCAGCTTCAGAGCCGCTCTGTCGAATGATGTTCAGCAGAAGTAGCTTGCCAAACCAATTGGAGAGAAAAGCCGCATCCTCATCGGGAAGACCTAATGTCGTTCTCAACTCATCGTCTTCTTTACTACCACGCAAAGGAAGCTTGAAGTGGACTAGAAGGCGCAAGATGAGGTGGAATAGCTGGGAAGCATGCAGGACAGACTTTTCGTAATCCTTGGCGATGCCTTGTAGCAAGATGGGGAGCAGCTCAAGCCGTTCAGATACGGATAGTCGCGTGATGCCTTGCTGGATGTAGAGGATGTCGAAATGGCGGATTAGAGCTGCGTCAGCATTATCTTTGTACTGTTTGAGGAGCGCTGCCACTGGGAGCTTGATGTCTCTAGATGTCTCAATCAGTCCATGCCCATGTATTGATTTTAGTTGTTAGAGAATGAGAAGCGTACTGTGACTTGGTGCGTGTACTGATGTGCTGGCAGATGGAGATGACCTAGAAAAGGAACCCGCTATCAGCGGTGCTTCTAAGAGGAGAGGAAGACGCGGCCTTACCTTATTCCTCACGGCTACATGCTCAGAGCCGAGTTTCAGTAGTAGTGGGGCAAGATAAGTCTTGAGCAGGTCCTCCAGCTTCTTCTCCGAGCTGGCTAGCGCTATACGCATCTCGACCTTGCCGACAAGGGCCAGCTCTTTGGCCTCTGGTGTTTGCTCTGAAGCCATGTTGGAGGTCGTGAGAGCAGATACACGTGAGCGTAGCCGCGGAGCGAGATGTCTGGTTGTATTTAAAACAAACGCCACAGGCAGAGGCGAATGGCGCGGCCCATCAGCTGCTCTGGAGGATGAGCGATCAGTCAGCTAGATTAGTATCATGGATGTATTTGCTACCTTCACTGGCGCAACTCCTGCTTCCTTCGTCCGCGGTTGCCACATGTCCTGTCGAGAACATTCACTAGTCAGGAGACAGGGATTTAGCGCACGGTTACCAAATGACGCAGCTTCGTCTGCCTGCAACAATCGCATTTGCACCCCATCCTCGACTTGCTTCAGCCAACGTCGGCCGCTTCTGCCTACTACCCAAGCACACAACACGCGCTAGAGACGTGCTGGTTTGCCTCGTATTGTAGCCTGCCTCAGCACTCTCTCCCCGACCTTCGTCCCGAGCAACCAGACCAGGTTCTGAACGTGCGAAAGCGCCATCACAAGCCGTAAACCGTTTCGTGAAACCACGGGCGCACCACAAACACCCGACGCTCACCGTGTGAAGTGAGTTCACTGTGCTCGCCATCTTGGATCCCTGCCGTTGTTCATCCGACTTGGATGGGTACATAAACTACCCCGCCACGATTTCACCGCGACCGCAACCGCCACCCAAGTAGCCGCCGCCTTGTGGATTCTTCAACACCTCAGCAGAGCAATCTTCGAGGGAAAGATCACGCGTAGAAATAGGCCCTCGACTGCATTACAACTCGCTCCCACGGTCCAAGCGAAGTTAGCCACGCCCCGCCAGAGCAGCATTCAACTCAAGCGTCTACAGTACCTCAGCCACCGAAACTGCACAACCACACACTTTCGCCCGCCATGGACGATGAGAACATCCTCAACTTTGTCGGCATTACGTCGTGCGAACCCGACAAAGCAGCACAATACTTGCGCCTGACAGATGGCAATCTTGAGCAGGCCATACAACTGTTCTTCGACAGCCCAAACCTCGACTTTGGCCCTGCACCCACATCACAAGCCCCCACTTCAAATGCTCCACCGTCAGCACATAATCCCATAAACGTCGATTCGGACGACGACATGTCCGACTTCGATCCTACTGCACACACTTCCACTCCGCCAACGCGACAGCCACCAGACACAGAAGATGACGAGGCCATGGCACGGCGATTGCAGGAGGAGATGTACGGCGGCGGTGGTGGCGGTGGCGGTAGCAGCGGTGCTGCAGGGGGGGTCGATCCAGAGGAAGTTCGTGCGCCCATGCAGCGGACGACAGAGACGCTGGTCGGTCCAGATGCAAACTGGGGGCCGCCAGATGAGGATGACATGAACGACATGGTGCAGGAGCAGCTGGCACGTAGGAGAGCAGGTATGCCCCACACCTCTAATGTACCAAATCCCGAACTCTACTAACCCAACTTACGCAGGCCGAGCGGGCATCTTCAACCAGCAAACCACTCATACCAACGTCTGGGACAACTCCGCGGATTCGAGCGCTCGACGACGCGAGCTTGCGACCGCTACGGGCGGTGCTTCAGAGCAGTCGTCCAAGATGAACATGCTAGCAGAGCTGTTCCGCCCTCCGTTCGAGATAATGTACCAGGGGTCGTGGGAGAAGGCGCGAGACATGGGCAAAGAGGACGAGAAGTGGCTCATCGTCAACATCCAAGATCCGGCAATCTTCGACTGCCAGCGCCTAAATAGGGATATTTGGAAGAACGATGACATCAAGGCTACTGTGCGAGAGAATTTCCTCTTCATGCAGTATGCCAAGGACGACCCGCGTGGCCAGCAGTACGTCAACTACTACTTCCATGCTCGGGATAGCTCAGATGCATACCCGCACATTGCTATCGTCGACCCTCGAACGGGTGAGCAGGTTAAGGTGTGGTCTGGCCCACCAATACCGGAACCGGTTGAGTTCCACGCTCAACTACACGAGTTCCTCGATCGCTACAGCCTCGATGTTACCGCGAAGAACCCCGTTGCAAAGCGAAAGGCTGAAGCCAAAAAGATGGACGTCGACCGCATGACCGAAGAGGAGATGCTGGAGATGGCTTTGCAGAATAGCATGGAGAACGGCAAGGGGCCCAAGGACGACGATCCAGACGCGCTCACCAAGTCTTTCGACAATATCAAGGGCAAGGCAAAGGCAGAGGAGGCAGCACCGGAACCGAAGCCAGAGCAAGAAGCGAATGACTCGTCCAATACTGTATTCGCCCAAATCTCATCGCATAACCCCCACAAAGAGCCTACCATTACCGATCCAAAGATCACCACCCGTATCCAGTTCCGAGGTCCCTCTGGACGCCCCATCGTCCGACGCTTCAATCTCTCAGATCCTGTTCGTCACATTTACGAGTGGATCAAGTCCGACGCCCCTTGGGACGGCAAGCAAGGTGCTGAGTTTGATCTAGCCTTCATGGGTAAGAATTTACTCGAGCACCTGGACACCACCATCGAGCAGGCTGGCTTGAAGGGCGCTAGCGTTATGGTTGAGTTCATCGAATCAGAGTAATGCTTCGTCTGGTTTTGAGGTAGCGAGTATGGTTACGATGCATCAGGGGTATGACTATGCACATAAGAGGCGGTCAACAGTAATGTACTTAGGTCGACATTGGGTGGGTCTGGGATTCACGACTAGAGCTCGTTTAGATTCATCATAACCACTAACGTGGTAAATACCCTTGCATTCTTTGGGGTTCAGCATAATATGATTACTTTTTTCTAAAGTTTTATATGGACAATGAGATGGAGTATCACAAAATAGACACAAGATAATACAAACCGGTAAATCCCCTCTACCAGTTCAAAAAATAACAAATAGCGTGACCAGATATAGGCATACATAGAAACACCACAGATCAATTACAAAGAGAAGATTAAGCGATACCGCTGCTTCCCTTGAAAGAGAAATAATAGAAAGTACATATTTCCTAATCTGTTATATTCGAACACCTAAGTACACTTTAGCTATCACCTTATTTTATTGAATTTCCAGTCATAGTGAAAGAAAGCCTCAATTCCAAAAAAAGATTGATTACATAGATGGAAGAAGCGAATGTATAAACACCAAAACACTCCATCCCAATGCTAACTCCACCACTAAAGGAACACCATCGCTATGCCATACCTATTAAACATCCGAATAAAGAGCGAGAGAGAGCGGAAAATTGCTCATTTATTTCGTCAGCAAGGAGTGATCATTCGATTACTCAATGTTGATCTTCCTTGACTGAGGAGCCTGCGCCTTGGGGACAACAATGCTCAAGATACCGTTCTTCAAGCTCGCCTTGACAGCGTCCTGATCGACGCGCGCGGGGAAGGCAAAGCTGCGGTGGAATTCGCCGACAGAGCGCTCAGAGACCCAGTACTTGGATGTGGATGCGTCGTCTTGCTTTGTGACTTCGTGCTGCTCGGACTGCTTGGCGACCTGCGAGTCCTTCTTGTTGTTGGTGGTGGCTGACTCGGTAGACTCGTCTTCGACGGTGGGCTGGTGCCCGAGCTTCTTCTGTTGGGGTGCCTCGCTGTTCTCAATGAAGCCTTGGGGACGCTGGCCCTCTTCGCGGACATGCTCGTGGCGGCCGGAAATGGTCAACGTGTTATTGTCCGTCCATTCGATGTTGATGTCTTTCTGGTCGACGCCAGGGAGTTCGCCGTGCAGTTCGTAGCCATCGTTCGTCTCTTTGACGTCGAACTTTGGCGTAAAGGAGCGGATGCTGTTGAACTCGCGATCGAGGCCGCGGAACGCCTGGCGGTCGTACTCGTCGAAGAGTCGGAAGATGGGAGCAAACTCCTGAGTAAATCGTGGGAAGAGAGACATTGTTGCGGGCGTGTTTGTGAAGTGTCGAATAGTAGTTGGCCTGATGATGCGGTTGAGTTGTCGAGGAGCTCGTTGGATTGTTGCGCGCAGTGATTGCATAGAAGATTTGTTGTGCTTTGTTCTGATGATACTCTTGAAGTCAAGTATCGTGAGTCTTATATACTCGATAGCATGGTTTCTAGAAACATCTCTCTGTTCTATGATCACAATCGTTACGTGTGTTGTGATGCTGCGAGGAGTTGCGAGGCCATTCGGCGATGATTCGGGCATGTGCTAGAATCTTCGACTGACGACAAAGACCGTTGCAAGGTGGCATGATCGCAACGCAACATAGCACAAAGAAACTTCTAGTAGCAATGCAAGCTAGATGAATGGCGAAGATTATTCCTCAAGTCTTTCTTCGTGAAAGAGACAGAGATAGCTCGAATGTTCTTGACTGTGACTCTAATCACGTGATCGTGCCCTTTGTGTACTCCAACGGTCGACTTATGATTGAATCTAATCATGAATTCCAAGACCACATCTTCCATCCTTATTGCGTAACAGCTGAGTCTATCATGGACTACCAGTCGTCCTGCTGTCTGGTGTGGCGACGATCGGTTCCAGTCCCTTGCGATCTTTCTTGTTTCGACAAGTCGACAAGGCGCCCCTTAGCTAGTCACTAGCTGTGAATATCTCGTATCCCTGGGTCTGAATATAGTTCGATCTGGTTCCGTCCTCTTCGAAGAAGATACTCAATGGTTCCAAAGTCCTTCTTGCCAACATGTACGTGCTTCTGAAACTCTGCCCTATTTATGTGTCAGCCATTAGGCTCAAAACGTCACTTTAAGTTTGAAGGCATACTTTGCGAAATCGCGAAAATGCGATTGCGTTTCCTATGGTTGTCAGTGAAGCCAGGGGTTTGTAGAATAATAGCGTACAGCTGGCTTTTGCCTCACAGCTCTCAAACATTGCCGATAAAGCGATAGAACATCTTTCTGGAGTCCAGATAGCCTCGCCATATCCTCCCGAATTCTCTTCCCGGTAGATCTGATGTGATTGAAATGTGAGCGTCAAGATGTCCAAGTCACTTGAGCTCGAGGCTGCACAGCGGAAGTCACCAAGCCCTAGCGAAGCTCTGACCCACAAGGACCGTGCAGGGATCGAGGAACAAACTAGCGGTAGTCAATGACGACCTTATCGTAACGTCCATGGTGTTAGCATCGCATATGGAATCAGTCTAAATCTGTGCCATGTTGGGCGGCAATGTCTCATGCTTGTGAGAGGGTCGCTGCGGCAGTTCGGGCACAGGGGCAGCCTCATGCACACCCCGCCGACGTACATATTGCCAACACACCTAGGACCACCATTGCCCACCATCGTGCTTCATCGTCGCTGCCTTTGTTCTGAGGGAGTCATCTATGCAAACTTGTTATTTGATGTCGGCAAAGCTGATTTGATCTTCCACCGCAGTATTCTCACAACAGAAGCACTTGTCGCTCTGCGGCTGGCATGCATGAAGCTCGAGAGAAAGAGAGGCAATGAAAGTGGATAAGAACCTGGTAAGCGGGGTGCAAGTTTGAGTGTTCATTCAAAATAGCTGTTACATGAAGTAAAACTATTTGAAACGAGAAAAAAGAAAGAGATATCAATCTGTAATACAAATACTTAGTGTTCCAGCAACGCATGGCATCGCCGCTTGAGCTTAAATCCGAAAAAGAGGTAGGAGAGGAAGGCATAAGGCCAACTGAGGCCTTCTGACAATATGAGTAAGCAAAACACAATAGAAGGGAGGAGTAAGCGAACGATACGGACGAGTTGACGCCCTTGGCGCCCTGCATGCAAGCGAAAAAATAAACGGAGGCGGAGGCCACCATCATCGACATCGGAGCCACGGAGATGCTCGCAATGTCTACGATACTGAAAAGTCGTGTATGGTCACTCCTTGTGACTGCCAGCAGCCTTGCCGTACTTTCGATCGAATTCCGACCATGGCCGAGGCGAGCTGGGCCCCTTTCCAACATTGTAATCTTCATCGGCTGTACCCAGAGAACGATGGGAGGGCGTGTGGCTTGTTGAAAACGCGGTGTGTGCACGATTGGGCGGCTCAGGCGCTTGTCCGTCGTTGTCCCCATGCTCTACGGTTGTGCATGGTGATGGCTGCCTCATTGATGCCTCACTTGACTGCCCTACTAACCAATCATTAAGTGTTGATAAATTTGGACTTTCAGATTCCAAAAGTCGGGAGGAGAAGACTAGACGCGGTTGGAACTTCCATTCTCAGATCGCCGTGCATTAGGAAGTTCGCAACTTTGGGAAAGATTGAGGACCTCGGGAAGATGAGGTATCTAACCCACAATGATTTGGGTGCGACCATTGCAGGTGCTTGCGTCGATCTAATCAATTTAAAGAAGAAGACGAAAGTTGAAAACAAAATTTGCCTTCCACGCGGGAAAAGCCACTAATGGCTATTATTGCTCACCAGCTATGTTCCTCAGGTCCTGGTTGTCTACTTGCCGACGTCGAAATTCTTCGAGTTCGGAGGGTAGGATATAGGCACCGCCTTGCGTAGGAGTGGGAGTTCGAGTGCGAGTAGGTGTCAGGACTGAGCTGCCAGGAGGGCTGTCGTTTTGGCTAGACATTGGGTGAAGAGACGTTTTGGTGGTCTTTCGTGTCGCATCTGACTCTCGAGATGTTGCTTCATCGTCGGTAATGTCGTCGATGATTTTAGGCCAAGATTTGGTGGCGAGTCGCAAGTGAGCGCCTATAGCGTCAAAGAGGTCTGTAGAATCGGGGCTTTTCTTTGAGCCCGATGCTGAGGGGCTGCTTTGACGAAAATGGGCTTCGCGGGCCATGAAACGCTCCGGAGAGAGGTCTGAGATCTCAGAGCTCGACGGCATTGCGCTTGATGACTGGTACTTGGATGCAAAGGGGGCAAGGTATGAAAAGTTTGAGGCGGTCACAAGCCAACAACGTGAACAGTAACAGGCCTTGGATAAAAGGGGCGCGGAGGTCGGCGATTGTTTACCGCGGCCAAGTTCGGATGTTGGAAGGAGTGTGGTCTTGCCAGCAAGAGGATGAAGTGCGAGGGATGATCTCGTTGTTCAGGGGGCGAGGAAGGACTGATGGCAGGAATATATACACAGACAAGAGCAGGATCGCATCAGGAGCAAGACGGCGCGTGTCTGTCTACATGCTGGCAATCCATGGTGCGTGCGAAAGTGCGATGCATTGCGGTCAACTCCACCGCGCTTGCGAAGACCCGTTACATCGGAGTATTCAACGGTAACTCCTATAGGCGAGAAAGAGGCGGAGGCTCCGAGTGCCATGATGCTGTGCTCATGGTAGCAGCATAATGATTAAGGCTAAGCTCGTCGTTAGCCGATCTGCAAGGCGGACTGACAGTTCCGCATTCGACAAATGGTGGCCTTCGAGAAGGCACTTGACCGCTGCCATGTGTTGCGTCTTCGAGAAGACCAGAAAGATGGGAATGCGCAAGCACAGGGCACGATGGTGGTAAGTTGGTTTCAACTTTCCGCCCAATTGCAAGAGAATTTCTTCGTTCACCTGCATTAGGGCTTATCTGCTTGTTTGCAATGGGGCTTCCCTTTTTTATGGCCCACTGACAATGGTTTGAGCACTAAATATGATGGTTTGTTGGAACTTGATTTTGTGCCTCTGCTTACGGCGCAACCGAGCTGGGGCTGTTAGAATATACAGAAACAGTCGCGGCTATATTAGAGAGCCTTCGTCCCTCTCATTGTGGGTGTTACCCTATCTCCTCACTCCTCACAAAACCGTCCAGACAACCTTAAGCTAATATAATGCACAGTGATGAATAGTTCTAAGAGGAGCAGAAGACTGCATCATGATTTCACTGGCACAGAATTCAGTTGACTGGTGCATAGTGCTCTCGTCCTTGGGACCAAATAATGAGTCTTCTGTCCACTCATCTCTCGTATCTAACATGACCGACCAATGTTTGACCCAGTAATATATAAAATCAGGAACATGTAGAAAGCGGGCGCATCCGTGCTGAGGGAAGACAAGATAAACTCTCTAGCAAAACGTTCCTGGGCCGTAGCGCGGCCGTAGCACCCATGTTCGAATTGAGTGAGACAATGGGGTCCATTTTGGTATAGATCCTGCGTCAACATTTGCATCAGTTGACTATAGCAGCATGATTAAAAGCAGTATGGCGCGTTTTCAGATGCTCTGTCTCCAGAAACGGAGACATTTGTGCGCGACGGTGTCCGAATGGTGCCCATCGACGAAATATGTGCGTCATTGGGGTGGGCTACGAGAGATCAAAAAGTGGAGGGGTCCCGTTCTTCACCGGAACTACAAGCTGCAGGCTGCAAGCCTCATGTAGCTTTAGGAGCATGATCACCAGTAGCGGGGGTCACAAATGTGGAGAGCGTGCATGACCCGTTCCCTCGAGTGATAGCAAACGTGTGCTTAAGTTCAGAGTTGCGGTGAGTCTGATGGCCATTGAGCCGATAAAGACACCGACGCGTCGCAATATGAGCAATCAGTAGGCAAGAAGGAGTGGGATGCAGTGTTCCTTGGCGAGATGTGCTGTATCATGAATACCGCCCACAAGTACGGGACGCAACGCAGTTGAACATCAACATGACTCCCAAATCATGCTCGATTCCTGTATATCTAGCGATCTTTGCGAGTAGACCTGGACAGTTCCAATGCTGTCAGTTATGAATAAAGGGGCCACGGCCTGTGACCACGGCAGTAGTACTGCCCGTGCGAATCGACTAGTATAGGAGGAGGAGCAGGTGAATGGAGTTTAATTTGAACTCAAACAGTAGATATTAAGATATCAAGTCTTTGGAATGATGCAAGATCGGTCAAATCCGATTTGTTGTAGCAAGGCTAAGGACGTCAGTGCCGTTCGAAGGTGTCAAATCCCTGCGCTGTATCGCGGGAAGTCACATATACTAAGGCCCGTCAACGTGAACAGCTTTATTAGCCATGTTTGACTGGGGAATGTCGCCCGCGGACGTATCAATGATAGGTCGATGTTGGGCTCTCTTACTGTGATAGGGATATGGTCGCCCACTTGACGGCAAGGGCGATGCAGCAAGGCTGCCGGGCATGTTAATCACCATGCATGAGACAACACATGGGTATATGAAATCTTTGATGCTGTGCCGTTATCTGAAGCTTGCGCCGTGAAACCGGTGAAAAGAGGAGCGGTGGAGCGTGGAGCGTGCGACGGGGGTCGGCTTTTCCAGCTGTGTTAATTTGTCAACCACAATAGACACTGACATGATGAGTTGAATCCTCTCAACCACGTCAATAACAGCTAGACAATTTGGTCACTTGCAAAGTTCACGGCAAGGCCGTGCTCCAATTGCTTGAAATCGGAACTGCGCAAATGCGCCTATATTCATTGTATTTTGGGACCGAGTCAGGTAATTGAGCCCGCAAACGCCGAGACCAATCCGATACCGCGCCTGAAGGTGAGAATGCTGTGAACGAGGATGAACTTTTCAGTGCTGTCCATTCACGCCAAGAAGTGACCTTCTCGTCGCTACAGCCTGAGCAAGCTCCTCAAGCACTTTTTCCGTATCACTCCAGCTGATGCATGCATCAGTGATAGATACCCCGTATTTTAAAGCAGATCGACCTTCTTTCGGCACTTTTTGTGCGCCCTCATTGATGTTGCTTTCAATCATAACGCCCATGATAGAATCCTCACCAGCCGCGATCTGCTCAGCCAAGACATGTGCGACCTTAGGCTGGTTCTTGTGGTCCTTCTCAGAGTTTCCGTGGCTGCAATCCACCATTAAACGCGCGTTCAGGCCCTTGGACTCCAGCTTCTCGCGCGACTCCTTGATGCTCTTAGCATCGAAATTTGTGCCCTTCTTTCCGCCGCGAAGGATGACGAAGCAGTCATCGTTACCAATGGTACCGACTATAGCGACAACACCAGGCTTGGTGACCGAAAGGAAGTGATGCGGGTGCTTGACGGAGCCGATAGCGTCAACAGCAACGTCGAGAGTACCGTCTGTACCGTTCTTGAACCCGACAGGGAAGGACAGACCTGAGGCAAGCTCACGGTGGAGCTGCGACTCGGTAGTCCTGGCGCCAATAGCACCCAGGCTCAGCATATCAGCCAAGAACTGGGGTGAGATCGTATCCAGCATCTCGCTTGCCAGAGGCATGCCCTTCTCAGTGAGATCAGCGAAGAGCTGCCTTGAGATGCGCAAGCCCTTGTTGATCTTGAAGCTGTTGTCGATATCCGGGTCGTTGATCAACCCCTTCCAACCCACAGTCGTGCGAGGCTTCTCCAAGTACGAGCGCATGACGATGAGAAGGTCGTCCTGGTGCTTCTCCTTGAGCTTCATCAAGCGGTCACAGTATTCGAGGGCGGCCGCGGGGTCGTGAATGGAGCAAGGACCAATGACAACGAGCAGCCTTCGCTGAGCATCTTTGCCCTGGACAACTGCGACGGCTTCGTTGCGGCCCTTGAGGACGGTTTCTCTTGACTTGGCCGACTGCGGGATTTCGCTCTGAAGAAGATCGGGAGGTGTAAGGGGATTGTAGCCGCGAATACGATAGTCTTCCGAGTTTTGCGGGTCACCGACCGCTGGGTTCTCAATGTGGAACTAGGTAGGTGTTGTTAGAGAACAGTTGGTGGCGATGGTGGGGAAGGAATGTTACTCACAGACATGTCTGGGTGTATCAAGTACTGGAAGGTTGAGGAAGTTGGTGAGTGGTTGGTCGAGCCCAGAGTAAGTAAGTACTGCGAGTATTCACTGTGGATTGATCTGCTCCACTTTAGAGGAGCGATGGGCCTCTTTTATGAGTCGAGGTTTTGGAATGACAGCCCGGAGTCGGAACGAATGTGATTGGTCAGTGGGCGGGAGGGTCTGGGGTTCATTTTTGATCGGCTTTCGCTTGTGGTGGTGGGGCTACATCCAGACTTCAATCATCACCGCCAAGTCAGCCCATGCTCCGGGGATTAGTCTCAAGTTTGGACTCCTGCAAGGAAGCCTGTGGTCGTTGACTGGCTTATTTTCATTTCGGGCCCGATGTGTGTGGTGTTTGGTCGGACCCGAGGCCGGAAACGACATGGACGAATAACCCGAGTTCACAAGGTGCTGACTGCGGGGCTTATGCCATGTACTACGGACATGTACAACGACCCCGGTTCGGTGAATTTGTCTTGTGGATTAACAACAGCACGTGAAAAAGAGACACATATAGGATCCGATTTTAAACCCTCAGGGAACCTCAAAGGTCGAATTACAGGGATAACAAGTAACATGTGATCGTCCGCGGTCGTTGCGGATGGTGCTACTCCACTAGCTACTACGTCACTCATATGGCATTTCGAAAGTCTATTGAAACGCCATAGTGCGCTTACAGCCTTACCTTTCCATCTCTCCCAGCTGTTGCAATAGCCGATTACTTTCCCACTCGCGTAGCTTACCTCAGATTCCTACCACAATGGGCGGCGTCGACTACGCTTCGCTCGTGTCCATCCCAACCAGCTACGCGACCTGCTCCCTCGGTAGTCCTTCCAATCCTCCACCGCTCCTTGACCGCCTGCACGCCATATCCTTAGCAGGATTTCCCGCCGTGGAGCTTTCTTTTCCCGATATCCTATCATTCGGTCAGGCATGGCTTAGTCATCAAATTGAGCCCTCCGATTACGATGAGCTCTGCAAGGTTGCTGCCGAGATCAAGAAAGAATGTGACAAGAGGAGTCTTGGGATAATGATGTTGCAGCCTTTCGCTAATTTCGAAGGCTGGCCTGAAGGCTCTGAGGGCCGCAATGATGCCCTAGATCGTGCCCGCGGATGGATCCGCATCATGCAGGCTTGCGGGACGGATATGCTGCAGGTTGGATCTACCGATACACCGCTCGAGAAACTGGAAAAGGGTAAGATGGTGTCAGATCTGCGGGGTTTGTGCGACATGCTCAAGGAGCACGGCTTCCGACTGGCGTACGAGAACTGGTGCTGGTCGACCCATGCCCCAGATTGGAAGGATGTCTGGAGCATCGTAAAAGAGGTCGACAGACCCAACATCGGCCTTTGTCTCGACACCTTCCAGACAGCTGGAGGTGAGTGGGCAGATCCCAGGACTCCCTCAGGACTACTAGAAGATGTCACGAAGGATGAACTAGAAAAGCGATTCAAGAAGAGCCTCGATGACCTCAGCACCACCGTACCAAAAGATAAGATCTATCTCCTTCAGATCAGCGATGGGTACAGGGCCCCTGAGCCCTTCCATGCAGAGCGTGACGGCTCAGGCCTACTGCCACGCGGACGATGGAGCCATGACTTCCGACCACTTCCCTACAACGGCGGATATCTCCCTGTCGTGGACGTTGCTACAGCTGTATTAAAGACCGGCTTCAGAGGGTGGTTCAGCTATGAAGTTTTCGACGGTGGCGCAGATGGTAAGAAACAGGACGTGGATATTGTTGCATACGCGATGGCTGCGAAGCATGTACAGCCCAGGTTGCTCGCGGAGTGCGCTGGTGAAAGGGTCCCTGAGAGATAGCATACACGTTGCGGGACAGTGCAAGGACAAAGTAAGCTAGGCCCATATAATATTCCTAGCCTACATGTGAAAAGTCACACAGATTATGTGCCCATACCGCCGTGTAGACATGAATCGCTATCGAGTTAGTGAGTTTTCGCGTATAGAACCATTCAGATCTCTTTTCATCCAGTTGCCCAGCTCAGTACTCAAGTTCCTTTCATTCACAACGGGGGCGTTTACGATTGCTGAGCCATACGATTAAGACCTGCCGAACAAAAGTGGCTAATTAGATAATGTGAGTGTCGAATCGGAGAATTCTGTATCTGCATTTGCTGAAACAATGCGCGGCAGGTGAAATTGCGCAGTCGCTCTAAGATCAAGGTGTAAGACAGCCGCGCTCTCGACTCTAACGTCCCACAACACACATCCCAGATTCCAGATGAGATTTTATATATATTCAATAATTCTGAGATATCTCACCAAGATCGGTACCACATTGGTGTGGGTTCGCGGCAAGCTCGCCAAGTCCCAGATACACCTCGTCGACAAAGGATGTAGGCAGTTCGAGCCCTAGATCGGGAGGAACTCGACGCCGAACCTTTTTGCCATTTTTATGCCATTTTCCGAATGTCCCGCAGTCCTATTTCTTCGAGTGACTTATGTTACATTCGCTTGGCTTAAGAACTACCTACGCTTTAGGCGCAAATAGAGAGATGTAGGATATTATTTTTATATAGAGGAATTATAACTTCTTGAGAGCTGGAACATAGAGATATTATATAATTAGGGTTTATTATAATCTACTCGGTCCAACTTGGTATATTAGTACTTGTACTGTGTCGTTGCAATCGCAAATCTCTATAGTAGAACAACATTGGAAAGCTATTTGGACTAGCTAAAAGAAGCCAGTTAAAAAACGTGGGAGGTAGTAGCAATTACCTAGAATATACTTCGTAGATTGATAGTGGTGCCCAAGTGGCTAATAGATGTGTAGTGCAGTTGTTGAGTTGAATGCCGCTGCCTACAGTGCACAGACGCCGGATAAGCTAGGACAGTAGTTAAGCTACCTAAATATTAAAATACTATAATTATCTTAACTTTAAGGCGTTATAACTTTACTACTATAAACTTAATTTAAAAAATAATTAAATATATTAAATTATATAAAGCTAGCGCACTTTTTTTATACTGCAAAGTTATAAAAAAATTTAAAATTAATTAAACAACTTTATTGCAAAAGTACTAAAAAAAAATACATTTTTATATAAATACTAAATAATAATAATAGTTATTTAACTTATAATAAAAGTATAAATTTATATTATATATAAAAAAATATATAAAGCAAAGCTTACTACTAATATAAAAAATAATATAGAATTTTGCAAATTTAGTAGCAAAATAAAAAGTTTTAAAATACTAAGTTTTTTAATTTTTATATTATTATAATGCTAAATTTATTTTTAAATAAAGTACTAAAATTAATTGCAACTATTACTAAACTAATTTTTATAAAAAATATAAATTATATTTTAAATTATTATATTTAAAAATGTGCGAGTATCGCATTAAAGCATAAAATATATATAATATAAATAAAAAAAAAATTTTTATTAGTATTATAGCTTGCTTAAAATAAGTTTTTTTTAAAGTAGTTTAGCAGGCAAAAAAGTATATAGCAGCTATTTAAAATAGTAATAAAAAATAAATAATACTTTTAGCTTATATTTATAATAATAAAAACGCGCTACTGCTAGCGCTTATTTATAAAAGTAAATTAAAATTTTAATTAAATTAAGTTAATAATATAAAAGCTAGAAAATATAAAGTTTTTTTTACTAACTTAATTTGTTATAGCTTGGGCTTTGGCCTAAGCCCTAGCATTTGCGGACTAAGGACCTCGGCAAACCTTAGCAATAAACCCCTATATAAGTAGCTAGAAATCTCTGTACTTTTTTAAAGTATATAATACTATTATTTATACTTAGAACAGAACAATCCTAAGGCCAGTCCATAACATAATTATAAAATAAATAAATAATAACTTTAGTTTAGCCTAGCTTAAATAAGTATTTAAGCGCTTTATAAAAATTTAACTGCTATTTTTATTAATTGCAAAGCTTTATTAGCATTAAAAAAAGTTTTTTTTTTTTATATTTTAGGCAGCATAAAGCTTTATAATAAGGCCTAAAATAATAAAAAAAAGTTTTTAAGCTATAAGTATATTGCTAATAAATGCAAAAATTATATTAAAATACTTTAATAATTATAACGTACTTCTATAACAAATAGTTAGTTAGGACGAGTAGTTAGTCTTTGCTAAGCCCTTACTAAAACTTACTATTATTTATAGTATATTGCAATAAATTAATATAATAACGCGTTATTAGCTTAAAAAAAATATTAAATATAAAATATAATTTAAGCTATTAAATAAAATATAAATTTTTTAATTTATTATACTGCAAAATATTATAACGTATTTAAATTAATACTTAAAAAATAATTTACTAAAACTACTTTTTAATACAACTATATACTTAATTTAATAAAGCTTACTATAGTAAAAAAAAAAAAAATTATTAATTATATACTTAACTTTGCTGTAAGAAAATACCTGCTTAAGCTTACTAAAATTAAAAATATAGCTAATTTTTTGCTTATTAAGTATTACTAAAACTTAATTAATTTAAAATAAGCTAATATATTTATTAAATGCTAATTTAAACTTAAAGTAAAATTTAATTAAAAATATAATTATAAAATTTTTTTTTGCAAAGATCCTAACGCTATATAAAACTAGTTTTAGCTAGTATAAAATATAAAAATAAAATATAGTATTATAAATAAAAATACTTACAATTTTAATAAAACAGGCTTTATAATAAATATAATATTAATTAAAACTATTATTATAAGCTTTAACTATTAAAAATAGGCAATAATAGTATAGTAAAGTAATTAAAAGTAGATAATAATAATTTAAAGTATTAGCGCGGCTAATTAAGTAATTTTATTTTTTATTATTTTTACAGGTAAGCACTATTTTTCTGCCTAGTATAAAAAAAATAGCCTACTTTAAAATTAAGCTATTACTATTTTTATAAATAGCTAAATAACTAATAAATATAGCTTTAAGTAGATAAAGTACTTTAATAAGTATATAAAAAAGCGTACTATTAATATACATTATTTTTTAATTATAAATAGCTATAAAAGCTATAACTTAGTTAAATTTTACTAGTACTATAAAAAAAATAGTATTATTATTTTTTATATACTTTTGTATTTATTGCACTTACTATAGCTATTTAATATAAACTATTTTACTTTTTTAAAAAAAATATATAAGCGCTAAGCTAAAATCTTAATGCGTAACTATATTAACTATATTACTAAAATTAAATTTTTACTATATTTTAAAGCTACTTTTAATACTACTATTATAAAAAATAATATTTTAAAAAACTTTTAAAATGCTAGCTTAATACTATTTAACTTAAAAGCTGTAATATTAAAACTTAATATTTAATTATATACTTTACTATTATTTACTATTAAAAATAGTGCCTAAAAATTAAAAATACTTAATAATATTTTAAAATTTAAGTTGCAATTAATGCTTTTAAAAGAAAAAATTTAAAAGTACTTAAATAGCTTTTTTACTTTAATAGTAAATATTTTTGCAAAATTTATTAAAAGTGCAGAAATAATAGCACATTTAATAATATTAATGTAAAAATAAAATTTTAAATTTTAAGCTGCTAATAAAACTGCTACGCAATATAAATTGCATAAAAAAAAGCAAGTATAAAAAAAAAAAACTTTTATAATAAAAAATAATTTTTAATTAATAATTTTAAAAGAATTTAAAGCGCGTAATAATAAAAAAAAAATAAAAAAAAAAGTGCGTGCTAAAGTAGGTAAGCTTTTTTAAAAGCACTATAAATATTATAATAAAATAAAGTATAACACACGCATATATAAAAATAATATAAAAAATATTATAAATTAATACTATATATTATTAGCTATAGTACAATATACTATAGTTGCAATATACTATAAGCAATAGTAAATTTTAGTAGAAGCTTAGTAAAAACTAACTACTTGTCCTAACTAACTACTTGTTATAGAAGTACGTTATTTTAAAATAAAATAAAAATAAAAAAATTAAAAAGTATAATAATAAAGATAGTTAGAATAAGCTGCAAAATTTTTTAAATAATATAATTATAAATAAAGTAAAAATTAAAGCTAAATATTTTAAAAAGTTATTATATTTACTATAAATTTAAAATAAGCTTTTTTACTATAAAAATAATAGTTTTTAGGCAGCGCTTAATATTAAAAAAAAATATAAAAAAAAAGTAAAACGCTTAATTTATAGTAAAAATAAGAGTACTATAATAGTACTATTTTTTAAAAAATTTAAAAAATTTAAAAAGCGCGCGCCTGCAAAATAATTAAACAATATAAAATTAAATAATTTTTTTTTTTAAAAAAGTAAAATAAAAAAGCTAAAAGCCGCGGCAACATTATATAAAAAGAAAATAGTAAAAAAAATAAAAGCGTTGCAATAACTTACTAAAAAAAAATATAAAAAAATAAAAAATAAAATAAAAGTTAAAAAATTTATAGCTATTTAAGTGCTTAAATAATAGCAATATAATATTATAATTTTATAAAAATTTTATAATATATTAAATAAAAGTAAGCAAAAAACTTTATAAAGCGCTATATAAAAATTTATAAAAAAATATTATATTATAAGTACTAAAAATTATACTAATACTATATTTATACTACTATTTTTTTTACTTAAAACTACTTTACGCGGCTGCTAAATTAAAATTTTAAAAAAATTTAAATAGTACAAAAGTTTTGTAAAGCTTTATATAGTAATATACTAAAATTTTTTATAATAATTACTTTTATAAGTAGCTTAATAGCTTTATTTTTAAAATATAATAATATTAATAAAGTAGTTTAATTGCTGTTTTAGCTTATCCGGCGTCCGTGCACTGTATTGGGACTAGCGCCGACTAATCACCTTTGATGAGGCCGGGGCAACCACGACTGCACCGCGACCGTACCGCGACCTAAACACGACTTCGTTAACGCTTTCCACCTGGGCAAGTCCTCGTAATCAACAGCCCATATTCACATCTGAGATTCTTGAGCGGCGCCTCGCTCCCAACCTGTAACGACTGCATATCGCTCACTTCATGCTGCAGCATGATAAGCTCCGGGTTCCTTCTTTTTCCGGGTGAGTACGCTACGCGTTGCGCATTTCTTACGTTGCGAGAAATCCACATAATGGCAAAGATGACACGAGGTGCCTTGTGGCCTAATCATCCACATGTGCGCTTCATCAGATACTGCGTACCAGAAAACCCGACTACGTGGTTTCGTTGTGCGATACCCTCACACACAACTGTCTGAGCCACCTTGTTCCCAGCTCGCCACTTTCTTCGTTTAGGCCCGGACTCTGCTGACGGCTGGACGCAGGCAAACATGTTGACACTTGAAGATGGCTCGTTGATGCACCTTCAAGGCATGAATCGTGGTCGTCGGTTCTCATCTAGATGTACCGGACTTGCTTTGCACCTGGGATCCGTTGCAGCTATGTCACCCGCCACTAGGAATTTGATTCCAAGTCCCATCTTGCCGTAAATGTCGAGCCCAGTCCTACGCTTACACAGTACGCCCCAAGTAGCCTGGAGGTGGGTTCTCGCAAGCTTGTGTACTGCCATGTTCAATCTTGTCAATCATACATACGATGCGCTCTTCTTCTGAATATATCCGCTATCGACTCTATTCTACTCACCAACCGTCTCTCCCTTCATCCCTCGAGTTCATCTCCGCCACACAAGCCGCAACCCGTTGAACCGCAGCCCCATTGCACCGTTGCGCCCCCGGCCACCATGGTGTCACCACAGCATGTAACCCCAACAGCCCGCAGTGCTTTTAGCTGCGCCACCAGGCGCCTCTGCCGTCAGACACCAGGGGTGCCAAATTACCCACGATATGTGTACCACTTGTAACTACATGCGTGAAACGCCGGGTACGTGAACGAGGCTCAGGGTCCGGGAGGGAGAGGCTGGGGACGGGACGAGTGGTTGGGTGGTTGGCAAGTTGGAGAGAATATGAACGGCGGGGAAGAGGTAAGGCAAGGCAAGGGAGGGGCAAAGAGCGCATTACTTGGTCCCTCTAGATGAGAGGAGGGATGTAGCACACCGGAAGAGGCTTAAATGGAGGAGAGTGAAAGTATAATAGTATGGCTCGCAAGTAGTTGATATGAATATATTTTCTACTACAATTACCATACGGGCCTGTATCTACGAGGCTTTATTCAAGGTTTAACTGTCCGACTACTATACGTTTACATGGCTTCCAATGTAAAGATGCACACAACAAATGAAAAGCAAGTCTAAACGCCATGTTATGCACCCACTCACAAACTTACACTAAAAAAGCGTTGCGTATTGCATTGCAGACAGTTCGAAAAAGGCGAATGCGCTGCGTAAATTTCGTATATCTTCGTCCTCTTTCCTCGATTCTTGTATTGGTTTGTGGCCCACCTCTGTCCCAACTCTCAACAGCATCTTACAAACGTCTACGCTCACGAGCTCTTGCCCGCTTCGTACACTCTACTCATGAAGTCGTCTACATCCAGGTCGATCGGCTTCTCTCGTAGGATTTTGGCCACTTGATCCGCGTCACCCTCCAAGCAGCTTCCCTCTAGTATGCCTAGAATCGCAACAGCAACCCGCGGCGGTATCTTGTCGCCTTCTACCGTATACACATCCATGATTCTCGCTGCACATTCTACACCCAGTCTGCCGCAGAACAAGCTACCGAACATGTCGACCAGGTAGTCTCGTGGCTCTACGCGCAGCACCTCTAGCCGTTCGGCTAGATTGGGTGATTTCTTGGACAAAGCGTGGATGGTTGTGGAGTATGCGGCGTGGATGGCGTTCGCGTCGTGGACAAGGAAGGATAGCGGCAAGGGGCGATTGAGCAAGTTTGAGAGGGCGATGAAGGCTTGCGGAGCGGCAAGGTTGAGGAGAAGGAGGGCGGCGATGTGCTGGACACCGCTGCTAGCGTGCGAGATGTCAGGTCGGTAGGTTGAGTAGGCTAGGCATAGGTTCACGAGATCCTGGTGTAGTGGCTGCTCGTCGTGCGCTGTCGGTGACGTTTGCGCTGCAAACATTTTGAGCTCGGGGAATACTGCGCTTTTGCTTTCAACAATATGCGCATATCGGCCTTGCAATGAGTTTTGTCCCGTCTCTCCAATCTCTTTCCTCGCCTTCTCCAAGGCAATATCGTACGTCACCTCAGTAATTTCGAGGTCATTGCCAATGGCTTTCGACCACACTTCCCCTCGCAACCGCGGTGGAATTCCATTCCACCACATCTTCCTATGTGCAGTGCGGACCTCGGGGGTTGTCATTTCAGTAGCCCAGTTAGGAAGGAGCGTGGTCGACCAGTATTCTGCCTTTATGCGAGAGTTCTTTTCGCGGGCAAGGGCTTCATCCTGGGTGCGTTGGGCCTCGAGACGTTCTGTTGATGCATATTAGTTTGACTGTGCAGTTCACTAGGGGAAGGTGGTGGGCCATACCGGCTTCCTCAATCCGAGCCAGCATTTGCTGGTACTCCTTCAGGTGCTTCTTCTCTTCCTTGGGGTTCTTGGGCGGAAGCCATGAAGGCCGTGTCCTCGAAAGATACTTCTGCTTCTCGGCTGAGGGTTGGAAGGGATCGATGAGCGGATCGCTCTTGCGGACTGGGGGGAGTCCCGTTTTCTTTGCCTTTGGCTCTCGTCGATTCAGGGATGCGGATCGCGTGAGTCCAGGCTGCTGCCGTTTAACCTCTTGCTTCCGCTCAAACTCGGACTGGAACTCTTCCAATGCCTCTGTGAGCTTCCTTGCATCTGGATCTAGAGCAGTATATGTGTGTTCCCAAGTGTGCGTTCGCTGCCGAACTAACTGGGATGGCGCGAAGTCTTCCGCCGGGGCGACATTGGGCGAGGGGGGCTGTGGGGAGTGGCGGCGTGATAGTGGAGGGGCAGGAGATGCCCTCGTAGATGATGGATCCCTGGTACTGGGATTCGGGGATGTCCGCGGTGGACTACCACATGTCGATGGTGCTGGTGACCGCTCCTGAGCAGGTCGGGGCGAGATGGGCACATTCCAAATTACAGCATCCTCTGGCAGCTCGTCGTCTTCGTCGTCACATTCCGCTTCCCTCTCCTTTACCGTTTTCCGCTTCGCATCTTGCCATGATTGTCTTCTGGCGCCCACGGAGGGTGACGGCAGGATGTCTAAATTCCGCGAACTTTTCCGTGATAGAGTGCGTGGTGAAGAAGGCGACGTTTTTTGCGGATTCGAGGGCGATTGGGAGCGCGAGGAGCGCTTGGGGGCTGAGAGGCCCACGCTCGTGAGAGAGGGGGCAGAGGGTGATGTGAAGCCCCTTCTGAGCGACTTGCCCGGGGCAGAGAGCTGTGTTTGCGGCCTCTGCAAGACATGTTGGACCTGGCCCTTCAAGCTCGGATATCTCGGTTTTGCCGCGCCCGTCAAATCGCGGATCGAATTATGCGCCGCCGTATGCGGATGTGAGAGGCTTCGGCCGGTTGAGGGGGATGATCTGGAGGCTTCGAAGATGATGCGATTAGACGGGTTGACAGGTAGGGGAAAGGAAGAGGGCCCACCTCTCGCCTCGTCCAGGTTGATGTCCTCAAAGTGCGAGAGGTCGCTAGGGGCCATGAAGTCTGAGAGGGTCGAGGAATGGACGCTGGATGATTTGGACGACTTTGAGTTTGTCAGGTCCGGCGGGCTGCCAGGAGGGGCTTCAAAGTCGGATTGCGCATTGTGCGAGTAAGTGAGCGTGGCCATGAGCGGACGAGGTGGTCTTCGCTGGATGGATGGTCGAAGCGGCGTCCCAATGCGGTGAGGAGCTATCTTGGTGCAGGCGTCGCGCTCGCGAAGGATGGAGATCAGGGAGTCGGCATAATCATGCTCGGATATGATGTACAGGGTGTGTTGCTGTCGGGAAATAAAGTGAATGTCTTGTCCCTCTCTGTAGTCGTCGCTGTGGCCCGCTCCTTGATCTCCAGGAGGCAGTCGAAGTTGATGTTGCACAAGGCGAGTGGTTGCAGGCATATCGAGGGACGGTCGAGGCAATCTCGGATCAGGGGCTTAGCGTCACCGACCGAGAGCGTCACATCCCTGTCGGCCAACGGGTGTGCCTGTCTGTGGGCCTATCGGCAGAAAAAGCGCCTTGGGACGGGTTGATTGCGGGTGGGTGGAGAGAGGAAGACGGTGTGAGTGTGTGCCTGAGGGGGAGCGGACGTTGAATTGAACATGTGTTGGGGAAGGGAGATGAGGGCAAGGCTAGGAGCATTGATGTTCAACTGCGGCAGCTATGGCTGCACCACGCGCGCAGGGGAGCTGTACTGTACTTTAACGTTGGAGACGTGAAACCTGACGCTATGCTGGTGGCTGGTACCAGCCGTCTGCTTTCGGGCTTGACATCACGACAACCATGTACAGAGTAACTCGTTGGCCAATCGCTCACAGCTGTCTCTGCCTAGCACAACACCGACCTTGGAACCGTCAGCCATCGACCTGGCCTGACGTGTGGGCAATTAGTAGCATTGCAGTCTGCATTGTTATTCCTCTCTGCTTTGCCCTGCTCTCCATCCGGCACTTCCGTCTGCTGCAGCCAAGCCTTTGGCGTGCAGACGTGCCCCCAGCCATGCCGCCGCTAACGTGGGCCCCCCCTTTCAGCACCGATCTTTGTTCTCTCGTCCTGGGTCATCAATCGTTCATCAGTCGTCCACAATCCCTTGTCCTTGACACCGACGAATAGCCGCCTCAAGCATGCCCCTCTCTGTCGTGCTCGACATGCGGACGGCTGCCAGAGAAGCTCCAAGCCACTTCAATAGCACTCGATGCTGCGTCTGCCGGCGCTGAAACGCTGTCTGGAAGGCCTTGCTGGCCAGCCTATCCTTTCGTTAGCACACCTGGTCAAGCCTGTGTAACACGAGCCCCCCGCCATCTCATGTTCCGGACCGTCGACTACACTCCGACAAGTCGTGGGTTGCCGCCCCGCAAACTGTGAAACACTTACCACTGGAGCTGCCGGCGCGAGATGACGCCCTGCACAGCTTGTGCTCGCCTCTCAACACGCGAGCGAGCACGTCGCTGGACCATCACAAACGCTAATGCGATCATGTTTTCCACCGTCTCTAATTGTTGAACACATCGTCAGCAAACTTGATGGCTAGTGCTAGCTGGCGCAGCTGCGATCGACCATGCACTGCACAATGTGGGCTGCACCCGCTTGTCTGGCCGCCATTCGGCCAAGGATTTGACATACTGATAAGCAAGCTCGAACACGTTGTCCGCACCTTGGACAGCACGCGTGCATATTCAAGGCACCTCACCGCCGATTCATAGAAGCTTTGGTATAGATTCGCGAGTACGGTTGCCACGCTGTTCACCGACGTATCGATCAACATGGCCTTCAGCTGGATTTTGAATCCACTAGTCCCTGTTAGTGAACCGACCACTTTCTGGCTTGCCCGTGCGTGGGGTACCACAACCCGTGGACCGTCCATCGACCGATTGGTTGGCTGAGGCTGCCGGAAATGAGAAACTTACTTGAGCGCTTTGCGATGGAAAGTCTGGCCTGGCATTTTCGACAAATCGACCGTCAAAGAGTCTGAGACATCTATGGGTGTATCGTGTGTTAGCTTTAGGCCGGGCCTTGTCCACGAACTTTTGGGCATATGTCCGCCCTGGGTGCGACTGACCAGCCATGGTGGAGCGCTCCGTTTTCTTGCTAATTTCCAGCGTTTGAGTATCGATGCAAATGCCGCAATAGGGAAATGCGACATGCGATACGCTTCTGGGAATTTGACCGCCATCATCAGTAACTACGTCGAAGTTTGCCAACGACTTGGCAGGCTTGACGACCACGCCGTAATCGGGCTGTCCGCGATGCATCACACGGACAAAGCGCTCAGCATGTTCTCGATCAATGGTAATCAACAAAAAGTCGTCAAGCAGGCGAAGTAGTAGACAGTCATCACCGAGCGCGAAGCTCAGAATGTCGCGTTCAAGCTCGGCGTAGAAGAAGTTGCACAAAATGCTTGACAAAACCGAGCCCTGAGGAATGCCCGTCTTTTGACGGTAGTATCGCTTCCCAATCTTGACGAGATTACTCTCCACGTGCTCACGTAGGAGTTGCATCAAATCGTCTTTGGTCTCAGAGCGATGCAGATTGGTATTGACGAAGACGGTATTGGCCTTTGTGCCTACGAGCTTGTCTTGCACGAGCTGACTGAAAGAAGTCATGTCTGCTGCAGCACCGCCGTGCGCGACGTACCGCGTTAGTGGCATAGGGTCGACGTGTCGTCCATCTAGGCGTTGCAGTGCGCCTAGGGGAGTAATTTCCACGTGCTTACCTGTTTGGTATGCTTGCAGTGACATGAGACTGTCGATCATACTTACCAAGCGTGACTGCGGTATGGTATCGAAGCACGACTGAACATCAACCTTGGCAAAGTAAAATGAGCTGTCGCCGAGATTGCGATCTTGTAGTGAAGCCTTGAAGGCTGCGAGTTTGGGGAACATGTCTCCTACGGAAAAGAGGGAGCATCCGAATCTATCTGCTTGCTGTGACTGCTTGCGGTCAAAACAGAGTCTCGAGTATTCGACGTACTTCATGTACTAACCTTTTCGTATGTGATGGCGTTGAACACTGGTGCCATGACCGTGTTGATACTTCGACCAAGAGAGACGGTCCCATTCCGTAGCACCTGTTGTCTCCTCTTGAGGTTCATGATCGTTCGGAACCCGTATTTTTTCGGAAGCAAGCGGATTTTGCTGAAGCCGAGCTGACCCGCAGACAGCTGTTTCGTAATGCGTTCGGTGGGCATTTCTTCGAACATGTTCAATTTCAGCGTTGCCAACGCCGGCTCCGACAGCATTCGCCAAACATCATGACGAAGGTAGAAAAGACGGTTCCGGTGCACGTTCGATTCAGTCACATGGAAGTTGGATCGAACTAGAGGGATTAGAAAAGAGTCGAAGAACCAGTACACAAACTCCAAGAAGATTTCCTTGCGTTTGTCGAAGTCGGTTTTTGCTAGCTTAGTCGCCTCGTCTTGACCTGGGAGTTGGAGCCAGGCTACAGTTCCGATCTAAGACATGTTAACATAGTTGCGCAAAGAAACAAAGATGACAAACCTCAATCTCCTGCATGACTTGATGTAGGGTGAGACTCTCAAACCTCCGTAGAGAGATGAACTGATCTATCCAGTACATAATGGCCCGCTGGTTGCTGTCCCCACCCCAGAAGGCTCGCGGGATTACTTTGAATGTAACAGCACGACAGAAGGCCGACACATGCGCTGTTGGACAAGCCATGTCGGTGAAACACGTCTGTTCAAGGTTTCGGGTGTTATCGTGGTTGTTGTCCATTATGCTATTGTAAGTCGCCGGTCTTACAGCTGGTAGTGCGTTGCTAGTCGGTTGGAGTGGGTTCTTCCTCCACTCTGGCTTTGGAGATAATGGCACGCCCTGTCAGTATCAGCATCTGTCCTGCTACACAGTGAGACGAAAAGTACCTCGACAGGACAGTAATGGCGGAGCAGTTCCATATACGAACATCGATGGTTGAGAGTCCGTAGCTTATCGACCAATGCCACAGCAGCGCCTCTTAATCTCTTTGGTATACGTGATTTCCACCTGGAGATATCTTCTACACTTGCTCTATTCCCTAGCGCCCGGCACATGTTGTAATGAACTTCTTTTTCCCGCAACGTATAGTCCTTGAACGGCATGGCAGTCTCACGGGGGTCAATCTTCGAGGTAAACACATTGTGCAGGCCGAATTGTCGAGGAAATATGTAGCGCATAATGTCTACTGTCTGTTGCTTATCATCTCGTTTTGGAAAGCGATTTAGGACGTCTGTAGGGTATATCAGTTGTCGTACTTTGCTCGTATGTGGAAGTGGAAACTAACGGATGTGACGCATGCCAAACCTTACTCCGCCCTTGGCGTTGAGGGCCGCCTTTGCATATAGCATGCGACTCCGGACGAAGGTGATGGCGCCGGGTGTCCTATTCTCGCAAATCAGATGGGCTGGTTTCTTAGTGGGTGCTGCATTGGGTTCGGCATTGAGAGAATTGACCTTGGAAGCTCGCTCAGCTTTCCACTCGGACACGGGAACACCGCTCAACTGGTAGTAGTTTCCAGAACCTGTTTCAACTGGGAGGAAGATGGAGCACTCCAGCAGCATTTCCATCATGATGCGATCCCCGCCTTGGCCGAGCAGTGCATGTAGTCGGCACCATAGCGGTCTCTTCAGTGCGTGTACACTGCTGTTAGCATGGCAGGCGAGCAGTCCAGGGATATTTGAAGCCGTGTCAGCATGCATGGCGGGTGTGCGAGGCGTGTTAGCAGATCGCTGGAAGCCATGGCAGAGCAAGTGCGAAGGTTTGTGAGATGTCAATCGTCTGAACAGGCGCCAGATGACAAAATCGACAATCTGTACATGTCAGCATCTGCATCTGCATCTGCATCTGGAGGGGGTTCCTTCGTCATGAAGTCAACATGCCTCGGATTGCAGAAAGTACCCAGGCTTGAAGGTGCCGCCGGCAGTGCCCTGTGACCGTTGCTGGGTGAAGAGGTCAACATCCTGGTCGCGTTCTTTGGCAGCTTGCTCTTCGCACCCTGTGCTTGTTTTGGAGAAAGCGCCAACCAGGGCTGAGTCGAGCAGCTGTCCAAGTTGGACATCGGCAGGATGCGTCGAGGATGCATCTTGAGCTGGGGTTGCTTGTCCGAGTTGGGAGATCCTCCGACGCCTGCTCTTTGACGAGGTGGGAAGTTGTGACAGCAGATAGTGGCGCAGGGTGAGGAGTTGGGGATAGAGACGTCGCAGAACAGGATGGTCGACGCCAGGCGTTGTGGCATGGGCAGATTGGTCCACAGCGCGAACCGACGGCCTCACTTTCTTGCAAGGACCCCCACCACCGACTGGGGAGCCAGGGGGTTTCCTCTTCATGCCGATGGTTCTCACTGGATTCAATGTTATTGTTGTCGCTGTTGTTGTTTTGTTCTTGTTGTTGCTGTTGCTGTGTGTTTCGGTCAGGGTGGTGGTGGTTACCCGATAGGGAAGCCAGGCCAGGAACGCGAGCTGGCCAACCTTGGAAAGGCTGTCTGTCACGACTCCAAGGCTGGGACGGGTGCTGCAGCTGTCTCTGGTCCACAATGGGGTCAGAGACAACCTACAAGTTGTACTGCATTCTCCAAAACACCAAACCCACCACTGACTGTTTCGGTGGGAATTCCAGATGGATGTATTTCGGTCAATTGTCGACGACTAGTAGGCAAGCTAGGCCCCTGGGTAGACGCCTAGAGCCGGGGATCTGGGGATCATGGCCAGCGCCCGTCTTCGTCGTCTTCAATGGCACGCACGGCACGCCTGCAAGCTCCAAGACAAGTCGACGCCGAGCAGTCCAATTTCAATATATGACTGCGCGAAATACTGGGACCCGCCCCTTACAGCTCCGTGATCCCGTGCGACGTCAGCCCAAACCACTCCCGCACCGTTATCCCGTTCCTAGCTCATTTCGATCCGCCGCGTGGGTGGGTGGGTGGATGAGTGAGTGGTGGTGGTGGTGATCTGCCGCAACGCAAGCAGGACGTGTGAAGGTCCCCATACACCCAAACTCGCTCTCCACCGCCGTGGCGCCCTCACACGTCAGTCCACCCTCTCTCGCTCCTCTGCTGCCCTCTCCCACCCTCGTCGTCGTCGTCGTCGTCGCGCCTCTTGCTCGCCTGCATCGTCCACAAGCGCGCCATAGCTCGCCCTCCATCGGCCGCCCCCCCGGCTGTGCCATCTTCTCCACTCGCCCACGCTCTGCATCCTGTCCGGCCTTCTGGCTGAAACAGCTCGCGAGCCGAGTGTGAGTTGTTCTGCCACCCTGGTCGCTCGACGACAGTGCACTTGAACTGCTTCATACACGGCCGCAGACTGATTGGCCCACCTTTCCTGCGACGCCTGCCTGCCTGCCTTGATTTGGCGCCAAATTATGGGACAACATGGCCTATCACCCCAACATCGCCAGCTGGATAGCCCAACTCGACAGTGAGCAAAAGCATGTCGACGACACTCTGGAGCACTCGCCCGAGAACTATTACACGTCCGCCTATACCACGACCGAGCACGAAGCCCCTCCACCCCTAGAAATGGCCGCAACCCGCCAGCGCCAGTCCACCACCAACGGAGTCGTTCGATCACCGCCCAAGTCTACACCTCGATCGGCTTCAGGGCCCGCCTCCTCGCCCGCAGCGACTCGCTCTTCCCCGCAAGTGTCCAACAAAGTAAAGGTTCTGGCAGAGAGGTTTGAGCGCTCGCCTGGTGGCGGCTCTGCAGCGACGTCCCCAGCCGTCCGCTCGAGATCTCGCGAACCAACGCGAACCAGACCTCACGACCCGGCCAGACGTGCGAATACCTCACAATCTTCCACAGCGTCTGCTGCACGCTCGAGCAAGGAGGCGTCGTATGGGGCCTACAAGTTCAACAATCTGAAGCCGCGAGAAAGACCACAACCCGCTCCAGCAGTGCCTCGAACTGCGCGCCGGACAAATGGCAGCAGAAGCAGCATAGACCAGCAGATTTCCCCGACGCGGAAGGACGTCTCTTCGCCAAATCGAAGGCCAGCCTCGAGTGGACGTCAGCCGTTCTTTGGGGAGGTAGTCAGCGGGCAACATATCACCTCGCCAGGATTTGGCATACCAACTTTCGAAAACACGCTCGGCGATGAAGCAACACCAGGCCCCGCACACGGCACAGAGATCATAATGGACTCTTCGGCCGAGGGTGCGCGTTTGCCTGCCACATCATTCAGCTCGTCCCATCATGTACGGTCGGCTAGCGGTGCGACGTCTGTATTTGCAGAAGACGGACAACAAAAGCAGCCTTCAGAACATGGCACACTACAGTCCCCTCACTGGAAGTCTCCTCCCCCATCCAGGATACCAATAGCCTCACGACGTTTGAGTGCAGCTTCAGATTCTAGCTCGTCAACCCGCTCAGTACGATATACTCCTACGCGCGCAAACAATTATAGTAACAGAGCATCACCAACCCGACTGCACAAGAAGCTGGTAGGTGCGAGTGGTGCTACAAAGCCGAATGGCGCGGACCTATCAACATTACCCGCATCAGCTTACCGCGGATATCGAGAGCGAGGAAAATCACCTCTGGGGTCACGAAGTGGACCAAGCGTACCAGCTGTTGTGACTGCCCCGCCTACACCAACGTCGCCTCGGTTACGGAATTCGAGGGAGAGGCAACCGTTACAGCCACCTCCAAACTCTCGCTCAAGAAGTACTGACCCTCATGGTGAGCAAGGTTACTTCCCAATGGGTGACACTTCCGACGCGCACCAAGACTCCTTGCGCGACAAAGTACCTATAGCGGCTGGCGACCTTCCTACACTCGAATCTTTCACTGAACCCCACGAGCCACGCCAACACCCAGAACACCTGCCACAGGAGGAGAATTACTATCCGACACCATTTGAACATCAACGTCTAAGCATCCAGACCTCTAGTCTGTCACTACCTCCAGTCCTTCAGCCCATGTCCGCCACTACCGACTTTGAAGAGTCTCCCGTCTTGGGTATACCTGGGAGTTTCGTGTTGACACCCCCAACAGCGCACGAGGAGCCCGAGCAACACCTCCTTCAGCCTGCTGTATTTCATTCGTCTGGAAGAGATCATGCTCTCGGATCACCGGATATTGAACAATCAGAGCTGGGGGTTAGGGAGTCGATACCGATCATGCTGGGCGAAGACCAGTCAACCAATACGTGGGAGCCCGCCTTTGATGAGCTTAGTGAAGGCCTACAAGCGCTGTCACTCGGTCACCAGTCAAATCTCTACGATGTTAGGAACCCTCAGCCCGCGTCTCGCTACGAATTTGAAGATTCACCCATAGACACATTCCCTAACCGGGAAACACTGCGCCCCGACGACTCCGCTAGCATCGCCCCATACCGAACACAAGGGTCTTTAGCGTCTAGAAGCGAAACTTATAGTGTTGTAAACTCTGTGCTCAACATGTATCATCAGTCACAGGTCATCTCACCAGAACTAGCATCCATTTCAAGAGAAAGAGTACAGCAAGTGTCGCCAGTAATTGCACAGCACAGGGATTGGGCGTCGAAGGAAGCTACGGAGACTTACCTTGCTCGGTTATTGAGTGATGCCAATGGGTCGGAGAACGATGTAGCGCGAGAACAACCTAGCCAAACGACGTCTTTGTCACGGTCGGGTTTGCATGGCCCTCAAATGAGCCATGAGCCGTCGGATACCGAAGTTGGAGGTACAGCGATCATTTTCCCATCAGAATCACGACGCTACTCGCGTGGCTCGGGTGGTTCTACTACCACAACTATCCAAGACGACGCCTCACGCTCTGGGAGCTCATTTGGCAACCCATCGCACGATTCACTATTGCAGAACTCAACGATTGACCCCACGCCGGCTTCGGCGCCAAATGGCCTTGAACTGCCACAGCTGGCATGGACCAATGGTGGCCTTGGCCTTTCAATACAGAACGTGTTGCCTCATTCACCTCCGTCGCAACACGCTCCTCCCCGCCCCGCTTATTCCCCCCCGCCTCCCCCCGCCAAATCACCCATCGACCAACAAATAGCTTCGCTAAACAAATCGTTTATCTCCGCTCCGCATAATCAATTAGGGAGACCTTCGCTCAGTGACGAGCAATTCGCGATGCATCCTGCTCGCTCGCGCACTCCAGTCATTCAAACTCACGAACAGAGTCTTGAAGATCGCTACGGCACTCCGCAACCGGTGGAAAGTGTCAGCAAAGTGTCAGCAAAGGGCGACAAAAGTGATAGCGATCAACCTGATCCTGCAAAACAGGCCCTGATAAAACGGTACAGGATTCTAGAGGAGTTACTTACTACCGAGCATCAGTTCTGCATTGACATGATGATCGCTCACAATATCTTCGAAGCGACGGCCCAGAATCTAATGAGTGAGAAGGAAAAGAAGCTATTATTTAGCAACTGCAAAGAACTCGAGAAGTTTTCGCTCTCCTTGTTTCGGTCATTCAAGAAGTCTGCCAAGCCTGTTGTCAACTACGACATACCACCCCCAACTGGTCCTTGGAACCGTGATCCGTCTGATACCCGGCCTTACAATCCTTCAGATACGTCTCTGCACCTTCGCCGACCGTCTGAAGATGCCGAAAATCAGTTCGAAAACTGCACACTGGAGAATGATCGCCTGACGACTGTCGGCCGGGTCTTCCTCGAAAATAGGGAGAAGATGGAGCGGCTGTACACAACGTATTTCCTTAATCAGGATAATGCGAGCGCCTACATCAAGAAGAACCATGGCAACCCTGAACTTAATACTTGGGTCATTGCATGCTTCGAGCAGGTAGAGAACATGACACAGGCCTGGGATCTGGATTCGCTTCTGCTCAAGCCATGCCAGCGCCTACTCAAATATCCGTTACTCCTCCAAGGACTGGAAGAAGCCAGTGACCCCGAGCATCCCGACTTGCCATACATCAGAGAGGCCCGAAAAGAGCTCCTAGCAATCAACGGGCGTATTAACGAAGCCAAAGCGCGCTCCGATACGTTTCGCGCCGCTGCATCTGAGGGCAAAAAGGAAAAGAAAAAGGGGACAGGCCTGGGTAAAACCTTTGTCAAGGCTTTCATCCCTAAAGTGGACAAGAGCAAGGCGTATGATGAGGCTGATAAGACATTCAAAGACCAAGAGTACAAGTCGAGAGAACAAAAGTTCGGGGGCCACTTCTTTCAGCTCCAAATCGTCATTCGTGATTTCGAGCAGTATCTCGACGCGATTACGGAGCATTATCTGCAGCTCAATATCGTGTTCCTGGGCTTCATCACAGTCTGTGAGGTTGCTCCGTCAGTGTATCCTGAGATCGAAAGCACTTGGCGGAAGTGGGCGATGGCTCATTTCGAGCTCCAGAATAAAGCCCTCGAGGAGCACGTAAGTTCGAACAGTGCCATTAATTGACCTAGGGCTAACCTGTCACAGAAATCTGCTGTTCGTGCTCGTGTGCTAAAGCCAGTCGGAGATCTTTGGGAAATGTGGGTATCATACCAGAAGACAATCGAGCAACGTAAAAAATTCTTGCTATACTATGTCAAGCACAAGCAGGCCGTCGACCGAGGAGAGAAGGTCGATCCTGATCTTGAGGAGTCAGCCAACAAGTTCACTACGATCAACGATACGCTCAAGCATGAGCTGCCGCTACTCTACGAGAGGACGAAGGGTCTCATGCGCACGCTCATGACACTCTTTATGTGCCTTCAGAAGGATTGGTACAAAACTTGCTCGAAAAAGATCCTACCGCTCCTGGAAAGCGAGCCCCAACACACGACCTCACTGCGCTACGACCTGGAATCCTACGTGGAGCGCTTCCACTCAGATTACAAGCCAATGCAAGATCTTGCAAACAGACTGGGCATCGTCAATCGTAATCTGCTGATCGACATCTCGAACATGACTTCGCCTGTGCCGACAATCTCCTCTGACGGTGGCGGCTCTTCTCGCAATTCCTCCTCTCGCCGCACCGAGTCAATGGGCAGCGAAGCTTCGCTTCTCGACTCGCGTAACCGTAACAGCGGGGGTTACGGTCCACGACCACATGTGCGAAACTTCGACAACCCGCCACGCTCGTCTCCAGCTGGCCCCGCATACCCGTCGCTCTTTCAAGGCGGTGCAGCAGGTCGGAATGGGCCTGGGCCGACCTCTCTACGCGAAGCTCGAGCTCTTAGCCCAGTGTCCGACAATAGCGAGGCTACAGTCATCCACAGCGAACGCCGTAACACGGGGCCCTCTCGCAATCACAATTACCTTGGCCTTGACGGCGCTGTCGACTTCGAGGATCGCTCGCCACTCGGAACCAACACATTTGATTTCCCACCTCAGCTGGGCCCTTCCTTCCTCTCGCCCACAGCACAATCCCTCCAGCACTCCAACTCAGCACCTACATCGCATACTACCTCACTAACCGGCTCATCACGCGCATCGGGTGTCTTTAATTCAGCGCTTCCAATGTCCGATTCTCCTATTCGCAGTAGCGTCGAAGAACTTCCTACCACACCCGCTGATACAGAGGAGCCAGAGGTCTTGTTCCTCGCTGCAAGTCTATTCGAATTCAATATCGCACATGATCGCCGCGAAGGCGGTATTCCTTACCTGGTCTACGTACCTGGCGAGATCTTCGATGTCATTGGTATGAAGGGCGAGTTATGGCTTGCGCGAAATCAGGACGATACCACAAAGACGGTGGGATGGATATGGGAAAAGCATTTTGCTCGTATACTGCCCGAGGATGCATAGTCCCGCTTATCACCTATGGCTGCGCAGTCCTTTCCCACGGGGGGGTTTTTTTTTGTTGTTGCGGCGTTCAGGCGAGCGTTCCAACTACGTGGCATACCTTGCTTGTCACCTATCTTTAGCGGCGTTCATACTTATTTTCCTTCTGATTCCCCGTTCCTTCTCTGCCTTTCAGCTTCGAATGTATAGGAAATCTAGGGCTGGCGTATGGGCTATGGTTGCGGCTCATGAGCATTGATGGCGTCCTTCTTGTGTATGAGAAAGGGCTACGATCTGAGATCTGGGTCGGGATATTTTGCATGGATCTGTTGCATAGTGTATGATATGAATCAAAAGATATGATGGCTTCTGGATTACTTCCACTCGAGTCATACTTGTCTTGTCATCATGATCCGCGTGTTTCTTTTCAAAAACTGAGGGCCTTATCCGACCTCACTTACTCTTCCATCTCGGACCCATTCTCGCTTTCATCGTCTGATCCGCTTTCCATCTCCTCGTCATCTTCTTCGTCTTCTTCGCCTTCCAGACCGTATGCGTCTTGGAAATCGGCAAGTTGCTTGACTTGCACCTTGAAGCCCGCCTTCTCAAAGTCCTTCTTCAGTCCCTGTCATAGCGAATTAGCTCGTGTTTCCATGAATTTTGAGTCAAAGGTGAGCAAGCAAACTTACATCCGTCATGATACTGCTGCAGGTAACCACCAGGTCTGCCTTCTCCGGTACAAACACGCCGGACACGACTTCGTTCAATATCTTCTTGACATCATCCACGGTGACCTTGCGCACCTCGCGCAGGGCCCAGTCCTGCCAATCCTTGCCAACACCACGCGTGACCAGGTCGATGAAAGAGCTTCGCGCCGCATCCACAATCGTCGCACGCTCGTCCACAAACTCCCGCACAATCGAGCTTATCGCACCCTCGAGCGCTAGCTTTTCAAACTTCCTCGTGCCATCGCCGTACTCCTTGACCACCGTCTTGGCCTTGCTGTATGCCGAGAACGCATTCGGGCTCTTGTAGATGCGGAACTTGAGCAAGCCAGTCTCTGGGTCGCGGAAGAAATTGGTGCCGTATGCGAGACCGGTGCCGCGGATGGAGGACCACATGGGACCTTCGACGGCATCAAGGTACGCCAGCGCAACCATGAGTGCTGGGAGCTGCGTGTTGGTGTAGCCTTTGGGACCCTTGGAAGTGAGAACTGCAAAAGAGGAATCGATTGGCATTGGGATGAGGTAGTGCGCGCCGCCGGGGTTGCGGCCAATGTCTGAGAGGACAGCGTTGCGATCATCGATGGGGTTCACTGAAGGCTCTGAATCGGGCTTGAAGGCGTCGGTAAGGTGTTTGAAGGTAGAAACGGGGCTTGGTAGGGTCTCGAAATTTGCGGTGACGAGGACGCGCATGTTGGAGAAAGTGAGGAGGTGTTTGCGAAGGGCTTCGAGCTTGTCGATGACCTGCTGAGGCTCGGTCTTGAGGAGCTTGAGGGTGCGCTTGAGATAGACGCCTTTAACCATGGTGTTAGTTGCACGAACAGACGAAGCTGCGTCGTAGTGGATCATGCGATCTACAGCAAAGGCCATGCTATCCCCGTCGCGCTTCTCGTCTGGCACATCTGCTAGCATCTTTTTCACAGCCGATGTGATCCGCTCGGTGTCGAATACGGAGTCGACGAGCATCGTCTTGAGCCATTTTACAACTGTTTCGAATTTGGCTGCTTCAGCAATGAAGGGGATGTAAAGCATCTCAGAGCTTCCAACTTCAGAGCCGCGATCAACCGAAAACTCAATGGTGTCTTGCTCGAGCTTAGTTATGACCTCCTCAAACTCGATACGCTTCCCGTCTATCACAGTGGGTGTAGCGAAGAAGTTGGTAAGGTAAACTCCGATCAGCGGCTTAAGCTCGGTCGGCAGTTTGGCTGTCCCAAGGATCAATCCAAAGTGCACGAAAGATGTCTGAATGTGCTCAAAGTGAATGAAGAGCGGAAGACCATTCTCATCCTTGTCTATGATCTTCTGGATCATATTGTCCGAGGTACCGAGCTTCTTTGCCAGTCCAGAGCGTGCCGTTGTCGTCTCGAAAAAGTGTATAGACTCTGTGCTCGGCACTTTGACACCGGCAATGATCTCTTCTGGTATGGGCTTGTCATTCTCGTCTTGGGCCTCTTTAAGCTGTTGAGCTTTGTTCTTGAGTCCTTCTTCACCAAGTTTCTCTTGCTGCGCCTTGACGCGGGCCAACTCGTCTGCCTTCATCTTCTCAGATAGAGCCTTTGAGGGTTTGCCGAGTATGGACACATGATGGGCATCCGAGATCCATTTCTTCAGATACGATCGCCAGTCCTCTTCGCTCCACTTGTCTAGCTTATCGAACACACTCAATGTGGCCATGGCATCTTCGAAATCGGATCCATTCCGATTACCGAAGAGGTGGTCCTTGATAATCGGGTCCTTGTACTCATCTTGGCCAATTTCGGACGCGTATCGAGTCTGGCGCTGGAAACGGTGGAGGCAGTCCTTCAAGTAACTCATGTCGAGCGGCTTTGAAGCATGTTCCTGGAGAACTTCGAAGAAGCGCTTCTCGACAGCTTCAAGCTTATCAGTTTCTACGGCAGACAAGGTCCACCAAACAATCATGTCGTAGTGACCCTTGACCCAGAAGTACACACTACTAGCCAGGTGCTCTTTCTCAACTAGCGTGTTGACCAAGACGGAAACAGATGAGCCAGCTAGATACATGAGTAGCGTGTTGATGGCTGTTTCGCCCAAGTCATCTGTCGACTTAGGTCCGAGGGAGGCGATTTGAATCTCGCCAGTAGACTCATCCTCCTCAGGAAACTCTACTGTGTCCACCACAGTCTTACTAAGCGGCGGTGTACGCTTTGACTCTACCCATGGGCGCTTGAAGGGCGCATCGTAAGACGGTACACGATCGATGATCTGGTCCTCGAATTTATCTAGGACTTCCAACAAATTTGTGTGATCCACCTCACCAATGAGCACGAGTCGTATGTTCTTTGGTTGGTACATGTCTCGATGGAATTGTCGAATGCGCTCTGCAGGCAGCACTCGCAGGGCTTCCATCATACCCCCAGTCTCATAACGGAACCCGTCACCATCCGGGTAGAGTAGGCGGCGCATCTGGAGATCCATGAGGTCACCTTGCAGGTTCTGTCGCCCTTGCATCTCGGAATAGACAACGCTTCAGCTGTCAGTACATGATATCTAGGAACAGCTATCGAACATACCCCGCATCCTCGCCTTTACCGTCGATGTGGTGTACTTCGGTATAGCATCCAGCATCTGTAAGCGTTGGCACTATGAGATGATCCAAGTATATCGGCAGAAGTTGTGCAAACCCCTCCCAACCTGCGGTGGAGAGGGTATACACCGTCTCAGCTGTGTCTGTCCAAGCATTCGTATCAGAGTACGACCGGGTTGCGATCTTATCAAGGACGCCCTTGAACGGATATTTCCGTGAGCCCATGAAGCAAAGATGCTCAAGAGTGTGCGCTATACACTGTAAGTGGATGCAGATTAACGATTGGATTGAGACTGACGTGATCCCGAATCATCATGGATTTCTGTAGCGACAGCAAAATTTCCGTACACTTTGGGTCCCTTTCGATCGACGACTACCACACGAAGACCTGTCCGTTGAGACTCATACTGCGTGAAGTTGGCGTCCGCATAATCCGCTTTGAAGTTCTGGATCTTCTTGAAGTGTGACTTTTCTTGCATAGAGCCCATACTGGCGTAAGGGAAGGTTTGGGAAATTCGAAGAATTCTCCTGGGTGATTAGATGGGGACGAGTAGAAGACGAAGCTGTTTTGCTTGTCGCCCAGATTGTACCAAGGCGCCCCTTTGTTCGCGGCCGGGTTGGTACTATCATTGTCCTATTAGCTTCCTTGCTTAACCCTCTCCTAGCACCGATTCAACGTTGCGAAAAGCACTCCTAGATCTAATTTGGGGTGCTATGCAAGTTGGAAGAAAGGTATCGTTGTTTTCTTGCGCACGGCGCAGGGGACGCCACCGTTGACCTATCTGGTGGTGCAAGGTGGTGCAAGGTTGGACGGGCTTTGCCTCAATCAATAGGGAACTTGACTTACAAAGGTATAAGAAGGGTTAAGAACAGCACCAAGCCACCTAAACTGAAGAAGCGAAGGATATGGGGAGTGTGTGAAAAGCGAGTCTGGCCCGAATTAGTACCGTTACTTGTAAATGTCGTATAGCTATGCTTGCAATCATCAAACTAACCTAACCCGAGGCCTGCCTTTTATGTGCAGAATACAGTGCACTTTAGGCTGCGCACACTTCAATGAACTAAGTACTTGAATTCCCGGAATGATTGTGGCGGGGTAGTTGTGGCGGGGCAGATTGTGAATGAATTGAAGCTCAAGAAGCACAGACCTCATATTGCGACGTCAGTCGATATTGGTCTCCAGCAACGTTGCACCTGCCAAACGAACAGCTCACGCCTCGCGTCCTTGGCCTCGACATGATACACGATATATAACCACTATGCCATTGCAAGCTTCAGACGAAAAGCTGGCCGATGCGATCCTCCAGTCGGCCGAACATGGAGCCTTCCCGCAAGACGAAGATGTGGCATCCGCAACAGTGTCGTCCACCGCTCTACCAAAGCTGCTAGAGGTTGTTAGCAAGGCTACAGAGGACACCAAGGTATGTACAGACCTATTAACTAGAAATAAAAGCTGAACTCTGCTTTCAGAACCAAGTACGCAACCTCGCTCGCGAAGCTGCACCTGACGTCGACGGCTGGATCAAACAGGCGCGCAAATTGCAGGACGACATCAAACGCTCACAGGCAACGGCCAAAGATATCGTGCAGCAAGCAGAAGGAGGGAAAGAGACCACCCTACGCGTTCAGGACGCGGCGAGCAAAGTCAGCCTTCTGCATTCGGAGATTGCGTATAACGAAAGTCTAGCGCAAGTCGTAGAACAGTTGAGAGACATATCTACCTTGCTGGACTCGGCACAGAATGCTGCTGTACACGGGCATGTCATGCACGCCTTGCAGATACTAGAGGATGCGGACGGAGCGTTCAAGAGACTGGGACCGTTTGAGACAACGCGCGTAGTCGGTGTGCTGAAGAACAAACAAAGCCAGCTGAAGAAGGCCATCACAGAAACCGTCACCGAGTCGTGGGGTGGGCTAGTACTCGTTGACAACCACAACCACAAGATCTCTTTGCGGCAGTCAATCGAACGAGAGGCCACAGTGGACATTGATGGTGTGGTAGAGGCGCTCACGAAGCTGGACCTCCTTGACGGCTTCATTGCTCGGTTGAGTCGTGATCTAGACAAGACGATAATTTCTCCTCGGCTTGTGTTGGGTCTTGACAATACTGTGTCTGGAATCGACATTCACGGGGATGATATACAACGCACAGGTCACGTCAACGACGGTAGTGTGAAGGCCGCGTTGGAAGACATTCATTCAATAGCAGAGTATCTGAGCACCCGGCTACCATATAGTATCGCTGTTCCTTTGTCTTCCAAAGTCGTACCCGTTATCGCGGCTCGCCTGATCTCTAACCTACTTCTACCCGCTGTACCGGTATCTACAGAAGGGGTGCGACAGTTTCAGGATACATTGTCATACATTTTGGGGCTTGTAGAGTATCTCGACGAGCTGGGCTGGGTGGGTCAAAATCGCCTGACCGATTGGGTTGACAAATCTGCTGAGATCTGGCTAGCCAAACAAAAAGAGGTCGCTATCGCCAGGGTGCAAATGCTGTTTCCGAAGCGGGTCAAGGAGAAGAAGTCCGTAGAGAGGGTCGAAACCCAGTTCATCTCCAAGGGCGATGCGCTGCATACTGGTGATGATGATGAACAAGACGATGACTGGGGCGCTGAGTGGGGGGACGAAGACGAGGCAGCGAAACAAAAGGAGCAGCATAACTCTCAACAGATTGAAGAGGAGGACATGAGCGCTTGGGGTGAAGCTGATGATGGCAACACTGAGGAGACGGAAGAAGTGGCTAAAGGAGAAGAGATAAAGTTAGCAGAGGACGACAATGCAGACGACTGGGGTGCCGATTGGGATAATGAGGAGGATACAAGGACAGCCGCGCCACGCGGGCCTACGACCGAATCTTTAGAGCAACCGAAGGTGAACGGAAAGTCCACATCGCAAAAGCCAGCAAAGGAACAGCAAGTAACACTGAGAGAGACGTACACTGTCACGGCTATTCCCGATTCCATCATGGACATCATTCTGCAAGTTGTCGCAGACGTGGATACTCTAAACTCGTCTGATTTAGTCAAAACTGCTATTGCGCCCGCTAGTGGAGGCCTGTTCGCTATTCCAAGCCTACTACTAGCCATGTATCGAGCCACGGCAGCTATTCATTACTTGAAAGAGATTGCGGGTAATATGCTCATATACAATGATTGTCAGCGCCTGTCCGACCGCCTGCGCATATTTTTGCTAGATCGGTTACAGAAAGACGAATCTTCGACACTACCGCAACTCCTGCGAGCTTCAACCCGTCTGAAAGCAACGCTTGAGGCGGACATAAAGACAATCGATGGGTTTGGGAAACGAGCGTATGGACGTGAGATGGAGTCACAAAGACAGATCATCAGAGATCATCTAGAAGATGCACAGGGCTTCCAAGGGTGTACCAACGTGCCCTTTGCGACAGTATGTGACGATGCTATTGCCACGACTATTGACCGGATTGGCGATGTCAAGAGGCAATGGCAGAACATCCTCTCACACTCCGCCTTGCTGCAGTCTCTTGGAAGTCTCTTGTCGACAGCCCTTACCAAGTTTGTCAACGATGTAGAGGACATGTCCGACATCGCTGAAGAGGAATCGAAGAAACTACACTCATACTGCGTCTCTCTCACCACACTATCGCAGCACTTCCAAACTGAGGACGGTAGCGGAGAGATGAGGGAAACTGTCAGCATCTATACTCCCAATTGGTTCAAATTCCAGTACTTGGGTGAGATTTTAGACAGCAGTCTCGCGGATATCAAGTACTTTTGGACAGACGGCGAGTTGAAGTTGGAGATGGAGGCGGAGGAAGTAGTAGGATTGATTGAAGCGCTGTTTGCGCCTAGTGATCATAGAAGGAGAGCTATCGCCGAGATCAGGAGGACAAGCATGCGTTAGACATGCAACATTGTGTCCCAAATGGATAGATTAGGTGCATGCTCCTACAGTCTCTAACCCTCGAGCTATTTCATCCATTCTAATTAATATAACCCACCTAAAAGGGCTTCGAGAACCTTTGAGAATTCCTAAATGAATATCACATAATTACTTATGAAACCATGCAGCCACAATGCGTCGTGTATTTGTAGACGGAGTTTCGCGAACGCCGACTGGCTGCCCAGGTGGGGTCCCTGCGCTAGCCAGATTGGAAAAATGTTCGAGGTTCGTCCAAAATTTTGAGAGCTACAACTTTACAACTTAACGCTTCGTTACCACGCCACATACCTACCGCCAGCGTCATGGATATCGACACGACAGAGACCAAGGTGCAGATCCGCCTCAGCACTCGCGACCCAAATTTGCAGATCGCGGAGGAGCCTACGACGTTACTAGTCCAGACTTGTAAGTACATTTCCTGTGGTTTGCGCAGTGTGTGCCAGAAGGCAGGATAATTCTACCTGGGTCAAGAAATGCAACGAGAAACTCACGGGACCATGGTTGTTGCGCAACGAAGCGTTGTCAGAGTCGCAGAGGTGTCCCCCCGAATCTGCTTTACTAACACAATGCTCTAGCCTTGACCCGCCATAAACTGTCAACACTCGTAAACGATCTGCTGCACCGCGACGAGAGCCGCATACCGTTCGATATCTTAATCAATGGCGAATTTCTCCGGACCTCCGTGGACGAGTTTCTCACCAAGAATGGCATAAACGCTGAAACGACACTGGATGTGGAATACACGAGAGCGTTGGTACCACCGCTAAACGTAACAAGTTTTGAGCATGACGATTGGGTATCGGCAGTGGACGTGTTTTCCCGGTCCTCGGCTGCAGGAAAATGGTCGGGAGCCGGAGCGCAGAGTGGTCAGGAAAGAATTCTGAGCGCGAGTTATGACGGGCTAGTGAGGGTGTGGAACACATCTGGTGACGTTTTGGCGACTTCAGAAGCGCCAAATAACGGCGGACGGATAACGAGCTTGAAGACGGCAAAATGGCTATCAGATAAGAAGTTTGTGGCTGCGGGCATGGACAACACAGTGCGCGTCTTCAAGTACGATGACGATGCGCGAACAATCACAACCAGTCTAGAGCTCTTGAGTCACCGATGGGGTGTAGAAGACATCGCTGTCCACGGCCCTTCGAGCCGGATTCTGTCTGCTTCTTCAGATACCACCATTTCGCTATTTTCGAGCAACGCCAAGGAAAATCCATCTGCACCCTCCAATCTTCTTCCCAATTCAACAGCGGCCTCGAACAAACGCCAGAAACTCTCCAAACCGGACCGTACAGTACCAGCTAGGGGCTCTTTGTCCACGCTTTCCGGTCACAGTTCACCCGTATCTAGCGTTATCTTCAAGCCAGATGACGCTACAGTCGCATATTCTGCGTCACACGATCACACCTTGAAGACGTGGGATTTGCCCACTTCAACATGTGTAGATACACGCACAACAGGCCACGCTCTACTATCTCTCTGCGCAGTACCATCTCGAAACCTCCTCGCGACTGGAACATCAGCCCGCCATATCACTCTCATCGATCCACGAGTGTCAGCCACACAAATCAGCGTAATGACACTACGAGGACATAAGAACGCCGTCGTGTCGCTCGATACGGACCCTTCATCAGAATACAACCTAGCATCAGGCTCCCACGACGGAACCGTCCAGATTTGGGATCTACGTAATGTCAGCGCAGGTGGCCAAATGGGCGAAGGCATGACTGGAGAGAGTGTTTACACAATCAACAGGCAGGGGCAGAGTGGGCCAGCTAAGAGTCATGGAGAAGGCGTAAAGGTCTTCAGTGTGCGGTGGGATAAAGAAGTGGGTATTGTGAGTGCGGGTGAGGATAAGAAGGTGCAGATCAATCGTGCACTTGACTTGTAGAACACGAGATCAGTAGTGCTTTGCGATTCGTACGTGAGGTCCTTGAGCGGAGGAGCAGGCGAGGCGTTCAGGCGTATGGATCGATCAGATACCATCTAGGCTTGGGAAAAGTGTTGCTTGTGCTCATAATAGAGGTTTATTTGATTGATACTGCTCTTGCAACCCTAATCTAGCTCAATGCCAGCAGACCTAGCTGGTCGCTGTATAAGGATTCGAAGGCTTTCAGCCTACGCAAAGCAAATCCCACGCCGTTTATATGCTTAAATAAAAGGGTATCATAACTTTTCAACACGCCTGTTCGGTCTCGATTCTATCCTTGACGTCCTCAGACCAAATGTCCCGGCAGCAAAAAGTTCGCAACGCCCTCTTTTACCGCATACTCGTGTCCACAGCTTCCACATACTAGCTTGCCCTCTTGTATGCACGTCTCCAGCAATATTCTATGCAGGTCCTTCGCTGTTTGACTCGGTGTCTCCTCGACTTCCTGTGCTTCAGCGCCTCCCTCCGCTAGCGTTACCTCCGCGGTATCGAGAGGGGTATTTGATGGCTCGACAAGGTCGGCGGGCGCTGGCGGTGTCGCAGGTAGTTCAGGTAGGCCAAGCTGTAAAATTGAGCTGTCAATTTCTATTTCCTAGACACGCTCATCGCGCGTTAGGGTTATTTCGTACCTCGCTGCTTATCACCCGCAACTCCTCCCACATTAACCGCGGCAATATGTTCTTCAGAAACGTCAGGTTCAGGTCTGCTTCTTGGATTTCGAGCTCGGCATCCCGTGGGTGGAGGGGGAAGGATGCGGGGTTCGTTTTGCATGTTTTTATGGCGCATGTGAGGAAGTTGAGGGTTAGGAGTTTCATTGCGGCGATTCAATTGTTTCGTGTAGTTAGGAACTGGAACTTCTGGGTCGGTGGAAGGCGTGGGAGACGTGTTGCTGGGTCGCTTCTTTGTGATTTTGTGGAGGTGGAATGTCTTGCGATGAGGAGCCAAAATTTGGCGAGGGTGGCGGGGGCAACGCGCTAATATGGGGCTTAAATTTAAGCTTAAATGCCTAGGCCCGTTCGTACTAGAAAGGTGTGTGCGGTACCAAGTTGGTATATGAGTGATGGCTATAAGAGATATGAGATTTATTATTACTCCACTAGGCTACATCATCTCAGAAGCCCGATAGCTCTGACTTCTCTTATACAAGTCTCCCCCCCCCTCAAAACGATGATCCATCAACCAGAGGTCCAAACCTCTCAATGAATAAAGTCTTCCTCAGCCAAATAACCAGAAAGCTAGGGATTCTCAGATTCCCATAAAACCCAGTACCAGCTTTCTTCCCAATCTGAAGACCCATGAAACGACTTGTCATGGCCTTGTAAGGAGCGGTCATTTTCCCACCCAAAATAGCAACAATGCTCTTAGCCACGTAAGTAGACTGTCGATCACAAGATACGTACTGACAGTACTCGACGTCGCAGACGTCTCCGAGAGCCCATACATCTGTTGTGCCCTTAAGTTGCAGGTGCGTATCAACTGCTGCGAAACCATGCGCGTTCAGGAAGCGGGCAGGTATGAACGAGGAGTTAGGAATGAGGCCGAATGTGGGGATGTACATATCAGTCGTTAACGTTTTCCCAGTTGAGAGTTGGAGTTCCTGTCCACCGTTCGGCATCTGAGTTGAACCGATGACCTTGGTTTCGAGTTTGAGTTCTACGTGCATATTGTGGAGGGCTTGAGTAGTGAGCTTCGACACGCTCGTTGGCGATTCTGGGAGGACTGTGGGTTCAGCTGCTACCTGCGGATGATTCAGTGGACCGGAACATTTGCTTTCGAAGACGTTGAATTTAGGGCAATAGATAATTCGCGATGAGATTGTTATACGTACCAGAATGATTCTTTTCTGTAGACCATACTCAAAACCCAATTCGCCAGCAACCTCTACACCAGTTACGCCAGCCCCAGCAACGACAATTGTTTTCGCTTGCTCTATCTTTCCCTGAAACTCATGCAGAAGCTCCTTAGTCTCTTTGGTAGATCCCACTCCCTTAAGCGGCGACCGCTCCTTCGTACTAGTCCCCGTCGCAATGATCAGCATGTCATACTCCAGCGTGGTCTTGCCACTTTCGCCAACAACTACTACCGTCTTTTCCTCGGCATCAAAACTCTCCGCTGACCCAGTGATAAACGCAAACTCATCAGCAGAGTATTTGCCAAAGCCAGTGGCGATCGGTAGGAATAGCTCCTCGTCGGTGAATTGGCCTGGTAGCATACCACGAGGCGACGCAAAGTTCCAATAGAAATGGGTATTTGGGGACACAAGAGTAATCTTGAGAGATCCAACTTTGGCAGCGTTCTTCAGTATCCGATGTGCTGTGCTCACTCCTGCATAGCTGCCACCAAGAATGACGATATTCTTCATTTTCAGGGTTGTTCGGATGGGTTCAGAATATCGGACAGAGTGTTTTCCGGTAAGGAGGTGAAATGCAGTGGCCAGGACTTGTTGGAGAGTGTTTGCAACCAGTCGAAGTATAGTGGACATTGAAAATGCGGCGTGAAAGCTTGATGAGTATTTCGAGTCCGGTAGACCTGCCCTTATACATATAAATTTGGATCAGGATATTGTGCGACGGCGTTACTCGGCCTCTAAGCTATAACTGGGGAGACGACACAGTAAGCAGCTGACGGTAGGAATTTCTTCTGGGGCGTTGTAGTCTTACGGTGGACCAATCAAAGGCTAAAGCGCGGAGTCTATCCAATCACAGAGTATAGCGCGCCGCACCGGTAGACCAATAAAAGGCCCCAACGCCGGATTGGAAATGCATTTGACGGAGGTGCATTTCGCCCGGATCCTGTCAGACCTACAAGGACCACATCGGAGGAGAAACCCGCGTCTAGACCATTATGTATACCGCGTTGAGCTCACACCAGTAATATGTCCTGCGCGATCTCAACACAGTGGTTCCATGTAAACCCAGGCGTATTCTGCCTTGCCCAAATCTCTTCTAGGATGGGCAATATTCTCATTCGATGTTGAAGGAACGGGTCCAGCAGCGGCGGCGAGGATAAAATGTCTCGGAAGAACTGCTGATCTCCAGGCTTCACAATACTCCCCAAAATGAAGAGCGGTGTTGTCAACACCAGAAGGAGCCGGCTTGATCTTTGAGTTTTAAGGATTGCCAGAGCATCCTGGAAGGCAGTACTCACATAATCTAGCTTTTCAAAACCGTACGTGACTAGATGCAGATAGACGGCCGCCATGTGGGCAAACATCCGCGTGATAAGTATGCGAGGGTCTTCGTGCATGGCTACACCTCGAGGAGAGTTGGCGTCCGATATATGGGAAATACTGAACTGGATCCCCAATTTGATCCCGGTAGCAGCTTCCTCGAAGTGAGTGCGATCAACCTGGCCTTTTTGTATCGCCCGATTTTTGTCTTCATGGAGCCTACAGATTTGGGCAATCTGGAATAATACCCAGTTTTCACAGCCCATAATATCCCGAAGCTGAGTCTGCGATCCGGCACCAAGTATTCGGGCATGGTGTGATAGTAAAAGTGGTGTTCTTCCCGCTGTGATCGAAGAGACGATATCAAGCCAGACTAAAGTGCCACTAAAGAATCTGAAGCCTGCGGCCTCTCGTGAAATTGCAGCACTACCCTCGGACAAAGGCAGATCTGCGGATAGTATCCACCTTGTCTCCTCATTCAAACCAAGCTGTGCGAAAGCGTTGCTGTGGCCGCGCCGGTACATGTTGATAGCTGTGCTAAGATGCGCCTGCCATGCGCAGCCTTGGTGATTGAATAGCTGAACACGAGCTGTTAGCATATTAGATAGAGGTCTTAGGCGCCGAAGGCATACTTCGAAAAACATGATTTGAGTGACTGCAGCCAACATTCCAAGCCCATTTTTTCTGCAATCGTTTTGTGCTGCTTGGTTCAATAATTCTAGACAAACCTGAACATTTTCTTCCTGTTGAATCAAGGCGTTGGCCCGACTAGGCTCTGCCAGCGTAAAAATTCGGTGGTGGCAGGCAGCTAAAGCAATGACAGCATGATAAAGGGGCTTAGATCTTAGTAGGAGGTCAAGTAGCCAGCCTCGTCCAGGTACTGCGACTCCTGGTTGGTACATTGGATACTGTAGTGGGAGTACGTGATCTATGTAATGCGTCAGTAGAGTAGAGTCATCAGTCGAGATGAGGTCCAGAGCCGTATATCCGTTATCGTCCTTGCGTTCGGAAGAGCCGGGTATCTACTCAAATTAGAATCAAAGGCGTTGTAGATGTAAAAGGCCCTACAGTAGACGTATCCCGTATGCTATCCCCATGCTCTTTCAACGAAATAGGATCCGAAACCGGCACAGCGCCGACGGCAACACCCAAAGTCTTGGGCTCAATCCGGACCGGCGATCCTCGTTGCTCTGGAGGCCGAACAACCGCTTTGCGTCTCGAGGTATGTTTCACTATTTGCTTGAGACTATTCGCGACAGCCTTTTCCTTCTCGCCATTGTCCATCCAATCCGGCTTGGGGCCAAAACCATAGCAAGTGATTAATAGATTTTGACAGTTCGAACATTGAGGACGGCATTCATCGCACTTCTTCTTGCGAAGGCGACATGTCCAACAGCCTTGCTTGTTGCGAAGGGGGCCGGCCATTTGTGATCAGGGTGTCGTGTGGTGAGAGATACGGCTGTGGTGGGGATGGACGGCATGCGCGACGCGCTAGGGTCTCCTTCGTAACCGCAGCTGACAGCAACCTAGAGGACACTTACTAAACCCACTGTTGATTTAGCCAATATGCCCAAACAATAATCAAACAAAGAGGCTTTTGTTATTGGTGTTGTAGATCGCGTCGCGCCGAGTAGTCCGTCCCCAAGTACACCCCACGCATACCACTTCATCACTCACGCTCAATTCCGTGTGACGGTGCATCTCTATTATCTAGTCAAGCTATTTCCCACGATTCATCAAGGCCACACATCGTTCGGCGCCCGTTCAGGATGGAATGGCAAGGCTGCAGGTGTGGGTGCGGCTGAGCTGAACCTGTCACGTAGTTGTTGGAGTATACAACAAGACATTCTATTTTGTTCTTGAGACTTCAAATTGACTGCCCTTTGCCCTACAGTTTCTTCGCATCCTCCAAGACCAACTCCGTGGCCTTCTCAGACAGCATAAAAGTCGCAACGACAGGAAATGCTCCAGGTACGCGGGGGAAAGCCGAAGCATCCACGACCCTCAAACGCTCAACTCCTCGAACCCGAAGCCTGGTGTCTAACACTGCCAATGGATTAGAGTCCGGTCCAACCGAGTTGGTACTTGTAGGATGATGACCGAAAGCCTGATCCTCGATCCATTGTTTATCGATTTCTACATCTCGGCAGAATCCGTTCTCTAATATATCAGTGGCTGGACAAGGGGGTGATACAGGCAAGAGAGGTCCAACGGGAGCCTCGGTGCTCTTATATGCTTTACGGGCAAATGCAATCGTCTCCAGTATCGAACCAAGATCCGTGTCAGCACCTTCAACGAAGTAGTTGAGGTTGACATCCGGTGTGTCCTGAGGATCAGCGGACTTGATTTGAATCAGACCAGCAGTGTTCTGTGGATGTATCTTGACTGTCGACCAAGAGAATGTATTCGGAGGATCGAGAGTGCGGTTTTGATTGGTATCCGGCTGGAAGCCTCTCAGGACGAAGTTGCCGGTTGAGAATAGCAGCATATCCCTCTCTTCTTCGACAGCATATTTGGTCTTCAAGAGGACTATGTTACCACCCGTGCCGCCACGGGAATATGGACCCTCCCCTTTCCGCCACAGGTCAAGGCAAGGATCTCCAGGTGCACCGCGAGTGCATTGTGGCGCATTTGGATCAACCGTCTCGCTCAGGTCTACTTTGGCGTGCCCGTATATTGGTAACTCGTAATTGTCTTGTAAGTTGCGGCCAACACCTGGGAGATCCTTGATTACATGGATATCGAACTTCTCCAGTAGGGCTTTCGGTCCAATGCCTGAAAGTTGCAAAAGCTGTGGCGAGCTGAAAGTGCCACCTGCCACAATGACTTCCTTGCGCGCAAATGCCCGGCCGATACTTCCCTTGATCGTGGAGTTGTGGCGCGCGTCGCCTCTGTATACAGACTTTCCATGTAAGTATTCGACACCAACGGCTTTAGGCTTCGTGCCGTTGCCGCCACACTCATCAAATAGCACCTTCGTAGCCAACGAATTGAGCTGAAGATGAAGTGGGTACTTTTGTGTTCCGTTCGCATTCGTCAAACTAAGCGTCTCCAGGATGTTGTCACGAGGACTGAATCGCTTCCAGTTTGACGTAACATGGAAGGGAAGACCCCAGAGTCCTTCTGTCTGGTCGCGCTTCGGGTCGAGATAGTTTCCATCACCGGTCAAGTATTCAAGAACTTGCTCGGGGTCCCGACCGATAAGCTTCAAAGCCGCCTGGAATACTTTGAAACGCAGAGAAACAGCAGCATACACAGTGCGATCAGCAATGTTTGTCTGCAGCCATCCGCTAAAACCATGACCTGGGGTTCCAGGTTTGAGGTAGTTGTTATGCTCGATTCGCTCGAAGATGCGGCGCATTTCCTTTCCACTGCGGGCGGTTAGCATAGATAGTTTTTGGCTTGGAAGTACGAGATGCTCACCTCCAAATGCCATCGCCAACGCCCTTGTCGAAGTAATCCCAGTCACTATCACTTGGCAGAAGCGTCACCGCAGCATTGACAATAGCACTCCCACCCAAGGTCGCACCTCTCGGATAGAAGACACCTAGCCTCGTCGCACCTTGATGTCCTTCAACCGTCGGATCCCTCCCAACCCAGTATTCTCCATTGATCAACTTCCACACAAGTAGGTTATACCGCTTCATGCGCTCCTCGTCATCGCTATGTCTTACAAAGAAGTGCCAAGCCAGACTTGGGCTACTACCCAGGCCGCCGAGAGAGTGGACTTGTGTCGTGATATCAGCACTTTCATCGTCGCCGGCTTCGATAAGGAGGACGGAGTAGCCGGCACGGGCGAGGTTCGTGGAGATAGTTCCGCCACCTGGACCAGACCCAGTTACGATGTAATCGTAGGTGTTGGTTGAGTTTGCGAGGGCTTGGGGAGATGTGCAAGCGGAGTTCAGGGGTGATGCGAAGGCGATGGTGGGTAGGATAAAGTGATGAAGCTTCATGATAGGCAATTGGCGAGCAACAAAAATTATCGACTCCTACAACTGCATGAACATGGCATACCACCAAGATTTGGGATGCATCCACTGCAGACTTATAATATTCTCCGAACAGAACTGTTCGCTACTTCGAGTTGCCCACCGTTTTCTTGCTTTTACCCGGGCCAACCACAATTTTAGCGTCTTCACCTTCCCTTTCGAGCCCTCTTGGAAGATCTATACAAGGAAGCAAAGACTCGATCATTGGTGGCAGTACTGCAAGAAGTATGCAAGTACTAAACATCATACAGGTTCCCGCACCGGAGTGGCGCCGCATCCGTCCGAATAGATGCCGGGAGATGATGGTGGCAGGTAAACGGGCCAATGAGTGTAGATGTTGGAAGCTGGTGTATGAGTGGTTGCTTAACAATAAATGTGTGAAATAAATGTGTGTATAGTGTGGGTACGTGCTCAACACTTACGAACGGTGCGTATGTCAGTATAAGCATACGAAGTGCTACTCTTATGCTCATCAGTGGCTAAGAAGAAAGAGAAGCGCGTTGCGATATCAACACTCTTCGTTCCATTGAAGCTGCTCCACGCGCTACTACTTCGGACAGATTAACATCCGTTATGATCTTTACTACCTCAGTTCCTATTGCTTTACGCGTCATTTCGCCGAGCTCGGTCGTACATGGCGTGGTTGGTTTGCCGGATAGAATAACTCAACGGATGCTGCCGAGTTGAACTGCCTGCGAAGCCTCCTTGATGAATCTACCGAGGACTACATTGAGTCATTCTCTATATGCTTGTGTGCAGGTTGCGGTATGATGAGGAAATTCGTCGAGCATGCAGCCATCCATGAAAGAATGGGGCACGGCTGTAGTTGACATAACGTACCGCGTTGACGCACATCGCATTAGTCTTGAGAAGGTACCTAGGTAAAGGCTGCCTAACTACTCCCGTTTTGTATGGTGGAGAACATTACCATGCATGGCCAACGGCAACTGGCAGCGAAAATCATAGTCTCCAGGTTCAAGTAATCGACCGCTCCGTGTAACTGCAGACCCGTCACAGTCGATCACCTCGCAGTGAAGATGCTGCGCAGCAACTGGATACTAATGAGCCCGGGAATTACGTCCATGCAGTCAGACACCCTTGATACAACAATTCACATGATAGTGTCCTTCACGGGTGCCAAGCGATCAAGATCAAGATCCAACAAGAGCCCGTCTCCTTCAATCACCCCCTCGACGCTCTCAATTCGCGCCTAGCCTTGACTAGGATTGATTGATGGCCATGCTGAGTGGCATTTATTGTAATGTACGACCAATCATTGCGCTCTCTCCCATTGCAAAAGCAGGAAGAAACCGCACCCAAGATCAGCCGCTGTGTCTCCTCTTCACTTCACAGACGGTTTTCGTTCTCATGGAGACCTCACACCATCCGTAGACGACGGGTCTCTCCAAAGAAAATGCTTTTCGTGAGTGTGTAAATTTGCGTTGTTCAATAATGAAGAGAAAAGAACGGGCGCGGTCGATGAAAGTTTTGATCAAGGACTCGGCCCAGGGCGCTAGGCAGATTGTTCCGCCGAATCGCCGAACAGCGTGCCCCGCCTCACCAACTTTGGGCTGCGTTTGAATCACTTTTGTGGGATTTGTACGAAAGGACGCACACGACGTCAGTCTCTCTGCATCCACCTGCGCGACATCTCCAACGCCTGTCTCAGAACCCGGCCCCAGCACTAGCCGACTCTTCGAAGCCGTAACACGACCACCCAGCATGGAGTCCGAGTCTGACCACGAACACCGCGACGACGAGAGCGTGTCCGAGCAGGAGGAGGTCGAGGAAACGAAGCCAAAGCCTGCGCTCAAGAAGGGGAGAGAAGTGCTCCCGCCTGTGGAGCGGCCAGACCTCCCGTGCGTCTCAGAACATGCAGCACCGCAGATTTACGGCTAACACGCACAAGCGAACAACCAGATCCGAACACAATCGATTTCTCCACGCTGAACCCGCTGTCGCCCGAAATCATCTCGCGTCAAGCCACGATCAACATTGGCACAATTGGCCACGTCGCCCACGGAAAAAGTACCGTAGTCAAGGCCATCTCCGGCGTGCAGACGGTTCGATTCAAGAATGAACTCGAGCGGAACATCACCATCAAGCTTGGTTACGCAAACGCAAAGATCTACCAGTGCGACAACCCAGAATGCCCGCGCCCCACATGCTACCGGTCATACAAGAGCGAGAAGGAGGTAGACCCGCCTTGCGAGCGCGACGGCTGTGGAGGAAAATACCGCCTGAAGCGCCATGTCTCGTTCGTCGACTGCCCTGGTCACGACATTCTCATGAGCACTATGTTGTCGGGCGCCGCTGTCATGGACGCTGCCCTGCTCCTGATTGCTGGAAACGAGACTTGCCCACAACCGCAGACAAGCGAACATCTAGCAGCCATTGAGATCATGAAGCTGAACCACATCATCATTCTTCAGAACAAGGTCGATCTGATGCGGGAAGACAGCGCCGCAGCACATTACGAGTCGATCCTAAAGTTCATTCGAGGAACAGTCGCCGACGGATCTCCCATCATCCCCATCTCTGCGCAGTTGAAGTTCAACATCGACGCTATCAACGAGCACCTCATCACCAAGATCCCTGTTCCAGTCCGAGACTTCTCCGCAAAACCGCACATGATTGTCATTCGATCCTTCGACGTCAACAAGCCCGGTGCCGAAATCGAGGATCTGAAGGGCGGAGTTGCTGGTGGTAGTATCTTGACTGGTGTGTTGAAGTTGGGTGATGAGATTGAGATCAGGCCTGGTATCGTGTCAAAGGACAGTTCCGGAAAGATCCAGTGCAAGCCCATTTTCTCAAGAGTGGTGACTTTGTTTGCAGAGCACAATGACCTGAAGTTTGCGGTTCCCGGAGGCTTGATTGGTATGTGTTTATACCTCGGAGGTTTTGGCCCGAAATCTAACGTGTGACAGGTGTTGGTACACGCGTGGACCCTACGCTATGCCGTGCAGATCGTCTCGTCGGTTTCGTCCTTGGTCTCCGTGGACATCTTCCCAACATCTACACCGAGCTCGAGGTCAACTACTTCCTTCTCCGAAGACTGCTCGGTGTTAAGACGGCGGACGGAAAGCAGGCCAAGGTTGCTAAGCTGGCAAAGAACGAAGTCCTCGTATGTGCGAATCTCATAATGATGTGAACTGTAGCTGACAGGCTCCCCCTAGATGGTCAACATCGGTTCGACAGCCACGGGTGCCAAGGTTATCGCTGTCAAGGCTGATGCCGCTCGTCTGTCCCTTACATCGCCTGCCTGTACTGAGATTGGCGAGAAGGTTGCGCTATCCCGACGTATTGAGAAGCATTGGCGTCTTATCGGATGGGCCAACATCGTAGCGTAAGTCTCACGGGGTTGCTAGCTACAGGCACGTGCTTACAAATCTCTCAGTGGTAACATTCTTCAACCAATCGTGGATTGAACGCAGCTATAGACGGCTCCAGTAATAGGAGTGGAAAAGGCAGCCTTAACGATGGGACGATGTCGAACCGAATGACATGACAGCAAAAATCTATGCATTACGTTCTTAAGCATTTCCTGCAGGAGTCGGTTGCAGTACGGGGATAGAGGCAAAAAGGGTTCTTCGACATGTGTTTTCTAGACAGCATCTTGAAGCCGGAGTGCGACGGGGCAAGTGCTTATTGGAGACAGTGAGCTTGTGTAACAGCACAATGTCCGGAAATGGCAGTCAGAATAGCCACATGCAATGACAAACATGTACAATCAAGTCAGTTCACTTAGAATTGTTGAGGAGGCGGGCGACTGCGGAGGTGATCGACGGCCCGAAGCGTACTAAGCCGATATTCACATGTCACGAACGTCAGCTTAGTTCTCTTAGCCTACATTGGCCATAAAGCTTTCCCCTCCCTTCTACCTAGCCCTCTGACGACCTGTTCAGCGCTCAATTCGTCTCTATTGCCTAGACAAGGTATGTTTGCGAACTTGCTCCAGGAGCCAAGCAATGCTGTAATGTCCACGTGCACTGACACTGTATTAGTTGCGGATCCGATCTTCCATTCCAGATACTGCAACAATTCACAAGGGACGCACAGGTGTTTACGAGGCGCTCCGAAGCTTCTCTTCTTCTTCTCTTCTGATACAATCGCTCCATCACTTTAATGATTACTCCTTTGTAATTGCGAGCATATCCTGCAACGTACACGTACATCTATTGCGGAACCTAGGGCGCACTTGGAACCGCGGAACGCGCAACATGGCAGAAGACCCAAGCGTGCCCTCGAACGCGGCACAGTCTCCCCCACACATATACCGACCTATTCCACGTCGAAATTTCGAAACTACAACACACAACGATTCTGCAGACTCACCAACGCACGCGTTCGCGCAATCCACACCCCCGAGCGCGAACGAAACCAGCCGATCCTCGGATTTTCTCGCCCAGCTTAACGCTCGCTTACTACGAACATACAATTCTCGGAATGACGACACAGAAGAGCAGGAGAAGGAGAAGGGTCCCCCGCCCCGGAACAAAAGCTTTTTGAATATGACGAGTAGTACGCTGTTTGGTATTTACGATGATGTGGGCTCCGGCACAGCTGGCGAGAGGAGTAGGGCGGAGACCCCGTCAGGCTCAGGCGCGGAAACTCCGGCACATTCTGGCATGGGCCTACATGCTTGGGAGACAGGCATGGGAAGTCCGGATGCGGGATTGAGCATGAAAAATCAGGCGAGGAAACGGTCAGCGCATGGCAAGGCCGAGGGGAAGGGGAAACGCCATACGACGAAGCATCCACGGCAAGGAGTGTGGAAGTACGCTGTCATGCTGGGGAAGCTATCAGCGCTCTATTTATTCGGCGTCACCTACGGTCTCATCGTCTCGCATCTGCACGAAACGAGGCAGCTCGCGGCTCTGCATGTTGAGGGCGTTGATCGAAGGAGCTGGATATACCTGGCTAGTTGGGGGTTATTTGGCGTTGCGCTTGGCAGTCTACTACCATACGTCGATCTCATATGGGATGGGCAGAAAGTGGAGAAAGAGATGGAGAGGAGTGACTCTCCAATTAGCGAGCAGATCAACGATGTTGTCAGGAGTGTGTGTGCTTTCGTAGGGATCGCGTTCGCTATTGTAAGTCTTGGTCCCTTAACTCCTCTTATTAAGCACCTACTTACCCGTCTACGACAGCGCCGTCTCCCCTGGCAATCCACCCTCCAACTTACTCTCACACTCGCCCTCGTCAATCCAGCACTGTGGTACATACTCGACCGCAGCAAACCTGGACTCTCCTGCTCTCTCATCGTAACTTCGGTTCTTACATCCTTCATCTTTCTCTCGAATCCAGACGTACTACCTTCGCCATCGCTGCCGGCGACTACCAACGTCACACAACTGCCTACAGATAGTAGAAGTAGCAGCATGGGAAACAAACAAAACACGGCGACTGTGGGCCAGGAGCTTTTTGCGGGTATGGTTAGCTACGAGACTTTAGCTATTGTAACGTGGGTGGGTAGTGTGCTGTTTTGTAGTTGTGTCTGCTTTGGCAGCATAGGGAGGAGGCTGGCAGTACTCGAGGAGTCAGGGTGGAAGAGACAATGATACCCACAAGTCGAGGTTAGGATGACCACCTTTAGTGTTGGATCTTGGACTGGTTACGGACGCTCATTCTTGTATGGCTGATACGACAGATTCGAAGCCCGGTATTTTGTTAATGGACGGCCTCATTATTAAAGAGACCTCCACAGTAGGGCTTTAAAAATGCACAGGCAGATCTCTCCTTTTATCTTGCGCTTTCTTCTAGCGACTCCTAACTTGAAGGTCATTTCATCTCTTCTATATCTCCCAGTCGGAGCCACAAAGGCGTCAAGAGGCTCGTTTGTCAAAATTATGCGCAGGCAAGCAAACGTCAGCGTTTGATAAAACGCCTACATCTTAGAGGCTGGCCGCAGGGAACCTTTGCGCGCTAAACCCCGTCGTTCGGGCTGGATGATCCCAAATACCGACTCGCTAGATATGAAGCGGCATTTCGGACTCTGTCTGGCCGCCTAATCATAAAATGTGGCCGTCATCATGAAATACATATACAAGGATAGGTTAGTCGGACACTACGAGACTCCGTTGTGTAAGACTTGTGTCGCGCAAATCGCCGAAAATGGCAGGCACACGTGTTTTAGGCTACCGAGGCTTATCAGCCGATGAGCCACTCCACCCGATGAGCCACTTTTTACTAGTAAAAAAGCTAAAAATTAAAATTTTATTTATTTAATAACTAAATAAATAA